TTTTCGGTCATTTATTTCGACGAATAAATTTCAAGACAATGCCCATGGATTGCTGGATTTTAAGCCCATTTATAATGACAAATTTGCCCTTGTTACGGATGAAGGGATAGTACTCCATTATTACCTAATCTAGTTCAACAGGCTTTTTAATCCCGATATAGACTGACCAACTGAATCCTGGTGAATGGTCAACTTTCTTTCGAACCTTGGCGCCAACAGATGTACTTGGTTGTTCAATCGGATTCACGTGGACAACTACGGCCAGAATATGCGTAGGAAGTAGGAAGTGATTTATCTAAATTCTATTTGTAGGCAAGAATGGATCGAGGGTTCTTCTCCGAACATTCTACCCTTTCTTGGCTCCAAAATTCTTAGAACGCGTTGAATGTGAAAACTGTAGTAAAAGGATCGGGTGTCTCCTTAGAAATGTAATAGGAAGCTACTGATTGATGTGGATTAAAATTGGTGAGTATGGTAAGATGTCCTTTATCGTCAAGCGGTCCATGCTTAGGTTACAATCGATATCTCAAACAGAATAGAAAAAAACATGCAACAAGCATCTGTAAGTTTTATTTCTGTGCAGCAACACTTCCAGATATTTATTTATATTGTCAATGATAATACCATCAGGTGCGCGCTCCAGTGTAATTACCAATTTTATATTAAAAACACCATACCTATCACACTGGTCAGGTCTAAAAAAAATAATTGGGCTGATGCCACGTGAAATACCATGGAAGAATTCAGATATTTTTTTTTTTCAACATCTCTTTCTCTTTATGGTTCCATCGATATTCCCACATCCATATTAATATCGCCTCTTAGCAATGAGAGCCTCTGGTCATTTCTTCTAAAGACAGGCTACGAGGCTTCACTACCATTTGTCAATCTGCTCCACTTCTAATCCCTCCAATCCCTTCAATTACAGTGCCTTCATAAGGTTCGATGTCCTAGGAACCTTATATCCCATAATTTGAAACGCATACACCAATCATTCCCGCGATATAGCCCATAAGATCACGGAAGGAGAGCTGGGGAAAGTATGGAACACCAGAAAACCTTATTCTATATCCCGACGGTGAAGCCTGTAAGGAAAAAAGACATACCCATACATGTTGAAAGGAAGCATGAGCCAAGACATTGATGGGACGCCTATCAAGAGCTCGATGAACTACACCAACGCGTGCGAAGCAAGAGTTAAGTCTGAAAGAAACAGCTCTTGACTGTAATAAAGACGTTGGATAAGCCTTTCAATAGTCAAAAGAAGCACGAGAATCATTCGAGTCGAATTTCACTGATATCGAATTCAATTCGTTTTCGAATAGTTATCTAAATTCGAATGCTTATCTGCAAAAGTCAAGGTAGTGTTCTAGGGGGATCTAAGGGTGCAATAAAGGTATCTTTATTCAGGGGGAACTATGCTACAGAACTAGATAGAAAAGTAGACCTATTTATACTAGTTAATATCCTGTTGCAAGGAATGCTCTAGAAATATGGGCGAAATACTATGTTGCACAAAATTATTATACAGTGGAATCTCGATAATTGTACACTTTTGTACAATTTTCGAATTTGCTATATTTCTCGGTTATTGATTGGCTAAGAAGCCCACAATTCATGAAAAACTATTCTAAAAATCCTCTGCTGATTCCTCTACTCCAGTTGAGTGTGGGTTTTTTAGAATACTTTTTTTTAAAAGAGTAAGGCTCTTAGCCAACCAATGGCCTAGAAATATATCAAATTTGAAATTTGTACAAAAGTGTACAATTATCGAGATTCCACTGTAGTGATTTCGCTTGCATTATCGAACCATTCGATACTCGAACTATTCGAATCGATCCAGGTTAGGGCTTATCCGAATCGATTCGAACTTACTGTTGCGATTAGCAGTCATTTATATGGGTTTTTACTATAGCTAAGATTTTTACCCTTTTTATTTAACGAAGATCCCTGAATCATAATAAACACATCTTTCTTTCGTTCTCGTTACTTATTATGATCCTGACATATTTCACTTACCACGATTCATTTTCGATTCGAATGCATTCGAACCCATTCGAATTCGATATGTTCGAATCGAATAGGAGAACTGGCATACCGTAGGATAATAAGCTGTCTAAAGATTGAATTTCATATCTTTCTCTCTTTTTTTTTTTTTTTTTTTTTTTTTTTTTCAAAAGGATTCCAAGAGCATGAGCCAGGGTTTCTTGAAACACAATAAAGTGAGGGGAAAGAGGATAGCTGACAGATATTTTGAAGACTTCATAAGCGTTTTCGTAAGAAATATAAAGATTTAAGGCCACGACCTCCGTAATGTCACTAAACAGAATAAGAGAGCATATTTGAGATATTTGAGAGGATGACCTCATGCCCGGCCCCAGACTTACGAGAAGCGCGGTTACATATTACGAGGGTCAATTCGAACTGATGAGTTCCGTCTCCAGTTGCTGGCATTCAAATTGAACGAACTCAATGCGGTAAAATATAGACGACTTCCCGAGGACAGATAACCTCGCAGAACCAATTCCACTCTTGGCGGTACAGATAATTTCTTGACCGAGATAAGGAACGTAGTGAGTATTAACAAGATACCACTAACCTTAGAAACTGCAAGACAGAAGAAATCTAGATTTGGGGCAATCTTTCATTGGAGCGAGCCCGCTAGCACGGCGGCCTAGACAGCCAAATTTTACAACTTGGCTGTCAAGTAGAAGGTAGTGTATCGGCCTACTCTCAAATACCGACATGGATGGAGCAGTGGAAGGCAGTAGCGGCGTATGGTTCACAATCCATTGGTGACGTTGAGAGTAGCCTACCTTCTCTTCGTGGGAATGATGCAAGCATAAAAAACTATATTGAGAAGCTCAGTGTCAAGGACTGGCAAGATAATTGTCAAGAAGGTAAGTGTTTAGAAAACAAGGTAGGGATCAGATATGGATTTATTGCAGACTGAGGTTTGCTATGTTACTAGTCTATGATATTTATACTTGTTTGGCTGGAGCGGAGACGTGTTTCAAGAACTCTAAATAAAGCTTACTCAAATACTTCCTAATGACTTTTACCATATGCGGAACTCCAAGTATTGAGTTAACTTAATACACAGGATCCGAGGAAGATATCTGGTGCAATCTTATATCAAGGCTCCTTGGCGCCATGAGCCTTGGTCATTGGTCTATAGCTCTTCTAGAATTCTTGGAGCTATTCACGGAGCTAGAAAACTAGAAGACGCGACTTGGCTTGACAGACAAAACTATGCATGAGGAAATGAGTGAATGAGGGAACAAATTAATCAAGCACACGTGATCTTTTCTGATTCGAATCAGACAAAAAAGTCATTCATCAATTCGTGAGCTCAACATTGCTTGCTGTTCGTGACACTCAGAGACGTGGAGAAAGACCTATATTCCTTCTATAGCAGCAACGATGTCATCAAGAAACATAGGTGTGATGCGAAAGGAGCCTTAGTCGAAGAATACAAGAAGATTACCAACAGCCTGCTCAAGATGGCTGGCGGGTCAGTTGGAGCGAAGATAAATGAAGGAAACAAGATTGTGATAGGGGTGAGCCTTGACAAGTTCTCGTCTAATACAAAGCCATCTTCATTACATGAATCAGTCCAATCATACTTCGTGAATACGGTAAGTACTCGCCCACTATTACAAAAAAAAACTTGGCCGACGGCCATATGGCTTTAAGCAGTAGTTAAAGCAGAGGTGGGCCAAGTTAGCCACAGAAAAACCGTTGACCATTACTTTTTATTGTCGTTGTTGTCACATTGTAACTTATCTTGCTCTCTTGCCCCATTCGGCCCGATCTCTTGGGTACATCGTTGTGGATGTAAACGAATACTACACCTCAAGAAATGTTCAAACTGTCAAGAATTTGTTGGTCAGATTGAGATCCGTCGACTATATTGCAAGACATTTACGCACAGAGATGTCATGGCAGGGCATAACATTTACAACGTTAAAGGCCATTTACTTTATCAGGGGCGGACGTCCTATCTTGTGCCGGACAGGGGTAAGGATGTTTCCAGAGTGGATGGTGGAAAAAAAGAGAGCGAACAAGCGACAAGTGCCGACCGAGCAAGAGGAGGAGCCCAGAGACAGCAAGAGAATTCACATTGAGCAAATCTAGTTCACCTAGTTTTACCATAGTTTAGAGGACCATTTACGTGACTGTTCCAGTGCCGATTGTGCTGTACTCAAAGGTATCCAGGCTCCTAAATTTGTGGTCAATCAACTTCATGGCGGCTCTCTCCTGTTGCACCGTGTGACCTGTTTTTATAATTGCAATTAACCTGTCATTATTCTGGCTTTCCCAATTGAAAGTTCAATGACCATTTCCACCTTCTGCAATCAATTGCACATGAAACGAGATTAGCACACATTGGAAAATACCATACACTAGCATTCTTCTCCCTCCTTGGAAAAGAAAACAGAAAGAAAAAAGGCAAAAATAAAATAAAAACATGAAAGAAGAAATAGAGTTGACTACATGAAGAGTAACATCATGATAGAAATGATCAAACAAAAAAATCCACAGAAAACCCAATCTCTTCTTTGGTGGATCTCTTTCTCTAAATGAGAGACAAGCGAAAAGAAACGAGAGTCCTGTTTGCGAGCTGGCTGGCTCACTCACAGGTCACACATCCACCTTCACTTGATACTCACGCCTCACCTCTTCTACTAATTTTGGACTCTTGGTAGTTTTTTTCCTTCCTTGGCTAATCCTTTTTCACTTTCTCATTCCATCTCTCACACTCACTCGCTCACACATCGTGAACAGACAAAATACAAGTACAAAACCGTGTGCACAAACTCACACTTCAGACCTCTCACTCCTTTTTGCCTCTCCGTCAGACTTTTTTTTTTTTTTTTTTTTTTCCCTTCTCATTACTTTGTCTCTCTTTGTCCCTCCCTTCTCTCTTTCTTTCTCTCCCTCTCTCTTTCTCTCTCTTTCTCTTTTTTTTTTTTTTTTTTTTTTTTTTTTTTTTCACACGATCATAAAAGAATCGGATTCTTTTTCGCTATTTCGATCTCTCTTTTCTTTGCTATACTCGGCCATTCACTCTTCTCTGAACTTCTTTACCATCGATCACATTTGCAACAAATCTGCCCTAAAAAGCTTTTTTGAAACAAAGCCCGGCACTACAAGGTACAAACAAGGCAAAGCAAAGACACTGCTTCGACAAGAAGTAAATGTCTCCTTCGAATACAGACTTAGATCAGCAACGACAAGAATTATCCTTGTCGTCTCACCCGTCAGATCACTCTTCAAACGAATCTTCAATGTCAATCAAGGAGCAAGGAAAGGTCAATAGTAATGATCTTGATCAGAGTCAACAACAACAAGCAGATAAACTTGCGCCACCAAAGCTGTATCCCTCAGGTGAAAATATGCTTTTCCAGAACAACAATGGGACTGAAGGATCAGCCCCAAATAAAGAAGATTTGGTCAATGTCTCTGCCTCATTATTGTCAGACTCTGTTCTAATCCCTACAGCTTCACATCAAACTAATGGAATCGACAGCAATTCAAAAGCGTATTATGCTGTCAGCACCGCCGAGTTGACAACTATGTCTGGAAGTAATAGCAGTAGTTGTAATAGTAGAGCAGAGCCTTATTTGAGCAGAGAGCAAAACCAGCACCAACAATATCAAGACCAACATAATGAAGGCAAGGACAACGCAAAAATAAGAACGCTCAAAAGCACCACAAAAGAGGAGTTTTTGATTCGGGAAAACAACCTTGACCAGCTCCACAATCGATACCCTCAGCAATCTAGAGAGGATCCCCACTTTTACCTTCATTCCAACGACCTTAGAGGAAATATCAATGTTCCCTCATCGTCTCCGCCATCATCGACCAATTTTAATCATAAAGGCGGAGAAAGACATAGGCATGAGCAGATCCTTCATGATCGAGACGAAAGTTCTGAGGACAATGGCCAAGAAGGTCGCAATCTCATGGATGGAGATCAAAGCATGGATCATGGTCATTATCGTGAAAATTACTCCTCAACATTGTCAGATGAAAAGTACAAGAGACTCAAGAGGAAACTGAGGGAAGTCTTGGAGGTAAACATATACATACATTTTTAAAACCTCAGTAGCGTCGTAACCTTTGAAATGATCCTTAATGCTTTAATCGATAGGATGGGTTATTGACATGAGATGCTTTTGTGGTTTCAATAAATCCTAGGAAAACGAGCGAATGAGTAAGGAGCTGGATAAGTCTCAAAGACGCGTTCGAAATTTGCGGCGAGAGAAACTGTAAGCATTTGATTTTTAACATGGCAACGGACTCTGCCTCGTCCTCTAAACTTGCTAATTTTCTTTTCGGCTCATCTTTTTTCGTCACTCAGTCTTTTGTTAGATCGCCTTTGTCTATTTGAGAGAAAAGATTCGGGCTCAGGATCAGACTCGCTCTCATCACTCAGCAGTGACAGTGAAGAATATGAATCTTCAACCCAGGAGGATATACCTCCAGAGCCTGTGAAATTATCTATACCAGCAGGAAAGCAAAACAAGGCGAAGAGCAATTCAAAACTGACTCCAAATCCAAACGCAACGCCAACGCCTGGGACCACTCCTCAGCATCCTAAAAAGTCTGCTACTGCCAAGAACACTCCAGGTGCATCTACAGGAGGTCGAGCAGGTTCAGCCAAGGAAACAAAGAGTCACTCGTCTGTTTCAACACCTTCTACAATCACCAATGTTGGATCTGCAACTCAGAAGCCTAAACGCATCCATCAAATTAATAAACTCAGGCCAGGACTTGGTAAAGTTCGTCGGGTGCAAGCAGTAGAAAAGGATGAGAATGGGAATGTTAAACTGCCTGTCACTGTTGGCATCATTACGATCCAAAGCCTCGGTCACGTAGTGTACGATCGCGAGGCTTTTCACAATGATCGATACATTTGGCCCGTTGGTTACAAGATGTCACGCTCTTACAACAGTATGATTGATCCGAACAATCAGACAACTTACACTTGTAGCGTCATTGATGATGGAGAGGCACCTAAGGTGAGTTGTTTAGTGATAGCTTTATAAAATGTAGCTTTTTTTATTTTTAACTTTTACAAACGGTATTCATAATATATCCTTTCTAGTTCCAAATTGACGCTGAAGATCAGCCAGGCAAACCGATTATCGCTGGAAGCGCTACAGGAGCATGGACACATGTCGTCAAAGCCGCGAATGCGATTCGTAAACGTGACCACTCTAACTCAGCCTCCGGACCTGATTATTATGGTTTCTCAAACGCCACTATTGCCAAGATGATCCAAGATTTGCCAAACGTAGATAAATGCGAGAGCTATATCATGCAGCGATTTGAAGAACCTGCTTCGACAAGATCGTCTGGTAACAAAGCATCGACAGCAGCAATAACTAAAGGTCCAAATGATCATGAAACGAATCATCATAAGCATGGAGGTATTCATGACGGTGATAATGATGACGACAATGACGACGCATATACATCATTGGGAACCCCAGGGAGAAAGAAGGCCCGAATTTCGTCACCCAAGATTCGACATGCAGGGCTCGATTACCCAGCCTCAGTTCTAGAACAGAAGCGAGATGATCAGACTGAGCAAGATGAATTAATAGAGGATGTTGATGACGGGGACGAAACTCAATCCGAGCATGAGCAAGAGGAGAGAAGAAGACCGTTGACATCACCCAAACCCAATTGGTCTGTTTCTATACACTCTACAACCATACCCTGTAACGTGAACCAACACTCCGCGCCATCTGTGGTGACAACAGCAGGAGAATCCATTGTGGATATTGAAGGAGACGGAGAAGGACAGGTAGATTCAAATTTTGAATCAGATGTTATTGTCGATGTTGATGGTGATGTATCGATGCATGACTCTGCTTCGCCGCTACCTGGAGAAGTGGTCAAAGCAGAAATGGGTGGTAGCTATAAAGAAGGATCAGAGCATGTTGCAACCATAGAGTCTTCAGAGTTATAGAGCTTTAATAATACCAAAAAAAAAAAAAAAAAAAAAAAATTGATTGAATTGAATTGAATTGAATTGAATTGAATTTGACAGCTTCATCGCTGTTGATTAATATAAATCTATGGCTCAATGCTGAACTTGTAGATTGATTTTTGGCGGTAAATTTGATCATGATGTAGGATAACCATGTTTGCCCAGTCAGGATGATGAATGGCATCGGGATATCGAATGGGTTCAAGACAAAGCCCCGAGAATTTGCTCATCTCAGCAACAATTGAAACAGACTTGACCGGATTCCTGCTATAACTGTCTTGATCCTCGCTGTTGTTTATGTTTGAACCCGAAGATCGTTGTTGTGATGTGGCAGTTGGCGAACTAAAAAAAGTTGTTGAAGACGAGTCAAGCAAATCGAAAGACTGGGATTTGGTACGTGGAAGGAGAGAGCTATCTAGATATCCTGCTGAATAGAGGACGAGCGCAGGCTCCGAAGTAAAGAGATCGAGACGAATGCCTGTCCTGGATGAAGTGAGAGTAGCAACATGAGGTGTGGATGGGAGATAGCCTTGGATCCCAATTTTGTTGTATCTGGCGATAATAGACCCATCTAAAGTTGATATTGAAGAAGAGGGAGAAGAGAATAAAGATGATGGCGGGCCATCATCGCCAAGAGCATAGACATGATCATATCCATATCCACCTTGAATGCCATTTAACCCAGGCTCTAATTTCTTTTGGCCCGCTTTTGCTATGTTCATTGAAAAAATTAAAAGGCTATCACGGTCGTTTGCCTCTTGAAGATGAATGATCTTGCCAGTTGGGACTGGATGTGGGTCACCAAGTTCTATGACGTTTGAGGTATTAAGCCATAATGTATGATCCTTGACTGAGAGGCGGTTCGTGATGGTTGGAGTGATGGTAGTGCGAGTATGAGCTTGAGAGGAATTGTTTGGATTTCCTATTGTCGTTGTGGCTGCATCTGCGTCTATGACCATAGCTGATGGAAGAAGGCCTTGAGCTTGATCTTCCACAGGGTTCAGAACACCATCCAAATTCCAATATGTGTGGTTTGTTAAATTGACAATGGTACTGTGCAAATCCAAGTCATTGCTATTGTCCGATCCTTTTTTTTGCAACTGAGCCCGATATTCAATAATTAATTCGCCAGAGCTGTTCAACTGGTACTTGACATCAGTGACCAATCGTCCTGGATAGCCGTTTTGACCATGTGGAGAGATCAACTGCAAAGTAACAGAAACAGCTAATACTCCATCACTATCCTTTTCCTCATCCTCATTCTTGACACTGATGGTTGCCCAGTGTTGCTTATCAAATCCTAAGGGGCCACCGTGATGACAATCCTTACCGTTAGACACTTTTAAAGTGTGGGTTGATATATCTGTAGAGGGAAATGTGGAAAATGTGGAAGTTTTTTGAGGAATAGCACTGCTGCCGCTGCCGCTGTTCCTCTCTGAGACCACAGACCCATCTGCAAGTGGTGCATTTACTGCCGCTGTTTCTGCCGCTGTTTCTACCGCAACTTCAGCCTCGCGTGTGCGCTCATAGCTATTTTGGAGGTTGAAAGATGCATGTGCGATTCTGGAAAACGTAAAAGGTAAGGTCGTTTAGTTCAAGCACATGCCACCCATCGTCTGTTCCATTTAGCGACGCCGCGCTCTTTCCTCTAGACCCATTTATACTCTCTCCGACGACAAAAAATAAATTAAATTAAACTAACCGACTGGCAGTACGTCCGATAATGGCTCCAAAGTAAGGATTCAATGCACCAGGTTCTGATTGCGCGAGATAGTCCTGCCAATGGTCAAATCCAAGAACTACATCTTGAGGCTGGTTCCAACGGTCCGGGACTATGAAATGGGTAAGCGTGGCACCATAGGTCAAGATGGTGGCTGAGAGGGCTCTGGTTTTGTTGCTGTCGTTATTGAAATCGTTATCTTTGAGTGAAATAGAAAGGACATGCTGTTGAACCAACACTGGGTTTGTGGACAATGTAATTGTCTTGACTGGCATCGTTTGCAGATCTGATGAGATGATCGATGGAGAATAAATCAAATAAAATCCTTACACAGCAGGTCCTGTAACGCTATCTAACATTGTAGTTACACAGCCTTTCTAGGATAAATTAGCCTGTGTATTTGTAGATTTAGGCAGTACCCTTCCACTCGAACGTTTTAGGGGTTTGTCACTCCAAAGACAATGGCTTTGTACTAATAGACAAATATAGATGGTTCTTGTTTATATATTTCTCCGCGTCCAATAAACATTTGTATACATTTGTATTTATTCTTTTTGGGTATAATGATATTTTTACATGAATACCGAGCTGTTGACACACTGGATATAAACATTAGTCCAGTAGAGATCCGAAAGAAAACCTTCTTTGTGTTCTTTTTTTTATTTTTACTTTTTCATCATGAGGAGTGGAGTGGATCAATGTTTTTCTCGTTTGACTGATTGACTGACTGTCCTTGAGAAAGCCAACAAAGCCCTGTTAGACAACATTTCGATCATTTTGAAAATGAAGTGATCTGCTTCCAGAAGTCTGAGTTCTGAGTGAAAATGATCAAAGTGACATGGTATCCCGCATGGGGCAAGCATTTCAACGTTTTATCCTGGTTGGGATATCTAAGCAGAATAGGGGACAGATTGGGACAGAATCCTTTCCCATTCCATTAAGTTCAAAAGAAATATGCTTTGTCTGCCAGCTTGAGTTTCTGCTCTTTTTTTTATTCCCATCCTCCTTTTGCCAATCTGAAGCCTAGACTAAATGGGTTGGATCCAAAGAACAATTTATTTGAGTAATCAAACTCTTCCTCTCTCCTTTCATCTCTCTTTCCTTTGTTCTCAACGACCCCTCTTTCTTTCCTCTCTCACCTCCTCACTTCCTCTCTTCTCACTTCCTCACTTCCTCACTTCCTCACTTCCTCACTTCCTCTCCTTTCGCCCTTCCTATCTCACCAAGACATCGGTGCCATATACTTTAATCATATCATACTCTTTTCCCCTACCTACTCATACATACCCCGCATCAATCCTCATTCACAATCCATTGATCTCCATTAACCTCTCTCACCTTTCTTAGGGAGAGTCTTGTTAATATACTTATTCCACCGCCATTCATCAGTATCCTCCTCTAAAAACAAAAATGATTCGGGTTTTCTCCAAGATTGCCACGATGGCAAGCTTGGCCCTCGTTCTGATGAAATCCACTACCGAGGCTCTTGGGTCTTGTAAGTTCTCTTTACCTTTATTTCTATCCAACCTGATGAAGATTCCTTCCAATGTTACAATATCCCTTCACCTTTTGTTATTTTATGCCCTTGGTAACTTTCGCACGTCTGTTTTTTCTTCTTTTGGTGCACCAAAGATATAAAAATTATCCGCAAATGGAAGCCGTTTGGACACAAAGGAGGAAAGAGCAATGAACACACATGCATGTGTATTTGTTTTTCCTTTGTTCCACGGGAAATGAGCTGATTCTTGTTGTCATTTTCATATGAGATGAATGCCCTGCAGGAGCCCTTTTTCCATACTACCACTTTCCCACTTTCCACTTTTGCTCTTTCGCTCTTTTTTTTTTTTTTTTTTTTTTTTTTTCCTCCACATGCCAAACAAGTAAAGTGTAAAGAGTAGAGACTATCTCTCTGCCCTCATTTTAGAGGGAAAAAAATTTGAAGACCCTGTGGACATATTTCTGGACGGACGACGGCAAAAGAGTTTCCTTTTTTTTTCAAAGTTCCTTTACTCATTCGGATTACTTTTTTTTATGTTGAAATGCATTTAGCCGCACCTTACACGGGGACTCTCTGCAAGAACTATGTCAATTATGAAGTTTGGCTCCCTCCCAATCACACTGTTGAATCGATCGAGAATGAAATTACTGCCATGGGCATACCTCAAGCCTCCGCTCTGTCACAAATTAACGAAGATTGCTATGAATCATTCATGGAATATGTCTGTTCTACGGCGTTCCCGCGGGTCGAACCCATTGTTGGACAAAGTAAATTTGGTGTTCATTTTTTGTTGGCTAACATGTCATATTCGGTTCTACCTATATTTACTAATTATTTTTTTTTTTATTATGAATAATAGACAATGTGTTCAATGTCAGGTTTGCATGTACTTCAACTTGTCAGACGGCAGTGACAAAATGCTCTCAACTCTTCACAGTCTTTCATAACGAAACCTTGATTCCTAAGTGTGACTCTCCCATTCCGGGCTCTTCAGTCTATCAACCCCCAAACGGTGTCGCATTTCAACCGGACGGTGCCTGCAATGTTGTTCATCCTTTAGAAAAAGGATCTGGACCTACAAATAGGACTGACTTGATCACGACATGTGACCCACCTTTTATTGTCGATCCAATGACGGGTCCAGGCGGTTCGACCGCAAACCAGATGTACTGTATGCATGGATGCTGTCTTCCATGCCCAGCTCAGTACCATCTTTACAGGGAAGGAGCATTGGAGACTGGATTTAAGATTACAAACACGATCCGTGCAGTGTCCATGGTCTTGGCATTCCTCTTGATGATGACCTACCTTTGTCTGGATGATAAACGATCCCATCCAAGTGCCTTGATCTTGTTCTTCTCCATCGGTGTCTTCTTGTTCTCGGTCGTCATCCTTTTCCCTTTGTTCGATACTCATGGCATGCAATGTGCTGATGCAATCAATCCTAGTACCCAACAAAACAATCTCAGATGTGCTATTCAAGGTAAGGAAACAATGTCAATAATAAAACAGTGACATGAAGGGAAAAAAGTAAAATAAATAAGTTTCTTTATTTCTTATTGCTGCTGTTTTGACAGATTAACTAATATTTTATACTTTAATCTGGCACATAGGAGCGATATTGATCTTTGCTTCGGTTGCTACCTGTGCTTGGTGTACGGCCTTGATTTTGAACTTGCATTTGCATACAGTTTGGAACTCTGCCTGGTTTGCTCGGAAATACTGGCTCTTGCATATTGTCTGCTGGGGATTTGCCATTGCTGTCACTGTTGTAGCGCTCGTCTTGGGAGAAGTCAAATGGGAATATGCAACTCTGTGCTTAGTTTCCCAGGATAGAGCTTCAGAGATCTTCTTCTACCCTCTGGCCGTCATGATCTTCCCTGCATTCTTGGTTCATGTCTTGACCTTTATTCATATTGCTCGAATCACCATCTTGTCTGGTGAAGACTCTGAAACCATGTCCCGATCTACATTATCGGCTGGTGCAGCTGCTATGATCTCCCATCGTCGTCATGTCATAATGGCGATCCGTATCCAATGGAGAGCAGCCTTAATGGCCATTTGTGCTATCGTCAGTGTGATGCTATATTGGCTCTTTTATTTTATTCAGCTTCGAAAGATCAATCCCTTGGCTTTGCAGAGCCATGTTCTTGAATTTGTGTTTTGTCTCCGGACGGGTAATCCACATGATTCCTGTGCAGATGTATTGGCGCCTCACTTGCCTCCTTATGGTCTCATGATTGCTGCAGAATCTGTCGTTTCCTCAGTCGGAACCGTCATCTTCATTGTCTTCTTCAAGCCGGCTCTTGTTATAGAATGGGGTGAAAAGTTTTCGTCTTTGGGGTACTTGCTCTCAGGGAAGGGCAAACAAAAGAAAGAGCAAGAACAGTTCTTCGTCATTTAAAGCATAATTATACATATATATACTTAAATACTTCATACAATAATAATTTTTTTAAAAAAAATTCATGTGTAAAAAGCATTAATAAACTCTTTGCTAGAGCGAATGAATATAATATGTGCACACGTATGTTTTTATTATTATTATTTAAAGGTATGCACTCCATCCGATATACATCTTTGAAAGGTTTTCTGCGTTTGTTGCCGTTTGAATCAACTCTTCCACCTGACCCTGTACAGATAGCACATATGCATTCAAACTTTCGGTTCCATTGAGCTTACGCTTGATCACTGCAAGAATCGTCTGTGCCTTTTCATTCTGTTGTAGGTCTGCTGCTGCTTCAGCCGCCGCAGCCGCAGCCGCAGCCGCATCTGCTTTAGCTTTTTGTTCGTTCCTAGTTCGAAGACGTGCACGCGTTTCTTCTGCAACACCCGGTACTGCTCCATCTCCTCCTCCTAATCCATCATTCAAAGCTCCCGGTACAGCACCACCATCACCAGCCACATTCTGCCTAGGATCCAATTGAATTTGCTGGCCTCGACGTTTACTCTTGGCCCACTCCACCAGCGGATCATGTAAAAAACCCTCAAGCACAGACACAAGGGACTCCATGTTGTCTCGAAAGACCGATAGCGTTTGCTCACATGCTAAGCGGTACACCCCTTCATATCCTGCTAGCCCCATTGCATCTACCATGTTTTGAGTAAGTCTGAAGGGAACCCTTTCTGGCTTGGGGAAAGTTTTGCCTTGTTCAAACAGGCAGTTGAAATCTACGTGTACGATATCACCATTACGATGATCAAATAACAAGTTTTCTCCATGCCTATCACCAAGACTGATGAAGCGAAAATATATTAGGGTTCATTTGAAGAAGAACAAAAGTAATAAAAAAGATTGAAGCAAGGGACCATCAATTACCCCATGACATGTCCAGCCATTGACATGACCGCAGTCGTTCTCGTGTATCGAAGTCTTGTCTCAAACCAAGCAGTAGGTTCTTTCGAGATATCCAAAAGCCATTGATGAAAAACTGGCGGGAATTTGGGAAGCAAATCCTTGACGAACATCCTTACATGATCCTCGTGATCTAAAATTCGTTTGATCTCAGGGAGCTATCATGTAAACATGCGTTATTGTACAGGTCATGCAGGGTTAGGAAGGAAAAAAAAAAAAAAAAAAACTTGATAAACTACATTTGCTAACTCCCATATTGATACTTTTTAAAGCTCTTCTTACCGAGGGCATAGAAATGTTGTTCATTTTATATTGCTTTTGCATAATATGTCGGAATGGGATTGTATTGTGCACCCATTCAATAAGTCCACATTCTTCGTTCAAGGGAATCACAGAATAAGTACGGATATCTAAATAACATGCAAATAAAAAAATCGTTTTTCAGCAAATGTGCAGCGGACTAAAACTAAAGGATAATGCTGCAATACAACCAAAGATATACATACATAGGTTTTTGCGGTTTGCTCCACGGTTGCGTTGGAGTAGCATGTTAACCAAACCGTTAAACTCCATCACCTTGGCATCCTTTCTCAAGTCATCCTTAGGCTTGCATAAGAATGTGTACCGTACTCCATCGCTACCAACAATTGTTATCTTTCGTGGCCGTTGCAGTGATGACATGACCTCAACCTCGTCCAAGAACCCTAATTATATTAAAATAAAACATCTCAATAATAGTAGCAAATAAGAAGCTATTTCAAAGAATAAAATGCTACCTACGATTAATTTTCGGTAGGTTGGATTTGAATGATTGATGCGATGCCATAGTGGCGCTCGATTCCGGGATTGAGGGCCACATTGTTGCCTGACACGGGACCGTCAAGTTGTAGTTCTCTCCCAGTTGCGTATAGACTTTCGGGAAATTCTTCTGTAGGCTCAGTTTGTCGACCTTGTCAGGCACTGCTGCCATACACAATGTAATCAGATTGTCACAGAGATCCAAAGCTTCTTTGATCTGACCCATCACAGATGACCCGATTAACGGCTGAAATTGAATGCTATCTAATATTTTGTTACACACTCGTTTCCTTTCGTGTACGATAGAGCGTGATACTGACACCATTTGCCAAATAGCTTGATGAGGGAAAGCTAGAACTACATTCGCAATAATATGCTGAAGGACCGCAAAGGCATCTGTGTTCTTGTGAAACATGCGGGAAATGATTTGTGGAAAAGCCGAAAGGAACTATTACAAAAATGAACAAAATGTCAGTGCTTGGTTATGCCTATCGAGCTTTACTGGCTATCATTATCACTAAATGGTTTTCATCTTACCATATACTCTGGAAGCATCCCTGACAGGTTTTGCATGAGTTTGTTGACATTCTGAAACTCCGTAGCGGCACTCGCCTGCAATACAGGACTGGTTGCTGGTCGCCCTTGTGCTAACTGGCCTAGCTCCAACCAAAATGTCAAAAGCCTTGGTAGCGCCTGAAAGAGGTATTTGGGACCGAGAGTCAAAGCTTTACCATAAAGTCTGCAGGCGTTTGTCATATGTCTAGATAAATGAATCCAACTTGAATTTAGTCCTGACCAAAAATAATTATCCACTAGACTGCTCCCAAAAGACTTACGTGAATGTTGGTATTCGATTCTTGTATCGCTTCGAATTTTCGTACAACTTTAGGAAATACTGACCAGCAAAGTAATAGCCTTTTTCCCAACGATCTGCCTCAACAGTTGCCTGTCGATACCCCTCCAGGATTTCATTTGGGCTAACCAAATTACCTCTGTCCATCCACCGTGTACGCAAGAGATGAGCTTTTGCCCGAATGTATCCTGTATCATTGGTATTGACAACATGGTCGTAGACACGCATAAGCTCTGTATTAAACGACGGTGCGCGATGCACGCTATTAGAAGCTTGTCTGAGCCGAGTAGAGGATAACGCCCTCGTCCCAGAGCTTTGTAAAGCGCTGGCCCCAGGCATTGTGCGACTGAGAGTCAAATCAATAGTTTTAATGGCTTGGCGCTCATTGTTGTGAATAAATTCGTATTTCGCTCGCTCAATTGTAGCGGATCGATTCTTCAGGCTCTCTGCATTGAGCATGGCAGCATAAGAGGCCTGACCATGACCATACTTGCGAGCCATCCGTGCAGACTGCAACCAAAGCTCTCCGCACGAAGCATTGAGGAATGACAGCTCCTCATGACTTATCGTATCCGGAATACTTGGCATGAGGCAAATATACACATATAAAAAAAAAATGAGACGAGTGAGGGTATGATTAATGTTAATGGAATTAATATACTACTGCATATCAAACATTAAATGCAATGATCGCTTTTGTTACTGCGCAGATAACTCTTGTACCAGATGGTGTAAAATGCAATGCGTCTAAGTGTAGACACTTGCTCGCGTAAGCGGAATGAAGGCGCCATAGATTCGAAGCGTACGTCAAGCGCGGGCTGATATTCACGCAAGCAATGTACAAAGGAGCTATTGATTTGATGGGGCTCAAGCATGACGTGGTCTGTTGCTATCTCGAATCGTTCATTCGCAATCTTGAATGCCTCTTCTAGTTCATGTAGCATATGAAGCCGCACAATATGCTCATATGCACGCTGGTAGGATTCCATGCTAGCAGCTGCTAAAGGTGCAATCATCATGCTCCTGACATGCTGTAAGTTTTTTTCAAAATCAGACACTCGATTTTCGCGCATATCTAACAGCAACTGTCCAAGTCCAACGTCAAAACTCGCATGAACAGAACGAGAAAGTGCTGCTTCAAGTGAATCCCAATTTTGCACCTTCCATGCTGACGAAACCCGCCATTCTGTAAGTTGCTGCTCCCAATCTGGATTGTCTTTTATGTCGCCTTCCACGGTAGATAACAGAGTGTCTATTTTCAAGGGGGAGAAGAGCGAGAGGCCATCATCAGTGTCACTGAAACTATTAGATAATCATTTAAATACACAGTGATTACGTTGATAAAAAACTTACTATAGTGTCCAAGGTTCTCCAGGCACTTGTAAAGACCAGCATGATTCTCAAATTTCTCCGGTTCTTCTTGTATACCAAGCTCATAGTACGATTGCGCTTCACTCCATCGCCCTGCACTTTCACATTGAAGTAGGTTTTGTGTTCGAGTGCCACTAGTAATCATGGTGGATATGCCCTCCATACCATCAGGCTCTTCCATATGTACATAAATTTCCTGATACTTCTCATACATCGTCTGGACATCAGATTCAATGATTCCACGATTCTGTCTTGTCTCGCGAACGTACTGTTCATAATGCAAGAGCGCCCGGGCATAGGCTTTTGCACGAAACGCTGCCATTGCAATTATATCATTTGAGATCGAGGTGAGCTGAGCCTGGACTACTTCAAGAGCCGCAATATCTTGTTGCCGCATTGAAAAGGGTTGGGGCACATCGGCTGTCGTGGTGTAGCGCATTACAGATGATTTTGCGCTTAGGTTCTTAGCAGTTTGGATCCACTTCACGATATGGTCGTAAAGAGCAAACACAGTCTGCAATGGCAATGGTAACAATAATAGAAAAGATCAGAAGTAAAATAGTGAATTTGAAGCACCAGTGGGCTATATGGCTTAAATGAAAAAAAAAAAAAAAAAAAAACAACTCCTTTACCTGTGATCCAAGCTGCCTAAGCTCTCCTGAATGTTGCTGAATGGCTCCATGGTTTTTATCCGCACCGTCCTGCCTCCAGCCATGACCATTTCCAAGTACGGTACCCATCTCACTAACAATCTCTTCCCTGTCTTTGTCGGAGCCATCGACTAGCACCGTAAGGACAAGGTGAGGTAGGATATACAAACAAGTGTTGGTGTCGTATGGAACAACATGCTTACATGCTTGGAAGATGTCCTTTGCATATCGGCTTGTCACCTTGCCAATTAGATCTAAAACCCATGTTGTGATCCAATCCTTGAATGTCTCCACTCGGGGATAGAGGGGACTTGGGTGTATTCTCTGGTAGGTTGATTCTGCTTTGGTATACTTGGCATCGATGAGTAGCTCCAGGACTTCTTGGACATGACGTGGAAAAGCTCTCCATCGGTCTCCTGGCGATTTTGCAGACGGCTGTCTTGCTGCATGCCCATGTGGCCTTGAAGGCTCGGCATTTAAAGCCCCTTTGGTGATGCCACAAAAGGCCAGTAGCGTCTGCAAGGTGTATGCCCAATGGGCCTCGGAATGAATATCGCCGATGGAGCGCGTCTTGCCTACTAGCTGTACCTCGATCATCTCACACACAAAGTTTTTTGCATCCTCTGGATCATGAAAGTTGACTAGTGCAGGCGGAGTCGGAATCATTCGCATTGCTGATAATTTGGCAGGATCGATAGCCCCAATGATACCCAAGCACTCGACACATCGGCGTGGCACTGGGGCGTCCGAGCCTCGAAACCTCCCGATCCCAGTGAGAAGTGCATGGATTAGCTCCCTAAGGACAGGATCAATTTGTGGCTCCTTGGTAGCGACTAACGACAATAACTCTTTCGTCCTGGACTTTAGGAATTGTGTTAGTTCAAGAAGAGCCTGTTCTGCTAGTTCTTCATTCTCATTACCAGAGCGCTTGATGAAGAGGCGAATCTGATGCTCAAAATCTCCATTTTCCTTAAGTGCCTGGATAAGATTATTCATCTCTAGAAATTCAGGGAGATTTGGAAGTGCACCCACTTCTGGGAGGATGTTCTGGAGACCATCTTGTTTGTGGAATACGAGATGCTCGAAAATTCTCAATATTACGCCCTTCTCCTTGGTGCTGGACTCACTATAGCGTTTGGTGAGTGTCTGAAAAATATGAGGAAGCATGACATCGAGCTGCTTGGCATCTACTAGGTTTACAATCCCATTAATAGCATGGAGTGCATGGATCCTCAGACCGCGAATATCTAAAGCGATGTTTAAAGGCGAGAATATCTAATATACAATCCCTTCTTTGTTGTTAGCGACATATTCCATCATTTTCTGACAGGCTTCCAACCCATGAACTCATATGATTTGGATTTACCTGCGACAAGACCGAGCTCTGGATCGGATTGAGCATATGCACTAAAAGGATCAGACTCCTAAGGGTTTTAGCCTTTGTTCTCAATGTCATAGTATTCATTCGGTCAAGAATAACGCTGTTGACTTCCGACATAATGGCAAGGACGTGACGCCGAAGGAATACCGCGAGAGAAGGTCGCTCGACAGCTTTCCCTTGAGCACCTAGCTTCATTCTTTTCCATGCATAACTCTCGACAATCTCAATCGTCGTTCTAGCTTTATCTCGCTTAGCTGCATCCTCATTACCAAGCTCAGCGCTTAGACAACATAAAAGTCCCTCTATCGATAGGGTTGTGAGCTCTACAATGTCTAGCGAGCGTGCTAAAGTGCCATCCATGTCGTCCTCAATCTGTATTATAAGCCCTCTCAAAAGCTCGATACAAGGCTGAAAGTTCTGTTCTTCCAGTTGTAAAAAGATGGCTGCCAAAATATGGTCAATTTGGCGAATGCATAATCCTCCCACTTTCTCATTAAGAGCAGCAGCTACTTTTTCAATGAGGCTTCCACTATTCAATAGAATCATTTTTGGGACAAGTTCCGATAAGTTTTGCTGCAGGAATCTTGTTGAACTGAGTCCAGTCCATGGGTAAAAAACTGATTCGAGCCAACCATCCTGTCCAGCCTCCAGCTTTTGGATAACGCAGGCACAAATGAATTCCATTTGGGGCTGAACGAGACGGAAGTTGGAAATCCCTCTGTCCTCAGCTATCATGGACAGCTATTAGGATGGCTCCATAAAGAAATGTCTTTGGTCAGTAAAAATAGTACCGTTTAGGCTTTGGAATATACATGGAGTTAACGCTACCTGGTCAAAGATAAAGCCTGCTCGGATGAATATGCTTTCTGCAAAAGCCTGGTCGATTAATTTGATGACTAGCATATGATAGGTAGCATGGTCCTCAGGAAGGTGACGAAGAATACGCCGCGAGAGTTGAAGCGGCCATGCTCCCGTTTGGCCACGAGACAATGAAATAAATCCCCTTGCAATTACCTCGTAAATACGCGTCAAGCTCTCATCGAAATTTGTCTGCCCTAGAGGATCATTCGCAAGAGCTACACCTGCTTTCATAGCTAAGCGCTCAACAACATCACTAACAAAAAAAAAGTCGGACCATAATGAATTTTTAGAACAACCATATTAAATTAGCAATGATCACTTGAAGTTGGCTTGGCTCTTACGCTGCAGCGCGGCTGATGGTATTATTTCCGTCGCACAATTGGTTTAACAAGTATTTGCCAAAGTCAAATGACCTCAGATCAAGAGGTTTCTGTTCTTCGTCAACAAAGTCAAGGTGACTGAACACGCGAGAGAGCCCTTGGAGGAGCGCCAGTCGAGACTCCATAGTAATTGACGTAGGGATCAGTCGCTTGAAAGGGTTCAGAAATTTGATCTCAAGACGTTCTGTCTTTGATACAGCATCAGGGCAGCAAACAACTCCTTCAGTAGATGAATCACAATCGGGACAGCTCCATTGTTGAATAAACATTGAAGAGGGAGGATCATATGTGAATTTGGATCCAGCACTATTGTGAACATTGGCGAACCCGCAAGATATCATTCCCATACAATAAGAAAGAGCTCTTTTAGTCTCTTCGGCCTCTTCATCTAGATTTAATGAACTAAATATGCAAAAGAAAAATATATTAACAATCTAAATATATTCCATCTTCGTTAGAAAACTGCCAGTAACGAGCCAAGTCGCACCTGATAGCGCATTCTACAGTAGATCTTGCCTCGGGGCAGTGAGTACTTAGTACTATCAGAGCGTCGAGCGCCGCAGTCTTTAATTCGAAGGATAGCCTTTGAGCTTCATCGCGGGACTGGCTATTGCTCTCTTTTCCCTTGAAAGTGTTTAGAATAGCATGGCCTCGCCAGATCTCGAGCTCGGGACAGTGAGGGAGCGTCGACATGACTCTTAAAGCTTTTGGCTTTTGAGACTGAAAGCTCTGGCAGGATTGAAGCATTTCCGAGTTGCCTTGAAGACGAGTAAGGACTTCGTGGCCTTCCTGAACCCCACAAATTGCCTTCACCAGTTGCTGTTCACCTAACATCCCGTCAATGTCCATGGTATCATTTGTACGTATCCAGAGTTCAGGTTTTGCAAGATCTGGGAACCATGGCCCAGAAGCCAAACAGATGAGTAGCAACCTCATTTCGTTCCTAAGAGCTGATGAATTGCAAAAAGAGCGATAAATAAGGAGTGGCATTAGTATTATAAGAAACAGAAGAAGGTAAGCATTTAAAATATCATATGGATACTAGATATGCTTACATATCATTGACAGTGGTGCTATGAGGTCTAGCATCAATGGATACGATGACTCAAGATATGCATCGTTTAAGGCTGCATTCTGCGGTATTCGCGTCAAGCAGAGAACAGTTAGAGTTTGGAGAAAATGCTGATCCTTAGAAGTCATCCTTGGGGAATACAATATTATTAGTATTGATATACCAGAGGTAACTATGACTTACCTGCATACCAGGGCTAAGTGACCATGTAATATAATTCCTCCCAATCTTTTCCACAAGGGCAACAAGTTGTTCGACATCCTTTCCTTCTTCTATAGATCCTTTCTTAAGGGTAAACATCGCCCAGACTTGAACGATAGTAGCACAAGATTTAAGGTCATCAACAGTGAGAGGAGGCTATAATAGATTGTTAAAATGGCAAAAAACATAAGCGTTACTGATATTACTTAGTACTCTTGCAGATATCCCTGACTTAGTTTTGTACCTGGATTCCACGTGATCCTTGACTTGTCGTTTGGCTAAATGTTGGAGTGTTGACAAGCATCTTCAGCATTCCAAGCAGCTGTGTTGAAGGTGAACGCCGCGGCAAAACTTCACTAGGCTGATACATGCGTTTGTATGGCCTTTGTGAAGGCTGAGAGTATGAGACTATACTAGAGCAGAGACTTGATTCGATTGACAGCAAGTCAGGAGGACTATCCCTCTTTAAACGTTTGCCCTTCATATCCAGATTCCTATGATGAGATTTGGGTGTAATACCAGCAACAGCAGCAGAAATAAGATATGTAGATCAAAAAAAAAAAAAAATGAGCTGCAGAGAAATCTCTCATTAACAGGCATAGACCTAAAATATACGGCAATCGATACACCTAGATCAATTGAGATCCATACCCATTTTGCATCTGGTCTTGATCAAACTCATCAGTGGATCTCTTTGCGGACGACGCGAGTTCACGTGCAAACGTAACAGGTGTTTTGGGACCGGTTCCTGTATAATTGTCATTCCAAACATCAGATCCACGTACATCTCTCCAGTACTCCAGAGCCGAGAAGATAACTCGGACTAATATGTCTAATTCCAAATGCTGAAAATGCTTTAAAATGTAATCAACTGCTCCCAACGGGTCACTAAATGCACCTGATGGTATCAATCTATGTAACAGTAAGAAGAGTACTCGCTATGGCAGCAGTCAGGCAATAAGGTCAGACATTTGGCCATTTATTTTATTCAAACTTAATGTTTTTGTTAGCTTATATTTATTTTGCTAACAATCGTTCCTCAACTTACCTGCACCCTCACGCCGCTTGCATCCTCACTTAACAAAAGTAGCTGATCAGAAAAGAGTAGATTAACCGCCAGCGGCCGTATTTCTTGAATGTTGCCTGTATCTGGAAATAATTCAAATGCACGACTTAGAACTTCAGTCAAGCTCTTGGCAAGAAGATCCTCAAGCGCTGCCATCGCTGGTAATTCCTTCCGACAGTCCTTGTAATTAATAGCTCGTGGTTCTAAATCCTTGGTGAGCGAAGCATCGCCTTCAACCTTGACCTTTAATGTCTGTTGTCGATTGACAATCCCTATTTTCCATTCATTACATCGATCCGCAACTGTTGTGACATGATGATGTAAAATGACCATAAGAGACCTCGCTAAAGATGGAACCAAGCGTGAATCTATATTTATGAGTTGAATTGTTTGAAGAACGCAATGGCTGCACACTTGGTATAACTGCATAATTGGTGCAGAGCCCATGGTTAATGTGCGATGACCATTCAGATCTTTCTGTGCAATAAACCCATTTGGAAGAAAAGTCTCAAGAAGGAGACGGACGACTGCCAGCAGCTCCATCTTTAAGTCTTCATCAGCTTTGTTTATCGGCCAGCCAGTTGAGTCACTTTTAGGGCTGACGAAAGAGATCAGATAGCATATGACTGTAATAGCGTCGTCTAGGCTCCCGAGCCGTAACGTCATCCACGTTGGGTCAGACTCCTGGCAAGGCAAGCGTCTGAAAGTCGACATTTTGATGGGACAATCGCACGGGAAAACCACGTCTTTCTGCCTTACAAATGCACATATCTCTAAAAATGAACGTAGTGAAATGATTTATATTCAGCTAGTTTTCAGCTTAGCAACTAAGGTGCATATCAAAATAAAACTTTGTATTTCGCATTTACCAAGTACAATCCCAAATATTGCTCTATCAAATGCACGTATTCTGGGGGGTATGCTCGGCACTGTTACAAACATACTACCTTCCTCTGACATGGACAAAGAATTCCTGATCACTTGTAGGCCCCTAATAACGAAATCACGATGAATTCCTGCCAGTGACGGGACGGCGAGAAGGGGTATTAAGTTCGCGAGAATTAGCCATTCTAATCTCTGTCGTGGTTTGTCCAAAAGAGACAAAGGCACTGGATGTTTATCTAAAGCAAATGCTTTGCGCGCATCTTCGTCCGATGCAATGTTGATCATAGAGCGGAGAGACTCCGTTATTGTCTTCAGCGCTTCTGGGCCAGTTTGCATGCCTGGAAAAGAAAAATTCCAAAAAAAATAAATAAATAAATAAATAAAGAATAAGTATCAAATAGCATAATAAGAATGCACAAGCATTTCTTCTAAGACATTGCTGTTACCATTGAGCATTGCAGCCAAAATAGGCCCCACGCCTCTTTGGGCATCCTCGCATAACAACTGCAACCCGGCATGGACTATTGGGATTGAAATTTGAGCCTCCATGTCATTGTGCGCCACAACATTTATATCCCCATGCATTTATCTCAAATCTATGAAACATACTATTGCCCGAGTTATCGGTTGAATGTCTGGCTGTAGACATGATGGTGCCTTTATTGCGTCCTTTTAATGCCCAGGACGGTACGATCGAGGGTCGATGTAGGCGAAATGTCCGTAGGTCCGTAATGCAATGTTACTTGTGAACCAGGTTTAAAATGACCCTTCAGTGACTGTCTTTTATATATACCATTAATTACGAGTTTTGCAATTGAGTTAATTATCATAATGATGATAATTACCCTATCAGTAGTTTGGAAGGAATGGAATTGACTTTCTTTTTATTCTTTGAAGGCCGCATTACTCTTCTTTTTTGCCAAAAAATTATCCACCGGCTGCATAGTATGCAAAGCGTCCAGGAGCATTTGGATCACCAGGTAATCCTTCCACGGGCGGCTGCCGGTTGTTGCCTTGGTTGTTGTTGTTAAGGCCATGTCTATTGTTTAGGTTTTGGTTCTGGTTTTGGTTCTGGTTTTGGTTTGCAAACCTGAATTGTCGAATGTACATCAAGTATCCAATGACCATACATAGCCCAATAATCACTAATGACTCTACCAAATCGTCCTCAAATTCTCCATCGTCCTCTCCATTCAGCCTTTGTCGGTGCTGGTGATAAAATGGGTCTGTCTCATCATATTCATTAGCCTCGTCCCCAGGGCCTGTTTGCTTCAAATTCCTCCATTTGTCGATCCCATTTTCACTAATCTTGTCAAGATCCCAGCTCTCATCCGCTACTTTACCAGTGTTGTCACTTCTAGCTCGCGTATCTATAGCATCTTGAGCACGGTTATCAGATGTCCTTAATCCAGAGCCTGGGGACGAAGGTGACTTCCCACTGATTGACCAGAATGAGGAATCCGAGCCAGTATCTCCCCCTGTCAAGTAATTCCAAATGTATCGTACGTTTAATTTTGCAAGTGAAAGTGTTACTGGTAAGCTTGCCCCTGGGTTTGTCGTCAGTGATCTATCGTACCATCGCTTTGCGAGATGAAAATCCTATATTTCGTTATTATTAAAAAAAAAAAAATAATAATAAAAAAATGAGTTGATGTACCAAGGCTTCGGATAAAGATACTAAATAAGGTCGATCCCTTAACTTTACCTTTGCGACACCAACACCATTTTCGTGCATCCAGCCAAGGTTCCACATTGCCATTGCGGAATTCTCTAGATCGGCAGCGACCTGATAACAGGAAGTAGCTTTCTTAAAATCCACCTCAGTACCAATGCCAGTGTAATAGTAATCGCCCATTTTGACTCGTGCGTCCACATCACCCTGATTCGCAGACCTTGTCCAATAAACGAGTGCCATCTCCAATAGTCGCGATGGAGTACCTAGGCTTACGAGCGCAGATTCAGCAATTGCGGCGAGTGCGGTCCTTGAAGGCGATGTTAGCATATTCATATATCGAGATGTAGGGAGTTCTATTCAGACATAAATATAAGATAGTTAAAAAAAGCTAAGCATGATAACTCAGGAAACACAATGGGTACTCAGAGACTATAGACTGATTGGCCTAATGTGTGCAATAGAACTCCTCAACCTACCTCGATCAACGATCCAAGCAAAGTTCGACTGTCCAACCTCGATCCCACGCTCGGCAACCTGAAGGTAGCCAATAGCAGCATACTCAATATCACCAGTCTGATAGGCATCATACGAGTCTTGGAAAAGTCTGTCGCCCCAGTCCCCTCGCTCAGCGACATATTTGAAATACTATTGATTGGGTAAATACGGCAAGTATCAGACCCCTGAGAATAAGAGAGCGATTGACACAGCCATACCAAAACAATCCCTATTAACACTTACTCTAGCAGCTTCTTCGCATTTTTTGCTGACTCCCAAACCATAAAAATGCATTTCTCCCAGATGATACACAGCCTGGAAATTCTGTGCCTGTGCCGCCTCGAAAAAATAGTTAAATGCCTGAGTATGGTGCTTCGGGTCATCTGTATACGACAATCAAGAATAAGCAAGTGTTAGTCATTAAAAATCAATGCTTCCAACCACCATTCGTAAGCTTGGTAAAGGCAATAGAGACTTACTAAGGTAGATCAATCCCATATTAACCTGTGCATCTGGGTATTTGAGATCTGCTGCCTTCTTGAAGTACTTAATCGCCATCTCATGATCAACTGGAAGTCCCGCAGCACCTTTCATGTACATAGTTCCCAGCGCGTTGAGAGCTACTTGATTATCCTAATAATACGGAGAAAATGTCAATAATGCTTAAATCATACAAGCATAACCATCATCCCTTATGGAAGGAAAAAAAAAAAAAAAAAAAAAAAAAAAAAAAAAAAAGCATTAAAGTAAATGGATAAGACCATATTACCAACATGGCGCCTTTCTTAAACCAGTTGAGCGCCTGCTGCTCATCCACCTCGTATCCTTCGCCACGCCAATACATTTTCCCTAATAAGGCTGCAGTGATACCCGCCGTGATGATCATGTCTTCGATTTCTTTGGTCCTTGGCTCCTTAGACTCTAAAATACTGTTTGCTTTTCCATTGAAGAAAGCATCTGCTACACGCCTAAAATACATCCCCGCCTTTTGATAATCGCGAGGGATGGTGGTCGTAGCTCCTGCATTGCCAGTATAGAAAAGAATGCCAAGTTGATACTATTATACATAATAAAGGAGACATGTCAAAAAGATTGCAAACTGTAATATCGATTGCTGCCTAAATAAATAGAGCACCTTTTTTTCTGTACCTGTGCATTTCTGGCCTGAGCATTCTGACCTTCAGCAATAAAGCGATGAAACTCAATAAAGTCTTGAATATCGCTATTTATGTTGTTCTTTGATGGCTCCCCTGGCCCACTTGCTCCTGCGCCATAAGTGCCTCCTTCAGAATCGGTCAATCTGACTTTAATCGGAGGCATAGTCCGTCCCAGTGGGGGTCCACTCATATACATTGCATAAGCTAAATTTAAATATGGTGAAATATGAAATATTAAGATATAGAACATATTAAACAAGGCAATAGAGGGTAGCCTACGTGTATGTATTAACATAATAGCCATACCTTTATCCGCTGCCCGCTTATAGTAACTCACTGAGTCTTTACAGCTCTTTTTAGTCCCAATGCCTAACATGTACTTGTATCCAAGAGTTAATTCTGCAGCCGTGTTGTTACCCAAGGCGGCGAAAGTGGTGTAAAGGACAGCCTTGGCCTCGTTGCGCTCTACAATATTGCCAAGCCCAGTTGAATACATAAACCCAACCATTTGTTGTGCCGTTGCATTTCCAGACCGATCAGCCAGCGTCGCATAAATATCAAAAGCTTGAGATAGATCGCGCTTGGCCTTATAATACCCATGCTACATAACGTAAATACAGAAATATGTTGTAAGTGGTTTCTTTATGAGTTATTAAAAATATGAATGTATGTCGTCCACTTTTTTAAAAAAAGTCCAAAAAATCTATTTGCTCACTTACAAAGAAAATATTGCCTAGAGTCCAAAGGGCGTCGTCATTATCATACTCATATCCAGCCTTTTGTAGCATCTCCATTGCCATTGCGATCGTCGGGTCCCTATGCCGCTGAACGATCGGTGCATTTGCCTTTGCGTTAGAATCCTGCTGTGTTCTTTTTCCCTTCTCCATTGATGAAGATGAAGATGTAGTAGAACTATCTTCAGGGGCTGCAGCCGGTTTGAAAAATGACACGAATCCTTGTGTAACCAACCGTAATGCTGTTGGGAGAATCCCTTTTTGTTTTTGCAATTCATTCGATAAAAAGGTCCTGGCAAGCGACGACTGCTGCTTGACAAACATACGCTGATTAATCTTGATGGGAGACGACTCCAGAAGTTGGATAGCTTCTCGATACAGTTTTTTGCCTATAGTGAATAATAACCGTTGACCATTAATCCTACGGTAGTAGCCAATGTAAACCACCGTCAAATAGTTTAAGCAGTGATTGTACCTGTCTCAAGTCTGTCCTGAGAATCTGCATAGTCCTGAAATTTTTCAACACCAAGATCCAATTGCTGAATTCCAGAGTCAACTCCATCTTGAATAGGACTGTTGGCACTCACAACCAGAGTGATAGCCATCAGGACTGTGAACATTAAATAAAATAAATAAGTAAATTACTACTGTCCACGGTTTGTATTGTCTGATTTCTGTCTAGCAACTTCAAACAGAGATTCATAGGCAGTAGACAGTGGCAGCTTTGATACACAAATGCAGCTAGAATGCCGAGCCATTTACCCGTAAAGCCTAAGAGTGCTCGCTTCCGAGCAATCTTTCGTGTCATTTAGCCAACCACTTGCTCTTGTCGTAATGTTGTAACGTTGAGTAGTCTACGTTGCACTGCTTTTGTTGCTTGGGCCTATTCAAATATCCGATGGGAGGAGTTGAGTGGGGTAACGTTGAAAAAGTGATAGCTCAGAGCTTAGCTGTGATGCGAAAGGTAAAATAATGATTGTTATTTTCGCAAAGCTGATTGACCCACCCATTGAATGAGCAACATATTACAATTCTGCGGTGGCACTCTCGTATTCGCTGACATCGGTTATTCGTAAATGTGACTGTGTTACTGATTCAGTTTCCAATCAAAGTCGGCTTGCGCCCAAATTTTCATTCTGCCTCACCTTGAATACATCGATATCATATATTTATTTATCGTAGGATATCCTATGCTAAGTATCCTTCTAGGCATGTTCGGCCTCATTCTAGTTTAACATTTGGTCACCATGCCTGGAGCATTCAATGCATCTGCATGCGAATTTAGACGTCCAGAGCGCTCCTGCTCGAGACATGGGGGAGGCTTGAGCACAGTCCAATAAGACGCATTGGCGTTCTACTTCAATATTATACTAATACAATCATGGGAATTTAGTTAGAAAATTGGCACCGTGATATGTCTGTATGCTGGCATCAACACGTTCACTGCTGCTCGAAGGAGATTGACCAAATCCCAGCTATTCAAACTAGAACCAACGCATTCATATCTTTAAATCCAGACTCGACGACTAAAACTCTAAAATGCTTGACATTTCTGGGAGAAACTTTACAACTCTGATGCAAGTTAGCTATATGCTCCCCATGGCTTAGTTGATTAGGAAAAGGGTACAGTGGAATCTCGATAATTGTACACTTTTGTACAAATTTCAAATTTGATATATTTCTAGGCCATTGGTTGGCTAAGAGCCTTACTCTTTTAAAAAAAAGTATTCTAAAAAACCCACACTCAACTGGAGTAGGGGAATCGGCAGAGGATTTTTAGAATAGTTTTTCATGAATTGTGGGCTTCTTAGCCAATCAATAACTGAGAAATATAGCAAATTCGTAAATTGTACAAAAGTGTACAATTATCGAGATTCCACTGTATCAACTGTTCTGAATAGCCTATAGTCCTCACATCCGTGAGTACATATCAGAGGAATGTATTACGAAGGGCCTAAAAATCGTAGAGATCACAGCCCCAGTTCTGTTGTGGACTAACCGTGGCCAATAGGATCACTGCTGTGTTTGCTTGCGTCGGTTAAACATTGCCTGAGCATTCTTATCGAGCATTATCTTGTATAATTTCTTCACATGTACATTTCGGTCTTGAAAAATGAAATGAAGTCTGTGCAACCAGTATCCAGTTGGTACAGCAGTGCAAAACAATGTTGTTACAAACTCATAATGAATCGAGCGAGCCCATTCCAAGACACCCTTGCGACGAATGGGATGATGGCGTTTCTCTTCATTCTCATTTTTTTGTCTACATCTGCTCGTCTTAACGATACAATTGCTTTTCAACTTTGTCTGCTACCAAGAAAATCAACAAAATAATTTAAAATGGAAGTTTATCCTTCTCAACCACCCCCAATCAACTCTGATGGGAAAACCCCGCATGTGATTATTGTAGGTGCAGGTCTTGCAGGCTTGTTCTTGGCCATTCTCCTCGACCGTCAGGGCGTCCCTTATGATATCTATGAGCGGAGCAAAGAAGTTAAACCTCTTGGTAAGAATACTGGAGGGTAGAAAGATTTCAATCTAGAATAACTACGCACTTGTATTTTATACAAAACTAAACTACTTTCTTGTGGATAACTTTCCCTGTAGGTGCCCTCATGAGCCTGAATGCCAATATCCTACCCGTGTTTGAGCAATTGGGCATTCTTGATGAGCTTCTTCAGGTCTCATTTCCAAGTGCGGGGTTTTTCATCACTAAGAGTAACCTCAAGCCAATTGCATCGTTAATGATTAGCAATCAAGAAAAGCTGTAAGTACCATCAAGGTCTCTAAAATTGGACTGAGTATCTCCATATATTTATAGAGATATATTTTACTTTGATCCATAGATTTGGTTACCGATATCTCCTCTTTGCTCGCCCCAAGCTGCATGACATCCTACTGTCGCGCGTGCCTCCAGAGCGAATCCATATGAACAAAAAGGTCATGTCAATTGCACAAAATAGTAGACAAGGTGTAATGATCCGTTGCAGCGATAATACAACCTATCATGGTGATATTCTTGTTGGAGCGGACGGTGCCTATTCGGGCGTACGTCAAAGTCTTTATAAGATGATGCATTCAGAAGGCATTTTACAAGATTCGGACACAAAATCTCTAAGTATGAACTTCACATGCCTAGTCGGTACTACCGATTCTCTTGACCCTGAAAAATATCCAATCTTGAAGGAAAAAGAAGCAAAGTTGCACCAAGTCATCGGCAATGGGACGCAATATACAGTAAGTATGATCTTATCTGAACTTTTATCTGTACTCTTTATATTTATACTTGGAGAATAAATCTTTTTAATGACTGTAACTATGATTAGTGGAGTGCCGTTAATGTCCCAGAACATCGTATTTGTTGGAATGTTGTCTCTCAATTCCCTTCTGCGGTTGAAGCTGAGGACGAGAGGTTCCGTAATTCAGAATGGGGGCCAGCAGCTAGTGAAACGATGACCAGTGAAGTCAGGGACTTTTTGCTTCCTATCGGAGGCACTATTGGCGATCTCATCGATGCAACGCCCAAAGAATCAATCTCGCGTGTTTTTCTCGAGGATAAAATCTTCGAAACCTGGTACCACATGCGGACCGTCCTTATCGGAGATGCATGCCATAAGGTAATGCGCATTAAAGGTGTTGAGGAGTAGAGAGGAAGAAAAGATATTTAAACAATCATTTTGTTATTCAAAAAAAAAAAAAAAAAAAAAAAAAGCTTCTTCCTAGTGCCGGACAAGGTGCAGTTAACGCATTTCAGGATGCAGTTATTCTTGCCAATTGTATCTATGATTTAAAATCCTTGGCCCAAGAAGATATTATAGCGACATTCAAAGATTATCGCGATCAACGTTACCCTCATGTCATTGAGCAATACGAAGCTAGCAAAATGAATGCCAAAATTATCTATGGACAGGTACAGGACCTCTTACTTTATAAGTGCTTATGCTCGAAGGATTTAAAATAATAATAATAACATGTTTGTTTAATACTGTCTGGATTTTAGAAATTGTCGGAGCGTGTTATTCGTAATATTGTACTTAACTATATGCCCAAGTCTGTTCAGGTTAAGAATGCGGCCAAAAACATGGCATACAGGCCACAGGCCACATTTCTTCCACTGCCGCCGAAACGAGGAATCAGTCCAGTCCTCCCACAGAAACCTTCAAGGCGATATATGGAGGAACAAGCAAAGCTAAAGCAGACCCAGGTCAAGTAGATTGAAAGTACATCATTAGGATAGGATATGAATACAACTTCTGTATCGCACTTTCTTTTTTTTTTTTTTTGGGGAGGGCGGGGGCAGAGCCATACAATTGCACGATATATCGCAAGGGTCTAGAAACCACACGTTATAAAGAAATGTAAAAAGAATATAAATACTATGATTTCGTCATTTGGTGTGGCGCTGACTGTCCACCAAACACCTGGCATATGCATGAATTCTTTACTACTGGCGTCCGAGCACTGGTATTCATGTACTCTATTTTATTACAACATCGAAGGCGCCAGTGACTTCTCAAACACTGCGGTAATAAAAGTGAGTTCATAAATATAACCTTCATCTCATTTGACAATCGCACTTTCAGGCTCTACCGCTTTCAGATATTCCTAATCTTGGTGACGCAGTCGCTGCATCGATACATTTTGCCTCGCCGTCAATAACATCCTTTTGCTGGTAAGTTTATTTTAAACTGATGAATCGTCCGCTCGCTACTTAAACAGGACAAAGCACAGGGAGCAAATAAAAGGGCAGAGATGATTGAGGTAAGTAAGTACGAATGCACCAATCGAGGATTTCAGGGAGTTTGGTCACGCTTGTTGGGATCGTATCATATTTTAGAGGCACTACAAGAGCTCTTGGATCGACGCCATGCGTTGTGAGACGTTATATGTCCGTCTTTCAGATGTACTGTGTGTTATGGGGCTTTGGAATGGTAGTCGACGAAGCGGGGAAAAAAATTCTCATAGAAGGGATGATTGAAAAAAAAGAGTCGCAGAAATCCATTAACAAAATAAAAATAAAAAATATACAAAATACATACTAACAAATCTTTAATCATACTTTTCAAAGTCTATAAAAAAAGTAGAGCAACTATTCATGCTGATGCTGTTGAGCCAAAAGCTACTCAGGAAGACGTAAAAACCGTTTCTTGTATATACTCTACTCTGCGACTCCTCGTTCAGTCATCGTCACTAATGTCCACATACATGGGCTTCTTCGATGTGGCCCGAGCCCTAGATGGTCGTGATACAATCGCCGATACGTTGTCCAACTCTGCCAGTAACTGTGAGCCTGCCCCAGACGTCAAGGATTTGACGGGTGATGATGACGACGATGAATTGAGAGTCTTGGCGCCAGCTACTGCTCCAGTCGAGTTGAGCGATGTTGACGACGATGATGGTTCTCCATTACTACCACCACTACCAGCATTGACTCCTCCTGTCAATGATGTACTGCTACCATTGCGACTCGACATTGGAATTCGCTTCTTTACCTGCGATACCTTAGAGGGTACCATAATTGAAAACATTGAGTCATCATCCGGGATCGCTGGTGGTAAAATTGTTTGTGATTTTGATGCTGAAGGCGTCGGCTTGACCTTGATTGGATTTCGAGAAGAATTAGCATCATCATCAGACGCGAATCCTATCCCAACTTCGTCCGCAGCATTGTCATCCTGCGTCTTGGCAACGCTGCTTTCATGGTGAACATCATTGCCTTCTGCCATATTAACATCTTCATCTGGATGATTGTCATCAGCATCGTCCTCGTTCGACAAGGAGAACATCTTCTTAGCCGCACTGACCGCGGCGCTACGACCAGGAACGGGTGGTCTGGCAGCCTTAGAGGCCGCGCGCGGTGTTGCTGTCTTCTTAGGCTTATGCTCAACATAGTCATCTCCGTTTTCATCATCATTGTCACCAACAAAGGCTTCGGCATCGCCATCATCATCATCATCATCCGACAAGATCTTTCGACTTCGTGCCTTGTTTGTAGCTTTGCCTTTTTGCTTCGATGTGGTAGCCTTAGATGGTTTATTTCCATCATCTCCACTCAAAGTTTCATCCATCGCTGCCGGCGAAGATTTTTTCTCCTTCTTCTCCTTTAGACGCTGCTCTTCCAAATCAACACTTTTCGTGGGCTTGCTAACAGGAGGAAGTGCATTCATTGTAGTAGCCTTCTTTGGTGATGGTAAAAAGCTTTCTTCAATATCCTCTTCATCTTCTGTGTCTCGATCTACAATTGCAGCCCGCTTGGCACGAGCAGCTCTCGGAGCACGTGCTTCACGAGGTGCTACAACAATATCATCCATCTCAACGTCATCATCATCATTAATCCGGGAAGAACCCCTTTTGCGAGATGATCCAAAGTCGCTGTCACCATCAGCTTCATCTTCACTATCCGAGATGACCTTTTTGAGCCGACTCTTGCCTTTCTTCTTTTCAACTGCCATCTTCAACGGCTCATTCGCGCTTTCAGGTTCGCTCTTCACCTCTGTCTTGACAGGAGTTTGTGCCGCTTTACTCTTCATCATGTCTACGATCGACTGTTGTTTCTTGGGTACTGAAGATGAAGTGGAAACACTAGAGGGAGTTGAGGCTCCAGATTTGGTAAAAAAATTAGAGATCGACTCCTCTTTAACTTCCGGCTTCACACTCGGTAGAGATGACTCGTTTTTGGCTGTTGTTATTTTCTTTGAAGCGGGGGTCTTCTTGGGCGGCTTGTCCTCAAAGTCGTCATCATCGTTAGCTTTCTTGGCTGACACCTTCCCACTCGTAGCACCAAGAGTCTTACCACGACCTCGGGATATTGGCTTTTTACCTTTGTTACCGCTTCCCATGTAGTTAGCTTCGTCAATATCAGCCTGTAATAACGTCTCCCATGCTGCCATAAGCGCGTCCAGATCCTCATTCCAGAGATCGTATGCAGACTTGTCGATCAGCAGCTTCAGTTCCGCATTCTTCATGTCACGCTCCTTCTTGAGTTCTTCAACTTTCTCGTGGGTCAGACTCCAGATGGCCATCTTGAGAAGATAATCAAATTCGTTTCCATTTTCAACCTTGGGTTTAACGGCGCCTGGGTCAGGAACTACTGCCTGATCCACCTCTATATCTAAATCCTGGATCCTTGTGAAACCTTTCATATGCATATCCTGAACAATGAGTGCTTTCTTGCGGTTTTGGACTTGAAGTTCACCAGAAATAATCATCAAAATGAACCGGACCTTATTATCGAGACGTGTCCATTGTTTTGTTAAAAGATCAATGAGGTGGTCCTATTAATGAAGAAAAAAAAAAAAAAAAAAAAAAAAAAAAAGATAGAGATCAATTATGTCTTGATGTCAGCTTCGAATTCTTTGGAAGTATTACAAATGTATAAAGTTTTTTTTTTTTTTTTTTTTTTTTTTTTTTTAGCACACCTTGCGTCTGCGGTAGTAATCAAGTCGGAGATCATAAAACTCCTGCACAATCTCCTCAGGCGATGAGTACCGTTTAATGCGTCCTTGAGGATCGAAGCAGACCATATTTGTTGTCGAGATGCTACTCGTGAGCTTGAACTTGGACTCAAGACCTTCTTCACGAGCCTTACGCATTTGATCCTGCGTGAGAGTGATAGACAGATCAATACTTGTGAGAGTTCCATTGTCACGGTAGTCTTTGACCCATGCTGCCTGTTTTTCAGTCCCGGAGATCCAGCTCTCCAGTTGCTCTTTATAAGGCGTTGTCCATGTCCGGATGGGCAGCTCTGTGATCCGAACCGTCGTATCATTAAGCTCCTCAATAGTTCCAGAGACCTTGTACTTGTGCTCCCCCTCCTTCTCGACCCGTCCCACAAAGCCACGGTACCATGGCATCATTGGTACTTGCTGCTCACCCTTCATCAGTCGACGGATATTGGCAATGATATCCATGGGATTGTAGTTAGGGATGGTAGAGCTCCATCCTGTTCCAATGCCCTCTGCTCCATTAACAAGGACCATGGGGATCACAGGCATATACCACTCTGGCTCAATCCAATCACCATCATCGTTCAAGTAAGTTAAGAGGGGGTCATCATGAATGTGGAAGATACAGCGGGTAATGGCTGGGATCGCTGTGAAGATATAACGGGCACTGGCAGCATCTTTGCCTCCTTGCATTCTGCTACCAAATTGACCAACGGGTGAAAGTAGGTTGATGTTGTTGCTGCCTACGAAATTCTGTGCGAGGCCAACAATTGTCATTGTCAAACTTTGTTCACCATGGTGATATGCGGATTTCTCAGACACGTACCCAGACAGTTGCGCCACCTATGCCATAATAAGTTTACAAATTCGAGCACTGGATTAGATTCATTTTGCTGGTCAATCACATCAACTTCCTCCATAAGTTTGTAAGCTTACTGGAGTAACACACGTACCTTAATCTCTCCAGCAATCTTTTTCTTGAAGGCTCCAAAGATGACCTTTCGCTGACCTGGCTTAAGACCGTCAACCATTGAAGGAATTGAGCGGATATTGTCTGCCATTGAGAATAAAATCAGCTCTTTGTTGATAAAATCCTCTATCGGGATCTCGTTAATGGTGGTGTCCAAATATGTACCAGGCTAGATCAAAACATAAATAGAGCCAAGCTTAGTTTCAGAAACAAGCCTGCATCTTGCCAACAGCGACTATCATATAAAACTACCCGAACAAAACATACCTGGAATTGACTGAGCCATTCCTTGCGCTCGTCAGCCTTCTTCTTATTAAAAGCCATGTCAACTAGAGCACGAGCATGATCTGTTATAGGAGCAAATTCCTTCTTATGCTTCTCCATATGGCTGAAATAATCCTTGGCATCCTCCGTGGTGCTTGTTCCCAGACCTTTATAATACTTGATGTTCCAGCCTTTAGCGCCATCTACAGATTCTTTCCAGGCCTCATACTCTGGGATAGTATAAAACGAAAGCTTCTCGCGACCTTTTGTCGCCTTGACAATAGGCGTGATAAACTCAACCAAGAAGCCAGGAATCTTAAGAAGTGAAGGAAAATAGTGATCCAAGAAATTGATGACAAGCCCCTTAATGTGAGATCCATCATGGTCCTGATCTGTCATGATCATAAGATGACCATATCTCAATTCATCGATACTGGTATACGTCTTGCCTTGCTTCAGACCCAGGATTTGCTTGATATAACCAATCTCCTTGTTAGTGGAAACAGCGCTAGTTGCTGTATCTCGCACATTGAGAAGCTTTCCTCGAAGAGGAAAGACTCCGTAAAAATCGCGTTTGAGAACACTGTATCCTGACATGACCAGCGATTTGGCCGAGTCTCCTTCTGTGAGGATTAGAGTACAGTCTCGTCCTCCACGGCCAGCCTTGTGCGCATCCTCAAGTTTGGGAATATTAGTGAGACGCTGTCTATTCGACGAACCGTCCGTCTTCTTGAGCGCCAGAGCATCCTTGACATTAGCCCAATTGACCACACCTTCAACAATAGGTGACTTGATGATCTCTTTGATGAACTTTTCGCTGAGTTCGCACTTTGACCCGAAGGCTGACTGCTTCAATGTCATGTTTTCTTTTGTTTGAGAGTCAAAGGCTGGGTTCTCAATGAGGCAATTGATGAAGACCCAAATATGGCTCTTAATGTGGAAAGGCTTGACATTGGTCGACTTTGATTTCTTCTTGACTACTGTGACAAGCTCCTTGACGATCTGATTCGCCACGTAATCCACATGAACACCTCCCTTAGAAGTCGAAATGCTGTTCACAAAACTGACTTGTTGGAACTGCCCATCACTTGGAATGCAGGCGATCTCCCACCGCGGATCGGGTGTATCATAAATAAGCTTGGGTTTATCCTGGCCCTCTGTAGATTCCGGTATATACATCTCAATATACTCCTTAAAGTTCTTGATCTTGATGCGCTCTCCATTCAAATAGACTTTGACACCTTTGACACAGCCCGCCATGTCGTATGTTCGTTTTTTCAGTAGAGCTTCTAGGTCAGCATCAATACAATCCATGCTAAATCTCTGAAAGTCAGGCTTGAACGTGATCCTGGTGAATTCTTCTCCTTTCTTCATAGGTGAAATCTTGGGTTTGCCTGTAATGGACATATTCTTGTTGAAAACCTGCTTATAAGTGAGACCATTCTTTTTATCTGCTGTCTCCACAATAAATTCTGTGCTGAAAATGTTGCAGAGCTTCGCTCCATATCCATTCCTTCCTCCTGTAACCTTTTTCTGCGAATCGTCGTAGTTTGATGATGTGAGCAAATGTCCGAAGATGAGCTCAGGGACATAGCACCCTTCTTTTTTGTGCATCTCTACAGGAATCCCTCTCCCATTATTGTATACTGAAATCTGCCCGTTCTCCTTATCTATGTCAATTTTGATAGTGTCCATATTTGGATCTCGAATCTAAATATGTATCTATTGTTAATACCAGTCCTCATTATAAAACATTACTAGAATACATGAATTACACGTCAAAAATAAAGGTTGTATTTGGCAGATATACCTTGTTGTCGGCTGCATTAACAATGATTTCATCCACGATCTTATATAGACCAGGAACAATACTAACTTGCCTATTGACGAACTTTGTAGAGTCTGGATCAAGTACCCAAAGTGTTTGTTGATTCATTTCGGTTGTACCAATATATGTGTCGGGTCGTAGTAAGATATGTTCCAGAGGAGTCTTCTTTTGATAGATCTCTTCGATGGTGCGGTCCTCATTGTATTCAGTAGTCTTCTTTTGCGCTTTTGCTGGCGGTGGCTTTGGATCGTCATTTTGACTATTGTTGCCATCACTGTTCACCTCTTCGCCAATAGTGCTGCTATCGAGCTTTCGCTTCTTTGGCGCTGTACTATTCAGGTCTACCTTTACTGATTTGGTTGCTTTCGGCTTACTGACTGCTGTTGCCTTCTTTGGTGCAGCCTTTGATTTTACAGCCTAATAATAACATAAAAGAAAATTCATAAATCTCTGCCAACAGTAAGTACATTTTGCGAGAAAAAAAAAAAAAAAAAAAAAAAAAAAAAACTGTTTCCATATAAAACGAGATGAAACAGCTTTTGAGGTATTACCTTTTTAGTGGTCTCTGGCTCATAAGCATCGCTGTCATCTTGCGACATGAATGCGTCATCTCCACCGTCAGACATTGTTGCTGTAACTCTAGATCTATTTCGGATAAATTGGGATATGAAAGATGCTTTCAATGAAAATGCTGTCAACTTTAAGGGAGGATTGTTAACGGTGTGTGGGAGAACAGGTGAAGAGCAAATTTTTTTAATTGGTGAAAATCATGAAAACTTTACAACGCGCCCAGGGACAGGTCAGGGACGCGATCAGACTTGATTCGTTCACGTGATTTACTCGTTGACTTACGTACATGACACGTAATCTCTCTTATTCTGTCAAGTTTGCCCTTATCGCTCTCCCCAAAAAACCACTCATCATCTCACCAACTTTTCATACACACTTCTAAATCCCATTATGTTCATTATCGAGTGGTTCCGTGATGTGCTCTCCAGCCTTGGTGAGTATGGTTGAAATGAAAAAGATTACACAAAGAGCCTGACAGTCTCAAACATTCTAGGTCTGCATCATTATGCAGGATCAGCCACGACAAATGAATAAAAAGCGCGACCTTATCAGTAACCAGAACTATAGCGAAAGGATGGCGACACGCTTATCTCGTAAATGGAGCACAAACGGCCCTTTTTTTCTTTTTTTTCTTTTTTGTTGTTGCTGTTGCAAGAACTTAAACAGATCAAACAATTATATTTCAGGATTTGTCTTTTTTTTTGAATGCAGCAATGGTGTGAGAGCAAATTCTCAGAGTCTTGAACTTGAATGATACTGACTTATGGCCATGTACTAGGGAGAAAAATTATATCTATAGTTTTCACCAGGACATCTCTTTTAATACCATGTTCCATTGCTGGATGACAGTCCTTAGACACTCGGAAAAGATGAACCGATTCATATATTACTTCATTCTTAAACAACCTATTAACGCTCTGTGGGTTTTCATCTTTATCTCAACAATTATATGCTTCATCGATAACTAGGTCTGTTCAACAAGAATGCCAAGATCCTCTTCCTTGGTCTTGATAACGCCGGAAAGACCACCCTTCTCCACATGCTGAAGAATGATCGTCTGGCTACTCTTCAACCCACTCTTCATCCTAGTAAGTAAACAGTATCTGTGGCCCTGATGTCATTTGGGCCGTGTGCTCCTTGCACTGACATGTGTCAATATATGATGATGATGCCTAATCATGCACATGATTTTTTTCTAATACTTTTTTTAAAAAATACTTGGCTCTTCATTTATTTTTCAGCCTCCGAGGAGCTCTCGATCGCCAATGTCAAGTTCACTACTTTTGATTTAGGTGGACATCAGCAAGGTAAGGTTAATGCCTAATGTAAACACTTTGCTGTTAAAAAATTTTTAGGGCGATCATTAGATGAATTAACATTTCTTATTTCTATTTGTACTAGCTCGTCGCATCTGGAAGGACTACTTTGCTGAGGTCAACGGAATTGTCTTCTTGGTTGACACTCAAGACCGTGAGCGTTTCCTGGAGTCTAAGGCTGAGTTGGATGTAAGAATCTAGTGTTGAATAAGGAAATATTTAATGCCAAGACGTGGAGCTTTCTATTTTGTAAACCTATTAACCCCGTTGTGTTGCGCGTATGTTTATTCTTTTACTTTCTTAATTCATTTTCCCTATCAACTGTAGGCTCTTCTTGCCATCCAACAATTGGAGCGTGTTCCCTTCTTGATTCTTGGAAACAAGATTGATGCTCCTGGCGCTGTCTCTGAGGAAGAGCTTCGCTCTGCTCTCGGATTGATTCAGACGACTGGAAAGGGCAAGGTCCCATTGAAGGATATGCGTCCCATTGAAGTCTTCATGTGCTCTGTTGTTATGAAGCAGGGATATGGTGATGGTATGCCTAGATTTCTTTTTTGCCACTGCCCAAAATCCTCTACGTTTCACGTTAAAATAGTTGTTTAACTCGTTCTTTCTCTCATACCTATTTGTAGGCTTCCTCTGGATGTCCCAGTACATCTAAGTCAAAAGAATGATTTGTTCAGTTCATTGCAGTATTTCAGGTCGACAATACATTGCTGAGCCATACTCTGTTTTGTTCTTCTTTCGGCCGTTATACTATATAGCCACTGTTTCTCTTCCCTTTTGCTCTACCTTTTTTTTTTCTTTTCCCATCCTATAATACAAATCGAATTATGAAAACAGTTTTTTATATGAATATTACTCTGCTCATATCTTTTACAGGCGATATGAAAATAGTCAACTCCAGCTAAAGGGGGAAAAAATGAGGTTCGTGTGGACATTAAATACTTGATTAAGGAGAGCAACTGAGCCAGTAATTCTGGACAGTTTAGTTGGGTTTAGAGTATCATTGCAAATAGGACAAATATTGTTGCATGCCCTTGTTATAAAACATGTGTATATTTGTATAGAAGCAGGAGCCATTAGAATTTTGAGAGAAAAACATCCAACGAAAAAGGCCTCAAAACCGTGGTAGTTTTTATGGCTGGGGAATGAGGAAATTGAAGAAAGAGCTTATCAATATGGACCCAAACAAGAGACAAAACGCTAGAAGCAACTCTTTTAAAAACTCTTTGCTGTTTAGATTTTACCGCATTGGTTCTTTGAGACTCAAAAATTGTCCCTGTTCTCAACTCAAGCATCCTTTGGTACTATTCAGCTGTCAATGATGGTACGGCAAAGAGGCGTAAACCTGTGTATGCATGCTTATAATAAAAGGAAGGATAGTCTTCAAAAGGATACGATTTATCGTTTTTGGAAAGCTCCCTCAAACCCGCGTGGAGCGCTACAAATTGTAGAACTGCTTGTTATAGACGTCGTCTATAGTGCTGCGCTCTCCATTGACGCCTTGTTGTGAAAGCACAGGCCCTCGAATTCTCTTAAAACGAATCAATAGGGGCCATCTTCCAAAGACTTTTCCTGGTGTAGGGGAGGCCTTATGCAAAGTGGCAGAAAGATGAAGGATCAAATCTATTGTTTCTGCGTTGGAAAATAAGTCAACCACTTAGCTCCATGTCACGCAACTTCACCTCTAATTGAATGCACATGATTCGTTGCTTTCATTTGACTGATTGGAGCCATCTTTAATTTGACAAAGTTAATCTATTTTTCATTTTTGAATTCATTTCTTTGAAATTAAATTTTTCAGCATGACACCATAAGACATGATTGGCATTTTTTTTTAATAAATAAAATCAATTTCAAAAAAAAAAAAAAAAAAAAAAAAAAAAAAAAGGACATCCAATGAAAATAGTAATAATATACAGGGGCATTTTGCATGAGAATAAAAAAGAAACAAGATATCATTTTCATTGCTGATCCTCCTCCTCATCCTGTTGCGATGATTGTTGGGTTTGTGGTTCTTGTTCTTGCTGATACTGCTTCTGTTGCTTCTGTTGTTCGTTTTGTTCCATCTTTGCAATCGTAGCACGACGTTTTCTAGAAAAGTAGTCGACACTGCGTCCATCTAGTTGGATATGAAGGGCTGACATGACTGCCTCAGAAGGCGTCATTATCGTAGCAGAGCTGCGTCTGTTATTTGAGTGATGACGGCGTGTTGCTAGAGGCCCTTCACCATCCTCTCCCTTCTCACCACTCTCGCCTCCACTAGAATCACGTCTTCCTTCTCCAGCTGCCATGGCAGCTTCCATGGCCTCTGTCTTGGCCTTGACACTCTGTCGCTTGTTCTGGAACCAAATCTGCACTGTTCGTGGACACATGCGACACTGCTTTGACAGACGCAGACGCTCTTCTGTGGAAGGAAAGTATGAGCGCTCAAATGCCGCATTTAGAACAGAGAGCTGACTGGCGTTAGCCCTCTTGCGTTTGGCCTTAACTGCATAAAACTCATCATCCATTACAATTAAATCCTCGTCGTGGCCTGGATTTTTGATGCGCTTTGGTTTCTTAGATTTAGATGACTTTGGCTCCGCAGTGTCGAAGGGGTGAACAGATTGACTTGCGGCCACCACAGATTTGGATGCGCGCCTTAAGGGTGATGAGTGGTCTCCATGGCTGTCATCATGTCCATGTTCATGATTGTGCTCAGCCGAAAGATCTGACGGTGTAGAATATCCGTTGTAGGCAGCAGATTTGTGATGTTGAGTGTGACCCTGATAGTAATCCTGGTGTTTGGGAGGAGGAGGAGGGACGCTATGTGCATAGCTCTGGTACCATGATGGAGGCTTGATATCAAAATTAGGTGATTGTGGACGCGAATATGGTCGTGATTGAGAATACAACGAAGAGGAGGTTGAAGATGCCCCATGATTAGATGACGCCTTCCATCTACGGTTTTCATAGTCATATCTAGGCCTGTCTATGTCTGAGGACGGGTAATGGTGGCTAGATCCTGTCGAGTAACCATACGCCTGTGATCCATATGCAGCAGCCATAGAAGATACATGATGACGGGAATAGCCGTCCGCTTCCTGTCCCATTGGACGCTTACGTGTCTCCTCTCCTTCTGGCTCATCTGGAATACCCTGGAGAGGCTTTGAATATTGACTCGATCGATACGAAGCCGAGTGTGATGGTGGGGGCAGACGTTGTGGGATATCAGCAGCGTCAATACCATAGATACGCCTGGGCTTTGATTCCACTGGTGTATTCGAGTAGTTGGATGGATAACGTAGATGTGATGTTGATGAGGATACCAAGGATGGTGACGAGGTAGACTTGGAGACAGATGAGGAAGAAGGGTAGGGTGGTGGAAGCATACTTGAGCCGGAGTACGTGTATGGCCAATTTTCATTCGGAGCATCAATGGGGACAACTCTGGTTGTGCGCGGCTGAGGTGACCAGTTATCATCAACAGTCGAGTCACGGCCATAGACCCTGGGTGGTTTATTCTCAGCAGCAGAGAGTAACGCCTATGGAAACCATAGAAATACGAGTTGATTAGTCATTTTGAATGCCCAGATTATGCAAAAGACATCTTGTAAGCCGGAACAAGGATTGGACAGGAAGCATGTAATTGGAAAGAAAAAAAAAAAAGAAAAAAAAAAAAAAAAAGTAGCTTACGGAAGGCGGAGGAAGAAGGGGACCATGGTTCTGTTTTCTAGATTGGTCACCTGAGTTCGGTTCTGTGGTTTGTCCATGACTATATTCATGCACAGGCCTCGAGGAAGATGAAGTGGATAGTCGGCCATTGCTTGAAACGTCATGAGTACTCACGCTATTACTTGAAGAGTAATTATATGATGGTGTGGAAGATTGAGAGGCATGGAAATAGAGCGAAGAAGATTCTTCGACCGGGATGGCGGGCTTTGTGGATACTGGGGTCGAAGAGGAAGAAGAGGAAGAGGAATTGAATGTCTCGGAAGAGCGAGGCTTGCTATGATGGAAGGCAGTGCTCGATGGAGGCGAGGATGGAGCGCTGTATGGGCCATAATTCTGTTGATGGAGCGCATAATCGCTTTTTGAGCGGTCTGGTTTCCGATGATGGTCCTGCTCGTATGAATAGCTATAATCTTGGTATCGATCATTATTCCAGGAGGCGGAACGTTGTTGTGGGCCTGGATGAGTGGAGCGAGGTGTAGTCGAATATGGGATGGACGAGGATGGATAGTGCCGCATAGAGGATTCAGGGGGAGAAGCCGCTGAAGAAGATGTCGGACGGTTATTGTCTGAATGTGCATGTGAATATCGGTCAGGATAAGAAGGCCTGAAGGAAGAAGGATTCGCGCTATCCGAGGCTCGATGTGCAAAAGCTGGTTCTCGGCCGTTTCTATCTGAGGGTTGTTCATGGCTTTTATCCTTCAACGTGGTAGAAGGATAGGAACCATCGCCATGATCATCACCGTTGACGCCATAGTGGTTGTCTCGTGCAACGTTGTGCCCATGATTGTATGAAGAATGATACTGTCTTTGGGTTCGAGAACGCTGGTGATCAGGATTTTCTTCTTCTGTAATAGCACGGAGCTGTTGTTGACGATGGTGACCATTGTCGGCAGCAGTGCCTTCAGAGCAGAGGAGGTTTGCAATGTTTATGCGTGAATGATACTTGTCCGACGGTGCGGATGACGCATTTTGGCGATATGGCAGGTGATCCTGGTATTCTTCGCGTGATTGCATATGATCATGACCATAGAACTTTGCAATGGCCGACTTGATGGGAAGGATGGGTTGATCGAGATTAGCAGTGTTATTAGTCTTGACCTTGACAGGATCCATGCATGAGAATCGAGGGGACGAGCTCGAGGATGACAAAGGAGAAGAAGGAGAAGAAGGACCAGGTGAGTGGTTGTGAGAAGAGGAGGAGGAGGAGGAGGAGTTGTGAGAGTTAAGAGAATGATGGGCACCAAAGGAAGGGAATAGGGGTGCAGAGGGGAGAGGAGAGGACACGAGAGTGGGTGAGGATGTGGGCAAGGCAACCATCAGTGAGATCAATAAAGAAGAGGGAAGCCAGCTTAGACAATGGAGGACTTGAAACGAAGGATATGGCGCTGGAGGAGGGGATGGGGAGACGGGGGATTGGGGGACGAAGTGAATGACAAAAAAAAAAAAAAAAAAAAAAAGCGCTGTGTTGTTTTTGTGGAGGAATGAAAATGTGTACTTCTTATTAGTAACAGACTAGCGTGCTTTGAGATTCCTTCAATAGGTCAAAAGACAGGAGAGAACAAGAAAAGTGAAGGAAGAAAACCAAGAGTTCAAAAGAGACAGGGAGAGAAAGAGAAAGAGAGAAGGGACACAGAGAGAAGGCAAAGTGTATCAGTTATTCAGTTGATTAAGAGTTGTCAGAGTCAGTTATCGAGTATCAAGGAGTGTTTGACTAAATGACAGAGTGAATGTGAACAGAATGTGGAAAGAAAAGGAAGAGAAAGGAAGAGAGAAAGAAAGAGGGAAAGTAAGAGAAAGAGAAGAAAAAAAAAAAGAGATGAGCGTGAGTATTGAGGAAGACATTTGAGAGCAATTGAACCAGAAAAGAGTCCAATGTCACATCAGCCATGGATAGAACAGTATACGATACAACCATTCAGCCATGCACCATTCGCATATATTTCTGTTCATACGGACACACAACACATACACAGATGCATATTTATACCATTGCACGTACACTTCACATTTGCATGCAAAAAGCAAGAACAATGTAAACCCACTGCAGGATATATTCGTGCATAAAGTAGAGAAGATTGAATACTATCTTTCAAAAAAGTGAAGACCTTCTCCTTCTCCTTGTGATAGATGAATGAGCCGTCATCGGTCTTTTGTCTCTCTCTCTCTCTGTCTGTCTGCCTGTCTTCACACATTCCTTTTGTTGTCTGTTTTAGTGTATGAATATGAAGTAATATAAACTTGTTCGTCTCGAGAGCAAAATCCTGTGTGGCTGGCAAGATACTAAACAACAGACACTTATTAAATGATTCTCAATATGTCCTTTATATTTTACAATAGTACATTTTCAATAGGCACTCCCTGGTAGACACTCGCCTCCCTGACGTTCTTCATTTATACATATAATATATATATATATATATATATATATTTATCTTCCTGTCAGGCTTCAATGATTCCTGCACAGAATGATAAAAAAGGGTGCGTGAGCTTTTTAAAATGATGAGGACGCAACAGAGGAGATGGACAAAAAGAAGTGAAGAGTGATAGCACAAGAATGTCATTCGCAACAAAATGATGGACACAAGAAGAGGACCGCTTCTGTAACCTAAAGTCACACACTTATTACATTATAAATATTATATTTATATAAATGTATATATATATATCTCCATATAGTGTCGTTTGTCACACTTTCTAGTAGATATCATACATCTAAACAAACATCGCCATTTCTCTCCTCGACCCAGCATCATGGATCCTTGTCGAAAAACAAGAATGCGCCGAGCAACTGAAAAAAATAAAGATTGTGAGAAAGTAGAACCATCTTCAGATGTTGTGTTCTGTTTCCTTTTCCGCAATTTCCTGAAATACTTTCCTTCGTTGTTTTCAGACCAGACCATTCCACTGCCCATACCTCCTTTTTTTTTTTTTTTTTTTTTTTTTTTTTCATACTCAAATGGCCAGACCACAAATGAAAACATTGGATGAACGAATTTTATTTTGTCAATCTCATGTGCCCAATGATGTGAACACTACAAAACAAAAGGAAAGCTTGTCCTCGCTTTGATTGCTAAGCAAATGCTCTTTTTTTTATATTTTGTAATACACAAAATTATAGAGTTGTCGATACAGTAATGTAAACCCGTCTCCCTCTATTCCATTTTAGGGATTTATCCAACAAATGAATATTTTAATGAACATTAAAATGAATTTTTAAATGAACGCAAAATGAAAGTGAAAGAATAAAGATGGAGGTCGAGATCCCTCATAAGCCTAGGCAAGGGTCATTTTTTTTTACGAGAGATAGTCTAAGCGGTTGATCCTATTCATATGACATTAATAATCTAAAGGCTATTCTGCATGCGGTTTCAATGAATAATCGATCTCTCTTTTTCTTGACTTCATGGACATATTCTCAAAATTAAAAGGAGAATAAATATTATATAGTAACAGCTGGGCCAAATGCACCCAACGAGGCAGGGGAAAATAAAATAAAAAAAAAAATAAAAAAAAAAGAGAATGAGAACAAGTACACAGAGATCATAGGATCATGCACTTTTCAAGGCCACTTATCCAACTATGGCTACTCTAATCATTGCCAGGAGAAAGACGGATTCTCCACCCATCACAAATATATTATCTTGTAAATGAAGGTGAGAAAGAGAACTTTGCATAGAAAAATAGTGCTGAGCGGCAACTGCACATTGAGCAAAAAAAAACTTGTCCACCAGAGCAACTGAGTATTCTGGGTAATTTTTTTTTTTTTTTTTTTTTTTTTTGGTATCCGCTCACAGATATGATATGTGTACAAGCAATAATATCTGCATCGGCGCTTAGGTCCAAAAGAGAAACATGGCGGCTCATCAAACCATCGAAAAAAGGTTTGTTTTGTAACCCACAAAGTATATGAATATTTCGAGAGATCCACCTCCTTTTTTTTGTGTAATGTGTTGATCGCCACTGCCTTCCCTTTATTATATATTAACTAGGCTACTCTAAATTAGCCTGAAGAATATTATTCATGTAGTCAACATGTTACAAGCAGCAAAAACAAGGGCGTGACAAGAAACAAGGTTTTTTTTTGTGTTTAGAAAAAAAGTGGAAAAGAGAGAGAGAGAGCAGAACGGCCAAGAGCTGCCTACTGTGCTAGACAAGAAGAAAGAGATCATTAGAGGCTGAGAGCGTGTCCAAGAAGGGAAATCGGAATGTATGCATTTTCAAAGGCAAAGAATCTTGCAGGATAAAGACTTTTGTCCCAAGGAAAAAAGACACGCATTTCTGTTTGTCGGAAAACACCAACACATCTGATGTTTGATGCTTAAAAAATATTGGATCACAAAACCTTTTTGAACATCTGGTTTGTGTTTTTATTTTTGTGGGGAAAGAAATGCTCAGTGATTTATAATAGCACCATGTTTGTAGACGACATTGTGTGTTCATCAAGCATATCCATATACATGCTGTATCTCTTTTCTCCTTTGTTTATGAATTAAAGTTCAAAAAACAAATATGCATGCGCGTTTTTTTTTTTCTTTGTGCAAGCCAAAAGTCATCATCGTGCGGAACTAATCTCATAAATCTGACCCTGCGTTTTGCCCTACTAAAAAGAAAAAAGAAAAGGGTTGTCAGAAAGGTCATGACCAACCTTTATCTCGCCCCCGAGTACTGTAGAAAAGTAAAAAAAATAGGAATAGCCGAAAACGTCTTTTTCCATACCTTTCTGTGCCAAAAGCAACTGCACAAAGAAGAAGATAGGGAAGTCAAGCTGTTGAGCGGATAAAAAAAAAAAGGGCTTATGCAAAGCTGACTTAAAGACTGAAAATAGGATGCGTGTGCATAAAAGCAACTATTGACATATTCAGTTACATTGATACGACACAAGGAGTAATATCTATTTCATTTGTCACTCAAGAGCATTTTTGGCAGTGATCATATTTATTTACTGAATCCATACTGACTGGCGACGTTCAAATGAGCGGTTGTGGAAGAACACGAACAAGGGAGAAATCGCCACAACCGATCTTATTTTCTTATCGCTTAATATATTATATTAAACCACTTGTGTGTTCGTACTCTATCTGACTACTAAAAGAAAGTGAATTGGATAACAGGGGTTTTGTGTCCGTAAATGACTATCCAAATTTCTCCTTAGACAACAACCATTCCTTTTCAACGTTTATCAAGCAAAAATAATGGCTATCAGAACGTATTCAAGATGCGTGTGCTCAAAGGAAGGTTATATAGACCTTGACCCTGCCTGATCTGCATTCAGGCAAACAAATATCAATCTTCTCAGCTTCATAATACCAAAATACAGTAAAAAACAGGTTCAAATCTTCATACTCGCCCGCCATGATTCCTTCATGTTTTGTCTAGGGGACAGAGAGTACAAAAACGTAGAAGTTGAGCACAATGCAGCATAAAAAAAAACAATGCACCATCACCAAGAGAGAGCCTCGTTGTAAGAATGAATTTTTACATTTATTTTTATACACAGCTCATAACTGATTGCTAAGTCTATTGTAAAGCGCAATGGCTGAGATAATACGGCACTTCATAAAAAAGAAGGTTTTATTATTGAGAGCCAAACGTCAATAAAGAGAGATGAACATCGCTCAAACAGCCAACCTTTGGCTCATTTGCATGAAAAAGAAAATAAATCCGGTTACGGTCACAGTTGCTTTTTTTTTTTTTTTTTTTTTTTTTTTTTTTGGCCCAAATACACACCTTGATCTTTATCACAGATGCTTCGCTTTTCTTGGCCATCATCAAATCTCAAATCTCGTTTGGTCTAATCGGGAAGAAGGAAAGTAACCAACTGCTGCATGACATGTGGGTGTGTGAACTACCATTCTTTTTGCAAGACGCGTCTTACCACGGCACGTGTATGTACTTTTTTTTTTTTTATGATCCTGCATGAGCTTTGTCACCCTTGTTGCATCCCGGAAAAAAAGAAAAAGAAAAACAAATAAACAAAAGATATCCTATTTACAAAGACACGTTTTTTACGACCAAGGATGGACTAACGACATTTTTTATTTTTATTACTGTGATCCATGCTCTCCTTTACCGATAAAATCTTTAGTCTAACCCCTATACTACATTGCGGAACACAAAAGAAAGGAAGAGAGCGCTCCGTTGTGCAAATATCTTACTCAAGACTGCTCGAGATCGCCATACAGACATAACGCTTTTTTTTTGTTATCGTTGTTTAATTCCTATTGATGCTGTTATCATTTTTTGTCGGTCTTATCATCAACACATACTGGAGACACTTATTGAATATATAGTAACAACCTGCTAAACACTTTTTTTATTATCAGTTTTCGTCTAGATGATTGATCAGTATAGAGGTCCATGTTTACCAAGGAAAAAATAAAAGGCCGTGTACTCGATAAGCAAATACTTTGACAGGATCTAGCAACGGGCATTCCTTTAATTTATTTGCTCTTGCTCTTGCTCTTGCTCTTGCTGGCCTTGGGAACAGTAATGGTGATGGACTTGCGTTTAGCAAAGAGTTCGTGGCCATCAGCATCATTCTGTCTGGGGAACTCGCCGATAACAGAGGTTCCAGGACCATAGTTAGCAATCAAAGGTCTAACACCCTTAAGCTTGCCTCCGTTCTTGCCATTGATCTCAATATCGACACAGTTGGAGTATAGCTCACGATTACCGATAGCATTGTTCCACAACCACATGAAGATGGCCTTGCCCGAAGGAGCATCCTTGGGGATCTTGACGTTCACAGAGTATTTCCCTCCATTGGGAACATTACGAAGACAGTCACGGACCAAGGTCTGGATGACAACCCAAGTTTTACCTTCGTCGTATGACAAAGCCCATTGGCAATGTCCGCCACCGTGAGCAGCACCGATCTGATACTCGGTCTTGATAGTCTGACCGGCCTTGTAGAAAGCGCGCTTAGATTGGACATCGGTATTCTATTTTGAAGGTTAGGAGGAATAGGTTGAGTAAATGGGTTAGCGATTCGAAAAAAAAAAAAAAAAAAAAAAAAAAGTCACGTTGTCAAACTCTTAGTAGTACCTTGCACAGAGGACGACCGATGTGGTCGTTGGTACCAATGGGCGTGGTGATGTCATAGTCAATGGTCGAGGCCTTGGGGCATCCAGCGAAGGGAGCGCCACGAGGGCAGGGGGACCTGAGGGAGACGTGAGCCTCAGAGAAGACAGTGAGACAAGCCACAGCAGCAGCGATGATGGCGGTTTTAGAGAAGATCATTTTCGCGTGTAGGTTTTTTTTTTGAGGAGGGCGAGAAGATTGAGAAGAAAGTTAAGCTGCGAAAGGAAGAGGCGTGTGAGGATGAGGATCGTTTTATTCTTGAGTCTCTGCAAGAGTGAGGGCTACGTTTAGTAGTTGGAAGGTGGTTGGAGTGTTTGACAAAGAGACAATAAAAACGGGGAGTTGTGGTTCTTTTATACTTATTCCGGAGTGCTCAACTCTGGTTCCTCTAGTTCATGATTGAACACTACTTCGTTCATATTGAATGAGATTGTGGAGTAGGAGACAATTACAACCGCTTTTTCAACCAATAATTGCATTGAATCTCCAATGTACCTTGGAAAGAGGAATGAACATGGTCTCAAATGTCCCTTGCAGATCCAAGTAATTTCTGCAATATTACCCTCAATGCTCTCAGCCATTGTCGAGGTTTGAAAGTATAATATTGGCCTAAATTATGAAAAAAAAAAAAAAAAAAAAAAAAAAAGAAATGCTCACGAAGGATATTGACTATCGTAACAATGGCATGTACATTGTAAAAAAAAAAAAAAAAAAAAAAAAAAAAGGCCTCATTTCCCATTCTTCGGCAAGGTATATAATGTCTTTACTTCTAGAGCAGCTATGATGTTCCAGTTTTTCTTCTTGTGCTCTGAAGCACAACGATCGTGATACTAAATATGCAAGCCATATTCTAGGCAATCAAAAAATCTCTTTCGTAACGGTTAATGTACATAAAAAGCGCAAGCATGGACGATCCTTCTGGGAATGTAAAGCTGCTGTGCTGCCCTAGTAACTGTTTACAGTGCGGTGCGCCATGAAGAGCTAAAAAAGAATTTCATCAAATATGGACCAATGGTTTTGAGCAGCTCGGGAAGGACAATGTCAGAGAACGCCCTCAGGTAGCAATGTCTCATAGTTATCCTCAAAATAAGTTGAACAAAAAAGAGACATGCCTCATAGAATTATTCGTTTTATGACAAAGAGGAATGAAGATGGAAACCCCTTTTATCTTGTACACCCGAACATGTGTATATCTGAATTCCGATATCAAATAAAGATGAACCTGCATTATCACATTTATCGCAGTTCATTAAATTATTGCAATCTGCAACAAAGCTCAGTGGAAAGGGAGCTGTCACTCATTTTAGAGCACAATTGTGCTTGCTTTACTTTCAAGTCTTTTTTTTTTTTTTTTTTTTTTTTTTTTTTTTGCTTAAGCTGAAAAAGCCTCTGGACGTAATTACATCTCTGCACCAAAGACTAGCTCATTCAATACAAACAATACAAGATAGAAAGTCTGAGAGTAATATATTAAGTTTGAACTTTACGAGACCATTATTGATCCAATACAAGACTTACTTCCAAGGTGTTCATTCCTTGCTTTGTCTGATACAAAACTGGATAAAAACAATGCATGCAAGGGACTTGAGAATAGAATTGCTTTACTTCGTAATTTCTTTATATTCAGCTCATGCTCAATCTAATATTAAAGAACAAAATTGCAATTTGGAAAAGAAAAGGTCTTACACACCACTGATTATATTACTGTGAATCTTCTTAATTCATTATTTACAAAGCCTCTTGAGAATATTTTCTTCCTGATGTGCCAACTACATCTGCATCCCGCTTCCGTGCTTCTTTCGATTGGTTCTTACATCTTGTTCAGGTTCCAAGCTCAATCTAACTTTTTTAAATAAGAAAATAAATAAAAAAAAAAAAAAAAAAAAGTCTAGAGGCATCCTCATCCATGTGCTATTCATGTACTGTACCATTCTCCCTCCATGGTTGTTCGCAATTATTAGCTTCTCGCTGCAAAAAAAAAAAAAAAAAAAAAAAAAAAAAAAAGCTATACAGGTTTGATTACAATTGTTTTAAAAAAGGTTGGATGACTTTGATATAATAAATTTAGCATACTGTGGTATGGCCCGGTTCAGATAATAAATTTCTTTCGCCGAAAGCACTATTGTAATTTACACAAAAGCCTGCCATTTCAAAAACGAATCCTCAGTTAGAAATCTTTCAGCCGGCATACAAAACCAATGCTTTAGATGTTAGAAATAAAAGCGCAAGGCCAATCTTTGCTACCCGTAGAATATATTTATTTATAATTGGGTGTGGCGCTTTCAAGAGGACTTCTTTAATTGCGACAAAGTCAGTATCTACACAAAATGGGTGGCTAATTCGATGCTTACGGAATGGCTTTTAATCCTTAATTAATCCTTTCAGAATTTCAACACGCTCCACTCATTATAGATTATCTCCTCACTTCCTACCGTTGGATCAGTGAGAAAAAATCTACGGCCCCAGAATGCTACAGTGAGACACTCCGACTGGATCTGTTATGTTTCCAGGAGCAGCCTCTGTTGACTGGGAAGCCTAAATCGCCAAGGGTTAGTCAAAGTCAATCGAAATTGCTGCAGCGTGTTTATATAAGAATGGCGTATGGTTTCCGGGCATTACTTTGCATCGACTCTATCTTGTCATAAGGATAGGAAGGCGTTCTCTTTCTAAAACATCAGATCTCCTGTCAATACTATAGGTGTTATTTAATTTTTTAACTAAGCCTTACGATAATTATTTTCTTTTTCCCACCTATCTTCTTATTATTTTTTCTAAAATGACGCGAATGCTTCTTGATAAGTAGAACGATGCTCTATATAAAGGAGTTCAGCATCGTTCAACTAAGAAAGCGTACGGGCCACTCGCGAATATCAAAGACTAGCTGTAATTGAACTGCATAGGTTTGCTAACTTACTAAAGTTGCTCAAAGCAAGTCTTTGCAGGCCCTTCTTGTTGCCCAATAGTATGAGTCTAGTAATGCTATCCCCCTTCCTGTACCTAACACTGTAGTCCAGTACGGCATAGTTTTTGGTATTTATACTACCAAATACATTGCAATGCTATTAATATTTAAATTCATATCCAGTTGCTCGGAATGAGGATGATACTTTCGCATATACTGTACAGAGGGACAGTCGTGTCTTCCGTCGTTCTTCCTTTCAAGGCAACAGGCATAAGATAGGCTAGTGATCATTGATGTTGTATTGTCGATGCTACAACCTGTGAGGATTGGTAAGTAGCGTTGAATTCCTAATAGAGCTGAAAAAAAAAAAAAAAAAAAAAAAAGAGAGAGAAGAAAGGATCCTGGTTAGTTGTTCAACCGATGATTAATTAGCTAAAGTAATAAGGACCTGATTAGTTTGTAAAAGAAATATTCACTAGGTTTCATGAGAGGGAAAAAATTTGAGATAGCCCGACCTTCTTCTTGCTGGGATTAGAGACATTGAATACTCTGAAAAGAGTTTGTTATAGGCTTCTGGCCCTTTCGCTAGCTCCTTTTAACGCTTGATTCCTTAGAATTGAAAGGGTGCCTTTTCCTTGATGAAAAATGTGATAAGCGTTGGGGGGCGTATAATGTCTAGCAAAGAAGCATGCTTTTGCAGTTACCTCAGTCACGTATCAGTATGTTTCCTGTGCCTGTATATGTAGGCATTTGCCCCTGGGTTTAAAGGCATATATTTATGATATCCGCGACCTTTTTGTCTTGATTCTGACCCTTCTGATCTTAGCATACCAATCAAGACTAGCAAGGCTTGATGGTTTTCAAAAGCGCATATAGGCTCCGTGTTATGGCGCAGAGCAAGATGCTTTATTTAAAGGCAATTAGCCAGCATGTAGAGATATATATATTCTTTTGTAATATTAAAGCTTTAGTTTGATTTGAGGTGACAGCTAAAAAAAGTGACCCAAGATGGTTCAAAATCGCGTAATTTGGCTGTCACCAAGCCACGAATGGATTAAGGCTATCCATGTTCTGTACACTAGGATAGGATGACGGTGCAATGTACATACTCGGGACTTGTTTTCATGCTCCCTCAATTGCCCTTACTCTAGCAACGACATTTTTGGTTGGCAGTTCAAATATCATGTCAGGATGGCGTTTTTTTTACAAAACTGGAGGAAAGTCAGAGTTTAGCCTGTTGCTTTCTGAAAAGCACTCGCAATACACACGTTTGTGTCACTTTTTAGTGAGTGCTCTTTTTAGAATGAAATGTCGTGATTTATATCCTAGAATTGTTCATTTCAAAATAGTGCCTATCTCACAGTACACAAATGGCGCGTATAGATATACTCCATCCGTCCATTCCTTCTGTTGCGCGTAGGTATCACAGTTTCAGTATAAAAAGGTTTGGTATTGATTCCAACCTTCTTTTACACTTTGTCTTTTCAAAAATAAATTAAAATAAGTCTACTTCCGTAACAAAAGTAGTTCCTATTGACCTTGCTATACCTTTATATCAATATAGCTTCACTTCCCCTTTAACCATCAGCTCCCAACCACAGCCCCACTTTCAACCTCAGCCTCACTCCTTGACTTTCATTGCCCTTTTACTCCTTTTAGGAAGTCACCATGGTTAGCCCTACTGTTGTCGAGAATGGTATTGTCGTCTCTGCAGGCGAAGAGGACTCTACTTTGGCGGATCGTAACACCCATGCTACCCGTGTCGCTGGCAAAAACGCTGATCCAGAAAAGAAGGCTCTTTTCGCCAGCGTCACAAAGCGTATCGATTACTCGCCCAAGCTTGGAACCGAGTTGCATGGCATCAAGTTGTCAGAGCTGACAGAACAGCAGAGTGAGGAGCTCGCTGCCTTAATCTCTGAGCGTGGTGTCGTATTTTTCCGCGACCAGGATGATTTAAACTATAAGGAGCAAGTCAAGCTTGGAAGACGTTGGGGTAAGGAAATAAGAAACAAGAAAAAAAAAGATGAAAGAACAAAGGATGAAGCTATTTTGTCAATGGCTAACTGGTTTTACGGTGTTTCCATCTTGCGGTGACAGGACCCCTTCATGTTCACCCATTCGTTGCCAGGAATCAGGAGAACCCTGAGGTGATTGTTTTGGACTCTCGCTTGAGCCCTCCGACACGCTTCAATACCAACGATTCATGGCACTCCGATGTCTCATTCGAACCCGCCCCTGCCTCGTACTCAATCCTTAAGTTCGAGGAAATTCCCGAGTCCGGTGGTGACACCATTTGGTCGAACGGCTATGAGCTCTATGACGACCTTTCTCAGCCTCTCAAGACTTACCTTGAGAGCCTCACGGCGACTCATTCATCCGATATTTTCAAGCTTTTGGTCCAGACTTACGGGCGTAAGACATTTGGTAGGCTAAATGATTCGGTTCACCCTGTCATCCGAACTAACCCTGTAACGGGGTGGAAATCCGTCTTTACAAACCCAGTCTTCACCCGCGAAATCAATGGAGTGCCTGCGTCAGAGTCCAAGTGGATTCTAGAGTATTTGAGTGATTTGATTGCCAAGAAATTGCAGTACCAAGTTCGTTTCCATTGGGAGAAAAACAGTGTTGCCATCTGGGATAACCGTTCCACTTTCCACACTGGTGTACCCGACTTCAAGCCTTATCGTCGCAGGGGTGTTCGCGTGACAGTCTCGGGTGAGCATCCTTACTTTGATCCTAGTAGTGGAACACAGGCGGCTGCCTGGGAGAGTACTGCAAAGCTCATTGTTGCAAAGCAGGAGGCAGCAGATAAGGCAAAAGCTGGGGCTGAGGCTGAGGCAAATGCATCCGCAAAGACCGCGTAAAACACAAATAATTAAGAGGAATGAGATTTTATCGGCCAGTAAGAATAGGTCAACACCCTCTTTGTACATATTCTACTCTTTTTTGGTATTGAATAATAAAGTATAGAGTGCTTTAGCAGTATATATATATATAATTTTTTTTTTTTTATTTTTTTTTTATTGGGTGTTCTAGAGATCAATATCTGCTCTATATCCACACCCAAGAAGATCCATAACCACCTTTTACCCATCCACGACTTAAACCATGCTTTACTCTACTGTTAGACGAATTATTAGAGCCTGGGAGAGCAATTTTACGAGGCTCAAGTACATCGCAAAGATCTTCTATGCTTCCAGTACCACAATTGCCATGTTCATTCCATCCCCATGCATAGCAATCACCTGACCGGGTCATAGCCAAGGTATGTTCTGATCCACAGCTGTATGAGACAATTTCTTCACAAGTATCTTCCCTATTCTGCGCATTGTCTAGCGTTGGTGTCGATCTTGAAGTTGGTATTCGCACTTGTACAATGATACTTGATGGTATTACCTGGCTTGTACCGCTCAGATTTACATTCACAGAAAAATAGGGTCTACCGCTGCCGAGCTGTCCATGATCATCTCTTCCCCATAGATAAATGCATGAGGACCCACCTTGTGTAAACGGGCGCGTGTCCATAGCAGCATTATGATTCCAGCCACAAGATATTGAGTCAACATATGGCAAACCATGGACACACTCAAATCCAATCCTGAAGTCTTTCCCCAGTACTGATGATAATGATGACGCAGATGGAGAAGCGGAGGATGAAGAGGGACCCAATTGGCCGTACTTGTTCAAGCCCGAAGCGTAAACAGTGCCATCTGAAAACAAAACCAAGGAGTGGTTCTGCCCACAAGCCATATCTAGGATCTCTACTTCTGGAACCGAAAGCTTGGAGATCAGAATACGGGTTGGCTCCATAAATTTCCCGCGTAGCTCCTTTTCTGTAAAAGACAAGGACGATGGCTGAACATCGCCTACTACGTCTGTGTTTGATGGTCGCTCGAGAATGCCGAGTTGCCCCTGCCGATTACTACCCCATCCTACCAAGAAAGTTTTACTTTTTCTGCTGTTATTGCTGTTGATTGACTGATCTCCTTGCATAGCGGTTTTTTCCTCCTTGGCCAAAAGTAATACATGTCTCAGCCCAGCTTTAACCTTGAGAATTTCCAGCGGATATGAATTTGAATTTTTGTTCAAGAGTCCCGTCTCAATTTCAATAGCTTTACGACCGGATTTTGTGAGATGAGGTCCAAGTCCAAGTTCACCAAAAGAGCCAGAGCCCCAAGCAAAGACCTTGGATGTTGCCTTCTTTTCATTTGCTATAGTCCCCTCAATATCATCGTTGGCGCCATTGACGAGTTTTGATTCAAAATAACCAGGTTCAGTAACAGCAATTGTAAATGCCCATCCACAGGCAATGGATCGCCATCGCTGTTGATTTTGATGTTGGTATCGATCCTTATGCCTTGTTTTGTCACCCCATTGCTCTTCACTCTCCTCTTCCTCCTCTCCCTCCCCAGACGGGAAGGCTGTTCTATTGGCATGAAGCGAAAACACCTGTGAAGCTTCTGAGAGAAGTGTCTCACAGTCTTTGTTGGATCCTGTCATGTAGAGTGTTTGATTTCCTCGAGTTATAATTGCCGTATGGTTTCCACCTGCTGCAAAGTCAATGAATGGTGAATTCGCAGCATGATCATGGCCTTGGCACTCTCCACGTTGTCCTTGTTCATATTGTTCCCGATGTTCTTCCTGTTGCCAACGAGTATGAAAAGAAAGAGATGGAGCAAAAAGCACAGGTTGCGGTATGCTCATGTCCTCATTAGATCCGATTCCGAGCTGACCATTCCCATTTGAGCCGAATGCATACAGAGCACACGCCATGGTTTATATTGAATTTGTCTTCGTTACAAAAAACAGAATTGTAATGACTTGACGAGAGAAAGAGCTAGTGAGAAAAACTTCGCCATAATCAATGTGGCTTTAATACCTCAAAAAATATCATTCCTGACGATTTTGTAAGTTGCATCTAAATATCGACATTCTATCATTCTATCTGCAAGCACTCTTGTTTCTCTCTTCACAATAAGACTAACAGTAATAAATGAACACAAGGTCTTTTAGAATTCCATAGAAACTTCGTTGTTGGCACAGTGAGCATCCTTCCCAAAGGAGGGTTGAGCATTGAAAGAGTTCAACGGTTGCGTTCCTATTGGCCCAGCACATCCACATCCACATGCTGCTCCTATCTTTTTCCCACAGCACTTCAAGTGAGCAAGCAATAAAGAAGAGATGAACACAAGAAGTGCTGAAAGGCCGATCTGCGCGCTGACAGCCCGTTGGCTACTTGTGTTCACTATTTACATGCAAATACATGTATATTATACACCTTGTTTTGTTGTTGTCCTGGGAATCACACAAAGACTGAGTTGGACCAATAGGCGTGCTGCTGGAACCTTATCTTCTGTCTACTTCGTTTGCCTCTTCTCATCTCTCTTTCTTTCTTTTTCTTTCTGATTCTTTTCACTTTGCTCATTCACTCCTCTCTGTCAAAACAAGTTTCTCCCCTCAACTCAAGTGAACAAAGAAGCAACAACTCAAATAGGCATGAAGTTCTTCAAAACTACTCTAGCGGCTGTTGGAGTGCTTACTCTCTTGGCTGCACCAGTCACAGCTCAGTACGAACAGTATGTCCAAGAGCAGCAGCAGCAGCAGCAACAACAGCAACAGAAATCTGCTACTTCAGAGAAACACGGTGTTGCTGGGCTTATGGATCTTGCCAAAGCGCTTCTTATTGGAGGCAGCCCACCTCCTGTTCTCTTTGTTGACGATCCCACCGGAGCAATTACAAACATCACTGATGCCAACTATAAGGATACTATTTTTGAAGACGAGTGGATCATCGCCTTGTAAGTTCCGAACTTGAAAAGGGAGAAAGTGAAAGAAACAAAATAGATGAAAGGCATGAGTGATTATTAGAAAGAGTTAGTTGGCTGACATGTACTCTTTTCTTTATAAAATCCATCATTCTAGCTGTTCTTTCTCCTCCGCACCTTGCGCTGACTATTTCCCAACCTATCTCGATGCTGCAGTCACCATGCAGAATGAGACACAGACAAAGTTCGCAGCAGTTTGGGTTGAGGAGAATCCTCGTCTCTCTGCTCGCTTTATTGTCCCTGCTCGTCTCCCATATGTTATCTATGCCAAGGATGGAGACTGTAGGCTCTTTTTTTTTTTTTTTTTTTTTTTTTCTTCCTTATTATTAATGGAATTGCCTGGAAAGCTAACAAGATGTATTAATGTTTTATTGAAATAGTTCGTCATATCCCCTATGTCCGCAACGATACCCAGTATTTAATCACCTTCATTGAAGAGGAAAAGTATAAATTCTACTCTGTGTTGGATGGACCTATGGGACCTTACTCTACTATGTGAGTAGTGTTCACATTATTTGTCACAATGTTCTTTTAGCTGTTTTTATTATTTTAACCAGACATTAAATTATCATTTTCAACTGACCACTGTATCCTATTCAATTGATATTCTAGCTCCAGTTATTTTGTAAAGTACGCAGAATTCATGGAGTGGGTCGGCAAGTACACCAGCTGGATGCCGTAAGTGAAGATGCCTTGAATTTCTGCTGCTTTTGCATAGCACTGTTCTAATAGCTGTTTAACATTAATTCTCTCTATCTTTTGGTAACTTCATAGTAAATGGCTTATCTACATCATTGCTGGCTCCACTTCCGGAATGGTTTTCTCATTCTTCTCGGGTGGATCCAACTACTCAAGTGATCCTTCCAAGTATCCTCACTTGAATCCCGATGGTACATTGAAAAAGGTTGTTGACCCTGCTGCTGCGCCCTCGGGAAGTAGCACCTCTACCAAAACCACCAAGACAACAACTACGACTACGACCAAGAAGCGCTCGGCCAAGAAGGCATAAAAAAAGAAAAAAATGCATAGCATGTCTTTTGACAAAACATACACATTCTCTCTCGTTCTTATATATAGTTAACTTCAACATAAACTTAATAAATTATGAATAGCGCCATTAACAATTTCATTGGAAATATTAAGTGCGTTTTTAACTCTATATTTACACAAATGATTAATAATTACAGACAAAGTAAAGAATGTTTTGTGCTCTTAACGCGCTCGTTATTGATCCCCTTCAGATGGAAACGCTGGAAGATAAAGAGGGACATTGTGATTATGAGGGAGGCGAAGAGAAACTGCATCCTGGCAATAAGCCGGACACGTCAAACGGTGCTCATTTGTAATACATTCAAAGACATCAAGGCATAATTGATTTCTATCTTTTTTTTTTTTTTTTTTTTCTTCATTAATAGGACCACCTCATTGATCTTTTAACAAAACAATGGACACGTCTCGATAATAAGGTCCGGTTCATTTTGATGATTATTTCTGGTGAACTTCAAGTCCAAAACCGCAAGAAAGCACTCATTGTTCAGGATATGCATATGAAAGGTTTCACAAGGATCCAGGATTTAGATATAGAGGTGGATCAGGCAGTAGTTCCTGACCCAGGCGCCGTTAAACCCAAGGTTGAAAATGGAAACGAATTTGATTATCTTCTCAAGATGGCCATCTGGAGTCTGACCCACGAGAAAGTTGAAGAACTCAAGAAGGAGCGTGACATGAAGAATGCGGAACTGAAGCTGCTGATCGACAAGTCTGCATACGATCTCTGGAATGAGGATCTGGACGCGCTTATGGCAGCATGGGAGGCGTTATTACAGGCTGATATTGACGAAGCTAACTACATGGGTAACAAAGGTAAAAAGCCGATATCTTAAGATCATGGCAGAGCTTTAGGTGAAGGTATCGAGTTTTATATCCAAGGCTCGCGTCAGGTTGTCTGTCAATGCATCACTGGTTCAGCCATAGAAAAAAAAAAAAAAAAAAAAAAAAAAAAAAAAAAAAAAACGAGTAATACTTAAAGCTCGAATGCTCTAACAAGTTACCTCTTTTCTCTGCAGTGCAGACCAAGTCATGGCCGCACTGAGAGCTCTTCTCGTCCAGCACCCGCAGTTATGCATTTTGAGAATTACTGGCGCTAAGAGTCAAAGAAGTACTGGCATTGACACTCTTCTTATACCGAAGACTAGATCAAAGTCTGGGCTGATCTGCTCCTCTGGTATTAGGCTTTGGCTATTGTTGGACAAAGGTGATTTTTAGATGGGGCCCAGCTAATGAGGAACAGGAACCAGGGCTGGTGAAGCGAAGCAGAATGGAAGAGGTGCTGATTAGAGAATGGAGGAGTAAGAAAGAGTAGAGCAGTGGAGAAGAATAAAACTATTTTGACGGCCTCAGCGCGGATTCAATGAGGAATGGGTAAAGTGCGCCTCTAAATAGGTTATGATCCGGCCACAATGGAGACGGGTTTGGATCATGTATTTTTTCCCTTAAAATCCATAAGTTAATTACAACATTGATAATAAGGGTCAAGCTTATATTTCTAGCTGTAAGAAAAATCGTGACACGTAGCAGATGGCTGTTCATTTTATATTGAAAGCTCTTTCCTCTCATAGACTCAATGAGAAATAGACTAGATATATATCTTTAAGAGCACCAGCTAATATCACTAGGGAAAAAAAGACGCGTTTACTCAGTATCTAATGACGGATGCCTGGAAACTAACAAAGATAATTAAGTACAAAGACAGATAAAATTATATTGAGCCTTTCCTTTTACCCATTGAGTAATACATGCTAATCTAACATTCTGCTGTTTGCATTTGCCTACGATTGCCACAATAACAAAGACACTTTTCCCCTAGTCCAATAAGGGTCGATGAACTGTGCAGAATAGTCAAGGGATGTCAAAATGTAAAAACCAAGGTGGAGGTAATAGGTAACTGACGGTTTGGTTTCGACAAGCACACTACAGTATTCTAGTCGAACTTTGGTAAAGAGGAGGAGAAGTGAAGAAGAAGGATGAAGAGCGGCGTTAACCATAAAAGAGTGGCGTCAACTCGAGGACATGTATTTTGAGTGTTACTTTTCTGGGGTAAGTTTGTACAATAATTGAAGCCAAGTAAGCTTTATCACTTTATTAACACGCTATGTTCTTCAAAGCTACAAAAAGAGATGCGTAGAAAAGACACCAAGTTTATTGTTGGTTTTCTCGGACAACAGACTGACTTAGCTTTATTTTATTTTGTTCAAAGTAGGTGCTATGCACTATGTTGAATGTACTAGAAGATCAAGACTATGTTCTATATCGTTTTATCTCTTCACCCATCCTTCTTTTTATAATGGGCAAGAGTCTTGAGATACGTAGTTGTTGGGATCAACGAGCTCTACACGTCCAAAAAGCGCTCTGTCTGCCAGAAATTTGTGACATCCACCTTTATTTACCCCAGGTCTACGACATCATGAACGTTGTTCACTACAAATCTATCTACCAACAGCGCCTCCTTTGCTTGCAATCAAAGGATACTCTATGCATTTGTTCTTGGTTATGTGGTAGCCGCAGTAGCGGTAGTTGTGTCTATCGGTAGTGCAGGTGATAAAAAAAAAAATGACGTAATTTAGGCTGCATTAGAGCAAGGCTTTTTGAACCCAGAGCAAGGAGCATCCATTTTTTGTCCCAAACGCCAAGACATCATCTTTCAATTCGCGAGCAGCGAAATCAACCATCGCAACACGTACGATAGGGAGAAGTGCCAGGACATATACGGCGAAAGCAAAATACAATAAAGCATAGCATCTACATACATTCACACTTACACATACGCGCAATGAGCAATCACCACACTCGAGTCGAACCAGATGACTTTTTGTCACCTGCAGCACCAAGCTATGTCGAGGCGACATCTTATTCGGACACATATGACAACCCATTCGAGACAAACATTCCTCAACGCATGAACTCACCGTCTATTGAGCCTGATGATGTACCTCTTCCTGGACAGAAGCCCCTCAGCCCAACCAGGAGCTCCTTGCCCAAAGTTTCTGGAAATATTGGCTCCAACAGTCAAAGCAATGGTGGTGGCAGCAGTAGCAATAACAACAATCTCAGTGGGAACATTGGTAGCGGTGCCAGCCTCAGCACTGGGCAGGCTATGATGGGGAGTGCTATTGATACCCTAGACGAGCCTGTGTCTGAAACTCTTGTAAATATTCATGGAATAACCAAGCACGGTTGCATTGTTAAAAGAAAGGCGTATTGCTTATGTGCAGCCTTTATTATTTTTATATTTTCATTTTATTATTTAATATTAGCTCCGCGACCTACGTAATGTCGGCGCCAAACTTCAGCAAGTTTTGTACCCCAAGGGGCGCAAGGATATTCTCAAAGATTGTAATGCTTTCAAATCTGATCTGCCTGCCATCGCCTCTCATGTGTATGATCAGTATGATAGATCTAATATTCAGGTTATCTTTGCGTGATCTGTGTCAATAGGGGATCTCTGGGGCCCGCTTTTGATGTGTTTAACTCTGTCTATGTAAGTTGAAGGATAATGTCATATGCTGATAGTTCGTCCTTTTAAGACAATGAGGCTAATCAGTTTTATTCCTTTCATGGATTACTAGTGTCTTAAGTACCAGGGCACCAACAGAGCAAAAGATTACAGTATTTACCTGGATTTTCATCATTGTCTGGCTTGGATCGGCCGTCGTCACAGTTAATGCCAAGCTTCTCGGAGGAAGAGTGTATGTTGTTTTACCACGTTGCATGGCTGTGTGTGCCGAAGTTATTCAGCCACATCAGATTGTAGGCTGATTTTTTTTTTTTTTTTTTTTTGGCTATTAGATCTTTTTTCCAAAGTGTTTGCGTGATCGGATACTGCTTGTTCCCGCTTGTGCTTGTCAGTGTGGTATCTATATTTGTGGGCTCCCTCATCATCCGACTACCATTGTGTATCGTAGCCTTTGGTTGGGCTGCCTGGGCCTCTTTGGGATTCCTATCTGACTCAAATCTCGCCAACCGCCGTGCCCTTGGCGTTTATCCTTTATTCTTATTCTACTTTGTTATTGCCTGGATGATTCTCATTTCATAATCGTAATATGCAACTCAAGGGCGAACGAGATATAATAGGAGGCAAAAAAGGCGTCGGTGGTATTGAAATGTTTCGAAACAGCATGAAGCGTATACCGAAAAGATAGTGCTAGCGTTGTATAGTTTCATTTCTTCTTTTAAAACAAACTTTCTCAACCAGTAGTAATGTTATTGCCTACTATACTCAAAAATTCTCATGCATCTGTCATAAGGCCCCTAGGTAGACATTTTTCGAATAACATTCTCAACCAGTTCCGGAAAATGATGATTTTTGATAAAGTGGCCACGTTCTGGGAGTTCAATATAGTCGATCCCTAAGATTTTGCTTGCTACCTCGCGTTGTTCCTCGATGGGAACCAGATGATCATCTGGACTCGCTGTAGTAAAGAGTTTAGTGATTGAAAGGCAAAGAAAAGTCAAAAATTAATCGTTCTTCACCGAATAATCTTCACTGTCTCTGCTCTCTAATGAAGCACATACAAAACTGGGTAATCCACTCGGTGTTAGCCCTCATAGAATTCCAATTCCATGCCCTATTGAAATATCCTGCTTCTCGCTAAAGAAGCGTAAAAGCCTTTTAGTTTTGGGGCCTCAAGAATGGCAATGCAAATTGTGTGCTTATGTGGAGACAAAAGCGTTGCTGTGTCATGTATGAATGCTCAAAATCGGTTGTTCATACTTCAGAGGGATCACCGAGGTCGGAGTGATATGCACTCACAAGGACAACACCCTTAACCTTCCGAGATTCGATGTATCTCATAATAGCAGCTGCTCCACTGCTATGACCAATGACTACATCCTGTTCATTAATCCCAATGGTATCTTCCATAAAGGGTATCCAAATCTCTTCGTGCGCTTCATAGGGGTCAGGAAATGTGCGTAGGACATTCCCACCTGGAAACAACAGGTGACCTGTCTTTGGGTGTTTTGCGGCTGTGAGCGCGTTAATGACAGAGGGATACCACATGGAAATTTCGACTTGATCGTTTCCATTGCCTGGTACGAGGATGATGCGCGACATGATGCTTGGTGTTCACTGACGAATTGGAGAGCCCATGATGGTTGTGGAAAAGACACGCGTCGCGTTTTGGTCGATGCCAATTTAGCCCCTTAATATACCGACCAGTCACCATGCTCAAAACCCATAAACAGAGATGGAGATCAATCATTAAGGACAACTTTCATCCCTTCTGTTCTCATTACCCTCCCTTCTTTATTGCTCACCTATCCATTCCATTCATTCTAGATCCTGTATCAGGAAGAAGGAATAGCAATTTTCATTCACTCATTCCGACCATCACATTCACCCTTTCTCTCTTCAGGTAGTCACCGTTTTTGCTGTCTTTGGCGCCGCGAACGATACGCGTCTGGCGATAGAAATAACGCCCCGCATCCTGAGCCAAATCAACACATTTCGACCGACACTCTAAGGAATGGAACAACAACAACAATGGATTCCGGCTTTTGAGGAGCTTGCCGAAAATGTCTCCAAAGCATTGCTCTCAGACTCACATGAGTATGTTCACGGTGTTGTGCGTCAATTAGAAACTCATAAGCAATCTATCATCACTCTTCTGGAGATACCTGCACCTAATGTCGGCCACAGAGCTCAGCTGAAGCTTGGTATGGATAAATGTGTCTATCCCACTAGCACCTTTCTCTCACTTTCTTATTCTCATTTCTTTCCTTTTTGCTTTTTGTTGTTGGAAGGTAACTTGAAGGTTAAAATGACTCTCCTCTTTCGCCTAATCTAACTTTAAACATTTCTTTAGGCTCGCCGAAAATCAATGGCAGGGTACGCACAGTCAATGAGGATTTTATCTCAGAAGCCATTCTTTTGTCAGATCAACTGGAGCTTGATGAATATATTGCTTCTTCACTTCTTGACTATGGTATCGAACGGAGAGCACGATTCGACCGTACAGCTATTGAAACAGCCATTATTTTGTTCCACAGAGAAAAAATCGCAATGCTCCATATCATTCATGCCATTTTGGATACGTCAAGTACTTATGATGCACCTACAGAGTTCAGCAGGGCAATAGTCAACTTCAGAGACGATCTCTTGCAAAGTAACTTAGGCAGTAAGGCCCTCAATTTGATCGAGAATCTAGAGAAGAAGGCAACAGCTCTCAAGAATGCAATGACTGAGACGTCAACATTGGTGGCACAGCTCGGCATGCCCATAAACGAAGATCGTCTTGATTTCATCAAGCAGGAGCGCGTTCTAGTTGCCACAATCATGTTTGATATTGCATTTTGCCACGAGCTACCTGCTTCAACGGTTAAATCTACTATTATAACCCTGAAGAAAATGAATCTTTCTGATCCACTCGCCATATACCTCACTGTCACTGTCATGGCAGCCTTCGAGGTTTCTCCAGAACATATGCGAATCCGTGGAAAGTCCAGCGATGATTTTCCCATCTACATGGCTCAAGAGACAATCTTTACTGACTACGCGAGTTTCATCACGGAAAAGAATTGGGCTGTCCCTGCTATCGGAGCTGTTATCTTGTTGCAATTTAGTCTATGTATCGGAAATGTCTACCAAAATCGTGGGAACGGCCTGTCAGAGGATGACCTTCAAAGAGTGACTGAGAACGCTGTTACGTCAGATGCATTTCAATTTATCGCCAATTATATCCTTGGATTCAAGTCGCAGGTGGTGATCAATGGAAACGAGATTGAGGTCCCTTTTAAGATGTCCAATGCATCGTTGGGTATTTTGGATCAAAATACTGATGGGTTTGAAACTACCGTTGGTAAACCTGTTGCAGTTCGGATGGCTGTTGATGTGCAAGACCAAATTCTTGTCTTGCTCGAGATGACGATGCGTGATTTCATTATCACTATGCAAACGCTGCTTCGAAAGATCAAGCACAGAGAAGAGGATGTGGTCGCTCACCAATCATCACTGCGACAATCACAGATGCAATTAGCACACAGGAACGACCTTGATGCATTATTTACTGTCGTTGCTCTTTTGTACAAAGGACGTCCTGAGGCAGGGATCCGTTTTTGGCCCAATAATGATGATAGACTTTACAGGTTCCTCAAGTGGGGTGTCGATTGCAAGAATACAGCGCGTTCATTCTTTGATATGCTGGGGTCACTTGCTACTGGGCCTCAATGCGCTCACTATGCTTATGAATTTTTGAAGAGTAATGGAGGTCGCTACGGGACACAAGGCTCAGCAACGCCCAACACTCTATGCTCTTGGGGGAAGCTTTTTGAGGCTGTTGACTATTACACAGAGAGACTTAATGCTGAAATTAGTGCCGGGGGACAAGTGGAAAAGATCCTACCAGAAGAGGAGGCGCTCCTTAAATCGTTCTTGCATCTTCTTAGTGTTGTAGCTCAGTACTCCGCAGTTGCTCGCTCCGCCATGAACGATTCTAAACAGTATCAAGTTATCCATTCACTCTTTCGTTTCTTCATCTGTCCGATCTCTGTGGACCTCAAGGCTAGTATCTTGGATGCTATTGCGGCATTCGCAACACCTTCAACTAATAGGAGCGAGACTATTAACATGATATGGGATTATTTGGAGCAAGCAAGAATCCTACCTAAATCATATGCTACACCTTCGCCTGAGCAGACACTTTCCGCTGGCGACAAGGGTCCAGTTGTTGCGACGTCGCCTCGTCAAGAACAGGAGAGCTTGGATACTGGAATCGACTATGATATTGAGGAGATTGAAGCCGCAAATAAGACATTCCCTGAAACTCTCTCGTTCACTCGACTTTTGTGCAATTTGATCCAAGTACCTTTAAACCCAGAGGAGCTTTTGTCTGGCGGGTCTCCATCGATTTCGTCACAACTTGGATCCAGTTACCGCCAGCCTGGAGTCATCCCTTACGTTCGATTTGTATTGGATAAAATCTTTGTCAAAGCTCTTAACAGAACATACCGTGTCACGAACGAAAAATGGAAGGTCGTTGACTCCTGTCTTTGCTTCATGGAGCGATGCCTTCTTTCTTTCGACATTGGTTCTTTTGTGATTGGAGAGTCCCTCAAAAAGGATCAAGACGACACCAGTATCGAGGCGCAAAGGAAAAACGTTCTTCGCGCTTCTTTGCATCCTGCGTTTGAAGTGTTGACGCGTCTCCTTTCAGGTGGAGACGTATTGCATGAAATATTTAGAGTCATCGGGACTGGCGTAGACATTCTGAATAAGGAAGATAAAACAACGCCTTACTTGAAATCTTCAATCCTTAGATGCTTCAGGATCGTGACCAAGACCATGCAGCTTCAGGATGTTTTCAAGGAGTATATTATCCAGATTCTATTATCATCTGGTAGCAGAAATTCAGTTTTATCATCGCTAGCACCAATGGAGCAACATTTAGCTTTTAGCCATGCCTCTATTGTTGATATTGCATGCTACATTAACTGTGATGTGAGCTTAGAAATTTGCTCGCTTTCAATTGAGATTCTAGACCGACTCTCCGCATCGCCTCTCTTCACCAGTACAGTAGGCCACAGGAGCACCGCCATCAACAGGCTAGTTCGACTCTTGCAAACTTCGTCTCTTTCCAACCAAATTCTCTACGGATTCGCTCAGAAGCTCGAGGAAGAGGAGGATGAGCAGACAGACGAGTTCGGCGTCCCCCATGCCGACCCGTCTATGGCTATTGACGGGTTAGAATCACACAACGCAGTCCAGAAGCGAGCCATCTTCGCGCCGCCTCCCATCACCGCCTCCACGGTCCGCCTCCAAATTATGCGCCTTTTACTCGACAACTTGGATGAGTCTCGTAGTCCGCCTTCAATTGCACATTTCTTGCTAGGGTACCCAACTGAGTTCAGACTTGCAGGATCTGAGAATGTTGACATCTTGTCCAACAATCTGTCTATTACCGCTCTTAATGTTACTTTGGACTTATTACGCCGTGGTGTGGATGGACAGGATTTTGACTACACTTCTCTGTCATCCATTCCATTATATATCACTCACCCTCAACTTGCTGCAAAATGCCAAGAGCTTATTTATCGTCTCTGTGTAGAGCCGGAGACTACGAAGCCAACGATGCGCTATCTCCGAACCAATGAAGCATTCTTTTACAGGCAACTAAAGGCACTTCCTATACGATTCGAGGAGGGTCTCGAAGGTCCTCATGGCGTTTTTATTCGTCGAGATGGTTCTCAGTTCAGAGCCAACTTTTTCAACCTTCTCTCTCAGCTTTACCAACGCTCATGGGTCATGCGCACAGCTGCTTTAGAGCTGCGAGTAGCATGCGAAACGAATCAGCGCAGCGAGGCTGTTCGTCTATTATCGCTTATCTTTGACAATACTGATAATGCACGCGCCACCAACAGTGACGATTTTATGTTTTCGATCTCGCGAGCTCGTAATGGCAACTTGGTTCAGCCTCGTGTGAAGATCCTGGAGCTTTTAGATTCGTTTGACTTTGCTTGGGATGATGACTTGAAGATCAAGGACTTGGAACGCTATTACTTCCCAGATATTTCCGAGGACTCCTGTTTAGAGAAGGATGAGAACGGTATTGAGTTGTATAACGCACGTAAATTATTCTCACTTCTTGTTGCCCGTAAGTCGCAGCTCGAGAACGAAAATATAATCTCTGGGGTCGCTCACAAGGCTGCAGCACATGCAGAGATTGAGGCTATCATGGGACAATGCTTGGCCAAGAATCATGCCAGAAAATTAGAAGCTGCAAGGAGAACAGCGTTTGAATCTTGGCGCGAGTTAATCGAGATCACATTAGGTCCTGGTTTCTATTCATTGAAAGTTGAAAAACGTGAAATGATACTTTACGATATCTTGGAAGCTGTGCTTGCTAAGCTCCAGAGGGACTGTCCAGTCGACATCACTACAATCTTGTCCAAAGTTGTCCTTTCCATCCTTCAACGCCTCCGCTCAGATCACTTCCGACAGTTCATCTTCCAGGCAACTTCAACCGACCCGAACAAAATGGACACGCGTTTGCCAGCTGAACGACTACATCGTCTCGCCAGAGGGATTATTGCAAGCATTCTTCGCCCTGGAACATCAGAATCTCGATATAACATGTATTCAGCTCTTGTCAACTATTTTCAGTATACACGATCGGAGGATGATACTCTCAAGAGCGCAAAAAGCTCATCGCTCTACGCTTCAGATGTTGCAAGGTCGAAGGTAGGCAGCGGCGCTAGAAGTGCCATCGAGCTTGGAAATCAGGTTTTGGTAGCGGAGGCAGGTGAGCGTCTCTTGGAGATCGTGTGTAGAGATGCTTCAGATGTCGATCAAGTTTGCAAGATCGCTGCGTTCACGCTTCTGAATACGTTATATGGCTTATTTGAGAAAGAGACTACCAACCGTGTGCTGGTGCATTTGGTTCAACGTAACTATTTAAAGCATTTTATTGATATCATGGCTCGGGAGGATCTTGAACTGCAAGCATGCGTCAAAGGCCGTGTGAGCAGAATGCCGATTTTGAGTGAGGCAAGGATGACCTTATTCTTGCGTATTGCTCAACGTAGGGATGGAGCTGAGCAGTTACTTGAGTATGGCTTTTTCGATGTCCTTACAAACTCTTCAGCTGTCATTGACATTCGATCCAACCTGGATTCTGCTGGTAAGTCACTTTTTTTTTTTTTTTTTTTTTTTTCCCTCTTTTTCTTCAGTAGCACTGGGGCTGATAAGTGTGAATTATGTTTATCCTCGTCACCAATCAGACTTTGGTCCATTTGAGCAAACAGAGAGCAATCTTTATCACAACATTGTCTATCCTATGCTTCAAGTCGCCGTTGCGATCCTCGCCAATCTTGGCCGAAACCATCGTACAGCCACATCCAAGGTATAATACACAACTTGTTTGATTGATTAATGGGCAAGTTGAAATATGTGCAAGAATGATCTATGGATCCCTTGCTAAGAAAAAACGAATCAATTTCACATAGGCCGAATTATTTGTGACTAGTCATCAGGACACTTTTGCTTCTATTCTGAGAGATAGCGATGTGCCAACCACAATTAATTCTCTTCGTGAGCTGCGTGTCATCACCGCTTTTCTAAACCAGCTTGCTGGCCACATCGCAACCAAGTCAGCAGTGAGTGTCCTTTTCCTCCTGTTTTTTTTTTAGCATTGTGTCTGATAATTTTCTTGAAACTTACAATCTCTGTAAATTCTATCTCAACAACTGTGTTCGGGGCCACAGTCTGCAGCATCCGTCTTTGGTCCTTTGCATAATCTCTTGTTAGCACTGATCCCTAAGTACTTTTCTGCTGATCAATGGTCACAATCTCTTCAACCTGTCAGTGACGCTGAAAAGATGATGGCAACCACATTAGCTCCTGCATTGACTGCTAGAAGTGGAACATCATTGTTCGAGCGAGATGCTAAGAACTTTGCTCGAGATATTTGCAAAAACTTGTTGTCGTATTGTCAAATCAGCACAGAAAATGTCAATCGTACAGGTAATATTCATGTAGTACATAATTCTGTTTATTTTAGTTGAAAAAAAAAAAAAAAAAAAAAATTGACACTCCAAAACATCTTTATAGCATCCAAATCATTTACACCTCTATTCACTTGGACGATTTCAAATCTGGTCAGTGGCCATGATTCGGTTGCAGTACCGTCATTGGCGACGTTAGTCGGCTTTATGAGCCGCACGACCAATGATGTTCAAGAGGCTCTGCTTCGCCATCAAACACAAGTAATCAAACTAGATAACATTGCGTCTTTGACTCCTGAGGAAAAACAGGATATTTTGCAGTCTTCGGATGAAGATTACCTGGATGAGCTTGTTGCAATCCAGAGGGATCAGCTTGCAGTTCAAGTGCTTCAAAAGATGCTACTATCGTCCACTCAGGAGATCATGTCGGATCTCTGTAAGTGAGAATATGATGAATGATATACAAATGTTCGTTCCTGGGACGGATATACCTAAGCTCATAGACTCACCTTTTTATACACATATACTCACTTATAGACTTGCTTGAGATATCATTAACTGTGTTTTGGAGACATTTGGAATATTACCTTGGACAATACGGAGGTCTGTTAGACGGTACAGCGTCGCAATCAAGATTGGGAGTCTCACGGTTTGGGCACAATAGTGTATTCAGTGGATTTGAATCGGGTGCTGGTACTAGTGCTGGGGGAGGCTCTGTTGGCGTATCTTCACTTAGTTTTGCGCGGAACAGCGGATTTGGAGGATTTGGTACTGCGTCGTCGATGGCAACAAGTAACGGATCAGGCGATTTTGGCATTAGTCTGAATACAAGCCAAAGTGTGAACCAGAGTTTATCCAAGAACTTTAAGCCCACTCTCGCGGAAGCACAGGCATTGAAGAGGGACGCGGGACATATGATTAAACCTGTTTTGGATAACATTGCCAGCCTTGACTTGGTGAGTTTTCAGTCTTTAATCACTTTGTTTTCATTCATTTAGAATAAGCGGGTTACTATACAGACAAAGGTAGATTGTTTAAGCTAACAACTCTTTGCCTTTTTCTTTTACTGCAATTGGCTATTCTAGACACAAGAGAGGATGAGATGGGATAGTAGTTCAAGGAATAGTTTTATTGAACTACTTGTGCGCAATATCCGTGCTCTAGTAGAGCGCACCTAAAAAAAAGACTCGCTTTAAAAAGCAAAATAAATTTACAGTATTACAACAACCACAGCTTACATGCAAAAAGAAGTATATCAATCATCGTCAATGCCAAACGAAAAGTCATATTATGTGGCTGTCATAGTCAAGCACGCGTATTTTCAGCCCTAAAGGAGCCAAATGAAAATTCTCAATCAAGATTGCAGTCCGGCGAATGTTTACGCAGAAGTCGTCTTTCCTACTCAGACACACAACAAACGACAATCATCAACCTTGCTTTGCCTTTGCCTTGCGCTGCAACTGTTGGAGATTCTGTCTAATTAATCTTTTTTTTTTTTCTTCAATTCTTTGCTGTATGTACATTGTCGCATCAATCTGTCTATGCAACGAAAACTCCACTAATAAACTGACCATCAATCGTTCTCTAACCCAATCAACCCGTAGGCCAGAACTGAAAAAAAAAAAAAAAAAAAATAAATAAATTCGTTCAACAGCAATGTCAGTCAACTTCCTCCGAAAGCGTGCCATCGTCGTCTTCTCGGACGACGAGAGCCAGGACAGTGAAGGTAAAAACGAGAATGAATGACTTTTAAGCGTCATGAGCAACCTCATCAAGTTGTCTTGAAAACTTTACTGCTTTCGAAGCGACATACTTATCGATAAATCTTCCCTATCTCACTTTTTTATACCATTATATGGCCTGGTAGCTTGGCCATCCTCCCCTTGCAAGAGACGCTCTAGAATTCTATCAGATCAACTTCTCTTGAAGGATACAGATGTGATTCCTGCACCCAATTTCGCTCAATGTCTGGCGGACGGGTTATCTGAGGACGAGCACGATGATTTGGCCAAGCCTCTCAAGCAAGAAAAGGAGGCTCAAGCTATAGTTGAAGTGATGGAAAAAAAAGAAGGAGAAAAGTCTAAAGCCATTCAAAAGACCATAATGACACGGAGAGCAAGAGCTGTGTCAGATGTCAGGGCTGCATTGAAGTCTTCTTCCTTCTCGCCCTCGTTGTCCTTATCAGAGACATCTCCGTTATCACTTGTGTCCACAAAACCTTGCAGTAGCACCGAGACTATCACGCCACCGATGACGCCTACGCGCAGGAGTACTCGACAACAGCAGCAGGCTGTTCACGGCATGGGCTCAACGACTGATAGCGTTGAAGTACCACCTAACACACCCAGAAGGGTCTCTTCATCTTTTGCAGGTACAGGAATAATGACTCCCAAAACTCCCACACGAACGGCACTCTCATGCAGTGTAAGCGGCAGTAATAATGATGTGGTAGCAAAAGGAGTTACAACCACCAGTCAAAGCACAGGTCTGACGCCAGCGATGAATAGAATGATGAGGTTGTCTAAAGGTGTGAATTTGATAGTCACGACATGATTTTTGTTTGGATATAAGCGTACCTGATTCGCGTTTTATATTGTTTATGCTCAACTAACAGCCATCCAATGTAAACGATTGACAAATGATATTTATTGTTGATAGAGAACATGAGCAATGCGACTCCTGTGACATTTAATGCTAAGGGAAGGAAATCTACCCGAAGCACACAGGGTGAGAACGAGAATACTACCAAGGTCCCTGGATATTCAACCCCTAGGCGACTGCAGAGATCTATGACACATTCAGGAGTGACTGATACAGCTGTCCCATTTAAGGCACAATTGCACTCGCCTCCTTTGACAGGGTCTTCTCCAAACGTGAACACGTACAGCAGCAGGTCAACACCTGCAGCAACGGGACTACTTGGATTCTACCAAGATGCAAAAACAATGTTTAGGCGTACAACTGAGCCACATAGACTTATTGGACGCGTTGCTGAGCGAGAGATGATCCAAACATTCTGTAAGGATCATATTCTGACAGCCAAGGCTGGGTCACTGTATATTTCAGGCCAACCTGGCACGGGAAAGACTGCACTGTTGAAAGAGATTATGCGGGATATGGAGCCTGAGATGAAGGCTGCAGAGCACAGGATTAAAACTGTGATGGTTAACTGCATGACGATCAAAGATCCGAAACTCGTTTATATGAAGCTATTGCAGGAATTAGGTTTGACTGTAGACAAGTCGAAAGACAAAGAAAAGGATATAACAGTCAAGGCGCTTGAATCCCTTTTTCTTTCTTCCAATGATGCTAAAAAGAATAAGCCCATGTAGTAAGGCCTAATATCTTTGTATCGCTTACAACAGATTTTTTTTACTTTATTTTGTTTTATACACGCTTCTTATCCTTTAATGTGTTAGTAATCGAATTCTTTTTTCATTCGCGATAGTGTTGTCATCCTGGACGAGATTGATCAACTGTTGACAAAGGATCAGGAAGTACTCTATAAACTCTTTGAATGGTCTTCAATGGAAGGCTCTAGATTGACGCTGTTCGGCATTGCTAACGCGCTCGATATGACAGATCGATTCCTGCCTCGACTCAAAGCCCGAAACTGTGAACCACAGCTGCTAAACTTCAATCCATATCAAGTGGCAGAAATCCGTGCTATCATCATGGACCGTTTGTTCTCTCTGGAGGGAAAAGATGCCGATAGAGATGAGAAGGATGAGAAAGAGACAGCCACAAAGGTTCGTGTCGCACCATTAATGCAAAGGCCTGCCATTGAACTCTGTGCGCGTAAGGTAGCAGCTGCGACAGGTGATTTGAGAAAAGCGCTTGATATTTGCCGGCAAACAATCGAGATGGTAGAGATAGAGGCCAAGAAGAAGGAACGTATTGAAAAGCTGCAGCTAAAGCGCGGAGGCTCGCCTTTGTCAGAGATCCGTTTGGCCAATCTGGAAAACCAAGTTGCAGGAGGTGCGCTTGATGCAGATCACCTTACTATCTCTCGTCGTCAAACGGGTTCATTTGTGGACTCTATGTCTGCAGGGTCAGGCGTCACAATCCCTACTATGACGACACCAATGACGTCACCCATGAGTTTACAAGACGCACCCAAGGTGACAGTGGAGCATGTCAAAAGAGCTTTGGCGTCAGCGTTTGGATCACCTGTAGTTCAGAAAATGAAGGCGCTGAACGTTCATCAAAAAATTGTCCTATCAGTAATGGTGATGAAGATTCAAAGCGGCAAGGCAGCGGACTGTGAAGTTGGCAAGGTGTTTGATCATTATACTGCGACATGTCGATCGAGTAATAAGGTCAGCGCAGTCAATCGGGGTGAGTACCAGGATCTGATCAATATGCTCGAGGCCAACGGTCTGATCACACTAAGCAAGGCCAAAGAGGAGCGGCTACGCAAGATTGGGTTGGTGCCTCGAGAAAGCGAAGTTCTGGATGCAGTCAAGGGTCAGGACATTTTGGACACTATCCTAGCAAAATCTGGCCTTAAGCTAGGCGAATCGACAGATGTGTAGAGTGAGATGTGTATTCGTGTACTCTTTCTTTTTATATTACTTTTCATTTGGTAATCGCTTGCGTCCATATTATTGTCTATACCCTCCTTCTTTTCTGTAGTCACTATTATTCATATTTGCTCCGTCTCATTCCCCTCTTTCAATCAACTGCTTCTTGTCAATGGTACGATGCAGTGAGATGCTTTGGTCACTTGACAACAACTCATCTCTTACATTACAATTATAACACACTCAATCTCTCCTCTCCTTTCCTACCCTCACTTTGACTACCTTTCTCTTTCTCTTCTTTCGTCCTTGTTTGTGTGCTTTTATATTTTTTTTAACTCAGATGCAAAGCGCCAATCGACCTGAGTGGATATTTAGCAATTCCTACCTTTGCTCAGCTGCTCACAGTATTTTGCTCTCGATTGAGTAATTGAATTTGAAATGCAGGTTACTGAAGTTTGCTGAATAAAAAAATTGCCCCAATTATTTGTTGCACTAAACTATACTAAAGGATGGGAATGAATTGAGGGGTCATGCTTATGCAAAAAAAATATCAATTCAATAATGTTCAAAGGGCGTTGTGGAAGATATATAAATACGATCATTCAGGTTCATTTAATCTTCTGGTCCAGGCGCGCGGAATAGAGAATAACATGTGTCAATTGTGAGTAGAGAGAGCATTGACCATGCAGCAGCAGCAAGTGAGAAATGGGTCCTTGGTGTCCTTAACTATTTTTTTTAGTCTTCTTTTCTCCTTCCCTCGAGCCCATCCCATACCGACTTCAACCAATCTCATGAACAATTCACTTGAACAGTTTTGATCCAAGACACAAAACAGATTGCTGAAACTCTTTTTTGTGTTCACTTGGGCGTGAAAAATGGAACACTATACATACATTTCTTTTCTTCATTATCCCGGACGGGGTAGCTTCTCTCATTCTTCTTCAATGTTCCCGACAAATGATCGGAATGGGAAAGGGTCCTTAATCCTATACTTTTTTTTTATGGCTATGCGTACCAATATGGATGTGAGTGTGGAAGTGTGGAAGTGTCATTGTTTGTATCCAATTAACATGTGTTCTTTTGTTTTAAAAAGCGCGCGCATGCCATGCTAGTGCAGTTTAACTTTTATGTCGACACTTCTTGACAGGAACGGGAGAAGGAGGAAAGAAAGAGTTGTGACCAGCCACATAGTTCGCCTTCGTGCAAAGTTCGTATGTATTATTTTGGGTCTATGATGTTTCCTGATACCCTATTGGCGTTACGGGAACATAAGAAACAAAATAAGGAGAGGAAGGGAACAAGCGTAGTTGCAATATGACTGGGACGACTGTAACTGTTTACATCTCTATGCCAGAAGTCCCTAATGATAGTCTATTGTCGGATCGATTTGTTTGATATCCTGTGATTTTCACCTGAAAGTGAACCATGCACCTTGAAAATAAAAAAAACGGACGAAAGAGAGTGGTGACAATGGTGAAGATGACACTGGTATACCTTTTCATTTAAGATATTCATATTGTCATTGTCTCTTGGCCCGTCCTCATTGCTTTTCTCCAATCTACTTTTTCTTTTTTTTTTTTTTTTTTTTTTTTTTTTTCCTTCTCTGCCCCTGTGACAAGTCAGTCGGCCACCTTTAAAGCTGTTTTCTAAAATGCCATGTGCGAAATTACTATTAAATGAGGGAGTTTTTTTTAAAAATAATTTAATTCATGTCTATAGTCAGCACGCGCTCTATCATATGGCAGGGCTCTCACACTTCTCACCACACATTAACGCACACTCACACTTCCTTTGTCTCTACCATTCATTCCCTTTTCTCTTTCCTAATTTCATTACTTCCTTTTTTTTTTTTTTTTTTTTTTTTTTTTTTTTTCCTTATCTCTATTCATCCCATCCTTCTCATTCTTTTTCAATCCACTCCTCCTTTTCCTCGCCGCGTATATACCTCCTTTTACACTTACGTTGCATTATACTTTTATTTATTTTTCCTCCTCGCTTTTGCTTTCTCTTCTACTCAACCCAGGATTCAATACATCTATCCCCCGCCCTTTGCTTCTCCGTTGTTTACAATAACCTTTCTTCGATACAGAAATGTCTGTTTCGACATCCTCTTCTGTCTCTGATATGACCCTCGCTTCCCTGGCAGTCTCATCCTCCTCTCTGGACGATTCTGACCCAGGATATCACTCTGCATCATCTGACTCCATAATCAAAAAGACTCAGGGATCCGCCATTAAATCCTCGGACTCTGTTGATGTCAATGCAGCTGAGTCTATAATATCTCCTCCTGTCAGCCCTGTTGCTAATGCTACGGACAATGCTAGTCAGGATGAGGACAAATCAGATATAACCCAGCATTCAGGCACACACATGCAAAATTCTTTATCGATATCATCGTCTGATGCACAACCCCAACAACTGGACCATTCCCATCATATTCAACAACAGCAGTCCCTTTATCACACACAAACACATTCTTCAGATATTGTAGAACACGAGTCACACCATGGATCTGATTCTGATCCAATGTTGTATCAGCAACAACAGGAGCATGAGCAGGACCAAGAAGACGGATCAGTTCCTACATTAGAACAGATGGGTCTAGGTAACCTCAGTGAGATGGACTTACGTTTGCTTCTCCAGAATGCTTATGAAGTGATCCAAGAAAAAGAACGCAGTAAGTTCTCAAGCCCATTGTGGCTCTACGTAGTTGTCCTTTAAACTCTTTTTAGAACCTGACAAAACAGAGAAGGCCAGACTTGAGTAAAAGCGGAATAGAGAGGAAAACAAAGGCCATCAAGCACTGACATGTGTCTGTGCTCCAATATTCTCAACTCAACCACTTTTTTTTTTTTTCCTATTCATTTTATGCTGCCCTCTTTTATTGTTATTGTAATTATCATTATTATTATTGTTGTTATTATTACTGCCACCACTATTTAATTTTTGAAGCTCGCTATTCCTTTCTTTCTCTTTCGCATGCACATATTCACTCCTTTCTCGGATTAACATATTGCTGGCATTTATTTATTGTTACCACGATTACTTTCCTATATACTTTATCACTCACACCTCCTTTTCAACAAATCAAAAACCTTAGACCTCAGTATGGCTGCAATGGTTGGACAGGACCTTGTTGAAACCAACACCAACCTGCAAGCAAAATACCAACATGCCCTGACCCAACTCAGGCATCAACGCATGCATCGTCCTCGACAGCTGACGCCTCCCCGCAAAATCATACTCTCGTCTGCACCAGACGCTGTCGGCAATATCGCAGTCAACAGAGCCGAAGACGGTGCGCATAGTGATAATGAAAACTGGGTTGACTTTGATCAACAACCTTCATCATCGTCGGGACTAGCGGCATCTGGATCATCCCTGCATCCTTCTGGAATTAACACCTCTAGCACAAGTCCACACCATAAGACTTCTTTCCGTAGAAACTCCAACCATCATTCTGGAATGATGAGGTCACGATCACATAAAGATATCGAAAAATTGGCGTCATTGGAAGAACTGAACGCAGAATTGCAAGCCAAGATTGACGCCATCACCAAAGAGCTGAAACAAGGACGACGACAGGCATTCAAGCGTCATCGCAGAGCAGAGCAGGAACTCAAGACTGTCAAGAATGAGCTGGAGCGGACAACAGTCAAAGTTGTAGATCTTGAAGAGCAGAACACAAGGCTGATCGAGGCGAGTCGTATGATCAGACTGCGACGTATCCAACTTCAGAAGCAGCTTCCAGCACCAGGATCCATTCCTGGCTCAACAATGGCTAATCTGGCGTTGGAGATGCAGGGCGACGAAATCGATGAAATGACCATTCAGGAGATGCTTGCGGAGGACAACAGGATTTTTGAAGAGCTGAAGGATCGATTACAATCACTTGAGCGCAAGAATACTGCGTTGGTACATCAAAAGGTAGAAGCAGACAAGAGGTCGCAACAACTTGCACAAGAGCTCGCAGATATGCAAAAAGACCATGAAGATTTGATGGCGAACCTGTGTGGATTGTCGGAGCTTCAAACAGCTTATGGTGAACAATCAGCGCACGTTAGAGAACTAGAGAACACTATACAAGAGTTGCAAAACCAAATTAGCACAATGTCCTCAAGACTCTCACAAATGAATTCACCCTTGATGTCACCCTCAGTCCCATCGTCGCCCATACAGAGTCTGTGGCACAGGGATGATGCAGATTTCAAAGCACTCAAAACTATTTTGCACGGATCTATTAGTCCACAGCCAATGGTGCTCAAATCTCCAGGACTACGAGGTCAACGTCGTCCTCGTAAAACACTTTTGGCAGAATTGGAGAGCGAATGGTTTAGAGATGTTTCCTTCTTTGGACCACCCCGTGTACCGGATCATCTTGCTCAAAAATCGCCTCAGCAGCAACCTATCCATATAGGAGGTATACACGCACCTAAATCCCCCAAGGCTCTCAAGAACCATCGGCATGAGTCCGACTCTGAGATGTTCTCAGATGACGCTGGTGGACGAGTCAAGGGCTGGCGTGAACGAATCCAGGACATGGGCGAGGAGTCTGCGTGTGAATCGTCTAGCTGCATCCGCAAGCGACACCATCGCTTCAAGTATACAGGAAGCGATACGGAGGGTACGCATGGTGAACTTGATATCGGACATGATGGCGATGATAGTGATGTGGATCTATACCATCTCCATCAGCGGCAACCCCGCCCTAAGCGACTCAATTCAGGCCATGCACTTTCTGAAGATGATGATGACCTTTCCGACTGCTCGGATCCTCATCACCTGAACTATCATCGTCCATCGACACCAGGATGCTGTTGTTATATGTATGATGACTATAGTGGATACACAAGCTACGATGAAGATGGGGAAGAGTCTGTGGTGGGATGGGCACACTTTGAGGATTATGATGCATCCACTTATGGATACGACATTAAGCGTGATGGGTACTATGTGGGCCGACGATCGCGTCGTGGCATCTTTGGCATCTTTGGCTTGGTTCATAGCGTGATCCTTTTCTTCCGTTTGATGTGGCGCTGGTGCCGCTTCCTCTGCATCCTTTCAACGGCCTTGGGTATCGCCATCTATCGCGGACCTGATGCATTATTAACAGATGGACGCTAGGTTTCAAATCTAAAAACTTACTGTTATTACTATTATTATATTGTTATATACCATCCCATTCCGTATCCCCGCATCCCTCTTTTTGTTTTACATGTCTGTATCCTTTTTACTTCATTAGCTACTTCCTCTTTTTATTTTATTTTATATTTTTATTTTTGTTCTCAATCCCCTACTTTTCTATTCCAACCATTTCAACCTAAAAGAAAAAGAAAAAGAAAAAAAAAAAAACTCCAATTCTCTTTTAATGACACCTAGTAATGCCACTTTTTGTAATGACTTTACCTACTTACTACATCCAAGACTGTTTATCAGGAATAAACAACTGAATATAAAAGTAAAAGAAATTGGGGGGAGCAAGTCCGATTTGAATTTGACTGCTAAACATAAAAATGTTCCAAAATTGACAAAAAAAAGATATTTTGGTCCCTCACAATATCTGACGAAACATTGTGGGAGATTGGTGTACCAGTCCAATTTCAAATAAAAGCTGAGTGACTCTTTTTTTTATTTTGTTTCCTTATGAATCCTTCTGTATTTCAGAACAAATGATGATACACACTATCGCTTTTGATATGATTAACAGTCGTCTGGTTATTCAAACTGGATGTGCTTATGATATCAGTGTGCGAGGCGTTAACCTTGTAATATGCAATCGCGCGCCATTGTGGTATTCTGACTCTTTTTCTTTCACCTTTTAATGAAGATGTTCACAAATAGTCTTTATAATCTTTTTTTTTTTTTTTTTTTTTTTTTTTTTTTTTTAAAAAAAAAATTGCAAGTTCAATATACTCTATTGATTTATTTTATTTTACTTTTTACAGAGATTTAGACAAGATCTACATCCCAAGCATCCTTGCTCATGACAGGTGGTTCGCCATAGATATCTGCAATTACTTGCTCGGCTACTTCTTCCAATTGAGTAATCTGTGCCTGTAGTACAGCCTCTTCATGACGTGACATCAAGTGCTGTTGAGCTTGCATCTGCTTCACCAACTTCTTGCGTTCATTCTTGGCATCCTCTACGGCCTTCTTCTTATTCAGGTACTCTTCAGTTGGTGGCACAAAAATAATATGCATGTGTGCTTCAATATCTTGAAGTAGCTTCGAAAATTCTTGTTGGAGTACCTTGGCTCGCTCCAGTGACATGGATGCCGCCAGACACTCAAGCAAAGCATGGACATCGGCTGTTTCAACATTGCCCAATATGTAAAAAAAAAAAAAAAAAAAAAAAAAGTCATTATTGCTTAGTATTTGCTATCATGATCATTAATTGAAAGTATGGGTAAAATAAGACGACTTACATTTGGTTGTATCAACTCGTAAGATGAGTTTGCGAAGAGAATTGATTAGATACTCTTCCTCATATACACTGCCCTTCTTTCCACGAGCACGTTTCCTATCTGCTCTCTTCTTGAGCCTGGCAGTGTATCTAATAGAGAGCAGTAAAAAGGATTAAAATAGAAATAGAAATAAAACATATATTAGATTAGTCTCTACATCATTATTATCAATTTAAAAAGGCCCTTTTCTTGACTTACTGTGAAGAGGACCGCGAAGAATAGGACGACTTTGATAAGACCGAGTTGGCTGCTGTGTATCGAGTAAATCCTGAAGCCATCGACGTTGTATCCGACATTAGATCTACATCATCTGGCAGTAGCCCATCTTCTGCCACCGTAGCGGCAGCTTCCGCTTCTGCCAATGCCTTTTCGACCCTCAGATCCTTCAGCCTCTTGGTTTGTTTATCGAATTGTTCTTGCATATCTCGAATCGACTCCATCAAGTCATGATGACCATCTGCAATTCCCGGCGTGATGTGTGTCACCATCAAGTCCTGGCGGTTGTACAAGAACGCAATTCGGATCGCTTCATTCCACAGTCGACCTTCTAACAATGTAGCTACAGCCTCCTCTGTATCCTTTGCATATTCCACTAGCAACACGCTTGCTTCTAAATGATTTTTATCCACTTTCAGTCGCTCTGAAAGTCCTCTAGCCAAATACGCTGTGGCGGGCGCATCGTATTCAAGTTGTCGAGCAAGCACCATTGCCTCACGCCAGTATCCTGCCTCTTTGTACGACTCTAGAGCTTTCTCCTTGTCTCCAGCCATCACATACGCCACAGCTGCCTGTGAATGATCTCCATTCACAGAAAGACTATCGCCATAAATCGATAGTACAGTCTTGTGCTTTTTTATGTTAACCCCTGAACCAGAGCCTCCAAAGATCGTGAGAGCAAATTTGAACAAGTTGTGCTGCTTAATATAGGCAATGCAATCTTCAAAATATTTTTCTCCAGCCTGGCTCAAGTTTTGTAATGCGCTCTGATATTTCTTTAGATGGTCATCAATCTTGAAACGCTGGTGATATTTTTCTAACACTCGAAGCTCGTTCAAGAAGGGCAAATACTCCCGTGGGTCCTTCTGGGACCATTGCGCCACCATTAACACCAATGCAAAGTCGTACATCCCCAAAGCTACGTCAAACAACCGATCCACATCTGCCAAAAAGATAGTGAACTTGAGTGCATCCTCAGCTAACGCTTGGTCTTCATCTTTAAGCTTCGCCAATAATAACAAAGCCGATTCTAGATCCGGTGGCGACTTGCGTACATATGTTGTCAAAACCGAGTTGATGTACGTGTTCCTGTCAAGGTTTTGAAGCTCTGCTCGGATAGCATCACAAACCTGATTAACCTTTTCCGCAAGCTCTGGAGACAGAGGCGTCTTCTTGTAGCCACCTTTGCTACCGCCATTTACACGAGAATAGTTTAAGGATTGTTGCTGTTGTTGAGGCTGCTTGGGGTTAGACCCGAATCCGGAAAGCGGATAAAGTGTCTGTGTCACATCTTCATTCCTCAGGAACGACAAAAACAAGTTGAGGTGATCGACTTCCTTTATCTGCTTCACAAACTCGGCTACGTTCTCCATAAATACCTTGGGATTATGATCATATAATATGTTCAGGTCGATACGATGCTTCCTGCAGGTCAAGAACGCTGTCCTGAAATCACACTTGTCCAATGCATCTCGAGTTACGGACAAGACCATAGCCCGTGGTGCCACAGTTTCCAAGTTACCACGTGGCATCTGTAAAACTAGGTTGACAGAGTAAGGGATTGCTAACACAATTTTTGATCCTCTCTCCACTCTACGGATTGATTCATCATATGGTAACATCGAGTTGTCCATAACCTTGAATTCGGAAAGCGGAGTCTCCAAGGGCAAGAACCGTGCTGAATGAGTTGCAGTTGTGAAGACTAAGAAATGGCTATGCAAGCAATACGAGGTTGCTTCTGACGAAATCAGTCGATCATTCACATAGAGTCGATTGTTGGGAGCTAATCCGATCACGGTTTTTTCTCTGTATTCAATTGGACCTGTGCCAATCCTGGTGGTGCCCATATAAAGACAACATTCCGGTAAACAATGAATTTGTACCCATTTGTCAATAACTGGTTCTACTTCTTCTCCATCGGTACGAAGCTCCACGGACATCAGGTTGCCATCGGCCTGTTGTAGCAAAATGTCACCATATGTTTGGTTAAAGTACAAGCGCTGGAAGAGACCCTCAAGTGGAACATCCTTCCTAGACAAAATCCTGGGCGCTTTTTTACTACTGTTTTGTCCGACATCATCACTATCTTCGAATGCCATTTTGACAACTACGATCGAATCTGCTGATACATCGCTGTCGTACTGAAGACCAATTAAGGTATCTGAGTTAACCCATGCAATCTGTCGTACAGTAACAGAGGGAACTTGAGCAAGCTCGATCATGCCCAATAATTTTGGTTCTAACAAGGGTCTTGTCGTCTTGTCCGCTACCTCGTAAAACGCCACCCGCTGGTCTGTCAACAAAATAGCTAAATCATCTCCATCATTCGACGTAGAGAATGAGACATGTTGAATCTTATAAGGCAATGTCAAGGTGAAGGCCGCCATAGGTGGTGGCACGTTCATGACTCTGAAAGGTGTGATCAATAAATTGGCCCCGTCCGCCACAGCCACAGTACCCAAATTATTGGGATGCAACATGTCATTGACAAATATATCCCAGCAATACTCATTTCTCTGATAAGATCCAGATTCTGTAACCACATGAAGCACTAATGCAGCCTCAAGGTCCCAATGGAAGGTGGCCACTGTCGATCCATCTTCACCATTGTAAAGCAGTTCTTGCTTTAAATACCATTTATAGTTGTTCATGGTCCAGAGCTGAATACAAGAAGATCCAGTCGTTGGGCGTTGCAGCCAGACTGCCAGCACTGTCGAGTCACAATTCCAAGCCAACTCTCGAACAATGGTCTCATTAGGCTCCCTCAGCGTAAACTCTCCGTGACGCAGTCCATTCTTTTCAAAGAACACAATATCATGGCGATGAGGTAGTCGTTGACTTGAAGCAATCAGGTTTCCAGAGGGTCTCCATGATAATCCATGTTCCAGCATATCTACTGACTCGCTTGTAGACTGTAAAATTGCCTCCCGATTATAGACACGAATGACACGACGGCCTATAAAATAATAATAGTAATAATGAGTTTGAAATCACATCGCAACCAAGAAATCTATTAACAAACATACGTACGCCCCCTTTTTCAATAGTCTTATTACCATGGCGCTTATCCTTAGAAGAACAGCAGAAAAACGTTCCATCGCCACGCCATGACAAACGGTGTTGCCCATCGTCGTCCGGGGAATATGTGAAGGTCAATATGTCCACTTTGCGTTGGGCTGCCTGCTTTCCCTCTGTTCCATGAAACTGTGTCTCTTTCCTTCCCCATCCAACATTTACGCTGACCTCTAATTATTATTATTATTATTATTATTATAATAAAAAAAAAGGTTGATACATCAAAGGGGAAAAAAAAACAAAAATAAAGATCATACAAAAGGGCACAAGACTTTTTTAATATTACCTTCGCCGGCCTCTTCCACATCAATTGGATTTTCTGATATTACATCAAAATCCTTAGTCATCTCCAGAATCGATCCCTCGCCTTAAGCAAAAAAGACAATATTAAAGAGGGATTATTCGTCATTGACGGTTTCTCCTTTAATTTTTGACGTAAAAAGTATAATCGTTAATATTCTATAAAATGCCTTTTTTTGTACCTGTGACCATGATAACTAATTCTTCATCAGGACTCCATTCCATACATAAAAGTCCTGAGTCAACCGATCCCACAATTTCCAGCTAAAATATGATAGGTTGAGAATGGAAAATATAACTTCATAAGAATCCATCCTATAGTATTGAAGCAAAAGGGAGAAAAAAAAAAAAAAAGCCTTACACTTTCACCAGTCTCTGTAGGTTCAGTATGAAAAAGAACAACATCTCCGTGGGAAAAAATCACACAGATAGCCTGATTTTCAACTAAAAACTTGACTCCTCTGACTTGACCCCATTTATCTGCATGGATATCATTTTCTGGTGGGAACGTCGCCAACTCTGTGATCTCGGGAAATGGTGACTAACAAATAATTAGACAAATTTTTTCTTTAGCTCCGAGATCCTTTATTCTCTTTTAAAATAATAATAATTTAATAATTTCTTACTCGAACGTCAGAGATCTTAATAAGAACACTCTCAGAAGGCCCAGTAGAATAAGCAACATAGACATGACCTGTCTCTGGGTCAACACTCTGGTGGATGTCTTTTCCTGCAGGTCGACCAAACCTTGCCAGATGGATCTGTGACAGTAATGTCAAACTCTTCATGTTTGACTGCAAAATATAATGTCGTCAAATTCGCTTTCCTTTCTTTATCTTTTTTTCTTTTACCACCACCTATAGGGTTAGAAAGAAAAATAGTAAGGGTAAGAGAAAATCCGAAGGAAGGGAATGGAAAATGAATGAGAAGGAAGAGGCGTTGTTGTTAACAAATGAGCGTGAATCCTTTTTTTTTTTTTTTTTTTTCCACTAAAAAAAAACATTGGGCACAGCACAATTGCAGATCATGTGACATAATGCGGATCTTTCCAAATCATGGATATGAATTTTGCTAGAGGTTATCATATAGATTTTTTTTTATTATTGAAAAGCTGAAGGCAATACTGAGGGACAATGCCTACATCAGATGAAAAATCATAATGACAAAAAAAAAAAGAAAAAAAAGAAAAAAAAAGAAAAAAAAAAAAAAAAAAAGAAAAGAAAAAAGAAAAAAGAAAAAAGAAAAAAGAAAGAAAAAAGAAAAAGATAAAAAAAAAAAGATCGCCAGCAAAAGGAAAGGCTATGTAAAATTAGGTGCGTCTTATGGCTTCAATGGACGCCAGTTCAGCACAAGTCATTCATCCTGCGTGGCTGGCCCAGAGTTTGAGTTGTCGCCGCTACCAATGTTCAAGTGCGGTTCAAGGCTGCTACAGTTATGCGCCGACCCCACTCCACTACTTGCTGAGTATGTCGAGGAGCCACTACTACAGCCTTTGCTGTGGCCATTGCCGCTAAAGCTGTTGTTACCAACGCTCAAGTTAACATTGCTGCTACTACCATTGTTCACATTATTGTTAATATTAATGTTGCTGTTGCTGCTGCTGTTACTGTTGATGCTGATGCTGCTGTTATTATTGCTGTTGTTGCTGTTGTTGGTCTTGGATGGCTCACGGATCATACTCAGTTCATCCACCATCCGCTCAGGAGCCCATGGCCTTGTCAACAAGTAATGCCAAATCAACTGCTGTGTTGAACGGATTCCTCCGCTTCCACTGCCTGCACCTGTAGCCCCCAGCCCCAGGAAATCTTCATCATCGTCATCCATGAGCGAGAACTGCATCTGTCTCTCTCTTTCTGCTGCTGCCGCATTACTGCGATACTTGGTTGTCATTTGCAAGGCTGAGCTCAATGAAGGCGCCCGGAAGTGATGCTGAGTCTTGACTGAGGCTTTAATGTAAGCCCTAGGAGGCTGGGGTGAATAACGAGGTCCAGATTGATACGCTGTCAAGGTCAATAGCAAATCCTGGATACGAGCGTCATCTTGAGGGCTGAACGCTGTGTTGACTGTCAAATTTTTGGTCTCTCGAATACTGGAGAAGCCTGGAATCTTGGACAGCAATGAAGAGGAGGATGTAGTGGTTGTAGTAGCAGCACTAGCAGTGGAGCCTGTACTGCTACCACTGTTCTTCTTAACCGCAGCCAACAGATATGTCATATCCATGATAAACGTTCCTAGGAAGGGAATCATAGGACGACGTTCCTTGGACTTTGTCTCGGAATTGCTCCAGCTACCGAGGAAACTGTCAAATCGACCACTACCTGACATGGATGAGGCAGAGTCGGAAAGAATAGGCGAAGAGACATCGGGAGATGTGACTATAGAACCTGCCCAAAGACTGTTCATCATCTCTCGGTACTTGCCATAGTTTCGATCTTCACTCATTAGGTCAGACAGTGTCTCAAACTTATTGATGCTCTTTCGGGGCAGGAAACTCCATGTCCTCTTTAATCGCTTGATTGGTGGCGTGCCTAATGCACACAGAATCGCCTTGAGTGTTTGGAAGTTCTCAAGTTCATGCAACTTGACGGCCACTTTGATCCAGTGGTTGATAATCTGAGCACGGCCTGACGCCTCTGCTGGGAATAAAATCGAATATTCAATCATCCTTGTGAGGTAATTGAAAAAGTCGGTTGAGGCGGTGATGCTGGGATGTGGTGATTTAGCAGTATGCTTCAATAGCGCTGATGGAGGGATTTCTAAAAAGATGGCCGACTCGATTAATGTCAATTGGTAGGCGATCAGATATGGTGGGAACTCCATGATCGATGTGATACCCGCAGATCGGCAGAGAAGTTCACGCACTTTGGCAATGGTTGCCATGGTGTTGCTAATCTGAGAGGTATATTTGCGTGTATCTTCCTGAAGTGATTGGATTTCCAGATCATTTGAACAGTCATCTGAATCATCCTGCTGCTGTTGCTGACGAGCTTGATTGCATAGTTGTTGAATCTTGATATTCGTCTCTTCAAGGATTGAAGACCATGACTTTTCCTTCTCCACCAGCGAACGATGAGTTATCCGAAGAGGTGAAATAGGGATCATGGGGAGATGATCCGCTGGCCCGTACAGCTTAAGGTCAAGCTCGCCCCCATCGTCGCCATTAATCCTTTCCGCCTCGACCAAATTACTTGGATCGACACAGCCTTCAGGAATGACTGCAGCAAGACCACTGCTGTTGTTCCTTAATATCGAGTAATTGGTTTGTGAGAGTGACCGCGTGGTGCCATGTGAACCAGAACTGGTTGAGGGTATATTTGTGGGCGAATTGTTTGGTGATGCAGGAACTGAGGCCGAGGAGCAGACACCGGGGCGCCTTCGCGCTTGTGGAATAGCGATATTTTGTGAAGACATCTTCCTATGCGAATTCTGGCTCGAAGCTATAAAAAAAAAAAAAAAAAAAAAAAAGAGTTAGTATTATTATTATTATTATTATTATTTTACTTTTTGCTATCGTTGGTTCCAGTTGGAAACACTGTCAAAAGCAAAAACGTTTATGTCAGGTCTTCATTACACTGTTGTGACTCGGGCTCATCCTCATCCTCATCGGAAGATTCTTCGTCAGGTGTAAAGTCTTCAGAACTACGCGGCTCATTCAATTTGCGACTCTGTGCTGGTTTTGAAGGCGTATTCGATGATTGCGTCGAACTGAGTACGAAGTGGTCAGATTCAATAATAACAGAAGATGTGCTATCTTGGAGTCGATGATTGGACTCGGAGAGGATAGTGCCAGCATCAGAACAGAGGGGAGGTAAATAGGTCATTGGAGAGGCTGTGTCGAGAGAGAAAGGCTCATCATCTAATATCACTGTTTCTTCCAAAGCAATTGACATCGTTGTTGTCTCTTCTCTCGACTTTATATCTTCATCTTTCACCTGTTCTACATCTGATTCTCCTGCTACTACCTTGTGGACTACTTTTTGTACCTCTTCGTGTGCTTCTGATAATGATGCTGTTCTCTCCGCTTTCTCTACCATTATTTGATGTCTTTCTTCGTCTGACGATGTCTCTTCTTCAATTGTTGTTTCTGCAATCAGTGTTGGTTTTAATAATGGATTGGATAATGTCATTGCACTTGCTATAGAGATTGCTGGCCTCTCATCTTCTGTGCTTGTGGCCTGATCCCTCTTTGTTCTTGTTATCGGTTTATCTGTTGAACTTTGTGAAATATCGAGATCTGATGTTGTGGCATCATTGGACGATGCTGGTAATGATGGTGACGACGATGCTGATGATGACGCTGATGATGTTGATGATATTGATGGTGATTGCGACGGCGAAGACTTTGCAGTTGTATTGGTATTTGATTCAGTTTTCCCTGCTACATTTGCTTCCAGTTTTGAATTATTAACGGTGTTTTTGCTTTTGCCAGCGGCAGCAGCTTGTAACTGTTCTGTCAGCATAGTGACTGTCCTAGCCTGCCCCGAGCTGATCCGCTCCGAGTGTCTAGCGAGGGATGGTTTCCTGAAGGCTGGAGTTTTTGCCTGCTTCCTGAAGGGTGGATTTGTAGTAGGAGGCTCAGTGACAGCAGCAATAGCAGGATCATGCTTTGCCAAAATCTCCTGGACAGAGACCACACAGTCCTTGGTTAGAGCCATCAGTGTCACAGTTGCTCCGGTCGTGATTGCAACTATAGTTTATAGTTTTTATAGGAAGAAAAGGAGAAGCAAAAAGAGCCTAATTAGTCACTAGACTATGGTGGGTCCGTTCAATCATCCAACCAATAACGGCGAAAAACAAATCCTTTGTCCATACCATTGCCAACGAACTTGATGTTCCTCAACTCGACTATAGCTGCATCCAAAACTTCGAGGTAACTAAAGTATGCTCCCTATATCAGCGAGTAGCATATCCATGAAGATGAAGAGCAATTGGTCAATAGTAAGTAAGCGTGGACATTTAAAAAAATTAACGGACTAAACTCAAAAGCGAAAAACTAAAGAAAACAGGGGGAAGATAATAGTCATGGTTGAAACATAAAATGCAAGTACAGAAACCCAAAACTTTAAAACCAAAAACCAAAAACCAAATCTCTTTCTTTCTCTCTCTCTCTCCACATCAATGTGCATGTAGAAAGCTTTGGGCTCGTGCCCTCCTGTATTTCTAAGTACACAAACTCACACATTCACACATTGCTTATCTCTATCGTGCTTTCTTTTTTTTTTTATTGATGTGATATTCCTTTTTTTCCTCACCTTGATATTCTTAGCGGCGAGTGTGTCTGCTGACTTGGTTCGCAACCGCTGGAGCTCATCCATCTTTTATTTTTCTTGTAAGAATAGGATAATAGAGCAACCAGACAGCCTTTGAGCAAGTGAAAGCGAAGAATAATTTCTGTTTCTGTCTTTTTTTGGAGTGGATTAGATCTTCAGTCGTGACAAGGTCGAATTTAAAACGGGGGCAAAGATGAAAGGGATAGAAATAAAGAGTGAGAGCGGGGTAAGAATGAGAGCGGGGGCGAGAGTAAGAGCGGGGTAAAAGTGAGAAAAGTAAGAGAAGAACAAGAGCAAGGGAGTGAGGACAGTGAGGTAGACGTAAAGAGGGATTAGGATTAAGTCAAGGTTAATGTCAAGGTCGAGGTCAGAAACGAAAGGCGACGAGCGAGTCGAATGGAATGGGTAGAATTAAATCGAGAGGGGGTATTTTCGTGAACAGAGGGGTCGTTGTTGAAGGTGCTGAAAAGCAATTGATGGTCGTATACGGTTGTAAATAACGGAGAATTGTGTATAGGTGTATGGTAAGGGATATCGAAGTGTCGAAAGAGAATTGACAGGGACAGGGACAGGGACAGGGACAGGGATAGGGATAGGGATAGGGACAGAGAAGGAATAGTGATTGGTATTAAGACAGGAATAGAAAAGAGTCAAAGATAATGAGAATGACGATCGTATAGAATAATAATGAATCAATGAATGTGAATGAATGTAATGGACAGATGGATTCGATGACAAAACTGAATCAAGGAACAAAAAAAAAAAAAAAAAGAGAGAGAGAGAGGAGAAAAGGAGAAAGAAAGGAAAGAAATAAAGATTCAGAAAAAAGGGACAGTCGCTTTGCCCATGGCTACATGCATGGTGCATGATATGGCCGAGAACAACCCATCTGGTCATGGTCATGGTCATGGATCGCGATCTTGCTTATAGTTCTTGTAGTGAAATGGCTGTTGTGACTAATGATATAAATATATCAATTCTCTCAAAATACACTCGCTCTCTTGCTCACTCTTCTTATTATATTTCTCACTCTCCTACTACCTCACTCTCATACTCTCACTCTCTCCTCTCATTCTCTCCTCTCACTCTCTATTTCTATATTTTCTATTTCTCTCACTTCCCTTCCTGACTTAGTCTCCGTTTAGTGAATTGATGCGTGCATATTTGTTCCTGTCAATTTCAAACGCAGCACCGCTCCAGCCAAGTAAGTAAAAAAAACTGTTAGAACAACAAAAAAACTATTGTGTAATGCCAATGGATGCATGCAACCTACACGCACGCACAGGACCAAGATTGAGTTAAACGACGTGCATGGGGCACACCTATTTCTTTTGTTTATGTTCATGAAAACAAAGAACGCATATTTGTACACCTGTGTAATGTCGGCGGGAATAATTTATCTTTGACTCCCGGCAAGAACGATGCCACATGGTTGAAAATATAAAAAAAAAAAAAAAAAAAAACAAAAGGAGTCAAGTCAATCTATTTCTTCCCCACCCCTCTCCTTCATCCTCCTCCTTTACTTCCTTTATCGCTCCTTTTATCGCGTTTTGACTCATACACATCCCTCTATCCTTGATGCTCTATTGATCATAATTCGAAGCAATTTCTAAAACTAAATATTTTTGACCCTTCTCTCCCTCTCTCCATTTTTACGCGTACAAGGATGTCGACAAGATCACCAAGGTAATAAAGTAAAAAAAAAAAAAAAAGAAGAAGCACATGTCCATTCTTTCGTCCATTTTTCTTGTCATGCTGACAAAAGACAGGGGTAAAAAAAAAAAAAAAAAAAAAAAAGGCGCGTAACTTGGTGGGTTCGTGCATTGCCAAATAACAGGCATTACGGACTTTTCCCCCTTCCTTTCCCCCTTGATAGATGTCGTCTTGAAGAAAGGAAATGAAATTATTTCATCTTGCTCTTTCCCAACGGTTTGTCTTATGATGTGTAGGGAATCGTTCCTCTTTTTCTGCCTTACTTTCTATTTTTTCTGTTCCTTCTCAGGGCAATCAAAGGAGTGAGAGGGGCCAAAATGAAATGAATTAATTGCTAAATCACGATTTTCAATGACTGTAATGATGAAACAAATTTGATCAGCCAAAGCAAAGTTCAGTTAATATAAAATGATAAATGAACAATTGATTCCTAAATGTAGTAGTTTGGAGGTAGATAAAATTGGGAGTATAATTATATATATAAATATTAATATTTGCTCCCTTACAGTTGCCCCATGCTTTGTTGCTTTTCTACTACTTTGCTTTGCTTTGCTGTTGCTGCTGCTCTTGTCTTTAAACCTGCATATGTATTTTCAATAAATCTGTATTTTGTCCCGATCTTTCATTGTCTATTGTCTGTGGTCATTGGTCCATCCCGTCCATCGGGTCAGAACCTTTTCATTCATACTCCAATGCGCGGTAAAAAAAAAAAAAAAAAAAAATGCTCTCCCGTCCCGTTATAATTTCCCTCCATAAAAAACAGAGCTCTGTTATAAAAATATACATGAGTACGAATGCTCATCAACTTATTTTTTATTTTTTATTCCGCGCCATGTGGCCCTTTGCTTGTTTATTGTTAATGAGTCGTCAATCCGTCTTTTCGTTTCAATGAAATGCAGAGCAGAGAATACATATTTTTATACGTAGATGTATACAACCCTTTTTAGAACCGATCCAAGCTGAGCAATCCATGTTATAGAGTCTTTCTTAATCCTCCACCAAAAAAAAAAAAAAAAAAAAAAAAAACAGAAATAGACATTGTGCAAATGCAACGAATGACAAGACCTCTCCCTTGCAGAAGTCACCATTTGAGATCGGCGTTAGTTTCCGGGAGCCATTTAATACATCCACTTCCTCTTTTTATTTTTTTCAACGCCCTTATGACCCCTATGACACATTAATGAAAGCGTCATGCATACCACATGATGGCTCTCCATGCTCCATAAAAAAACAGGCGCCAAATTTGAAAAGATGGTGTAAAAATACAAATGGATCATATATATTTTTTCTTTTACGTTATACTTGAAATTACTCACAGCATCCATCTCATCTTTACGTTTATGGTTCTACTGCGGTATTTTTTTTTTTTTTTTTTTTTTTTTTTTTTGTTTCTTAAGCGGCTTTTAGGCGACCATGTTATTAAAATTACAATAAAATACTACATATATACTATCTTGAACACCCTTGAGGTCTCCAAGTCCTTTCTGACAAAACAATGACAGATCAGATACAAAGAAAGAATATATATATATAAAGCCTAATTTTTTTTATTTTTTTATCCTTACTATTGTTGAAAGAATAACACGAGCGTCAATCATTAAGAAAGACAAGTTTTCCTTTTTTTTATACGCCTTCTGTAGGTTTACTAGGGAGGTCCTCAGGGCCGAACGCATAGGGCAATAAATCTGCGAGCACAGCACGCTTGTATGTCCTATCATCGTTGACAAAGAAGATTTCAAGGTTCTTGCCGAATTCATTCATGAATTGTCTAAGCATGTTTGTAAAAAGGAAAAGCAATTAATTTAATCATCCAACTCTATTTCTTTTTTGGTTCTGTCTTTGAGCAAAGTTACCCGTTGGGGCGCGGTAATTAATAGTGCACTGTAAATGTGTGAAGGCATTTCTACCGTTAGAACTGAAGTACTCTTTCCATCATACCTGCAGATGCCGCATGGAGTAATATAGTGGTTATAGTCACTAAATTAATACAAGAAAGAATAGCCGATTTGTTAAATACATTGAAGAATGTCCAAAAAGAGACACGCCGCGTGGCTTTTTTGTGAACAAGTTTTTAGCACACGCCGAACACAGAACACAGAGAGTGACAAAACAGAACATTGACTTTGGGATATCTTTCGAGTGTGCGATTATAACGTGTGAATACTTACGAGGAAACAGCAATAGCCACGAATCGCAAATGACCCTCACTCTATATGAGATCATCAAATATATATATGTATATTGTAGAAATCCATGATAATGGTCAATTTTACTTTCTTCATGATGCTTCAATACAGGACATGAAAAATGAACAAGTGACTGGTATGTGAACGTGATTTGAGTTGTTTGTCGTGTCCCGTCCCTGGTGAAGATGCGATTAAGCGACTAATGTTGATTTGGTAAAAGGCGCGTCCCAAACCTGATCGAAAGTTAAGCCTCAAAAAAAAAAAATCATCGTTTACAAAAACTTACAACTGCCTTCACAAAAGCGGTTCGTTCGGCGCAAATGGCTCCTCCTAAGCACCGCGTTGATGAATCGAATCCCAATGCGCAGTTACCCGGTATGGCATAGCAACAAAAAGTAGGTAACACCAATAATTTTTATGTGCATGTTTTGTGCGTGAGAAGAGACATTAAATTGTAATAATCGGTTGTACATCAATGTCAGTCTATTATCTTCTCATTATTTTGGCTCTTTTTTTTTCTGAAAAGATATGCAACAGCCTTCCTATGATGGCCCCAGTTTGATCACTTACCATATGAAGCGTTCTCGACGTTGCAGCCTTTTGAAACAAAATAAAGAGTAAAAAAAAAAATTAGTTAATAAGAGACCATAGTCATGCTCACTAAGAACATTTTGAAGATCGGCTTGGCAACACAATGAAATTTTCTTTTATTTCCTTCTTTCTTTTTACCTTTAAAAACTTGTCCATCTACTGTGCGCAAAGCGGCACCTATACGAAATTTAGAGTATGGGGAGTACGAGTGATTTCTAGCTACAAATATGTGAGAATTATATATGCATGAAAGCGTGAATACGTAGACAAAACATGTTTGAAAGAACCAAAAAAACGTAGAGAAGTATAAGATGTCCAATGGGAATGAGTTGAGTGGAACAAGAAAATGAAAGAAATGTTAGGATCTTCATACCCCGACAACATGCCACTTTATGCCACTTTTTGCAAATAGGCCATTGTCCACTTGGACTGGGGTGCAAGGCAGTTGTGAGAAAATGCCATCTGATACGATTAAAAAAAAATCATAACAAATAAACCATGTCCATGAATAACTAACTATTTCTTTACTACTTCTGCTTGGTTTAATATTTTTTCCTCACCTTCGAGGGACTGAGTAATGAGGTCCTCGATTTGGTCATTTGTAAGAACAGACATGGTGCGAATCCTAAATGTAACTAATCAAGAAATTGATGAATGAAAAAGCAAAAATAGGGGAAAGTAGACAAACGATACACAGTGGACAGGGAAGTGAAGAAGAATGAGAGTGAAGTCAAAAGAAAGAAAGAAAAAAAAAAAAAAAAAAAAAAAAAATCTTCTGGTTGTTGGTCTGTCCCTTTTTTTATATTTTTTTGTGAAGAACATGATGTGGGATTGGTATATTTATGTGTAGATGGAGACTAATTGGATGCATACCATGCAGTTTTGCAAACGAGTCAAGACAAAAACCGTATCTTTTTGGCTTCAATCGATCGATTTCTCAACTCTGCAATGGTGTCCGTTGTGCATACAGTACAATAGTGGAATAGCATGCCATGACAATAAACGGCGTCTTCGTTCAACAAAGCTCTTGTCACATTTTATCTTTATTGGTTAAACTGCCACTGTGGACAACAGTCGATGCAGAGCGTTGATACAAATATACAATAGCATGCCGTATTGCAGCAGTTCACCCATTCTCCTTTCTCAGTGCGTATTGCATAGAAAGCCTTGGAGAGCGAACATTCAAAAAATATATCGCCGACTTCTTCATTGGAACAATTATCTGCACACCGGGGTCTATTTCCCGTCAAACCCACCGGTAAAAGAAGAAAGCCGATCTCCTTTACTTGATCATTAATATTGATGAATACCCACTTATTGGAAAAATAAAAGAAAAAAAGTGAAGAGCGAAGAGTAGAAAAACCTTGACTTAATTTATCACGCTATTGCACATAAACTGTTTCGGATGACTCTTTCACATCACTATTTACAGTAAGGAAAACAGAAAAAGACATCCAAAGTTTTCCGATGTCGCCCTGCTGTACACAGCCGATGCGCCGAGGCGTTGTCCAAAAGTCCTATTTTGCAGTGCCCTTCTGGCCCAAACAAAAACAAATCGACTACTAAAAGAGAAAATATCTATTTCTTCCTGCGTAACCAAGCGTCTCTTAGGTTCTCGAACGTTCAGATCCATAATCGTAGTGAGTTTTACTTTGTATCCTTTTCGTTTTTGATCATTTTCGCGTATATATTATTGATTTAATGGCTGACTCACTAAAAACAAGTTCGAGGATCATGCATGAGCAATGAATGGAGTGTTCTTGGTTAGGGGACGATTGGCTGAATATTTTACAAGCGAAGTTATATGTGTTTGGGTCTGGTCTGGACTCGGTACTTTGAACTCCTTCGTCTGTTTTCGAAAAATGGATTGAAGAGGTTTGATTAAAGCAGACAGTTTGTCATGCTTCCTTATCCGATAGCCGGTTAAAAGCTTCGCACTGTGATTGTTCCCAGTCAGGGACACGAATTTCCGCACCATACCAAGTCGGCCACAATTTTGTCAGATTTAACGATATCCGTAATGCTGTGGGAGTGACTGATGGCACCAAAAATGCTAAACAGACTTACGCGCTCCATTTAGTACCGCACAATGATGGACGCGTGCCAAAATTCCAGCACATGCAATCAGTGAGAGACGCGTAGAATGACTCCAATGGAAGTTGAGCGCTACCAAATAAAAACCCTATCATACCCAGGACCTTCTGTCTTCCACTTCTTCTTCATCCTCCATTTTCCTTGGCCATCTCTCCTACGCTCTCCTCAGCTTATTGTATCCTAACAGAGCCAAACCTTTTTGGACTCAATTCTTTTTCTGTTCCTTCGCTCTTTGGTAAAAAATTGCAAACTGCATACAGTGAGTGAGCGCTGCTCCGTTCGTCAAAGCCCACAAGGCATAACAACAATAAATGGCTTCCCGTCAATGCCCTTGACCATGGACTGTGCTTTGACAATGGACCTTACTGATTTTACAAGACACTGTCTGATCGGGAGTCGTTGTAGAGCAATATTGGTATGTGCATTGCCTTCGTATCTCCTGCAGTAGCTTGCCTTTCCGCGCTCGAGACATTGCCGCAGCTGCTAGGCTCTATTTCAAACGAGTACAAACCTCTGGTAACACTCAGGATTGACAACAAGAGGCAAAGTTAACAGTAATTGCGAAGTTGTGACCACTCCTTTTTCCAGTTGTAATTAATGTCTCCTGACATGACTATGGATCTGGTTGTCTGCCAATGAATTATTGAAGACCGGAATATTCCTTGTTTTAGGCAACTGCGCCGCCTAAAACAGATCTGAGCTGGTGTGAACCAATTGAGTTTTTTTTTTTTTAAAAAAAAAAAAACCAAGATAGGAAGATGACATTTTTTATGAGTTATATATAGGATGTGAGAAGTGAAGGCGTAGATAATACATTCCGGCTCCTCCTCTTGACCATCAGAGAGAAACAAGAATAGAGTTACAGTTTTATGCTTTATTGACCATTAATGATAGTTGGCATTGAGCATTTAACAAAAAAAAAAAAAAAAAGAAAAAAAAAAGAAAGGCTCCTACTTAAAGGAAAATGAGCGCTTCTTTTTTGTTGGCAACGATAAAAAAAACTTGTCGAGCTGGGTTGTCTCCATATCCTCTTGAGTATTCGCCATGAAAGATGATTGGCATTGAGCCATATCCATATTCGTACTCAATGTTTTCTTGGTTTGGTAATCTTCTTTTTTTTTTTTTTTTTTTTTTTAGATTTTTTTTGGTACCTTTGATTAATAAGTAGAGCCAAGGAAGAAGAGATGGTTAAAAAGATTGAAGGTAGTTACGAAGGGTGAGATATTTGTTGATGAGAGACCTGATTACAATGAGAACTTGTTACTAAACATTTCTGTTACGCGAGTAGACTTTGGTGCGACAGCACGTAGATAATCGAATAAAAGATTGCTGGGCATGGGGAGTTATAATCCATCAGTCTCAACAACCGTTATGATCACTACGGTAATAGAGCCCACAAATATGGGTGACTGTATATAATTAGAGGGGGATACATGCTACATGTATATGAAATGTATTAGATAAAGGTATCGTTTTGAAGTTGGGATCGCAAGATCGTGAGGAAGAAAGACACCAATGCTTTTTTTTTTTTTTTTTTTTTTTGCTGTGTTAGTAACGAATATTTGAGCAAGTTAGCTGTTATCATAAGGAGCAAAAAAAAAATAATCCATGGTGTAAATTACTGCATATCTCTCTGCATGGATGGCCTGTGAATGCATCTGAGCATATTAAATCATTCACAACACCATTCAAGTGTTACCGAGTCCCACTAATCAACTCGCTCGCTTCTGCCTTGGAAGGTTTTATTTTCTTTGTTGCGTCTGTGTGCTTGTTTTCTTTTTTTTCTTCTCTTTTTTTTTTTTGTGCCTCGTGCTTGTTTTCTTATCTCTTTCACTCTTCTTATTTGTCCTTTTTCTTCCTCATCGTCCATCCCCTGTCTCACTCACCCTCCCCTCATCCACTTTCTCTTTGATCAATCTCGTCTTCATTTGCTCTCTTTTCCGCATTTCATTTACTCCATTCAGATGCAAAATCTTAGACGATCTCTCCAGAATAAAAACAGCTCTGGTGGTCTTTCACCCAACCGCGCTCCCGCTGCGCTGGCCCCGCCACGCAAGGTTATCAAAGCCCTTTACGATTATAATTCCTTGCAGAGCGAGGAACTCTCCTTTACCAAAGGCGACTTTTTCCACGTCGTTGGTAATGAGGACGACGAAGATTGGTACGAAGCCTGCAATCCTGTCACTGGTGCCCGTGGCTATGTTCCTGTCACCTACTTTCAGATCTTAGAGAAAAGCCAGCGCAATAGCAACCATAGCGAGGAGAATGGCAATGATTTTGGGTCGCATACAGATTCTTCACAGGGACAAATCTATCAGCAACCACAGCAACAACAGCAACAGCAACAACAACAGCGGCAACAACAACCGCAACAATCAACTACCCCGACGCAGAAGTCAAAATTTCAGCCCTTATATGGTATTGTCCTCTATGACTTTAATGCTGAGAGACATGATGAGCTGGATGCCAAAGTTGGTGATGCCATTTTGGTCATAGCTAAATCGAACGAAGAGTGGTATGTTGCCAAGCATATTGGAAGGCTTGGAGGTCCTGGATTGATCCCTGTGAATTTTGTCGAGATCAGAGATATGGCTACTGGGAAACGTATTGATGTGCAGGAGATGCTTCGCCAGACAGGAACAGCCATTCCTCGCATCGAAGAATGGAAAAAGCAAGCTTTAGAATATAAAGCAAATAGCATCCCTCTTGGTAAGCTCGAAGCGGGCGAAGCTCAGCAACAACAACAGCAGCAACAACATCATCAGCATCAATCATATCATCAACAGGGTGTAAACCCACAACAATTTATGCAACAGCATCAATCAAATCAGAATACAGGACCAACCCTCCAACAACTCAAAAACAAAATGTCGCGAGGAGATCTCAAATCCCAACAGAGAGAGCCTAATCTTCGTGGACATGCCTCTCAGGACTTTGATTCTGCTAGACGTATGGTAAAGTGATCGCTCCTGAATGCTCTCGTATATTTTTTATTATTATGCTATGCATCTTGTCCGGTCCTTGCTATATTATTAGCCACTATTTGGGGTGCTCATTATAGGCTTTTGAGCCATCTACTGTGATGACAAACATAATGTGTTTAGTTTAAGCAAGCAGAGATCTTTATTTTTCCTTTTTGCCCACAGACCCCACAATTCGGAACTTTTTTTCTCTGCTATTTTAATATTTATTACCAATGATGCGAATGTAATGTCAATAGTGCTAGTGCTAATACTCTCATGTTAAATTTACAATAGACGAATCGTGATGAAGGAAACGGAATGAATACAGGAACAGCATCAAGTAAAGGAAATAGCGATTCATATGACAATCACGATTTGGATGTGCCGCGACTTTTGTTTGCGTCTGTAGAGTCATACTTTCAAGAGGATGATCAATACTGGTTCACCGTCAAGGTTGAGTTATCCAATGGAATGACGCGGACATTGTATCGATTGTACGAAGATTTTTACGAGTTTCATATTGCGTTACTCGAAGAGTTCCCTGTAGAGTCTGGCAAAGTGGGCGACCAACCTCGGATCCTACCTTTTATGCCTGTTCCGCTTCAAGTTGTCACAGATACTATCACGGCAACCCGTCGGGCAGACCTGGATGAATATGTTAAGGATTTGTGTGACTTGCCCTTGAGGATCACACAACATCCTCTTGTAGAGCGGCTATTTGCGCTAAAAGAAGGAGATATCGAGATACCAACAAATGGAACTGCAGGTAATGGCAGAACCTCACCATCTATCGGACGTTCAACGCCTTCCAGTAATATGTTCCATTCAGCCAATCCAGCAGATCGACGCCTGTCGCCTTCGGCAGGACCTCGAGCTGTATTTGCATCCAAGTCACAGCAAGGCTCTGGAAGCTACCGCGGCTACCCAGATGACTCAGTATCTACCTCTACTTCACCTAGCCTGCGCTCTCAGTCATCATTTGCGGGGGCACCGCCATTGAACGGTAGTTCTGAGGAGATGATTAAACTCAAGATCTCGTTCCAGGAAGACATTATGGCAATGAGGATACCTGTTTCCATCACTTTCCGCGCGCTTCAGCAAAAGGTTTTTGAACGCATTGATACCGACAACCGTGAGCTAAGTTACCGCGACGAGCGCGGAGATTTTGCAAGGCTCCAGAATGATAGCGATGTTCGAGATGCTATTGATCGTAGTGGAGGAAAGCTCATGATCTATGTGGATTAAGAGTAATTTAGTAACAATATCCCGATCCCCTAATCCATGCATACCTATTTATTTTTGTTTATCGCAATGTAATACCCATGCGAAAAAAAAAAAAAAAGAAAGAAAGATAGAAGATGCACATCTCGCTGTGTAAGAGCAATAAAAAAAGCTTACATATTGGCACGTGTTGTGATCAAATTCAGTGGCGTTATTTGCCCTGGTGTTTGTGAAATTTTTTACAAGATCTTCTCGTCCGTCTGCTGGACAGCAAGGTGAAGGAGAGGTCACACATTTTACAGACATCCTTTCACCATCAGCGTACACTCATTTCTGGATCTCTTCATCGACCAATCATGACTGCAGAGCAGATCTTCATTGACGCCCCCGTCCAGGATCAGGTACCCAAGCCTTATTTCATTTTCAGCCCTCGCATTTCTATCATTTCAGGCAACTTGAAAGATCTTCAGCCCTTCAATCTGTGCCTTACAGAAATCATAGAGGCGTAAAATGCAACCGTTGTATAGGACTACTCATAGCAGGCCTTTAATCCCCATTGATCAGCAATGAGATTCAAAGAAGCATTTGTCATGATTATTCTTGATCCCTCGAGTAAAAACAATAATGAGAGAGAGAGAGAGAGAGATAGAGATATCAAAAAAAAAAAAAAAAAAAAAAAAAAAACCAACAGTACCAACAGAAAGGATTTTCAGTTCCATATAGCAGCCATGAATCTTTTTAACTGAATCATCAAAGAATGTTTTCGCTAAGAAGAACATTGGATATTCATGGAAAAAGAATGGAAGAAGCTTCTTTTTCTTTTTCTTTTCTTTTGCTTCCGGAAACGAATATTAACTTATATTTTCGCTTATATAATTGTTGTCGTGCTGTTTAGGCTATCGAGCTGGCCACTTACATTAGCTCTCTTCGTAGCGATGAATCTGAGGCTCTTGTTAAGGAACTCGTTCCTTTAGTTGAGGGCAACAAGGTTGTTGATGCCACCAAGGTACTTGTTAGAGAGTGCAAGACTCTTTTGGAGGCACCAGAGAAGGGTAAGAATGAAGGAAAAAAGAAAAACAAGAAAAAGGATAAAATGTCGATTGAAAATGAACCTCGTACGCTTCTCATTTTCTGACGACTGTGTAAACCATCTGATTTGTATGTTTATATATATACCTTTTTCTTTTCTTTTCTTTTCTTTCTTTCTTTCTTTTTTTATTAATGGTGTATTAGAATTCGAGTCTGCTTTCAATCTTCTGCTTGTCATTGTTCTTGAAGCTGACAAGGATAGTGTCGAGGATGTCCTCAAAGTTTTGATCTCTGAGCCTACTCAAAAAACACCCATCAAGTTCAAGGTGTAAGCTTTTTATTACTATTTTGTATACATGTTTATATCAGAATCTCTCTCGTCAATTTTCTGACTGACAGCCCTTTCCATATTTTGGGATCTGTTTTTAGACTTTCAAACATCTTCAACACTCTTTCTGCCAACTCTAGTCTTCGTCTCTCCGTTTTCAACTCGATTGTGGACTTGGCTGTGGCGAGTGATGATATGGACTTGGTTCTTCCCCAGCTTCAGTATGTCTCCTCCTGGGTGTCTGAGTGGGGTGTTAATATCCAAGCTGAGCGTGATTTGCTCTTGACTCTTTCTGATCGCTTGAAGAAGACTGGTAACCCGTAAGTCAAAGAATGTTACACTTTTTTCCCCTCTTTATTTATTATTATTATTATTATTATTATTATTATTATTATTATTATTATTATTATTATTATTATTATTATTATTATTATTATTATTATTATTATTATTATTATTATTATTATTATTATTATTATTATTATTATTATTATTATTATTATTATTATTATTATTATTATTATTATTATTATTATTATTATTATTATTATTATTATTATTATTATTATTATTATTATTATTATTATTATTATTATTATTATTATTATTATTATTATTATTATTATTATTATTATTATTTTTATCTCTAATTATTAAGCTCCTCCTTCATTCTTTTTATTTTATTTTATTTTATTTTTAAACATAGTTACCAATCCAACGAGTTTCTTCTCAAGTATTTAAACACATTCAACTCTCAGACTGCAGAGCTGGACTCTCAAAAGGACCACGCCAAGCGCGCAATCGTTGAGTCTATTGCCTTACCTGAGGTTCTCAACTTTGAGAATCTTCTCAAAGTCGATGCTATTCAACACATTAAATCCGAGAAAGCCTATGAGCTCCTCTCTGTTTTTATGAATGGTAATGTTCAAGATTATCGTGCTCTCACTGCCAAGTACAGTGGCCTTGTACAAGAACTTGAACTGAATGAAGAAGAAGCTCTTCGAAAGATTCGCCTTTTGTCGTTGGCATCTTTGGGATCTGAGAATTTGTCCCGCGAGTTGAGCTACCATGAGATTGCCAAGGCTTTGGAAGTGGATGAAGCCGAGGTAGAGTTGTGGGTGATTGATGTAATCCGTGCTGGGCTGGTAGAGGCCAAGCTGAACCAGGTCTCCAGAGTGGTTGTGATCAGCCGATCGATTTACAGGACTTTTGGACAGCCCCAGTGGCAGCAATTGAGTCAGCGCTTGAATGGGTGGAAGCAATCGCTTCAGGAGATCTTGCAAGTTATAGCCAACGCCAAATTGACTAGTGCTGCCGTTAGTACTGCTGTGATTACCAACTAAAAACTAAAAAAGATATATTTTTTTTTGTATTGAACCTTTTTCATCATTTATTATGCTATATCTCGTTTTCTTTTTCTTTTGATAATAAAAGATGTATCAAGACGAAAACTTTACCAGAAATGCATGCGGAGCAAATTTTCTTTTTATTCCTTTCGAAATAGATCTAAAAGTCTACTTCAGTACAAAAGAGCAAGATGATGTTTTATGTTTTTTATTGTCAATCCTGTTCCTTCCCTTTACAGCAGTCTAATTTATTGAATCTGGCCCAAGTAATCTTCCTTTATCGTTCCCACAGCATTCTATAATATACAGATATGTTTTAATATAAATGTTAATTGCTGGAGGAAATCAAGCCGACAACAGATCAAAAAATAAACTTCTATTTCGTTTTTTGATTGACGGAATAGATGTAAGGAAACTTACGATCTGAGTTGCCTGATACTTCAATCCAACAATTTTGAGTCGCACTTGCCCATTCTTTTCGATCATCTATGATTGAGTGTATTGAAAGAAGGAGGGGGAGAAGTCATTAGTTGGCTCTAAATGTTGACAATGTCCATAATGGACTTTTTTTTTTTTTTTTTTTTACCTGGTCATCCCCTCTGTAACAGGGACCATTTGAATCAAACTTGAAATCATTTGGCATTAACTTTTTATAGGCGGTGAGGGAGAGGGAATAGTTGCAATGATAAAATAAAATAAAATAAATAAAAATTAAAAAATCATTCTAAAAATAAAATAAAATAAAACAAACAACGTAGAAAAAACGTTTATTACCTTTTGGGCAACAAAGACTTGCAAAGGCCCAACGTCCGCAAAGAACCCAATCTTTTTTTTTTTTTTTTTTAAAAAAAAAAAAAAGGGAAGAGTTTCAATGTTGTTAACGTAAAGCATTTGAAAAATTGAAAGTTGTTTCCAATAGCTTTTTTATAAATAATAACAATGATAGCTATTGTTGTTACTGTTGCTGTTGCTGTTTGAAAATGTTTGAGATAGTTATCCGAACCTGATTGACACTAGTCACGATCGCGTCCACTACTTCTCCTTTGTAAGGTTTAAAGACAATGGCTTGGTATTGAACCACGAACTCTGCAAGGCCTGATCCGGGTAAGACTTTGCCTGGACTGATGTTGGTAACGGTCAAGACACATATAATGAAGCCAACTCTTCCTGAACAAGTCCCTTCTACATCTCCATGAAGGTTCCGGAGTAGGAACTCCTTCATATGTGGACCAAAGTAAGAAGGATGCAGATTGATTGTATGTGATAAATTCCGCTGTTAACAAAAAAAAAAAAAAAACGTGACAGCGACATCGTATTAGATAATGAGAGGTCATCATTCACTTTGCAGTATGTTGGGCAACAAACAAAGTCGAGCTATGACGAGGATCCCGTTCTTCATGATACATGAAATGAAATAATAGTCAGCTTATTTTCTTTAATTAATGTATTTGTATTTGTCCACAGGCCTTTACCAGGAAGAACATGGTGGGACCAAGATTTAATTTGTACGAAAATGATGTCCAAAAAAAAAAAAAAAAGCGAAATAGGAAGCAGGAAGCAAGCAAAAAGTTTGGGAGAGGAGAGTTTTGCGTAGTCCTGGCGTCCTGTCTTCCTTCCTGGGTCTTTTTTTTTTTTTTTTTTTTTAAAGAGAATCACGCAGAATCAAGTACAGTCGATTCGACTAAGGAATGGTTTAAATATGTAGGGTAATCATGTGATATCACCTGACTATAGTGCAAATTTATTCAAGCTTCAGTTATTCCCTGAGGACTTTGCGGCATGCATAGGCATCTTCACCGTCAGCATAATACTTCTTCTCAATGTCCTGCACACTATCATGGAATATATCTATATCAGTAATTGAATAAAGCAAGAAGTTACATGCAACATTATAATAATACCAAAACTTACGTAAAGTTGAGAGTATCCCTATACAGCTGAAGGGCAGCACGATTGCTCTTGCGAACATGAAGAGAAACATATTTACAGTTAAACACATCGCGCATGGCATTTTCTAAAATGGTATTCATGGAAGAAATGTCCACAAAAGAAATACGTGAGTTAGCTCGAAAATATACTTCATTTTTTGATTCCTCCGCATGCTTTTTTTCATGTTCTTTTGTGTGTTTGATCTTGTGGAAATTTGCTGGCAAGAATAATCCATTAAATAAACAGCTGTATCTCTCCCGCTGTCTTGCTGAAAACCTCTTCCACTGAAGAAAAAAAAAAAAAAAAAAAAAAGGTAAATCAAATTGGTATATTGTGTTCCAAAAAAAAAAAAAAAAAAACTTACGTGATTGAGTCATTAATTTCTCTGCAACACCGAGTCGGCGGTAAGTACGCATTACTGACAAGGAGGTGATGTGTCCATGTGGTTCAGCTGTTGGATCCTCCTCTCTAAATGATTCATACGTTGATTTTCATCGAGTACACCACAAAAGTGAAAAAAAAAAAGGAGAAAAAAAGCCCAAAGATTAATTGTCTCGGCCTTCATCTTGGGCTTTATCGATCTCTCACGGCTCTTGTTCATGTCCTTACAATTTTGCCAGAACATATCCAATGATCCTGCCTTTTTCATCCTCTGCCACATATGAAAGTTGAGGCCAAGTGAGAGAATGATAAAAGTCTATATGAATTGAACGTTTAAAGAATATATGAGACGTAAATAAGTTCATTTTAGATCTGTCTAAGCATTAACACACGTTAATTGTGGAAAAAAAAAAGTTACAAAGCATTGATTATCTCTATTAAACATTTGCCATACAATATTTCATCTGATAATTTTCTGGCAGATTGTGCAAGTTACAGTTTTGCATGGCGATCATATCGTCCAACTAAGAAAAAAAGAAAACGAAGTCTTAGCTTGCATTCGTTTGATTACTTTCTTACTTTCTTTTTTAAAAAAAAAAAAAAAAAAAAAAAAAAAAGCTTCTTTTTCTTGAACTCTGAAACATACAGTAGCCTCACGAATATTCATCTTGAATAGAATGTATCGCAGCGATTCTTGAGGAAGAAGAAGTACTAGTAGGAAGGGGGTCCAGTTCTATGAAGAATGTGTTGAATGCTGAATGCTGAATGTGAATACTCGCGTGTTGAATGACTATCTCCTGATCTGTTTGTGGCTTCACAACCCACAAAGTTGCCTCTCCAAAAAAAAAAAAAAAAAAAAAAAAAAAAAAGCCGGCCGTTCATTTTAAGATAACTTTTTTTTTGTGGTTATTATAACTCATATTTTGCAATCCGGGGTTTTGGTTCTTTTCACATCTAAGATAATGTAAACGGTGGTAAGAGGCCCCTGTTGGAAAAAACGAAGGCCCCGTCTGGCTCGTACCTTTTTTTTATATCATTATCATATGGTGAGCATTAAATTCCATAAAAGGTATTACTGCGATTGAGCGCACAATTGAGCCAATTGAACTTGACGGACACGCTCTTTCGCTCCCCTTAAAAAATTGTTTGAGCCTACAGGAGTGTGGAAGAGGGATGCCTACCGCCACCAAAAAAAAAAAAAAAAAAAAAAAAAAAAAAAACAAACAGACAAAGGCAATAGAAAGGTCTGCCTCAGGAAAACAATGAATGAGTAAGCGGCAGGGTTCTGTCTCTGTTGAGTATTTTTTTGTATGGTTAATGGTATTCTCACTTACTTACCTTTTTGACTCTTCTTACATTTTCCAATCTGGTCATTTATCTAATTTATAAAGTAAAATACTGTGTTGAAGAAAAGATAACGTGCTCAGGAGTTAAGAGTGATATGGAGGCAAAGAAGCGTATGGTTGTTGATCATATTTTTTCATTGTGGGCTGCTATGCCCTGAAACCTTGCGCCCATTTGTGTTTGTGTCTTTTGCGCATGGCTTGGTTTTTTTTTTAAAAAAATACCGCAACAATTCACAATGACCCACCCCTTTCCATGCATAAAAAAAGAGTTCGTCGGTTCCTTCCGATTTTACCTCTTGACAAGTCAACCCTCAAATGAACTCCCTCTCTCTTTTCTCTGTCTTCCAGTTTTTCCATCCATCCATTCTAGGAATCACAAACCAACTGTTTGTTTTTAGACACTACTATTTACATTTCTCTGGACTTCAAACACACATTCATTCCTAACCATGGCTACTGTCCATAGCCTACCTACGGGCACTAATTCCGTAGAGCCACGCCATGACACTCTTCCCGAGGACATGTCTTCGCCTGTGCTCCCCTCTGACCCAGAGTTTGACTCGGCTGAGGAGCACCAACCCACTCGTACACCTTCGCCACCATCTGGTCCTCCTATTACAGGCGCAGCTTTGCCTTCCAATAACAATACAAATACATTTGATAATGCGCAACACCATTATCAACAATTACAACACCAACAGCAACAACAAACAACACCCCTCAGTCAGCAGGATAGGAACTCTCAGCGTACCTTGCATGTCCCTGCTCCACTCCGGAGGCACACTAGCAACAGCTTCATGGCTTTCAATGAGATGCCTACATTAAACGCTTTTCTTAATCACTGTAACCTCTCGCAATATCTTCAATCATTTACTGATGCTGGTGCCACTGATGAATACATGCCGCTTATGATTGATTTTGACGACGACGACCTCAAAACTGTTATGGAATCTATTCCCATGAAGCCTTTCCATGCTGTTGCTTTTCGCAAAGGTATCCGTGACTTGCGAGAAAGAAGCCGTATGGGGTCCATGCACTTCGATAATTCACAGAGCTCATTTATGCAGCCAGAACCACACAGCACGCTTCATTACTCGCATTCACAATTCTTCCAGCAACCATCTCAACCTTCACAGGTTTCACATACTCAGCGGTCGCATTCATCACAGACATCAGCCAGTCTTTCACAGCCTTCAAGGGGATATAGTCATCATCCTAATTTGTCACAACAGACCCCAGAGTTATATCATCAGCCCTCCATCTCTAAAAGCAATTCCCAAAGACAGAATTCACAAACCAGCTCTTCACAACCACAGGCACCTTCATTCATCCCAACACCATCGCAAGTGCTATCTGGCGGAGCGATCTATCAGTATGTTGGGCCTGCACCACGTAATGTGGAGGCTAACTACGTTTCTCAACCAGTTACTATCTTCCATCCAGAGCAAAGGACCCCTAGCAAGGTAAACATGGGTTAAAACCTAAATCTAGGGAATGGTTTTGATCGATCTGATATCTGAGTTACGATGTGATATTTGACATGGTGACTGACTAAAATGTAAGAAAAAAATGTTTTGAATTGACGTATTATAGAACGAGCATAGACCACTAAAGCGTAGACGGTCCTCCACAAAGACTCCTCCTAATACTGTAGTTGAAGACTCATCGCCCGTATTGCCAGAACCTAGCTCATTCAACTCTAGTTCCTCTTCTTCATGGGGTGCTAATACACCCAATACTATGCAGAGCTCCTCCAATACACAGCAAGATGCAGCCACTCGAGAGATGATTATGCATCAAGCGCTCATTTATGGGAAGGATTCTTCTCGGTCCTTGACAAAGTACGAGCATGCCATCAATTGCGCTGCTCAGAGTCTTGCTCTCGAAGACCCTAGTTTACTGACGAACAAAGGAAAACTTTGGACCAAAGCTAAAGCAAAATTGCTAGAAGAAGATTATGAGTATAAACGGGGCAAATCTCGATCCAAATTGCCAGAAGCCGAGCGGAAAAAGGATCAAAAGAGTAGTAAGGAGCGTTTAGTTCAGAAGAGAGAGGCCAATGCATCAAATGCTGCTAAGCTTCGTGTTCGCCGTATCAATTCGCTCAACGAGCAATTTCATCGTAAGACTGCAGATCGTGAGGCTCTATTGGCTCATCTCCTTCGTCTTGAGTCGCCAGAGTATAAGCAATCAAATCCGGCGACTTTCGAAATGGATGCGAAGCAAGCTCGTGAAGACTTGACGCGTGTGGAGAATGAACGACAGACTATCTCTAAAGAGCTCGGATCGCTCAAGAACAAAGAGCGGAAGCACCAATGGTACGAGAAGAGGAAAAAGGATCGGGCTGAAAACGGAGAGCCATCTGAACAAGAAGACAAGGCTTTGAATGCCGGAACAGATGCTGAAGCAGATGGAGAGGCAGAGACGGATACAACGGTGGATCCTGATGGCGATGCCAGTCAAAAGGCTCAAGCAGCTAAGCCGGAGCCTGCAGTAAGCTCCTCATCTGCATCAAAACAGGAGTCAACACTATCGAAACCAATTACCTGGAAACCTCGAGCAACCGTACTGACACCACCTGCACCGGCACCCACAGCTTCGAATGACGTTACTAAGCCAACGTCACGACCTAAGAAGCTAAAAGATGTATTTCGAGTTAGCGAATACACGCCGGTCGTGAAGTCGTGAACTCAGAGCGGTGTGGGTCAGATTATCATCGCATGATTGAAAAAGAGTGAACACAAAGCTCCTACTTGTAATTATCCCATTACTCCATTTTCTTTTTTCCTTCTTTTTTATTTTTACTATCAACCTGTCCTATATATACTTTACTTGGTGTTCTTGTGCTGGTCGTGCTTTATGTAAGGCATGTTTTATGTTTGCCGTGCTCGTAAATGACCATCGCTTTACACGTGAATACGACACTTGTTTCCACAATTTGGTAGCCATTGATAATACCACCAAAGGGAAAAAAGCGCTTCGGAGAAGGAGCACTTCAGAATGAATGTATACATACTTGAAAATGTTTATTGAAGCACAGTTTAATATGCCTTTAGAGACATCTAGCTGGACCCACATTCAATATTAAGCAGATCTGTTCTCATGATGATGACGCGAAATGATTTTATTTTTAAAGGTTGACGACTTTGGCAAAATTTGTTGTGTATCAATTGAGCACAATCCTGGCTAGTGAGCGAAAATGTGAAAATGGACTAACATAAAGAACGGAGAATGTTCTACTTTAAGTTCTATACACGTACACGTTGAATGAGTTGAGTGGGTTGGAGGGACGTTTATCTGTCACAAATCGAAGTTGTCAGCATAAATACAAAAGATGGGTACAAACAAGACACAGCTTGTTTTTTTTAGCCTCAGACAAAAAAAAACTTTTTTGGTTCCTGGTCGTGGCACCCATATCTCTCTCGGACCAATTATCGAGCCCTACTTTTTTGACCCCCTCTCTTCTTTTTCTTCTCTCTCTTTCTTTCTTTTCTTTTTTTCTTTTTTTATTCACACACTCCATTCTTCTCATTCCTTTCCCCTCCACCTCCCTCCGATTGTGTCTATTCTTGTCGTCATGGAGCAACTCCTCAAGTCACCTCAGGACTTTTTTATTGATTTTGCTAGGAACTTCGGTGTCCTCGCAGCTCCTTATGTCGACCCTCTCGAGGCGGCAGTGAGGGGCCAGCTGGAGAAGCTTTTCCCCACAGCGGTTCAGCATGTTGACCGGTTCCTGAGTGCGGTAGAATCGCCCTTGGCAGTTCAAAATCTTCCATTGATGAATGGATTTCATGTATTTTTGATCGCAACCGCGTATTTGGTGGTTGTCTTTTTGGGAATGCAGATCATGAAACATTTTGAACGATTTGAGGTCAAGACTTTTTCATTGCTTCACAACTTTGTCCTGGTTTCAATCAGTGCTTACATGTGCGGAGGAGTTCTTTATGAGGCTTACAAGTCCAACTATGGATTGTTTGAGAACTTAGCGGACCACTCTAGCAAGGGATTGCCTGTAAGTATCCGTGTTTTTTTTTTTTTTTTTTTTTTTTTTTTTTTTTTTTGTTTTCCCAAATGGATCCTTTTCTTCTTTTTTGAGTTTATGAGCAAAAGAAACACGTATGCACCTTGATACATTCGAAAAAAAAAAAAAAAAAAAAAAAAAAAAAAAGAGATCTGCACACAATTCGTTCTCAACTGTACCATATTATTCAAGTTACGAATTGACACCTGAAAATAATGCAGCGGGAAGGAATTAGGGAGGGAATATGCTTTCAACAGAAAAAAGACAAAAAAAACTTTGTACTCCCACACTTTTCGCATGATTCATGAACAAGAGTATAGCAATGCGCTGACAGGAACTATGCCACGGAACTTGAGCATTTTTTGCATCTGGAAAAAAAAAATGTCTAATAAGCAAATAAGCATGCGCACGCTTACAAACCGGCGTATGTACAATTTGAGTCCACGACAGACTTGACAAAACACATGTCTAATTTATTTTAACCTCCTTACATCTAGATGGCCAAGATGATCTGGCTCTTTTACTTTTCCAAGATCATGGAGTTTGTTGACACGATTATCATGGTCCTCAAGAAGAACAACCGCCAGATCTCGTTCTTGCACGTCTATCACCACTGCTCCATCTTTACGATCTGGTGGCTGGTCACTTTGGTTGCCCCCAACGGTGAAGGTAAAAAAAAAAATAACAAGATGCAAATGGCGTGTACTTGGTGTTTCATAATGAATAATGAAACCCCGCATATTTCTGTTGGAATGTTGGTCATTTCTTCTGAACTAAAATATCAACCTCAAAATCAACCTAAATCAATAATAGCCTACTTCTCTGCCGCATTGAACTCCTTCATTCATGTTATTATGTACGGCTATTACTTCCTTTCAGCTCTTGGCTTCAAGCAGGTTTCCTTCATTAAGTTCTACATCACTCGCTCACAGATGACTCAATTCTGCCTGATGATGATTCAGGCCTCGTGGGACATGTATTCCATGAAGGTTTTGGGTCGTCCTGGATATCCCTTCTTTATCACTGCTCTTCTGTGGGTCTACATGTGGACCATGCTTGGTCTTTTCTACAACTTTTACAGGAAGAACGCCAAGCAGGCCAAGCAGGCCAAGCAGGCCAAAGCAAAGAAGTTGCAGTAAAAACAAAAAAGCATAGAATAAAAAAGGAGATGCTGGCAATAAAATAAAGAATGGAAAGAAACAATCGCTCTGGTCCATCTTTTCATTGCCGTCGTGTTTGTGCTTGCATATCATTTTATACTTTATTGCTTTGATATAGTTTGTAGGATGTCCTCTATCAATGCAATACTCTCTATTTTACTACATTTACTCACTTCGCATCATCGTCATCATCACTCTGGTCATCAAGATCAGTATCCCATTCATCTTCCCACTCGTTACCCGTGACTAGTATTCCACGACTCTTCCAATAGGCTTTTCCATAGGTGCACAAGATTTCTTCACCTGGCTGAATCCGTTTAAGGACTTTACAGCCCATTCGGACCTGTCCTGTGATCACATCTCTATGGAGGTCCCAACAGACGTTGGGACCTTGCTCTTGAGTCCTGATCCCCCTGAAATCATTGACGAACCGTCCATGGTTACCATGGACTGAGGCATCAAGGTTGAGATCATTACAGAGGTACAATGTATGGTCCGAGTTGGGATCTGCATATCCATCAGGGACGACTAATGAGATATAATCCAACAGATGAAGGCCTGGCCGTAAGAGTTTTGTAGCAAAAAGACCATATGATCCAAGCACTGGATGATCTGGAGGAGAATCAATGAATCGGATTTCGTAAGGTGGGGGATCTGAGGAGAGAGTTCGAAGAGAACCAGGGATGGCATGTCCGATGGGTATATCGTCATAGTCTGACTCGAGCTCACTCCTTGGTCCATCATCACCCTCTTTCTCCTCCTTATTTTTATTACTATCATCACTCTCGTTTTCCTTATTCTTGTCCTCTTCATATCTTTCTTTTCTGTCTTTTCCAAGTGCCTCTATCTGTTGTAGCTCCTTTTGTTGACGTCGACGTCCTTGTACAATATCAAGGAGAGAAACAGGAATTGACAGATGATATTCATAGTCAAGTAGATATTTGACATGTTTGGGCCAATTGACAGGCAATAGATCTGGATCGATAGTTGAGACATGTTCTTGTGTCTCCTGCTGTTGTAAAGGCTGCTGCACAATTGATGATATCGTTTTTGGCATCAGCAATTGTTCTAGGTCCTTGTTTAACTTGGCGTTAACGATACTCTCGATCTTCTCAGCATCGAGGGGATCCATAGGAGCAATATCTTGATTATACTTCTTATTGCCACCAAGTGGCCTTTCTTTTCCTGTAGAGTTCATGGAGTTGTTTGTGTTTGCTTCTTTAACAATAATAAATAAACTATACATGATTCCAACGATTTTATTTAGGTACCGTGGCTTGGAGTATTTCTTGGAATGCAAAAAGTGTTTTCCATTTCCACACGACCTCCATTATAATTATCATTTAAAACAAGCAATCATGTCTGACAGAGTAAGACACATCCAATTATGGTTACATGGGACATAGGAAGGATGAATAAGACTGCATGCCATGTTCAATGTCGGAAACAAAAAAGAAAAAAGAAAGAAAGGACCTGCCATATCCACCAGACGGAAAGTCAAGTTAGACGGACAAAAGACAAACAGATTTTTTTTGCCTCTACCAAAATAACAACAGCGATAACATAAAGTGAGCTTCAAAGGAGAAGCGTTGCTGTTGCAGAAGAAATCTGTATCAATGGTTTTTAACAATCTCACTAATCCGTGAATTGATTCCTGGCTCGTTTATATTATTTTAAATAGCCAAGAGGTGGATATAACTCACGTGGGGGTGGTGGTCGTGGCGGACGTGGTGGTAGTGGTGGTAGTGGACGCGGCGGTGGACGTGGAGGCAGTAGTTCAACTCATATAGAAAGGCCCAAGAAGGAATCGATCTTGGACCTTGGCAAATACATGGATCAGAAAATTCGAGTCAAATACAGCGGCGGACGCGAAGGTAATTTCGAACGAATTCGCTTGGAATGACAATAAAAAAACAATATCAAGAAGTTTCAACTAACTCTTTGTTCTGTTTGATTTTTGGTCCATCCTTTTTTTTTTTTCTGCAGTCGTAGGGACATTGAAAGGTTATGATCCACTGTTGAACCTCGTTTTGGATGAGACAGAGGAATATCTGAGAGGTAAAAAAAAAAAAAAAAAAAAAAAAAAGATAGAGACATGAGGAGAGAGCCATCCATGAAGCCAGACATATCAATATGAAAATCTTAATAGTATCTCATGTCTCTATACTCTTGCTCATATTGTCTGGAACCTTCCCTTCTCCTTCTCTGTCATGTAAATTAGATCCTGAGGATGGGCGTCTGCTAGACCAAACCAGAACCTTGGGGCTCATCATTTGCAGAGGCCCTGCCGTCATTTTGATCTCGCCTATGGATGGTACTATGGAGATTGCCAATCCTTTCATTCAAGAAGAGGAAGCTGTCATCTAAAAACAGTAGAAAAAATGGAGAAAAGAACCTCTATCTTTATACAAACAATTGAAGAAGTCTTGACTACACCCTCATTAAGGCCAACTAAAAAAAAAAAAAAAAAAAAAAAAAAAACATGCTTGGAAATATGAACGTTGGAGTGTCTATTCTTTTTGCTATTTTATTCATCGCCCAGGTGAAGAAGAATTGCATATATTCTTCTGATACAAAATGTATTATCTGCTTTTCGTCTCTGCTTGTCAAGAGGGTCTTCTAGTAAACAATGGCACAAATATTCAGGTGCTTATTCTTGTGCATTTATGAACTAATTTGTCTCTTTACAAATGCTCCGTTTCTATCGCCCACGCGCTATTAGTCGAAAATCCAGAAGGTGCAGTTGTTTGATGCTAACGACGTTCAAAAAAAAAGAAAAGCAATTATGAATAAGCAACAACCAGATATTGATAGTAAACGGTAGCAATAATTATGAACCAGAAGCCTTACGGTCTGTCCGCGTTTCGTGCCCGTGAGGCGGTAGTCGCGCTCCATCATGATTCTGTCCCAGCGGTCAAGGCCGTATCTTGTAGGCTACAAAATAAAATACATAGTGAATGTAAATGAAATGTCCAAAAAAAAAAGAAAAATCCGTGCTGCTTTTCCTCATCCATTGAACAGACTTATATGGGAAGGGACCAATGATACACCAAAAAAAAGGTGCCGCATCGTGTAGAGTAAATATGGCTATTGTAGATAGTCCATGTCTAAACGTTGTATCCTCTGGCTCCAGTACATAATGATCTATCTTTTTTTTCCCTTTTCTTTGCTGCGATTGTCTTCTTTGGATCTTGCTCTGTTACCTGTCCCTCGTTGACACTGGTCTTGAGCTTGTGGAAGAGAATTCCCGAAGCTCCAAAAAATCCGGTAATCAAACTATATTTTTCAATTAATTGTGAATCAAATGGAGAGTGTTAATTCAGAATCTGGAACTCGAATGGGTCTTTACTAATCTGATTATGAAGAAGTTCTTTATATTTTTTTGTTACCCAAGAGGAATGAAGGCCTCAAATGGAACTGGCATATTCGGATGTGATTACAGTGGCGAAGGGGAGAATAACTAAATAATTAAATAAATACGGATGACAACTTTGAAAGGATATGATGTCTCTGAAGATCGGGTCAGTTTCGGTTGTAGCTCTAGTACAATGGAAGACTCAAATTACGTCATAGAAATAGATGGGAGTCGAGATCAGCTGATTTATTGCTCTGAACACCTCTCACTATCATTGTATCGATTACTCTCTCTTCTTTCCTTTCCCCTCTTTGGTTCAGTTGGTGCAGTATAACTGGCGAGATATCCTCTCGAGAGAGAGCCCTGAGTCGAATTCAACGCGCGCAAGTGAGAAAGTTGGTTGAGGAAAGAGGTAACAGAGAGGATGTTTATGGGACGGCTGGCATGAAGAATTTTATCAAGATGGCGAAGACTGCAATTAAAGAGCTCTACGAACATGGCGGAAGGTGTATCGAGAATCTAATTTGGTTATCAGAACCACAATCGTGGCGAGGAGACTAGCGCCATGTTGAACATCAAAGCCGTCGTAGATCCTTAACACCACATATGTATATGTGCTTGCAAGGCATTTTATTCCTGTCGTAGTTAGGGCGCGGACAAGAAAAAAGGACATTGTCGCCTATGTCCACATCAATAGAGTACTCTTACCTTAGTGTAGAAAACGATTTAACTAGCAACTGAAGGGTTAGCAATCGTTAGAATATCACTTATAAACCTTATACATGCAACATTTAAATTGAATGCCAAAGTCTTCGCTTTTCTTTCCTTTTCGTATAAAAATTTATTGGTTTTATGTGTTGGTATTTCTACACGCGCACGGAGAGATGGCTTTGAGAAGTGCTTCTAACTGATATTCATGCTCCTTCCAGACCATAATCTTTTTGTTACGTCCTAGGGTTTGGGGGTGCACCCAAAAGGGATACTTTCATTTTAATTCATAATATCAGATAAGTTAGTAACGCCTATGGTGGGGCCTAATAAAAGGTCCCCACCTAGCAACCAAATAATAAACTCTCGATCTCCTTGACATACCAGCCTTCAGAAAAAAACCCAGCTTGTGGTCGTATCTTCAGCATTACCACCAGCGGTTTTATATAAATTTTATATATTCTTCTGAGGATATAGCGAAGATGAAATAGCATATGATATCTTTTCAGCCCTTCCGAACGAGTCGATACAAAGGAATGAAGGGACGAGACGGAAGTGTATCCCCATAGAAGAAACTGATATTTGCTGTCCTTGGTGGTTATTTTGCACCGTTCTGTAATTTTAGCCTGTTTACCACAATATCTGGAGTGGTGTCGAAAACCGGCCGAAACAAAAGACAGAAGCTTAAACACGCCGGCATACGGAAATGTCTGTATGTAACGAGAGGAGACCATTGGTCAAAAAATTCGGGTGTTCATACAGTAGAAATTTCCTGTCCTCTTTGCGGTAGAGAGGATTGGGTACGAGCCTACTTGATTGGTGCATTGAGAACGACATGACTCTAATACTTCTTTGCAAAAGAAACCTGCCTCTGTTCACATACGTCCATTGTATGCAATTCAACCCAAAGGTACTCACACCAGAAATATATATATATCCCGCATGATTGGTGACATGCCTGGAGCAACGGACACATGCCATGAAAGATAGAGTCCTAGCCTTGACACAATAACTGTTGCTATGTGGACTCTTGCTATGTGGACTCTCTAGAATTACTCTGTGACCACAGAGATATGGGTCTATCGATCATGCTGTGTTGCCAAGAACTTGAAAAGGTATATAAACTCTTCTTCCTCACACTAAAGTTTCCTTAACACCACTCACATTCTCTCAACACAGTCTTTCACCGTCTACATCCACAACACTCGAATCACACATAGTCTTTTCACCGCTCACTCCAACATATCATCATGAGTGTGATATGTTGGAGTGATTCCCAATGGCTTCAATAGACCCAACAAAACCTAGTCCTCCGACTTTTAGCAATGTTTACCAACCCGGATTTATCAAGAGAAGGCAGCAAGATGAGGAAGCAACGGATGCAATAAACTAAGGATAGCAACCAATGGAGTCCATTTCAAGCCCATACAGCGGCAACTACTATCACTATTACATACACCAGTCATATACTGGAATAAGAATCAAGCTTTCAACATCATCAAATGATGTCATGGGACTCCCAAGCGAATGCCGGGACCATGTGTAAGTCTTCATTATTTTATTTATTTTTTTCTTTTGCTAAACACAGGAGACAAAGTTCTCCTAGGCCAGATTGGTTCCATGGTAGTCACTTCAAAATAACAGTCAGCTTTTTTTTGCTAACCTATTTTCCTATTGTTTTATATATAGGATTTCTTTCTCTAACTCGATCTATCTTTGTAGGCGCGCTCACTTTTGTCAATGAGTTTATACGCCCAAGAAGTGCCCACCCATCCTGTAAAGACTTTGTTGGACAAGTTCCTTGTATTATATCAGGCGTATTTGCATCGCAATGTAATGGCAACATATAATTATTCGTAGCCGCCCGAAGGGACCACAACGACCGCATTACCTTCAGCCTGTGGATGCAGATGAACTGCCTCCTTGGATACATTAAGGAGCGATAGCGGCAACAGACATAAGCACAAGAACAGGCACACTCACAGTATCGAGTCTTGGTCAGAGCACAGCGGGCAGCGGCATCTTTGTATCATAGCAAAAGGTGGATCAAAGAGGAGGCGTAAGAAGTTTTAATAGTTGATTAAATAGTTGGATAACCATATGTGTGTTCGCAAGCTACCACCAAAGTTTAATTACTCCCTAGGTGACGTAATATGGCCAAGATTGTGCTGCACTCGATGCTGCAGGTATCTCCTAGACGGATCTTCCATTCGAGTCTAAGGGCTGGAGGCATGGAGGTTACCGCTGCTCTAGAAGACACCTGTGCACAATGCCGCAGATGTCCTCGGCCGCAAGAATATCTCGGTGAAGACGGGTGTGGCACCTTGGAAAGTACAGCTGCCTCATTGCAACCTACCCCATAAAGCTCTTGCACCCGGAATACTTTTTAGAAGCGTAATACTTATCCGCGCCCATGGCAATGTATACTAGTGCATGAACCTGAGTCCAGGAAGCTATGATGCCCACCAGCAGCCTGTTGCACGTAAAATAAACCTCGGCATCATCTGAGCAAGAATAACTACTTTGTTAGTGAAGTACGCCAAATGTCCCGAGTAGGCCAGAAAGTTGGGCTTGAGGGCGAACTGGCCTGGCCTGATGGCAATGACTATGTAGTTGTCTGGCTGCTGCTTTTGTCCGATACCTCCCCCAACCATCTGATGAAGCTGGTCGGTGACCGCCGCGAACTCTTCATTCCTAGCTCACTGGCAGTCCCATTGGTACTCCTTGAAGGCTCTCCCATAAAACTGCTGGTGTTGCCCCTCATGGAACTTCAGATACCCAGTGTAGCTCATAAAGTCTACATTATAGCCATGAAGAGCAGACAAATTGGTCTTGATGTCCTCAACAGTTTGGTTGACTCCTTCTGGCGCTGACTGCTCCTGTTACCGCAGACATCGACAGAGTTTTAGCGAGGGATGATAAGCCGCCTTTACCTTAACTGCCAAATTGCAGTAAGTCTCGGGTGCAGGTACCCGGGTCGACGATGAAGGTGATACTGATGGTGTAACGACGATGGTTGCTGCGGACTGCGCTGCAGCAGTAGGGAGAGTAGCAGTAGGGAGAACGATAGTAGGGAGATGAACTGCAGTTGCGCGTGAATTGACTTGTCCGACAGCCAACTATATACATTTGCCGTAGATTCAACCAAAAGCTTGATACCTTTGACCCCACATCCCCAGAGCTGTGAGATATCTCCCTTCATTTCCACCACGATCCGTATTCCTGTCCTACAGCTGAAGTCAGAGGCAACGGCATCGCTTCTTTCCGAAGCCCCTTGAGACATACTGCCAACAGCTCTTTCATTTTGTAAGGCAAAAGTTGTAGTCGGAACCCACTCGTCCGTATCCTACCACGAAGAACATATCCTTATTGGTCGTACACTAACATGCAAAACTGCGTGACTTTTTTTTTTTTTTTTTTTTTTTTTTTTTTAATACTCCAACCGGGGCTTACCGCATCGCCGTGGATGTTGGCTGCATGGTATCCTTTGGCCTTGGTAAAAGAAGTGCTACCTTAAAAAATATGATCTGTCATTGTTATTGTGATATTGGTAAGGAAAGTGTACCTAGTCATTTACTCAGTTCTGGAGGTGAATATCAGAAAAATCAATCCTCTGCTTTCTATTAGCTCTGCTCCGCTTGTATAAAAGCCCGTGTTCCATAGGTGCTCCAATATACGTATTGTAGAGCAAGCCTTCTGCTTGAGGATGTGAAAAGTAAGAGTCACCAAAAGTTATATGGAAAGTTGTTACTTTTGCACTGTATTCTTTATTGGAATACCAACTAGCAATACCCTGCTTGGGGAAGTAGTTCAGGCTTCAAGCTTCCGAATACTATGGCGTTAAACAATAATGTCAGATAACGAAGCGACAACTGTAAAATACTTGCGATATGCTATGATGCCATAGTCGATCTTATAGGAGTAATATCTCTTAACTTGATATTGGCTTCAGATGAGGAGTTGATAGCCTGAAATTTAAGTATATGGTCCACCGCCGTATCTTCTACAAAAGCTGATACTTAGATCATAAAGTTGAGTCTCTGCTGTCGATATCCAATGTCTAATCTAAAAATGTCATATGATATTTGGTGACTCTTACTTTTCACATCCTCAAGCAGAAGGCTTGCTCTACAATACGTATATTGGAGCACCTATGGAACACGGGCTTTTATACAAGCGGAGCAGAGCTAATAGAAAGCAGAGGATTGATTTTTCTGATATTCACCTCCAGAACTGAGTAAATGACTAGGTACACTTTCCTTACCAATATCACAATAACAATGACAGATCATATTTTTTAAGGTAGCACTTCTTTTACCAAGGCCAAAGGATACCATGCAGCCAACATCCACGGCGATGCGGTAAGCCCCGGTTGGAGTATTAAAAAAAAAAAAAAAATTAAAACTCACTCTTTGCGTGTTAGTGTACGTCTCTTTGATGATGATTGAGCAGGATTCTGAGGTCTTTGTCTGGGTGCTTTCCACTGGTGCACCTTCATTGCTTTAGGTAGGGGACGCTGCGCCCGCCGTATCTGGACTTTACATCGTACCTTGACTTTGGCGTCGCCGTCGCCTGATTGTTATGTTGGTCGGCCGGCCCAGTCACGGTCCGGTAACGGTTATACTTGAACCGTTTAGCAAAGCAGACTTCGTGCCTGCCAATCTACTATCGTAAGCAATATGTGGCCGCGAGTAATGACTATCGGCAGCACTTAAAAGGATGTTATTTACCTCGACCTCGTGCGCCTGCCGCAACTGTGTCGTTCTATGCTGTTGCCTGCACAGTCCTTGGTACCAGGAGCTGAGTAATACATAATCAAAATGGACTGCTGGGCCGAGTGATAGCCCGTAAGAGGAGCTGGTGTTTGCTTGAGCTCGATGAACACTCGCTTTGAAGTTTCAAAAATCTATTGCGTTTGGTTCCCTCGTCTGACCTCAAATACTCCTAGACAAAGCCCTCTGCATCTGTATGATAATAAAATCATTGAATGCTGACAGATTAGTAAATGCCGGCAATAGCAATATACGAGAGATATAATTGTCTTTTTATGATGCTCAAATTGGTAGCAAGCGAGTGATGGTACATTACGTGTATAGTTATTCAGACTAACAACACACAGGGCTACCAGTTGCTAACGTGTAACGCTCAGTGATAGGAGCACTTGGTCCAGATTTTAGATAAGGGCTTTACGTCTCGGGATCATCCACCAGATCGTTTGGATACCTTCGTACTCCAAAGCACCGCGGTCCCTAGTAAGGCACACATCGCCTTTCATATACTCCCCTGCCATCTCAAGATCCGCTTCCAAGGAACAAATATCAACGCTCCGGCCTTTGGCCTCAAGATTAGCTGCCACTGCTCCCTTCTGTCGGTTTCTCCACTCGAACCCTCGGTTAGGATGTCTCTTGGTATCCAAATGATACTTTTTCTGAATACTATAGTCTTGGTCGCACCGGCCTTGGAATGTTCGTATATAATCCTTCGCTTTTTTCAATGATACCGAGCGTGATCGGTCCCGTTCTGTATGAGTTTGCTCTTTCACTAGAGCTTGGCCGCCATCAAATAACAGTACTGAGTTGGAGGGATCCAGGGCCTCACCGAATCCTTCCACCACAGCTTGATGTGCCTGGACTGCCGCATGAGTCGAATACGCCATCCTTATAAGGCTGTAAAAAGCCCCTTGTGGTTCCACAGGCAGCACGGCATCTGGCGGGCCATAGCCTTTTTTCTTCACTTTACTTAATGAGTTGGCACTCCCATTGTCCAATCATTTCTTTTCTAGTGCCGCTAGAGTGCACTAATCGATATACAGAAGTAGAGAGTAGGGTAGCGAATAATAGCTTCAGATGATAGATGGGAGCAACGTTGAGAGGAGCTGTAGAGCGTGAGTCAAACTTTTTGCTGGGCAAACTATAGCGCAAAAGAGTAAGTGAGAATAAGATGTGAGTCCACACACCAAGAGATTTTATATAGTTTCTTGTATTAATGAATATGCAGCTTTTATTGATGAACATACGGCTTTTACCAAAGAACATAAATCTTGATATTCAGGCAGCGTGAGGATGACCTAGAGGAGAGCCATCCTTTAAAATAAATAGGAAAAAAATAAATAAAATAAATAAAAGTGTGTATTCACCAGAATGACAAGCTCAACAGGGGAAAAGTTCCTTCTACTTTGGAGCACGTCATGGACGCGGCATGCAAATTAGTCTTCAGTAAACTATATAAAATTTCCTGGTTCGACTATAACTGAATTCCTTTGCAGTTACTTGGCTCCTCTATCTCGAGTAATGCTAGGGTCTTGGCACGCGCTGTACGAAGAATACTGGTTTTTTTTTTTTTTTTTTTTTTTTTTGGAAATAGGTAGTTCGCTATTGGCAGAGCGGATAGCCACGGGCATTATTAGCTATGCTGCGGCCAACTATCACATCTCTGTGTATGGATACTTTGCACATGGGATTAAAAGCCGGTGAATACCAACTTGCTCTACAAATTCCTGGTAGGTTAGATACTTCTTAGAGCTGTAGTATTCATTCACAGCATCAACAATGTATTCAAGGAACCTGACCTGAAATAAGCGTAAATATTAGCTGGTAGCATTGAAAGCGCCTACTGCTCGAATGAAGTAAGATTGGAACGACTCATGCGATGAGGGAAATTCAGCCTTGGCCTACAGCAATTACGACTTTTTTAGTCTCTTTCCTTTCACTCCAATTGAGCCACTAGCAATCTGGAGCAAACGAATGGCAGCCTATTCACCCATGTCCACTTCGTATTCCACCGGTGCCTTTTGATAGATCTTTTCTTGTAGAAGGAACTAAGGCGTGTTTCCGCTTCTACAAGCTTACTAATGTAACCTTCGATGCTTGCTATATTGCCCTGGGGGGGGGGGGGGGGAAGATAAGATGCTTTTAATACCGTTGGTGGGTTCTGTAGAGCCATCAATGACCGCTGCTTTCCTTCCTTCTACCCCAGTTTCAGTGCCTTTTGTTTGACAGCCAGGTTGTAGAACTTGGACTGCATGGTCGCGCTATTGAGGCTTCCAGTACTTGGTAACAAAGCATTGGCGCCAATCACACGCGCTTTTCCTAGCTCGAGGACCATCTCTTGATGTCTCCCGGTTGACATCCCAAGGGTCGAGAACATCTTAGTTGACCTTGGAGCAGAGTCAGTCAGAGCCGTAACAAAGCTGATAAAGATTACATTTTCTGGCCCATAAAAAAAACTAATTAATCGCCAGCAATAGGATGGCTCCACCCCGTAACACTGCAAGTTTCTTTAATTTTTTTTTTTTTTTATATAGTTCCTTAGTAAACGTGTTACTATATCATTCACGTATGCCTGGATATAGTTCTAGAAGCCTCGATTCTTATGATGGGTGATCAAGATATAGATAGAAAGTATTTTGGATGCTTTTTCTTTTTGATTCTCAGCATCGGTTGCTTCGTTCCTGAACTATTCTGCATCAGATATCAGGATAATTCCATTATTTGATACCTTTTTTTTTGTTTGGAGTACAGAAAAATTTGTTTATTAATTTATTTTTGTGCTAATAAATTTCTACACGTTTTTCTTCGGTCATAATTAACCAAATAAAAAATAATAATCATAATAAAAAAAACGCAGGAAGCAATACAAAAAAAAAATTGCAAAAATAGAAAGGGACAGTCTTTAGTTTGACGTTTTAAAGTGTTCGTACTTTACGTTATATTCCTCATTTCCTTAATTGATGAGCGGGTTCATTGTCGCGTAAATAAGGTTTCCCCAAACCGCGAATTACAAAAAGAATATGGTTTGTAGTTAATCAAAGGCGAGGAAAAAAGAGGAGAAAGAAGAAGAGGAGAGCAGAGACCTGTGCTGTTCGCTCTTTTTGTAGTCCTTTTCAATTACAAGAAGTTTATTAAGCAAACAATTTTTATTGAAAAGATCTAACTAAAAAGAGCAAGCAGCACAGATCTTTGGAAGAGAAGAAGAAAACCCAGACAGATCTTTCATACCGCGAGATTTATTATAATGTGATTTTTTTATTACAAGTATTGAGTTATTGGTTCAATCCTAGATGAATACTCTCTGTAATGAAATCCCTCTTTGAAGGGACTTTACAAAGAGGCACTATAGCAGTAAAGTAATTTTCTAAAAAAAAAAAAAAAAAAAAAAGTTTGAGTAAATTAACTTCGCTGGCAAAAACAATCCACAAATATACATCTATTCATTCGTAAACCCAATTCAATCCAACTGATAGAGAGGAACAAGAAGACGTCAATAGAACATTGATTATGACGCAAATGAATGCACTCATTGTTGGCTAAAAAAGCCAAGAACCAAGCAAAAGAGGTTCAAAAAAACCTTAAAGCGTCAGTGCTGTTCCTATGAAAACACGCAGAAACACAAACCTCAGGGGCGAATATGTGTGGTGACGCTACTTGCTAGAAATAGATAGCTAAACAATGATGAATAGTTTTTTTTATGACGAAGTTTTGTAATATATGCTGTTCCGAGAAACCAGCCTTATTTAGGAACAAAGAGATTATCAACCGTCCTTATGATTTGAATGTGATACTGAATTAGCCATCACACTCATACATGCTCGATGGGATCGCAATGTTAATGGAGTAAAATGCGCCAGTAAATCAGATCGAAAGGCTATCTTGACCTCGGAATCTGTCAACCAACCATTCAATGATAAAGCAAGAATGAGATAAATTTTTTTCCAGTGATACCTCCGTCTATCTGAAAAATATAATAAATCATATTATGGTATGAGTCATTAGTAAGCATGAGAGTGGTATGGATGCAATTAAAACATATGGCTCTTTTATCATAACGGATTGTCGTGGGATTAACGTCTCCTATCAAAGGGTCATTGCCCAACCAAAGATCATCGCTTCCGACTAAAAGATCATCGCTTCCGACTAAAGGATCATCGGGTCATATCAATGGATCATCGGTAGTTATAAACAGTTACGCACGGTTGCATTCGTTTCCAATGTTTCGGTACATGTTCTACGCAATACTGACATCAAGGTTCACAAAACTCTGTTCTCAGAATGATCCAAATGCGGGCGTAACGATGATCTATGACTTGGAAAACAAAGACCAATCATACACTGTCCAATTTACCCCGCATCAAACCATGGTGCCTGGCCTGAAAAAGGTACTAATGACAACACTGTGAGATAATATATAATATATTGCATGCATTTATATATTTATCATATTGATTGTTATACGTTGATAGTCTTTTAAAATGATAAATGAACGTGAGAGAAATAATAAGAATGTATTAAAAAATTAAAAGGTCTGTCTTTCTTAGCGCTCGGTTCTCTCCACTCGAGCATTCATAATCGATGAGCCGTTGAGAGACTAGAAAAAAATTAGACAGGGTAGGTGGTCAGGGCCCACGACCCTCTTATTCTTAGCTTTAGCTAAAGCTATCAATATACTTTAAATGCGAAAATCGTACTAACGTGCATGAATATTCTAACGTCATGAAGTAAGGGAGAAACATTGCGTCCTGTGATGGTTCATAAGGCGCACCATTTTTGGCACACAATCGCCGTCAGTCCATCAGTCCATTAGTCCATCAGTACTCGAACCACGCACGGTCAACAAAGAGAGTCTAGGCAGCTAGTGCCTGATTGTCTATCGTCATTTCTCATATGTCCTATTCGCTTAGTGTCTGCTGGTATTATTTTAGTCGTTACTATGCGTTGCATTGTTGCCTTTGTGTGTGTGCAGTATAAATATAGCCCGTTTCATTTGGTCGCGATACCTTATATTTTTTGAATACTTTCGAGTGTATTGGCAGCCAATTAGCTCGCTTGTTACGAGTATTGTTGCAAGTCCGTCACGTAGTGAGATGCCACCAGAACAATTCAATCATCGTTTTTAGATTAAAAATATAAGGTATCGTGACCAAATAAAATTGGCGATATATGCGTGTGTATAGATAACAAGCTATTTGAACTAAACGTGTGTTCCTTCCCACTAAAAAAACCCAAATTTCAACTGGGGCCGGGAATGACGACATAATTTTTTTCCTTTGCCCAGGGGTAAATAGATAGGAATAGACGTCTGAAATAGTGCAGATCCTGTGTTTGCAAGAAGCCTTAGTACATGAACAGTGCTATCTTATTGCTGTAGGTATCATTAAATTGAATTTAGTAAAATAATCTTCTTTCTTCTTTTCTTTGCCAAGCCTATGACGACTGACAAATACTTCCTAAACGAGCTCACGATAAACGACTATGAACCCTTCAATGACCACTGATAAAAGGCAGGATAGTGATTTTCATTTTTTTTTTTTTTTGCATTTGTTCCTCGCTTTGGCCAAAACGTAACACAAAATTTTTAAATCCAAATTGGGAAAGCTTGGACTGCAGCCACGGGCAGTGGCTGCAGAAACGTATTTTATCTGAATGCTGATAGGATACAGAAGGGGTGTGATTGCATAGTGGCAGAACCTGCTCTTCCGTATTTTAGTATAGAGTTGAAAACGGTTTTTTTATGCTCTGTGCTCTCTCGTTAATCTTAAGGTGCCTTTAAAACACAGGTCTCTGGCTAAAAAATCTGTCTCTGTCCTTGTTCTTATTTTGTGTGCATTGTAATAATAAAACAATGTATCATAGCGCCTTTTTTATATTCCATTATTTGCTGTTCTAGTTATTCTATCTCGTAATATTCCTTTATTGAATTAAAGACTGAATTGTTTGAGATAAAGATTAAATAAACAATCGACAAAAAAAGTATCTTAATGGTTCCCAAAAGTGAGGGTAGATGGCTGTTCATAAAAGAATGAAAAACAGTGTTCATGTCCCCGATCAGATTGAATCTTATTGAATCGTATTTAATATGGTAACTCGCACCCTTTGTTTTCTCCTTGACCATAAAAAAAAATGCGCGAGTGTTCAATGTGCGTCTGCGTGTGCGTGGGTGCTGGCTGCCTCATTTTTTATTTGTGTCGATTCATTTGATTCATTCATTCACTTTTTTTTTTTTTTTTTTTTACGTTATGCATTTTTGACTAACCATCAATAGAGACAATATTTTCGAATATAATCTTCCTTGAATATATTATATATATTATATATATTATTATAATAATAAGGCAATTCACTTCCCCAACCATCTGACTCTGACACATCCTTATAAATACTCTTGTTTCTTTTGATGCATTAACCTTTCTTCTTTTCTTTTCCTTTTTTTTCTTGGTTGGATCTTCATTTTATCACGCTCCTTGCTCATTGTAACTTTGACACTTCTTTTCAGACATATCAAGAAGTATTTAAAAACTCATTCAGTCTTCTTTACCCCTCTCCTCCTTCACAAGCTTTTTCTTTTTCCCGAACATTTTATTTTGCGTCCCTCTTTATCGACAACACCGCGACAGCCTACAGCCCGGTTAATAACATTAATAAGAATTACAAAAGCACCCCTTTTCTTCTCACACATCCTTGTTCTCTTCAAAGTCAGAGCCAACAAGTTTTTTCTTTTAAAGAATCAAAATCATGTCTTTGGAAGCCGATATCCGTCGAGGTAGGCATTTTTATCCAGTGATCCTCACTGTCTTTTTATATTGTATTATACAATATATTATGGCCAGAGAATCTCATGTCCCTTTTTTTCTGCGGACATGCCACCATCAAAAGCAGAAAGATCATCAAAAAACACCATCACGTTACTCTTTTTTCATTGCCCTATTACAATCACTATCTCTTCTACTCAAAATCCTCTCACTTCTTGCCTATTAAAGAAAGGAAAATATTAAAAGCGTTTATAATCTCTCTATACAGACGAGATCAACGTTGACTTTGACTTGCACATCTTCCCCTTTATTGCATATGTTTATCTCACCTGCTGCCGATGATGGACTTGTTCGTTTGATGTTCAAAAAAAAAAACTCTGACACTGTTTTCCTGACTGTCACAATGATATACTGATGCCAACCAACAAAAACTATTTCCTATTATTACCCTCTCATTTTTTTTTCCCCTCATTTTCATGATGGATAAATTCATTTTCCTTTTGGCTTTGTGAATCAATGACCTTCCCCATTTACACACAAAATACCCGACACACTTGAACATACTACTCCCTCTTCTATCAACCATCTATTTCTTTCACCCATACAGACACAATCCCTACCTTGACCTACTTCCTGATGGAATCCGAGGAACTGACACCTGGGTTCGGTCTCAATTTAGATAATCCCTACAGCCCTTTCGAGGCCAACTACAAATTTCTCAATCCTGGCACACCGAGATCGGATGCTGATCTCTTTGAAACCAGCTTCAAGGCCCCAAGTACGATTTCTATGCTCCCGCAGCCACATCGGCCGCTTCCCGAACAGCATCCGTGGTCGGACATGGTGTTTGATGTGGCCTGCATGCCTCTGCGCCAAATGTCGCCTGGTATCTCTCTCCCATCAGCTTCCCCAAACTCCTCTATGCCCACACCACCTCTTTATTCAGGTTCTACCGTTTCGAGCGCCTTTAGTTCGCGAACATCCTCCATGTGCTCTGACCAACCTCTCACACTTGTTGAAGCTACCCGTACTCTTACTCATGATCACCTCACCTTTAACCTTTCTCCCTCCAAAAAGTCAAAACACAGTGACCTGGATCTTCCACCTCTTGCACCTGATTCTCCTGTACAGGACTCTCTTGTACCGAGCGATACTTTAAGAAACAGCAGCATGGACACAACTCTCTCTAGTGAAATTTATTCCCAGCTTGACCTTCAAGGGGATGATCTTGAAGCAGATGGCCAAGATATGAGTGACCATTTTGAAAGCACCATGGATGTGGATTCAAATGAGTCTAATGATGAAGGCGATGACGAGGCTGGCTCCTTCAAAGACTCCGATTCGCGTGAATCATCCTCTATGGGCGACATCTCTCCTGTCAAAGGTCGCGCCACGCGCTCATCCGCTCGGGCTGCCACTAGAGCGTCCAAATCCAAGCCACCAGCCAAGACGTCCACAAGAGCAAAGAAGAACGTTGCAACCAAAGCCGCACAGGCCCCACAGAAGATCAAGACAACCCTAAAGAATGCAGGCCGAGCCTCTTCCATGGGATCTAAATCACCTACTAGTGCTAGCGATAGCAGCAGTAGTGGTAGCATCAGTAGCAGCAGTTCCCGCAAACATTCTTCCGCTGAAGAAGAATCTCCTGAAGCCAAACGTCAAAAGTTCTTGGAACGCAACCGTATGGCCGCGTCCAAATGTCGAGAGAAGAAGCGACTGCAAACTCTTAAGACGATTGCTGACGCAGATGCTATCACTGCACGCAACCAAGCTTTACATGAGCTGCAAGAAGAGTTACAGGAAGAGGTACGGACACTCAAAAACCAGATTCTATGTCACCGTGACTGCGGTTGTGATGTGATTCAGAAGTTTGTTCAGAGCAGCTTTGGTGCAGCCTCGATTTTTGCAGGACCAGCCCATGCACAAATTCAAGCACAAGTGCGCGCAGCTGCCCGTCCACACACCCATATGCTTTAAAAAAGCAGTAGTGTAGCCACCTGTCTTTGTAATTTTTTTTCTCTTTCAAACTTTATGACTATTCTCGCATGAATTTCTGCAGCACATCAGGATATTGCTTAATACCGCGACAAATGTACATAGTGATCAAAACTTTCCAGGGTCGCGCGTCTTTCCTCTACTTTGTTAGTCCTCTCACTGTACCATATAGTATTTTCCTTTTCAGCGTCTTTATTTTATTACTTTTTACTTTTTCTCAAGAAAAAACATAGTACATCTATTACTGTTCGTGCACGTCGCACTAAACAAATAAAAATCCATTATTGCTTCAAAAACGTGTTTTGTTGGTTATATGTTCCTCTCGTGGTAAAAGAACATCAGAAGGAATAATCATCAATTATCCGGTTCGAATGGCATAGCAAATTGCACAGCTCTTGTAGAAACGAGTGGAAAAACCTGAATCAGCGAGACACATGGCAACGGAATTTCCCTAGATAATAACGAGGATGGTAGTACAACCAGAGCCGCCTATAGAAAGTCCATAGTCAACCAACGGATATAGTTCATTGAAGAAAAAAGAGCATTGTTGACGCGTCGTGAATAAAGTTGCGCTCTTTCGCAGAAATCAAAGCTTAATGGTTAATGTTTAATGAAATATCAATACCGGGAGTTCATCTTGCCAACGAAAGAGGGAAGAATCACTCATGTCCAACGTTGAAGTGTTTTTTGAATATAATTTTTGAATGGGCTTGTGCATCTTCTATACTTTAATGTGGTTGTGTCTGTGTATCATCATTATCACCATCAAGCATTGCCCTTTCTTCCTCGCCCATCTCCTTTCTTCCCAACGCCATTTTTTCTTCTATTTTTTTCTTTTCATTTCCACTACCACCACAGTAAACTTGGTAGTACACGAAGATATATTTTTGACACATTATGAATACTACGTTGACGACACAGCCAGAGCATGTACTGGTAAGCCATAACTTAGTGGCGTTCTGAATGGTGCAAAAAAAAAAAAAAAAGATTGATTAGAATTAAATTGGCATCAATGAACATCCATTACGAATTGAATAAATTAGGATGTGGCTGTTCTTTAATGCATGTTATGCATGTGTTGCATGTGATGACACGAATGAATATTCTTTGAAGCTTAATATATGGCAACAACGCGTTGGAAAAACTAAAAATAAAAAGAAAGGGACCTTCATCCTAATAAATATGGAGCCTGTGTTGGCGCATTCATGTTGCCATATTACACATCATCGATGAATTGAATATTTCCAACCTGTTATTTCTTTCATCACAATCATTCTTATCCTATTCTGGTCATTGTATTCATCTTTAGAAGCTTCAGACCACAGATAGAGACAATGATGTCCCATCTGATTCGGAAGCGGATGATGACTACGGATATGATGAGGATCAGGAGGAGGAAGACAGTAATGGGATCATTGATCATACAACATTTGACCAGTTACTGGAGATGGACGATGAAGAAGACCGTGAGTTCTCAAAGTCCTTGGTTTTCAATTATTTCGAGCAAGCAGAGCAGACATTTGAAGAGCTAGAAGAAGCCATGTAAGCAAACAAGAAAAGTTTATTATAGTATGCAGATGGGCCATATGACCGAAATGGCATTGGCACATCCAATATCAAAATATTACAGGTGGTTTTTGGTTTTAAAACAGAAACACGATGACACTTTTTCCACTGGAGAACTTTTAAACAAATCTTTCAAGTGCACGTTACATTGTTGCAGGATCAAATAATAAAGCCACTCTTTTCTTTTATTTTAACTATACCGCGCAGGTCACGTCTTGGCTTCGCAGATCTTTCGAGACTTGGTCATTTTCTGAAAGGCTCATCTGCAGCCTTGGGACTGATCAAGATTAAGTCCTCATGCGAGAGACTGCAGCATTATGGAAACCGTAAAGAGGCTGATGGTGTCACGTCTATAACGAACAAGGAAGCTGAATTGCTGATCCGAGCCTTGTTGATTCAGATGAGGAAAGAATATGAAGAAGCGAAGGAATATTTGAAAGACTTTTACAAAGATGGAGATGAGTAAATATTGTTTTTTGTATCTTTCGTTCTGTTATTACATCTCTTTATTTTACATCTATCTAGTCATCTCTCCTTTAGTATTTGTTATATTTCTTTATGTCTTACTATATTGTCTAAATACAGACGGACAAATATACGATCGCTGAAAACTGTCAAGAGGCAAAATCATTGTCTTTCTTTTCGTCTAACCAAACCGGGGCACGATTTCTTCTCAAAAATTATGGCGTTTTTTTTTTTTTTTTTTTTTTTTTTTAATCGTGGGAAGGATGACGATGCCAGAGCTATAACACTCGGCGGATTTTTAGTCTTTACGTAATATTCCATAAAATTTGATTCAATCATTGATTATATTCTATTCCTTGTCACTAAAAAAAGTCATAGATGTGTAGGTGCGAGGGGTATGATTCACCTAGGCGAACGCGAACGCGTTCTTTCCTTGATCTGATATCTACCAAAAAAAAAAAGCGTTTCAATACTTTCATAGATGTTAATATAGAATCCCAGTTGTTGATTAAGTTAGTTTTAATGATTTTTAGTAATAAACCTTACAGGTCGGGCGTTATTAAAAAAAAGCCACCTACACTGTGTTAACTCCTTTTTTGAAGGATGGACGTTAGTGGAATTATTCCCGCACATCAACATTTATATTCATACACTTACATCAGATCAGGATCAATGTCAGGATTAATAGGATTCGTTCGCCGCTCAATCAACGCTCTCGGAGCAGAGACCGCCAAGGGTATGGTCATCTTACATGGTCTACCTATTCCGTATTCCAAAAAAAAAAAAAAAAAAAAAAAAAAAAAACTCCTTTCTTTTCATTTATATGGATATGTGTATTTTTTTTTTATGCCAACAAGACTTACTTAGCATATTGCTTATATTATATGTTCTATTTTCCTCTGAAGTCATCAAAATGGAGCACTCGCCCTGGAAGCGTGAAATGGTATTAGCATCTTTAAAAACGCCAGAAGATTTAAAAGGCTGGTTAGTAGGCTGCGATAAAGACATTGGAGGCTTCTCGGAGGCCCACCTGGAGATCACAAAAAATAACACAGGTATATTTGTGTTTTCCTAAGAATTTCAAGCTTTTACTGTCATATTCTATCTAGTAGAGTACAATTATTTTTTAATTTTCTGGATCTCTATTAGGTCGTTTTTATGGCCATTTATCACTGGACCTCCCCGAGAATGAGGGAATTGAAAAGAGTGGATATGCAGGAATCCGGACAAAGGTAAAGGAGCAATATAAACAGTTTCCGAAGACAGGAGAATTAAGACAAAAGATTATTCGTGTATCGATTTTTTTAACAATGCGGTTATTCCCATCATCAATTAGACCAGACCATCGACTATCTTTGGCACACCAGTATGGGATACATGTTTATATGAGTATTTGTCATTAAGAGTCAAAGGAGATGAACGAAAATACTTTGTCAATCTTCAAACAGATGGTGTTGTTCCTACAGATCTTTATCAACATCGCCTTTTCCTCAAGACTCCACGTGAGTGGGAGACTGTCTTGGTATATTCTTTTTATTTTTTTTTATTTTTTTTATGGATGTATGTATGGCGAAGAATGAATGGTTTGGTCGTCTCAATATGCATTTAATCTTTTTATTATGTAAAATATCATAGATCCCATTCAAGGATTTTATCTTGACAAATCAAGGCTTCATCCAGGAAGAGCAAATTGAAATTTTCAGGGAGAGGGTGAAGAACGTGGGCATTTCAATCATTGACAGGCAGTCTGGACCGTTCGAGCTCGAAATTGAAAGTATCAGCGCTGTCAATCTTGGCCCAGATCCCAATGCGCGACCAGATGATGATGATTAGCTAGGAGATATCCCAATGCATATAATACAAAAATAATTTGCGATACATAAGGTTTATTATACATGACAGGTGGAGCAATACTGGTAAAGATGTGTATAAGAAAAGTAGAGAGACAAAAATAACGTCTAAATTTAAAAATGGAAAGGAATTTACTGGCGACGCTTCTTGCCCTGGTCGCGAAGTTTTGTTGCGAGCTTATGAGGATCTTCGGGCTTGACCTTGTTACGGTTCCTGTTCTTGACGTTAGCCGTCTCATAGTAATGGGTGCCAACCTTACCCTTGTTCGTGGTCATGCGGGCCTCCTTGATAGGCTTGACATCTTCTTCGTCTTTCATTTCATTCTCCTCAATGTGCTTCCGCTTGGTACCCTTTGAAGTCTTCTTCACATCCCTGACCTCAAAGCCAGCTGGTCCTGTGGCTGCAGCTGCGGCACGCTTTAGTGCAGCACGTTTCTTGATCCTTTGCTTACGTTCTGCACCCTCATCGGAAAGCTCGAGCTCACTGTCAACATCCTCTTCATCATCTTTATCTTCCTGACCAGGGATAGTATCCACAGTCTCTCCCACAACGTTGGCGAAGACATCATCCCAATCAAGCTTCTCTCCAGAAATTGCACTGCTAGCTTTGGCTTCCACAGCCTTAGACTCCTTTTTGGTCTTCTTCTCTTGGCGAAGCTGTGCCTTACTCTTACGGGTTTTAACGGACGCACTGCTGGATCTGCCTTTCTTTCCCTCATCCTCATCCTCATCTGCTTCCTCATTGTCAGTGTTGATATCGTCCTCGTCAACCTCATCTGGGAGAATACCTTCAGGAGCACTGCTCTCCTGCTTGCTCCTCTCCTCTTCTATGAGGAATGCATTTTTAGCCAGATCATCAGGCATGAACTTTTGCATAACAGGGATCTTTGAGAAAATCTGCTCAACCTGTGGCACTGAGGAGTCGACATAATTATGAGGGGCTGTTCCCTCTCCTGCCTCTCCTGCCTCTCCTGCAGGTTTATCACCTTCAGGAGGTGGGGTGTAGTAAGGGATCTTGCCACGGAGCCAGTCATTCAAAACCATCTTGGCAACACTACCAAGATCAGCCTCACCTCCTTTGACTAACTTTCCGGTACGCTTGGCAAGTTGAGTCAAAAAGTCCACGGAGTCTTCCCAATGATCCAGCTCATAGGTGCGCTGAATATATTCTGGACGGACACGATTGAGAAGCTCGGGAATATAGTCATCAGGCTGTTTGACGTTCTCAACACGAACAACTCCCTTGAGCACAATGTCTGTCTCTGTGTCTGTGGTAGAAGGGTGAACAACACCAGGGCAATCAATCAAATAAATACGTTTCATGAGAGTGATATACTGCCAGACTTTGGTCTCTCCGGGAATAGGGGCAACATTGCAAACTTTCTTGCCGCGGAGTGTGTTGATGATGCTGGATTTTCCGGTGTTAGGGTAGCCAATGAAGCCGACCGAGATTTGCTTTTTATCTGAATGAAGAGCAGAGAATTGGCGAAGAAGCTGGATCAAGGATCCTTTTCCAAAGGAGTTGTTGATGGAGGCGTGGAAAGCTAGGGTGGGGTATTCCTTGGAAAGTGTCTTGACCCACTTCGCCTAAAAACGAGAAGTAACAAATGATAATAACGTTTAGAACAGCCTATAACATAACAAATAAACAAACAAATAAGTAGACAAAAAATAATGATGAATATTTTGTGAAACATGGGATTTTACCGTAACCCAAGTGGGAACGAGATCGCACTTGTTGAGGACAAAAATGAGTTGTTTGTGGCGAGCTTCTTTCTTGATGTGATATTCAACATTCGAGCAGCGGGTTCCCAGAGGGTCGCGAGCATCCAAAACATGGATAACAACATCCGAAGAATCGATGACCTTGTACAACTCTCCCCAGATACGTTTGGACTGTCCTTTTTGAAAGACGCTGTCTCTTGCCTCCTCAATCCAGTCCGTGACCTTATTGGAAGTCAAATTCTTATCAGATTTCTCATCATAGTTTTCTAATGTCGATTCAACTTTAGCTGCCAAATCCTCAAGACTGCCTGAAGACAGCTTTGGGCGCTTGCGTTGGGCTTTGTTTCCAAAAGTATCGCTAAACGGCTCTGTTTCTAATACATGCATCTTCCCCACCTGTGAATAATGCAAAAGTAGTATGAGCAAAAAGTATTTCCTAGAGGTGTCCAAACGTAACAGTGGTATTGCAATTTTCTCTTACATGAACAGGGTCCTGTAGAAGAGACATAGGAAGCTTGTGTTGTCTCAAGAGGACCTGAAAGGGGTCGTTGACTTTGGCAGCCAGATTCTCTCTAAAGCTCTCAAGAGCTTTTTGTCCAATAACTCTGGTATTCCCGAACCATTTGCGATTGGGCGCGACACGGCCAGGTTCCACAGTCTTACTCTGAAAGGCTGCGGCTTTGATGATTTTACCCTGGGCGTTACGGATAGCTCTGCCTCCTTTCAAGAGCTGCACTTGTCTAGCAGCTTTAGCATCTCTATAAAAATTCTCGCCTTTAACCTTGACATTACCGAGGCCATCGGAGCCGCCGGTAGCCTTGACTCTGTTCTTCTCTTTCTTCAATTGACCCATGATGTATTAATGTATAAATGGTAAGGGGAAAAAGGAGTAAAGAGATGAGTCGAATGAAAAGAATGAGTTGGACACTGAGCAAAAGTTTGTTTTCTTTTCTTTTTTTTTTTTGTGACTGCTCCTCAATTTATTATTGTTATTATTTTATTGGTGCGACATCTTGAGGCTTCCGATACGTCAGTGGGGTCGCTGGAGCGCCAGGCACAAAAACACGGAGCCCTTTGCGTTCGTTTCTTCTCCATCTATTCTACATTTGACTCATTCAAACAAATGGCCTCCAGAATCGCTCAAGCTGCTAGGGGCATTCGCTTTGCTTCCTCTGCCTCTGTCTCCACTAATGCCTGGTTGGCGGAGCGCGCTGCTATCAAGGAGCACGCTGGTCGTACGTCCTTTCTTTTTTTTTTATTATTTGATTTTATGTAAAGGGATCGATGACATTGATGCAGAGCATGAAGCCATGAAGACTATTAAATTATTGTTTCATGGGGTCTAATGTATCGCAAAAAAAAAAAAAAAAAAAAAAAAGAATGGCATACACGTGCGCTCTAGGTTCTCTCGCCTGCAATCAATTAAAATACACGGACGCTCCCCTTTGCTTTTATCGTGCGCTCGGACAAAATCTAGGAAGCAACATCTTACACGTCGATTCTTTATTGTTTATTGTTCATCTTTAGCTGCTGCTGAGACATGGCGCAAGATTTCCATCTACGTCTGCATCCCTGCTATCCTTGTCACCTCTGCCAATGCCTACAATCTCTGGGCTAAGCACCAGGCCCACTTGGAGCACGAGCGCCATGAAGGTCACGAGGCTGTCAAATACCCCTACATGCGTATCCGTGCCAAGGTATTCAACATTTAGAAACTGTTTTTTTTTTTTTTTGTTTTAATATCAATATACATTTCCTAATCGTTACCACCTTTAATCATTATCCTGTTCACTTTTTTCCCTATTTCTAGGCTTTCCCTTGGGGTGATGACAGTTTGTTTTTCAATCCTGCTGTTAACATGTAAAAAGCTATGCTATAAGCAAAGCCATTAGCTGCATTAAAATAGACATATTCTAATATATCTTATAGATGCATAGAAAAGAATAAATTTAACATATTATAACATCAATTTGGATGAAAGCTCTGTGCACTACCTCAACAATCTGTTCCGTTTGATGTCTGCAAGAGAGGCTTGAGTAAAGCTGTGCTCTCTTCTGAACGACGCCAAATCGTCCAAGAATCATTATCCATGCTACACAATATCATCTTTTTACTTTTATTTTTTTATTGCCTGCTTAATATCTAAGGCACTAATAATGAGCAACATATTTTTACTAAAGAAGATCACTTATCAGTCCTCTATCGCAGATTTATTCTACGAGTTCTCCACGAGCTATCCTTTGAGATACTCCTTTCGTGATAATGACTCTCTTCACACAGTGCTTTATCCGTACTATTTCGTGCAACCAAAGGTAAATGGTATTGGAAGCACTGATGTAATTCATTACCAAGCAAGGATTAAAACATTTACCAAGTTTAAATTAGAACGAGGTGTTCAAGGTCAATGTTTTCTTTTTCATTTTCGAATATTAGTAAACATTGTTTTGAACAATGTGCTGAATGCAGTAGATCTGACGAAAAACAATGGCTACAGGGACCCCTCTGACACACACACCAAAGATTAACCCCCTTTATTTTTTGCTAGTTGTACGATTATGCAAACTACAAATCAGTGAGTATTTTATTTATTTTGGACCTAATGCTGGAAATGCGATTCGTTACGTCTTCAACACAGCTCCATGTTCACCTTCTCCCACTTACAATCGATGCAGAAGCAATCGCATAAATGAATCCTTTCTTCCTTCTGCAACCTCAGGGGAGGGACTTTACGAGTTCTTTGCTAATTTCCCTTGTTTTGGAAATAACTTTGGACCCCAAAGGAAAACATGTATGCACTAAATAATAATGGTCCGATTCAGTTGATCGCGACACAATTCATTTTATATATTTTAGAATAGCTAAAAAAATAAAATAAAATAAAATAAAGTATATCATGAATGAATTGTATTGTATTGTGACCAAGGAACTGGATTAATACTAATGTAACTGTTGCGAAAAAAAAAAAAAAAAAAAAAAAAAAAAACCATTTAATTTTAATCAAAGATGTAGGAACACGCACCAGACATTATTACTTCTTACTTTCAACACCACCACGCTATTGAGCAAGAGGGATGGATTTACTACTATTTTTTTTATAAACTATAAAATCCGTTTTCGCAACAGGCACCAAAAAAAAAAAAAAAAAAAAAAAAAAAGCAAATACGTGAAATAGGAAATTGGATGCATGCGAAACAACTTTATTTTTTACTTCCCTAACTAACACCTTGGTTTCTTTTCATGCAGAATATGCAGGATAGTAATCATTGACAAAATAAAGAACGCGGTGTTGACAAGAGTTATTACGCAAAACGCGTTATATTTTTCATGTTTCACGGCTTTGGCCTCTATTTTCTTGAATCGATGTGGCTCAAGGCTTAGCAAATGGCTATGATCGTCATGGAAAGAAAACCACCTATGAACAAGACGTGTATTAAAAGTCAATTTGAGTATGTATTATACAACTTTGCAGCATCCGAATGCCAAGTGGCAAATTTTCTAAAATGTAAAACGGTGCATAAACTGATACATTTTTTACCTAACGTAAAATAAAACAAGCAAACATCGTCATCAGGTAGCTTTTGGTTGTAAACCCACTTTGACGACAAGATGAATGGTTGGTCTCTGTCTTTACACGCTCTTCCCAATGTTCTTTATTTCAACACTAGTTGACATTCTGTCTTATTCTTTCAGGATCTCGTACTACTCGCTGTCTGCATAGTACGCATAGTCAACAGACTACGTGTGCTCATATTACCGCTTTTCGTTTGTCTCTTCTTGCCTTTTGAGGACGAATCCGTTGCATCTATCGCGTAGACGACCCTTCCGCCAACCCCACCACTCCCTTCTCCCCTTTTTCCACTCGAATAAGTGTGGGTTGGGATTTCGGATTCGTCCACTACAATAAAGCTCTCGCCGCTGAGTTGACTGTCTCTGTTTTGATGTGATTTGTCTGTTCTGCTGCCCATGGAGGCAGCTTGTCTACCATTAACGCTAACTCTACTCATTACAATGTCCTCAAGATCACCACTCTTAGACCAAGCACTTCTTTCTATTTGCGAGGCCTCACCGCCAGCTATGTCCTGTTGCTGTACTCGTTCCCGCTCACGATTTTCTTCCTCATATGCCTCTTCCACGTCATCATCCCATCCGAGTTCTTGCAAAATCCAGCTCAAGACTTTCATGAATCGAATATAATCCTCTTCCTCTACACCCTCCGTGCCAACATCACGAGAAATCGGAGATTGCATACCTTCGGCCGTCATCGCTGAGATAGTCGAAGGATCCTGATATGGATGACGAGGATTGACAACGGATGAAGATTGTCGATTTGATCGTACTGAGGCTTGTTGTGCATGACGGTGATGAAGCTGTTGTTGATTATGAAGTGGTGACATGGTGACAGGAAGCGGGTCGTTCCTTACCCCTCCAAAGCGTGCTTGTTCGTATCCTGCAATGTATTCCAGTCCAATATCCCTGGTTACTAATTTGAGATCTATAAGCATATGAATATAGGCCGAGATGGACATGTTTGGTGGACGAGCCAAATCCGGTGATTGAGCAATGGCAGCCCGCTCTGGTATTAGCCATAGCAAAGTGTAAGAAAGAGGTATTAGCAACCACAAAATAAAATAAAAATGTTCAAAGCTACTCCATGAGATGAAATGTATGTTGTCATTTAAAAACTTACCAATGAAGTGAGGTGTACTAGCCATAAACGTCTTGAAATGTGTGCCTTGTAGTGATGATCCTGGCTTGCCCCATCCTGGTTGACCACTTTCTTCTAACAAAGGTACTGCCTTCTTGGCCAGTCGCGCCACACGATCCAATTCCGATTGCACAAACTCATATACACTCTGTTGATATCCATTGTATATCATCATCAAGATAAAAAAAATTATGAGTTATCAATGACTAGCAGAACTGTTTTTCCCCATTCTGTTTTTAATTTATCTGATTTTTAAAATACCATGGGCAAATCTTCCTTGGTGATCGGCATGTATGCCTTTGGAATTGCTTGACGTGCTAGTTTCACAGTGACATATCGTGAAAAGCCAAATATTGTCGCGAGAAGCCCCTATGCGAAATAAGAAAAAATAAATAACAAAGAGAAAAAAAGCGTTTGTTAACCTACTACATCCTCTAGAATACTGGTCATTTATGAGAATAGACTTAAACATACCAAGAGAACATAACTACCTCCAAAGACAGCCAAGTTCTTGTAGTTAGGAGGCTCGGCCATATTGGCTGGGTGAAAGATTTGAAAAATCACATCGTAGGCTGAAGCGAATATACATATTCCTGTATAGATAATGCCGACGACTGTTAAAACTAATGCTCACTCGTCTGGGTTCGCAAGGACTTCATGTGTCACCACAATATTGCTCTACAAGTTGTACCTGTAACTGCAACCAGGAAGAATAGCGAGCTCACATAGAAGCAGCTTGAGCGTGTCAATGGCATTCACTCTACTTTAAATAGATAACTAATTAATCCTGTGTGAGGATGTTCAAGCGGCGATCAAACAGGATGCTGTCGTGATGGGATAGTCAATGTGCTTCAACTTTCAAAGGATGAAGGGCTGCTCTAGGACATAGAATCGATGAAGCGCACGTGACATCAAAAAGTGTGTGGAACATTGTAACAATATCCACATGCCATTCTGAGCTTCTATTAACAGGCCAAGTGATATTTGACGGTTGGCTGGCGGTATCGGTCTTTCCCATTCCGGTAGAGCTATCAAAACAGGTTCAATAAGCAGAAGTAATGGTGCCTTCTGTATGTGACGCTCGATAGTACCCATGATCCTTCCATTCACTAACATTCTGCTATAAGAGCCTAATTTAACTTATTTATTGCGATACACTGCTAAGTAATAGGTTTCTCTGGTATATAAATGTATATTGTTCTTTCATTTATTTGGTGAGGAGCTGCGATAATTTGTGATGCATTTAGCAGTTCCATCTCATGCAGCATCCGGAGTATCCGCACTGGGCAGGTCCACCATAGACGGAGCATGCTCTCCAGAGGCAGCATCCAGTGGGTCCGCACCACTGGCCACTGCCAGCGTACTTGCAGCAGGTACGGCGAGGAGTCAATAATTTGCCTCCTATTGGTTATTTGGAGATGCGTACAGCGAATCCATGAAAGCATTTTCAGTTTTAACATTATTATGGACTTAATAAAAAAGGTTTGTCAAGTGCGTAGGAACCTACCCTCAGCAACAGGTTCGTCAACATTAGCAGGGACAGCCGAAACGGTGGCGACGACAGTCAAGGCAGCGAAAACGACGGCAAGGTTGAACTTCATGGTAAAAGGATGGCTTAGGGGTTTTTCTTTTTTTTATCGAGAGCAATGGGATGAGGTGATATGATGTGATTGGTATGGAGGACAGAAAAAGGGTGGTGATAGCAGCCTTTAAATACTCATGTTTGGTCACATCCAAGGTAGCCTGAGCAATTCTTCGTCAATTATTGTTTCTATCCTTCATTTCAATCTACTATTACACGCGGGGTGTATTCCGTCAACTCTTGCTCGGATTTTTTTTTTTTTAGTAATGAGTTGCGTCCTCAGTATAGTAATGAAATCTGATCAAAGAAGGATGAATATTGCTGTTGCGCTGTAGAAGCGCGCCGGATAGATAAACAGGTGTGTTTAAGTGCTGCACTAGAATTTAAAATGCGCCGCAAAGAACGGTGGTACAATCAATGTAAAGAATCAGATCATATTCCTGTAATTGGTCGGAAAAATAAGTATTGAATATTATGACCCAGTTAGGGTCGTGCGGCGTGCCTGTGCACAAATGGAATGATGGTGAAGCAAACAGACCTGATATCAATGTCAACAATGTGTTATCGGCACTGCCACTAGCCGCGGAATATTTGTGTCCGTGTCATACAACCAGTTCATGCACTCTACGATCTTGTCAATCTATAGATCATGTCTTGTTTTATATTCATTATCAAGAAATCTTACAACTTCGACCAGGTAAAACATGGGAAGCGAGATTCTTGGCAAATTAAACAATCTAGAACAAACCATCCATCTGCCTAGTATAAACGATCATGATGAAAGGGCACTAATATTTTGCAGAGCCATTATGACTTTTTAATAGTGTATAATACATGAAAGTGCGCAGTGTGAGGCATACTCTGCTGTGTCTGTCACTACGCAGTTAAGTGTTGTTGTATCTTTCCTTTCCTGTTAATACTCGCAACAGCTCCTACTTTACAATCTATATTTCGAGCTAAATAGCACGATGCAAACCTGATTCCTTAATTTTCTCGATCTGTTGTTGTGAAAATAAGTATGCCTTGTACTGCTCAGCAAGCGAAATCATAATCTGACGGTATTTCTCCCTCTTGAGCATTAGATCTCCCACGGCCCAATAATTGCTCATATCATCGCTTTTGTTCTGTTCATAGGCAGCCATATATGTAAAAAAGACAGAAAAAGGAGGGAGCCTGTGAGTTGGCTGACCTACCACTTGTATATACACAGCCTATTCGCAAATATAAGGTGAATCTCATACCAAAATACCATTCAGAAGAGCATCGGGGTGTTTGAGAAACACCTCCGCATAATGTAGCAAGAACAGTCCACAATCGCAAAAGTTTTCTTGCTGGGGACATTTGGCTAATTTTCCAGGAACATCTTTTGAGTCAATTGCCCTATCAATATTCTTTCTCGTCAACAGTTCTTGCTGTAAGTACAGTCGCAAACTTCTAAAAACTGAAGGATGGGAGCTACCCAGCGAATCCAGAACTATAATGAATGGTCTAAGAAAGAGCAAGCACAAAAAATAAAATAAAAAACAAACGTAAATGGAGTTGCTCATACACGTCAATGTCGATTTTGCTAGTTGTTAGCCAATATCCCCATTTTTACTTACTTCTTCTCTGGATCCACCCATGCCGCAGCAGAAGACCGCGGTAATCTTTCAGCTTGTTCTCTTTCGTCATCAACACGTAATTTTGCGCGATTCCTTGGTGATGCCAAAAAGGATATATCTTGGAGAAGATTGGTCCGCATCGCTTCTCCCGACGTTGTAGAAAGGGTTTCAGAAATTGAGAGTGAGCTTGGCGATGATGATAAGGAAGTAAGTGTTTCATCCTTTCTGTTTAGTGTAGTGTCGATATCAGCATCCGTATCAATCCTGTTTTCTGTACTCAACAAAAGCCCCGGGTTGCTTATGATAGCTAAGTACCAATGCACACTAATACCAGCATAATAAAAGATTGCTTTATCAATTGAACGTCCCAATATTTGAACAATAGGCTATTGAATCAATTCATTCTTTGCTTACTTTTCATGAATAGGGATGATAATAAACTTTTTGGAGAAAATATCGATTTTGTTGGTCCAACTCCTGACAGATTCATAGTTGATCCCTTTCCTAAGTACCATCATAGTTAATAAAGAAAAAATAATATGAACAAAAATATATTTAAAGCACTATGTGTGCCGCCATGAAACGATACTAAACAGCTGAATTACCCTGACTTTGTGACGAGCCGCTCGTAAAAAAATGAATTAAAAATATATGTCGCATCTGCTAGTTCCCGGTTCTCATTTTCAACGCTTGCATGAATATATCTAGTCAAGATAGTCAGAAAGAATGCTCGGGTCAGTTGGCTCACTATAATCAATGCCAGACATAGTTTCCTCCGCCTGTAAAATCTTACTTGAGACCAAACTCAATTAGGGTATCGTTCAAAAACTCATCATCATTTAAACGGGACATATCATCAACACGCACTGCTATTGATTTTGACTTTGTACTGCTCTTGAACGGAAACATAAACAACCTATGCGTTCATTTGAAAAATGGTGAATGTCGGCTTGCATCATCTAGCAATACTACCTCGTTCTCCCCTTTTTTTAGCATTCCAGTCATTTACGTTTCATCGGCTGATTTCTTTTGCCCTTGTGCTTTAGCTGGTATCATAGCCGAAGAACTAGGTTCTTTAGTCATGTGCCTATCGAAGAAATAGAAAATAATACAAACAATACGTTGGAATTTCAGTAGGATTACATCGAGCTTTTTTTTTTTCTTTATTATTATTATTATTATTTTTTTTTTTTTTTTTTTTTTTTTTTTTTGCTTACCGTTTGTTATGACCGACGAGAATTTTCTCCACGATGTCAAGCCTAGCGGGGTCAGTTAAAATCCATATTAGCCATCGATTCAGCTTGTTCGTGATGATAGAGTGACATGCTTTCTAAAACCTTAAGCATCACAAACGTACGGCAATTCTCTCATTGGAATCTTCTTTCGTTCAAGGCGCCTGCAGCACTCCACAAAGTCTTGGGCATCAGCATCGCTAATCAATACAATTTTGCGTGCTTTTCCTGAGAGAAGTCCTGGATCTGGATCGTAATATGGTTCCAACGCTGATTCTGGCGGAAGTGATTCCTTAGTTTGGAGTGCGAATATAATAGGTTTTCCATTCATATTGTACTGTATTAATGTTTTTCAATTGACGGAAAGATACTGCGACTTAGCAACAGAATAGTAATACATATTTGCTCTGCCCAAGAAACCTAGCGCCGGTTTGTTAACCATTTTTTAGTACCTCGACACACTTGATATTTTCGTGAGATATTTTCGTTATGTTTTTATCAATGGTGAGGATGAGCCGATCTGGACCAAATTGAATCATCATTCCCGGCGAAGTGAGCTCCACTCTGCTCCCCAAGCGCACAGATTTAATAGAAGCCTGTGGAAATGTCCCCATCCCTAAGCGTAGAACTTTTTCAGATAATGAACCAGGTGGTAGAGGTATATTCTCACGAGAACTCGGTACAGAGGTTATACTTTGTTCTGGGGCTACAGATGATGCTGCTATCTTTGCTGGCGCCACTGGTATTAACTCTGAGCTAGCAATGAGATTAGATTCTGTTTTTGATAGCGGTCCAGATGACGGTAATGATGTTGATGATGATGCCAGCTAATAAGTGAAAACGAATACGGACCAATATGTCTTAATTAAAGGCTTTCAAGCGCGATCTCAAATGTGCATCCTCACCTGAACTGAACTCACATGTTTTTTCATTCGTGATACAACTGATGTAGATGAGGTTATCTGGTCTGTTGGTGGTGTTAGCATGCTTTTGCTCGAAACACTGGTCTTTCTCCGCTTCATTGCACCAACTAATAATCCTTTGTCGGACAAACGAAAGAGATAAATATCTGATTTTCTGGTGACACCTGCATCAAGCAGCCGCCATTATTATGATGCCGTCGTACCTTTCTGTTCGTCCTCATCGCTTAACAACACAATATCTGTCTGCTAAAGGATTAACGTCCAGGGAAACAAAAAATCGGCGAGCCATATTAATCTGACGCCAAAACACTTCTTGAGTATTGAAAAAACGTGTTCCTACCTTTTTGCCCCTGTCGGTCGCTTGCCTGCTAGGGCTTCCGATTTCTCCAACAACACTAAAACTGTCTATTCAAATTTGGAATTTTTTCAAATTTGGAATTTTCATTATGATGTTTTAGTAGTGCTATTTCTTGTTATTGTCAGTCTCAGCTATACTATTTACCATAAAGACTTAGCAATCATGGTTCTTACTACTGTGATGCGAAGATGTGCTGGATCTTCTCTTGATACTGCCACCATCCCTCGATCCTGTCAAAAGATTCGGATTACTTGTGTGTAACGAAAAGTTGGATAGCCTTCTCGCTGTGGTTGGAACTTCTATTGGGATACCCTTTCCTTGCTTCCTGACGCCGCCTCCGCTTTGTCAATGTATATAGACAAATAAAGAGCAATGGGGGGGTTTTTTTTATTTTATTTTTGTGGTTAAGACTCTTCTTGTCAGCCATTCAGTACAGTTCAACTCATGAATAAAAAGCTTTTATAATATGCATTGTCCTGCATAATGCTATCTTCCATCTTGTCCATTTCACTGGTGCTGATTAGTACCTGGGTTGAAGAGGGTGTATAGACGCCATCTACAAAATGGAGTTGCGAAGGGATTAATGCTTTGAAGATTCGGAGCTTAATGCTATTGTACCGCGACCATGCCACTCCATTACACGAAGGGCCGAGCCACAGGGCGAAATACAACACTTGGCTAGGGGGAAATGTCCTACCCTTCCTTCCTTCACTCTTTCAGCACAGACAATTGTGAAGTAAAACATACCGGTTCGCGAACTAGCTGGACAGCGTCTTCTGCTTCATCCTTGTCTGAACCGCTCATTCGCTTAATTATGAATCAGAAGAATAATAAAAAGAAAGACAAAAAATAAAAAATATACTCCTGTAAAAGCATTTTTATTCTTATTGGTGTGACCACGATGCTACTACTGCTCTAATCCCAAACAAGCGATCCTTTATCATCGCTCACTGCCGAGTTCTTCGGAGCTGTGGTTTTGGACACATCCCATCTAGACACAGTTGGGGCTTGCTTACGCGCTTGCGCACGGTAAAACTCCTTCATCTTCTCCGCTTTAACTTGTCGCATGTGTTCTAGGCGTCTCTGCTCCTGAATTGCATCCTGGGCAGCTTTTTCCTCCTTTTTCTTAGCTGCTTTTGCCTGATTCTCCCGCTGCTTCTTGCTCGATTCAGTAGACTGATACTGACTAGTCTTTACAGACGTACTGGCTCGTGCTAAGGAAAATAAAAAACAATGATATTCTTCAAATTGAAGCCTCCTGTCCAGCAAACTAGCATATTGAACATCGTCGCTTGTCTACTTACTCTTCTGTGTCATGAAACCATCAGGAATAGCTTCGTGAACCCGCTCCTCTTGGACAGTCGGTTTAATAGATAGAACACGTGCAAACTTCTCTGTTTGCTCAGCATGAGGATCAGCAGATGCAATAAGTTCGAGCTTCATACGTTGTTGCTGCAGTACCCATGGATCCATAGGCTTGTTAAAGTCGATGCCTCCGGATCTTGACTGTGTCGAGCTGACGGTAGTCCACTCATCTTCTTTATCATCAGCAGGTCCTTTGTCACTATCATCAAATTCCTCAATTTCCTTTCCTTCAGTCTCCTCTTCCTCTTTTTCCTCCTTTTCCTCAGGCTCCTGCTTTCTAGCCTTGTTCTCTTCTTCCGCTTGCGGCTGAGCCACTACTGGCTCTGGCTTCTTTACAGGTTTTTCTTTCTTTTGGTTAGGTTGCTTAGGCTGTTTTGGAGCTGGAGCTGGAGCTGTTGCTGGTCGTGAGAGTGCAGGGAAATCAGAATGAGACAGACCAGAGGCAGCAGGACCGCGATTATTCTTTTTCTTATTACTTCCCATAGTACCAGGACCTGGAATTGAAGTAATTTGAAGTGAAGAGTCGACTGATGATGGTGGTGCGTTCTTTGCAGTTGCGGACGCGAATTGCAATGTCTCCTGTTGTTTCGCAAGTAATTCCTTTCGCTGCTCCTGCTGTTGCTTCTTCCAATTCTCAACAGAGGATGGCTTCGTAGACTTGATTGCACTGTTGGCTTGCGAATTGATAATGGGAGATGTCAAGTCCTTTTTACTACTTGATAACGTGTTTTTGTTAATGGCGTTAGTGATGTTATTGTTATTGTTTGGTAAGAGTTGAAGTTTGCTAACAGGCGTTTGAGAATCCTTGCTACTTTTTTCTGTGCCCGTTACGGTGACGTTGGTCTCCACATCTGACTCATCCGATTCATGTTGATTAGTCACGCTGTCAATGGTCTGTGTGGTCGTAGAACTTTTGGTCTTTTTCTTGGACTTTTTCTTTTTTGATTTTAAGGAAGCAGTGCTACCAAATGCCCCCGGTAAGGATGTTTTCTTAATCAAGTGAGCTCCTTCCAACCGATCACTCTTGAAGATGCTGAACAGTCCCAGAGGAATAAGGATGACAACTGCGATGAGGAAGTATTGGTACTCCATGATGTAAGAGTGGTGGGAAATGGTGCTGAAATGCAACAGGACAAAAGATCAGTTCGTCATAATCAACGCACGGTTATCAAAAATACACTTCGATTCTATTTATTCTGTAATCGATAGTCTTAGTCAGTGGTCTCACAGAGGGGGCACATGCATTGCAGGCGGTACTTGGTGAATAACTCTAGGCGACGCTGCTCAGTCGAAAGTTTGCCATTCTTGATATATCCAACAAAGAGCTCATCTCCAGCCTGAATGTCTCTCGTCGCCACAATTGTGAGTTTGTGGTCATGATCTGAGAATACAATCTTGGTGTTAGGTTCACACGAGTGCATCAGGTATGAGCTTACTCGGTAGAGTCCCGATCCAGTAATAGGAGCATCACGTATACTGCGCTGCCTCTCAGGCAAATACTACACAAGCATACATATAATAAACAGGTCAAAAGGCTGAATCTCAACATTCACAACTTCTCTTAGTTTTTTTTTTCTTTTTTCTTTTTTCTTTCATACCTTGATCGTGCGGTCGGTATCGAGAGAAGTTGAGATGCCGTAAAGATTATAAAGCAACCTTCCCTTCATGAGCAAATAACGCTCCGCAGTAATGAATTCGTCGATACCAGGAATATTTGATCCAAGTGCCACCTTTAGAAGCTCCATCTCCTTTTCTTCCTCATCAGAAGGAGGAATTTCCAAGTATCGAAGCCTCTCCATGTGATCGAACGAGTTGTACTCTGCTCCACTGTTCATGGATTCCTCATGCACCATTTTAACCAAGAATTTGGCGAGCATTTCTGGTACCAGATTCCTGGTTGTTTTGGTGTACTCATACAAAGATCGCTCTGGACTGTCTGCATCCTCAGAGTTCTTAGTGCACAAAATGTTATGAAATTCCTGTGATGCCGCATCTTTGCAATCCTGAGAGCAAAATACAACCTGACTGCATTTGGAACAAGGTACGGCCGACTCCTGGACAATTTCTTTCAGACAGTAATGACAAAAGCTACCCTCCAATGATGGCTCCAAAGAGTTGATCACAGGCACTTCAGAATAGATCGCCTGTCCTGCAGTAAAAGCCTTGGTCACTACTAGGCCACGTCGCGTCACCTTTTGGCCATCCGCTGTAACACCTTCAGGCTTCTCATCAACCTTGACATTCATGTCCTCTGGAGGGAAGACAGTGTAGTACTTCTCTTGTTTACTTTGAACCTACCATACCATAACGAACGTAATGCTGATTAAATAATGTCCGTTCATTGTATAGTAGGAGCACTGATTCAGAAAAACCTGCTTTCACCAATTACTACTTACATCCTTACTAAGCATGCCCATCACAAGAGTGAAGACTTCAGATGGGATAGTTTTTTGATATACCATCACTAATTCTGCAGGGGCGGGGTAGACCTTCAAAGCCTTATAGAAACATATTGCCGCTTGTGCATAATTTTGTGGGCCTATTGTGTCTCAGCAAAAATATGCAATACATAAGCATGGGGTTACCATCATGCATTCTCGTTTTGCCTTTATATTTGCACAAGTTGTTACCTCGGGTGAAGAGCGCTTCTCCAGCCGAGAGCTGCTCCATGCAGAATTTCTCACGTTCCTCCATAGAAGTTGGGAAATCCTCATCCTTGATACTGGCCAATGCCTCTTCGACAGTTTGTGCACTTCTGTTTGACAGCTTCTTAGCCTCCTCCAGAGCAAGCTTCTGTGCACGTTTACGCTCCTTCTCTATTAATGAATCATAGCAGCCCAATATTAGCTCCTATAATTTTAGAAATCTCCTGTCGCAAACATATTGATCTATCCAAAGCGCTGAGGCAATTGTAAAGATAGTAATTCCTCCAAAGCAGTGACACAAAGATTCATTGCAACTGGTTGAAATTCATTGAAACAGTATAATGCATACTCAGTTTGCGCCTGAACTCAGGATCGTTCCGTCTCTTGGCATCGAAATATATAGCATAGCCAATAGTGGCAACAGTTAATACGCCAACCGTGGCTGCAACAATGGTTGACGTCTTCATGATGGCCGCTACGAGTGTCTAGGAAAGTAATCGAAAGAAAATGTACAATAGATCACTGTAAAAACAACACAACTTTCCGAGGCCCAAAGATTGCACGTGATCTGTCACTTGAGGCTGAGTCAAGTTCTTGTGGTCGTTCTGATTCAACGCTTAAAGTACCGCATAAGGTTGTTTATAACTAAATGTCCGGCGCTGAACACCATTAAATTAATTCTGGGCGAAGCGATGTCATGCATGTCCAACCCCAAAAGGATGAGGTATTTGCAGATTAACGTGAATAGTAAATAGCCCCGCCATTTGTGGACAAATATAATAGAGTGGCAGAGAATCTTTACCAATTGTATTTGACTGAACCGAAAAAACTGGAAAATGATTAACTATTCACATTTTGGTTTTTAGAAAAAGAGAAAGCTTGCATGCATGTATTTCAGCTGTTTTATTTCAAATTGAAAAATAAGTGCTTAAGCCTGCTTGCGGCGGAAAGAGCAGCCTAAATATTATAGCATAACAAAAAAAGTTAGAACATCGATTTGCTCAAGCGTGAGCTCCTGATATGATAACAACAGTCATTATCCGCCCTTTGAAAAGAATTTATGCCTCAACTTACCCTCAGTCAAACGAGTGATACCTCCAGTGGGTTGAGCGAGAACGTTGGCGCAGCTCGAGCACATGACAACGGTTTGAGCATGCGAGAAGACAGTAGTGATCTGGACACATCCCTGTAAAACGCATAACAACAAAAATGGTAATCAAAAGAGTAAGATTCGAACGTCAATATTTGCATGTTGAGAACAGTGCGCTGAATCCGACTCCTGAACTGTAACGTAAATAAAAAAAAGACGACCAAAATTCCGCAGTAGCTCCTAAAACTTCCAAAATTTATTAAGCATCCTTTTTCTGCCTCCATGTTCTTTGTTGGAATATCTGAAGGCGGAAAAAAAAATCCTTCGGAGTGTTGTGACATTGTCGATCCCAGGAAAACGAATAATAAATCCCTTCAATAAAAAAAGGGGATTCTTCCCAAAGGTCAGTGTTTTTTCCAGTTGGACTCCATGCTGCTACACTTACAGGGCACTTGACGTCCATGAAGTAAGAGTTGGGAGACTGCACGAGTCTCTTCAACTTGTGGGTCTTTTGCTCATGAGCGTGGGAGGGATTCAAGAGATCAACAGCCAACTAATGACAAAAATCAGATGCGGGTGGGAGATTGATGTTAGTTCTGCTGTCCTATAAAAATCTTGAAGCCCTACCAGGGTTTATTTCTTCCAGTAAATAGTTGATGTAGTCCTATAAATCTGATGCAAACTCAGCGCCTCGATAAAACATTCATCGTAAAAGAAAAAGCCGAATCTCCGCTTCTGCCCTCCTGAGCGAAATATAATATCAACTTGGCTGCTCTTTCGGATTGATTACGATCCCTTTCGGTGATAAAAGTCTGTAAATCCGAATACTTCCACTTATTAGATCCAACATGCCCACATGCCTTTCACCAATAATACGTTTATTGACATCCTGAATTTCTATTATCCCTTCAGCCTTTGTTTGATGGTGCGCCTCCAATGTCGATTCACTACTATTTGTTTGTCACCTCCATTCCTTGATACATATTCTATCTGATGGATGTATAGAGGACTGCTCCTTGTATCCATTGCTCTACATAAACGGATGTACTCTTCAACCATTGATGTCACGTGCCATTTTGCTTATTTAATTGAGGAAAAAGGAAAGAAAAAATGATACACGAATTGAGTGTGGCAAAATACTCTCCAATTTCCAAAGACAAAGCCACTTCATGCAATGCGAAGTTACATGTACAACAAAGGCTACCCACAACATCAAACTGGAAATGCTCTATCGTAGTTGGAGTTAGCGCCTGCACTGATGCCTCTTGTGTTGGAATCCGTGCTTGGGACGTGGAGGTTAATAGACGAGTCCCTGATCAGGTATTTGGTTGAAGTTGTAAACTAGACTATGCTATTGAAGCTACAGATTGGGGGCGTCTTCTTCTTAATGCTATGTAATATGGGCTGTACATGTAGAGAATTCCTGATATGGACAGAAGGAGGGCCCTCATAATTGTTCGCCCTACTATAGAGGCTGGCCTCGTCGCCAGGAGCCATGTCGTAGGTCGTATTTAATAATGTTCTTTGATTCTCAGTGGTTGCGGCAGCTTAATTCGAAGCGACATGGCTTAGAAAGGGCAGTATGCCTTTGCAAGAAGTTGCAGATGGGGTTGAAGTAAGATATGGGCTAGAATTAAGCACCTAGTAGGGGAAGTGGCTGGACAAGTGGAAGTGAGTCGCTCTTTTTTGTAGGAATCCATCTTAACACTCATGGGATAGACAGTGCTCTTAGCCTAGTTCTGAACGAGTCTATAATCTAGTTGACCTCTTATGGCCATTCATAGATAATTCTTTCCAACCAGCTATAACTGGTTGACTTCAGAGCCTTGTCTGGCCCACCATCCATAGTTACCTTGTTGTCGTTTGTGTCTTTGTAACCGTCAAAGAACGTCAAAGTGTTGGAATAACCCTTGAAGGCATTGATGACTTGATGCGCACTGCTCTATATAGTGATTTCGTACCCAGGGTCTCCTGATTAGGTACAGTTGGACCGAACAATGGATAGATACTAGCATTCTTGAATGTTTTCATAAATTTGTTGTTGTTCAGAGTTGGACAAGCCTTAGAGATTATTATGGTGATAACTAGGAAATCATTGCTTTGATTACTATGTACTCATTTGTAGCTTTAATACTCATGCTCATTGTGGCTGGCTTCCTACCTGATAAACGCGGATAGTGTTCAATTCAAGGCCCATGAGAATTGCGTCGCGTTTACAGTCCGCTGGTTTCAGTAAAGGACCTATGGATCCTACAAAGCTGGTAGACTACACCCCCTGATATAGAGCTGATCTTTGCGATAATGGCAGAGAGCTTTGTATCTTGATAGCTGTGCGATCCAGAGCCAGGCAGAAGCAAGGTAACGCGCTTCAGTCGGCCTTTGCTCTATTAATATCGCAAGACGAAGCATACTGCACCATGATGATTTTGCTCGTAAATGAAATTATTTCAATTTTGTGGTTGTCTAAATCGACTTAAGGATAAAAATAGTCTATTTCATAACAAATATTGTTTGACGCGTGGACGACGGAAAAAAATGCTAAGTATCAAGATGTGGGGACATCTAGGAAGGGCAAATTAGCGCCAGAGAATTCGTAGATCTATTTGATGTTTGCAAATGCATCCGGGTGATTAGAGAATGCGATAAGGGTACATTGTTTTCAATATGACAGTAATAGACAGAGTCTGATCGTCAGTCTGGTTTTGTTCAAAGCATTAATGATACTGTATCTCGATCTAGTATTGTTAGTAAGGGTTAATTGGTAACATGGAAATATGAGAGGAGGTCAGTTTGGGCTTGCGCAGTCAAAATGCACCACCAATGAGAGCGCTTTCCCCATTTAACCAACAACATGTGTACGGCAGGACTTAGAGTATTGGAGGTCACTCGACAGGTATGGCATCAAAATTTTTTTTGCAAGGTGGCGTCTCTTCATGAAATTCTGTAGGCATGACGACTGGACTCCATGTGCCTCATTTTTGATGAAAAAAAAAAAAAAAAAAAAAAAACCATTGCTTTTTCTTTGCTGAAAGTATATACATATAAGGTGTACAGATGTTCAAATGTGTTCTGATTTTCGATTTTCTGTGGCAGACAGTCATGTGCAAATAGAACAGGCATGTTCATAATTAATTTTTAATAATCAGTTGTAAACAATTAAGGACAGCAAATAGGAATCTTGGGAAGTGCCCTGATCTGCACAACAAGAGAGCACACGGGGATTCCCTTTTACGCCCATACACAGCAAAGCAAACAGCCAATAAAAAACACAAGATACCAACAGCTGTTGATTCGCTTGGCATTTACTAGGCACAAGACACCAGCCGTATATTGATTAGCTGCTAACCTTTTCTCTCTTCACTACACCATTCATTGCTACGAGCAATCTGAGCAAGGAATGTACGTGGAAAACAACTAAAGATTGAGGGTAAGTGATGATTAAATGCGGAACGCAATACCACATCGCTTCAGCATTTATTACTTTTTTTTATACGCTATCAAAGAATCGATTATTGATTAGGGCTTCTAGAGGGACCAAATCAACTGGTGGCAAGAGTTACAGGCCCAAGGTATTAGGAGCTAGACGAAATTCGCAACAGTACAAGTCCTTTAAATATGCCAATCTATTAGGTGCCTACTATAGTCTTTTTATTCTTTGAGAAAAGTAAAATGCTGACAATTGATTCGAAAAGCGACAAGTCAATATGTCAACCTACTTAAAAAAAGGGTACCAAGTTGTTTTCATCCATAAGTTAGACATATAATTTATACATGTACATGGAGCTTATCAAGTTGGTATATACATTTTTACCTTGTTCAACAAATGTGGACTTCCGAAATGCCCATCTGTTTCTCAAGGACTAACATAGATGTTTCTTAAAGAGCGGAAGCAAACTGGTCACGAGTGATAAATGTGAATGAATTTATTAAGTTTTGATAATTTAATCAGTTCAAGATGGCTTTGTCTTGTTGCTCGGTTGTTCGGATTACTTGGAGAATGTGTATTTTTTTTTGGGGGCGTTCAAAAGGAAAGACAAGAAGATATCCAAGTGGGCCTAAACAACTAATCGTTTATAATTAGGCGGCGTTTTCTGTGTTTCTCATGATGTTTAAGCTTATTTTTTATCTTATCCCCTGACCCTGACAAACCTCTACCGGACAATAGATGTTCAATATTTATTCATACATCATCATATTCAACAGCTTTTTTCTCATCCTTAACACGTTTTTCTTCTCTTTCAAATCTTTCTTCAGCCATTCCACTTTACCTACTAGCGCCGGCGATTTGCAATTCCTCCCTTTCCCCCTTCCCTTCATCCAGTTAATGTTATTCCTTACTCTTTGTTATTCTTAACCAGCGCTTAGCTCGTTTGCATCTCTTTTTCGCTTCTCTTCATCCTCAGATCTACCTTCCTCACGAGCCCCTCTTTACTATTCTGTATGCGCTATTATTGCTTCCACACTTTATCATCTGGTACTACGCTCACGCTGTCATTTTATTCGTAATTTAGTTTACCCATCAAGTATTGACAATAGCCTTGCACACATACGCCGCCGCGCTTAGCATTTATCAAAATAATATCCGTACCCCTGGGGCCCCCTCAATACGCTCCATCGTCTTGTATAGCGGCACAACAGCCTAAGCAATTTGAAAGGTATGTAGACGATGTAGACGTCATTTCTCTGTTCAACGGAAAGATCTATTAAATTTATTGAGCCGTTCGTAGGTCACTGATGTCAGGCATGATGATAAGTTTTTTTTTTTTGTTTTTTTTTTCCTGACCTTATCCTGTCACCCAAAATTGCTCGTACCTCCTTTTTTTCTCAACAGGAACACAGTGTCTTAAAAGGCAACCATAAATACCCTAAAGCTTCCATCGGCTATGGATCCAACTGAGAGAAGCCCTCCACCAGCCACAATAAAGCAAGATGGTCTCCAACCTGGTGGCTCCTCTTCACAGACATATCAATCGCACGCGCGACCCCAGCCTCAGCAACCTCAGCATTCACTCCACCCACCTGGTCAGCCTGGCCAGTGGACTAATGCAAGCCATGCTTTTCCACAAAACCAGTTAAGGAATAATCTTAATCCATCCAACTCATGCCCCCTCCGTGAGTCGCTACAGCAGCAACCCCCGCTCGGTGCAGGCACAGAGCGTTTCCACTCCAATCAATTCAACAGCCACGAGTCTGGAATAAACCTTAACGTACCAGATTCAGAAGACGAAAGTCCGTACTCGCATCATGGTATACCCAACTACCGGGACACAATATATTTATCCTCTTCACAGAACTCGCTTTTCCACCATGCTGACTCAGGAACAAGCAATGGTGAGTTTTTTTTTTGTATTTTTTTTTATTCTGACGTATGAGAGGAGCAATCTTCTATTACAAGAGTTCCTCTTTTTTTTTCCTGTGTGTTCTTCTGTGATCTTATTGGCTATTGATAATTGAACTTTTTTTTTTTCCATGCATACATTGTGGCGGCACATAAAATTATTTTCATCTTAATGCTATCATACCTCAATCATTTACATCATAGAAAAGCGCTGCCTAACTCATTATCTATTATTCTTTAATCTTTGTGGATGCTGTAGAGCACATACGAGCCCGTCCCTTCGTCAATACCAGCAAAAACAACAGCAGAGACCCAATTGTTGGCAAGGGTAGGACACGCATAGGCGGGCCTCTAGAATCAGATTCAGAAACATTCAGTAATTCACCTTCAAATGCTGTCCAATCACCTAATTCAGGTGCTATGGTAGGAAATGACATTGATCTCTTTGGGCCTTTCAGAGGACCAGATGACGGTCGCTATACGGGATATTCGCCTTCCTCTGACGCATTACTTTCACTCTTTGAGCATAAAAAAAGCCCTCTGATAAGTGAACAATACCACTACGACGATTCTCCCATCAGCAACAATGTCTATGTAAACTCACAACATCTGCCACCCGACCCATATCCTTCTTGGACGGTCGAGAAGGGCGCTCCACTAACGCAAGAGGAAATTGATGGCATCATGGTCGACCTCACACGGAAATTTGGATTTCAGAGAGATAACATGCGCAACCAATCAGAAGCCTTCTTGACCATGCTGGACTCCAGAGCATCCCGAATGTCCCCTACTTTGGCGTTAACAACTATTCATGCCGATTATATTGGAGGAGAGAACGCCAATTACCGTAAATGGTATTTTGCTGCACAACTGGACTTGGATGATTACATGGGTTATCATTCAGCGCCCGGCAAGAATAAGAAGATCGATTGCAGCTCGATGGTGCCACAACCTGATGCCGCCCATGTTGAAACCCACGATTCCCTAGCGATGGCGGAGCAGCAATGGAAAGCACGTATGAGTCGTATGTCTCATTTTGATCGCGCACGCCAGGTGGCACTCTACCTCCTTCTCTGGGGAGAAGCGTCCCAAATCCGATTTCTGCCCGAATGTCTGTGCTTCATCTACAAATGTGCTGAGGATTTTTATTTGTCACCTGAATGCCAACAGATGATTAATCCTGTTCCAGAGGGCTACTTCCTTCGTACCATTGTGTCGCCGCTTTATCGTTTCATCCGTGACCAGGGTTATGAGGTGCAAGGAGGGAAGTATGTGAAGCGAGAGCGTGATCACAGCACAGTAATCGGCTACGATGATATCAATCAAGCATTCTGGAGCCCTGAAGGTATCGAGCGTATCCGGCTACGGGACAGCAAGCGCCTCGTGGATATTCATATCACCAAGCGGTGGAATGCACTAAACCAAGTTGACTGGGAGTCATCATTTAGGAAAACATATAGTGAGAAGAGGACATGGCTTCATTTGGCAGTCAATTTTACACGTATCTGGATCATCCACCTCGTCGCGTACTGGTACTTCACTGCCTATAATGCCCCCTTCCTGTATATGGCTGAAGACGCAGACGAACCCGCAGTTCGGTGGACGATTGTTGCGCTGGGTGGGGCTATTGCAGCATTAATCATGCTTTTAGGGGTCTTCTGTGAGTTTATGTTCATCCCCCTCACTTGGTATAACTCGGCGATGCTAATTCAGCGGCTCATATTGCTCATCCTCGTCTTACTCTTAAATGCGGCGCCCGCGGTCTATATCTGTTTTTTTAATCGCAGGGGTAGTGTTGCTGAGATTGTTGGCATCATACACTTTGCAGTGTCATTGATCACGACTCTTGTTTTTGCAATTGTTCCATCCAATCGGCTCTTTGGCAGCTCCTCCAAGTCATCCCGAAGAAACTTAGCATCTCAAGCGTTCACTGCGTCGTATCCAAAACTCAAAGGCTCTGATCGTGCGCTCTCCATCATCCTCTGGTGCCTTATCTTCGGCTGCAAGCTAGCAGAGTCATATTTTTTCCTTGCTCGCTCCTTCAAGGACCCTTTGAAAGCCCTATATGCAGAGCGTATTCCCAATTGCCAAGATAAATACTTGGGAGGAGCACTGTGCTCCATCATGCCTGCCTTCACTGTGGCTATAATGTTCGCGGTAGATCTAGTGCTCTTTTTCCTCGATACCTATCTCTGGTATGTTATCTGGAATACTATCTTTTCTGTCTCCCTATCCTTCAAGCTCGGTGTTTCGGTTTGGACTCCGTGGCGCAACACATTCTCTCGCTTGCCAAAGCGTATCTATGCTAAAATACTCGCTACCGCAGACATGGATATCAAATACAAGCCCAAGACTCTTTGCTCACAGGTCTGGAACGCCATTATCATCTCTATGTACCGTGAGCATCTGTTGTCTATCGAGCATGTCCAGCGCCTGCTCTACCAGCAAGTTCCGTCAGAAAATGGAAATAAGACGATACTCAGGACGCCGATGTTTTTTGCAGCTCAAGAAGACTCGTCGATCAAAGCTGAGTTCTACCCACATTGTTCGGAAGCTGAGCGTCGTATCAACTTTTTCGCTCACTCCCTGTCGACGGCTATTCCTGAGCCTCTTCCCGTCGAAGAGATGCCCACATTTACAGTCCTAGTTCCTCATTATTCCGAGAAGACCCTTCTCTCGCTTAAAGAGATTATTAGGGAAGAAGATCAGCATACACGTGTGACACTTCTAGAATACCTTAAACAGTTACATCCTGTTGAGTGGGATAACTTTGTGAGAGATACTAAGATTCTAGTTGAGGAGTCGTCCATGTATAACGCTGCTAGTAGTCTCGGGCTGTCTGGCACTGAAGGCGATAAAGAAAACCACCATGATATGCAAAAGCCCAACAACAACAACGACGACCTACCATTTTATAGTATTGGGTTCAAGTCTGCCACGCCCGAGTTCACTTTTCGCACTCGAATTTGGGCATCACTTCGTGCACAAACCCTGTACCGTACGGTTTCTGGGTTTATGAACTATTCAAAGGCGATCAAGCTTCTTTACCGTATCGAGAACCCTGAAATTGTACAGCAATTCGGTGGTAATGGTGATCGCTTGGAGCGCGAACTTGAGAAGCTCTCTCAGCAAAAATTCAAGTTTATTGTTTCAATGCAACGATATACCAAATTCAGCAAAGAGGAAGCTGAGAACGCTGAATTCCTGCTTCAGACTTATCCCCAGTTACAGATCGCATACCTTGATGAACGTCCATCTGAGGTTGAGGGAGAAGAGCCTATTGTGTACTCTGTGTTGATTGATGGGAAGTGCGAGCTCATGCCTGACGGTAAACGCAAGCCACGCTTCCGACTAAGACTTCCAGGCAATCCTATTCTAGGCGATGGAAAATCTGACAATCAAAACCACGCCATCATTTTCGCACGCGGTGAATACATTCAGTTGGTCGATGCCAATCAAGACAACTATTTGGAAGAGGCTCTCAAGATCCGCAGCGTCTTAGGAGAGTTTGAGCAGATGCATATGCCAGAAGTTTCACCATACTCGCCGCAGGTCACATCGAAAGATATCCCTGAGCCTGTCGCGATCGTTGGTGCTCGTGAATACATTTTTTCGGAGAATATTGGCGTCCTCGGGGATGTTGCTGCTGGAAAGGAGCAGACTTTTGGGACCTTGACTCAGCGTATGATGGCTAAAATTGGTGGGAAGCTTCACTACGGTCATCCTGATTTCTTGAACTTTATCTTCATGACGACTCGCGGAGGTATGAAGAAAGAAAAAAATCCCGAATGTAAAATATGTTGTTTGTATTTGTCTTCATTCTGTTCAACCAATCGATAATTAATAGAAAATAATGCTATTTATTAGGCGTTAGTAAGGCACAGAAGGGCCTTCACCTGAACGAGGATATCTATGCTGGAATGACTGCATTCCAACGCGGTGGTAGGATCAAACATACCGAATACTACCAGTGCGGTAAAGGACGCGACCTTGGCTTTGGCTCAATTCTAAATTTTAACACTAAAATCGGCACGGGCATGGGAGAACAGATGTTGTCGCGTGAATACTATTACCTTGGAACACAATTACCTTTGGATCGTTTCCTGACATTCTACTATGCACACCCTGGATTTCATATCAACAACATCTTTATCATGCTTGCTGTCCAGCTGTTTATGCTTTCGATGCTATTTGTTGGCTCCGTGTCATCGTCGGTTGAGGTTTGTGCTGACATTGCGCAGGCTGGGTGTGTCAACTTAGTGCCTGTATATGACTGGATCAAGCGCTGTGTCCTCTCGATCTTCATTATATTCTTTGTCGCATTTTTGCCCTTGTTCTTACAAGAGCTCATGGAGCGCGGCTTTACCAGAAGCTTAGTTCGGCTTGGCAAGCATTTCATGTCCTTTTCGCCCATGTTCGAGGTTTTCGTAACTCAAATATACGCAAACTCTATTCTGACCAACCTATCCTTCGGCGGTGCTCGTTACATCGCCACTGGCCGAGGTTTCGCAACAACGAGAGCCCCGTTTTCGCTCTTGTATTCAAGGTTTGCTGGGCCTTCGCTCTACGTGGGGATGAGGCTTTTATTGATGCTGATCTTTGCATCGTTGACCATGTGGGTCCCTCATTTATTGTACTTTTGGGTCTCAGTGTTGGCTCTCGTGATCTCGCCTTTCCTCTTTAATCCGCATCAGTTCTCTTTTACAGAATTCCTGCTGGACTACCGTGAGTTCCTGAGATGGCTATCGAGAGGGAACTCACGGACGCATGTATCATCCTGGATCTCGTATTGCCGCACCATGCGAACTCGTATCACAGGATACAAACGTAAGCGCTTAGGTCACCCTTCAGAGAAATTTGGAGGCGACATCCCCAAAGCCAGGTTTGGGGTCATTCTTGTTTCTGAAATTATCCTTCCACTTGCCCAACTCGCCATTTGCGTGGTCTGCTATATGTTTGTCCGGTCATTCCCTGCTGGCGTCAATAGCAATGGAGGGGCTATTTACGTCAGTGGACTACTTCGCGTTGCAGTCTTTGCCCTAGGCCCTGTTGTGGTCAACGCCACAGTCCTGGCAGGCCTCTTCTTCATCTCTCTTCTTCTGGGCCCCCTGGTAAATATGTGTTGTATCAAGTTTGGAGCTGTGATGGCGGCTATAGCCCATGGCATCGCAGTCTTGACCTTGCTCGGCTCATTTGAGGCGCTTTGGGCGCTTGAGTCATGGAACGGATCGCATGCAGTCTTGGGCATCATCGCTGCCATTTCAGTTCAGCGCTTTGTGTTCAAAGTATTGATCACAATCTTCTTGACACGAGAGTTTAAGCATGATGAAACGAATCGGGCGTGGTGGACAGGTAAATGGCATGGCCGAGGATTGGGGACGCATGCTATATCTCAGCCGTTACGGGAGTATGTGTGCAAGATCATTGAAATGTCTATGTTCGCTTGCGACTTTATTATGGGTCACGTCATCCTCTTCTTACTATTTCCGATTTGTTTAATTCCCTGGATTGATCGATGGCACTCTACCATGCTATTCTGGCTGCGCCCGAGCAAACAGATCCGCCCTCCGATCTTTTCTTCAAGGCTCCGAGCACAGCGTCGGGCTGTGTCGTGGACGTATGGCGTACTCTTTATCTTGTTAATGGCCGTCTTCGTCATGTTGATTGTTACACCCTTGATGTTTCCTCAGTACATGCCCCAGGATATTGGACAAACAATCCCCATTTGAAGCATATTAGAGTTGATTGTCAGTTTATTTTATTTTATTTTATTTTATTTTAATCTTTTTCCATTTCATTGCTTTATGTATCATAGCCCACCAAGTCATCAAATAATCCATACTTCTTCTACTTACTCACCTTTACTGCTCCTTAATAAACATCAATTTATGATTCCTATTCTTGTGCTCCATAAATCAACACTACAGCCATCGAGCATATTGATGTATTCTCAACCCTCCATAAATCATTAACTCTTTGTGGCAATTTTATTTAAAACGATATTTAAAATGGGAGGCTTGAGAAGCACTGAGGCCTTCTTCTGTCGTGTATAGGTAAATGCAAACTAAAGAAAAAAAGGAATGAGTGAAGGAATGTGAAAGAAATATCATGAACAATTGATGTGCTGACTAAATACAAAAAGATTATATGCAAGGGGAAAAGGAAAAAAGAGCCAGTCTTTTCTCATAAATTATGTGTAAAAAAAAAAAACATCAGGCTGATCCTTTTGTGATGTTTTACAGCTTTTTGACAGGAGGATTTTTGGGCCACTTGCCACTGCTAGGGCAACGGACGAATTCATAGGAGATATCGACTACACCATCCTTGAGGGGGTGAGCCAGAGCCTTGAATGCAGTCGTAGTCAAGTCGACATGTTTGCTCTTGCAGCTACTGCAATCATCGATGACGCGTGCAATGATCGAGCGCTTAGTCTTTTTGGATGTGACTTTGACGCATTGGAAGCATGCTTTTCGAAGTCCGCCATCATAGGCTGACATCTTGATTGCAGCAATATGCCAAGAATCTCGGGCATTCACATCTTGGTCCAAAAGCACACCATAGCAAGCAGCCTGGAAAGATAAATACGATAGAAATTTTAGTTTTCTAATTCAATGATAATAACTTGTTTAAATTTTATGTGTTACAATTACTTACACCAGTAAGATGGCCACCATCAAACCAGGTGGCAATACCGCTCTGCTTTACTCCAGATCGGACTGGGTATTTGGCTGCTTGAACAGTCGATACAAAAAGAGTAAAGACTAGGGCAAGGGTAGAGATGGTGAACTGAGCAAACTGCATTTTTATAAATATGTGAATGAGATCAAGATAGATTGAATGCGAAAGATACGTAAAGATTGTACTTTCGCTGAAAAAAGTGAAGGTAGTGGGACTGAAGTAGAGTTAGAGAGCTGAGTAAAGAAGAAAAAATAAATGGTGGTAGTATCGAACCCTTTTATACTCTAAAAGTAACAAGTCTCCAGCGGCTAGTCCTAGATTGAATGAGCGAGAGATTTAATTGCATTTAACGATAGATAATGCCGCATTAATTGAATAGAACGATTGAGTGACGAGCATATTTGCCAGGGGGAAATGGCGATGCTTCCAAATGTTTATCGAAATTTGCCACAGCTTGGTGTGAAGGACAGGGGCATGTTTGATTGCAGATTTTGACACATGTGGCTAGCCCAAAGGAAATCAACAGCGGTAGAAATGTCCATCTTTTACTCCCAAAACAGGACATCTATAAAATTTGGCCAATGTGTCAATCCAATTAAAACAATAACAACAAATGATTTTACATTTGCAAACCTCAACTGTTTTATGGTTTGCGTAGGTCCAAACTGATGGGGGTAACTTTTGTTTCTATCTCTACTTCTTTAATTCCTAACAGAGACAGATATAGCAGTGTTACTGATAAGCCTTTGCAGCCCATAATCCCACAATCCCTAACTCGTTTGTTTATCCAAAAACATTTACTAAAAACTATAAAATGAATTGAAAAATAGTCGTATTTTTACTTGTTTTTTAATATCAATTTATGGGAAAATACCCACTGATTGCTTACTCAAATATACTGTACTAGACTGACTAAAGACGCGACACATGGCAATAAAGCTGTTTTAGCCCTTCTTTTCTTTGCCCACTAGCATATGCTCATTGCAGCATGTTACCTTTACGCGTCTCGATCACGATCAGAGAAAAAAACAAATTAAAAACATTTCACAATAATCTCCTGCATATATTTCTCCCTTTCATGTTTCTTTCCTTACAACTCATTCCATCTTTGTAAACCCTCATTAATTCCCGTCATTATACATCTACCATCTGCCTCTGAAGGAGAGAGGGCTAACAATTGATGATTCCGAACGCGTTGCTACGAGTTCCCCTGTCCAAACCGAACTCGCGGGAAGTTCGGGAGCATCCAGCGGATTTTGATTTTTTTGATGCCATGTAAACAGTGCCCGGGCCAAGAAGGATAAAGAGAAGGAAAACACACAGTCCGAAGCTTTGATAGTCGAAGAAACTCATTTTCATTACAGGGTGGTGACACAACATTAACTTTTTTTTTGTGCGAGACCATGCGTAAAGGTGATCTAAATGTTGGGGGATGGGAAAGGAATGGTAACAGAAAATCAACATTGGCCAAGTGCCAATGCAATGAAATGTAGTAGGAGACAAGCGCCAAGTCCACAAGATCTGTATCTTTTAACTAAATCCCAATGTCAATACTGGCATCAGCAATAATCCTTTTCTCGAACACGCCCATAGAGCTTGAATTAATGCGAGGTGACGATGATAACAAATTTGGGGTTTTGAGCAACAGAGCTAGAGCCCAGACCAAAGACAAGCGATATTTTTTCATTGATCTGTGGGTGGGCTCACATACGAAATGAGTAAACATTGCAGGAATATGAGGTCAGTATAACTATGCTTGATTATAGTGGTGGCAAACACGAAAGACAACCGTGGGTATTCAATATCTGTATGCTAGTAGTAGGTTTGAAGACAGGAAGAGGTAATTATGGGGCGGTACATATGCGATACTGCGGATATATACAACAGATGGAGGTGTCGTATGTATGTTATAAAACGATAATGTAGAGTCGGCAGACACAGATCCATCGCCTATCCTGTTGGTAAAAGCAATTCAACTTCCGACGCGTGGGACGGGCTAAATGGGTATATGATCACAGAATGTGAGAGCTGAGAAGAAAGAGGGGCAAGATGGAAACATGTTGACATATATGAAGTGATTAGAATGAGGCCAACTTCTGCTCAGCCGTTGCAGTTTATTCAAAATCAGCAATATGTGCCTGAAGTCATTGCGTGTTCGGAAAAGGTTCACATGCATGCAAATATCAAAGGAGATTTCTTCCCGATCTTTTTTGCTTTTTATTATCCATCTGGATGTGTCAAATACATTTGATGAGATGTGCTCTTCCAAACCTCTACTGTAGATGCCCATAACATGGCATGGCATATATACCTCTCAGCTTTTGTTAAAGAGTGTAACGCAGCTTTTTTTATATTTTTTTAATTGCAAAATTCACATTCCAGTTCTCGTGTTTAAAATGTGACATTCCACTACAAGGTCCTTAAAAAAAAAAAAAAAAAAAAAATCCCGCTGTGTTGCCGAAAGGGTTTCATCCCTCATCTTAAGATCTTCATTGAACAAAAATTAATTCAAGTACAAAGTTTGAAACAGTCTAGCCTCTTGGAGGAAGAAAAAAAAAAGCAATACTTTGGTATCACAGTTATGCAGGGATCATGTTTTATGGACAATAGTTGCAGACAAGTAGGCTCTTTCATACATTTGTATCCTCCAACTCGTTTGGTCAGTGATTCATATATTTTCTATTCAAAAAACGATGATTGAATTGATTTGGTGGCTGATTTTGACATTTCACCCTCCGTGACGAACTGGTGCCAAGGAATATAATTGGCTCCCAATTCAATCAAGATTATTCAAAAAATATATGAATTACTGACCAAATGGGACGGAGTATATCTATCTTAGTTTAATAATGTCAAACTAGCAAAGTATTAGTAACGCGTACCATCACAAAATTATTTATCAAATGTCTTACAAGCCTTCTTTACTATTTCTTTTTTTCTTTTTCCTTGCCTATATTCTTCTACATTGTTCATCATTGATGTATTACAATCATGTCTTTGATGCTTTCATTTATACTAATCTGGCTTTTCTAATTCTATAGTATGGGATGCGGAGAGTATCAATGGATCTTTTTTTTTTTACGTTTGTTACACTGAATAAAGCCTTTTTTTTTTCTTCGATCTTTGCTCTTTAAAATCCTTCTAGATCTACTTCTTTCTTTTCCTCCCTTTCTCAATTGTCCTCTATTCTTTCTTTATACTCTAAGACGTAAAGCCATACCACATCCATTCTAATGAGTAACTGGGCCAAAAATATGTAACGGCAGAGTGTGCCAAGCAAAAAACCAAATAAAAAAACGTAAGGGACGAAGACCGCCCACATTTACACGTGTACGACCAGCTCGATTCTTCCTCTCAAGTGTGGCGCCTACCACTCCATCAATTGTTGTTATCACTCGGTTTACCAAAAACTAACCGCTCCACGGCATATTTGCGGCAGCAAGAAGCATATTTCAGTCATGATAGAAAAGGACGTCAGCATGTTACAAATTTTACTTCCTAAAAAAACATTCCTACAGCTGAAGGATCCTGCACATAGTGAATCGACAGCTAGCCGGAAGAGTAGTCCTCCTACATATCCAATAATAAGCCCATCTAGGGATGTAAAGGATACGTTTGCCTTCGATACCGATTCCTGCAACGGCTGTAACGATAACGACGTTGAAAGCTTCACAGCAGCCAGCTCATTTTACATCAACATTGATGACGGCAGCAGTTTTGGAAAAGAGGGAAATCAGATACTCCAGGACCCTTTTTATAAGAATGGCAAAAATATTGGTGACAATGGTAATGAGGACCACAATGAGAATGAAGCTGCTACTGAAAAACACCAAATAATGACGACAACTTCATTATTTCATTTGGCAAGAAGCCCGGAAAGATGTTCATCGACTCAAGAGGGGACTGAGAATAACTACAGTAGCGGCAATAGCAGCAATAACAAAGAAGGATCAATCCTAGCCATAGTTCCAATCACCTTTGCTCCGAAGTCCGAGGCTTATCAGCGATTCAATGCCACAATATCGTCTTTGACATTGAATCAGGAAGAAAATCATGTCAAAGTTTTATATTCAAATGAGGGCATATCAACAGTGACTCTGCAAAGACCCACGTCAGTAGAATTGGATGCCTTAAGTATTGAAGAAAACACATACTCCAATCCATTATCTATCCAAGCAGAGACATTGCCCAATACGAATGTTCCTGGAGGCTGTGATACTGACACAGTCTCAGGGCATGAACAGGCTATAGCTTTACCAGCACTTGAGAGCCTGCAGCCCCTTCACTATCCTTCTTTGCCTTGGCGCCTTCCATCGCGATTTTTATCAAGCTCAGCACACCAGCCCCCCACTGCCTCTTGCAGCGACTCCGTTGTTGTCCCATCAAATGCTTCCTTCCCCTCGGAACGAACTATTGGACACGATGATGACATAGGGCAGATTACCCGTCTTTCATCTAAACACTATATTATCCATTCTATTGCTGCTCCTGCTACCGCGGCCGGTGTTGCACTTTATGGGTCGACGCGACATTTCTCGGATTTAATTATGTCTACGGGCTATGCGACATTCGATTATCTCACAAATATCATCGCGCCTGGCACTATCAACCTTGCTTCCTCAATAACAGATTATTTTTGGGCATACTTGCCTGCTATCACCGTACCACACCCCCTTCAAACTCGAGATTATAGTCATGAGCTTGAGGAGCAGAAGGACAACAGAAACAATAGTGATGGCAGCGGTGAGAACAACCACGATATCGTTAGCAGTGTAGAGCAACCTCAGAGAAGCGAGCATAAAAAGCAACGCACGGAGCGTAGAACTGTGACAGAACCAACTCATTTTGATCAGGCCTTGAGTATTACTTCTAATTCTACGCACTTGGCAACATTCACCTTACGAGAAGGACTCCACCGTAACCATCATTCTGGCCGGTGCAGTGGCCCAATTGTTGTCGCCCCTGCACACAAAGCATCACATAAACGTCGTCAGCGTGGCCGTCGTTTCCCTTTACAAACACTGCCTGGACCTGAGCATTTAGATCCTGAAATTCGCCGACAGCTTGAAGCCGAGGGCTTGGTATCTTTAAGACTATATGATGGGACTGAAGCGAGACATACTCGATCTCACTACGATCCAAGACGGTACGGCTTTCCCAAGTACATCATTTGCCATTCTTTTCGGAGACCTAGGCCCTGCACAATGGTCTTGCTAATGATACTGGCCGTTTGTATCATCTGTAAGCTTTAAACCTTGTCCTCTTAATATCATATGTACTTGTTTTATCGTCCCGATTTCTCGATTTTTCGATTTAGCAAAAATAACATATACTTCTTTGTTCTGATAATTAACAGTGCCTATCGTTCGGAGCCGATAACAAAAAAAAAAGGAAAGAAAGAAAGAAAGAAAGGTTTGCTTTACGGAATAAAATGGCTTTTTTACAGGAATCCTTAATGTGGAAAAAATATACATGTCTTTATTAGGCAAAAGCGCCAAAAAGGGAGACAAAAAAAGATTATGCCTTTTTTTGAAAGCGGGCAATCAATAGATAAAGACACATTGGGATTGGAGTGCTCTTACAGCCAAGAACACAACCGTAGCTCGGATTACTTCTTCTGTGGCTTTTTTGACTTCTGTGAACAGTCCTTACAATACCATTTGCCTTTTGGTGGCGCTTTAAGGCCTGCACAAGAAAGATGGAACCACTCGATTTCGCACTAAGTTAAGGATCAGTAGATATTAGCACAGTGTACAACGAATAGCGGATCGCAACAACAAAGCAATGCTATTTAAAGTTACATACATCTCCATTGTCACAGGCGACCATTTCGCCATATGAAACTTGTTGACAATAGCAGTAGAGAGGCTCATTCGGATCGATCGGCAGTTCCGACGTGAATGATGTCCTATAGAAGATAATGTATTGAGTATCATAGGATCAGCATAGAATCAAAATGAAGTAAATTAGAAATGGCACTCCTATCAGCTTTTAACTCAACGTACGTCTTCTTAGCTCCTTTGGATCCACTCGACGTTGTTACTGCTCCTCCTTTACGTTTCTCTGACGTTGTTGGTGCCGGTGTTGCTGCATTGTTATTGCTATTATTAGTATTATGGGCCTGCTTTTTCCCTGTTTTGAAGCATCATAATAATAAGAAAATTGAGCTACAATGGTCTAAAGTAGTATTGTTCCATACTAGAGTAAATTACTGTAAATCCATATTAGCTTACTCTTTGATGGTGGTGTATCTTGTGCAGCCGAGGATCCTCCTTGATGAAATATAATGGCGAAATACGGATAAGCCACTTTTTTTTTTTTTTTTTTTTTTTTTTTTTTTAACTGGCAAGCCATATGCCCAATATGAGCAAAATAGTATTCAATGCCTTCATTTCTCCTACCCTTTTTATTAGATGTGGCCGTCGATGCTACTACAGCACTTGCCGATTCATCCTTACGATCTGCTGTTGATGCTCCAGCTGTTATAGAGTTTGTATTGCCAAGGCGTCCCGGTCCAATCATCTGCTCATCTTCATACTTCTGTAAGTCATCATCCAGACGTCTAACATGCCGATCAACCTAAATAAGAACAGAGGAGAAGATTGAAGCAACAATTTAAAGATAAACATATCTCCTGACAAATACAAAAGAAAAAAGAAAATAAAAAAAGCTTACAACATCATAGGCTGCTGTTGCCAATGCGACTTTCTCCTCGCCTTGCCTGAGGCTCTCAACTAGCATCTCGTTTAACGATTTGAGTAATTGAATTCTTTCTTGTGGGGTGCATGCCTGAACGTTATCAATGAATTCCGCTGCCTTCGCACTAACTTGTGCCATAATCGCTAAAAAATCAAAAAGTCAAAAAATCAAAAAAAAAAAAATATATATTGGTAGCGAGATGATACTTAGTGTCGATACTAACTAAATGTCTGATAGCGCCATTAAGGAATTTCCGTTTCTTCATTCTTTGACGCCAAGCTAGGACTTTGCATCGACTCACATTGTGCTTTGGCATCCAAATCCTGCATCAATGTAAACTGGCGTTGAAGTTCTAGCGGAAGAGACTCAACAGCTAAGAAACGAAGAGAGTAAAAAAAGTAAGAATGGGTCCAAACAGTTGCCATAATGCTTTGCTGTAAACCATTCAGCATGTTGTTGCGGAAACAGACAATTTGGGAATGGTACCCACTATCAAGATAGTCATCGAGGTAAGCAAGAGCTTCCGTCCTAGTGCCAGTTGACGCTGACGAGGCCTTCATTTGTATTTCTTTTTGTTTTTTTTTTTTTTTTTTTTTTTTTTTTTTTTGAAGCAGAACCTGACCAAGGGACAAAAGTTAGTTTTCCAGGAGGATGAGAAATGCTGAGTTCGCCAAGGGAGTAAGTCTCCAGGAGTATGGAGCGTGGCTTATACTATATATACTTATGACTGTTACTCTGAATAGATTTAATGTCCAAATAAATGGCCGTTAGTGTTTTTTAAACCCATTAGAACAAATATTTTTAAAATCAACATAATAAAACCTAAAAGAAGATGTCAAACCTTTGGCTACCGATCCTTCTTCGCTGGAGGAAAAGTGCATACGAATCTCACTGAAAAATTCAGGGCGGAAACGAAAGATCCGCCGACTTGGGTGATGCAAGACCAGAGTTGATCAGAGGGACCAATACAGGCTTCTCCAGTACCTCTGTGTGCTTTGCCAGCCAAAAAATCTAACGAGAGAGGTGTAGAGGGGCCCTTCCTTACAATCTCCAATTTTTTTTATTCCCATCATGCACAAACATCAAAGGAGCTCTTAGACTATTTAACTCTGACGACCCACAAATCACAAAAATAAACAGAATCAGATTAAATCAGATATCAATACTTAATTCATCTTTACGGAGCCAGCTAGAAGCGGGTCTGCGCTCAGGATTAATATACACGATACAGTATTTATAAATGTCATGATGTATTTCACAACCAGTCGGAGAAGATCACCGCTAATGAGGTGAAAAATGATCCACTATAATTAATACACGTGAGTATCACCAAGCTTTTCTCATTCATTACTTGAGAAAGAGAGACACACCAGTAAAAAATATTATTTGGATTAGGGTATGAAGGTTGGGCTGAGAAACAATGATCAAGGTGATTTGACATCGTCTCTTCCAAAAAGAATGTACACACCAAGGCCATGATAATAAAGTATACATGTTAGGGACCATGGTACTAAGCTTTTTCAGATGTAAAAATATAATCTTATGAGGGCCGGGAGAATGTATTCACCCTTCTTAGAGCATTCATTTAAGTATCCTTGTTCCCATAGACACATGCCTCTAACTTTAATCTTTATTTGAGCTTAGTTAAAGATCCCTTTAGCAGCCCTGTAATCCAATAATCCACCAATGAGTCTCGATTCCTTCACAAGAAATAGGATCATTCAATCTTGCAACACATGATATATATGATCAAAGTATAGGTTACAATTGTAGTTTTGGCGTAGGACAGAACCCTAAAGGTACTCTCACATTCCTACTATCGCAAGTAATCATGTTACCGTGCGGCCTTACTGGCAATAACAATAAAGAGATCGTTTTGGTTTTCAGTTTAAACAACGATGGCAGCTTGATAAACTAGTTTAAGTGTCGTTATCAAACAGGGATTCGTGTATATTTATCACCTGAAGACAACACTCGCTGAACAGAAGGCGCTCCTTGATGAACCATAGTGAAAAGAAGGAGTACAAGTATAAGTTGCTTTGAGTAACACGAAGGGAGGCTGGGTAGATGAACTTCTGTACCGCTTGGTCCTCTTCCTTAGTCTATTTTTCAATAGATGTTTAAGAAGGTTGGTTAAATATTATTTTTACCACTTTTGTCGAGGTACCTGTCACCAATGTTTTAAATTCATCAAGAAAGACCATAGGATCAGAGAGGATAAAGGTTGTTTGATGAAATGGCGCAGGAAAGTCATGAAGGAAATGTTTCGAACAATGACGCCAATTGCTCACTCAAAAAAACATACGTGTGTACATGTACGTTTTTTTCTCTGACAATTTAGGCTGACTCGACACTCGACTGAATGATTACAAACAGAAAGGAGAACCGCTGTTCGCGCTCTCGCGCGATTAGAAGTCTGACTATGTGTCACTCCCCTCAGTTCTCAGTCCTTCTGCCCCCTCCTTCCTGCGTTCCAAAAAAAAAAAAAAAAAAAAAAAAAAAAAAAGATTTGCAGCCACAACCCCCCCTTCTCATGCTGTATAGGAATTATATTTGAAGAGACAGTTGAGGCATATTCTCATTCGTCTAAATGGTAATTGTTGTTGCTGCTGTTGATATTGTCAATGCATTGAGAAGAGATGAAAGTAAGCTTTTTATTTTATTTTTGTTTTGTGTGTATGTGTGCATATTTTTATCAACAAACAGGACGGACAGGTCAGACAAGACAAGAGACGTGGAAAAGAAATCTCTACTTTGCTGTTTACCTTTATCCTGTTTATTATTTTACTTTATTTATTCTTAAAAGTTGAATTATATTTTTATTTTACTTCTTTAATAAAGCCGTCCGAAAGCATAAATGGGTGTCCTTTGCATTTTCATGTACATGAACGCTGGGGGCATGTCCATTTATTTCAATCATACTATTGAGTTCTTACTTTTTCCATTTCATTCTTCTCAATTCAACAGTAATAAACAATAACAGTTAACAGTGGTTCAGTAATCTGACCATGTTCATTCTCTTCAAAAATAAATGCTAATTGAATAGGAATTTGAATAAGAGCGGGACACGGACTTGGACTCCTTCCTGCCTTTTGTTATTTGCTTACATGTACTTTTCATCCCAACAGGTTTCCATAGTTTTGCTGGACTGGGTAAAAATGTCCTCTCCTTCTCTTTCTCTCCTTTTGTACTCGCTCTTGTTCCCTTGATCGTCTCTGTCTCTCGTACATCTTCCCTCTTTCTCTCTTGTGCTCTTGTCCAACCATTAGCTTCTACTGAATTACAGCCACCTTCTCCTTTTTTTGTCTTTTATACTGTTAAACTAATCAATTTCATGTTGTTTTCTTCTTGACTTCATAGTATATAACTTGCCTTATATTCAACCTCTCTCGTTTCTCACACTCACATTCTAGGCTCCTTGCCTGCAACCCCATGCATGCTTCTTTACTCGAGCATTGATGTCTATGCCCACTTATTATCCCTCTGTGTACTTCCTCGCCAACACCTCGATCCTTTTTACCTCAATCAGGCCGTGTTTGTGAACATTGCAACATTACATTACTTGCTCTGCTTCATGCCTTGAGCACAACCACGCTGTGACTGATCTTGGCGCACCAGTATGAACCATCTCTTCCGCAACGACTTCAACTCAAACAATTCCTCCCACTCTCCCGCACCCTCTGTTCCATATAGTGGAGGTAACGACAACACTGTTGGCGGAGGCAACGGCAGCACAAACAGCTTTACTCATGATACACTTCGTCCACAGGGTTTAGATTATAATCACCAGCACCAGCAGCACCAGCAGCATCAGCAGCACCAGCAGTACCAGCAGCACCAACACCAGCAGACATATCCATTCCAGCCATTACATTATCAGTCGCCCTACCAGCAACAACAGCAACAGCAACAGCAACAACAGCAGCAACAACAACACCACCACCAGTCATATCCTTCCTACTCAAATCAGCATCAGTATCCACAGCAGCCACAACAAAGCCAACACTATGGCAGTCCTCCTTCTGAGGACCATCGTCCTTTAGATTCAGATTCATATAATAATTATGGCGTCCATTCCTCGCGCCGTGCTTCAAATGAGCGCGTGAACCAGGAAGGGCCCATCCGATCCCATATTCGTGGTATGTCCTCTGAGCATAGCCATCCCGTACGCTTCAATCCCAGTAGGAACTACAATGCGGAATCATCCGAGCATGGGACATTTCTCTCTCGACCTAAGGCACCAGGACTTCCATGCATAGCTTGCAACATGTCCAGAGCCCCATGTGATGGTGGCTCCCCCTGTCGCTCCTGCTTCGTTAACAGATTACGATGTCACTACGAGGGCGATAACAATACGCGTTTCTTTGGAATCGATGCATTGCAACTAGATCACTCTCTGTCGTCCCAGCAGCAACAACAAGCGCATCAGCCACATCTGCAGCACATACACGACGACAATCACGACAATCACGACAATCATGACAATCGTGATTATCGTGATAGTCGTGACAATTTCTCCTCACATGCAGGTTCTTCAGACTCCTTGTCGTCCCATCCCTCGCGTTCTCGCTCCAGATCAGATGACTCTATTTCTGGCTTGGGTTCTGGATCATCTGTTGGTGGCAGGAGTAATCATGACCATTCATATCCACGAATCTCACCCATCATATCCCCTCCCGTAACTCTCTCTGATCAATCTTTGATCTCAATACCTCCATTTCAAGAGCTTAGTCACCCTGATAGAAACCAGCATAACAAAGTGACTTTACCTTCAATCTCGACCATGAGGCCGTCCATTGTACCCTTGTCTTCGGCTACATCGTCATCTACTACATCTCAGAATTCGCGATCTTCCTCCTCAGCCAAAACTAGTAACACGGCGTCACTTTCAAGGAACTTTCAAGCTCACAATAGTATGGAGCAAGTATTTATTTTCCTTTTTTTTTTTTTTTTTTTTTTTTTTTTCAGGACAGTTATTGTAGTACTCAAGCGGAGTCTTTGTGCTATCGACGGCGTCTGAACAACCATACTTACTTTTGTTATATTTCTATCCATTTTACTGTGTTGGAATCGAAGCAGAAAATGGGGTTGGTCAAAATGCGGGATCTTCTTCCAAAACCATCAATGAACGACTTATTCTTCCAGGGCAAAGATTATCTGGTTCTCGTGGTACCCAAGATAAATCGACCTCCAATCAGATCGGTTCTGGAATAGACAGCAGTGATACACCTGTGCGGCGGGTGCCTACAAAAAAACAGCTTCAACAGGCTCAGATACCAAAAGATCCGCTTTATTCCCTCTCTAGCGCTAGCATCCGGGCTCGTAAGAATGCTCTTGAAATGGAAAATATCCAACGAGCAAGCACATTATATACTGATTTTGTTGGCAAAATTAAGACTCTGTCTGCATCCGTGGTGAGTGAGTCCGAGATTGCAAACAAAATTACAGCAACCTATCTTTCCGATAGCGTCATGTCCTTCAAGGGGACAGTTGCTAATATGGAGGAGCTTGGAGGAAGTGATCAAGATAAAGATATTAGCCCACCCTCCAACGATGATGAAGATCGTCAGTTGGATTCGGAAAAGGAGAGGCAAACAGGCTCCTCCAATGCTGAGTCTCCCTATAAGGGCAAGTCCACAAACTCAGGCTCGAGGAATGGTTTTGGATCTGAACAGGGTTTGGACCGTATGGCCCGATCCGGGATGTTGCATAGCCTGATCCAACAATACTTCACGCTAATTCATCCTCAGTTCATGATCCTCCATAAGAACCAATTCTTGGTTCGATTCTGGGCGCAGTATGGGCCCTTTCCGGAGGCCAAAGAGATTCATACGGGGATCCTTCACCGTGCTAAGCCTGAGAATGTATGGCAAGGTTCCGTTGAGACTCGTAACAGCAGCAACGAACGAGATTCAACATGTTTAGGTCATGTTGATCGACTCTTGCTATTAGCCATGTTGGCATTAGTATCTAGGCATATCAACGATCGGAGTATGCTAAAGAGTACTGCTGAAGACAGGCAGCGGCGATTGGAGAAAAGCTTTGTTCTTTTACTAGCCCAGAGTCATGGAACTGAAAGAGAAGCTCAATGCCAGGAGAAAGTACAAGAATCACGTTTACAGGATTTAATGGAAACAGATGAGAATGGGGAGAGCGAGACAGGCGAGGACTTTGAGGACCGTGGTGAACAGTTCTTCCAGTGGGCATCCGAGCTTTTGAAGGCAGAGTATGAGGAGCCATCACTTACGGTAATACAGTCCTTGCTACTGTTACGTGAGTATGCTGTCTTGGCTGGAAATCATTCCCAAGCGTATATGTATGGGGGAACAGCCATTACTATGGCAATGGGTCTTGGGTGGCACCATGCTCACCTTTCTCAGGATTCGAGTCGTGAGGAGAGCCCCAACGTTGTTGGCCAGACGAGAAATTCTGCAGACGAACAGTTAGAGGAACAAAGGCTGAAAGAGAGAAAAGTGAATGATGAAGAACAAAAGATGTGTTGGTGGCAATGTTTCATCGTTGATCGATGGATGTCTGCAACCTACAATCGCCCAGTTGTACGTCTTTTTATTTTATTTTATTTTATTTATTTATTTATTTATTTATTTTTGTTATTACATCTTCGTTATCACATTTAGTCTGATTGGCTTCTATCTGTCACAATTCTAGAATATCCCGGTCCACATTTTTGACAAGACTCATCTTCGGCCTCTACCTAGGCTCAAGAAGATGTCGCAGGCGCCAGGAGGGGAAGGTCAACAAGGAAGCTTGTCGGTCTTGACACCAGAGTTTTGGCTAACGCCCAATGAGTCCGATATAGTTCCTCCAGAATCTCTGAAAAAGTCTGGGGACGTCGACATACAACTAATAGGATCCGGACCAACTACGACTACATCTTCTAATTTACCTGGAGGACAGTATCGAGCCAAGGCATTTTTTGACCAACAATGTCGACAAGCGTTGTTACTGGATGATATCCTGTGCTTCTTATCTTCTTGGTCTGACGATTTGTTTGTAAACTCTGCCGAGTTTGAGAAGCTTAGTGTAGCACTTGATGACTGGCAGCGGTCACTGGCCGATTGGCAAACTTTTCCACTCTCGGGTATTGTAGCCATGACGCCTTCCAAAAACAAAGGACAAATGATCCCGGAAAATGAGCCCGGTCGCGGTCTCCCTGGGACGACATCGACGCTTGTCACCAATACCAACACAATAGAAGGCCGAGATGTTGTTCAGTCAACATTGCTTGGCATTACTTTCCATACAATCCGAATTTTGTTATACCGCCCTTTCCTACGGACTAACTTGCGCCATCCACCATGTTTGCCTGCCCGAGCTAGTTCAGTATGTGCACAATCGGCCAATGCGATGACTTCATTAGCAGAGTATCTGATGAACCAGACGGATTTGACGGTGCAGCCATGCTTGCTGATGCGTCACCAGTTCCCGCTTGTGACAGCAGCCGGAATTCAACTTATGAACGCCAATCTGGATGATGAACCTCGACTGTCGACACCTGCTAAAATTAATCTACTGAAAACGATACGTATTCTTCGGGATGCAGATAGGTCGTCCTGGGGAGCCGGTGTCAAAGATGGGTTCCATCAAGTATTGCGTGAATTCTTTCCTACTCAGATGAAGCTAATGTACGATGGACTACCAAACATCGAGTAAAGATGAAGAAATTGAAGATGTTCTATTCCCCACTGTCTTTTATCCTAGTTATTATTATTATTATTATTATTATTATTATTATTATTATTATTATTATTATTATTTGTTATTGTTCTGATTTTGCTCTCATGATTTGTATAAACATGCATGCACGACTCTTTATTTTTTTATTTTTTGTGCTGTGCTGTTTTTCGTTATCCAACAGCCACAACAGAATGGCGGACTTTTTACACATGTTTTCCTTCAAGAGCTAGATGGCAAAGTATGCAATGCATCCTAATGTATATACTATGCATGAAGTAATCCATGGATTCTCCATAATCCGATATCACATTGCAGTTGATACAACTGTTGTAAACAACGTCCCAATCAATTGCTGAAAGATCCATCAATGTGTTTTTTTTTTATTTTTTTTTTAATCAATAGCTTCGTTGTGGTGATGAGCATGAAATGAAACAAAAAAAAGGCTTACATTTTTTAGCTTGACCTCATGAGAGGAAAGAATGAAGGGCACAGCAATAATCTGTGGAAAATGCGCATGAAAATGAATACCAGTAAATGGGGACCAAAAAAGAAAAAAAAAATCGTCTCAAATCCCCGCTTGTCTATTTGCTTCAAGTTCACACAAAACAATTCAGCCGCCCCTAATTCTCTTTTCTTTTTTTCTCTTCTCTTCTTTCTTCTTTTCCCTTCATCTTTTCATACATATATCGTTCTCTCCTTAGACTTTTCTTCTATACTCTCCACTCTACCCAATCCTCTCCTCATCTGTCATTATCCTTGTTAATCAACCATCCTTCACTTCATTAATAGCGTTTTTTTTTTTTTTTTTTTTTTTTTTTTTAATTTTTTTTCTTTTTTTTTTTTGTTCCTGAACTAAGCATTCAATACCAATTTGTTTATTTATTTGAAAATGGTGCGCAATCAACGGAACAGCCCTCGCAAAGTGATTGCTGTTGACTTGGATGAGGTCCTTGCGAGGACATCGCTAGCGGTTGCAGAGTTCCACAACGATACATATGGAACAAAGCTTACGATGGACGATTTTATTTCGTATGACTATACCAAGATCTGGGGCGGTACTCGTGAGGAATCGATTGCCAAGTGGAGGCTCTTTTTCGATTCACCTTACTTTCTAAAAGTTGAACCCGTAGAAGGAAGCTTGGAGACATTGAAGGTAAAAATATATATATAAAACAGGAACATACTTTGTAAACCACAACATTAAAGGAATGTGGCAAAAAAAAAAAAAAAAAAAAAAAAATTAAACCGCGGAAAAAAAAAAAAAATACACGTTTAGATCAAGAGGGTGTTGATTGAATCAGAAATTTGATCTGCGCATTAGTCATTTGGGTTGATCCGATTCTTTAGGATTGCTATACGAATGGAATTATGCTCATTTCAATTGTCAGATCCGAATAGGGAAAAAAAAAATAGTATATTCATGAATATCACTTGTTCTCCTCTTTTTTTTTTTTTTTTTTTTTTGCCGCCTAAAAAAGAAAAAAAAATAATGTCTAAAAAGTCTTGCCACTCAATTTTTTTTTTTTTTTTTTTTTTTTTTTTTTAGCTCCTCAAATCTCGGCGTTTTAGTTTAGTGATTATCACAGCACGGCAACAGTTTGTGGCGGATTTAACAAAAAAGTTTGTCGATCGTCATTTCCCTGGCATTTTTGAATCCATTTACTTTGCAAACCATTTCTTGACCGAGCAAGAGAAACTGACCTTCATCTCCAAGCCAAAATCTGTCATCTGTCGAGATGTTCACGCTCAACTCTTGATTGACGATTCATTAGAGAATGCAATCGAGGTGGCCAAGGCCGGTGTTCCGGTCCTTTTGTTTGATTTAAATGGAAAATACAAATGGAACAAGTTACCAGAGGGGCAGGACATGTTGCCGGAAAAGATAACTAGAGTTCATAGTTGGAAAGATATCCAGGCATGGTTCCCTCGGCCCAGATCTCCTCTATCAACCTTGTGTTTGAGTAGAGATGATCAGGTTTCAGAGGAAGAAGAGGAAGGAGAAGGAGAAGATGACGGGAAGATTTCGGATTCTGAGGATGAAGAAATGGATGAAGATGAAATTCTGCAGCAGCAACAACAACATCTATATTATGGCCATCAGCATCATCGAAATATTGACTCGGATTCGGATTCGGATGAGGACGACATGATAGTTAAGCGAGAACAAGAAGATATAGAGGAGGAAGAGGAGGATCAGCATAGCGGTCGAACTTTGAGAAGGCGTAAACTCACGGCTGTGGACTTCAGTAGCTCCGAAGAGGATGAGGATATAGATCTCAAAAATGGACGTGCTATTAAAGGAGATAGCATGGATAGTGACTTTGATCTTGAAAGCGGACATGGAGTCCGTCACATTTCTCATGAGGAGCTGGAGCGATATCGTCATCAGCATGAGATCATGAATGTGAATGAATCAACTGGTATGGAGGTGGAGATGGAGACGACTATAAATACTACAGCATCATTCGCACAGATCACTAGTCCTACAATGTCGACTACTACAACAACAATGTCTGGTCAGGTATCAATAGCAGCTGCAACTGCGCTCGAAGTTAATTGCCAGTCCTTCTCTGAAGCCTCAGCAACAGTAACAATAGCATCGACATCTCTAGATGCCATGGCAGTTGAAGGGTTGTCGATCAAGAGCCCTCCGCACCAGGTGGACAGTGCAATTAACATGGAGATGGAGGATGTTCCTCTTTCGTAACGAAATTGCATTTGCTTATGTCTTTAACTCCAATCTTTTTCTTTCTTTCTCTCAAAACATAATCTTTTGTTCTGTTGTTCCATTGTTCCTAAACTATAGATACCTGGCATTTTTCAATTAAAGTACACATAAACATTCCAGAGATTGAAATTTTTTTTTTTTGTTATTTTTTTTATTTGGGTACAGACAAAAAAAAAAAAAAAGACAACAATATGCAAACAAAAAAGACAAGCAGGCCAACATTTTTAACAGAAGTTGATTTTTCGAGTGAGGTGGGGGATAAATTACACGGCTAGATGGAAGAATGAGAAAGGAAGAATGAATATGGCCTGAGGAAGAGAAAAGCAGAAAAAAGCAAATGTTAATACCGTACACCACCGCTCGAAACGGCCGATCCAGCGGTCGCGGCTGTAGATGGAATGGACATGCGAGTACCACCACCGGTCTGCATATGAGCTGGTAGTGATCCGCGTGATCCGTTTGAAACGTCGCCGCGAGGATGTGATGGGTGGGACCCTGATGGTTGTGAACCAGATGCTCCTCTTGATCCATGTGACATACCACTGTGACTATGGTTGTGACTATGGTTGCCAGAAGAGACACTGATCGTCTCAGGGAATACGCCGTTGGCTCTGGCCACTGGGCAATCTTTGTGGGCCAAGAGCAAAGCCTTGAGATGAATGATTTCGTCCCGAAGAGCCGCAGTTTGTGTCTGAAGGTGCTCATTGTCTGTAGTGAGGTATTCTACTTTGGCCTGCAAATTGGACAGCCATTGCTTCTTGCGTTGGCGACACTTAAGTGCAGCTATCATCATACAACGTCGGAGAAAAATGTACTGTCCGTGTGAGCATTCAATGCCATCATTCAGCACTCTTTATTTTCTCCGCAATCTTTTTTTTTTTTTTTTTTTTTTTTTTTTTTCCTTTACCTTGACGATTACGTTCCAAAAAGTTTCTTCGTTTCTCTTCTTCATCCATTTTGTCATCAGTGGCGCTTCGCTTCTTGCTTGATCTTTCGTTTGACGGCTTTGATGAGCGCTCAGAATCATCACTATGCTCCTCTGAAGTCATCCTGCTACGCTGAGCACTGCCCTTGGATGAAAACTGCTGCTGAGCAGTGTTACCCACTGGCATCCCAGTAATGTTTGGCTGAGATGACTGCTGATGTTGATGTGGTGGTTGCTGACCAGGGACGAGATGGGCATTCCCGTCAATGCTCTCCCGCTTAATCCACATCTCGCGATGTGTCGCCTGAGCTTGGCTAAGCAGATGGAGATTACCATACCCATTTGGATTCTCAAGATGTTGCCCACCATGTGGAGCCATATAACGGTCGTTCATAGGCGTTTGGCTGTTGGGATGGCCAAAAGACTGGGGGTGTCGCTGCTGAGCAGGGGCTCCATGCTGAGAAGGCATTTGTGTTACTGGTGGCTGTTGGTTATACATGGTAGGTGGAATAGGTCCTCCAGTCGTAGGCTGGATCAACGCAGCGCTATTACCGGCCATACTCACGAATGGGAAGCCGTTTTCGGCAATGGGTGCTCCAGAGGTATACATGGTGGAGATAGGTGCTGTGGTTGCTGGGTAGGCTGAACTCAATGGGAGACTGGTCGCAGTCGTCTTTTCAAACACGACAGGTTCCTGCGGTCCCTCCAGCATGGAGGGTGAAAGGGGTCCCATACGGAGGGAAGGTTTGTCCCATCCAAATTGATCTGTGTTGGGCGCCAACCGATTAGACATGGAGGCAATAGGCGGTAAGACAGTCTTAGATGATTCACTTGTGGATTCCACCGCGCTGTTTGTTGTTGTTGTTGTTGCTGATCCTAAAAAGCTCTGTTCAAATGGGTTGGGCTCCATATCCAATTTCGAGCACGCTTGGATATATTTAATACCAGCGCCATCAACAGGCGCAGTCGCGAGCTTGTCTGATTTAGTATCGTCAGCTGCAGTTGTGACAATCAATGGAATGGAGTTGGTAGGTGCCAATGGCACATCTAGCCATCGAAGCAAAGTATTATTGAGTTAGATATAACATACAGAACATCAAGTGTTTGTAATATTACGAAGTAATGAAGTTGTGAGATAGAGCCAGTCATACCTGCAAGACTATTGTTACCAGGACCGAGATCCGTGGAGAGCGTTCCAACTGTTGTCATATTAGTCTTATACCTACAGTATAGGTCTTCTTAAACAAAAATTAGACAGTTTGACAGGCTATGTTCCTATTTGGATTGTAGATGGTCCTGATCAAAATTGGAAGGGAAATGTATTTTAGTGAGTAACAGAGCCATGAGATCCGTATATACTACTTTGAACTGACATCATGAACTGATTATCACAATTTTTGGGGGGAGAAGGGGGAAGAGCCTTTCCCCCATTCCTCCGTTCGGAAAGTTGAGAGTGAGGAAGGAGCCTCAAGAGAGGCTGTTAATGAGACACGGAAGGCTGATGGGATAGTACATGATGGCAAGTGACTAGGCTGCTATCTTCTGGAATCAGAAGTGTGGTTGGCTGTATACGGAAATACACGTTTTTTTTAAAGTGCATAAGGGATTTCCCGAGCAATAAGAAAGATAAAAGGGTTGTAGACCACACGCTATTGATGGCAAGCAGAGCACAGACACAACATGTAGGAAGCAGAAATAGGTTGGGGATAGCCTTTGATGAAGTGTAGTGTGTAAAGCTGGATATTAATGAGGTGGAAGGGACATGTGTGTCGACTTTGTAGTAAGTCAGGACACGAGAACACGGCACAAATGTATTGAAGAGGGATTGAGTCGAATAGTAGGGAAGCACAATGACGAAAGAGGAGAACAGAGCCTGTGATATTGCGTAGGTGCACTGCAAAAAGGGGAGAGGTCAAAACGTTCTGTTGGACTATGATGGAACACGAAAAACTGAAAAGAAGCATCAAGTAGATTCGTCTTTCGCAGCAGCAATTGCTTCTCATTTGCTTATTCTCTTTCGTCTTCATTGCTTGTCATTGTCTACAGTCTTTGAGAGCTGTCTATTGCTTCTTTCATTCTTTTTTTTTTTTTGCTTTTATGTGTCATGTAGGAGGAATGGTAAATAGAATAAACCTTACAGAGAGAACAACAAGACAACAAGCGACCGGACAATGGGCGTGAAAGCAAGTGTTTGTGGGGAAGCAGGAGAAGAAGAGTGAGAAGAGTGAGAAGAAGAGTGGGAGGGCAAGCGTTGTTGAAGGTTATGATCGCAAAGGAGAGAAAGACACAAAGAAGAAAGAAAAAAAAAGAGAGAGAAGTAAAAAAGAAAGTGTGAAGGAACAGAGACAAAAAAGAAATATGAATTTCGAATAACGTCATTGGTAACCAACGATTGGTTGAGAGGCCGTTATAACCTTACACAGTGTTTTCTCACACAAACAAATTTTCCAGCCTGCGACATCCCCCTTCTTTCCTTCCTTTTTCACTTTTCACTGAAGATGGTTTGCATGAGCAAACAACAAACTTGGACTGGGACTGAACGCCACGCTACACAGCGGTATCAGGCCAAATCGCGCATCCCTTTAAAACCTTACTCACAGTCTCTGCTGCACACAAACTTCATTGAATAACATAGTCTGTATAATGAACATTCCCTCTTGTTGTGGAGTAAATCATACTTTTAAAAGCGGGTAAGATCAAACTGCCTTGCTAATCTCCATTGTCGTTGAACAGGAGCAATCGGATTAATATAAAAGTGATTATCCACGATTTCAAATGTGTGTGTGTATGTGCCTGTTTGTGTGTTTTTTGCGTGTGCTATGTTATATTGTCATACTGTTGTTGTGTTGTTTATATTCATCAGCCAAAACTCCTCAGGGCTATTTCGGTATCCATAAACCATCCACACTGGAGGCAATGACGAGAAAAAAGATCTTCATCATAGTATACTGAGATGGACCGTGATACTTGAGGGCCCGGCTAAGTTGTTATTTGTTCAGAAAATCCTGTTTCCAACCTAATCATCCAGGGGAAAACGTGAGATCGGACAAATTTGCTTGATCCAGTGAAAAGGAAAAAAAAAAAAAAACGATGTCATCTCCGTCTCCACTAGCTCATGCCCTGTTATTAGTCTAAATGCTATTGTTTTTCTTTCATGACTATTTTGTCTTTTTATTCTCTGTGTTGCAGTGACTTCTAGAACACACAGGGAGGACAAAAAAAAAGAATGACATGGGAGGGTCCCAACAGATTCTCAATGATGGCTCCTTGTACACGGTGCTAAAAAAGATTAAAGTAATAAAACTAAATATATATAATATGTGTATGATATATATATATATATATATATATATATGTTATCAATTGATAAGCTTTTCAAATTCTCTGATTTAAGAATGACGAAGGTGAATTATCCATCCGACTTTACATCAACCCAACCATTCATATCGCTCATTGACTGCGCCAATTGACGTGGTTTTTACTCCCGTTGTCAACATTCCCATGCAGGCAAACGCTCCACACTTATTTTTATTCTCTTATTTTCTTCCTGCCTTGCCATTGCATACATTCATCCCTTGCTCATACAACCCTTACCGGCAGCTACCAACTATTGTTTTCCAAAGGCTTCTATGTCCTAGTCCTTTGTAGAATAGGCATGTATATTTATGTAAAATATCCCGTCGAAGTTTTTGAAGCCAATCCAGGTCTTTACTATGTCCTTACATAGTATATACTTCAGTATGAGTGCTTACGAGCCCCATATAAAAGATGTTGGTCGCGGCAAAGCATCCATGATTCGAAATTGTCATCACTAACTATCAATGTCTTGACGGGATTCTTGATGACTGCAGTAAAGACTATTCATCTCTCGCTAGTAAAATGAATATAGAATAAAATCGAGCATTTTTTGACCCCATTGGGTTATAGATTAGGTCATAGTTTAACAAACATTTGAATAGCCATATTGTAAAAAAAAAAAAAAAAAAAAAGGTCCAGAGTGGCGCCTAATCGTTCGTCAATATCTACATGCACTGTTGGTCCGTAATCGTAAACCAGATGGGTAATTGACTAATAATGAAGAACTGTTGCCTTAAAGCTTCCAGATTTCTTTTAGTTCTTCTCGACTCTGGACCTGTTGAGGGACGGCGTGCTCACTCTGTATCAAGTCGCTAGTAGCAAACAGATATGTAAGGACAGAGGTTCCAGAATATACCTGCCTTTATTTCAATAGGCAGAATCAAATCGGTACCTGGAGTACATGGACAGCACTTGCCTCTAATAGATTAAACCTAAGGTGGAGTTATGATACAAATAACAACCCGCAAAAAAAAAAAAAAAAAAAAAAAGTATAAACAATAACCTGCCTGTGCAGCAACCCAGATGTTGCACGTCTACTTCGACGATGAATATTGTGCGCTCATGAACGTTGGCAAATATATAAAAAAATGTCTTTGTTAAGGAGAGTATAATAAAGATCTGGTGGTAATGGATAAAGTTGCTGTGGAGAGAAAGAATATCAAAGAACGAGAACATCGCTACAAAAAAAAAGAATTATATTTTGTCATATTATGAAGAAAGCAACGCTGCTGTGGGATAAATCCAAAAGCATTATTGTGTACATTCTACGCGTCGTAAAAGTGACTTTTCATGTTTCTATCCCCTTGTCGTTGAGCATATGATGTATTAGGCCGTCAAGATACGTCCTACAAGCTAAAGCAGAGTTGTTGACTCCAGCGCTATCACAGTGCAGATTATAGCGATCCTTATCCTGTCAAGACACCAGTTGCACTCACAACAAGGTCTTTATGGCTTATATTCCCTGTGAGACCATACTACCAGTTTTTACCATGTCTTCTACAGATCAATACCAAGATCTGATGACGCCCATTGCCCACATGCAGCAACACGCTATCAGTGCGGCACAGCTTCCTTGACCGAGATCAATGCGATAGTTCATCCATACAATGTTTTGTTGCATGTTTACCACCAAGCCATGTTCCTTGACAATAAGTGTATCAGTTTCAAAATGTTTAAAGGGTCTGTTTTACTTGTAGGCATACACCAAGGCGAAGTAACTTCAATAATTGCTTCAAATTCTAGCTTTGACTTTATCATCTGCCCATGTCTTTTTGGCCCTCAAAGAACATGCATAGAGACGATTCTGGCACCTTGAGTATCTGAAAAATGTTACATATGCCCTTGAACCGTTGCGTCACTGTACCAGCTGTCACCCCATGATCCATCGTGCCAGCTGGTGACATAGGAAAATTGTTTCTTCGTGCACTCGGAAGTAGTAGCCTTTGGGGGTCCAAGTGTATGGTGCATCCCTGAGAAGATTGAAGGCCAGTAGGCGAGTCTTTGAATCGCAAAGAAACTCCCAAGCCGGGTGCTGCTCAAAGTTGCAGTTGATGCAGCTAACGTGCCACGGATGTGGAGGCGATTGTTGACGCGCATGTCGAACTTGGTTCTGAGCAAGATTCTGACCTAGATACTGCTGTTGCTGCTGTTGTTGCTGGCGTTGAGGTGGAGGCAGTTGCCTTATAATGCCATGGGAGGGTTTCGGATAAAGGACATATTGTATATCCGTTGGAGCAGGATGGAGAGAGTTTGATCGTGCAGGCCCATACTCCGGAGCTTGTCCTTGCTGCTGCCATTTTTGGGTCTGTATCTGAGGACCACCAGTCATTTCAATGGACCTCAAGCCTTGATGTCTCTGTGTAGACAATAATGCAAGAAAACTAATGCCTAGTGTACCCCTGCTATCTTCATTAACTTTATCCTTTCCCAGAATCTTTGGAGCAGACAACGAGTAATATTCCTCTCGTAATTTGTCCCAAGTCCTATAAAAACTATCTCCATGACCATTATGGGCATTATGCGCCAGTTCATGGAGCATAGTGTCCATAATCATGCCAAAGGGCAAAAACTGGGTTTGGTCATAGTTACTACGTAGACGGAGCAAAATTCTTTTGCCATGGTCAAAATTCAGACCATAAAGGTTTTCAGTAGTCATTTCTTCTAGAGAGCCGACTTTCCAACCGTAAGCTATCATGATTGGGCGGACCTTCATCCATGGTACAATGCAAAATAGTGGGTTGAGAAAAAGTGAAAAAAAAAAAAAAAAAAAAAAAAAAAAATGGTTGTAGTGTTTCCTGACAAGAGCAGCTGACAATCTTTACCTTTACTGCAATCTCACAAAGTATCTCAAAGGCTTTGATGCTGTAAGACATATGATCAAAGAACTCAACCTTGGACACATGGTCCAAATTCGAAGGCGACGGCGGGATGTACCGGCGAAGCATGGTAGTTTTTGGATGAAGGATATTGTCAATAAACGAGGCAGTATTTGAAGTATAAGAGAAAGACGGACAAAAAACAGGGATGAGGGTGTTTTATAGGCTACAAGAAAAGGATCAAGCAACAATTCTTTAAAAGCATTCTAGCCTACAAAAAAAAAAGGAGGGTTTCCTTGTAAATATGATGCTTTATTTTTGGTTAACTGCCTTTTAGTCATCCTGTTCGCTTACAATAACGGCAGCCATGCCCTATAGAAAACAAAAATGGAATAATTCACAATTAAATCGTGGTCAGAAAAGCAATGAATATTAAGGTAGCATATCTCAACACTAGAAAAGTTGTGGTACTTTGTTAAGCTGATCTTATTTGAGCTTACCCCTCCAATGCCATAGCACATCGAAATAACACCAATTTTCTCGCCAGTATAGTGCAACTGAGAGATCAGTGTAGCCATCTGTCTAGCACCTGTCATGCCTAACGGCTTTTGACGCGTAATAAAAAAAAGAAAAAAAAAAAGATAAATATGATGGCTTTTTCACTCAAGTAATAAGCTTTTATACCACATAAAGATATTGACTTACGTGTCCAAGAGCAATGGCGCCGCCTTTTGGGTTAACCTTGGCTGACTTGATGCCCAAAGTACGCACACAATATAAAGCTTGTGATGCAAAGGCTTCATTGAGCTCATAAATATCCACATCGTCTACCTGCAAGCCCACATCCTTCAACACCGCAGGAATGGCCACTGCAGGGCCAATGCCCATGATCCTAGGAGGGCAACCCACTACTCTGGCTCCACACCAACGCGCTAAGATCGTGCAGCCCAATTCCTGAGCTTTGCTCCTTCGCATCAAAACCACTGCTGCTGCGCCATCCGACACTTGAGAGGCATTACCAGCCGTAGTGGACCCATCCTTTTTAAAGACCGGCTTGAGTTTGCTCAATTTCTCTGCACTAGAACCAGTACGAGGGCCCTCATCTTTAGAGATGATAACTTCCTTAACAATTTCTTTTTCTTGACCGGTAGTGGTGTCCTTCACAATTGACTTTTGTAATACTTTGACCGGGATGATCTCGGCATCGAACAGCCCTTGTTCTTGAGCCTTTAATGCCTTGGCATGCGATTCCGAAGCAAATGCATCTTGATCCTCACGTGTGATTGAGAAATCACTGGCCACATTCTCGGAGGTAATTCCCATGGGTACGAAGATATCGGCATTGCCAGGCCTTGCTTTGATCTGAGATGAAATCCGAGAAGGCATACTCTTGGAACCATAATCGTGGGTCATAGATTCGACGCCAGCGCCTAGAAAACCCATATAAGAATGAAATTAAAAAAAAAAAAAAAAAAAAAACAACAACAACAACAACAACAACAACAAACAAACAAACAAAGTTCTCAAACATACCGATGCCGACATCAATCTCTCCAGCTCGGATAGCATTGGCGATATAGTTACAAGACTGGAGGCCAGAGGAGCATTGGCGATTCAAAACACCATACGTTGTTGTGTAGGGGTATCCTAAAAAATTAAAGTCAGCGTACAGGAGTGGGGAGTTTTATTATGGCTATGATAGTATTTGCTATTATTATCATTAATTACTATTGCTATTATTTTTCAGCTTACCAGCTGCGAACATGGCTGCACGTCCAACTTTGATGCCACCAAGCTCCTGAAGGACATTACCAGTCTGGATGTCATTTACAACCTTGGGATCGATCTTGGCGCGCTCAGCAGCAGCCTTTAGAATGACTGCGAGTAGATCCTCTGGATACATATCTTTAAAACCACCTTTGCCAGCTCTGCAAATTGGTGTTCGGACCGCACTGTTCAAAGCAAATTAAGGTTTTGATTAGAACAAAGCATAGAGCAAGCCATTATGAATATTATTATTTTTTTCCCAACATACGCTACGATCACTACATCGTCAGGATGTCTGTGATGAATTAAATGTTCACGGTTGGAATTGCTTCCTACAGCAAAGGAGCGCTTGCAAGGGTTAACAGTTGTTTCTCATAATGTGCTTCCATGATTCCTGTTACTGTCAATACTTCAGTCATCTAGGCATTTCCATTAGTATTACCAATGATGTGGCCTTTGATTTGGTCAAGTCGTTTGTTGGTCGAGAGGGATGTCATGGTTTCAAATATTAAACGTGGATGGGGATGAGGATGAAGGAAAGGAAGGAAGGAGGATGGAAGGAAGGAGGATGGAAGGAAGGAATGCCAAAGAGGGGTAGACAAATAGTCTTGAGGAAGGGGTACAATGGGTAAAACTTTAGGCAAGCCAACCAATGTTCACTCCGTCTCTCGGGTGCTCGGTCTTCATCTAATGTTTTTATTTCATCATTTAATATTACACTAAAACACTCAGGATTTTAATTCGGTGCTCTCTCGAGGAGGGACCTCATCTGAAGATGCTTGTGAAGCTACTTGAGAAGATTCTTTGGCATCAGGCCCTTGCACAATATCATCTGGCTCATTATTGTTATCCTCTCCTAGAATGGCCTCTTCTGAGTTAGCTGGGGCTCCTATCTCAGTATCAGCAGTTGGTGCTGTCGAGTCTGTTGAATCATCGTTATCGGAAGATGGCTTCTCTTGTTCATCAGATAGCGTTGTCAAGTTGGGCTCGGTTTCAAAACTTTCGACTTGAACGAGACCGCCATAGATACCCTCATCAAAGCATTTTAAAATATACTCCTGTACCGCACGTTTATAAACAACCAGGAACTCGTCTAAGATCTTTTGCTCGCTCAAAACCTTGGATTCCTCAGCTCCTTGGAGCTTGAACCCAACGGCGTTAGAGTTATTTTGAGGTATTGATGTTGATGTTGGTCGAAGCGTTGAACGGAAGGCGCTGGGGCGCTCTCCAAAAATATGGTGGTCGTATTTTTCTAGTCCGAAGTCTACGCGTGTCAGACTATCAACCAATATCTCTCGTAAAGGTATTGCAAGTGATAGTGGTGCAAGTAGTCGCAATGAATTGAGCGCTGTCAAATATGAATTGGTGAGATATGCGAGCGCAGGATAGTCCATAAGATAAGTTTGAGGAGACAAAGATGATGGCCCACTGCCTAATGTGATATCTGCGCTTGATGTTCTACTGAGGATTGAGGGTGTTGAAGCAGATGATAACGATGCAGATGTACGCCCTATTCCGCTGACCATCCATTGACTTGGCAATAACCAATCAGGCTGGTTTCTTCCTTCGCCACCAAGGCTATCCAAAAACTCGTCTGCACCTCGCTGGAATGCTCCTCCGACGACTCGGATCACTGCCTCTTCAAACAAGGATGTGACAAGATATCGCAAATCGAATCCAATTTTAGCCATATTGGCACCAAAATACATCAACTGTGTCAGAACTGACAATAAGGCGGAAGTATCATGAATCTGCGGGATATGAAGTTTGAGTATACTGAATATTATCTGGGTCCGATAAGTGACAAAGTCGGCCAAGAGGTTTTCAGTCGTCCAATGGTGTTGCTTTTGATGACTGGCATGCTCTGCTTCTATACTTCCTGGTCCGCTTGCAGGCCCGGTGCCAGAGCCTTTACGGTCGATCGATGGCGATGACAATGATGAGAAGTTTGTAAGGTGGTCTGCACTGCCAAATATACTCTTGTAATATGTCATGATGTCGAACAGGCACTCGCGCGTCACATCAATATACTTTTTTAAATATCCAAACGAATCACCTTTATGAAATACGATCTTGGATAGCTGTTGATCCATATATAGGCCTCTAGATTTAAGAAAAAGCATTTTGAGTGGCGTCTCATCCTCGACTACTCCTACTGCACTGTTCATTGTTGCGGTTGAATAAAGCGATCCAGGCACAGTGCCTCTTCCTTTAGATGTCGCCGGTGCCGCCCCGCTCTGAAATTCATCATCATCCGCCACTTCGTTTTGACTGCTGAAGTTTCCCATGCGCCGGAGGAAGCCAACGGTTCTCAATGCTACGGGTAGTTTAATTGGTTCCCTTAGCTGGGCTAGCAGCTGAATGAGCATCATTTCTTTGCCCTGCGCGACCTTGAGCTCGATCTCCTGAATAATTCCAATCCCCGGGTATCTCGAAATCAGCCGTTGCACATGGCTCGCCAACTCTAATGCCTCGTTGTAATACCCATTCCTTACACACGTCTCCATGAGTAGCGGGATTTCCAGTACCTCAAGTAACTGTGAATGAGTTGCCAGGACCGAGGAATATATATGTTGCTTCTCTAGAATAGGTGACACTTTGTCTGAGAACCCTGTGAGCGTGTCGATAAATTTTGGTATAATATCCTGGAAATGATCTAAATGTTGGCCAAGGGTCTCGAAGGTAGACTGGACATCCTGTTTACAGTCCTTGACAAGGATAAATGTTTTGTAATCGCGGAATGCTAATTCTGACATGCTCCGCTCCACTTTGAGCTGTTCTTCACGTAGCCTCCCCGGTTCATTATGCAATGCTGTTGCTGGGAGAGAAGTGAGTCGGTTGAGGTAGTCTTTGGACCAACTTGTTGAAAGAAGCTCGCGTTTTTGTGATGGGACCTTTTCCAGGATCTTCTCAAATAGTGCATCCTGATCCGTACTGATGTTCAAAACACTACTGTGGTTCATACGGGTCTCGTTGATATGTACACTTTGTGAATCTGGTCCTACATTATTGTTGGTCATCTTGATTGCCTTCGGTCAATGGACCAGTGTAAAAAACGATGAGTGCGGCAGGATGAAATTTCGCGTGCTTCAAAAGTATGTGACTTGTTGTTGGACAAACATTTGTGAGAAGCGGCGACGCTCTTGACCCATAAAAAAAAAACGAAGCAAGCTATAAAGTCGATTTATCTTACTTTATTAATATCTAAAATGATATGAATAAAATATGACAACCATATGCATACCCACGCATATGGAGTCATTGCATTACTCTGCTAAATGAGCGATATTGCCTATATAAGACATCAAGCTTGTAGACTGCTTTATGGTAGAAAGGAGTTCGCTCATTGCCAGCAGGAAAAAGCAGGCCTTAATGACAGTTTAAGTAGTAACGAGTTCTATTTCTCTCTGGCAACACCGCTTTGTTCAAGCCAACTTGGCTCTGGGATCAGTATTCCAGACAAGCATAAGCTCAGTCGCGCATATTTCGCGTACACTCGGCCCTTGCCACGGATCTTGACCAATGTCTGTGCGCATGCATGATCAGTACATGCAGTATGCGGATCCCGCGTTTCAAAGACCAATTTAGTCACTTTCATCCACATTCAAAATGTTCTCTTCGACTGTTGCAAGGGCAACGACAACGAGTGTAAAGCATGTCGCGAAGGACATTGTTTCAGAGACATTATTTTCAGTAAACTGAAAGCAAAAAAGGGTGATTTGGTTGTTAGTGCTCCAAGTCATAGGATGGTTGCATGTAGAAACATATGATGACATAGATTATTGAGAGGTAATTCACACCTTAGGCTCTGTGGCAAAGCTGCCATCGGATACTTTGATTAAAACGTGAGGACAGGCATGTCTGCCAGCCCTTTGAAGAGCAAGCTTCGTCCCTTGAATGAGAAAAAGCTGATCAATACCTTATACAGTGACAACCCATTTGCAACGCCAATCCTCAAGCACTGCTTTCATAATAAATAAAAACCTCTGTCAATAACAAAGTTTCATTTATCCAACGTATCCTATGTCCAGCAGGAGTTGCCGATCAACATAGGAATATCATAGAAAGCTTCTCTTGCGGAGCCGAGTGATCTACACCAACGACCTGGTGCTCAAATACAAGCGACGACAGTTAGGGGTTATGCTTGCAGAGACGAAAGATGGCGAAGATGATGAAGAGAATGGCGGTGAAAGAGAAGACTTGTTTAGGTTTGGTAACTACGATGTATTTCTCGATGAAGCCAAGAAATATATCATAAGAGTCCGCATTGTAGTCGATTTGGGCGCCATTGAAACGCGTGCTTAGGGCACCTCAGGACATGGGTTTCTTGGATATGGCCCAGCATCATTAACCTTTCGTACCATCATCTGTAGTTTGTCCTTCCTCTTCGACACATAAGCGGAGGCCACCTTAGTACTTCTGCCTCTATCTTTAACACCGTCTACTCCTTTACCGTCTTTGCTTCCTGACCCAGGTGCAGAGTCAGATGACGTATGACAGTATCAATCGGAAACACGGCTTAAAGGCACTTTCGAGTTTGGGAATGCAGTTTAGCGCACCTCAAACTGCCCACCAGCGCTTAATGCCTCGTTGTTGGGCTTGGCTCAGGTGAAAGGAATGCCCTGGCGACTACCTTGCCCAACCCAGCCTACCCTCAGTACAGCTATCGTTCGACGCTATCCCCTACATCGGCCCTATGGAGCCTTTCGTCCTCTTTTACAAGAATAAAGAGAAAGTGCATGGAACTGATGTCACAGAGTCAAGATGCTACCATTGACTTTGGATCGAGCTCATGGCTACTTGAATTGTCTCGTGGCAAACAAATCTATGTACATCCTTAGTATCTCAAGGAAACCAAGAGGTGTGTAAAGCCTTTTGGAATAGAAGGCCGCCTGGAAATGTTTGTTTTATCGCAGCAAGCAGTTACACTTCGGTGGCATCGCCAAACACGTAAAGATGATATAACTTGAATCACAACGCTCTTGGATGCCCACCTCCTCCGACCTGAACGAATGTTCATTAAGGAGGGTTCCTTGGTGAGAGTGGCTAGGCTCTTGATCCTCTCTCTATGAGGCTTTCTGTGGGTGGTCTTTTCTTGATCAGCGCCTATGCTATCGACATGCAGGAAATAGTATACTGAGTCGAGTGCTTCCGACAAAAAAAGTGGGAAATGCATGCCAACCCGGATAGGTCTGCTTCTAATGCCATCTGCGGCAGCAAGTCAGCGAAGAGAAAGTCAAAAGCATGTCCACAGGGCATCGGTTTCGAAATAAGGGTTGATGGTCTCTTCTGGAAAGATCATAGTCCCAACTTGCCGTTTCTTGAGATGGTGCTAGAACCCAGTGGTACCTATGTCTGTGTGTTATGATTTCGGTAGACCATTCAGGAAGCTATATCAGCGACCATGTCAGGCGCAAAGCTAACACACACTAATATAAATGTGAGAAAGACTTACTGTACTCACTCTCGGGCAAGCAGCATTCCGGGCGAAAAGAGGAAGTAGGATATTAAGCGGAAGTAAGTTAGGGATGCGATGAAAGGATGTGAAGGGAGATAAAGAGGAAAGAAGGGCAAGAAGGGCAAGAAGGGCAAGAAGGGCAAGAAGGGCAAGAAGTAACAAGAGAACAAAAGGCGAAGATGTCTCTCATCACAACGATCGATTGTTAAAAAGTCCTGGTGTGGTAAAAGCAATTTCATATGCGCACAATTGATACGAGCGATCCCAAACCTTTTCAACAACAATTGCGGCAACAACAACACCGAAGAAAAAAAAAAAAAAAAAAAGATTACTAGGCTCTCAGTTAGAGTTGTGGTTATGGGTCAAACAATAGGTTCAATAGGTTGGGAAAAGAAAAACAAAAAACAAAAACAAATCCACATTACACTTTTTTTTACGCGTTTGTTTCGTCGACCAATCAATTCATCGAAAAGAGTGTCAAATCCACACAGCAATAAAAGCCATCATCGACCAGCCACTTTATCCAAAAGTTCGTGTATATCCATGTGCATGAAGATACCGCGATAAATTAGGGAGCTCGTAAATGTCTAGGCAAGTTCCTTCGAGCAATGCATAAAAAAATCCCTAGTTGCGCCAAGACCGAAATGACAAACTGAATAGCAGCAGCGGGACCCAGGCGATGGCGGAAAAAATATGTAAGGGACTCTTCGATCACCTGTATATGCTTTGTACGATGAAAGTTATGAAATCATTCAGATTATGCAAATAGTCGAAAGCTTTTTTCTTTTTTTCTTTTTTCTTTTTATTTTTATTATTAATTTAGAATAAGGTCTTTGATGTCACCAGTGCCATTCTACCTCAACTGCCAATCCATATTCAGCTCCTGCAGGATTCCTCTCTGCCTTAGTTGCTTTTTGCACTCGTACAATTTTTCATATGTGCGCATCCGAAATTGTCATTTCGAGAGCCACTTGGTATTGCGGATGTGCAGGGCAACGGTTATTTAATGTGTTATATACCTTCGCTATTTTCCAACAAACAATCAGCGCAAGCGATTTATCTGTATGTCGATAGCTGCTGTTGACTCTGCGCTTGGTCATCGTGTACTAAAGGCGAAAACGACACATTATTATACTGTTTTAAAGTGAGACTAGTTACTTCCTTCTTGAGGAGGTTTATCTCAAGTTTGCATAGGATACAAGCTGAGATTAACTTGATCAATACGAATGGACGCTGATGGCATACTACAGCTCTAGGCAACAATAAGATCACTATCTATAAAACAAGTTGCTAGAGCTGTTGAAGATCTCATTAATGATTTTTTCAAGTTACCGCTACTTCTACTACTGTTATTAGTATTAGCAGTAGTGGTAGCAGTGGGACTAACACTGAAGTTTGCTCGTTTCCCGATGTTTTTATGTGAAGAAAGCATATAGAAGTGACTGGAAGGGGTGGTAGACGCGTGTTTGTCTTCTTTCTTCATTTCAAAGACGATATAGGGTAAATAACGGGCAAATAAATACCCAGTGTTCAAACACCCTTTGACAACAGGAAAAGGAAGTTGTTTTCTAGTCATATGGGAATTTATATAAGTATTATACAGTTATTGTACAGGTAGCATTGTACAAAGTGGTCAATTTCAAGAAATACGGGGAGAGATGTGAGCCGTTTCTGGATATGGCTCAAATGTCGTTTGCGGGCGATGGAAACCTCGAGATGAAATGCTGACTGATTCGTCCTTGCCTCCTGACAATGGACCTGCAAGGTCTGGCATAGTAGAGACGCGTTCAATGCGTTTGCGGCGAGTATCAAAAGAGTTCCCAACACCATGTTCGATGCCTACATCACTTGACGCTCTGTCATGGAAGCGAAATGAGCCCTCTGCGGCACTGAGGCGATGCTCCCTTCTACAGCCTGTTAAATCAGGAACACCAAACCCTGATGGCGGTCGTGTCTCTATATAGTCACTGTTTCGAGGGTGTCGCGGCCTATCATACTCCATCCGGCGAGCCAACTGCCGGGCGTACTGTTGCCTAAGATCATCATCGGTATACCCCTGATAGTCCTGACTATCTGCTGAGAAATCTTCATGCAATACTCTCATGGGTTCGTCCACAACGAATCGTGGGTTGTTGATTTCAGAGTGTGTTCTTCCATACAATATATAAATCAAAATCCCCACCCCCATCCAGACCAGCAGCCGCATAATAGCCTCAGTTCGTGCGCCTTGAAGCAAAAGTAGAGAGCTACCTGCTCCAATACCGGGTAGTAAAAACGGACCTAGAAATAACACAGACATTTCAACTTAGAAAAACCGTATATTGAGAAATACTCCAGTCCCTTTATCATAATGCAAAACTTGGCACAGTAATATACCTCCTGGGACTTTGAACCGCCTGGGTACGGTCTTTCTAGTATATCGCAGGATAATGACGCCAATGTTGACTACAAAATAAGCGAATATTGTCCCAACGGACGACATATCACTAAGCACCTGTATAGGAAAGAGTCCACCACAAACCGAGCAGAGGACGCCGGATATTAGTGTGCTAACGTATGGTGTCTGAAAAAGTCATTGTGTTAGGAAGTGAGTGAAGTGATCTAAGTCTTGAAGTAACATCAAATTATCAAAGCAACCTAACAACACACCTTATATTTCGGATGAACCTTGGCAAACAGAGGAGGAATCAGACCATCATTTGCCATGGCATAGAAAACACGAGGCTGAGCTATCAACAAGACAAGGATGACAGATGTGGTGGCTGCCAAAGCTCCCAATTCAGTTATGACAACAAGCCAATGCATTCCTGTCAAGCGAACAGCATCTACCACTGGTGAATCGCCTCCAAGTTTCGTATAGTGCGCGACGCCTACTGTAACAACGCTAAGTATAAAGGCCATATCCATGATAACATGTCAGTGAAAATACTTGGCATCCTATGTTTCTTACTGTGATCATGTAGAGAGGCGTACCTGATACCGACGTAGAGTATAGTAGCTATAACAATCGTTGCCATTATACCCACAGGAAGGTTGACCTGGGGCTCTTTTGCCTCCTGAGCTGTGGTGCTGATACTGTCGAATCCAATATAAGCAAAAAATACCGTTGATGCGCCTGCAAGCATCCCTGACACGCCCCCAGTTTCTTCCGGGATGTAAGGATGGTAGTTTTCTGTCTTGACGAATGGGATCATAGCCAGGATAACGATGATCAGCACAAGGACCTTGAACACGACAAGATAATTATTGATTTTGGCAGTCATGTGGATGCCAAAATAAATCGTGGTGGAAACAAGAGCTGAAATAACGAATGCCGGTGTGTTAAAATAAGCGCCTGACGAGCTCAAGGCTCCCTTTTCCCACTTGATCGGTGTGCGAGTCCATTGAGGTGAAACTTTCCAATTGAATGCGTCCTCAAGAAAAGCTACCATATAGGCTGACCACCCTACAGACACCGTAGCAGCGCCAACAAGATATTCAAGTATAAGATCCCAGCCGATGATCCATGCTGCAAGCTCTCCTATAGAGGCATATGCATAAGTGTAGGCTGAGCCTGCAATCGGAATCATGGATGCCATTTCTGCATAGGACAAAGCTGCAATTCCGGACACAAAACCTCCTAAGAGAAGAGACAGCGTAACAGAGGGGCCAGCCTGCGTCTGGGCAGCAGTGCCTAGTAATTTAAAACAAGTGATTCCTTAGTCTATTAACGAGCGAAATAGACGGGCTATATGCATATGCAAATAAATACGGGAATGACATAGATGAAGGTTAAGTAGCTTACCCATTAAAACAAAGACGCCTGTGCCAATAACAGCACCTATATGTTGAAACAAGGGTAAACGGAATAGGGAAAGATAATTGGTTAAGAGCGCGTTTACATGAACAAAAAGAGCTATATTTATGTTGTGGACGTTTATAATGTATAGCATGCTTGTGCTTCGATGCGGTTCTTCTCTAGTAATGACAAAGTAGACAGCAGAATGGATCATACATGTAGAGCATATTTATATATACTAGCTATTTAACATTATGAACAAGCATGTGTGCATTTTCATTTCCTGCAATCCTGCAATCTTTGTTATTGCACAAACATTTTCTTAATGCAATTTTATATATTCCATTTTCACAACAAATATATACACACAAATATCCACACATGAAGGACAAAGAGATGGGTGTAAAAAATGCAAAAACAAACATTGGTCCAAAGCGACTTTTTAAGCATAGCAACATAACATGCAATAAATTGCCGGAGAGCACGGATGACAGCCCCCAGATATTTTGCCTTGAGCTATGGAGTGGTTGAGAGTAAGTAAGTGTACGAGAAGTAGATAGTCGAGAAAATGGGGAGCTTAGGAGGTCTGCATAAAAAAATGTGTGCTCTGTGTGAACCCATGATGGAGGTTATGATGCTCAAGTAAGTATGCTTATGGGCCAATCACTCTTCTTTTTGTTGTTTTGTTTGCACAAAGCAGCATGAAGATCCGAATCTTCGACTGCTCCAGTTACCAAATGCCACTCTTTTGCTTGAGTTTGACAAGGCATGATAAACAAACAATTGTGATGTAGACAAATGCAGAGGAGCAATAAGAAAGAGATGCGTTCCAGATAATATGAAAGACTACAATGAGAGATAGCTCTACAAGCACAGGCCTAGACCCTGGTTGAGCACCAAGGTCTATTAAATCGGGGACCCTTGGCTGTGTGAGGGTAACAAGGGTCATCCTGTGTTGTATTTGTTGGAATAGATCACCCCTTCTTGCTCATTTGCTCTGTGTGCTCTGACAATTATTTGAGCATATCCAAGGACAATCATGTTTTTTTGCCACATTGCATCGACCTTGGTAACAATGGTAACGGAGAATTTGAATGAAAAAGGGGTGAACTGTGCAGCAGCAGGGTTTAACACTTGATCTATGGAGATTTGGACTGACCAAATACCATAAAAAAAAAATAAGAGACACATGCCATCATGACTTGTCTTGAACTGTGAAGACGGAGCATTACAACAACACCCATGCCAACAGTTATTGCGGCAATGCACACACACATTTCCTTTCTGAGCCATGAGTTTAAAATATGGCATTTCCCTCACAGTGTTGCTCATAGCTTTTCTTTAGTCCTCACAACGGTCGTCTGTGAAGTGCAATTGAAGGAGTGCACGGAAAAATAATGACAGGTGCACAAAAAGAGACCAATCATTGAAATCGTGGAACATGACCTTGGAACTGAGCCTAGTACCCAATGTGTAAACGAAATCCAAGTTGTCCCTGCTGGGTAGTCTCTTTTTGAGGTAAGCTTCCATGCATGACCAAATTAAAAACACTCACCAAGTCCGACGAAAGTTAGTTCTGCAGGACCAAGTGCCCGATTGAATTTCGTTTCGGCTTCCTCGACTGTATACTCGAGGCGGCCTAGAGTCTGAATCGAGATCAAGCGTCGGGCATGGAACCTCAGCAGAGACTCGTTCGGCTTACGGAACGGTGTCTGTCCCGTGTAATAGTAGCCATCTTCATGGTCATCCATCTGCTCTTTGTAAAAAGAGAGGGAGTGTTTGGTGGAAGGCGTGTGGGGATGAATGATGGGCAAACTTTTGGCGGGAGAATTGAGTCGGAAAGAGAAAGAGAGGGAAGAGAAACAGGAGATCGAGGGCGCTACAAGGGTGAACGGTATCGCAGATGAGGATTAGATGAGATTATCGTTTTAATAAGTGGTAAGGCACTTTTAATATATTAATATACAGAGGAGTAAGAGTGAGAGAGAGTGAAGCTTAAGAAAGAAAGTGATTAATGACATGAGTGAATGAGGAATGATTGAGACAAAGAGACAGAGAGGATGATCTTTGAGTAACTCCATCGCTCTAAACCAAAAAAAAAAAAAAAAAAAAAAGGAAGTACAAAAACACATGTGCTTGCCATCTTTTGTGTATGCTTAAATACGATTGGATTTTGCAATTGAGCAGCACAAAATGTATAGTCGCATGGTGATGATGTCTTCTATCTGTTTTTTTTTTTTTTTTTTTTTTTTCCCTCTGATGAATGCTATAATTAATGATGTGTAAGAGATTTCGTGAGCGAGTCAGGTTTGTCAACCATATTGCCTAGATGCGAATAGGCAGGTGAAGCCCTGTATTCATCTGTTGAACCAAGAGGGTTTGCTTTGAGCATTCATACATTCAAAAATAACCTTATTTATAATTTAGAAATCTTGTGGTTCCTTACCTTCTCATGTACATTGCCATTTCCACATCGCGTGGTACAACCAGCCTGAGGATGAAGTTCATGTACACATGCACGTGCTGGGAGGCAAATGTGACTTGTTCTTGCAGACTCTTCTCTCTCAGGCTGTGTTTTTTCTAATTATCCGCTTTGATACTTAGCTCGAAAAAGAAAACAAGATGAAGCGGCTGGTGAGTGCTTTGGACCGGATGATTATTGTTCGTATTAGAATAATATGTAATCGAACAAAAATATTGACTTTGATCACTCTATCTCTTTTATCAGGGTCACCCTCTAAAAAAGCTCATCCAAGCATGAGTAGCGCAGATAGCACTGATATTCTTGTGGATGAGATTACAAAAGCAGGGCTTGTAAGGAAAGGGATAGTGAATAATGACCCTGACATGTCGCCTCTCAACTTGAAAGAGAGGGTCAAGGTGCTTTCGTACATGGGGTAGGGATCAAGAGCCAGTATTTACCACAACATTATCAGAGCGGCTCGCGAGCTCCGAAATTCTGGTGAAGGTATCAAGGATTCCAAAATATTGACTGCCCCTGAGGGTCGTACCTTCCCTGTTGCCGAAACACAGCATCTTTATATCAGAGAAGAATATAAAGAGCTTTATGACCATATTACAGCCAATTTCAATATCACTTATGAAACAGCTTCTTTGAGCCGAATCTTTGTCACTAGAACACCTGGAGTTGGGAAGTCAGCCTTTCTGGTTTATTTTGCCATCCTCTAACCGAGCACGACGAAGAAAATCCACCGATTATTATTTTCCATGAGAAGAAGAGTACTAGATGTTATGCCTACGGAGGAATAACTTGCCAACGCTATGGGGAGAGAGCAGAGCTCACTGATTTCCTTGAGCAGCCTGAAATGTGGTACATGTACTTAGTTGATAATGACGATAAGCCTCGACCAGATCAAGCCAGGACGGTATTTTCGGCGTCGCCTAGAACTCTTAACATCCAGTACGATGTCATAGTCAATGATACTATTCCCTCTAGCCATTATCATATGTCACCTTGGAGTCTTCCCGAGCCTCAAGCCTGTAGAGACCGTGTATAGTACTTCCATACAGTGATGATCCACTTTTGGAGGAGCTTTATTCCAAATTGGGAGGCGTGTCAAGATAGGTCCTGCAGGCTCCATCTGATTCACTTCGTCGTGAACCAAACAATATCTCAAATGCCAAGAAGAGCGCGTTTCAGCGTGTCAGAGATACCATCAATGAGCTCGAGAAGCCAGCGGATCTTGTAAACCTCTTACAAAAATGAATGTATCGAGTATCTATAGTGGCTGTCTATTACATAGATGGCCAACATGAAATGGAAATCTCCTTTGGTCGAATCAGAGATTATCGAAGTTTTACAAAAGCAGACTTGGAGTGATGTGTTGGGGAAACTTGTCAGAAGTGATGATGACATAGCTAAAGGCCCATTGTTTGAAATCTATGTTCGTTACTCATTTCAACGTGGTGATATTAGATTTCCCTTCAAGGATCTCCAGTCAGGCCTAACAGGATTTCTTGATTTCCTTGCAAAGCCGAAAGTGGTGCTTATCGGGGCTTCAGATGAGTTATCAGGGCTCACTCAAGCAACTGGTAAGTTGTTTCTACCATCAATTCCTAACTTTCCGTGCATCGATTTTGTGTTGGAACCCGATAAGCTATTTCAGGTCACAATATCAGAGGAGCATCCGATCATACAAGCACCATTCAAGGAGATAAATGATTATATTGCTGGACCCTGCTCGAAGATAAACCAATCAAAGTCGAAGGGAAGTGACAATGCCATTTTCCTCTATTTTGTGGTGCCAGGCTACAGATATGACGATTTTAAGGTTCAGAATTTTGTTATCAACAATGGTCAGGATGCCAAGGCGCCACCTGGATATTTAAAACGTGTAAGACAGTGTGTCATAAAAATCGACACCGTTGCTACATATTCAGGAGGATCACCCGGTTCGAACATAAAGAAATGAATCGAATACCAATCAAGTGGATGAAATTTTATCTTATAAAAAAAAGCATCATGTCCGTTCCTTGAGAATTTTTGTACAATGGTTCATCCTTTATGAATGAACCCATCATTATCCACTTACCCTTTAGACGAATGGGATGATGTGGTTTAATCGACCTTCCCTTCTACTAGAGCATTTAGAACTTTTATAAAGCTTCCTGTGATCATCATGCGATCTTGTGTGCAAGAAAGGGCTTCATAGAACCTTATGATACTATCATCAAAGAGTTTTGTAAAAACAGAGATGACGAAGAGTCCTGTGGAGAGCCCAGTGATGAGTCTGATGATGAGGCCCAAAATCATATTATTATCACCGGGACAGCCGGCATAGGAAATTATCCTTTCTCATATGCTTTGTCATCTGAATGCTTGCCACTTGCGGAAGACCCATCATTTATCATCATCCAGGGCGCCAGAACGTTTGACCGGGAGCTAGGATGGCAGCTCCGCTCTAAAGATATAAATGCCGTTCTGGCCCCATGGTTCGTGTACGGGATGACAACCTGCGACCAATGAGATCATATTTGCCGTATGTTCGGCCAATTAAGTGTCAATATGTGAAGGCGGTGTGTTTTGAATCTCTAGGCGTTCAGGGACATGGAATAAAAAAAATATCAATTTAGCCAAGGGTGCTACGCACTTGACCAGTAAAATGTGTGTACTATACCGGATTGTGTTGTCAATATGTCAATAGTTCTCGACATATTAATACCACATGCTGTTGAGGGCATCATTCTCACCAGAATCAGTCCCTACCACATCAATTACCTTGGGAGCCATGCTGGACGGACGGGGAGTTAGAAGGAAAACGCCCTTGATGTCTGGGATGTCCACGCTTGTTCCAGGGTTTGAAATGATGTTCCAGGGAGGATAGAGCGTGTTCGATCCAGAGACAGTCAAGTTCAGCGGTGGGAGTGGTACTATGGTACGCGTATGTCGTTGAATGAACTTGGCTACATCGTCAGGACTGAAGACAATTTGGAATCGCAACTGTAAATAAAGTCTGTTGAAGAGATCACAAGGGGGTTCTTGTTTGCTTTACTAACAAAGCGTGAGGCGACACTTTCACTATGCTCATTCATCGCCTCACAATTATTTCAAGGATGATCACTTTATTTTTGATCTTCTATTGTTTATTGAAGGTGTAGAAAAATAAATATATACTCTGATATCTGTCTGTTCTGGAACCAGATGGAGCTTTTGATCCAAATGGCTGTATGGAGCAATGTAACTTTTACTTCACAGGATATCTGACACACAGTATCCTACTTGCCGTTAAGCAGTTTGAACGTCTATCTCATCTCTGAGCCAATATGGACTTCCACGCTAGAGCAAGTGAAGGGAAAGAGGAGTACAAGCTGCTCATATAAATCTAACTGAGCCAAAAAAGGATGGGATCTAGACCGTAATGTCTTTAATGCTGGGAGAAGAGTAGGTGTCGAGTTGTCTTTTGCCCATACGAAGGAGATACTCGATAGTGGAAAAATCTCGCTGTTTCACGTCAGAGTGCTTCCTGAACTGCATCCTAATAAAAGTCTGGAAGTGTGGCCGGCTCGTCTGGCATGACCGATCATATCATGTATCGTAATTAATTAGTAGATAAGGAATTAATAATGGGAAAAGAGAGGTTGACAAAGAAGCGAGCTTTACCTCTGGCTTCAGTCTAACAGCTCGAAAGCACTGGCGGTAGAGGTTGATGACTTCTTGCTGTAATCCTGATCGACGCACCGGGACTGAAGACATGGTGAATATTGCTACCAATGAACAGAGATGAAATGGAGCCTTATATAATTAGATTGTTGTGACTGTTTGTATTTTTTTTTTTTTTTTTTTTTTTTTTTTTACCAAAAAGATCTTTTTCAACAGTATTAAAAAACTTGCAACCATGAATGGAGCTTCTGGAAACAGTGGTGATGATGCAAACGAGGTTTTAAGGGCAATCGCCGAAAAATACCATTCTTCTGCAAACACATGGGCATCTCCTGAGATCGGCACATCCTACAACCCGCAGGAACAAGAAGGCTCATGGCAAGGGAATGGTGAAGAAGAGGATCCTTGTGGTCCTGGTATACCTGGATCCTCTGGAGATCAAAGTCACCAAGCAAAGCTGAAGAAAAAGGGTGGTCCATTACTATACCCCAGACATCTCCTAGCAAAACCAAAGTATCGCCTTGCGGCTAAAGTATACCAAGGAACCAAGTGGGCAGCTGCAGGAATGAGACGGGGTTTACCCCCTGTTAAAAAACAACACAAAGAAAAGAAGAGATTACTAGAATTTGAAAGACGGATTTTCTCTCACATGCGAAGTGCTACACTTCCAGAGAAAGCAATCCAGGCATCGATCTTTAAACAGCCAATTAATAGCCAAGCGAAACTTCGGAGGAAACGACCACGATTTGTATGCGAGTTAAATAGGACGGAATCTTCTAGAAATCCCAACAATCCATTCCAGGATACATCAGATTCTGAGCTGGATGAGATTGAAAGTGAGCTGGAGTTGGAGCAAGAGTACTTGAAACAGATCAAAGAAGGTCAGGAACCAAAACTACAACTCGAACAAGATGGCGATGTTTGTTTTTATTGTGGCGCTTTAACCCCTTATGAAATGCGGAAAACCACGCCCTATCCCGCGTTTTATCAATGTGCCAAATGTCGGCAATCACAGATGGAAACTGTACTTTCTAAAGAAGCTATCGATGCGCATATAAAGGAACTACAGGTGCTTGAAGGCAACATTCGATTGACCAATAATGGTTGGTATGCGGAGGAACCAACCCTGCTCAGAAGCCAAAGTCCAATGAAGTCTGAAAGCGAGTACATGCAATTAGCAGAAGCAAAACAGACATTACAATCAGAGCTGTATGACTCAAGGTGGGATAGCATCGTGGAAAATACGAACCGAGGGCCCTCACGCTGGAAAGTCAAAGGACTAACGCAGGCAGAACAGTATGCAAAATACTGGTCCAAAGGACGGGCGTTAGTGGCGGGCGGGATGGCGTGGACTGTGGAAGAAGGGAATTTGTTCTTTCAAGGGCTACGGAGATTTGGAAAACACAATGTTTGGGCAATTCAGGAACACATCAGAAGTAGATCATTAGCAGAAGTCGTGGCCATGATTCAGACGATGGAAATGGAACTAGCGAGACGCAAACACTTTGGATTGGAAATGATAGGGCTTGATGCTATGCCCATGGCGGAAGAAGCGGACGAAAATCAAATCGACATTGAGGAGAGATGTGCAGCCATCTTGATAGACAGAGAATCTAGGCGAAGTTGGCAGGAATCCAAAAAAGCGACATCTGAATCTAAACCTGAAGTCGTCCAAAAAATTGGCCTATTCAATTTGCGCACACTTACGGATCTCTCCTCACGACTGTATATACAAAATGAGGGTGCAGGAATAGAGCGTGAAGTAGCTATCGTTCTTTATGATGCTGTTAAACAATGGCTTACGCCTGTGATGAAAGAGCTTGTAACGCTACATCATGAGCGGCATCGTGTGAATCTTTTGCTGAACAAGGTAAAAAAAAAAGAAAAGAAAAAAAAAGACTTGCACAATTGCTCTTTTACTGACTTAGTCTTTCTTTTTTCTTTTTTTCTCCGAAGGAAGCACGCCGAACTGAGATTCGAGCAATAGGGGAAATGGATGTTATCCGTACACTCTACGCTCAGCAAAAGGCTCTCGGTAGTTTTGAGTTCTTTGAATCCATGCCTGAACGCAACAAATTCTTACTCTATGATGACCGTCCTGAATTCATTCGCAGTCAAAGGCGACGGCTTAGATCTGTCAATCCTAATTTTGTTGCAGATGGACTTGGGAAGAAGTATTATCTAAATGAAGAGGTAGACCTAGCAAAGGCTTTAGCTCCTGATTCCGATCAAGATGTTGAAACCGATGATGGGGTTTCTGCAGAAGAGCAGGCTGAAGTTGAGTTGGAAGCTCCGCATGCAGTCGTTCGAGAATCTCTGCTGCATTCTCCGAATTCTTTAACCAATGTCTACTCGCAAGAGAAGTCGGAACTTCGTCACTGGGATACCTTTTGGTCTACAACGGCTCGGAATGCTCGTCAAGTGACACCTTCCGAGCGAAAGCGGTATAGGTTCCGTGAAACACATCCCCTTGTACCAGTGCCCATGGATTTCGACACCTGGCAGGAGGGCGTGCAGCGACTAGCAGCCAACAGTCATGCATTACCAATGGCCGTTGCAACTGATGCTGGTCTATCGACCGTAGATACTGCGTACGACGCTCCTGTTCAGAGTATGAACAAAACTAAGCGAACCTTTGAACAGTCATTGTACTTTGAGAAAAAAGGTTACGTAGAGAAGCACAAACCACACGACGTAAAATTCGCCCGCGTGGAAAAATACGCGGAGCGTATGGCGGAGAAGGCGAGAACAGTTCCAGTCCGACCTCTAGAAACATATTCACCGGGATATGGAGTCTTACCAAAAAACACCTCCTTCATGTATGATGCAACCAGGACACCACCAAAGAATGGATATGGTCTAGGAGAGAGGAATGTTGGAGGTTTATGGTTTAAAGATAAGAAATCGAACGGGTATATCACGGTCTCTGACAGTGAGGATGAAGAAGAAGAAGAAAGAGGCTGGCAGCGCCAGATGCAAGCAGACCTCCAGATCGAACAAGCCTCCTCCAATCATGGTGTTGGTGAATAAATTTGCATGCAACTCTGCTCTGTAAAATATAGTGATTTATGATAATTGTATTGGGACTATCACGTGGAGGGATGACGTAGACGGTTGGTCAATTGGCAGGGAAGTGGTATACATTCACCTCCCTCATCACACCCGTTTCTAATCCAAACACACACCCAACACATACATCATGTTCGCCCTCCGTACCATTCGTGCTCCTTTGGCCCGCGCTACTCTCCGCACTGCCCCTGTTGCTCGCTTTTCTGCCCTCTCTGTCCGCTTCGGTGAGTGGATCGACTGATCCATTAGTTGCTCTCTTGATCGGCTTGACGGATTTTTCTATGTCACCTTCGATCCATGAATACGATAATATAAAGGGCTATTTTCTAGTATAATCAGTGATCAATCAACATACATCGACCTCAGAATCCTTGATTCCGACACCTTTCGTAATATCAGTTAATATACACTTTTTGTGTTTACCTTAAACTCAAATTCCGAAATGCCGCGAAACTCCTGGATAGTTTGCTTGTCAGTATTAGTTTTGCTGTCTTCTGCAGTATTTTATTTCATGGATCACGCCATTGAGGTTGGACTTCCCGCCATGGATTCTGAGGAATGGAATTGGGGGCTAATTCTTGACACATCACACATCGGAGGAATCCTCCGGAAAAGAAGTGCCTCGGTTTCTGAGTTGACATAGAAAATCAGAGCATTCACATCGTATTAAGTGCGCGTTGAATTATCTTTTTTTATTTTTTTATTTTTTATTTTATTTTATTTTTTTCTAACCCTTATCCTACAGCTTCAGTATGCTACACTCAATTTTTTTTATGCGACTTGCTTCTAACTGCGTTGGTATCTCGGTTCTATAGGCGGAAACCATGAGACTAAGATCATGCAGGGACCTGGTGCTGCTCCTGGTGGCACTCCCACTGATTTGGACCAGTCGACTGGTTTGGAGCGTGCTGAGTTGTTGGGGAAGATGCAGGGCAAGGATATTTTCGACCTTTCTCCTCTTGAAATTACCGTCCGCGGTACCAAGGCAAACCCCACCATTATCCGCTCTCGTGACCCCGTCCGCTACGTTGGATGCACCGGTATGTAGCGCCGGAGACTTGATACATTGCAAAATATTTTATCTGTGTTTTCTGTGGGCGTAAAATGTTTGCTTGCTCATTAACAAAATCATGCCGATGTCTAAAATAGGTGTTCCCGGTGAGACACACGAGGTGAGCTGGCTCGTTATTGATCAGACCCATGAGTTTGACCGTTGTGACCAGTGCGGTAATGTCTACAAGTGGTCTGCTTACGAGTCTGATGAGAACTTCCCTATTCCTGCCGACAAAGCCCATAACCACCACCACTAAAAACGGAGACTAGAGATATAAAAAGAAGGACATAAATTGGTTGACCAGAGGCGTAAGAGCCAAAAAGAAACGTAGAAAGGGTTTTTTGTTTTCAATATTAAATATTATTACCATTGTTAACATGGCAGTATCCTTTCATATAATATTAAATGGATAAGGAAATTGACCAGATAGATTTATAAATATGCTAATGAGGGCTTTAGAATCTCACACAAATGGCATGTCAAGACTATGCTTGCAATTATGAAGTGGGAGATGGAAATAGCAACATGTTGCCTTCATCCTCCTATCACTTTTTTTCTTTGCTTCTCGCTCTCTTTTTTTTTTTTTTTTTTTTTTTTTTTTCCTTCCCTCTGTCAAATCACTCATGTTGCGAGCAGGCACCATTTCACTTCGCAATTTGTCATTAGCTCAGGCACACCTTGGTCATGATGCAACATCATTGCCCTTGCGTTATTTGATGACTAGCGCAGCTTTCCCACGCGTGAAGCGATCATCTCAGCCCATATCCACGCTGTCTAGGACCGCACTCCGCTTTTCTGACGAGGTTCATTCTGCTCTCGAGTCCAAGAAACCATTGGTGGCTTTAGAGAGCACTATTATTTCACATGGGATGCCATATCCGCAAAATTACGAGACCGCGGTCGAAGTGGAAAAAATTGTTCGCGATAACGGCGCTGTCCCTGCGACCATTGCCATCATAGATGGGCAAATCCAGATCGGTCTCTCCCAGGACCAAATCCGCATTCTGGCTAAGTTGGGGAGAAGTGCTGTCAAGGCTTCACGGCGTGATCTAGCAGTAGTTCTGGCTAAGGTAAGATGTGTAGCATGTAATATAACGCATTTAGTTTTGATTATGTATGAGACTTGAACTGATATTTTGTTTATAATTGCCAACGGGCCATTAGAAACAAACAGGTGCCACCACAGTCTCCGCGACAATGCTTCTAGCCCATCGTGCTGGGATCTCTGTGTTTGCGACAGGAGGGATTGGAGGTGTTCATCGAGGATATGAGAATAGTATGGAGTAGATGGATACGCAAACCTTTTATATCTTGTCTCTTTTTTCCCTCACCTCAGGTTCCCAGCAACCCGTTGTTTCTCTTACTGATGCATTTTTCTGTTTCGTTCTCTTCCCTGTTTTTTTTTATTTTTTTTTTTTATTTTTTTTTAATTTTTTTATTGGCGATCATCATTTCATTAACAGCGATGGACGCCAGTGCTGATCTGACTGAGTTAGGCAGAACCCCTGTGGCGGTTGTTTGTGCAGGGGTGAAGTCGATTTTAGATATTGGCAGGACGTTAGAATTTTTGGAGACACAAGGTGTCACCGTGGCTACATTTGGCAACACTTCAGACTTTCCTGCTTTCTTTACACGAACCAGTGGATTCAAAGTAAGGATTCAATCAAGGGTCGTCAAACCAGAAAAAGCTTTTTGTGTTACTACAAGTACCCACTTGGTATTATAGTTATGTTAAACATCATGAAAATTTATATACAGAGTATGTTGAACGTCAAGACACCCAGAGAAGCTGCTGAAATAATAGGTAATGACATAGCTAGAATAAAGAGTACAGCACTCTTTAAATCAATGACCTTGTAAAGGAGTCCCGGAGTTAATGCAACCACTATTACTCTTTACCTGGAATCCAGCCGCCAACCATGCAATAGATCTTCAAAGTGGGATTGTTTTTGGAGTGCCTATTCCCGAGGTAGATGCTATGGATGACGCTTTGGTGGGGAAGGCCATCGATATTGCTGTCAAGGAAGCTCAGTAACGTGCATTTAACGACATTAATATCCTCTACTATTAATCAAATTAATACAATGGTATATTAACGCTTTTTTTTTTTTTTTTTTTTTTTTTGCTAGTGAGCAAAATATTTTTGGTAAGGAGAGCACTCCTTTCCTGCTCAAGCGCGTCAATGAACTGACTGGAGGAGGCTCTCTCAAGTCCAGTAAGAAAAAATGATTAATTCGTGATCTATTGTACATTGATCTGATCACGAGATAGAGATGACCAATTCTTTGCCTACATCATAGATATCGCCTTGGTCAAGCAAAACGTGTCTGTAGCAGCGAGGATTGCAAAGGATCTCTCAACTCTGGTAAGTAGCCAATGTTAATGCGTTATTGAGTTTATAATATCGATATTGTACTTTTTTTTTTTTTTTTTTGAATACTTTGATGGCCTAAAAGTGTTCTAAATATTAGAAAGCGCATTCTGTCGGTCAAACAAGATCCTTCTCCACATCTTCTCGATACATGAGACGTAATGAGAGCATCCAGAGACCTGTAAGCCTCTTCTATTAGCTATACAGTCAAATTTGACACAATGAAAGTGCCATCAAATGGAGCTGGCTATGTTGTGGAAGACAATAAACAACCATAATCTCTACTTAAAACAATTCCGGATATCTCTTTTGTTTATTTTTCTGTAATTTATTTTCTAGACTATGGTTATTGGCGGTGCTGTTGTTGATATAACAGCGACTGCCCACAATACTATGTTAGATTCTATGCTTAACAGTTCATTCCCTGGGGTGACTCGGATCTCATTAGGGGGTGTTGGACGGAATGTTGCTGAGGGTATTTCCAGGCTCGACCCCAGTGGCTGCGTCTTTGTATCTGCCGTTGGAGGAGCCACTATACATTGGTCAAAAAAAGAGGATTCAGATGGACCCATTGCAAGACTTGAAGCCACAGATGACTTATTTGGATCCTGGCTTATTCAAGAACTAGGCCATAGGGGCCAGGTATTGTGGTTAGAGCGTAACATTGACCATTTTGCTATCATCATAGTCCCAGTACGAAAACATAAAGAGATTAACAAGAGCTCCCTACCTATTTTTTCTACCTTGCTGCGATAGCACAAACATGAAATCATTACTGTCCCTGGATCAAGAACAGCTACTTACACTGCACTACATGACGCGACTGGAAATCTCCTGTCTGCTGTAGCAGACATGGATGTTTTTGAACTTTTGCCTTCAGTCAAAGTAAAGGAAGCGATCATCAAGCATAATCCAAAAGTTGTTTGCTTTGATGCCAATCTCTCTGTTGAGTGTATACGGACTATTCTTGAAACGTGCCATAAATGTGATATTAAAAGTAAAGTTTTTTCCCCTCTTCTTGAGCAGGCTGGGATGCAGTAAAGTAACTATAGGCATCAAATATGACAAAAGCGTTGTTTTATTAAACATTTCTCTCTCTCTCTCTCTCTCTCTCTCTCTCTCTCTCTCTCTCTCTCTCTTTCTCTCTTTTTTTTTTTTTTTTTTTTTAAAAAAAAAAAAGCTTTCTTTGAACCAACCTCGGTTGCCAAGTGCATACGGCCTCTACATTTGTCAATGTTTGATACTCTGCTTGATGGTGCACTACGATTCGCAAGCCCTAATGAGTATGAGTTGCAGGAAATGGCTGCCAGTGCTCGAAATCTCATCAATGAGAATCAGAATTACGCACCTTTCAGAAGACTAAGCCAAAAGCCCATTAGGAAGCCTGAAGGTATCAAGAATACAGTATATCCAGGATTTTTACTGGATGCCTTCTATGTGTTACAGTTCATTCCTACATTATTTGTCAAGTTGGGAGCCAAAGGTGTTATAGTCTTTCAGAGGCAAGATTCACAGCTAGACCGAGCTTCAAAGGAACTAGAGGACTGGAGCACGAGGACAATTAATACAAGATCTTTCCCATCGCTCAAAGTACAGGATATTAAAAGTGTTACGGGCGCAGGCGATAGGTAAATTTCTATCCACTCTGCTGTAGGATGCTTACATACTTTTATTTTATGCGTTTAATTTACTCGTACCCTTTTTTTTTTTTTTTTTTTTTTTTAAAAAAAAAGCTTTGTAGCATCTGTGGTTACAAGTTTGAGCAATCTGGACAGGTTTCAGCCCGAGATATCCTCGGGACTTGTCACCAGCCACGACGAGGTACTCTGGGCCCATATAGAACAGATCGTTGAAGATGGACAAATTGCAGCGACATTGACCATGCAGACACATGAAACTGTCGCTCATGCGCTAGGCATGAGTCGACAAGCTAGACGTCTTCAAGCGCTAACATCGAAATAGACATATCCATTAAGAAAGAAGCCTACTAAGACTTCGCATGCGTTAAATCGTGATAGAAAGAAATAAATACAAACGCCCATGTTTCTTCAATAATATCAAGTAGACTATTTAATGCAACACTCCTTGTCGATCTTCTTGCTGCTGTGGTTGTTGGGGCTTCTTCTGAAGATGCTGTTGTAGTTTCTCATCCTTGGTCTGAGCAGCACAACCGCCGATTAGGACCCTATTCAAGACAATGCGAGGCGGTCTCATATGCTGTGGAATCGCTCGACTCTTTTCATTCGAGAGGGAAGTCAAGTGTGAAGAATCCGATTCTCCACTAGAGTTCGTTCTTGACGTAGATGCAGACGAAGCAGAATGCGATCGTGAACGGCTTAATATCAAATTCAGTGGCAGTCCAGTTGCAGTGGTAGCGCTATTAAAACCTAGACTTGGATTGGATGACTCCAGTGGGCTATTTACTAAAATATCTGATCTTGACTTTGGTAGACTAAAATAGAGATCACCGTACTCGGAGCGAAGAAGCTCCTCAGCCGAGACAGCCTGGGCACATCTCTGTTTCAAATCAAAAGACAATATATCATCCTTGCTTTCGTTAAGGTTTCCAGAGTCTGTAATAGAACAAGATGAAGACGCATTAGAGGAAGGGGTGGAAGAGGCATCAGATCCAACCAGAGATGTCACGAGCGGATTCAGGACGGATATCATGCCCAATGAAGAGCGTCTTCGGTAAGCGGTCAGGTTGGGCGAGGAGAAGGACATGCGGAAGGAGCCTGTACGAGCAGGGGCTGCGGAAACTGGAGAACCCGGTGCGAACATGGAGTCTGTGATTGACATCAAGTCTTTAGATGTTGATTCAAGGTCAGCTATAAAAGATCGGCGACGGATTGCTTTAAGATGTTCATCCATGCTTTGCTCAGCAGTTTCAGCTTCTGCAAGACTACTAGGATAATATGATAGTGATCTGCCTCCAGATGAGTTTGAGCCAGAGAAGCTGGATGTCGGTTGATGGCTTCTGGTGCTGCCAGATGTCACTGGAAGATCAAACGCAGGCGATCCATGGGGTGAAGACGCTACAGACCCTGTAATCGTAACCGACGCCATTGTGCTACCATTAGCATTCATATTGTTAAAGGCTGCGATGTGTCCCATCGAGACTGAACGTGAAGCATTGTTAAGGACTCTCATAGTCCCAGCTCCCAAGTAGCCCATTTCGCCACGCGACAGTGGTGTTGTCGGGGTTGTGGAGCCAGGGGACAATGACTTGCTGCTATTTATTGGCCTATTCCAGGAAAGTCCGCGTCCACCTATTATGTCACACGAGCCCGAGTGGATCAAAGGTGTGCCTCGATTGCAATATCCGCCATGGATGTTGCTATTACTGTCATTGAAGATTCTAGCGTGGTCGCGGAGCCGGACACTGCTAATACTGTTCCTGCGCGCCCGCCCAACATGCCCGGCATCTGAGGGAGAAATACCTGGCTCAAGGCTGCACACATGGTTGATATTGCTGAGACTAGTACTGTACACATGATGTTTGATATGCCCGATAGAGCTATTGTAGCCAGTAGCTTCCCTCATTGAGTCTCCAGGGATGGCTCTAGTCGCAGTAGCCGTGTCGCTTGGATTCATCTTCATGGCAATTATATCATCATCGCTACTATCCTGACTATTGTTGCTGCCGCTGCTATTGCTATTGTATTGGTTATTCTCAGTTTGAGTGAGCGAAAGATCGATACCATCTATGATACTTTCCCCATATATACCGATGCCCAAGCCCAAAGTACTCTCTGTTGATGTTCCAGAGGCTATGCTCTGTCGAGTCTTGTTTTTTGTTGATAGAGGCGATGGTGATGCGCGAGCCTGCGACGCCTGGTACTTTTGACTCGGATTTAATTGACAGGCAGACTGGGTTTTTTCTGATGGGTTTACTATGTCTTGACTCAGACTAGATCCTTCTCTCATCCTTCCCACGTTGTTGCGATCATCCGGCATTGATATCCAGATATCGCCCTGTTGTCCTTGTTCTATTTTATCATGCCCACTTGGCATTACTATAGTCTGCTTATAGCGACGAACCTGATAGAGCCACCAACCGAACCAAGCTGTCCACATAAATCCCACTAAAAATGTTGAAGCGATGGCACCTTTGGCTGTAGAGCAGGGGAACTGGAAGGCAACCGGAGGCCCTTTGCATTTGTATGCATTTTGAAACTTGTACCATTGCATGGATGCAGCTAAAAAACACAAAGCAGCCACTCCGGTTTGGATCCAGAGACGCGGTTTGTCGGCTATCAAGAATACAGCGCTAGATACAGTCCATTTGTAAGCCTTGGGCTGTTGCTGTGCCTTCAAGTCAGCTCCATCAGAGGTAGGAAGACGCGCTTGCATACACTTTCGAAATTGCTCCATACCAGCCGGCGTTCGCCCCCACCATCCCAACCGAGCGTAAATACTCGCAGTTACAAATGAGAGATCCATGACCAGGAATAGGAAAAAGGCAGTGGCAGGGGTATATTTATGATTAGATTCAAAAAGTGCAATGGATATGGCGGACCCAAATGCGTACGCGCTTACCACCACTATACTTCCATGCACTACCAAATCAGCAGCTCGGTTTATACACAACAAACCATCAACCCCTCGATAAAGTTCATTATTATTTTCTTGAGCATTTTCGCTTTGCAGCCGTCCCTGTTGTTGGTGTTGAAGTGGAATCTGCAAATGACGCTGTTGATGATGGAGATACTGTGGATGTAATGTGGGCATTGGACCTGATAAACATTTCTCCGAATGTGAAGAAATATGCTCGTACTGAGGATCAGTAGACATTCCTCAGAAGCTAAGGTAGTACAAAAATAGATGCGGCTAAGTTGATTCACCAGAACACGTAACGACAAAAGCCAAAAATGTTAGAGTCAATACAACTCTCGTAATCAAGATATTTTTAATGCATAGACCATTGACGCTGGAATATTTCGGTCATCCCACGTTCGAGACTACAATTACAGAGGAGCACTCACCAGGGCTGTAGTTAAGAAGGATGATAGGTAAAAGAGGGTATGATTAAAGACAATGCACTTCAGAACTGCAAGACGTTGGGTGTAGAAAAGGCTATGTAGTAATGGGGAGAATTAATGCCATAAAGCAAATATGGAAGAAAGAAAAAGAAAGAAAAGGGCAAGTCAATGCAATTCTTCAAGGCCTTCCTCTTGTCGTCCGTCACTTTCTATCCACCATCTATCTATCCATTTAAGCACGTTGTTACTATCCTACAGACAGTCCAACATAGATATTATTCTTTGTCGCTGCAGGGAAGGGGTACTAGAAGAGGGCAATATCTAACCCTATCATTAATTTAGATTCTGGCTAGCCTCATTTTCAAAGCGTAACATAATAATTTGTGATCGAGGCAAATGCGTTTAGAGGGCAAAATATTTTGTTAGTTCTAGCCGAGATTATATGCATTAACAGACAAACGATATTCCGTTTCTTTCTGTTTTGTTTTATGTGCAGTATAGGCGCTTGATTGTAGGAGATAAAGAGATGAGGAGAGAAAAGCAAGCATGCCTTTGCGCGATAACGCATCTGAATGACGAGTCGGGCATTTTATATTATCACTGCTACTACGAAAAATTGCAATCAAAGCATCCTTCTTTTGCAAATCCTTTACTGTGGGGGTCTGAAGCCAGGGGGCGGAGGACGGAAGCCTGGTGGAGGCTGGAATCTGTTGTCGTTTTTTTTTTTTTTTTTTTTTTTTTTTTTTAAAAAAAAAAAAAAGGAAAGAAATAAATTAGTAAAACTAGACTTTTTTTTTTTTTTAAAAAAAAAAAAAAAAAAAAAAAAAAAAAAAACTAAAGCACATACCCTGGTGGGGGAGGACCTGGAGGGAAGCCTGGTCGGAATCCTGGAGGAGGCGCGCCTGGAGGCATGCCGGGACGAGGATGGAATCCTGGAGGAGGTACACCTGGCTGACCCATAGGCCTGAATCCGGGAGGAGGAACCATACCTGGGGGCATGGGAGGAGGGACCATGCCAGGTGGACCAGGACGAAACCCTGCTGGGGGCATGCCAGGAGGTGGAACACCCCCAGGAGGGACGCCGCGGCCATATGACATCGGTGGTGCTGAAGCAGCAGGCCCACGGGGCGCCATCATTCCAGGGGCAGGTCCACCAACGCCACGAACAGGTCCAGTCAATCCTGGAACAGCACCTGGGACAACAGGCATACCACGACCAGCAGGGGCCGCCACACCCGAACCGGCCGATAACTATATATTACAATGGATGATAGAGCATAGGGATATTAGATTACTCTAATAGCACAGACAACATGGATATTTGTGAATATGATTCGCAGTGATATAATTATTTGATCCGATATCCTTACTTGGGAGATGCGTGCTTTCTGGTCCTCAAGACTTGGTGGTGGTGGTCCATCAACGCTCAAGCTGACAATAGTTTCACCCCGAAGGATCACCAAGCCTAGTGTTCTCTTTTCTTCGCGCTCTGGTTGCCCAGAAGCTGTTTTTGCGCCACTCTTTGATTTGACCTTTCTAAACTCTTCACAATCCGCCAAAACCAAGTTCATGTGTTTATCAAAGGCCAGCATTTGGCCGGTCAACACGCGCGAGTCCGACATTGTGATCCTGAGCCTGAAATTGATCAGGTTCATCATTTTGGAATTTTTTGAGACCGTCTAATAAGCAGATCGGGTCACAGTAACAGTAAAAAAGAGAAAAGGGAGAAAAAGTTAATATCTTCAGAGCCATTTTTAAGTAACTCTATCTAGAGATGCATCAACTAGTTGGGTTCGACAGTCGCTCTTAGTAATGCAGGATCATGAGGTTATCAAAACACGTATTAAGGATAACATTTAGCCCCAAGACAAATATGTATAGAAAAATTGCGTTGCAATAAAAAAAAGAAAAAAAAAAAAAAAGAAAAGAAAAAGAGATAAAAGAAAATCCAGAGAATCCAACTAAGGATAGTTTTTACTATGATGTATGCCAACATTCCGCAATTCATTCGTCGACACTCTTTTCTAGATTTCTCCTGCCTGAGTGATGATAAAATCCATTGTTCCTGCTTTTGCTCTTTCAAAAGTTGCGTACCATGTTGAAGATATATGATGTGCCACGGCAATCAAATGAAACGATGTCACACGGTCGATGCCAGCCGGATCAGCAGACAGGCGAGATTAATGCAAGTGTGTAAGTATTGACGGTCTCCTTGGTATAGAGTAAGACAGCAGACAAAGATGTGTGTTGTGTTTGTAAAGACTCAGCACATGGATGCCATTCGCATCCACACGTCTGGTCCGCTATAGTGGCTTATGGTAACGTGACGTTTATAAACAAGGTAACAATGCACTGCGACTGCACAAATAGGGTTTGGAGAAAGTGATCACTCAGTCTCTGCTCTGTCTCGTCCTCCATTCCTCGTCTTTACTCCTTGGCACACGTTATCCTTTTCTTGTACACATTGCAGACATGGCACAGGCATTCAACAGACTTGGAGGAATCTTTCCCAAGGGCAGTGGAAAAGGTCTTGCTGGAGGCGCCGGCACCTTGATCGCCCTTGGTGCTCTTGGATACGGAATTAATGCCGCTCTTTTCAACGGTACATTTTTCGCCTCACTTTTATGCTTCAGGAGCCAGAAAAGGCAAAGTTTGCCTTAATATGCTGTTTTGGTTACGTCCAAAGACTCTGTGACACTAACTGTAACTGTTGGGCCTTACTTTAATAGTTGATGGTGGTCATCGCGCTGTCAAGTACTCCCGTGTCTTTGGTGTTCAGAAGGAGGTTTACAATGAAGGAACTCACTTCGTCATTCCCTGGTTCGAGACCCCTATCATTTACGATGTTCGTGCTAAGCCTAGGAATGTTGCCTCGTTGACTGGAACTAAGGGTATGTACAAGTAAATCAGGATAAAAACAAGATAATTAAACACCATTGGTTTCTATATTTTTTTCCTTCTTCGACAAATATGAATGAAAGAGCTAGACTCGAAAAGAAATAGTTTAGAGATCAGCGGCATTAGAACTATTTAAATGCATGGCATCTACCTTCTCACATTCTTATACTTTATTCCTTCTCTCCGAGATAGATTTACAAATGGTCAACATTACAGTTCGTGTGTTATCTAGACCTCGGGTCAACGATTTGGCTGAAATTTACCGCACCTTGGGACAGGATTATGACGAGCGTGTCTTGCCCTCTATCATCAATGAGGTCTCCAAGTCTGTTGTGGCTCAGTTCAACGCCTCACAACTCATTACCCAGCGTGATCGCGTCTCTCGCTTGGTTCGTGAGAACTTAATTAAACGTGCTGCTCGTTTCAACATTGTCCTCGATGATGTGTCGATCGTCCACATGGCTTTTTCACCCGAGTTCACCCAAGCTGTCGAAGCCAAGCAGATCGCACAGCAGGAGGCACAACGTGCTGCTTTCGTTGTCGACCGAGCAATTCAAGAGAAGCAGTCCATCATTGTCAAGGCTGAGGGAGAGGCCCGCTCTGCAGAGCTTATTGGTGAAGGTAACGGCAGATGACTATGATTTTGGATGCAGGCAATAGTTTGTCAGACCGCGTTTTTCTGACAGCTTTTCTTTACGACGTTTCTATTACAAAACAGCCATCAAGAACCAGCCTGGTTTTATTCAGCTTAGGAAAATTGAGGTCGCTAGAGAAATTGCCTCTATTATTTCTCACTCTTCAAACCGTGTTATGCTTGATGCTGACACTCTTTTGTTAAATGTTTCTGAGACAAAGTAAGTGGATGATCTATCTTTGCTGGCATGCTGCCTTACATGAGGTTTTTTCTGACAACCCTTTTTATTTTCACTTTTCTTACTGGGGACACTTTTAGGAAGGAAGAGCCCAAGAAATAAATAGTGGAAGGCGAGATTAGGGAATAAGTTGTTGTAACCACATAGCTGTATTAGACACATTAAAAAAGAACAAAAAATGTATAAATGTATATGTTTCAGTGGAACAATCCATTGAAATTCTATCTCCCCTTAAGGAGACCTCAGCCATATTTGGCTTGCCTTTTTCTAAACTGTTGGAACTCCCTCTTTCACATCAATCAAGCCAACATGGTACATACACCGTCTCTTGGGATTTCAATCCGCAGTTCAAATCCATCATTCAATTTATCAAATCCATCGATCCATTGATCATTCCAACTATATGCGTCTTAATTCAGACATATTATCATGGAGACAATGACAGAACCGACTCCCTTACTGCTCATATGGGAATCGAATGTGCAGGATCCGCCATTATCGATCTGTCGTGACAAAATGAACGGAGAATTTCTTCTGAGAAACCAATACTCGCTCTTTCTGACATGAATATTGTTTGAGAGTTGAGCGATATTGTCATCAAAAAAAAAAAAAAAATGAAGGGCAGAAGAAAAAGTCATCGGATCTGAGTAAACCTCCATTACCTTCGAGTCGCATCACCAGATCTGCTGTTGATCTCATTTCTAGTAACTACTAGTTCACCTGCTTCCTAATGTCACGCTCCAACACTTGAAAATTACAATTGATAATGCGACAATAGGAGTAGGCATCGACTATGACACTACCATCAAGGCAGTCTGTTCATGGAGGATGTAGTAAAGTCAGGAAAAAAGAACTTCATATTCATATTTTTCCTATCCTTCCTCTTCCCTTCTCCACTATGGACAAGCACCACCCACCATCTATTCCTTGTTTATTTCAGGAAACGGATGGTTCGGAGGCGGCTAATTGAGTTGCGGTCTTAATAACTTCGTCTTATTTTGCACTCTCTATATCAATTAGTCCGCTGAAGACCAGACCCAGCAGAAGAACGTCATGCGCGAGTTGCGCCTTGAGAAGCTCGTTCTCAACATTTGTGTCGGAGAGTCCGGAGACAGACTTACCCGTGCCGCCAAGGTGTTGGAACAGTTGACCGGTCAGACCCCAGTCTATTCCAAAGCCCGTTACACCGTCCGTACCTTCGGTATCCGTCGTAACGAAAAGATTGCTGTCCACGTCACTGTCCGTGGCCCCAAGGCTGAGGAGATCTTGGAGCGTGGTCTCAAGGTCAAGGAATACGAGCTCAAGAAGTCTAACTTCTCTGAGACCGGCAACTTTGGCTTTGGTATCCAGGAGCATATCGACTTGGGTATCAAGTACGATCCCTCCATCGGTATTTACGGTATGGACTTCTTCGTCTGCATGAACCGTCCTGGTAACCGTATTACTAAGCGTCGCCGCGCCGTTGCCAAGATTGGTCTTAAGCACCGTGTTACCAAGGATGAGACCATGAACTGGTTCAAGCAGCGTTTTGATGGGTAATTTATTTTATTTTATTTTTTTTTTTTTTTGCAGCTGATTTGTATAGCGTTATTGTTTGTATTCTAATGTTTGCTATTTATATAAATATCTTGACGCTGCTATTTAGTATCCTCACCAACCGCAAGTAAATGGTTGATTCAGGATAGTGGACTTGCAACTTGAATAAATGCTTGGAATCACCTTTCTTCACACATACTTGAATCCGAAAGACTCCGAATTATGTTTTTATTGGTACTTTCTATTTCCATGTTAATGCGTATATTACTTCTACAACAGTTGTCGCTACTTGCATACATATTTTATTTTATTTTATTTTGACCTTAATGAGTGGTTGGTCATGGTCTGTCTGGTAAAAAGGTGACATTATAAACTCACTTTATGGTCCAGTCGACAGAGAACTGTAGCATCATCTTTATATCCATACACCAATTTATATCCGTGACCATGTACGGATGGAGAGAGCCTAGACGGTGTTGTCTATGTCGTCTGATTCCAAATACTATCCACCAGTGTTGAAATACACTCTTACCACAGCCCACCAAATAAAGCAAATTGTCAGAGCTATTGATCGGGGTTTGTTCAGCGCTAAGTGGAGCTTCCTGGGCTGGGTAACTCAAGAAATAGCGCTTTGGGGCTAAGAAGTAAGGGTATATCTCGTTAGAAACAGATTGGCCTTTTTTGACAGGGCCTTAAATAGTAATGGATTTGGGCCCTTTTACTCCGAGAACATCGAAGTTGGACGTCTTATATTTCTTGATTCCCAAGTTCGTCAACAGAGTCTGCTGATGAGATTTTGATGGAGAGCGCGTTTGATGTTGATTCCATCAACTAGAGAGAAAAGTTTCATTTCAATTGATTCATTGTAACCAGAAGGACACACCCGAATCTTGAGGAATTACCAGAACAACAAGATAAATTTTACTGAATGTATGGCATGGTGTTTTATCTGTTTCCCAAATATTTGGTCGAAAGATGCATTGAAAGCTATTTGATCAAAGGAAGTTGATCACAAAGCATTGTGACATTGGCGATGTTGGTGGCCTTGTACAAGCTGTACAATTATTTCAAAGATCTTCTTTTCAATGGCCTATAACTTGCTCGATTTCAAATAGAATATCCGTGCCAACATTGCCCATCGTAAGTTTATCATTGGTATTTGGGGTGGCATCGGTTCCGAGGCTTTAAGGAAAAATTCTAAAGTCGATATGGACTTCATACAATCTATGATTTTGACAATGTAACCGAGGGCGGCAGGGAGTTTGGATAATCTTATATCAACATCATTAGGATATATACCCTGTACTCAAGCTATAATGCAGCTTTATTGTTTATGAGTGATGACAGCGAAGACAATGACAATGCTCTAGCAAAGAGACCATTTTGCCTCTGTCCAACTCTTTGACGTTGAGGGCATTTAAGAGTGTACATAACATGTTTTCGAATGTTGGATCGGCTTAACTGCTTGAACGAGCTGGAAGTAGCAAGTTTTCCCTGGTGAATGCACATAAACATGTGCAGATACTTATGATAGAAGCTCTATCTCTTACTCGTAGAAGGCAATGATGTTAGTAGTAATGAAAAGATGCTGCTGGTACCAACAGATCGCGTAGGACCAGAGTTTATTTTTGAGCTCGAATAAAAAAAAAAAACCAGTCTCTATTACTCAGAATTATGAACGAATTTCGGCCTCTTTTTCTCGAATAGAAAATAAAAGATCCCAAGAATAAGTCTGAATGTTAGGAGAGGTTAAGATACGATCTTTCTCTGAAACCAGTCCCATCCCCTCAAATAAAGATTTTTTTTTTTTCGTTTTGGATTCTCTAAAGCATATTCGTATGTTTTTTTTGGGCGACCTGCTTGCACAGTTTTTGTGCTTGCTTTAGGTCTGCCAATCGGGCAATTCAACACTTCTCTTCACAAGACCGTTTTGGTCCATGTGAACGCGAACTTTCTAATTGCTCGAGATCGAAAAAACCTGATACTAATCGCTTGCTGAGCGCAATTTCAGTGCCTCAGTGAGTTTCATATGCCAGGCACAGTCCCTCGCTTTAATCATGTATTTCCTTAATCATTAAATACCATTATGTATTGCGTCTAGTCTTAATACTGATGCCTTCTCATCCTTAATGGCAAGATACAATGCTTCCAGAAATGTCTCTAGTGAAACCGTGTCAGACTGCGTGGAAATTTAATAAAAAAGTAAAAAAAATAAAAAATAAAAAAGTTAGATAGTTAGTTAGGGCACTGCATTAGTCGAATGAGAAAACCTTCCTATCTTAATATCTCCTTACAAGACCTACCTGTATGTATCCTGCGTGAGCAAGGAAAGGAAGTTTACGAATAGCGCGGCCACTCAACCCTTGTCCCACACTAGCGATTTCGTAGAGCGAATGGGCTATCCGTAGCCTCTGGCTCAAGTGGCTGTCCTGCATCTGTGAGCTTTCTTGGCGCTGAAAGGTCGCCCAACTCATCAACGATGTCTATGCAGTTGTTTTTGTAAGCATATAATTTACCTCACTGACATTGATTGCTTATTGAGTCCATGAATCTTTTTTTTTTTTTTTTTTTTTTTTTTCCCTTACCTTGGGCTCTATGATACCTACACGCTGCAATTCCTCGAGAGTCGAATTTAATATGCTGTAAATGACCGCTTGAGTAGGGGGACCAATGTACATTTTGATATCGGCTCGATCAATGAAGGCAATATCTAAGTGCATACAACGTAGAGCATAGTGGTCAAAACAGTTTTTTTTTTTTTTTTTTTTTTTTTTTGCATTACTGGCACGCAATCTACTACTTTAGCTTCGTCAAATATCAATGCTCCCCTATTACCAATGGCTTCGGTAATATTTGTAGTGGATAGAATTAGGACATTTTTCTGCTTTCTGAGGCGGTCAATTTGAGTGAGCAGAGCGTTCACAACCTAAGTTCGGTGAAAATATAATATAAGATAGAGATCCTAGTCAGTCTTTATAGGAGACGGTCGCCTATCCCCCAAAATGAATAAACAATGCCCAATACCTATGCTGACTATCCTCCATACCCTTATTGAATCTGACGGCTCACTCCCGGATAGCGCAGCTTTTCGCGCAGCAGCTAAGCTTTCCACCTCATCTATTGAAGATTTGTGAAATATAATATATAGTGTTTCTCTTAGTCTGACGGTTACTGAAAGGGTAGCATTTGCGATCTGCTTTTTCTATCGTGGAAAACAGTGATAGCGACAGCAATAAACTTACCAATAAGCACACAAACAAAAGCACCATCATCTTCAACTAGTCGCCAGATTTGATTAAACATTCGCTGAACCATTTTACCACTTTCTGAAAACCATTTACTGAACAGACTATGGCTGTTGATTTCAATCAATTTGCCATACCGATATCTAACAGAATGTCGTTTTTATTTATTTATTTAATTTTTTTTTTTTTTTTTCTTTTGTCAATGTCTATTAAACGCCATATATATATATGTATATAAAAAGATAAAAAAAAAAAAAAAAAAAAAAAATTGGATAGTTTGCATTGTTGGTTACCTTTGTTGGAGTCGGATTGATAACTTTTGAGCGAGACCTCGGCATAGAGATGTCTTTCCAGTACCAGGAGGCCCATAGAGCAGTACAACCCTAATAAAATAATAATAATAGTAAAATAGTAAATAACGATGGACGACCGAAAAAAAATTTAAAAAAAAAAAAAAAAAAAAAAAAAAAAAAGAGAGAGAGAGAGATATCGTTAATATTTTGCCCCGCACCTGTTCCATGAAATGAGTTCAGGATTCACATTCTTGTCTGAAAACAGGAGCGTCGTCCGGATATAATCCAACAATTTGAGTTGAAGTTGATCTTCAAAAATCAAACTAGGTATCATGAAAAAAAAAAAAAAAAAAAAAAAAAAAAAAGTTAGATATTCCATTTTCTTTTAGAAAAATGAGTGAAAAGTAATTAATTCATACTCCTTGCACTTACCTGTCCCAAACGCCATCAAACTCTTCGCAAGGAAGATCCCAATGTTGTGCCGTTACTACAGTTTCGCCCGACTCGACACCACCATCGTTCATATTATCATACTCCTCTTCCATGGCTCCATGACTTTGCATTTGGTAGACATGAATTTGTAAATTTACTTCCTTCACCACATAAGTCTGATCCTCAGGTTGTTCAACATCATTCAGATTTTGACTGGTTGTAGGGCTAGCGTCTTTTCCTTCTTGTTCATTCCCTGGTGTTATTCTGGAACCGATCTGTGGCATGTGGGTTGGGGATTGTACCCTTGATCCATATCTAAATCCAGTACACTCTCCGATCCAGATTCGTTCCACAAATGTACGAATATACTCGACTTCACTGTCGTGGATATCGCTGATCTCCTCAAAACATGTCAGTGTATTTTTGGTGGTGATCAAGAAATGCCTGATACACTCACGCATGATGTGATATGGCACCGAACATGATGGGGTTAACCTCACCTCAACTATTAATGGCTCGAAAAAGGAGCAGTGTAGTGAGTAGAAGAAAAAATAAAATAAAATAAAAAAAAGAGCATTTCAAATCTTTGTCGCTGATATATTTTTATATTTACCATGGAGAATAGGCTTGATTTCATGCGACATCAGAGGCAATGCCATGTTTGACATTAAATGGATGATGAATGAATCATCTTGACAACTGTCAAATTGATTATGGATAAATTCACCAGATTGAGAGAGTCACGATTCAATGGATGCCTTTTTTGTAGGTGTTACAGTGTTTTAATGAAATATATACTACTCTAATGGTTGGCTTTGATCGTTAATTGTTTTTTTTTTTTTTTTTTTTTTACAGCTTAGACTTGTTAGCCTTGAGGATGTCACCGAGCTTGGTGGCGAGCATGACCTGGCCCTTGACCTTGATCTGTCCAGACATGAATAACTTCTGAGCATTGGCCTTGCCGGAGGCGAGGTCAACAAAGACATCGTCCTTTGTGGTAATCACAACATCAGCCTTTCCCTTTGCGGGGCCAGGACCAACAGATCCCTCACCATTCTTGAGATCGACATGGTAGGTCGCAGTCTTACCGGCTTCGTTAGTAAGCTCGAACTGGAAGACAGCCTTAACCTTTTTGACCTGAGCCTGGCGCTCAGCTGAAGACATGGCGTCAATTCCACTCTTGATCTGCTCAAAGGCAGCAGCCGACTTGAACTCGCTATCAGGGATAGGAGCGCCAGCGCCAGCGCCAGCAGGAGTGCTGGCGACAACATCAACGCCAGGCTGAGGCTCGCCCTCAGAGACATTCTCAAAGTTAGCCATGATGCTCTCCATCGATTCCTGAGTCGAATCTGGGTGGGTAGCACGTCCATCCTCAAAGTCGATGATCTTGGCCCACTTCTCTTTGATATGCTCAGGCAAAAGAGGTTTGTTGATGGGGAAGCCGTGACCTCCAGTGCGCTCCCAGCGGAGCTTGCCAATGAAACCAGCTCCGACCTCGAAGAGAGATCCATTCTCCTTGGTATCCTCGTGACAGAGATAAGCGACCAATGGAGTGACCATCTCAGGCTTCAAGGAAGCGAGCATATCAGGAGGAAGAACTGTCTCAGTCATACGTGATGCTGCAATGGGTGCAATTACGTTGCAGTGAATGTTGTCCTTCTTTCCCTCAAGGGCCAAGGTTCTGGTGAAACCGACGAGGGCCAACTTGGCAGCAGAGTAGTTGGCTTGACCTATAGTTTCACATGCACATGATCGAGGAAACAAAGAACAAAGGTCAGTGAAATGTTTTAGAGATCACAGTCTCATGATGATGTTGCCTCATATTGACTCCTTCCTCTTACCGAAGTTTCCGTAGATACCGGCAGCGGAAGCTGATACATAGAATCAGTATAAATTCGAACGTAAAGTTAGATTCTGGGACTTCATCAATAGAAAAAAGCACAAAGTTGATCAAAAGATGACATACTGGTGTTAATAACACGTCCAAACTTCTGCTTTCTGAAGATAGGCCATGCGGCCTTGGTGACCTTGTAAGCACCATCGACGTGGACCCGGAAGATAGCATCCCATTGCTGGTCGGTCATGCGAGCGAATGAGACATCCTTGAGGATACCAGCGTTGTTGATGACGATGTCCACACGACCGAAGGCCTTCATGGCAGTCTCTATGATCTTGTCGCCATCCAAGACAGAATCGTAATTTGGAACGGCCTTGCCTCCAGCAGCACGGATCTCCTCCACAACAACATCGGCAGCACGAGACGAGGCACCCTCGCCAGTGTGGGAGCCACCGAGATCGTTAACAACAACGGAAGCACCACGGGAGCCAAAGAAGAGGGCGTGGGAGCGACCGAGTCCACCACCAGCGCCAGTGACGATCACAACGCGTCCGTCGAAACGAAGAGTATCAGCCATTTGAGGTATTTGTGCTTTGAGTGTTACAGAGAGGAAGAAGAAATGAAGAAGATAAAAAAAGAAAAAGAAAGAAAAAAAAAGAAAAAAAAAGAAATTAAGAAAACTGAGATGAATGTAAAGAAGTGTGAAAAAAAAATACGTTCGCTTTATGATGGCTCGCTTCCCAATCAATTGAGTTGATGCATATTCCCCGTGGGGGAAGAAGAGACGTAATTTTATCACATGCAAGGTGCATAAACATAAAGTCACTTCGAGCTGCCCACGAGGGACTCATCTCAAAGTCTAACCGAAATTATTTATAAACAAAAAGGAAAAGATGAACACAAATAGCTTCAAATAGAAGATATTCAGCTCTTGAAGATGAATGAATGCCTTTCCTCAAGTGCGATCCTCAGCGTTAAATAAAGTATCCCTCTCTCTAGCTGTGTGTTCGATCTGACATACTTACTATATGATCGTTTCTCCGTAGCGCCATCTTCTCCGAGTAAAGGGATCTTCCTCACATGAGAGTGTAATAAAAGCGTCCAAAAAGCAAATTCTCTGATCAAAAAGGCACATTTACTGTTAAGATGATAGACAAGTCATAAATGGGGTGTACGGATGTGTTTTCTTTGGACATCGAGCGCTTGTACGGAAGTTCACGACTCACATGGTGGTAATGATCATGATAAAACATCAGATACTCAAAAAAACCCCATCACGGCCACTTATCCATGACATTGAGGTCCGAGACACTTTGTCCATAGAGTGCAGAAATAAACCCCATGTCCCTGAGGCACTTTGTTATCAAAAGAAAAGAAAAGAAAAGAAAAGAAAAGAAAAGAAAAAAGAACCTATCCACCTATCCATGGCATCCACGCCTTCAATTTATATCCCGCTAAATACCATCCAGGCTTTGTCCATACATTCGATCAGCTCGGACGACCGACTCAAAACCAATGTGTCAGGAACCGAAAATGATCCTATTAGCCATTTTGCATTTGATGCCACAGATTCCGTCTTTCAAGGCAGCGGCTGTCCGAGAGATCACTGGACAGCCCAGTAACTGGAATATTAACACTCGGGAAAACAACATGCTTCAACCTCTAGCAAGGACAGCCAGAGCACCCAGTGAAACCTTCTTGAATGCACCGTACTTTGTCTGCAGAACAACCCACATCCTTTTGGGACAATCTTCCCATCCAATCTTTGTGGTGGAAACCGAGGATGCTTCACAATGTGATATAAGAGCTCCTTAACCAGTATTTAATGACATTACGAGCGATCATTAAAAGGACGATCGTTTGATCATTGTCATTCATTCACGCCTGCATGTCCTTTTCATATCCAAAAGAGATAAAGATGGAGCTATGCAACAATCCAGCTGATAATGAAGATGACCTAGAAATCAAGTGCCCACGATGCGATGAATCCTTCCCCGATGATCATTCTTTCATGTCGCACCATCAGAAATACCGCACGCGCAGGATATACAGGCCGGGTTAGGCTCTTTGCTCATGCCAAGGAATCTCTATGGCATATTGCACAGTTCAATACGAAGAAAATGTTTTCTTGATTCTCGATGAACTACAAATTTATCTTCTATAACCCTCTATAACCCTAGTTGTTTTTTCCTACTTCTGTTCCTTTTTTTATATATTTATTTATTTTTTGCTATTGAATTTTAACACAGCTTTGACCGAAGCCACAAGGAGTCACAGTCCTTAACGGTGCTATATGCGTCGAAAAGATATCATTGCAAATATAAACGAAAATCTTGATGTCTAGGCTGCCTTTGTCGCCCGTAGACTAGCACGAAGTATCAAACAAGGATAGGGCCCAGTTACTTAAAAATGAAATCAAAGTCGTATTTATTTATTTATTTTTAATAGGAGTAATGAGTGTGGGTGAGTTGCCCCTTTATTTTATTTTATTTTATTTTTTAATGAATAGATATTATATATATAATATTACAATGCAGGAGTGGGTATGAGACTAAGTACAATGTATGGTAGAAGGAAGTGATTAGGTTGTATAAAAATATTAGATTTTTTTTTTTTTTTTTTTTTAGAGGTTCATGTACCGTCCAAGAAATTGTGAACTAGGCTGGCGAAGCTAGGATTGGATTAGGCTTCTTGGTCGAGATTCATGACAGGACGGTAAATGTGGTTGGCAAAATTAGCTTCTTGATCGTCTTTGACTTTAGCGATGTCCTCCTCCAAGTTCACAACTGTGAGGTGACGACCGATTCCCCAACTGGCTTCTGGCTCTTTGTCCATGACTGAGAGATGACGATCGCTGCCAGCAAACTGAGCCTCTGGCTCCAACTTCATAGCAGGAAGGTTGCGACCGAAACCATATGCTTCATGTGTGATAGGTAGTGCCTGGACAGCGGTGATGATGAGGACAAGTCCGGCGAGATATGTTTGAGCCTTCATTAATATTATTAGTATTATTGGTTTGTGTTGGAGGGATACGAAAGATGACTTTTGAAGTTGAGGGGACCCAGGAATAGGAGAGGAGCGAAGGGTAGGAGGGTTCGAGGGCTTTGAGATGTGCGAGTAATTCTCTTCTTTAATGGGTGATCACCGAGGTATTTATATTTGTCCTACAAGGGAAGAGGCATTCGAAAAAGCCGCGGATGACCTGAACCTTTGATAATCAGTCAGATAGCTCGTTCAGCTCATAGAACTTCGTGCCTGAAGCTTGCTCTTGCCATCGTGTCGTGTGTTACCCTTCGGGGGGTACACAAGGATACAATGGATCGAGATGTCTCGCATCGTCGGTTTCGGTTTCTGATAAACATGTCAATGCCTTTGCATGGTGTAGTGGCGATACGTGAGTTATATCGCTATTTATCAATTAATTTTTTTTTCCGCCAATACCGGAGAATATCCAATGTTTCCCTTGAGCCTCCTTACGGTGTCACATTCTCTCTTTTGCGGGGCACGGTTCCCTTGAATTGTGCTATTCCAATACAAAGATGATAGTGAGAGTAAAACCTAAAATTGATCTGAGCGCGGACACTTTACATTTAGACCAACGTCCTTATCCTTTGATGCCAACTACCTGTCCATTTCAACCAATAGCAATCATCTACAGGCACCAAACCGCATGCTGCAGGTCTCCCAATGATCATTCGATTTTTCTTTATCTAAAATATTAGAAATAATTGATTACTTTTGTACGCCTGTATTGTCTTTGATGGTGTACAGAGTTACGACATCCAATCTTTTCTAGGGAGGAGGAAAAAGTAGAATAGAAACAAGCTTATTCAGAATAATAAAAGAATGAGACACTAATTAGGGCTTTTCGATTCAAAGAGGGAAAAAAAAAAAATAAGAAAAATAAAGCCATTGGATTACTTGTGAATAAAACATTCAATTAACCCTGATGGAACCACGTTTTTTTTTTTTTTTTTTTGTAAGGATGTCTCATATCTTTGTCATCATTGAGAGAAAAGTGACCAACTTTCTGAATTTTTCAGATCTCGAACATTTCCGATCTATGTGTATGATATTCAAAATGTGTAACTTGTTGCGCGTATTGTTTTTTTTTTTTTTTTTTTTTTTTTTGGCTTTCTCTTATCAATTATACATCTCTTTTAGTCATCGATCCGTATTCAGGATAATGTTAATAACAAAGCGGATGTAATAGATCATATTGTTTGATATCTACAAGTCCATTTTTTTTATTGTTTTTTTTTTCTTTTTTTTTTTTCCTCTTTTTTCAGAAGTGAGAGAAGGCAAACGCCTCAAATATATTAATGTTCTCTCATTCATGCCCAATCCTTTTTTTTTTTTTTTTTTTTTTTAATGTGTCTGATATTAAGACATACAAGATAAAAGAGATTAAAAAAATATTTTTTTAAGAAAAAAAAAAAAAAAAAAAGAAAAAGAAAAAAAGAAAAGAAAAAAGGAAAATAAAAAGAAAAAAAAAAAAAAAAAAGAGTGAATATGTTACGATGCGAGCGACAAAATAGTATGAGCTGAAAAATTAGGTGGAAAGAAAGAAAGAAAGAGTACAGGAACAGTTAGTATAAATTTTTTAAAAAAGTCTTTCTATTTAATCATCGTCGAAGCTGCCGCGGCGCCATCCCGGCGAAGAGGTTCGACGGACTTCAAAGCTTTGTTGCGGTGCACTTGGGTTACGACGAAGTCCCGCTGCATTTACCATATCGTCATCGTCGCTGTCTGGGTTCATGACACGTAAATTCCTAAAAAACCAATTGTATAATAAGGAAGGCGAGAGAGTTAGACGGCGAATGCCCATAATCTTGTATAATATATACAAAAAAAAAAAAAAAAAAAAAAAAAACTTACGAGACTTTCGAGATTGGTGGCAACGCCGGTTGGATCATGCCGGTGTATTGTGGCAAAGCAGCTTCCATATATGTATCTGATTGTGTATCCCTGTACTTGAATTCATCCAGGTCTCCTGCCTCGTGCGCTCGGTCTCTTCTTCTACGCCTCCATACATAACCCGCCACAGACAAGGCCACGATCAGTGCAATTATTGACACAACAATTCCTGCAACGGCCCCAGATGACAAATTACTATTCACATGACCACTTGAGATCTTGTCACCCGCCGTAGGGTTACTGTCGATTGATGTTGGGATAGTTGCGCCTCCATTGCCGCCACTGCCGATGGTGGCTGTAGTCGCGGTTGTAGTAGTCGTTGGGGCAGCCGCCGTTGTTGAGGAGGAAGGAAAGTAAATTTCCTGCCATTTTTGACCAAACGAAAGACAGACAAGCTCATATCCTTTCTGATCTTTGACACTGTAATGAGCAGATTCAGACGATTGACACTTTAAACAACCAACCATCTAATGGATTGAACCGCGAATAATAACAAGTTAGCTTAACCATAATAACAAAAAAAAAAAAAAAAAAAAAAAGCAAAAGTTAAATGACTGTAGAGACAACAGTCGAGTAAGAAAAAGAAAAAAAAAAAAAAAAAAAAAAGGCGTACCTGATCATAATAGTTTTGGTTACATGCACAAGGAGCCTGTTCCAAAGTAGGCCTTATAACATAGAAAAATGAACAAAAACAAGCAAGCATGTTAATTGACTTTTATCAAAGTATGTCTTTTTCGACTGTTATTAGAACAGCAAAATAAAAAAATAAAAAATAAAAAATAAATAAAAAAAAAACAATCACTTACTGGTAAACAAGGACCCCTGGCCAGGTTTCCATTTTCAATTCAGTATTACATGGTTTGAGAATAGCGTCTGCATTCCCGCAGTTTGGACAAGAATCTACAGCCTCGGCTCTCCCGATTGCAACAGATAGAAGAAGGACAACTGAGAAGAAGGCGATAGCCCAAGAGGATCTTGTTTGTCGCAGACGAAACGACGCAAAACTGTTGTTTGTCGCCATTAATCAGTTCTTTGTCTTTATCTGTATGTATTTATATGTTTATGACTGTGTATAGATCTGTCGTTTAAAATCCTGAAAAGGCGTGCTTATTCTTGAGGTTAACCAATGCTGATTGATCGAACGCAGGGTCGAGTCAAGGTCGAGTCGAGGTCGAGACGAATAGGGTAAAAAAGACTAAAGTGTGGAAAGTAGTCGTACTGGAATCAAAATGCAACTGGTGCCTGTTTTGCTGGTTGATGTAAACAAACAAAAAGATCAAAGGAATAGAAGGATAATTAGAATCAGATTGGCTATTGGAAAAGATGAGGAGATACAGGAGATTTGAGAAAAGGGACAGGTAAATGAAAAGAAAAAGTGAAAAGTAGGAAAGGAAGAATGATGTGAGAGTGAGGCTGGGTGAAAGAGGGGGAAGATGGGAGGAAATGTGAGGCTACAGCGTAGAGGAAAAAGAAAAAAAAAGAAAAAGAGAAAAGAAAGGAAAAGGAGAAAGAGAGAGAGAGGATGACGCGGGGAGGGATATCTGTTTGGATGGTTGCGGGTGCAGAGGGGGGGACTGAGCAGTTCCTTATCCTTGCAGAACATGAAACACATCCAAATAATAAAAGCAATAGTGATAATAGAAAAACCATCGTGGAACAGATAATTTTGGTATGAGATTGGAACCATCATCACACACTCTTTCTCACCCTCTTTACTTTACCCCATGTATGTTTATATATATATATATATATATATACTCGTATATTTAATACATACACACACACACACACACATTCATTCATTCACACACACACACACACACACACACACACATTCATACACTTGCAATGTGAATTGCTTGACAATCTGTTCTCATCCAAACAACATCAATCGACCAAATAAAATATATTCCAAACGCATCCACTGTGCCACATATTCGGGAATTGATGCATAGGATGGTCCGAGCACGTAATGAGCTCTGGTGTGTTTGCTGTAGGTGTGGTGTTTAGTTATTCTAGGTTATCCGAGGAGGATCAATGACGATACGACAAACATTTGAGAGCATACACATAATACATCATTTCCTTCTCTCTCTTTCTTTTTGATACGATTGGATATTGTCTGTCTCCATGTGTTTAGTTGTAGTGTGATTGTTGTACGATGGCATCAATGGTGACATAAGACAGGGACAACAATGCCCTTCAAAAGAAAAAAAAAAAAAAAAAAAAAAAAAAAAAAAAGCCACTGTCTAAAGAATAATACACAGCCGGAAGTGAGAAGTGTGCAAAAAGGCAATGCGATCCAATGAAAAAAAAAAAAAAATGGTAATTGTAAAGAGTGAGAAGTTGTGGTTTCAAAAAGTGTGCAAGTGATGAGTACGCGAGTTTGAAGAGCAAAAGATAATCGGTCAAGGATGAAAGGATTGTTGAAGAGTGAGAGAGTGGACATACAGATTTAGCCCAGAAGGAAAGGCAGAGAGAGGAGTGCCGCACGCGTGTGAAAGGAGAAGAGACGAATCAAATAATAAGAATGATTGGAAGAGGTGAGGTAGATTCAAAACGAATGAGTGAAATGTATGTGGAGAGGAGGTGGGGGGGGGGGGGGTAGTGGGTTGAAGGAGAAAGAATTGAGAGAGTGAATCTGTAATTGTAAAAGAATAAATAGAGAAGTGTTAGGAAACAGGAAAGAGATGGAAAGAAAAAAAAAAAAAGAAAAATGGGCGTAATTGTTGACTTTTTCTTTGCATTGCGTATTGAGGTCTGGCTGAAAACCCAAACAGACCAAAAGTAACAAACAAGAAGAGATGATTTAACACACGCTTGATGGGTTTCATGGCTTTCAAGCAACCTCAATCGGCGCTGCTATTTTTAAATAATAATAAAGAAAAAAAAAAAAAAAAGCACCACAATCACAATCATTCATGAACAATGGGGGGACATCTGTGCCAATTGTCATCATCGTTGTCGTTTTTGTTTTAGTCCCAAAAAAAAAAAAAAAAAAAAAAAAAAGTGATCAGTGTTCGTTCCTGTTACTCTACTCTATTCATTCTACCAAAAGATGATTAGTTGATTATTGATTAAGCATAATTGGAATGTTCATGTGAGACCTTGTCTTTCATTATTTAATATCGCTTAGAGTCAATTGACGTTTCTATATTTTCATTCATTCCCACACTTCTACCCACATCCACACACCTCACCAGGAGTAAACATGTATATAAACTTGTAGCTTCTATCTCGCACTGCACACATGAACTTTGTATAATATATATATATACATTTATAATAATAATTATAGATTTGTCAAACATTAACCACCAAGCAAATTGCATATATATAATATATAGTATACACATACACATACACATACACATGAATACTAAAACAGTGAACACGAAGAAAATAAATGTACGCTCATCTTTCAATCCTTTCAATCTCTAGATTGTCCCGAAAAGGAACAACCACCGCGCAATGTGCGCTAGATGTGTGCTAGATGTGTGCTACGTGTGTGTGTGATGTGCGCCATGTGTGCGTGTGCTCATTTGTGATTCATGCGCATCACGTCTCGGCTGTAGAGGAAGACCCTTTTTTTTTTTCTTTTTTCTTTTTTTTGCACTGCCGTTAAAAAATGCTTTCGTTCTCTGTTTAAATATAATCACTGAAATCACTCCTTCCCTTTAGCTCAGGTCCTTCCTCGTCTTCATTCCAACCGCACATGCCTCCGTGATAAGGATCTTTTTTTTTTTTTTTTTAAAGAAAAGTGATTATAGATTGTGCAACAGAGACTTGTCCTTTCTCCTTTTTTTTTTTTTTTTTTTGGCACATAAAATTTTAATGTTGAAAAAGATGGAAATATCAATTGTCAATAGGCTCTTCAACATGTTTGTGTCTCTGGACAGAATGGGATGAGATAAGCAAGCAAACTTTCGTACCTTCATACAGATCTCCGATTCCAACTCAAAATGATTAAAAAGACCCTGGGCTTCTGCTCCAGACACTAAGAGGGAAAAAAAAAAAAAAAAAAAAACCGCGCATGAAGATGCTCTTGGACTGACAGGGAGTGTTATTATACTTTTTTTTTTTTTTTTTTTTTTTTGAATGCAAGAGTTATCACACGATACAGATGATACATTCACATGAAACAAAAAAAAAAAAAAAAAAAAAAAAAAAAAAAATTCTGTTACAAATCCATGGACAGACATGCGTGTACTTTTTTTTTATTTTTTATTCTCTTTTTTTTTTTTTTTTTTTCTTTTTGCAGCTTTCCATCAAGTGTTCTATTTAAATGATTAAAGAGCCTAGATCTTTTCATAATCCAACTTGCCCTCAAGCTTCTTAGCATCCGCTACCTTACGAACAGCCTTCATAAAATCTTCCTGGACAACATAGTCTCGTTCCTCACGAATCGCAAACATGCCTGCCTCTGTGCAAATGTTGCGGATATCTGCGCCATTGAAGCCGTCTGACAGTTTAACCACTGCTTCGTAATCTTTTTTTTTTTTTTTTTTTTTTTTTTTTTTAAAAAAAAAAATTTTTTTGAAAGAAATAATCCCGTCAGAACAAACGGCGTAGAGAAGGTATTTAAACAAAAAAAAAAAAAAAAAAAAAAAAACTTACCAATTTCACCTTGCTTCGTAATACCAAGTGCGTGAATCTTCAAAATCTCCATTCTTCCCTGCTCATTAGGCAATGGAATCTCAATCTTACGATCCAAACGTCCAGGTCTCAACAGCGCAGGATCCAATGTATCAGGACGGTTTGTGGCCATGATCAGCTTTGTTTGTCCCAAATGATCAAACCCATCCATTTGGTTCAACAACTCCATCAGCGTACGTTGAATCTCACGATCCGAGGAACTTCCTTCTGAAAAACGCCTTCCTCCAATCGCATCAATTTCGTCCATGAAGATAATGCATGGCTCGTGTTCCCTGGCATATGCTAAAAAAGATCAAATTTTAAAAATAATAATAACAATAATAATAATAATATGTACAATGAACATCAAAGCACAAACAAACATGTTAGATCTAAAATGAAGGCTATTGGAAACGAAAGCTGGGCTTCTTGCTTCACACGTTTCGTTCGAATGCAATAAGTTTCCTCGTCCTTACCAAACATTTCTCTGACAACCCTAGCACTCTCTCCGATATACTTGTCAACAATGGCAGATGAGACAACCTTCAAAAAGTTGGTTTCCAGAGTACTTGCGACAGCACGGGCCAGCAAAGTCTTACCAGTTCCCGGAGGTCCGTACAATAACACTCCCTTAGGAGGCTTGATTCCCACACGTACAAACAGCTCAGGGTTCATCAATGGAAGCTCAATAACCTAGCCATTTGTTTCATCAAACGCGTAGAGCGAAACATCAATGAGCAAAATAATTTGAATGAAAGCTTTTTTTTTTTTATGAGGAAAAAAAAAGACTCACCTCACGAAGTTCTCTGATCTGCTCACTAAGACCTCCGATACCTGCAAAACTGATGGATCCAGGATCTTCCATACCCATGCTGTAGACCATAGGGTCAACCTCTCGTGGAAGCATCCTCATGATCGTGAACGTAGTCATATCTAGCGCAACACGGGTTCCCAATTTCAACTTTGACTTATCCAACTTATTTCTACATCCAACCACATAACGAGGTCCACTCGCAGCTTTGATGATAACTAGTAGGCAGGTTATGAGCAAAAAAAAAAAAAAAGTCAATAATCATATCAAGAGACCTTTTTTTTTTTTTTTACTCATATTGATTGAAAGATAAAGCTTCTGCATACAACATTCTTTTTACATGAAGATGCTCTTTTCATCCATGGAAATGATTATAAACAAGAATAATAATAATAATAATAATAATAATAAAAGTATATATAAAAAAAGAAAGAGGGAAAAAAAGGCAAACTCAACGCAAGCTTATTACTTACACCGATCCTCATCCAGCTGCTTCAAAACTGATCCGATAATTTGGCCCACACTCTGAAGTGCCTTGATATCGTCCTCTGACTTGTCAAAAGCACGTTCTAAATCCCTGAGACCCAAGCGCACTTTTATGTGGATATGGGAATGTTATTAGGATGATAATGAAGAGACAAAAGTATTAGTTTCCATTGATCTGCTATCTCTCATCATTCTTCCCTTTGTATCCATAACAGCTTTTTTCATTTAAAGAACATAATAAAGAGCCTTGTAGCTCAATGCCTTGCAGTCGCTTGGGTGGCCACAACAGGGAGTATCAGTAAAAACATACAATCTTTAAGCTTGGCCTCCATTTCACGATGCTCCAGCAGCTTCTTGCGGTAGTTGTTGAGGGCAGTCGTTCTGGGGTCGTCTGGGTTTGTTTGGGATACAGATGTCGATGCCATTGTGCTTTATATTTTTTTTCTCCTGTTCTCTTTTCCTTTTTTTTTTTTTTTTTTTTTCGTTTACTAATAAAGCTGTGAATGAGCTTGTTAATGGCAAGTTGAATGAGTAAGGTAAAAAGGCAAATAATGTGAAATCTTCATTTAGTTGAAGTTTTTTGCATGTCAAGTACGCGTATCCTCATTATGAGATGTAGCTCAAAAGTCGCTAAAATTACGTCACATATATATATGACGTAAGCAGGTATCTAGGTACACGTGCGAAATCGGCTCATAATAACAAGTCTAGACTGCACTGTGTTGAAAATCCTTTTTAACCAATTTCCCATCATGTCTGAGCAGGTGCGTCTGTCTGGGGGGGGTGTATGATCCCGTGCACTTTTATGCCTATGCTTGAAAGAACTAAAAAAAAAAAAGGAGCTGTCATGATGATCAGGAGCAAGCCTTTTTTTATATTTCACATCAGGGAATCAATTTTGAAAAGAAAAAAAAAAAAGAGAAAAAAAAAAACCATCCAATCTTGGATCCACCAAGCAAACCCCATTCAACTGCATTTCGGGAAACGGGATTACATTTTTAAATCTCATGCAGAAACTATGATCCTACATTTCTATGGATGTCTTTTGTTTTTGATCCTTCAACTCAGGATCATGGTGGCTCTTATACTAAGGAGTTTTTTTTTATTACTATGGTTATCAACTTGTTAAAAAGTGATCGATCAAAGGCTTATATATATTTCTAAGGAATAGTATCAACAACAACAACAACAACAACAACGTTAGCGACAAATAAAACGGAAACACGACTATTGAGGTGTTTGTTGAGAACGTTTGGAACGCTAGGAAAAAATATTTCGCAAGATACACCATCACAAAAAAAAAGAAAAAGCAAAAGCAAAGAGAGGATATTACAAATAATTTGATATTATAATAGATCTTAGTCTCTGAAGACTTTGGGACAGGAACACTCTTCATCTTTATTAATACCAATTGGCTTTTTGACATAGGCTGGAACATTGATTACTATGATTACAGGATCCTTTTCACATTCTATGATAATTCTCAGAGGGGGAAAAGGAAAAAAAAAAAAAAAAAAAAAAAAAAAAAAAAAAGCTAACCATTGTTATATTTCAACGGTCGTTTTTTATTTAAAAAAAAAAAAAAAAAAAAAAAAAAAAAAAACTTAACAGATCGAAAAGGCTTTCCAGAAGCAGCAGGGTATCTTCCAAAATGCCAAGGTAATTGGCAAGAAGGCTGGCAAGAGCAGCCGCTGGTACAAGGATGTCGGTCTTGGCTTCAAGACCCCTAAGGAGGCTATTGAGGGCCACTACATCGATAAGAAGTGCCCTTTCACTGGTGATGTCTCGATCCGTGGTCGTATTCTTACTGGTGAGATCATCTCAACCAAGATGAAGCGCACCATCATCATCCGTCGTGAGTACCTCCACTTTATCTCCAAGTACAACCGTTACGAGAAGCGTCACAAGGTAAAAAAAAAAAAAAAAAAAAAAAAAAAAAGCAAAAAAGGACTGGAATGCAACAATTCTATAGGAGAAACAAACTAATTTAGTCCGCTGGACATTCTTTTTATTTTTTTATTTTTTTTTTAACAACACTATGGGGTTAATCTAGAACTTGGCTGCCCACATCTCCCCCTGCTTCATTGGTGTCCAGCAGGGTGACTCTGTCACTGTTGGTCAGTGCCGTCCCTTGTCCAAGACTGTCCGCTTCAACGTCCTCAAGGTTCAGAAGAAGATTGTCAAGGGTGCCAAGAACTTTGCCAAGTTCTAAAATGTTTCACTCTAATTTTTTATTTTATTTTAGTCTTCTTCTCTCTTCTTGGGGATAAGGAGGAAAGGGCTTTGTTTCTGTTCAGACAGTCCCTACCATATATCTCCCCATTCTCCTTTTCCTCATTTCTTCATCTCTTGCATGATTTTTTCTTCTTTTTCTTTAAAAGGAAAATAATAAAGGGAAACTGTCAGGGCTTTTTTAAAAACAAAGAAAATGAATAAATGAATGAAAGAGTAGACTCGTCACCAGCCAGCGGATGAGTCTAGATGGTTTACGGTTTTATGGCATAATGACCTTTATCTTTACTTGTTCCTTTTGGAACGTGGCGCATATATTCTTAGCTTGCGGACCTTATTTTTTTTTTCTTTAAAGTTAATGTTGCTCGGTGTTGCTTTTTTGCTTAGAAAACGATTGCTTTCCAAGGCCTTTTTTTTTTTTTTTTTTTTTTTTTTTTTTTCTCCATTAACATTAATCATAAAAATAAAAAAAAAGACACGTGTGATATCAGATTTACCAGTTCATGATGCATATGTGGCAAAAGAGACATGTAAAATTAATAAAATACGTAGGAGCAGGCTCGCCAACGGGGTTCTGAGGTTGGATCTGCTCCTCCTGAAGAGCGATAGTATCCTTGGCATGGACGAGGATAGCAGCAGCAGAGACGGGGAGAGCAGCGACAAGAGTGATAAACTTCATTTGTTTTTTTATTACTATTATTTTTTTTTTATTATTATTATTTTTTTTTATTCTTTTAGGAAAGTTAGTCCAATTTCATTCAAATATGATATCCATTCAAAATTGTTTTTTTTTTTTTTTTTTTTTTTTTTTTTGATATTGGTGAGGCACGACCATTTCGGTAGATATTGTGCAAGACAAGGCCAATTTACTTGTCAACGTTAGTGCGCGGACACTTCCTTTCTTGTGACTCCCTCCAAGGCATCGGCGTGTTTGAATGCACGCGAATGCGATTTTGTGAAGAATATGATGATAGCGATGGATAGATAATCTCTCATAGAAGGGGATTGTCCATATATTCGTCCTATCCCATATCAAGGAATCCTACTTCGCAAATGGACAATCATGTTTGCTATAAGACATGTGAACTGAGACCAGGTTACTCAAGAATAAAAAACAATGCTTGTACATATTCATAACCAGCATTACGTGAAATGTATTTTTTACTGGCAGCTCAACAGTAATATTCTTAACTAATAGCTTAATTGAGTTAAGATTGAGCATAATCATATCTGCACTGCTGTGATACAGCCAAGAGTCCTCCCCCGAGCCTCACAGCTGCTCCTGTTGAGAACTGGAGTAGTATACCACAAGAGAAACTGGCTATATCTTTTATATCCAGGCCCCAATGAGCTGGAAGAGGCGTAAGGAGACAAACTCTTGTTATAATATGTACGTTTCGATCTCTTCATGGCGGTACCAAAGCAGGGGTTACCACGTGACTTTGGGTACAGCCACTAATCAAATATCCTAAATAATAGAACTGCCATTTTTTTTTTTTTAATTTTTTCACTCACAACTCACAACACATTCCAGACATGCCATACCAACAGACACAACAAGTGAAGCAGGTCAGTCAACCAGGAGAAAAAGACTTTAAAGAAGATACATCAGGATTGACATTTCACCATTTCTACATCTTATACATGGATGTATTCCTAAACGATTAGTGACTTTGGACTTACAATTGTGATTTTTTTTTTTTTTTTTTTTTTTTTTCTTGTTTGATAGACAATTGCAAGCTTTCCTCAGAAAAAATCACGCGAATATCGGGCCCATAAGGCTAATGTTCATACAGTAGGATGGAACTGTGATGGCAGGAAATTGGCGTCTGGATCTGTTGATAAAACTGCGCGTGTCTGGGCACCGGAGAGGACTGTAAGGATTTTTTTAATTGTTTGTTTGCTTATTTGTTGGCTGAAGAATAGCAAGGGCCTATATATATATGAAGCGACGACTCATCTTAGTTGCATGGGTTATTTTTTTTTTTTTTTTTTTTTTTTTATATGGCTTAGGCTGATCCTAGGAGCTCACAAGAACTACGTGGACATACTGACAGTGTAGATCAATTGCGGTGGGATCCCACACATCCGGATCATCTCGCTACTGCCAGCTGTGATAAAACTGTCCGCATCTGGGACGCAAGATGTAAGGAAAAATGAAGACGAGGGAAACTTTTCATTATTATTATCATTACTTATTTATTTTTACTTTTTCTTTATTTCGTCCAATTCAAAAGCAATATAACAACAATACTCGAGAGCACCAATCTTTCGTCTACTCTTTCTAATATGTTTATTCATCAACTTTATTTATACACTTTTTTTTTCTTAATTAGCTGCAAAAAGCATTCATAAAATCGATACAACCGGTCAAAATATCAACATTAGCTGGTCACCGGACGGTCAAAGCATTGCAGTAGGAAACAAAGAGGACCTCATCTCTTTTATTGATACACGCACGTTCAAAGTTCAGAAGGAAGTCCCCTTCAGAGTCGAAGTCAACGAGATCAGTTGGAACCCTGCAGGCGATCTATTCTTATTAACCACTGGGCAAGGATCTATCAAAGTCTTCAGTTACCCAGCCATGGAAGAGGTCTATGCATTAGAGGCTCATACCGCTAACTGCTATTGTCTAGAATTTGATCCCCGTGGTCGATATCTCGCCACAGGGAGCGCAGATGCTTTGGTCAACCTTTGGGACCTTGAAGATTACATTTGCGTACGAACATTTGGGCAGTTACAGTAAGTAAAATAATATAAATCCACTGGAATGATGGATTATTATAGCAATATACTATATTAATTTTTTTTTTTTATAACCTGTAGCTGGCCTATCCGTACAATAAGTTTTAGCTTTGATGGCGAGTTCATCGCATCTGCCTCTGAAGATTTTGCGATTGATATTGTAAGTCATTTATAAATGTTTTTTTTGACTGTACGAATACCAAGCTCTATAAAATTGATATCAATTTTTTATTATACTTGTTCCAGTCACATGTAGAGACGGGTGAATCTGTACATACTGTCACTTGTTTTGCAGCCATGAATACAGTAGCCTGGCATCCAAGTAAATACCTCCTTGCTTATGCTGGTGATGAACAAGAGATGAGGAATGGAAACTCAACCATGATTGGAAACCTTAGAATCTTTGGTTTCTCAACTTAATGAGGCATTAGAATAAATCCCTGTACAACAATGACATGAAGCTATTTTTATTATTAATATGGCTGGACATTAAATCGATACATTTGTTCATTACTCCCTACGGGCAAACTTTTTTTTTTTTTTTTTTTTTTTGAGGGAAGGATTAGAGCTGATTTTCTCTAATTCAAAGTGCCCCTGCATCCACGCGAACCACACAAGCACGGAATCTTGTCAGCTTCGATTGGGAATTTATAATCGTAAGTGATTTCCTCGCCTTCCTCGATATCACGCTTGGCATAAATCACAATCTTTTTCTGTCCATCCACAGTAATAATCTTGGCGTTACAGTTAGGCTATAAAAAAAAAATAAAAATAAAAAAAGAAATTAGTACATGTCACCAGAAGACTAAAAAAAAAAAAAATAAATAAATAAATAAATTAAAAAAGGCTATTAAAAAAAAAAAAAAAAAAAAAAAAAAAAAGCTTACTGTGCAGCAATGGTTTATGAAACGGGCAATGTTACCCATCTTAGTCGCATCAATTACAGTGTCATCATCAACACGAAACAAATAACTCGATCCAATACCCATTCGTTCATATCGCTTCTCCCGGTGATCTGCAACCTTTTGACGAATTACTTCACCAATATATTCAATGACCATGTCGTTTGCGTCCACCTTCTCCATCGCAAACAGCCCCCAATCATGAATCGGTGATTTTGCAAATCGAAGTTGCTTCTTGCGCACTTTTAGTTGATTGAACTTCATAATATCAGAATCCGTCGCCATGCCTACTAACATGCGACGGTTGTTGACTCGGTTCATACGAGATGATATTCTAGCTGACGCCGTGTTCACCTGTGCAGTATTGCGGTGTGGTAAGTAAATCGCTTTGGCCATCTCTGAAATCTTGTAAAAGCCTTCTGTACGCGCTGATCCTGTTCGATGGGCTGATGGCTCCGAATCCCGTACAGAGTTTTCCTGAGCAGCCAGGACTTCTTCAAGCTCTCTTAGCTGGTGAGTTCGATCTTTAGGGTCCTGCCCTCCATGTCCATGGCGACCTGACTCTTCTTCTTCAGCTCTCTTACGCTCTATCTCTAGTGCCGCCTTCATAAACATAAAATCCTCCTCATCGCCATTACTAAAGTCTAGTGGCAATGCATCCTTGTAACCCATGACCAAGCCATTGCTAGTCTTGCCAGACTCATATGGCTCGTAAAGATCAAAATAAGAAGAGTCCGAATCGGTGTCTGATTCTGATTCGGAGCCAGTGACAGAGTATGAGTCTGAATATTCAGGCGTGTCATCTCGACGTAATACCATGTCCTGACGTCCTGATGTTGCGGGTGATGCGACTGCCTCCATGACCACATCTTGCAACTCCACATCTGATCGGCTCTCTTCCAGTCTCTGTTGCTTCTTTGCTTTGTCTACCAGAGACTTTTTGGCCGAAGCAGCACCACTTTGCTTCTTAGTTTTCTTGACCTTGCGGTTCCTACCAGCTCCTGCTTCATAATCTGAGCCAGAGTCAATGTCTGGTAAAGCAAGAGAGTCTGCTTTTTTCTTTGTCTCTGTTTCATGACTGGACGTTCTGTCATGTGCTCGTTTACGCTTGTGCGAGGCTTTGCTGGGCCGTTCGTCGTCTTCCAGCCCTCCGCCTCTACTACCTTTCAGGGCAATAACTTCGTCATTCTCTGTTCCATTACCTTCAATTTCATCGTCGTCATCCATCCTCTCCAGCTCCTCCTCATCATCCACTATAAATTTCACATCTTCGTCCATGTAGTCATCACTGCTTTCGCCCTGTGGTTGACGCTGATGAAACTCTGTCAAAAAATCATCCGCACGCCTACCATCATCGCTGCTACTGAGATAATCCCGAAGACTTGGTTGCTTTTTGTTGCCCATTTGGTTACCCTTCTTGGAAAGATGCCTGGAGCTTTTGCCACCCTTCTTTTGCAGTCGCCTACTGTTCATAGGTCCTCGGTCTTCGTCCTGGCTGGATGCGCTACGGGCCCCGCTAGAGTAATGACGCGATCGTTCAAATTTCTTGTTTCCAGACTTATGTCTCTCTGTCTCAGATTCTGAATCTACATATCTAGTTGAAGGACGGCCACGAGAGCGACTCCTGGAATTTGATCGAGAACTAGACCTAGAGCGACCATGTGTTTTGTAGTTACGGCGCGATCTCAATGGCGTAGGAGATCGTGATATGGAGCGAGACCGTGATCGGTAACGAATTCGAGATCCAGAACGAGAACGAGAGCGAGATGAACGGGAGCGAGAATGGGATCGGTTTTGAGATCGTGATCGTCTTCCTGTAATGTCTTTAGATCGCTTCTTTTTCTTGGAGCGTTTAGCATCTGTCTCCATTCGAGGCTTATGCCCAGCGTTGGGATCTGTTTGTGTTCTCTTTTTGAAGCTTGGCAGTTTAGGAAGCACTTCTGGATGGGCGAGTTGGTGAGCGTCCTTGATGGATAACTTTGGATCATGGCGAGGGGCATCCAAAGATAAACGTGATGATCCTTGCTCTGAGGGTTTTAAGGATATATGCTTTCCGCTTGCAGGCTCATCCATTCCTACAGATGCATCCTGCTGCAACTGCGACCCTTCTGGACCTTTAAAACTATCTAAATCCTTATCCTGTTCCTGAGTATGAGCGCGTTCAAGTTCCTTCGCTTTGCGAATTGCTGGGTTAAGGAAATCATAAATAGTAGGCCCAATGACACGACTACCCAGATCTTTTAAAAACACCTGAAAAAGTTCCTTCATAATCATATCGGATGCCCATCGTACCAGCGACTCTTCCTTGGTGGGAGCCTTCACGCGAGAGACACCGCCGCCAAGATTAGGTTTGCGTCCTGTGTCAGAGAGACGACGATGACCTGGTTCCCTGGCATTTACCTTGCGAGGAAGAAGCTCTGGTGGCAAGTTGTCATCGCCAGGCACATGAAGTGTGATAGTGATACGTTGTCCTAAGAGAGGTTTTTCATTGAGAACAACGTGGCATTTTCTAGCCTGTTCAAGCGAAACAAAACGAATGTACCAGTTCTCTCCATGTCGCTCGATCTGTTAATAGTAAAATTAAATAGGAACAAAGTTAAAATATTGGCATCCTCAATTTTTCTCAAATTCAATGTAGATAATCTTTTGCCTCCTACTTACTCTCTCGGGGCCAAACTTATCGAACTCTTGCTTCATATTTTCCACCGTGATACGATGAAAAGGGAGACAGTCGCGACTGATGATTAGACATGCTAAATCCTTTTGCCACCCAGAGTAGTCATTTTCAGCTGCAGGCACACGCTTTTCTGCATGAATTCCTCGACCACGCCTCATGCCCAAGCCATGTAGTTTTGCCTCCAATCCCCAAGCAGGACTAGAGCTGCGCTCTCTACTCCTGCTTCTCGACCAGCTCCGGCTCCGACTACGACTCGGGCGTCTGCGACCTGGGTAGCGCTCATATCGATCTGGCGGGAACTGCATATCGTCAAAATAGCTTCCTCGGCGATCGTAAAAGTCTTCTCTGGGATGAAACCCTGGGACAATACCTCCTTGCTTCATCCGCTCTGGTCGACCGATAGCTCCTGGAGACATTAGAAGCGGTGGAACTGGAGATGCACGATATGGGTCCATCTCCCGGGATTTTGGCGGGACCCTATAATTTTCCAAAGATAATGAGTGTCCTAGATCCAACGTTTTTTCCCAGTCCCGTCGAGGTGTGGGTAATGGTACTCTTGGCGTACTGTTAGTGCTGTTAGAAAGAGTGGTCTTTGTCCTGTTAGAGCCATCCTCAATTTCACCATCCTCTTTAGGGACAGGCTTGGGTGGCAAAGGAATAACGCGTGTTCGGGGATTTGGTGGAAGAGGTATTGGAACACGTTTCGGCGTCGTACCTGATGCCTGCTGTTGATTTGCTTTGGACGATGGGGTAGTGGAGGGTGTGAGTGGAAGGGCTATGGTGGTGGTTGGAGTTGGAGCATTACTAGTAGTAGAAGAGGATACAGGTAGGGATCCTGTAGAGCTAGAAGCGGAAGGAAGGCTAGAACTTGGTGAAAGCATATTACTAGGAGGTGGTGTAGATGCATCATCAATCTCCATATCATCGTCGTTGGTGTAAATGTCACGATCATGACTAGACTCTGCTGCGAGAGCTGCTTTAGCCTTGGCTGCTTCAATCCTGGCTGCTACATTGGCCTTTGCCTTGCGAAACTTTGAGCCACTACCATCCGAAATAACCTTTAGCGGCCCTCTATCCATCTGTTTGCCATGTAGTGTCTCTACAGCTTTTTTCACAGCTGCCTCCGCCTCTGGTCCCGCGAAAACAACGCGTCCAAACCCAAGGCCAACACCAGTGACAGGATGCCGTTCAATAAGAATGTCCAAAATATCTCCACATCCTGCAAATAAAATTTCCAGGTCCAATGTAGTGGTTGAGAAGGAAAGATGAGAGACCAAAACTCCATGATGAACTACTGAATTACTATCGCGCTAGTGATAATTTACATTGCCGAGGAGAAAAGAGCGAGAGATTAACCACAATAAACTGAAGCATCCGTTTTGCCACAACTACAACAGCAGTTATTTCTATAAATTATAGCGAATCAACTGTACCTCAAGTCGAACAGGTGCCAATGTGCCTTTGAAGGCTCGTCTCGTCTTGGAAATGAGATAGCTATAATTCGCTGCAGTCCGGCGTGGGTCCTGTGGATCCTTTTTGTCCTACATAGTCCCGATTCATCAAAAGGTATTATATATTAGTTCGATGTCTGCATTTTTTTTTTTCTTTTTGCCCTGTAGATACTATCAGAATTGATCGGCGGTTATTCAGGGGATATTAACCCGAGTTTGTTGCATCTTGAAGGCAAGCGCGCCATACCTCTTCTGTAAGATCATCTTGGTAGCGACAAAGCACAGTTGTATTTTTGGACTTGCTGGCGTCCAAGAAGGGATCATAAAGGACACGAAAGGTTCGTAAGCTGGCAGATGAGTCTTCGAGAGATGCGATGGTGGGTCTAATAGAACTCAAAGCTGCATCAACAGCACTGCTGACAATGGTGGAGGAGGTTGATGCCGAGCTATTAATCAACAGGCCAGGGCTGCTTGATATACTGCTAGTTACATGGGATTCAGTTAAAAGGGATGCTGAGGCGGGTGCTGGTGCAGATACACTGGGTGATGTAACTGATGGGATCGGGGTCTGATGTGAGCCCGACGCGGTGTCTTGATCAGCTGAAGTTGTAGAGTCTGTGGAATCGTTATGAGCGGGATTAGTACTATCAGTAATGGTGCTGCTGCTGTTGTTCGACGGGAGTGATTGGGCCGAATCAAGCAAGCTCATGGTGGATTCATAGGTTCAGGCTGCGAAAATGGGATGCCACAGCGATGAACAGGTCAGTGATGGCGCGCGTTGGTTTTCACTAGCATAGAGGCACAGAAGGATATAAGCAAAAAAAAAAAAAAAAGCGCACAGGACCAAATAGAAACGAGGATGTGAGTCAGAATAACTATGGTTTGGAATATAGCATATGAAAAAGAGAGAATGGAGGAAAAAAAAGAGAATGATGTGAAGGCACAATTACGCGTATGAAGTGATTGACTTTATAATCAAGTGAGGAAATATGTTCTTTAACAATAAAAGGTAAAAAGGTTAAAAAAGGTATTTAAAAATAAAGCATGTGATGGAGAAATGAGGTGAGTTGCTGTTTACTATGTTACCTTGTTTCGATGGATGAGACCAGGGATAAGAGAGATGAAGAGAAAAAAAAAAAAAAAAAAAAAAAAAAAAGAGGATCAAGAAATCTAAATTAAACAAAAAGTGACAAGGTCTAGTGAAAGGAACAAAAGATGGGATGGAGAGATGAGAAAGGAGATATGAAGAGAAGTAAGGAGAGATGGAGGAAAAAATAAAAAAAATAAAAAAAAAAGTATGTGTGTAAGAGAGAGGAAGGAGAAGGTAGAGGAAGGGAAGAGGAACAAGCGTAAGAATGATTAATAAAAGAAGAAAATCAATCAAGACAGAGAAGAAGAAAGAAAAGAGATGGATGAAGGACAAGCTTGATGGAGAATCAAGAATGACAATGACATGCAATATCAAAAAACGCGCGGGAGAATATTTTTCGAGACGACTGACTGCTTCTATTACATCTGATGTGACATGCAAGTTTTTGACTTGAAAATGATGTCCCCCTCTACAGAGCGCAGACTGACCTGACTGATTGATTGGACGCTTGATCTCCTGATTGGCACAATAACACAAAAAACGTAAACAACGCCACAATAAAGAAAACCAGGGTCCAGCCGGTGTAAAACATCCAGGCATGGATATCCCACAGCCAAACAGGTCCAATCTCCGTCCTCAGTCCTCTGCCTCTCCACAAAGAGAGAAAAAGAGGGAGAATGAGAGAAAGATAAAGTGAAAAACGGATAAAAAAGAAAAAAAGAGAAAAGATGCACAATCCACATTCGGCATTTTGTTACTTTCCATCCCATTGTGTTGATTGCTTGGCATCGTTCTCTTTTATTCTTCCTTCTTGTGGGACTCATTTGTTCATCAACTTTTCATTTACCGAACAGACAATGCCCGCTCCTGCCTACACTCCCTTGCCCACAAATGCGTCAGTGCCACTCTCTGGATTGACCTTTAACCCAGAGTCATTGCCTTTGCCACCACCCGATCAGTCACCGTTCACAGCTTTAGGGCTTGGATACATCAAAAAGTTTCGTGAGGAGCGACTCTCCTCTCTGAGACCTTTCTCGGAATTTTTCAATACTAGTCGCATGTCAAAACCTGATGGTGTCGGTAGTACGTTTTACCTGACGTTTTTTTTTTTATATGATTGATTAATATTGACGCATTTGTCATTCATTGACCGATCCTGAATATCTTTTCAACTAACTATCCATGCTTCGTTTCGATAGCGGTGATCACTCGACTCAACCATAACCTTCCTTACTTCCAAGGCAACTACACTGTTGTGTTCCTAGGCATTACAGCCTATAATCTGTAAGTAACCACCGTTCTTCATATTCCGTCCTCGGAATCAAAACACAAAAGTCTATAACGGGGTATCATTACTGATCTTGCTGTTTCCTGGCCTTTCAGTGTCAGCAATTCTATGCTCATGTTTAGTGTAGGATTTACACTCGGAGGTATGCACTTCATCTCCAAGGTCTCCCCGGAAGGCATCATTGTCGGTACAACTAGATACAACCCACGTCAGCTCCAAACAGGGCTTGCTTGTGCTGCTGTGCCTCTTTTCTTCTTCAGCTCAACATTAGGCACCATTTTTTATATTGTTGGTAAGTGTTCAGTTTATATTAATATCTGCTTTTTTTTTTTTTTTTTTTTTTTTTTTTTTTTACTTGTTAACACTTCATGGTTTATAACATTAATGATATAGGTGCTAGTGCAGTAAGCATTCTCGGCCATGCATCCTTCATGCAGGTGGGCGTGGAAGACAGCAATGTTTGATCGTCAACCCACACAGCATACTACAAATCTATTCTTCATCCTGTATATCCATAAGAGTCTTTAATTCATGTACCGACCTCAATGTGCAGCAATAAAAACAATGCTCCAAAATGCTTATGAATAAGGACATCATAGAGTTTTGTTCCTCGTACATTCAGCGCAATAAGCTCATTGATCCTGATCCGGAGCGCATAGGCTACTATTATGTCCTGATCTCTTTGAGATGATAGATGCTTTTCTCAGATCAGCGGCTATAATGTACATTGATATGTAGCGAGTTGCCGAGAATAAATATACCTTAAACCTATGTTAGTTTTTGTCAAAGTTCCGAATCTTGATGTCTATTACAAGACTTTGAATTTCTACTTGTATGAACAGCCCATGTTCTATACCACCCAGATATTCTAAATTTTGGACAACATAGTCAAGCAGTATCTGGTCTCAGTGCAGTTTGTCAATAACCAAGCTGTCAATACGGTTTCCCGTGACTTAAATAATGAACGTTCACGTAAGCTTTTAATACTAATGATGACTTTGACAACATTGCATAACCAACAGACTGGAGGAGCATGGGCTTTTGGGGTTCCATTACATTTGCTCCACATCTCTTCAGGGTAGAAGTTTTTTTTTCTCATAGTAATCTAGCAATCTACGCTTAATAAACTGGATAAAGTGAAACAGTAATCGTGTAACAAAGGTGGATAATCTATGGCTCTGTCCTAGCATTACTATTCGTACGAAGATGCAATGGAGACTGCAGTCGAGCCTCAAGATGTCTCAGGAGTAGAAAAGCTGTTGCAATATTTTGCCGCTTGTCTACCTATACATCTGCTACGACCTCATCCGCCCTGGTGTGGAGTTGGAGCTCGAATAGTGTCATGATCTGACCGACTGCAACACCTTACATGGTGCACTTTACATTAGGTCGGCAACTTCGAGAAGGTTTATTTATGACGAGCATATAGCAAAGGAGAACATTGAACGCTCCTCTGAGAATCCGATCCTAGGTCCAGGGGGGCTGTGTAATACGATGACCATGGGAAGGTTCGAGATGATGGCACCACGACAGAGAGGCGTAAATATGGGAGAACATGGCCGAAACTGTAGCTTTTAAATTAGAAATGTACGAAACCATGAGTATGACAGAGAATCGGCAGACCTCAAATGAACATTGAAATTAACAAACAGAATATCCATAATTACTAAGATGACAAAATAGGTGATGCGGCCTTGGAATTGTATGCGCCAGCACAGGTTCCGTTCCGTTGGATGTCTCATTTTTTATCACTACGTGGCATCTGTCTCGCACGCATTGAGGTACATGCAGTCACCAGGGGCAGAACGGCCATGTCTTGATTGCAGATAATGGATCTCTTTTTTTTTTTTTTTTTTTTTTTTTCAAAAGCTTCTGTTTTCACGATACTCACAATTCCTTCCTATTGTATAAAACATTTACTCTTCAGATAACAATAAGGGCTTCATCTCATTAGTTTAGAAAAGCATTCCATCATGTCGCGAATGCCAGGTGCATGCGCGTCAATACTCATTGTATTCATGGCTTTGCTGGTTTCTGCCATACTCTACGGCAATAACACTGTAGAACAATTTCACCTTCACCAAGACAAACAAACTACTCTACAAGCACACCGGCAACCTCAACAATGCGCCAACGTATGGTCTTGTATCATCTGTTCAATTCATTGTCATATCCTACCTACAAACCCTTGATATACGAAATCTCTTTCCATGGAAAACTGATCTTTTTTTTAAAAAAAAAAAAAAAAAAAAAAAAAATCGTAGCCTTCAGGATTGATCGGCGATTCATCATGTTGCGCCTATGAAACAGTAGAGAAGCTCAATATAGACTTTTCGAAAAAATTGCATGAGCTGGTCAACATGCCATTCTTCAGATACTTCAAGGTAACAAAAAAATATATTGGAGGATTATTGAGTGTCTACAAATCAACTATTAGACTATCTTTTAAGCTCCGAGACATTTTGCTGATGCCATGTCAAGTAATTTTTTCTTCTATGATCAATAGGTAAATTTATACAAGGAATGTCCGTTCTGGGACAATGCAGGGCTTTGCATGAACGAAGATTGCTCTGTTGAAAGGATGGATAAGGAAAAAGTTCCCGAGAAATGGAAAAACAGTCATCATGATTTGGGGAAAGTCTCTATTCCAGCAAACCCAGTAAGTCCCAAAAAAAAATAAAAAAATAAAAAAATAAAAAAAAAGATGTCTTTGTCTTACTAATTTTATATTGATTGTTTTATTATAGCTTTTTGGTTCTTTACCTCCTCGACCGCTGATAAAAGAGCAGGATTTTTGCGTTCCTGACGCTGACGCAGATGAGGAAGTGTACGTAGATCTTAAGGACAACCCGGAGCGATTCACTGGATACTCCGGACCCTCTGCGGCCAAGGTCTGGAGAGCAATTTATGAGGAAAATTGCTTTGACGTCGCGCAGGAGATGACTGCAGGGTGCCATTATTGTGAATCAGAGCGAGCCAAGCTTAAAAACCAACAACAACCCAAGAATAATGGTCAAAGCCATGACCAAAATATACTAGTCCCACCGGAACCTGCGCCTATGAAATCAGAAAAACCAACGAAGAAGAAGATGGATGATATTTTCTCAAGGCTTCCAAAGGACAGTAACGAACTACAAGGATTGGTTCAAGGGATTGCGCAGGATAGCAATGGCGAAGAGTCATGTCTAGAGAAGCGAGTGTACTACCGCTTGATCTCTGGTAAGTTCCACTTCGCTTGATCTAGCTTAGATTGGCTTGTATTCTTTTCATTTATGTCTTTTCTAATGCAAGCCTTGATTTCATCCTTATATTTTTTATGTTCCTGTTTGCTAATTAACATTGAATTAGGACTACATGCCTCTATTTCAATTCATATCTGTGATGAATGGTTCAACCAAACGACTGGAGAATGGGGCCCCAATTTAGACTGCTTCATTTCCCGTGTAGGTGTGCACCCTGAGCGCTTAGAAAACATCTATTTTGACTACGTAGTGCTTCTACGAGCCGTGTCCAAGATCTCCGATTTCTTGACTGGCTATGAATTTTGCACAGGTGACGAAGCATTGGATAAGAATATAAGAACATCAGTAGATGAGCTTGTGAGTCTGGTCAAGAAATGCCCTCCTACGTTTGACGAAAAGCTACTTTTCCAAGAGCAAAAAGGAGCCGTTGGACAGACTAGGATGCTGAAGAACCAGTTCAGAAACCACTTCAGAAACGTAACCAGGATCATGGACTGTGTTGGATGTGAGAAGTGCAGGTTGTGGGGCAAAATACAAACAACAGGTAAGTTAAAACATGGAAAATCCTATGATCAATTTTTTTACTTCAAGCCTAATAACTTACCTCAATCAGGCTAACGATATCATTGACAATGCAATCTGGTAAATTTGGTATAATTTTTATTTAAAGGACTCGGAACTGCCCTCAAAATTCTCTTTTCGTATGATGATGCTTCTCTAAAGTAAGGCTTGAGCTGTTGTATCCTTTTTGTCAATGGATAATATGATAATATAATTGAGGGCTCTATTTGATCCGAATCTACAAATTAACATTTCCTAACATTTCTAGACGGAGCGCTGATAACATTCTATCGCGGTCAGAGATTGTGGCCCTGATCAACACCTTCAACCGCTTTTCCGAGAGTATCTCTGCAATCGATCGCTTTGGAGCCATGTATCAGAGTAGACTAGAACAGGAGCTTGCAGCGAATTCGGAAAGTTTGGGAGGAAAATCCTTTATTAAGGCTCCTACCAAGGAAGAAGATGATCGAGATGCAATCGTATACAAAGTATTGCTTACTAAAATTCGGCGTGGCGTCACTAAAGCATACAGAAATCTGGATTCTTTCCTTGAGAGCAGGAACATCACGCAACACCGGACAGCTTTGAGAAAGGCAACTCCTTTAATTTCATAGTGGATGCTAGCAAGCAAGCACTCATTCAATTAGAACTTCCTATAATGATACAGCATGCATTACCTTCCTTGGACTACTCCCCTCTTGCATACTCAAAAGAACTGTCCTGGATAGGAAGCCAGATGAATAGAGCAACATTAATAATAAATAACATACTCGACCTATATCCGACTTTAGGATCAATATCATCACCCTTGGTTCCGATATGATCACTTAGCTGTAAGTCAGCTTACTTTGAAAATTTTGAGGGCATTCCATGGACAATACTAGAAGTCCTTCTCTACGGACAGCCTTTTTTTTTTTTATAAAACACTACTCTCTGTATTTTCTTGATCACCATCGATACTTGATCCTACAAACTCCCATTCGTTCAAATCGATCCAAAACCAGGAAAAAACTTATGCTCCTCAAAGAAGGTCTTTCCATCTAGTAGGTTGACGAAAGACTCAAATCCTCAACTCCTCTATGGCAAATAGCCATCGAAATATCGCAGAAGACCAGTAGACCGTCAAAGGAAGGGCTACAGATGAGATGACTCTGTGCCTTAAGCTAGGATTGAAAGACTGTCTTCTACGGTTTTCATCGGCGTCCCGGAGTCGAAAGGAGACCGAACATAATTAGACGATTTATACAGATGCTTGGCCTAATTTGACTCCTTTTTTCGGTTCAGACTGCAATGTAATGTTGAGCGCCACCAATTATTTTTTTTTAAAATCTGGCTATTAGAGTGTGACACAGTAACAGAGGGGACTGTTAAAACCCTGTAATAAAAGGAACGTTTTGAAATATGCACGGATATTATTGTGCGGCCCCATGTTGGAAAGAGCTCTTTATTTATGGGACTGTGCCTTGAAACTCCTTTGTCGATAAGGACTATCGTTAAACGCGGACGGAGGATTAGGAAAGACAAACCACTTCCCTTAGTCCCCCCAGCCCATGTTCCTTGTAGCCTATCCTCCTTTTTGTGTCACAACACCGAGTTCAATAATCAATTAAAGGCAATTAAAGACCAAAGCCTCTTGAATCCCTCAATTCATTCAACTCATTCTGCATGCAACAACATTCTCCTGAATGAAAAAATAAAACGAGATATTTTTATTGTTTCTATGACCCTACACTGTCTATATTCTTTCTTTTTGTTTCCTTTCAGTAACACATACCCCCGCGGAACTCACTCTCTTTCTTAACAATCCGCCTGTATCTATTCTCTCCTTTTATTGGGCACAGCAACATTATAAAATATTCCACAGAAAAAAGAAGGAAAAGTCCCAATTCAAATTTCTCTCAAGGGGGACGGGATGAGCAACAGTGATATCTATAACGATTTTGAGGGCAACAACAGTAACACCGCTCCAGTGTCTAGGACTTCCTCAAATACTAATACCGCAATAGGCGTCAATAACAGTATTGACAATCATTCTGAAGAATATCTCTGGAGTAACCATCCACTACCACAATTGCAGGACTCACTCCGTCAACGTGGCCAGCCGACAGTCGGGAATAGGAATACTCTAAAGAAGCGGCAGGGCGGAGTAATTGTACCATCATTGATAACAACGATCCAGGACAACAGCAGTAGCTATAATAACAGTAATAATAATAGTCGTTCTCAAACAACTGCAAATCACCTGCTTAAAAAAGAGAACATATCTCCTATGACGAACAATACCATGGCACTATCCAATGGAAATGAGGATATGGAAGATAGCGGTAGCAATGGTTCATTTGTGCGCTCAATGTTTGATGAAGGAATAATACAGTCATCACTAGGGACCATTGAGAAGAAGAGAATTCATAGGACATCTTCGATCCAGTCAATTCGGTCAAAGTTCCCAAAGAGAACCAACAGCTTTTCAGCGCACTTTACGGGTAAGTGGACGAAATTCTATACTTTTTTTTTTTTTGTTTTACTTTGTTGTTGTTGTCGGTTTACCTCATCTCTCTACTTACTGTATTTCTCTGTAGAATTTATCAACAGGCGTAAGGAAGCATTGGAAACGCAAAGACAGGAGATTTCAGTTTACACATCTCCTATGACGGTGCTTTCGTACTTTGTACTGTACATACTTCATGAGTTTCGGGTAGCACTCCTTTGGATTTTCTCTCAGCAGTATTTGCTCGTTGCTATGCCAATCATCGCAATGACAGTTTACTTCATCTATCAAACAGATGGTGCTCATCAGCCGGTATGTTTCTCTCCTTGTTATGGAGATATAGAGTTGTTTTTTTTTTTTTTTTTTTTGTAAGATAATGTCTTATACATCCCCTTATAATAGAAATTGGACCTTATTCTACTGTTTTTAGTTATTGAAACACGCTGAATTAGGACTGATCTGGTATGGATATTGGACACTACTTGGGATTGCCTCATCAGTTGGATTGGGTACTGGATTGCACACGTTCGTCTTGTTCCTTGGACCGCATATTGCGGATGTGACATTAACAGCCTATAAATGTGGCAACACCAACTTTGATGTACGTGGCGATCATAGGTAATGGAAAAGCTTTAAGAGTGGCGACCGAATACTTCCAAAAGAATAGTCAATGGAAAAACGAACTTCCATCTTCTCATTTAACTAGCATACTGATTAATCCCTCTCCTATTTGTTGAAATTGCGGCCCATTGTTCTTTTTTTTCAGATACATCTGTAAACCGTTGGAATTGATGAGAGAACCTCTAACGATCTACACTATTTTTCAAGCGGTTCAATGGGAGAGTTTCTTTTGGGGTTTTGGAACTGCCATTGGTGAACTACCGCCATACTTTGTTGCAAGGGCTGCTGCACTCTCAGGGAATAGGAATGAGGAATTGGCTGCTATTGAGGACCTGCTCAAGAAGAAACCCGACTCAGTCTCATATAAGGAGCGTATTCTGCTTATGGTACACGAAGGAATGAAGCGTTTAGGATTCTTTGGTATCTTTTTGTGCGCCTCCGTAAGTCGTAGTTATGGCCGGCTATACTCTTTTTCTTTGTGGAGATGCTTTCTTTTTTGTTACTTAGCTATCAGAGGATAAAGGTATCTTCCACCCCTAACCATCCTACTGACGGCTGACCATTCTTTTCTTTTTTTACTCTCTTTTCGATGGTCCTTTAGATCCCCAACCCTCTTTTTGATCTCGCAGGGATCACCTGTGGCCACTTCTTGATCCCATTCTCGACCTTCTTTGGCGCCACTTTCCTCGGAAAGGCTGTTGTGAAGTCATCAATCCAGGTAAAACGAAATTTCCGTCAACTCGCAAGAAAGCGTGGTTATGCTCTTTGTGCAAAAAAAAAAAAGAAAAAAAAAAAAAAAAAAAAAAAAGCTCTTTAGACCGCTCTGCTGACCAAGTTCTTTTCTCTCCTATTGTAGACACTCTTTGTAATCCTCATGTTTTCAGCTGATACATTGGCTGCTTTCATGGGATGGCTCGAGACTTCGGTCCCGTTGATCCACGGATACTTGGCTGACGGCATCAACTCACAGAAGGGAGCTCTGCATGGAAAGGATCGAGTTTCGGAAGACGAGCTGGAGAACTCGACCAGTCTTGTTGGGCTAATCTGGAACACAATCATCTTCATCATGATCTCCTATTTCTTGCTGTCGATCGTCGAGACAATGGCGCTGGCGCAGATCAAGAGACGACACGACCAAGAGATTGTAGAGTTAGAGGGCAAGATCCGTAGTGGCGATACTAAGGAGTTCTTTGTAGAATCTCCAAAAGAATTCATTGAACCAAGCAAACAATGAGTCCAAGCAGCAAGCAAGTATCAGAATCAATAACAATAGGTGCAACTGCAACAACAATACCAACAAGTGTAAGTACAAAAGCGTCAGTGACTACTTCAACATTGGATCTAGAGAAGCAAGACAGAAAAAATATATTTTGAATAGAATCCCTCAGCACTTTCAAATATACGCCGCCATCAATATTTATCTATTAGTATATAAACAGGGTCATTGCGACAATAAAAAAAATAAAAATAAAAAAAAAAATAGTGTTTTATTTTTCAGCAACTGGTCTGTCATTTACGAGAGGACTTTTCATTCTGGCTTCCATCTCACTGCCAGCCTTCTCGCCTTCTCGTGGGCGTCTTTCAAGTTCTCTATCACGATGGCGATGACGATCATAGTCACGATGTCGCTCTCTATCTCTGTCTCGATCTCGTTCCCTATCTCTATCTCGTTCTCTGTCTCGATCCCTCTCCCTGTCTCTTTCCTTCTCTCTATCGCGATCTCGTGGTCTCTCACGCTCTCTATCTCTATCTCTTTCTCTGTCTCGCTCCCTCTCACGTTCACGCTCACGGCTGTAGCCTCTACGACTAGACTCCCTTTCACGTTCGCGATCGCGGTAGTCATACCGTCCATAGTCGGGATCATATCGAGAGCTGCGAGAGTATCCTGAACGGGATCCCGAGGGCGACCGTCTTCTGCTACTGCGCCTATAGTACTCTCTGTCGATAGAACGCGACCGACTCCGTCTCCTGGTACTACTGCTCCTAGATCTCGATCGTCTCCTCGAAGAGGATACTAATTTCTCAAGCAAGGAGGCTGCAGACGCCTGTTGAGCTGCAGTAGCAGAACTGGTACTGGTAGCATCTGCTGTTGAAGGACGAGCAGGAGAACCATCCTGACTCTTGGAGGCAATGTCGGGTGAAATCCCAGGAATGTCGCTTAGATCAGGAAGAGGTCCACCCGCTTCCAGCTCTTCCAATTTCTTTAAAAGTGATGGGTCGCCTCCACGATTGACAAGTCCAATAAGGATATTCTTGTACCGGGTGCGAATAGGATCCGTTGCTGGCGGTGGTTGAATCTGTGGAGGTTGCATCATCTGCGCCTGCTGCATCATAAACGGCATAGGTCCACTGTGTCTAGGTAAGTTGATCCTAATACAAAAAAAAAAAAAAATCAGTCATCAAATCTTTTGGATTTAAAATGCAAAATATGACAAACATCTACTTTTGTTTTTCATTTGGATGATACCTCAGTCGTCGATCACCAATCATCTTGTCGGTACTCGAGAGAGCCTTCTTGGCACCTTCAATGGTATCAAAGTCCATGAATGCAAACCGTGTTGGGTGAGTGGGTTTGCCTGCAATGTTAACTCGCGTAACCTTGCCACAGTCCTGAAAGACTTCTTCTAGCTGTTCCTGAGTCACTGTCAAGGGCAAGTTACCAACGTAGACTGTTTTGGTATCTACTTTATCTAGATCGACCTGCGTCTCCGCGGGCCGTTGCTGTTGGTATTGAGGCAAGATATTTGGATTATAGAGCGTCATATGAGGACTAGGATATAGAGGTTGAAATTGGTTGCTCATTGGCATACCCATACCCATATTCATACCCATAGGCATGCCCATACCCATACCCATGCCATTGTACTGTGAGTGGTTGACCAGTGTGTTCCCCATACGGATCATAGGATTACCGCTGTTGCTGTTATTGTTTTGATGTGGTGTCGTAGCCGCGCTGCTATTATTAATGTTATTATTCAAGACCAAATTAGGGAACGGGCGTCCTATTGGATTAAGTCCTATTGCTGTTGCTGGAGTTCCAGTAGCTATAGCAGTAGTAGATGATACTGTCACGTCCATCTGAGTTACTGCCAAGGGTCGTCCACCAAATAAAGTTCCTGTCAAATGTGTTGCTGTCACAGCTGCATCCTTATCGCGATACTCGATAATTGCTTCAAATCCAGAGCCAAGTGGACTAGAAGGAAAAGAAAGAAAAAGAAGTGCGTTTTTTTCTAAATCACATTTGCACTATCTTCATTTTTTTTTTTTTTTTTTTTTTTTTTTTTTTTTTTTTTTTTTTCATAATTTCGATTGGCGCCATATATATTTAATAACTGAATATACCTTGGGATGAGTACAAGATTATCCAGTGGGCCGATGAACTCGAACAGTTTCCTGATCATGTCTTCATTCACAACCGGCGACAGTTTGGACGCCTAAAAAAATAAAGGCATGAAAAGATGGTGAGTAAAAGTGATCTACCCTTTTGTCATCTTAATCTACTAGCCACAATGTTATTGGTAATACCTGCACTTTTGCTCCTATTGCCATCGTCCACTTGTATTTGCTTGGTATTTACTGTTGCTTACAATATTGCTGCTGTTTCCTGTTGGAGTAAAAAATAAAAAAATAAAAAAAAAGTTGCGGCAGGGAGATTCGTGCACATGTACACACACCTCACATTGAGGACACAAAGTCTGACTTGCAAGAATAAAAGATAAAAGACATGATTAACATTTACACTTAATCTGAAAACAAAACGTCAATACTCTGCTTTATTTCCAAGACTAGATCCAGGAACTACAAGACTACGAGCCATTTATTACATTTATTACAACAAATGTATTTTCTCCTCCTACTTCATTGACATCTTTCTCGACCATGCGGAAATCATTCTTACAGATGGCTCTTGCCAAAACTACGGGCGCATCATTAAAAACTTTTCAGACAACGCTCACTTCTACAAACTCATGGCCGTTTACAATGGACCGTCCGCCTTCCACTGAGCGGCCTACTAGGATAGCTATTCTTGATTCTTCCTTCAATCCACCTACAAAGGCTCATTATCATCTTCTGAAAGCAGCTGCAAGGGTTGGCTGCGATGCTGTACTATTACTTTTAGCAACCAATAATGTGGATAAGGGTCAGACAGGTGCAGGCGCCGTGGAGCGTTTAGAGATGATGGAAGCCATGGCTATGGATTCTATTTCGAATGATAAGGAAGATCCTGCACTCCGACAAATAGCTGTTGGCTTAACTGTAAAGCATTGATGCGATCTCCCAAAAAAAAAAAAAAAAAAAAAAAAAAAGAGTCGGACGTTTTCAATACTGTAGCAGTCGTCAATTTCTCTGATGATCCTCTTCTATTCGACTACCGTTTTTCTTTATATCTATACTTTCCTTGTCCCTAATTTTTAGACCCATGCTAGATTTATGGACAAGGCACAACCGATCTTAGATCAATATGAACCCAACACTGTTCAATTATCATGGATTATGGGTCACGATACCATGACACGGCTATTTGATCCCAAGTATTACAACGATGTACATGCGGATATGGCGCCGTTCTTTGAGAAATGTGATGTGATCTGTTCTTCAAGGCCAGGTCATGGCAGCCGAGAAGAAATGATGCGATTTGTAGAACAGAGTGGACACAAGGACAAAGTCACGCTAGTAGATATTATTGAGACTGAAGAAGTCAAGTCGAGTCTGCCTTCTACTGTTGCCTCTACTGCTGTTTCTACTGCTGAGAAAAGACATGGAATCGAGATTAGAGAGATATCATCGACCATTGTCAGAGATGCTGTCAAGAACAAAGATTGGCTGTTGGTTGAGCGCTGTGTTCAACCATCCGTTAGAGAGATCATTGAGAAAAATAGTCTCTACGCATCATGAAGTCATTCAGTATAAATATATTTATAATAATCATTCATAGTCTAAAAAGTAAAGTTGGCTTTTCTTTTTAACTAATAAATCTGAAATCAAGGGTGCATAGAGCATTAAATATACTGTATACAACTTTAGCGTGCAATACATGTCTGTGGCCCAAGTGAGGCAGATATTTAACATCCAGCTGCACGGATATATTTTTATGCTTCTTTGTAAGAATAAAAAGAGGCGAGGCTCAAGTTCAGTTGGTTGGTGGAGAAAGGCCACACGCTCACTTTTTTTTTATCTGCATGGCTTGGTTGGTTAAGGACCTTCTCAATTGACGGGTGCTGAAAGATAAATACCACTCAATTTTATTCCTGAACAGGTACCTTTTTTGTTGTAAAAAAAAAAAAAAAAAAAAAAAAATTCTTCATTGATGTTGTTGCCCTAGTTGTCTTCACTCACTTGATCGACCGTTATGCCAGCGGGTCAAAACAAAAAAAAAAAAAAAAAAAAAAAAAAAGATGCAGTGTGGTCTGAGTTGGCTTTTATTCATTTATTTAGTTTTATTAATGTACTTTATTGTCCCACCATTGATGAGTTCTTCTGAAAACAAAGATCCTCTCAAGAGTGGACACGTACGCCGTTCCGTTCAAGATTAGGCTTTATTGAGGGATGAGCTGCAGTTGTCTCCTCGTGTGTCCCTTATTCTCATTCTCTCTAGTCTATAAGTTTCTAAGCATGCTTTATTTTAGTCCTGACACTAAATAAATGATCATTATTAGAGATGGAAAGATACAGGGACCAGGGACAGAGGCAGGAACAACGACAACAACAATACATTATAGGTCCCATCTCTCTCTCCTTCTCCTTTTCTGTCATCAGTTATCAGTTATAACGTTAAAAGCGAACGTTTTTTATTATATTATATTATTTTATTTTATTTATTTATTTTTGATAACTTGTTTTCTACCATTGGTTTGACCATGGCCCTGGTCGTTATCCTGCTCCTAATTCTATTTCTATGGTCTTCTGGTCTCTGTCCGGTTGTTGCCAATTGTTCCATCATCACAACTAGATATCTAGTTCTGTTGAGAGGATGTTGACCACTTGGCATGTACCACATTCTTATCTGTGCAGACTATACCTATTATGACCATCCAAGGATAGAACAGATTGTTCAGTCATAGTGTAAAAGTGTAAAGCATAAAGAGGGTAAGGGTAAGAAGAATATGAGAACGAAGAAAACGCTCCCATCCTTGACATGTACAGTAACATGTTACTGAACCATCTTTATTGTTTGTTTGTTTGTTTGTTTGTTTGCATTAATACTTTTTTTCTGACAATTTTTTTTAGAATACAAACGCACGACTGTTGGAGACACACATGCCATTCTGTGATTTATTTTAATACATTATTGTTTAAATGTATGCAGTAAACTCTAGTTCTCTAGTCCTCTAGTCCTGGCATCTCCACTTGCTTCCTTTCCTCCTGCTGTCGTTATCAATCTTGGCTCTCTCTTTTTTTTTTTTTTTTTTTTTTTTTTCCAGCCTTCAAGACGACTATCACACCATTCGGCATTTCTTTTTCTCTTTTTTATTTTTATTTTTTTTATTTTTTAATCTCTCTCTTTCTCTTTCTCTTTCTCTTCCCTTCGTTCCTTCCCTTTCCTTTCTTCATCTCTTTCCATCTCCTCCATCATCTCCATCTCATCCTGTCATCCTTCTCTCATCTCATTTCATCTATTTCGCTATTTTTTTTTTTTTTTTTTTTTTTTTCCATTTTGTTTAGTACTTATCACTCTATTGTCTTATTATAATATTTTATTTACTTTGTGTCCCTTTATAAATTTAATCTCATTATTTATTTATTTTTTTTTGCCCTGCACACCACGCGAGAACTCTTTCTCTTTCTTTCTCTTACTTCGTCTTTTCCTACATCCTTTACTCGTTTTTTCTTGTCCTGCTGGCCAGGACAATATCATTTACTTTTATACTTAATCACTGTTTTACACAACACCCACTCTTCTTTATCACAAGTCAATGACCATGCCACATCGCTCAGAAGACGAGAATACTATCTTGGTCACTGGCGGCGCCGGTTTCATTGGTTCGCACACTGTCGTTGAACTCTTGTCCCAGAACAAGCGACTGGTCATTATCGATAACCTCTGCAACTCTTCAGAAGAAGCCCTGCACCGTGCCAAGATCTTGGCTAATAACCGAGGCTCTCTGGTCTTTCACAACGTCGACATTCTTGATGCTCATGCATTGGAACGGGTGTTTGAACAATATAAATTCTCAGCCTGTATTCACTTTGCGGGATTGAAGGCCGTCGGTGAATCTGCCCAAATTCCATTGGGATACTATCAAACCAATGTTACTGGCACTCTTAATGTTATTCAGCTTCTTCAAAAATACAACTGCCGGAACTTCATCTTTTCTTCATCTGCCACTGTCTATGGTTTGCCTATCTCTGATGAGCCCATCAAGGAGGATGCACCCACTGGAGCGTTGAACCCTTACGGACGCACTAAACAGTACATTGAAGAAATTCTTGTTGACATTGCTGCTAGTGAACCTAATATGTGGAACATTGTCCTTCTTCGCTATTTCAACCCTGTTGGTGCTCATGCCTCAGGCTTGATTGGCGAAGATCCCAATGGCATTCCCAACAACCTAATGCCTTTTGTTGCTCAAGTCGCCATCGGTCGCCGACCAACTATCAATGTCTTTGGAGCTGATTATGATACAAAAGACGGCACAGGAGTCCGGGACTACATCCATATTGTGGACTTGGCTAAAGGACATGTCGCTGCCCTGAATAAGATTGATTCCATGGTATCCGCAAAGACTCCTGTGGGTTGTGTAGCTTACAACCTTGGATCGGGTGTAGGCTACTCTGTCATGGACATGATCCATACCATGTCCAAAGCCGTCGGTCGAGCTCTCCCTTACAAGATTGTTGATAGGAGGAAAGGAGATGTCGGTAGTGTGATTGCAGACCCCTCACTGGCAGCCAGGGATCTTGGCTGGAAGGCAGAAAAGACGTTGCAGGACATGTGTGACGATTTGTGGCGCTGGCAAACACAAAATCCTGATGGTTATGCTTCTATGAATGGAGGATCATCGCCTGGTACACCCACGCCCGCATCACGATCATCTGTTGAAACGCTTCCAACAACACTCCTACCCATTATCGCCTCTGTTCCCAAGGCTCCTTTCAAACCCATTGTACTCGACATTAGTGCTAACACAGCACCAACCCTTGTCATGCCCTTCTCACCCTCCAGCTCATCATCTAGTTCACCATCCATCTCACCGTCCGTTTCACCAGCTCCAGGACCCACCACCAACACAGCTACAACCTTCTAGAATCTTTGGAATCTTTGGAATTCTTTGAAAAAATGAGTCTTGGCGAGAAATAATCAAGAAATAGGGTGATATGATGACTGCCTTGGCTGAGACAACAAATAGAAATCCATTATCGACTCTCTCTTTCTCTCTCTTCTTGACCCTGCTTATCAATCATGAAATAACAAGACAATTTAGAAAAAATAGAAAGAAAAAAGAAAAAAGAGAAAAGAGAAAAAAAAAGGAATATGGGAACTATTCAATAGACGCAATTAGATCTTTATTTAATGTCTATAGACTTCATGTTGCGCACGTATTCATTCACACAATCTACTCAGTTCGCCAGGCTTTTAAAAAGATAGAACCCTTCTTACCCAGCATTTGTCATTAATCGCTTTCATACCAATAATATTATTCTACTAATAATAATAGCACTAGTAAAAACATAACCAACATGATCATGATTTTTTTTTTTTTTTGATTTGATTATCAATGGTAAATATATATATATATATATATACATGAATATCCTTTCTAGATGCGGAGATGACAGTTGATACTCTCCCCTCCCCCCCCCCCGCTTGATCCAGCTTGGCTTTTTTTTTTAAAAAAAACCCCTTTTCTCTTTACAGTTTCCCTACTTGCTTGTCTCCTTAAATTTGGTGGTTTTTTTATTTTATTTTTTTTATTTTTTCTGCCGACTGTAGTCATATAATACATAGAGTGAAGGGAACAGGGAAGGGGGGGAGGGTTGGTTAGAATAAGTTGTTAGTCTCAGTCTGGCGATAAAAATAGAATGACAAATATAAAATAACTGTTATCGTTTTTTTTTTTTTTTTTTTTTTTTTACGAAATCATTGGATTCTGATTAAAAAATGTTTATATTATATATATTATCTGAAATAAATAATAGAATAGAATGGGCAAAATGGGACTTTTAAGGAAAGCCCTGACTTAGTGGCGCACGGTTTTTTTTCTTGTCTACATCGTACTGGACAATAATGATAATAAATGTGCTTAGTGTGAATGTTATTCACATTTTCCTTTGACTTTTTGGCTTCGCCCACCCATGTTTTAAATCATCGATTGTGCACGGCCAATTTCTCTCATATCCTCGTCACGCCAATATAAGAGCATTAAAGTGTCTGTGCAAACATCCTCTGCATTCTTTTTTTTTCGATTTATTTTATTTTTTCTTAAAAGTTTAGACTACAAGTAATGAGAATCATGGCGTCCGGGGTGGAAAAGGTCCTGTCGAAAAGCGAGTAGAGGACACAGGTGGTGGAGAGGGGAACGATCGTAGGAGCGCAGAGTTGGATCGGTCCCCTCCTTCGCTACCACTATTACTAATGGACTGCAGAGGTGGTGGTGGAGGCAGTGGAAGGAAATCCTTTTCGTTTAAACTCTCTTCAGTACTTGAAGAGGAGGAGGCCATGGTAACCGCATGTTGGTCCGAGAATGGATTCATGTCCAGGAGAATCTCGTTTGAATCAAACGTCTGGAAGGGATCGTTCGTTGACGTCAATGACGGTGTGGCACTTGTTCGCCAACTGGGGGTCGTGGCCGTGGTCATGGTTTGGGATCGTCCACCCAGGCCCAAAGCTCCATCATAAGCAACCCCGTCCACAGTGCTCATGGTCGGGTTTTGGCGGTAGTAATGGCTGTAGTAGGCCATCTGCCGCTCTTCGCTCCGAAGGGACTTGATATTGAGATGATCGAGATATTCCGCATTGATTGAGGCCCGGAAGCCGGGATGGCGATGCCAACTTTCATTATCGGTCAAGGAACCTCCTGTCTGGAGACTGGTCAAGCTCATCGACATGGATCGCCGAAGATATCCGTTGATCGAATTCATCGTATTTCGATAGTGGCGCTTGATAGGGCCTTCTTTGGTCAAGGGTAATGACCCAGTGCCGGAAGAAGCATCAAAGCTCATGATGTCTGCTTTCCGAGATTGGGAAGAGAAGGAGGGGCTACGGTACTGATTGTTTCCGGATACAGACCCCTCTTCATGATACTGCCTGGATGGAGGATGCCCCTCAAGGAGGCGCTCAGCCCGAGCAGCCATGGACGCTACCCAGTATTGCCGTACGACCGAAGAAGTTTCGTGGCTTGATCGCATCGAAGACATTGTAAAGTCATCATCCGAGTACATGTACGAGTTCGAAGCTGACTTGCGCCAGGATGGACGGCCCAAGTATGCGTCTGCTGGGTAGATAAGGCTGGAATTCCGATCACGAGAATCACTCTTACTTCCAACCTCACTTGAGTATTTCTCTGAGGAACCCGCCTCAGAGATATCAAGTTGTTGACTTTTACGGTACTTGGCTACAGCAGCAGCTACTTCACTATTGTAAGAATCTTGATCGCGTACAGCAGAATGCCTGTCGTCACCTTCGAATTTACCATGCTCATGGTTCTCATCGTCATCTTCTTCTTCCCGCATCAGGTAGAAATCACGTTCACTTTGGTCTTTGCCTGAGCCCTTCATACGAAGACCTTGGATCCTTAATCTCTCTTTCATACTGCGACCGTTTCCATACCTGCCATTACCATGCCCCCGTCGCCTCTGACGCCGCCGCCTCAAGACTAGCAATGAGATGATGGCGATAAGGGCAGCTGCAGCAGCGATGCTTACGAATGTCGCCGTCATGCCCTTGACATTACTGGGACCACCAACGCTGCCACCGTTCACGTCATTCACATTACCGCCGTGGCCGCCTCCTGAACCTGTACCGGTAACATCATCGTCTTTACCAGCGCCACTCGGCAGTGGAGGGAGTGGGGGCAGTGGAGTAAAAGGAAATGGGGAAGATGTAGTAGTGGGTGTTGATGAGGCGCCAGAAGTAGATGTCAAATGTATGGTTGATGTAGGAGAAGGATGGTTAGAAATGGATGGTGGTGTGGCTACTGGAGGTTTTGTCGCGGGCGGAGGTTGAGTCGGCGGATTGGACGTGACGACATTAGGCTTTGTTGTGGTTGGTTGTGGTTGTGGAGGAGGCTCAACTGCAACTGGATTCATGGTGAAGTAACATGCGGTATCATCACGGCTTGTGGATCCTTTGTTGACGGCGACTAAACGGATGGCGACGTCCCTAGCATAGGGGCCGCAATCTGGGACAGAGAACTGATACTCCCCATTTGCGGCGACAAGCCCTCGGTTTTGAAACAACGTCGCGGCGGTCCTCCACATACCACCCTGGGAGCCTTGGTTATCCATACAGTATAGAGTAGCCGAAAGAGTGTCATAGTTATCGAGATCGCTATTAGATGCCTGCCAGGCCAAGACAGAGACTTGCCCTGGCTGGACCTTGGTATTGTATGTAGGATTTGTGCATGAAACAGCCTCTACAAGGTAATGATTGGATAGATAAGGAGAATGGAGTGAGGCAAGGAAGACAAAAAGTGTGGAGAATGTAGAGAATAAGTGACCTAGACGCCGGCGTGAGACATGTCGTGGGCGTGAAAGTGATGACATTGATAATGATGATAATGATGATGAAGACGAAGGTGAGGATGGCGTTGATGATGTTTGGGATCGTGAATTGGTCATAAACTGTAGAGAGGTGAGATGGAGGAATAGTGGCACCATTGGGCCATTTGGTGCCATTGTGAATGATATGCACTTGGGCTAGTACGCGGGAAATTCGTTGTCAATGCTGTATTAAAAAAAAACAAAATAACTATAATAAAGAGAAGGAATTCAGGGGTAGAAAGGGAAGAGAGGGAAGCCTTGAGTTGGTCGGGTGAGAATGAGGGACAGGAATGAGATTCCTCCGAATAGGAATGAATGAAGAGAGAAAATAAAAAAATAAATAGAAAAGACAACCTGAAATGAGAGAGAAAAGGTAAATGGAGAGCAGAAGGATAGAAGAACTGGAGAAGAGTAAAAATGAAGGAAAAGAAAGAAAAAAGGAAGAGTGACTGAAGAGCTTGTCAAGAAACTTTGGTGCCGAAGGTCTAAGGTTCAGGAGAGGAATGATGCTGCATTCTGTGGATTGACAATCTAACAACCTGATTGGCATCAAGATTCAGCTGCTATGTCCATATGCTTGTGATACGAGATATCGGGGGTTAGGGACAATGCGCCAGCGCCTTTCGGGCACATAGCCCAGCATCGACCACTTGACCACTTGAACCATGAGCTACGAGTCAAAGACAGAATGACAAGGAAAGGGAGCGAAGGGGCGGATCCATCGCCGAACCATTGTGATCGAGAATCAAAGTAAAGTGTGCAGGGCTAATTCTCTTCCTTCACAAACCTGTTAGCAACAGCGCAGACTGAGCATAGGGGAAAAAAGAAAAGCCCTTTGTTTGTTTTCTTTATGCTGTACATTCAATGCTCTTATTCAATCCTGCCTCTGGATGAATAACATTCATTACTTTCTCTATTACGATATAGTTATCAATTCATATTTGTGGATTTGATTGGACAAGTTGACATGCTTGCGATCTTTCTGATCGCTTATCGCGAAGGCGGTCGGTGAGCCCTTGTGCAACATGGCGACCTAAACAATGCATTTCAGAGTTCATCTCTCTTCTCCATGCATATATATATTTTCTTGCTCGTTAGAAATTCCATTCAAAGCATAAAAAGTGGCGTAAAAAAAAAAAACAAAAAACTAAAACTCAATTGACCCAAATCTAGACTCGTAATGTTTCTTGAATACAAGTAGAAAGTGGAGGAGTTTAATAATGACCCCTCACCATTATCTCTCAGTCGAAATTCAATCTCCAATGCCAGCTTTACATGGTCGCTGTCTCCGAGGGAAATAGGTCTAGATTAAGGTAGAGGATAGGCTTTAATTCACTCCCAAAACCGGAGAATGAAGAATTATGTTCTCAATTCTTTGGAGTTGAAAAAACGCGTTCTTGGACAATAAATAAGGTATATATGCATCATAATCGCAGAGAAATTAAGTGAGCCCTGCTCCTCCCATTTTTTTCTCCGTCCCTCGCTCTTCCTCCACATCATTGTTTATATCTTTTGTGTATGAATATGTCTAGCTTGACCAGGAGACTCAGTATTCTGGAAATATTTTATGATAATGATGATTATAATGACAATCAAGGTCAAGGGCGATCAGGGTTAAGGTCAGGACTAGGAAATCTGAATTGAAAGGGCCATAATCAAAGACAAGATCAAGATCAAGGGTCCTCTATTTTCTTTCTTTTGTTGACCTCAAATCTGAGGAATGAAATGCATAGTTTGCAATCCATTTGTTTACGCAGCATCTCGTAATCGAATCTTTGCCTTAATATATTAAATCATCGCCATTTCAACAGGGACTATTAATTGATGAACAACAACAATAAAAATAACCGTAAATAAATAAATCTGCGTTCCCTTCGGCATCTAGGCATTTAGAGAACGCGTCCTTTTACGCTATCCATTCATGGATATGTCAAAACTGCACCATCCTAAAACTAACACACACATATATATATATACATAAAAAAAGAGCTTAAGGAAGGGACCTTAAATTATGTAGCTCTTCTAGAAGGGTGTAGCTTTTAGCATGCACCTCATAATTCAAGACAATACATGTGCCAATAGTGTATCCTGGATTTTTTTCAAAGGATAGGATAACTTCATGCATTGATGTAGTAAAGTGTGGGTTACTTATAAATGTGTTCTGTAGTATGCTCCGCCACGCTGTCAAGTTCTCTTCATTTCTATTTCACAAGTATATACTGTGGGCATCCTTCGGCCTACACCCTCAACCATGTCCAATTTAATTTACAGATCTAGCAAAAGCGTGTTGTGTCGGCTCCTTTCAAATCCATACTTTTATAAATGTACGGCGACCACGGCTTTGTATCTATCTATTGTTTCGTCTTCTTATCGAATTGCAATACAAAACCTTTCAACAAGAAAAGGATATTATATCCTTATTTTTATGGTCTTATTGACAATCCCAATCGGTGATCGGGATATGTTTACATATTTCCAAAGTACATTTACAACATCCCCTCTGGTCAGCTGCACCATGTTGTGCATCGCCCAGGCTAAGAAAAGAAGTAAAAACAAATGACGGTTTATATTTCATTTTGTGGATGTATGCATGACACGACATTACAGTTACATGAAAGAGCTGGATGACTATGAACCGCTTCGTTTCTCCGCTGAAATGCTCATTAAACTTCCATGGTATCCAAGAGGACTCTAAGACAGAAAACAAAAGTGATGTGAAGACAGAAAGCTCCGACGCGTCTTAATTGCAAGCTCATCGGCTTTGCTGCATCATCATGTCATCTGGTTGGCATGGCTCTTGATAAAAAATAAAAAATAATAAAAAAAAAAAGACCTTGGTCAGGGTCACCGCTCACCGTTGCCATTGTACATATATTTCCTCTCTAGGAGATTGCGGCGGTGCAGTCCATCCTTTCTAGACCTGAAAGGTGGCATCTTTCATGTCATAAATGTGAGCCATGAACAATGAACAAATAAAAGATCAAGTCTTTTTTTCTATTTTGCTCATTATTTCCTCTGGTTTTCTGATCACGCCTTTCATTGGAGGAGATGAGCTTTAAACATTACTGTCACAGGCAACCTTTTAAAAAAAAAAAAAAAAAAAAAAAAAGCAAAAGCAAAACCATAGATCCTCTAGTAGATTACAAGTAATAGTTGCAATAGGGGAAGAGGACACGCCGATGATATACACGAATCAGCTATTTTGACTTTCCCATGAATCATTAATTTAATATACATTTTAATTACAGCAGTATATGAAGCTGAATCACCTGTTTTTCAATCCCCTACCACGGAACTCAAGTTTACTTTTTCGTTTTGTCAACGCGTCGCTAGCCAAGCAGTATTTTAAAAAGGTGTTTCTCTGTGAAACTTCTATGCAATCATCAGCTATATCGTTCGCCTTGTTTTTGAATATTTACTGAGTTTTATTATAGTACAAGGCTTTGATTTTCACAATCATATGGAGATATGTCTTTTTTTTCTTGGTATTATTGGCCCTTGCTCTTAGCCTCATAATCAAGCCAACTTCCAGAGTAGTTGCGTACACCATTGTATCCCTGTCCCTTTGCATAGTCGAATGCCATCCCTGAGCGTCTTCCTGATCTGCAATAGAAGATAACCTCATCGTCCTTGCCAAACTTTTTAAATCCTATTTTTTTTTAAAAAAAAAAAAAAAAAAAAAAAATTTAGTCAAACGTCTTTATATTTGAGAGTCCACGTGCACATGACGACCTCATTGAGCTCTGAGGCATTCATCTTTTTTTGTCAATCCGAAACTCTATCCAAAAATGTCTGGTGTACATATTCCTTTCCCACGGATAGAGAAAGAAAAATAAATTCTCCTCTCCTTATTAAAACGTAATATCCTTCTTAAGCCCTGAGTCATATTTCCTCCCCTTGATACTATTGTTTTTTGAGCAATAAAAAAAGTCTCCATGGTGTAAAAGAAATCCTAGTTTCCGATCCCGTGATCCTGCGCCTTTTCCTTTGACAGTCCATTTTCTAGCGCCATACTTGATATATATCCTTCCCGAATTTATATCGTCCTCATGTATACGAAGAATGAAACAGAAAAAGTACAAAATAAAGAGTTGGAAGAAATTGTCCCTATCTTTTTTTTTTTTTTTTTTTTTTTATTTCACTCACCATATCGATGCTCAAACTCTTTGTCAGGCAATGAAAGAGCTTCTTGGATGTTAGCCAATGGGACATGATGGGAGGTAGGAATAACACCCTGAGCGACTTCATTCGCGTCGCGAACATCGATCAATACTACATTCTATATTGGAAATAAATAGAATGATTTTTTTTAATGTCAATAATAAATCTAAACGTCTAAAGATATTATTTTGTCATGATCCTTTTTTTTTTTACCTTATCCTTCTTCTTGATTAGACTATCAATCTCTTCAAAAGTGACCACTTCAGGTTTCTGTGAGGTTTTGACAGAGAATTGGGCCCGGCGAAGCGCAGTCATCGAGCGTGGAGCAAACTGACGCGAAGTTTGGTAGAGCGCAGGGATAGCCAATGAAGTGAAGGAAGGCATACTGTATTATTTTGCAAGCTATATGTATTAACAAAGATACGTATGAGGAAGGAAGACTTGATGAATTTAAGAAAGAGATTGAGAATGAGAATGAAAGAGGGATGTAGTTAATGTTTGATGAACAATGGGTGAAAAAAAGAAGGTATAGGTGTGAAAGGAGCTTGATTTCTTTTAAAAGACTTGATGCAATATGCGAGTGGAATGTCGCACCCTGCACTCCGTTATTTCGATCTCCAGTCAAATTTCGCCCTGATAGAATTGCGCCATAGGACAGTCACTAGGGAATAGGACGTATGCCTGAATTAGAAAGCTCAGTCCATACTCGATTTTATGAATTTATGATCAACTTACACGAGATGATAGATCATCTCACACAAGTAAAATCCACAGCAATGATGAGTTTGTAACAGTAGCATATATTATATAAATCTTCGGAGGATCGTCCACGTTTTTCAGGATAAGGCTGCATAGAGAAACGCAACAGACTAACAAAAAACGTCGGGTGCTTTCATGACCTACAATAATCACCTCAAAACCAGTTCTAATTATATCACCTTGGAGAGTTAAGGAAAACAAAGGCATTGCAGGTTTAAGTAAAAGCTATCAGCTATCTGTTGATCTGTACGGTTTTTAAGTTAGTCCAGAAATTCAGGGGCAAAAGATTAGAGAGGATACAGGGGACGAAAATAAACAGAACTTACAAATTTTTTGTGGGTGTGCCGGTACCCAAATACTTGTGTCTAGCGTCGTGCGCGCTTTGCAGCCGGAGCAGGCGACTCTTCCGTGGGCTTGTACTTTGCAGGTCTCTCTTGCCTCTCAATTTGAGCAAGACCGATTCTTGCGATGTTTTCCGCCCCTACTGCGTCACGGTCGAAGAATGCCTTACATGCCCGGCAATATTTAGAGCGAGGGTACACCGTCTCTAAAAAGCTATCGCAGAGGGGTCGGGGACAGCGGGCGCTGGTGTAAAATTCGTGCGCTCCTACAGCGAAGTGTCCTCGTGCTTTGACCTAAGCGTTTCAAATGGCAGTCGTTTATTAGCAAGGGTTCTATGGCTTTCCAGCTTTTCTTACTTTTTTTAAAAAAAGCCATACCTGTGTGACAAGGTGTCTCGTTATAGCAGTGTGCTTGCTGGGAACTCCTTTACTACTTTCAAAGGACCCTAGGCCGACGACAAGCACTCCTTTTTCCCCGAGCATCTCCAACACTCGTTGTACCACGTAGTCGAACGTAGCTCGTTGAGCCTTTCGTAGGTCCCATTTTTTTTTCAGGTACCATCTGGACTCGTAGAACTCTTGAAGCACATCCAAATTCTTTGATCCTATCTGTGTCTGGGACTCCTCGTTCATCCATTGAAAGCACTCATTGTACGTATCCCTTCCAAACACAGGGATGGCGCTCTCAACCTCAATCATTCCCCTTTCACGCTTCCTTTTGTTCAACAGGTGATTGAAGCGGAGGACGGGGAGGTACAAGAACCTGCTTCTCACCTTTACCGTTTGCCGCAAGTTAGGGTTGTGAGGATCCAGGGAGGAAAACGTAAGGACGTTAACAATACCAGGATCGCATCCGACGATAGTTGTGGTGTTTGCGAATGGGCACCGCCCTGGTTTGTTAAATGTGAGCTCAACGTTTTCAAGCAGTTTGGAGCTCCTCTTCCAGTTTATGTTTGCATAGTCTTCATCTGTCAGGTCTTCACCGGCTGCCTTTGAACACATCGTGTTGAGAAATCCCTGAGAAAGCTCCAGTTCTTGGCTGGGGTCTTCTTCATCTACGTCAGACTGCTGCTGTCTCTTCGTCTGGGTTGTGTCATAGGCAAGTAGATTCAGAACTAGACCGTTGGTAGAAATCGTTCCCTTGAGTTTGAACCGAGTTAAATCTTTGTCCTGTGACTGCAGGGATACTTTGTCTCGATATCCAAGAACCATGCGATCGCCTCCAATGTCACAAAAGAGAGCCTGAATCAAAACCCCTTTTGTTCCCTGTACACACTCAAACATTGCAGTCTTGGAAGGATTGTCGAGAGGCAGAATACGCTCCAGCAGCTGCTTGTATCTTCATTCGCCCAGAGGATGTCAACTAGGGCGTGTTCAGACAGATACACATACCCGGGTGACCAGGGGGACGTAGGAAAGTCTGAGTATTTTTTCACTTTTTTGTTCTCCCGCAAAAAAAAAACTCAATGTCGCTCATATCTTCGTTTGTTTTCTCGACATCAAACTAGAAAAAAAAAAAAGAAAAAAAAAAAGAGTCTGAATAAAGAGCATTTGATTGCAGAATATACATGAAAATATCCTACACAAGCTATACCATTGCGTTCCTGTAGTGCTGCCTTAATGATGTCTGTACTTGGCCCATTAGTAGCTCTGACGCTCTTGGAAATGAGATCTTTTTGGGATCAAAGCCTTGCACGTCCCCCAATGTGATGTCTATTTCCTTTATTGGGGAAAGTTCAGTGGTGGCCTTGAAATGTTCATAAGCGAGGAGGTAATGGGGCGTTTCTACCGCCTTTCCTTGTTTTTTTGCCCTCGCGTAAGCTGAATTGGGGCCACCTTGACCACTTAAAAGAAGGGTGGCGAGACGGAAGGAATAATCATTGCTATCCAAGACCTCGTCCAGTGCCTTTTTCCTCGACTTTGCTGCCCCTGGTAACCGCATGATCCTCTCAATGTCCAAGGCAATCGCCCAGTATGCATAGCGGCGTAGTCGGTTGAGGACAATAACTGCCCCTCGGATCTGGCTTGCAATACTATCCCTTTCATCTGCGTCCAGTCCGCCTTCCCTTGCCATGGAGGCCTTAAGGGACCCAATTGTTAAGGCCTTGATAGGGTGCTTACTGCTGTAGCTGTGATCAACCTTCGTAGCATCCTTCAAGTTCCTAATTGGTGCACCTTCTTTTTTAGCCCTGTGAGGCTTCTTGTCTTTGTGCTTCCGCTTTTGTTTTTTCTGTTGCTTCTTTTTTGCCTTTTTCCGACGTGGTGGATGCTTAAGGCCAGGCCTATCGTGCTGACGGCAGTTACTGATATCAACTGTGCGCCCATTCAATATGCTCGCCTTGTCAGAAAAGATGGGCCGGAACTGGTTCCTATGTGACCCTTTCGCTATATAGAATGATGGTGTGTCTCTACATTATCCAAGAAAGGGACTGACGATTAGTATTGGGGACGTTTGGTTTCAAGGTCAAAACTATAGCTTGAGCTTTCTTACGTTCTGCGGCGCTGCGTTCGCCTTTGCTGAGCCATTCTATGGCGAAGATCCTTTCCATTGAGTAGACGCTGCTTGAAGTTATCGAACTCATTGTTTGATGGTAACGCTTGGGCCGACGTTTGATGGCCGGAAGTAAAAATGCGGAGAGCTACTCTGAAACGGCCTTCTTCAGAGGCTGCGTTCCTTCCCAACACCTTACTAGCTTCCCTTAGGTAGTCCCGAAGCATTTTATTGTAGTTCTCGTTCCACGCAACCTTTCGAATTAATCGAAGATTATTAACCGGGCCTAACGTCTCGAGGTTCCTTGAGTAGTCATTGCCTGCGATGGCACAGAATAACACCGGATGCGCGTGTGATGGCAGTCTTAGTGCTTGGATAACGTTGTCTACATCGTAAACCCCAAACTTCCGTCTACGGTGCGGAAGGGGTCGCACTAGGAAGCAGACTCGTTCGTACGCAAAAAAATCAGAGTCTTGGGATATCACGATTCTATCATTCTCCTCATTATGGCACCCTATGCATGGGTCCGCTTCATATGCACACAGACAGACATCGAAGACAGAGCTAAGGCCTGTTGCCTGAACCTTGTCCTGGACGCTCAGGGTGTGGACTTCTCGAAGACCCTTCTGGATGCGCCTCATGACTTGAGGACGAGTCCATACCCCACTCCGAGAATTTCTCTCGAAGGTGCTCATATCGTTCTCCAAAGCATCCATATTTTTTTCTCTTATGGCTTGCCATTCTGTCCTTGCTTTTTCTTTCTCAGTACAAGGTTCCCCATCAATATGTATAGTCAGATTGTCCGTTATGAAAAGATCCTTTATTACGAGAGCCAGGGACCTTCCTACATCAATGATGGTTTCGTTTTTCATCTTTGCATGGACGACTCTGCGGAGGATGTCGTAATAGAACGTACCGAGGAGATCTATCATTTTCTCCTGACAAGCGTCTACTTTTTCTCGACAAATGTTTACTTTTTTCTCGGTCGGTCTCTCTTCTTATTAATACATTCTCGACAGCTGTATTTGATTCTCCACAACAACAAACCACAAATCAACGTAATAAATAATAGGACATTAACCATTTCTCAGAACGTGCAAAGTGATATGACTCACTCCGTTAATTGTATACTAAACCCATTAGAAAATATAATAATAACAATAATAATAATAGCGTAGTCTTTATTTTGGTAAAAACAACGTCTGGCACTTCCTTTTAGGAACTGAAATGAGGGGAGTGCAGCTTAATAGTTGATCAAGGAAAACCAAAAACCACACAGTCAGACTAAGGGCCAATGCCTTCAATAATAGAGCAAGGCTTCTTCAAGCCCGTTTGGGTTGCAGACGTTTGCAAATGTTTTTTGAGATATTTTTGCACGGGGCCGTACGAATAAGGTGCTTACGAGCGACCTCATCTAAAAAGAGGAAAAATTTTCAAAAGAAAGGGCCGAACCGGGAATTGAACCCGGGACCTCTCGCACCCTAAGCGAGAATTATACCACTAAACCATCCGGCCTGTTCACATGGCGGTTCAAAAATTTAAACTATATATTTCTAAATCAGACGCGTGGCTAAACACGTGACACAAGCCTGTTGTAAATAGTAGGTGTATCTTTGCTTAAGGGGCAAAAAGATAGACACGAGCTCAATGGCTGAGTAGTATACTCGTCAGGGCACCCTCCTGTCTAACCCAGGGGCCGGGTTCGAGTCCTGGTTAAGGCACATAAAGTGAAGCAAACATGTGCCAGGTCAGGGATTTGCTTGAGTTTTTATACTTTCTCTCCGAGACAGCCTAGTGTTCTCCGCTAAGGCTAAGATCGTGGGTGCACTACCCTAAGTCGCCTGGCTGGCCACATGTCTTAGGCATTTATTCCACCCCCCAGCCGAACCAGCGGTACATCTGGCAGCACATCCCCCATCCACCCACTTGACTAGGACAGCGATGATCACAAAGTTTGACGGAGTCCAAAGTAGAAATTTCAGACCAATTCCGCAAGATTTGGGTCCACATGCCAGTGGATTTGATCGAATAGAAAAAATTAAAAGTCGTCCTTAGCTAGAGTCGGCACGCCAGCCTCCGCGGCTTTTCACGGGCGCAACAGGCCACATCGGAAGGATGGACTTCGAGTACCGATCACGGTGTACATTGGTAGAGAAAAACATGGATACGAATCGGCTCTTCACAGCCATCCCGTGCGAACTTTGAGAGTTTCGCTTGTTTCATAGTTGAGGGCGATATCATTACTTTAGAGCGAGATTATGAAATAAAATTCCTCACCTCTGTGGGTTCTTGTTAACAGGAAAAAAAAAAAAAAAAAAGGGGCAAAAAGATAGACACAAAATCAGGAAAGGACAGTACAAAGAGTGTCAACAAGAATAACAAGAGAAAATAGAGGCAAATAACCTTGACGACAAACAGCGCCATAGATGCCAAAAGAGAAGATGGGAGCTTTATAGATGAGCTCACAAACTGAGTTACCGGAAGACGGGAAAAGATAAATGGCAAGGGTAAAACTAAAGCTTGGAGAATCAAACCTGATAAATTAATAATGGACTGAGATATAACGAGACAAGAATGAGGATCTTTATTTTCATAATAGAAAAGAGTATTTATACCTCTTTTCTATTATTGTATGTCACGGGTATTAATATTAATGTAAATTAGCTATATAGAGGTTTTAGGTGATTATGGCGCAAAGCTTATGGGTAACTAAAGGTCTGTGGATAAAACTAAAGACTTTATTGAGGAAGAAGTTCTTTGGCTTTTATAACTTAGCCTACAGGCCTGACTGTGGTGCTTTCTAGGTGAGGCGGACTCACCTATAGCTTAAGGCTTTGCACAAAGGTTCTTTTAACTGTGGATCGACAGAATGTCCCGATTAGTAGATACAAAGCAAAAATAAAATAGTTATAATTAATTTATATAACTATTAATGACCAGCCACAACAAGCCTGCGACAGCAACGGCTGGACAAAAATCCTCATGACCTCGTGGGTCCCAGAGCCAATCACTGCTATGAGCAAACGCGCCAGAGGACGCAACTGTGTTGGGGAGCACAGAGGTAGTAGCAATGATTTCCTTGTCCTTTCCCTCAGACAAAGACAGAAGCTGAATGTAAAAGAGATCTACAAGATCGCGGATAACCGAGTCCGGGACAGTTACCTTGGGAAAACCAAACTGGACGTGATGGAGCGGCTAGGTGGAATGAAGTCTTTGATGACTATGGATAGTGGATAATTTGTCGCGTTGCGCAACAGGCCACGTCGGAAAGGTGGACTTTGAGTACCAACCATGGCGGTCAGGGTTTATGAAATCATGGATGCAGCGGCTCTCGCCGTTTGTGCAGTAATAACTGTTTATTGACTATAGTTTCTGGAGCATTTTGTTCATAGAGTGTAGAAAATAAATCCCATGACCCTGAGGGTCCTTGTTATCAAAAAAAAAAAAAAAAAAAAAAAAAAAAAGTGGGTAAACCCGGTGGGCGAGCTCTTGGCGTAGCCTTAAGGCTTCCAGGCCAGCAACCGAAGGTTGTCGATCCAATCCCTGGCGGGGGAACAAGCTTACTACACTAAATTGAGCCAATATCTCAATGGAGGAAGTCGAAGGATAGGATCTGCTCTATGGTCTGGAGATAATGAACCTCTCGGAATGCCGCTCGGAACGACCCTGAAAGAACAGCCGAACACTAGGCGGAGCAGACATTAATCCCCACTATCTATGTTAATATTATAGTTCGCACGCAATGTTGTCCCTGCTCAGAAATGTGCGATAGAAAAAGACCCTAAATGGTTAAAAATGTCAGAGGTACTACTAGAATAAAAAATATATCGGTGGGAAAACAAACTGTTATATGAAAAAAATGGTGGAAATCATGAAAAAAATGGGGCGATTCCTTTCCTGTAGCAGTATGTTTTCGACGTTAAACACGGTGATGAGCTGTGGCAATAGTCGTGCGGCGCCCGAAGAACCTACCTAAGGAACGTGACTAGACTTATGGCGACTGTAAAGCGATCCTCCCCGGAGAATGGGATATCAAATACACTCTGAACTAGATAGTTTTCCAGTTCTGTCGCGATGTTCGTTTAAAGAGGCAAACTTCTATATAAAAAAAAACTCGTATTGGTGGCAACAGCTGTCTCTAGAGAGTATTCTCTTAACCTCGCTTATCAATCTGTATAATGTGAAAAGTTATTGCCAGATGAGTAGACAAATTGTAAAGTAAGTGACATTTCCTGATATACAAGGAGCATGTACCGTATCTATTTATAAGATGACATGGGTTTGTTCCACAATGTCTTGTCATAGGTTTATCGCGTCAATGTGTATCGTGCGTTATTGCCACTGAGTTCTACTGCCAAGCTTTTTTTAACGTTCGGTAATTCTCAGTGTATTTTTCTAGCTTGGCCTCCATAATATTGCGTACTGTGAAATATGCAACAATAAGATGTAGGCCCATACCCGTAGGGTATTTATTGAAGTTTTTTTTTATTAGCGTATCAAAGTATAACTATAAGTCTTTCTGTCTACAAGTAAGATAGATAGAGCACATCCATGGTGGATATTTCCTAAGAGATGTATATATATTTCAGAAAACTATCTGACGTGTATCCATAATACAAGATATATGCTCATCAGTAGAAAAGTATAGATATTTTGATTTTCTTTAATCTCTTATGCTACAGGCGTTCTGTGAAATATGCAGCGGCCTTTTGGATGAGAAGATGGATTCTTGAGTGACCGAAGCAAGAATTTCTTCTATGTCCCCTTCAACCTTATTAGTCTCTCGCTGGGCTATCGTCCGAGCGAGATCGTAGTGCTTCTGGTTATTCTCAATCAGAATTCTTCATCGCTATTTGCATCAAAATCCATGGTTAACGGGGAAGACGGAAGGGGAATTGGACGGTGGATGTAAATGCAAATAAAAAAAACATAGAAGGGAAAGATGTGAGGCACAGCCAAAGGATATCTACTTCAGCATATTTCGCAGCACGCGTAGCTACGTGATGGAAAAAGTAATACGCTAAAAAACTACGCAATAACAGAATGGACCATGTTATTCCCTAGATGTCTGTGGATATATACGCCATGGATGTGGCGCGTGGACTTATATTGGCACTGACCAAGGTGTTCAGAAGGTAGGGTACCAGTGACATAATGGTAAGTGGGTCTGATTGTTATAGTGTTAGTATGTATGGGTATTTTTTCAAGACTTCAGCGCATCAAATTAAGCTTTTCACTCGGCATTGCTTGGAGGGATCTTCATAAACTGTTATTGACTTCATATTTTAAAAGATCGTTATGTTCAGTTATATGTAATGTTGGCGATTACAATCAAAGTCAAGCGTAAAACACTTAAGAGATTATGGAATTCATTACCAATTACTCATCATGCTCGGGTCCTGATGAGAAATACTACCATGGGTTAGTAGGAGAAGGAACAGCGAGGGGAATGGGTGTCTTTTTCTCAACCAATATTCTTGATAGAGAGGAATTCTGGTATATTTGGCCATACAATATTTTTGTTATATTTATTTCCTATTCGTGCTGTTGTTCCTTTGGACACGACTCTTTTCTTTTTTTCTTTTTTTTTTTTCATTGCCGACTTTCAGTTTATACAACACGATACCATGGTCTTCAAGTTGGGACTTATTCTTTGGCTTGCAACATGTGCAGCAATGGTGGCAAACTCCGCTGAGGCTAAGCGCATAACTAAACGTACTGCGAATGAACGAATGGATAGTTTTTAGTGAAAAGTATTCTTTACCCACAACATTAACAAAGCTTTTTTGTTGCAACGCAGCATACGACTGTTATGTGGTATTTGGAAAGATTCAGCGATGTTACGATGGGCGAGCGAATGATTTGACGCAGTGTGTCTTCTCGAGCAATCTTCCTTCGGATCAGACGAGATATGAGCCTCGTTCCATGGGTGGTCAGTCGTATGATTTTGGTACGTCTGTAGTCACATTGCAGACCGTGGACGGAAAGACGGAGAAGACCACTGTTGCCACATTCCCTGGAATATGCAAAAGTTCGTAAAACGCGCGCGCTACGCACTTTTAATAAAAGTAACAAAACATCAGAGACAAATGATCACAGAGTGAAACATTTTTTTTAAATATGTGGGAGGTCAATGAGTACGAATGGCGCCACTTCCTTCTTTGCTCATTACCCATTACCCACAACCCAATTCGATTCAATGCTGCGACAAGGCCTGCCAATGTATTTCAATACTAGGCTTCGACCTACACTTCCCATGAAACAGTTTGCATCTGTTACTCGTCTGACACAACGATGGAATAGCGCTTCAATGAGTCATATACGATGCATGTCCTCAGCCTTGAATGCAAAAGGCCAACCTGAGGTGAATAGCCAGGCTTGTATCAATGCTTGTAGAAGCATCAAAAGGAAGACAGGATTATCATAGCTAACTTGTATTCCGAATGTTTTTTGTCGAGTAAAGCTCAAAGATCCGTCTTTGATTAAAATCGCCGGGTTCATTGACAATGAATATATCCATGCCACGAATGATGGGAAAACTTTCCCGGTTTTTGGTATGCTTTGTTCATTGATTTTCTATTCCATGTCAGTACAAATTGTGATACGCGCAGTATTCATAAGGTTTCATGATTCGAATAGATCCGGCACAAGGAACCGAAATTGCTAACTTTCCAGAAATGGGAGTTAAAGAAGCAGAGCAAGCTATTCAGTCAGCGAAACGCGCCTTAACTGAATGGAGACAAACGACTGCTAAAGAGCGTGGTACTATCCTTCGAGATTGGTATAATCTTATGCGTGAAAACGAAGAGGATCTGGCCAAAATCATCACCTGGGAAAATGGCAAGACATTGTCTGAGGCCATTGGTGAAGTTCGATACAGGTAAGAAGCCGCTAAATGAGGACCAAATGATTATGATGCAAACCTGCCTCCTATAAGGCATCAGCAATAAACATTTTATTATACCATATAGCGCCAGTTTCCTTGAATGGTTTTCGGAAGAAGCCAAAAGACTTTATGGTGAATTTATTCCAAGCCCTATAAAAACTCAGCGCATCATCACAATTCGACAACCCATTGGTGTTGTTGGCATCATTACTCCATGGAGTATGTCAGCACATGGTCTAGAATGCCATGAGTATCAGCCTTGGCTTTATTTTACTAATGTTTTTATTGTTAGTAACTGATTGCATCTTTTTTTTCCTTTTCTTACCTGTAGACTTCCCAAGCGCCATGATAACGCGTAAATTCGGCGCTGCTTTGGCTGCTGGATGCACGGCTGTAGCTAAGCCTGCCTCCGAGACACCGTTTTCGGCACTAGCGCTTGCTGAACTGGGGATGAGAGCAGGGTTACCAAAGGGGGTTATCAACATCGTGACGACACATAGCAACACCAAGGACGTTGGAAAGTATCTGTGTGAGAGTCATGATGTAGCGGGAATTTCTTTCACTGGATCAACAAATGTGGGAAAGCATCTGCTGAAGCAAAGTGCAGACACGGTTAAGAAGATGTCTTTGGAGCTCGGAGGCAATGCCCCGTTTATTGTCTTTGGCGATGCAGATATTGACAAGGCAGTTGAAGGTAAAATAGTTACTTATAGTAGAGACAAGGATAAAAAATACAGGCATGATTATTTATTTATGTTTATAAATGCTGGGGTTATTAGGTGCTATTGCGGCCAAGTTCCGTAGCAGCGGTCAGACTTGCATCTGTGTGAACCGACTCTATGTCCATTCATCCATCAAGGAAGAATTCAGCAAGCGTCTTCAAGACAAAGTTAAAAAGTTCCAAGTTGGTTCAGGCTTTGACAAGCAAACAACCCATGGACCGTTAATCAATAAGGGTGCGGTTGAGAAAGTACGCTCGCATGTCGAAGATGCAATTAAACATGGAGCCACAGTTGTGGCTGGAGGAGATAGTGGAGCCACAACAAACGGCTACTTTTACCCTCCAACTGTTCTTATTGACATGAAAAACAACATGAGGATCGCCAGTGAAGAAACATTCGGTCCTGTGGCTGCTATCTTTGAATTTGAGACCGAAGAGGAAGTCTTGAAGGCCGCCAACAATACTCGGCTTGGTCTTGCGGGATATTTCTTCAGCCGTGATATTTCAAGATGCTGGAGAGTTGCCGAGAAGTTGGAAGTAGGTATGGTTGGTGTAAACACTGGTACCATATCATCCGAAGTATTCCCATTTGGAGGTGTAAGTACATTTGCTTCAACACCATTCTAAAATAAGAAATCGAATGAATAGCCATTAATCTGTTTTTATCTCTTCATTTGATGTTCATCAGATCAAAGAGTCAGGCATGGGCCGTGAAGGTGGTCGACAAGGTCTGGATGAGTATACGCAGTATAAGACTATCAACATGGGCATTTAGGATATGATGCAATGATATTCCACCAATAAAAGGGATGTACCAATAAGACAAAGCAGAAGACCAAGATTGTGACAGAAGATTGTGAATCGAGTGATTTTTTTTAGAATAGCCCGATTCCTAGAAGAAGATGACAGCAATCAGATCGGGCTCTATGGACGCCCACACAGTCCAGTAAAAAAAAAATAAAAGATGTAAAAGATGGCAGCATCTTCTACTCATTCAAACCATTTCGCTTCCCCACACTCACGACTTTACACAAATGAGCTACACTATCCGCCGCTCAACAACCCCTGAAGATCTAGCGAAATGTCATGAGGGTAAATTCACTCGTTGAAGTTAATTGATCAGTTGCAATCTTTTTTTATTTTTTACTGATTGCCGCACAAAATTCGTTTATGAATTTGTAATATAATGTATTAGTCCGTTTCAAAGTGTTTATTGACGAACAAGGATACGATGCAGCCATTGAAGTCGATGAGTATGATCGCCGAAAACAACACTTTACATGAACTGCAATTGTATTTCATTATCAATTTGCTCCTGACTTTTTTTATCTTGAAATAGTATTGACTCACAGTGTCTCCACTGGCTAGCAGTTGACCAAAGTGATCAAGCAGTGGGCACTGCACGACTTTATAAGTATTCGCCTACTGTTGGGAAAGTAGGAAGAGTTGCTGTCCTGTCGAGCACTCGTGGATCTGGTCTTGGTCGGTTACTTATGGAGGAGATTGAGAAGTATGTAGTTGAAAACACAGAGTTTGAAAAATTGGCCCTATCAAGCCAGGTTCCCAGAAAAGGATTCTACGAAAAAGTTGGATTTGTTGCACAGGGTGAGGTTTATCTGGAGGAGGGTCAACCTCATGTCTTCATGGAGAAGAAGCTGACCCACAAAGCATAACTAAAATAAATAAAACCTAAAGCCGCAAGCAAACGGCCAGGACATGACAAAAAAAGAAGACACGTGTAATAATAAACGCTGGTATAAATGTTGTCTGTTGCATTCTTTGCAGACTGTCATCAAGGGTTTTCATATTCATGCTGCATCTTGATTCACCTTTTTACAGTAATCTGATTTTTGCCAATCCTAGGAAGAGAGAAAATGATGAATTGGAGACTGATAAGGCGAAGAAGATTCGATCCTATCCTCGAACATGATCCCACGTAATTTTTCTAGGATGGTTATCGATATTTAGCATCATTACCATCATACCTGCTCTGCCGTTTACATAATACCTAAGACTATTCATCATTAAAATAACTCTCTAGCAAGATCAGGAGCATGGCTTGTTGTGTCTCTTTGCTTTTCATGCTTCTGTTTGCATCGACTTATAAAACTACCCATCTCTTCATCTAGTCCATCAAATTGTATGCTACAACATTTTATAATTTTCGTGCAGTACCCATTTCTGAATTGTAAGCACTGCATAGCTTTTTTTTTTTTTTTTTTTTTTTTTTTCTGGGTCCTGATCGCCCGTCAAATTCATTTTTGTACAGTAGAGGGTATAAGAAAGACTTAATATTTACAGCACAAATGCGAGTCCACCTATTCCTGTCCCCTTGTTTGAGTGTCTCATGACAATGCATTTCAGTTCATTCCACTTTACTCCATTCCCAACAGGCCGCATTTTGGCTTGGTCCTTTCCAGGGCTATAGTTTTCGTCACAAGGGATACTGTGCCGCGTTAATAGCTTATAATGTCTTTAAACCATCATAATACTAATGTAGACTACAGAAGAAAGAAAGCATCTTCACAGAGTCACCTTCACGGGGATATGCTCAACCACACATCCATTGAGATACTATCCATAATAAACTTGAGTGAACAGAGGTTAGACCAGTTCAAAAGAGGCGGTGAGGGGATTTTCGTGGCGGTAGATGCCAAGTTCCTATTCTAGGACTGATTTGTCTCCTAGGCGCGATGTTGACGCGACAGAACTAAAAATAATTCAATCTGATACCTACCTTCAATTACATCATTGCTGGGCGCAATCACACATGGGAACCTATTCTTTCCAAGTCACCCCGCTTCATTCACTCCTTGCTCTTATCTCTTGCGCAAAAATACTCATCTTTGCATTTTTATTAATATATTGTTAATGATGGTGCCATTAGATATTTAGGCCACATCATATCCACAAATATCATAATGACCTTGGCTATAGTGTACCATAAGTGCAATGAAAGTAGTCATCTGCTTGGTTGCAGATCTAAGAGTATGCAACGATAACGAAATGAATTTAATGTTTTAAAAAAGCTGATGAATCCTTAATACTGCCATTCTTTTTAATATTTTTACTCTCTGTGGTATGAGTTAAGGGACAGCGCTACTGCTTCGCGCAATGATCACCCGTCATTAATAATGTTTGATTATCTGAATCCTTTTAAAATGCTCGCCCTGAATCATCCTCTCTTAGGCCTGACGGCCTTCCTAGGTCGCGACTTATGGAGCGTTTATCAGACTTATATCTTTTATTATATCGATCTCCTCCCCCTCCATAACAAGCATATTGAACTGACAGCGACTTCATCATTCTATAAGCTCTAGCTCCAGCCCAACCCATCCTGTCCCCGACCGCTACCCAAGCTTTGAGCACAGGTTAGAAGTAGATACTTTCTATTTGACATCCATATATCCATTGGAGCATGCTCCTTCATCATCCATTATCTCAGCTAAACAATCCTTTTTTGGACACACCTCTCGACTCTTGGTTCTGTTCAGTAGTGATCTATTTGAAGGTATATCTTCTTGTCCTTCAAGTGGTCAAGGCCATAAGCTATCTATAGATCGTAATCTTGCAGAGGAAAGTATATGCTGATAGAGGTCTTTGTTGGTGAATTCTTTACGGAGCACAGTCAAAATGGCCAGTTCTGAATGCATTACGAGCCTTCCAAATAATTACGCTACTTCCCTGTCAAGATCACTATCCCTTGAGAGCTCGGACCAGGCCACGATTGAAACTCATGAGCCAAAGGAGCCGCGACAACAGGAAATATGTCAAATAGGTAATGACTATATAACTTTGTGAACCAAAATGTGCATTGTTACACCCTATTTTTGTTTCATTTTCTAACCTTATGCGATCCATCATTTAGCTGATCTTCAGCAGAATCAGAAATACCATCCAACATTAAGTGGCTTCACAGAAGAAGAAAAAGAAGGAGTCAACATTGGGCGATGTTCTAGACTGATGAAAAAAACTGAAAGGCATAAGGCGCGCAGGCCCAACAGCAATCAACACATTCGATATGGTGGCTATAGCCCTGACCTAGATCTAGAGCAATTTAGCTCTTCGAGGACCTCACTGGACCTTCCCCACACTACCCCAAGCAACCATCTAAGTAACGATACCTTGCATTCAAGTAAGGAAACTCAGACGACCCCACAGGAGTCGGCAAATGCCGCTACGGCCGCGCCTTTACCGGGCCAGGCCATATTTAGCCTCCTTTCCTTCAAAAGCAGCTTTCTAAGTCGTCTTTCTGGCTCAGAGGGCACCTCTGGCACTGATGGACCAAAAGCGACCCATGGCCGTTCAGATCCATCCGCTTTGGTCCACAGCAGCGAACATAGTGAAGGAAATGGACAATATCAGGAATTTCAAAAATATAGGGATTCAACAACTATATCCTCACGAAGATCTTTGCCTCTATTACCACTTCAGCCCCATGCGTCCATGGAAAGCTCCTCATTTTATCGCCATGCCAATCGAGAGGAGCGTGTCGAAAGCTTGACCCGTATTATAACTTCCAATAGGGTTCTGGCATCGCGCTCAGGCGGCATTCTCTCAAATTTACTCAAACTTCAGAGGCTCTCAATGCCGCCATCATCACTCTCACAGCATCATCATCACCAGCGCCATCGAAGGCAGTGCCGCCTTCACTGCGCACAACAGGGCCACAACTATAGCCATTACCAGCGACAAAGAAGAGTGAGTCGAAAGCCATCTGTTGCTTCCAAGCTTATGCCACATATGAGACCTAGTCGGCACATGCTTTCAAGCCCCTGTGTTAGCGCCCTTTCGCTCCCAAGCCTATTCATGGCAGCCACTTCAGGGGCTGGTATGCCGCCTTCTCCCCATCTCAGCTCCAGGCCCGTCTTTCCTTCCCCATTGGCACTCAATTCAAAAGCGTCTATATTTCCGAATATACCCGTGGCCAAGAGCAGGCCCTGCATCACAACTTCTGGAGCTGTAGCAGTAGAAATGTTTCCAGATCATGGTTATCATCAACTTTATGGGCCTAGTGGTGATGAACGTTCAAATGACCGTTTATTTATGGTCCCAAAAGACATCAGTCTATTGCCCAATATAGTGACTGTTGGTACTCCAGCAAAGGAGAATACATCCGTGTATTCAGAGGCCACTCAAGGTCCATTCGTCACCGCGATCCGATCAAGTCAGCAAGCCGAGTTGACGGAAGCAATGACAGAGATTCTGTTGCAACAGGACCTATTGATTCGGCTCTGTAAGAGCCTAATCTGGTATGGAGCCCCATCTCATCGAATCGAACTAGCTATGGAGGCCATGTGCAGAACCTTTGAGCTCGATGGGTCGTTTGCGTTCTTACCTGGGCTGATGATGATCTCCTTTGGAGATTCAGATACACATCTAATCAAATGCACTCAAGGATTTGATATGAACCGGTTAGCTAAAGTGCACAAGGCTACCCGGGCATTGATGTACGACGATTTGACACCAGCGGAAGGTTTAACCATACTCAAAGCCATCAATAATGAGAAACCCATTTACAACATGTGGGTGACGATAATTTCATTTGCTGGGTCCAGTGGATTTATTGCTCCATTAATCTTCAAGGGTAGTTGGATGGACATGTTGGTCAGCATGATCCTAGGCGTGATTGTCGGCTTAATGACCCTTCTAGTCAACCGTTATTCGATCTACTCGAGCGTATTTGAAGTCAGCATCAGTGTCTTAATTGCATTCGTGGCTAAGGCTCTAAGAAGCTACGTTTGCTTCACAGGCGTGGTCCTCAGTGCGATTGTTCAGCTTCTGCCAGGCTTATCGCTCACGACCGCGATCATGGAATTATCCTCCAGATTTATGATTACGGGATCTGCGAGGATGTTTTATAGTCTGATCTACTGTCTCTTTTTGGGATTCGGTCTCTCGATTGGGTCGAATCTTTGGGATGTTTTCCAAGAGCCTCCGTCTGAGGATTTAAAGATGGGGCATTGTATCCCAGCGAACGAACCCTGGCGATGGATCTTGTTCCCACTCATGGCCATTTCATTTAATATCCAGCTCTATGCGAGCCCACGCCAGTGGCCCGCCATGCTCATCTGTAGCTCTGTCGGCTATGCGATTAGTGAGGTTGGAGGCATACATTGGCCTCGGTCCCTTCATATCGCTGCGGCTATGAGTGCATTTGTGGTGGGCCTTTTGGGTAATATTTATGAGCGGATCACTCATGAGCTTGGTAAGCCTCAACCAAATGCATGCACAACTATGTTTGGTCTCTTAGATTCTATTAAACTTATTCCTCTTTCTTTTTTTTTCTTATTCGCCGCTCATTATATCACCAAGCCTTTGTGCCGATATTGGGTGCCATTCTTTTGATTGTTCCTGGAGGAATGGGCGTCCGCTCAACACTATTGCTCTTGGACGAGTCAGGGCACGCATCTCAGGGGAGTGCGTTTGCTTTGCAGATGATCATGGTCGCTCTTGGAATCGCCATTGGGCTCTTTGCTGCCACTCTTGTTGTTTATCCTCGTAAGTGTAGGGACGAAAAGTTTGGCATATCAGGAGAAATTCACGTCTATTTGTTGGTTTACAATTAGCACTAATTATTATCCTTTTACATATGTAGTTGGTAAAAAGCGAAACACTCTTTTAACGTTCTAATTTGCCTGCAGCCTCGACGAAAGAAAAAACCTCCCTTTCTCTCCTTCCACACATAAACTTATACAAAATATAAAAGGCTTTATCTATCTAACAACAAATGTAACATAAAGCCATAATGGTATATATTCTGACCATAAATGCATTGAATAATGTATAATGAAAAAGAACTTCTATTTTGCAAGCTTTGCACCGTCCAATCTTTATGTGGTTTTTTTTTCTTCCTCTTCATGCTAAAAAGTGGACGATTATTAATGAACTTCTAGTATTAAATGAGAAGAATGGAAGGAGAAATAAATGAAACAAATGATAGATGCAAAAAAAAAGAAAAGAAAAGAAAAGAAAAGAAAAGAAAAGAAAAAGAAAAAGGATATAGCAAAGAACATAAACATGGGTACAGTACTATTTACTCTTCTACCCTTTCTGCAACCTTTGTATCTATTTTGTTTTACAAAGGAGCTGCTGTAGGTTATCATTTCGACTTAGTCAATGGCGGTGACGTTGGTGAATAAGGAGATGATGGTGCTGGCGATGATGGGCGTTTCTTTGTAGTATCGCCAAATCCCTCTGAAACTGCTACAAAAAGTTCCTTAGTATCGCCACTACGGATCTTGCCCTCTAACTCTACAATCTCTTGGTCGTGTCGTCTCTTGATCTGCGCCAGCGCCATTGTCTCGACGATCGACAGCAAGAAATAGGAGATCATGATGAAGATGATTGTGTTCCAGATTAGCCCAACAAGACTGGTCGAGTTCTCCAGCTCGTCTTCCGAAACTCGATCCTTTCCATGCAGAGCTCCCTTCTGTGAGTTGATGCCGTCAGCCAAGTATCCGTGGATCAACGGGACCGAAGTCTCGAGCCATCCCATGAAAGCAGCCAATGTATCAGCTGAAAACATGAGGATTACAAAGAGTGTCTACAATAGGAGAGAAAAGAACTTGGTCAGCAGAGCGGTCTAAAGAGCTTTTTTTTTTTTTTTTTTTTTTTTCTTTTTTTTTTTTTGCACAAAGAGCATAACCACGTTTTCTTGCGAGTTGACGGAAATTTCGTTTTACCTGGATTGATGACTTCACAACAGCCTTTCCGAGGAAAGTGGCGCCAAAGAAGGTCGAGAATGGGATCAAGAAGTGGCCACAGGTGATCCCTGCGAGATCAAAAAGAGGGTTGGGGATCTAAAGGACCATCGAAAAGAGAGTAAAAAAAGAAAAGAATGGTCAGCCGTCAGTAGGATGGTTAGGGGTGGAAGATACCTTTATCCTCTGATAGCTAAGTAACAAAAAAGAAAGCATCTCCACAAAGAAAAAGAGTATAGCCGGCCATAACTACGACTTACGGAGGCGCACAAAAAGATACCAAAGAATCCTAAACGCTTCATTCCTTCGTGTACCATGAGCAGAATACGCTCCTTATATGAGACTGAGTCGGGTTTCTTCTTGAGCAGGTCCTCAATAGCAGCCAATTCCTCATTCCTATTCCCTGAGAGTGCAGCAGCCCTTGCAACAAAGTATGGCGGTAGTTCACCAATGGCAGTTCCAAAACCCCAAAAGAAACTCTCCCATTGCACGGCTCGGAAAATGGCATAAATTGTGAGGCTGACTACATCAGCTTCTGACGATTTACAAATAAATCTATATTACCAAACAGAAAAAAGGAGGATTAACAAAGTGAAGTTCCAACTGTGTGTGTGTGTGTTTTTTTATATGTATATAGTACACTCCTAAATACCTTTGATCACCACGAACATCAAAATTTGTGTTTCCACATTTGTAGGCAGCAAGCGTTACCTCCGCAATGTGTGGGCCCAAGAACAGGATGAATGTGTGCAATCCAGTGCCCAATCCAACAGATGAGGCAATTCCCAGTAATGTCCAATATCCGTACCAAATTAATCCAGACTCTGCGTGCTTGAGCAGCTATTGAAATATATAAAATAGACCGAAATTTTCATTAGAATAAAACGCTAGCAGACTAAAGCACAAAGAGGATGAAGAGTTTGGCTGTTGTGACAGTTAATAGAATGTGATTTCCACTTCGAAATTTCTAAAAATACTGCAACCTTACCGGTTGATGAGCACCGTCCGTCTGGTATACAAAGTAGACCACTGCCGTGAGAAGTGGTAACGCTACTAGAAGGTACTGCTGTGATACAATCCAGACAAGAAGCATGCGGAACTCATGTAACAGGTACAGCACAAAGTACGATAAGACGGTCAATGGCGAGGTGTACACCGAGATCTCCTGTCGCTCTGTTTCAAGTGCAATTCGCCTACGGTTGATGAATTCTATGTACACGTGGAGAATGTATACATGAGTCAGCGTAAATAAAACCACACAATATGGTTCGCCATTCAATCTCCTTCCATCTTCTACTATCATGCTTTCTGACTCTAAGTTACCTGTAAAATGAGTTGAGAAGCTATTTGATCGTGAAGAGATTCTGGATCGAAGGGGATGCGTCTGCTTTTTATGATTGCTATTATTGTCTTTCGATCTTCCAAAATTCTCTGTTGCCTTTGATTCCGCAAGTGATCCCCCTTTGGATAGTGATGATAACTCTGACTCCTCTTTCATTTGTGCCGCATTTGTGTGCTTTGAATCCGAGATTTGAATTGTGGTTGCTGCTTGCGCAGGCGATCCCTCTGGCTTTGAAGCCCGGTCCAAATTTTTGAGTCGCTTCTTCAATGCTGCTTTGTTCCCAGTAGTGAGTAGACCACGCTGATGACAAAGTTCTCGTAATTGTGGCAAAGAGTAGTTGCTCCATGGATATGTCTGGTGGATACCGATCGCACCCAAGGTGTTAGATGTAGAGTCGGAATCGTCATCGTCCATGCTCATCCCATGACTTGCATCACTATGAATTAGCAGAAAAAAGGTGTTCCAATAACACAAGAATAGAGTAAGGAACGAGGCAAATATTAAGAAATTGTCCGAGAGAAGGGGAAGCAGGCACCCCATATCCTCCATTCACCCCTTGCAAGTATAGACCGGTTCCTTTTTTTTGCGTCCTTTATCTAGTCCATTATAACAATACTCTATGACGATGTGTGTTGCATTACCTATGGATCAAATGATTAAACATGTTGTTCTGGTAATAAGTCATTATGAAATGTTGATCAGTCTACAGTTGTGTCTTGACTAACTAACTGACTGTGGTTGTTGTTTGTTGTTTATTTGTTATTTGTTTGTTGGTTGTCAATGGTATATAATAAGGCTAGCGAAGACAATTTCGCTGGAATGGGAGAATACAATGCAGCACGCACACAGAGCTGGCAATGAGGTCTTATGCGGCCTACTTGGAAGCTACAGCAATCAAATAAAAATAATAAAGACCCTTTTTATGGCCTTTTTATCTTCTGCTTAGGTGAGCAATTGAACAGAGACAGAAGACCAAGGAGAAAAGAGAGAGAGAAGCTGAATAGTCTAAGGGAAAAAACAAGAGGAGGTGTGAGCAGTAAAGAAGTAGTTGAGCAAGCTGATCTTTTTTGGAATGTAAAAAAAGGGAGTAAAAGTAGTAAAGTAATGAGCAAAAGATATTAATGGATGAGATGCACAAAGCACCATGCAGCCGATGAGGAGTTGGAAAAAGAAGGTTGGAAGGAGATGAAGAAAAAAAGAAAAGAGAGAGCTAGACGTATGCATGCCAACAGTCGAGCATCCGTGCCTGTATCAGACCAATTTTTGGTTGGATGGACTAAATGGACAGGCTTTCTTCCTGGACAAAGCAGTGTCGCCTCATTGCGTGATCATTGGTCTCTTTCAGGGACTTCAAACACATTCACACATGTTCAACAACAACAATGTTCATGTGTATCTTTGAGCTGATGTTTCGACGTGCTGGATATGAACTCATGCATGAACTGTAAAAAAAAAGAAAAAAGAACGTCCGATCACCCGAAGATTATTTTAGAATGAAAGAGTAAATCAAATGGCTTGATGGCGGACTTCTTAGAGTTCCTTCGTTTCCTTCTTCACTCCTGAGTAAAGTGAGCGAGTTCACTTTATATTACTTTGCAATGCATCGGATCAGAGACTACTCAATGTAGAGCCGCTCTTCCTAATCTGCTTGCTACTGGATAATGTGTATAGACAAATCTATCAATTAATCAATCATGCGGGGCCCCTTATGCTTCAATGAAATGTATGAAATTATCCGTCGCATTAAATAGTTAATACAGGGTCATGCAGTAAAAAAAAAGACCATGCTAATGCTTCCCCTTTTTTGCATGCATGTATACCTTTTTATGTGTCTGTGTATCATAATATGTCATGTACTCAACTCCAGTTACAAGAAATTAAAGCACAAAAACAGTAAAGGCCTTTTCCTTCAACTTCTACATTCAAAAAATCTATAGAACTAATCTAGTTGGCAGCCCAGGTGCCAAATATAATCAACTTTGAAGACTCTCTTTGGCAGCCTAGTTGTCAAGGAACACCCTCATGATTTGCCTGGCAACCTATCTAGCGTTATTTGACCTCTATTTCTTGTTTTATTATAAAAACTCTCGTATCTCGTTCACTGAGAATAATCCTGTATTGATGAGAAGCACAGGAGCTATTGTTTGAACTTGTTGACATCTAACAAAAAAAGGCTCATCAAGCTTTTTGATCGTGATATTCAGCTACAATCCAGACAGAGGCGCATCAACATATTTATGCGATCCTAATGCTTCCTGTCTATTGACGTTTTTATTGAGAGAAAGCCCACCAATTAAAGGCGGGTTTTTTACTTGAAAGACTGAAATAATAAAAAATCGGAGCCGTGCAAATGTCTTTTTTCTTCTTTATTTAGTCCCAGAGTCGCATGAAGAATATCAACATCTACTCTGGGTTACGTACGACCTTAAGAAGATAAATATCCTGGCCAGTATTTGATGCTTGGGTATCGGCTCTGGATCTGAGCTTGTGTCGTGGAAGGCTTCCCGGTAGTGGTATCTAACTGAATTAAAGACCCTGTATAAATAAAAAAAGATCCCCCGTGCAAATATCTTTGGATTAATCTATTTGGCAGCCTAGTTGCTAAATATTATTTGGCAGCCCATTGCCAAATATAATCAACTTTCAAGACTCTCTTTGGCAGCCCAGTTGCCAAATAACATTCATTATTTACTTGGCAGCCTACCCAGCGTTATTTGGCCTCTAACTATTTTTTTTTTTTTTTTTTTTTTCATTCCTAGGAACCGTATATGTGTATAACGCTCATACTTTAAATTAATAAAGCTCCCATCTTCTACGTCATGGTTATGTGTAGTGACATTGTCTTGTCTCATTGAAAACTAATGACTTTTTTTTTCAAGTAGGTCGCTCATACAGTTTTGGAGGTGCCATTTGGAGATCAATGCCTATGAGAGGTTTTCGCTCGGAGCAAACGCGTCTCACCTGCTACCTAGACGTCTTCAATAAATCATTCCCTAACCGTGTACATTGAAGGCTGTTTTGTGAAGATGTCATCGTCGCTGCCCTTAGTACCTCCGGTGGCATTAGCTGTGCAAGGCAATGTATCCACAGAACGCTGCCTGTTTTACCACTGATGTTATGACCCTGTTATCAAAAAAAAAAAAAAAAAAAAAAAAGTAATGTATTTGGCAGCCCAGCTGCCACCCAAGAGTGCGAAGTTAAGTGGCAGCCCCCAGAAGTAGGCTGCCAAATAGAGGCAAAAATTACTATAATTGGTATGGGCTGCCAAATAATATTAGCAACTGGCTACCAAATCTATAATCTAACGAGTAGAATAATGGTTACAAAAGGCAAAAGAAAGGGCCGAACCGGGAATTGAACCCGGGACCTCTCGCACCCTAAGCGAGAATTATACCACTAAACCATCCGGCCTGCTCATATGATGTTTGGAAAATTCATACAATATATTCTTAATTTCTATCAGCAGTGACACGTGATATAAGTCAGCGACAGTAACGGCTTTAAGCCACACATTGGATCAAGAGGTGACTGGAGCAACCCAGTCGTGCCACACAGTATGACGATGCGCCTTCCGATTATTGGACACGGCTTTATTTGCGACCCCAGTACCAGTAATGGGGCAACCCATTTATAGAGCTAACATCTAAATAAATCCTACATGACCTCGTGGGTCCTTGTTATCAAAAAAAAAAAAAAAAATCAAAAAAAAAAAAAAAAAAAAAGTCTCCAATCTATGGGTCGCCCAAACGCACACCTTTCCTATTGGAGACGGTTCCAAACTCTCAAGCAAGTGCCGGCTTTAGTATTTCTTCATCCCATTGCTCCATTACTGTACTAGTGGCAAGCCTATTGCTAGCGTAACTTAATTCATTTATAAATCTGCAAAAGCCTTGCTGTATTATTATTCATGTATTTTTTATTATTTTTTTCCTATTCTATTGGGTTTATTGGAGGCCTAATGTACAAAGTAAAAGAAAAAGAGGAGGGGGGTTTTTTTTGTGATATATAGTATATGAACAGGATGGGTGAAGGATTGACTATTTACTGAAAAACAGAGCAACGATCCAAGTCAGCATCAGGAGCTGCGGCGACAACCCAGCTGCGGATCGTGATATAGAGTGTAAAGACCATAGCTACCACACCTACGACGCCCAAGATGATATCCAGCACCTTGGCCTTCAACGTCTTGGCACAGGCCTTGTAATGAAACATGGCAGGGAAGATGAAGCACAATGGCATACAAGCAACCGATCCTACAAATGATACAAATTTATCCAAGTTGGGACCTCCGACCACAAAGCTGACAAGGGCACAAACGCAGATCAAGATGACACGAAGTGCATTCTTTTGAATCTTGACCTTAATGTCCAATCCACCCGATTTGGTACCAAAGATACCGTGTTCAAGGATCTTGGAGGCAGGGGACAACATCAAGGGAATTGAAAGAATCATTGCAAGTGAATACAAGAACTCGACTGTGATGGTCCAACCAGATTGAATAGGAAGGTTCAACAACACAATTGTCTGTACATTGCTACCAAAACTGGCATAGCAGAGTGCACCCACGCTCATGAAGATTACTGCAACAACTGTGATGGTCAATGCAAGCACGCGAGGGAACTTTTCAGGCTCCGCCATAGATTCTGTAATGGGGATAACTGTAGACGAGATGAAGGTTAAAAACGAGAAAAAAAAAAGTCAGTTAATATGTTCGAATGATGGCCTAGTTATTGCTCTTCAAAGGGCGTCAATCAAACAAAAAAAAAAAAAAAAAAAAAAAAAAGTGCCACTCTAACATACCAAGGCCAATTCCCTCGAAAGAAAAGACTGCAGTTCCGATAAAGAGCGCAAAGTCATCGCGGTTGAAGAGAGTAATGTTGGGCCCAGCACCATTGACAGCCAAGTTATTGATACTGAAGTACCATAAGTAAACAATACCAAAGACAATAAATAGGTTGGCCAGCATACTGGGGAGGGAGAGGATGGACATTCGACGGATGAGGACTAAGGGAATCAGGATAATGAGGGTCATCAAGATGTAGTATTTCTCCTTGATTGCATGGAACTGGCACCGTGTGAACGTTTCGACCACAGCATTGATATTCTGAGAGACAAAGATCAAATAGGCACAGCAGAATCCAACCTGGGATAAGGCCACCGAGACAAGGACAGCCAGACGCACATATTTGCCAAATAAAATAAGACCAATGTCCTGGAACGTCTCACGCACCACTAGACGGACCTTAACCAGCATCAAGAAGGAGACGCAGCAAACGATAGCGACAATGGCTAATAATAAGCATGAGAAAAGAATTCCTGACAACGAGCAAGTAAAATGAGAGAGTGGGGGAAAAAAAAGGTCAGAAGAGATTACCAGAGCAAGGATGAATTGCAGAAATAGAACAGAAGTAAAAAGCATGATTTCAGGCATAGAAATATGTAAATAAGAAGGCATTAGAACATACCTCCATTCATGAAAGCTTTTGGTAAGAACAAAACACCAGTACCAACAAAAGCTTTTCCGAGTAGGAGACTGGCTTTCCATGGGGTGACAGTGCCGCGCTGTGGAGTCTCCTCAGTCGACCTTAAACTATCCGTCATCATATCCTCGTGGATCAAGGAACCTGGATGGGATGGTTGCTGCTCCATCGTCATACTAGGGGCGTCTTTATGAATAGCTGACTTCTCGTTCGGAGGAGTAGCAATGTACGATGGACCTCTAGAAGCTTTTGGGCGGATTGTTGAAGCATCAGAGGGACTGGAATGAGAGGCACCCTTCTCGGCCAGCGAGACACTGTCTTCCTCAATATCAGAGGGAGCGGCACTATGGGATCCTTGACCACCATAGTTTTCAAACATGTTGGCATATTCAGAGTTGGTTCGAGCCAACCATGATACTGGGCGTGAACCAGGGCGTGAACCAGGGCGTGAGCCAGGACGTGAGCCAGGACGTGAGCCGGGTCTAGAGGATGTGTGTTGCCTTGTGCGGGAGTTAGCTCTGGAGCCAGGATTAGATTGAATGGGTGGCAGAGTAATGTTGTTTGCATTCGTTGGAGTGTTCAGGAATAGACTCCGGCCGCGCTGTGGCTGGGATGAAGGCGGTGGTGATGGAGATGCGTCCTCTGCAACATCAACGCGAGGCACATTGTTCTGATCAAAGACGCTCATTGGGTTTTATCGATTTATTTGAAGGATTAGGAAGATAGTGCAGGAAATGTGAGCCAGGAGGAATGGGTATCAAATATGGCTGGTTTGATCGTGAGAAAATTATTGATAGAGGACGGAAGAGGTCAGGAGATAAATCAGAAGAGGGGGAGGAATGAAGAAGAGGAATAGGTATAATGTACGTCGGATAGATCAAAGTTAGGTAACGATGCTTAGGAAAGGAAGATGAAAGGATAAAAAAAAAAGGATGGGATGGAGGGGTAGATGAAGGACATTTTATAGGTTCAACTGGTATTGTAGACTTAATTTGGACTAGAGCTAAAAAAGAGTTTAATCAGAAGTACTAAAAAAGGATTCTTCCCCTCCTGGCCCTTGTTATTTATTCATGGTATTCATTACAGCATAACAGAGAAGACGATCTGGCAATGTGCCAAAGCCCCGGTCCCTGTGTTTGTACGTAATTCCTCCCCCCAATATAGTTTATCGTAAAGAGCATCCATCATGGACGTATGCATGATAATTTAAGGTCTCATGAAGTTGATCATCAGAGATAAGAACCTGACTTGAATCATATGTATATCTATACAATCATCTTATTTTCCCCTCCATTAATCCTGAGAGCTCTCTTCTTACAACTATAATAAGCTATGGACAATAAGCCGCAGAGTTTTGAGTTCGACCAAGAACCCAAGTCATGTCAGTCTTTTAGGATTTCGAGGGACACTCATTGTCCTATATGACATTAGTTGCCCATATCCAAATTTATGATGCTTATTTGCAAAAAGCAAATGTCCTTTATTAAAACAGTTGCTTTTGTCTTGGATCGAAAGGACAAGAGAATATGTATCTACATATTCATGTAAGCATTTCAACCCAAGATTGTGACAAAAAGGGTGGAGGATAGTGTAGCATAAATCTGCAATGAGGGGGAAATCCATATTTCTGCCTTCTGGCCCTTTTTTCATTGTCGTGCCGATTACGGAAAATGACTTTTTTAATGGGCGTAAACAAGCGAAGGTCGTCATCATAGACAAGGTTCACTGATTACATATATATATGGCCTACACAGGAGCTATCACGGTACAGTACATATAACTGTATATACTAGAAGGCATATTATCGTAGTAAAAAAATAAAAAAAAAAATGGATTTAGGGTGTAACATCGTTTGAATGGATCAACGACATTCCATGGGCATCATGATCATTTTTCCCTCTTTCCTTAATAGCACAAACAACATAAAAGAGAAGAATGAAAATCCCTCGTTCGGGATCCGGGGTGAGAAAGTTCACGTACTCCCGGACAAATGGTAGCTAGTTAAAATCCATACTCATATGCACTAGTCTGATCCATGGAGTCCTATAGAAACTATAGAAAAAGAGGAAAAAAAACCAAAATAGAGTACTTTCAAACCGCGATCAATAGTAGCTTTCTCTCTATGTCTCTTGCTAGTCACAGCCTAGCAAGTATAATATGCTCCAGTTCTCTAATCCAATCGTAGCGAAGGAAAAAAAAAAAAAAAAGCAAAAAAGAAAAAAGGACAAAACGGCCATTCTGTGAATATGGTTACTGCACTGTAGGCGTTTCGCCTCTTTGTCTTCAAGTTGTCTCTTGCTCTCTCTCCCCAATGTACACTTCGGGTTTCTCCCTTTTCGTTCTTCCTCTCATACTTCTTGTAATGACGAAACATAAAAAGGAAAAGAAGGAAAGCTCTATGAGACATTTTTTTATTTCTCAAATCCTTTTCCTTGCACATCCCTGCCACTCTTGGAAGTATTCTAGAAAGAAAACTAATAAGAAAAAAAAGAAAAATAAAAAGGAGAAAAGACAATGAAATGATGGGCCCTTTTTTTTTTTTTTTTTTGTGATCAATAATAAAAACCTTTGGTTTTTAGAAAGCTGGACCGTGCCGTTGAACTGTGGTTTGTTGTTTACGTTTTGGAGGAATGCTGTGTTTAATTGTAAAAAATAACTAAATAAATAAATAAATTATAAATATATTTATATATATATATATATATATATATATACAAATAAGTAAAAATTTGTATATATTACAGTTTTTGCTTGTTTGTCCATTACTCCCCAACGACATTGCATTGCCTTTTAGTCTTCTTCTTGTGCGTGAGTACATTTCCTAATTTAATGATGATATCACTGTGCTTGATCACCAATCCATAAATTTTTCCACGGTCCTAAAAAAATATAAAAAAAAAAAAAATGCATGTAGCCAGTCTAGACCAAAAGAGAAATGATTGCTCAGTTTGAGTTCCCTGATCCGAAGGCTTGCACATGGCTAGACAACATGGAGGAAGTACAATTGGACAAAAGTGAGTCCCCGATCCACCCTGTTTCGCTCTCTTTTGGGGTATTCCACGTCATAAAGTCATTATATTAACTATGTATATATACATGTATGAACAGAGAAGATCACAAAAAGTGTGCTATATTCGTTATCAGTCTCGCTATGGTGAACATGAGCTGCTGATAAAGAAACTTTAAGATTCTTTGTGGTTCATCATCAAAATATAGACCTATGAATGGTATGGTGACTATATTGTTTATTACTCTAAGGCATTAAAGGGAGCAGCCATGACGCTGCACGTTATTTTTGAGATTCTTCTTTTTTTATATTTATATTTTATTTGATCAAAGAGATGGAAGCGTTCAATGGTGCTGAATATCCTCTATTAGATGTTTGGTGGCATCATAGGTGCCTACTACTATGACGACCATCCCCACAACGAAAATAAACCATATCCACATCTGATTCAGCCAGAATACATTTTTCATCCCTCCTAATCGATAGTAGAACAAGACAGGCATCACATACACCAAAAGGCAGGTTGCGAGGGCTCCCAACAGATCCATCAGGTCGCCAAAATATGGAAGCGCTGACGCAACTAATCCCGCGAAGAGGATGACGATTGTCCTGGAAGTTGCTCTTTTTAGAAATTGTTGGGATTTTGTTCCTTGTTCAAAGGCAGGGGCACGTGCAGCGATCGAGTCCTCGATCATCACAGCAAATGAAGCCAAGAGAATCGGCGCAGCAAGGAGCACGTGTAGAGTAATGAGTGAATTGGCCAAGGTAGACCATACGCCTAATAATTATAGTGACAAAAATGACAAGAATAATATATATAGTAAATTATTAAAAGCTCAAGGAATGTTCCTTCATGCACGTATGTATAAATGATATATTTATACGCTAGTTTAGTCAAGTTCAGTTTGTCAGATTTTAGAACATTAGTATAAACATATTTATACTTTTTTTTTTTTTTTACCATGAGGAAGATTCTCCAAGATCGGATTCATGGTTAAATTCCCAAATGCAAGATATCCAGCCACAGCAATCGAGATATACATCACAAAGCAGGTCGAGAGCGCGAGCCACAAGGCAGTTGACCATTTTCGTGGGTGTTTCATGGTCTGTTCCACTTGTGGATACACAACATTCCCACCATATGCATAAGACATGGTTGCTAACGAAAGCGGAACCTTGGACCAATCAGCGAATTGATGAGTCGCTGCAACAGCTTCTACGGCTCTATGGATGACCATCTCTGCAGAGACTCCTACAGTGATCATAACAACCCCAACTGTCGCACCTGCGCCAATCAGACTTGTATCCATATATTATATATATTTTATAATCGTGTTCTTGACTTATTAGCGTGCCAAGAAAATAATATTTATAAAAAAAAAACTCGAAATACCTGAGAACGGCAATCTCTTTCATAGACTTTGTGAAAATCAAGCAGACCCAGACAAAGAGCGAACATCCTATGAAAAAAGTAGAGGGTGGGACACTGGGATCGTTCGGGTTTGCTACCATGCCGTGAATCAGGGTTGAAGCCAAGATAATGTACAAGATGGCGCATCCAAAAAGATTGATACCGACGGCTCCAACAGCAATATAATGACCCATACTTCCGTATGCATCCCGTGCAATTTGTTGAAATGAACTACGCCTCCTATCGCTGTTATTTTTTTTTTTTTTTTACAAGTCGGTTCATTATTAATGCCAATTTAGTTCAAAAATACGCGACTTTTTTTTTTTTTTTTTTTTTTTTTTCGTGAGTAGATCAAGATACAAAAAAAAAAAATTGTACACGTTACGTGTTGAGATAGAGACATTGGATAAGCATATTTCCAGTGGTTGTGGACATGAATAAGGCCAACATAACGATCACAACCCCTAACCATCCAGATTGTGCAACCGCATAAGGCATACTCAGTGTACCTGTCCCCGCGACCATGCACCTTGTTGGAAAGGGAAAAGCAAAAATACATGATGCATATATTAGCTTCAAAGCAATGAACGTAAGGTTAAGGATATATCCAGACATATAAAGTAAATGAAAAGGAAAAAAAAAAAAAAAAAAAAAAAGTTCACATACACTAATGATGTGGCAATCTTGAGCGTGCAAACACCTTCAGCACGATCAACTCGCAGATCCATCCTATGTTTGTGCATATTCACTTTCCCTTCTTCCTCTTCTTCTTCATCTTCATTGCCCTCTCCTCCTCCCCTCACTCTCACTCTACCTATTTCTTGAGCTCGGGCCTCTCCACTACGGTTTCCTTGCCCATCAATATCATCATACGTCGATGATGGCAATCCTTTTTCATTTTTCATTTTCTTTTCCTTCCTCTCATTTTCCTTTTCATTTCCATTTCCGTTTCTGTTTTCAGTAAAATGTTCAATCAAGTTGGAGTTGCGCTTCACGAGCAAAATAGCAGAGTCGATTGTCTCGGTCGATCCGCGATGAAATCTCCAAAATTTGAGCCGATGTTTTATAATCCTGTATTTGTTTTTATTGTTCTCGTTCTTTGGCGATCTCAGGCAGTTGCCGTTGTTGTTGTCATTGTTGGTATAAAGGCCCTTTAGACCCCTTCCATTTGCACTCCTGTCCTCATTGTCGTTGCCATTACTGGGATTGCCTCTACCTGCATTGGGATTTGGTAGTGCCGATATTCTTTCCATTTTCTTTTTTTTTTTTTTCTTAAGGATGATTTCTTTTTTTTTTTTTTTTTTTTTTTTTTTAAAAAAAAAAAGAGTACAAGATTGAATAAAGCAACCTTGAAAGGAGGTTAATTGAGAACTATATATGTATATATGTAAAGAGATCTACGAAAAAAAAAAAAAAAAAAAAAAAAAAAACTATAGTATCAGGATGACCAGGAATGCGGAATGTGAGGAAAAGTAAAAAAAAATGAAGTTTTGGGACGAAGAGGGTGTTAAATGGGTAAAGTGCCTAGTTGGAACGAGCGAAATAACAACAGCAGTTACAGTAACAATGGTAACAATAATAAAGAGGTCAAAGCGGAGTGGGGAATATCTTATCTCAGATCGTTAGATCAGGACCACCTCGAATGACGAAGGGCAAAAAGACAAAAGGGAAGGAAATAAAAAAAAAAAAAAAAAAAAACGCGCTGTGGTGTAGAAAATAGCTATGCATCAATTAAAGCACAGACGCCAATTTTATTTTTTGTGCGACACAAATATATATAAATATATTATCTCTTAAACCGTCAACCTGCCAGGATTTTTTTTTTACCGTGTTTTTCTAATAGATTATAAAAGTACGCAAGCTGTTGCACCCATGGTTGCTACATTAATCACTCCTCATTCATTAGCTAAATCTCGCTCAAAGTAAGCATTAGTTACCAATCATTACACTCATAAGCTCATCTACTTCATCATTCGAGACAGTTCGTTTTAGAGCTAGCAAGAGGCGTGGTATTGACTTCAGATGGAAAGTTGATGACCTGAAATTTAAGAATATGGCCCAACGCCGTTGCTCCTACAAAATCTGATACTTCCAATGTCAAATTCGAAAATGCCATATGATTTCTAATGACTCTTACTTTTCATATCTGCATCAAGAAGAAAGGTTGCTGTACGATATATGTATTAGAGTATCTATTGAACATGGCTTTTTATACAAGCGGATCAGAGCTAGCCAACATCCATGGTAATGCTGCAAGTTCTCGTTGGGATATTAAAGTAAAAGCAAAAGGAAACAACTAAAACATTCACTCAGTTTTGTGCGTTAGTGTATTTATATATATGATGGCTTCAGATCACTATGGTACAATAAATAACTTTTTAAAAAATCTAATATATTCTAATGTAATTACGACTTTCATTCTCCCAATACCTCCTTCTGCTTCATCTTATTAAATGAACCTTCTCTTCCTCATAGCAGTATTGTAAATAAATAAAATAAAATAAAGCGAAATGAAAATGAAAATGAAAATCAAAAAGTGCTATAAAAAAAATCTGTCTCCCTTCCTTGTACGGATACCTACATGAATATTTGCATGTATCCTTCAGACTTAAATATAATGCCATTAACTACCTTTGCGTCTCTTTTTTTTACTGATCTCGACTACGCACCCATTCTGGTGGGTCACCCACAGACATTGTCACAGGATCGACTAGTCCATTATAGTTCTCATAAACTGTATAATCAAATGTCGTGAATTCGCGATCGATCAGCGCCATCTGGTATGCAATCTTTTCTTTTCGTGACATGTTGCTTGGTGGTGTCAAGGGTGCAGCATCCGCAGCAGTAGGACTTTTGTTATTATTGGCAGCAGCAGCAGCGGCAACGGCAGCGATAGGTGCAGGAGATGATTGACGCTGAGATGTTGGTGAATGTGGCAGTTGTTGTTGTTGCTGATATCCACCTATTCTTTGTTGTTGTTGTTGTTGTTGCTGCTGCTGCTGTTGTTGGAGTGGTGTCGTGCCTCGCATTGGCAACGGATGAGGTAAAGGATTTCCTCCGCCGCCACTACCACTAAGGGACGAGGATGAGGATGTCGATGTGGATGTATACTGTTGCTGTTGCTGTTGCTGTTGCTGTTGCTGTTGCTGCTGATATTGAGCATGATACTGTGATGAGGTCGGCACCGGTGGTTGGCCTGGGAAAGTTCTTCCTGTTACATCATTCTCATCGTAATATGCTTTTTTAGACTTGAAGTGTTGAAACTGAGCAGGAGTATTATGTGACGACGAGTGGTTATGGCCTCTTTTCCCCGATGGTGAAGACGAAGATGTAGAGGATGGGACCGCGGGCTTGGACAGATATATGGCAGTGACCCCATGGCTACTCTGTTGGTTTGAGATCTGATAAGTATATCCGCTAACGGTGCTTCCGGATGCTGCAGCAGTACTGACAGGGGAGTTCAGTCCTTGATGTTCGAGCGAGGGTTTGGATGGATAAGATGAGCTTTGCTGCTGTTGTTGTGGTTGATGATATTGGGATGAGTTTGATGGGTAGCCCTGGATGGGTGACGATGGTAAGGAGGTACCCATGTGTGAATAATGGCGGGCACTACCACTGCTACTGCTTGTCCCACTGTTGTTATAAAAGCCGTGATGGACTTGGTTGCGAATATATTGACCTGATTGACGGGAGGCTGAGGGAGGAGGAGGCATAGGGAATGGCGGCGGTGGTGATGCTGGTATGGTCATTCCCCGTCCACTACCTGATCCTTCTCCAGAAACTTTGGGTATCGACTGCTGCTGTGATCTTGTCTGTTGTTGTGCTGTGTGATGTTGCTGCAGCTGCTGTTGTAGCAGCTGTTGTTGGTATTGCAAGTATGGCTGGGATGTCGAGAGTGGTTGCGATAAGTGAATATGACTACTGTTTGCACTACTCGTATTGCTATTGTTCTCACTGTCCTTCCCTCCCGGTCCTCCCGGTCCTCCCGTTCCTCCACCACCACCACTGCCAAAAAAGACTTTTGATTTTTTCTTTGCAATCTTTTGAGCTTTGTCCTTGGATCCTTGGTGCTGCTGCAGGTAATATTGCTGTGAATTTTCCCAGCTATTGTTGCTATTATTATTATTATTATTATTGTTACTGTTATTATAATTATTGTTGTAGTGACTGAGGTGATGGCTATTGTATTCGTCTGCAGAGACAGCCATAGCCTGCATCGCCAAATCTGCAGCCGCAATTGCAGCCTCATGTTCTGCCTTCAACCGCGCATTCTCTTCCTTCAATGCCTTGTCCTTTTCCTTCTGCATCCTCTGTGCTCTCTTGCGAGTGGATCTATAGGTCAGAGGTTCATCGTCCAGCAGCAGCTCTTCTAGATCGTAAGTGGCATCAAAGTTGTTATATTCTGATGAAGGCTGGAATTTTGGTGTCAACTGCTTTGACTCTAGCATATACCACCAGTTATCGGGGTTTCCTTGATATGCTCCAGCTAGGAAAAAAGGATGTTGTCGAATTGCATCCATTCCACCTTTGATGCCCAATCTCTCCTTGACATCTCTTGTAAGAAACTGGTTTTGTAGAAAGGTTGTATCATGACCAAAAAAAAAAAAAAAAAAAAAAAAAAAAAAAAAGAGTATATTTTTTTAGTATAAGAGCATTAGACTTTTTGTTTTTTTTTTTTTTTTTAAAAAAAAAAAGAAACTTACTCCACGCATGGCCGAGATACACTCCTGTGAGAGTCCATCCTTTTCGGGATATTCTATCTGTTGAGTTGGGATAGCCTTCTTGAGTTGATTAACACTATCAGTCTGAAAGGGTCGTTTGCTGTAAATGGCCTCATAAAACAACACGCCGAGGGCCCACCAATCAACACTCGTTCCATATCCGGATGCTGTAAACACTTCTGGGGCCATATAGGCTGCTGTTCCTGATTGTGAAGTCAAGAAGGGTTTCTGAGGGGTAAGTTTACATCCAATGTTGAAATCGGTCAGGTGAGCATGTCCCTTTTCGTCCAAAAGAACATTGTCGGGTTTTATATCTCGATGTACAATCCCTAAAGAGTGAAGGTGTGTAATGGCTGAACAGAGTTCTGCAATCCAAAACCGAACCACATCCTCACCAAATTGTTGCCTATTCAAATGGAACCGCAGATCGCCTCCCATCCTGTTTTTTTTTTTTTTTTTTTTTTTTTTTTTTAGAATTGTATTGTAAAAGAAAGCTTTCTTAGGATGACAATGTTTATAGTTTTTTACAATGATAGACTTTTTTTTTTTTTTTTTTTTTTTTTTTACACCAAAGATAGGATAGTAGAACGACGACTTACATTAGATCCATACACATATACATGTATTCATCGTCCTGGAATGCAAAACGCATATTGACTACAAAGGCATGATCTAGTGTCTCTAAGATCTGCCGTTCGCGCAATACGTTCCTGACGGCATCCATCTTTATAACCTGGGACTTTGATATGTATTTGAGTGCATAGATCTTCCCTGTCTCTCGCCTCTCTACCATGCGGACCTAAATTGTTTTTGAAGCAACAGGAACGATTTAGTTTTAGAAATATAAATATAAACATAGAAGAGAAACGCGAGTGGAGGAGACAGGGGATGTTCAGCTCCAATGCTCTTTCTTTCTTTTTTTTTTTTTTTTTTTTTTTTTTACGTCATGACGGAAAATGGATCCGTGTGCAAATAAAAAAAAAATTAGACAGAATAGTAAAAATATTCGATGGTGAACAAGCGTGTTATTTCTTCCTTGTCAACCCAGTCCAATCAGATGAAGGAAGGAAGAGGGGGGATGGGAATAAGCTATCTTTTCCTTTTCCATCTCTCCCTGTCCCTTTATCCCCTGTCCTGTTCCCCCTGTTTCCGCAACTAGCATATGTTGTAATTACTCTCTGTCCTGTAACCAATGGTTCCATTTACGCCGACTGAACAAAAACAATAAATAAAGAAAAAAAAATAAAAAGGAAAAGAGAGGGAAAAAAAAGTCCGGATGGGTAGCTTGTTGCCAAAGAGAGGAAAGAAAGTTTTGTTTGGCAAAGTATCTCCTTTCCCTGTCGCACGATTTAAGGTTGCTTTTTTGATACAAATCCCACACCACACGCCCTTCTCCCTTCCTCCAACCCAACTCACGAGAGCTCACAACAGTTACTGGAATGCAGTTTTTTTTTTTTTTTTTTTTTTTAAAAGGTATATATATATATAAATACATATACATAGAGGTGTGTATGTTATTAGGTTGTACGAGAGAGATAGAGAAAGAGAAAGATAAAAAGGAATGTGTTGTAAATGAAAAAGACGGTTTCTAAAGGGGCGGGAACGAAGAGTTTTTAATCTCTTTTTTTTTTTTTTTTCGTGATGATTGTAAGATAGTACATGTTACATGTATGCTGATCCTATCTTTGTCCGTCAATTTCTATTTTTTATATTCATTTTGCCACCATTGTAATGCAATGCATAACTCATTCAAATTACCTTGCCAAACGATCCTCGGCCAATGACCCTGAGTAGTTTGAATTGGAAGAGGTTAACTATATACATGTGTTTTTTGGTAATGGAATGGCAACATTAGATGGATGTTTATAATGTCATTAAGATCAAAAAAAAAAAAAAACTTTTTTTTTTTTTTTTTTTTGTTGCTGCATCACTGCCTGATCCTTGCCTTCATTGTTAAAGATATCTTCCTGATCTCTGCTTGTCCCGTTTCCCATGACGAAGTTGATTGTTTAATATAATACAGCGGAAATCTCCTCTTTTGGTCGTGAGCGTGTCAAAGATGAGGAGGTCAAAGGAGGAGAGGGAAGGGGAGGGGTGAGGGATTAGGATAGGGAATAAGGGCAAAGTGGAAAGACCCTTTGTAGCGATATTAATGTTAATGTTAATGTTAATGTCAATATCAGAATTGAAAAGAGAAAAGACGTTGGAAGGGGGGGCTGGGCAATTGGGACAATAAAAAAAAAGTGAGATGTTGAATCGTTGGAATGTCTTAAAATCGTATGAAATCGTGAAAACGTGAGTGAGATGTATGAGATGTGTGAGATGTGTGAGACGAGACGTGAGCAAAAGAGAAAGATCTTTTTAAAATAAAAGGAGGAGTGATGCTCGATTGTTTCAATGGGGATGGACAGGAAAAAGAACGTAGTAAAACACAAGAAGAGATCAAAAGAAAAAAAAAAAAAAAAAAAATGAAAATGAGAACGAAAAAGTAAAAAAGCGAAGAAGCGAAAAAAAAAAAAAAAGTGAAAAGGGTAGAAAGGGTATAAAGAAAAATATAGTTTATGTTTTTTTTTTTAATATTAAAAAAAACTGCATTTTGCATTTAGGAGAATTACACTCAGCAGTTTTCTATTTTTGTGTGCTAGACCATAGTCACTTCACTCACCCTTTGACCTTTTTTTTTTTCTTTTTGCTTATTCATTCTCTCTTTGTCCTCATACATTGTGTCTTGCTTTCTTTAATTGTAATGAAATAAATTAAGGGAAAAAAAAAGACATTAACAAGCATCGCCAACGCAACATCGACAATGTGAAAGTCTTGTCTTGGCCAATCGCTGATAGACCGATAAACCGAGGAAAAACAATATTTTTAAAAAAACAACAACGATCGAAGTTCTTCTTTTCTTCCGTCCTCCCTTCCCCCCCCCTTTTTTTTTTTTTTTTTTTTTTTTTTTTTTAATTGATAATTTGAAAAAAAGCCTTCAATAACGGCTTGATTACAAATGGTGGCTTCATGTCTATCGTGTCCATCAATAGAATTTCGCGCGTAGTTCATTTCATAATTTTTAGGGAGAAGCAAGGGGGAATATGAATATCAATGTTGCACATGTTTAAGGAGAGAGAGACAGTTTTATTCTTGTACTCTTGTAATCGTCTTTGCCTTTTTTTTTTTTTTTTTTTTTTTTTTTTTTTTCTTTAATTTTAGTTCACGTCATCAGTGTTTTCCCTTTGAGGAACAATGAATCGAGAAAAAGAAGGAGAAAGAAAAATCGAGGACGAGAATGAGAAAAAAAAAAAGAGAAAGAGAGAGCACCTTGACTTGACTAGAATTTGCTGTACACATGCTATTCTACATCATTGTCCAAAACGTGTATAGGTATTATACCTGTAGTAATATAGATAGATAGATATATATATAAATGTCTTTCTTATTATTCTAATGTTCTAATGCATACATGAATCTGTATAACAGAATGCTCAATGCAATCGAGTAGAGAATTGTCAGGACGATTGTGTCAAGCTCTTTTTCAATTGTGCTCAATGATTTCCAAATCCATGGGTTTTAAATATAAACAAAATTTATTAAAGAATTGATACATCCACATGTGTTCCTGAACTTTTTTTTTTTTTTTTTTTTTTTAAGTCCGATGTAAATCCATCAGGGCCTGTGTAATCGTATAGCAGAATGAACATGTAAACATCTTTCCACGAACACATGTCTTTTCTTTCTCTCTTTCTCTCTTTCTAATTTTTTTTTTTTTTTTCCTCACTCTACATGTACTTTGCCTTAACTTCTTTTTACATGAACATTTTAAAAAAAGTAAGCGCTCTCCAAATTCAAAACGTGGCCTCGACACGCCTTTTTTTTTCTTTTCTTTTCTTTTCTTCCGCTCTAAAGTTTTTTTTTTTTTTTATTTATTTATTTTTTATATATATATATACACTTTATTGGTGATCCTTTATCCTGTTGATCGCTGTACTTTAAAAAAAAAAAAAATGCTCCACTTTTCTTTTTTATGTATTAATCCGATCTCTTTGTAGGTTTTTTGAGCATAAACAGAACATGAACATAAATAAATAAACAGGGTGCAACTTTGGTTTATGTAAACCATGTTTCCGCTTGCTTCTCCCTTCCATCGTGTCTACATGTACATGTACAGACTGTACAGTTCAATAAAAAGATGCTCTCGCTATATGTATACATATATACATACATATATAGTATATATATATATATAATACACATATTGTATAATATTATATAAATATATATGTAATGGAGCTAGAAACTAAAAAATCTAAATAAACTAGAAAACTAAAAAACTATTAAAAATATGCCTTCAATCAAACAGACAGCTAATCTGCGCACATTCTTTTTTTTTTCTTTTCTTTACTCTTCTCCGAGGTTTATAGTTCTTGAAGAAAATAAAATTAAAATGAAAAATCTTTTGGTGTTCGGCTAAAATCTCTCTAATATCTCAAAGAAATTTCGCCCAACTGTTGTTTGATCTTTGCATGGCCCTGTCCCCCCATCGTCAACAAACCTAAACCTCTCTTCATTACACCAAGTTTCTTTGTTTTTGTTTATCACATTTCTCATTTGGAAAACACGACTCTGCAGGAGCTTGTTACCCTTTTTTATTATTGTTATTATTATTATTATTATTGCCGCAGAAGGCCCATGCACATCATTCATCAATCATCTCTCATCCATCTCTCATCACTGACTTTTTCTTTTTTCTTTTCCTTTCTTTGTTAGACATATACCTTTAATATTGAATATATTTTCATAGTCTATGGAAGGGTGTAGGGGTCAATATCAGTCTGAACCTGATATGAATAAAGAAAGAGTCTTTTTCATGGCAATGATTAAAAAAAAAAATCCTTGTCCTCCCTATTACAAAAGTCTTTCTTCCTTAATGATTCAGTTGCATTTGTTGTATCATTTGCGAGGCCTGTTCATATTCTACTTCTTCTTCCTCCTGATCAGTACGGCGAAGTAAAATCTAACTCATTTTTTTTTTTTTTTTTTTTTAAAAAAAAAGGTGTCGATTTGTTAAAAGATTTGAAATATACTTTTTTTTTTTTTTTTTTTTTAAAAAGATTTTTCCTAGGTATCTGCAACCTCACCTGAAAGTCCGTGATCTGGGGCAAGTATGCACAAGTACTGAGGTCCAAGATGTAAATATCATCAAAGACAGTTTGACCATCATAGCCACCAAACACAAATAACCTAGAGTCATACAGCAATGAAGCATGGTATCCCCGACCTGCAGGTGGAATCCCGAAAATCTTGCGAGTCTCCCAAGACCATGTCACTAAAGGAAAAGGAAAAAAAAAAATTGTTCCAACATGGATATAAGGAAGGTTAAAATATAAAATATCTCCATTATTTATATATACTACCTTGCATCCCCCCCCCTCCTTTCCCCTTTCCCTCTCAATAAGCTGCTGCAAACTATTGTAGTTCATGTAGTTCATGCAGCCTATTACAATCCATGCAGTCTTGCATTCTCAACCAATATCCCTTCTCTCGGCTTACCCAAGTTGAGCATCACGACATCGCAAGAGTACCGGTTTCCGTCATGTCCTCCGATGACAAACAAATATGAGCCTACTTGCGTGGACGTATGCGATAGCCGAGGTAATTGTCGATTGATTTCAACCTTGACCCATTCCTTTGTGTCTATATTCATCATGATCATTCAGGATCAATAGATAGTTAGTCCAAAAGTATTCTCTATTCATTGGTTCATTCATTCATTCAACCCTTTTTTTTTTTTTTTTTTTTTTTTTTTTTTTCCTCTCACTACTCTCACTTACCAAGATCAAGCACATGTACATCAGCAAAGCACTCGTGACCATCGCTTCCTCCATATACAATGAACTGTGACTTTATAAGGTTACTAGTATGGTAACCTCGAGCAATCGGGATTTGTCCTGTTGTCTTCACCTCACTCCACCTCATCTCGGCCAAATCCAATTTGTATATATCATTCAGTGCTTGCACTCCATCTCCTCCACCAAAGACATAAATACAGTTGTTATACACACATGTTGTATGAGCTCGACGACGACATGGTTTATCTCCTGTCGTCTGCGGGTTCGTCCAAGTCAATGTGTCTATAAAGAAAAAGATAATAATAACAATAATAATAATAAAAATGAGCAAATGGAACCTCTTCCCCTTTGGTCAAAGTCGCATGCCTCAGATTGAAACAATAGGCTAAACTAAAAAAGCGTAGCAGGGTTTGCAATTGAAAAATAAAATAAAATAAAATAAAATAAAATAAAAAAGTTTCACGTACCTGTGTCCAGCATATACAACTCGTTAAAATAATGTGGACCGTCTCCACCCCCAAAGACATATAGTCGCTTATTATCCACTAAAGTCGATGAATGAGCACGACATGGTGGTGGGATCGATCCATAGGTCTTTGGTTGGGACCAGTGCATTGTATCTAATTGTTTCAAGATATTTGTCAAATAAAATATATAATATATAATATTAAAATATTATATGTATAAAACAAGAGGTTTACCATCAATAACATTACTGGAATTCATTCCACGGTACTTACCAGCATCGAAAATATACAAAGTGTTGAAGCAATTCTTGGTATCGCATCCTCCAAAGATATACACAGATTCCCCTACAAGATTGACTGTTTGCGCACGAAGTTCCTTTGGTGGGATCTGTCCATGAACTCGAGCCCTTGACCAGTACATTGCCGGTGTTGGTGCGGGCGGTACAGTCATGCTAGGTCTAGATGCATTAGCCGACTGGTTCTCTCCTTTGTTTCTATGCTTCCTTGAAGAGGATGAATGTGATCCCGACCCATGATGGTTACTTGAGGTCTGTGTTTGATGGTGGCTATGGGGATGGTTATGTTGACGGGTAGAGGATGAGGATGAGGATGACGCAGTGGCATTGTGATTATGTGTGTTGCCAGCTGACCCTGACCCTGACCCTGACCCTGACCCTGACCCTGCCCCTGCTCCTGATGCTGGTGCTGGTATTGGCGCAGGTGTAGGTGCAGATGCAGAAGCACCAGTGTTGGTGACCCTTGTGGAATCCGGATGTGAACTAGAAGTAGCTACTTTTCCACTTGAAAAAATCGCAGGATCTGGCCCAGGAATAGCTTGACCATCAGGATAGTTATTGGTGTTCTCTGAGGCCGAGGATGTGCCGTTACTGGCTCCGCCCATGTTAGGGACAATGGCCTCACCAGAGCCAACGGATGAGAAGGATGTGTTCATGTGTGATGGTAAGGATTGATTAGCGTTGTGTGAGGAGGGTGATGGGGATGTTGGATGTTGCCTTTGAGTACTCATGAGTGGGCGACTGATCGAGGTGGAAGAAGCAGGTGAAGAGTTTGCACTTTGAGCATATTGTAATTGTTGAGGCTGTTGTTGCTGCTGGTAAGATTGCCCTGAGGTGGGGCTTGCGAGCGCTGACATGGTGCCCGTGGAAAGACCACGACTGTGTTTGACAGTAAAAAAGCTATTGTTGCTATTTAGACCTCCGCCACTTCCGCCACTACTATTATTGTTGGTATTGGCAAGAATACTCTGATTGACAGCGTTGTTGAGAATGCTGTTGCTGATGATGGCTCCTTCTCGTGTCATCGTACTATTGAAGCTAGTATAGCTGTGTGAGCTACCGATGCTATTACTGCTCGTGTCCGCTCCTGGAGGCGCTGCTGCAGAAGTGGAGGTAGTACTTGTAATTGTAGCCGTGGCTGTTGTTAATCCTGGAATTTGTATTTGCGCTGATGAAGGTGAAGAAGGCGAACGCTGTGAAGCCTGTTGTGGTTGATGGCGTGATGATGATCTTGAGGGAAAGGGTGGTGGAGAGCCTTGTTGTTGGTATTCTTGACTAATGTTGGCACGAGAGCTCCCTGAACTTCTTGCTGTGATGAGTGGAGGTGACTGGACCCTGGACCTTTTTGTCGTTGTCGTTGTTATTGTTGTTATTGTTATTGTTTTAATAAATGTAAAACAAAATGGAAAGTTGCGAGTGAAATAGTCCAAGCAAAGAATAAAATCAATTAGTTTGTCAGTTCAATGTCATGCATTCAAGTAGCACGGTGGATGTGAATGAAACTTTGAAAGAACAATTGTATGGTGATAAAATGTAGAAAAGGAACAGCGATTTTTTTTTTTTTTTTTCTTTTGGATACTGATGCACTGTCCATTACAAGATCATTCTCTTTCTCTTTCTCTCTCTCTCTTTCTTTCTTTCTTTCTCTTTTTTACTATCTTTGCACTCTGTAGTTGCCTTTGTCTACCCCATTGTCCATCTTTAGATTAAATTATAAAAAAAAAAAAAAAAAAAATTCTAATTCGATCGCATCCTCGACCGCATTCCTGAAAAAAAAAATGCAACAACTTCCCATACTTAATGACGCACTGGCATCTCAACTTTTTTTTTTTTTTTTTTTTTTTTTTTTTTTATTTCTTCTAACCTCAATGGCAGACCTGCCGCAACACTTGGACTAGCGGGTGGTGTCTCATCTAGCGGAGCAGTAGATCGTGGCATTGGTAGATGATGATGTGATGGAAAAAAAAAGGAAAAGTCAAATGGAGTGGGTACAAAATTGCACTCTTTTAAAATGATAGGTCGGTAAAGAAAAGGATGTATAAGGTTGGTTGAATGGGCTTGGTGGCAAAAAGAAAAAAAAAAAAAAAAAGAAAAGAAAAGAAAAGCGGCTCGGATAGCAGGAGAAAAAAAAAAGTTGAGTTGGGAGCTTGGAAGAATAAAAGACGGCGAAAACGTTTAGAAACGAGTCTAACAGAAAGGGATCATCCCAATCCATCGTGTCGTGTGTAGCACGAAGCTCTCTTTTTTTGTCCAACATAGAAAAAATCAATTACATGAGCTTTTTCCGCAGACGCATGGCATTCTTCTTTAATGACAAAGGACACCCATGCTTGTTTGTTTGAGGCAGGCGTCATCGATTTTTTTACCATGCCTTCACCTTTCATTACATATTATTATTAGGAAAGCATTTGACATGGCTATTATTACACATTTGTATTAGGTGATTTTTTTAACTATGGGGCGATGTTGCAATCCAAAAATCCCTGCTCATAGTGGCTCGAGACCAAGACGCGGTTGTTAGCGACGGCGATGGCTGAAGGTGATCCAAACTCCGATCCATCGTGACTGATCACGGGCTCAAGGAAGAGTTGGTACTTGTATTTGCGGGGTCTCTCTTCGGGATCAAATACCACGTCCTTACGAGGTTTGGGACGCGTCTCACCTACGCGAACAGGGTATTTGTTGCCACGGGAGATGATTAGACCAGCCTTCACAGAGGGATTTACATCCTTGTTTTGTAGTTTATCCTTTGCAACCTGCAAATAGTTATTCCATTTGGGGTGCGAGACCGTGACCAACGTCTTGGTTTCCTGCTCATAATCAACTCCAACATTTACGACCTTGGTGTGCATGACCTCCTCGTTAAGCATACCAGGCCACGTAATAGTGATGGGCTGGCGAGTATCCGCACTCAAAATTTTTTGCTCTTGATGCTCTGCAGAGAAAGTATGAGATTTGTAAAGGTCGATCGTCCCACTCTTGCCTTGTGCAATCCACACAGAGTCGACGTCATGTGAAGAAACCAATCCAGTAGGCATCTGAAGACGCCATCCAACCTCCTGTGCCTTATCTGCACGAGCGTTATAGTATACGAGTGAAGATGCAGGAAGGTTGTACTTTTCTTCATATTCACGCTTCCAATCCGTGATGTTGTAACCGTGGTCGTTTACGATATGGAACGAAGGAGTATCATCGTACTGATGGACCGTAGGCGAACTTGAGGCTGCAATCTTGTTGGCAGCGAAAAAATGCTCGCTTGAAATGGTCTTTTTGTAGACAAGACTTTTACGTGCGGGATAATAATAAAGCACCTCGACACGAGGAACCTCCAGAGGAACATGATTCACAACCAAGATAACCACACGAGCGGGGGTACCGTCTTCTGATGTGGGTGCAAAAGTGATACCGCTCGGATGAAAGGGCCCGTCAAATCCCTTGATGGAAAGTTTTTCTGCAGATGTTCCTGGCTAGTGCCAATAAAGAGATATCAAATAGTGGTTATGAGTACCATAAAGGATATTTTAGATAAAATAAGTACAGACAACAAATACTGATTAGCGAATCGATACCTTATTAAGATCATATAACCAGAGTGCGCCATTCTCTTGGATCTTGGATTCATCGAAAACACTAGCAGCAAAATTGCGATAAGGCAGTGAAGGATCGCAAGCCAAGAATCCAAGGTTGAGGTTTCGTTGAATGCGGACGTCATCACAGTAAGCAGGGCCTATAGGGAATGTGAATCATCAGAAATTATCACAATGTCAGCAAAAAGGAAAAAAAGCGCGAGATCGAGGATTCCATCTGCATTGATATTCACTCCTACTCATAACGACTAGTGTACTCTTTTATGTCCATCACCATCGCTTTCTTTTTTTTTTTTTTTTTTTTTTTTTTTTCGTTGTCGTTCATGCTCTCAACTTACCGGAAATACGTTGACACCGCTCCATACCAAAGTTTTCAACAAATGCTGGCCCTTCGAGTAACGATTTAGTCCTTTGCACTATTTAAATCAACGAGTCCCGAGATAGATATAGAAGCAAAAAAAAAAAAAAAAAAAAAGACATTCAAGGAATCTGAATTAGGTGCACAAGTTCATTTCTTTTGTTATTGCATAAACTAATTCACATTACTTCATTTACTTTTTTTTTTTTTTTTTTTTTTTTTTTTTCACTTACTAGGCAAATAGACTGCAACACTGACAATGGCTGCAAGAGCACTCACAGCGATGAGTGTGGTGGATGGCATCGTGTATATATTTATATAATTGTATCCTTATGTCTTAGAGTATGATAATTCCTGAACCTGGATCAGACAAGTCGACAATTCCGTTTGTGCTGCTAGGCTGGGTCGTGTTAAACGAATGAAGGCGATGAAGTTATGGGAAGGGAAGATGAGAGAAGAAAGAAGTTCTTCATTGTAGTTCGAGTTTTTTTTAAGCTTTTTTTTTTTTTTTTTTTTTTTTTTTGCCCTGATTATGATTGTGATTTGGGAAGCTTGTTTGGACGAGTCAGAATGCAAGGTTATTACTGTGAAAATAAAATACACATGTTCACACAATATTTGATGTCCATCCATGCACTCAAAAAGTATACAAAAAGAGCATTGTGTTTGACCAATGTGGATGCCCCAGCACCACAAAAGAATAAAAAACTTTCATTTGTTTGCTCTCTCTTTCTCCCAAGCAGTAATTGCTCTTCTATAATCCCTGATTGGGGGCGTGAGAAAGCAACGGTTGGATACAATTTGCAGTTACAACAGCTTGACTGGAACTAAAGCTAGATAAAATAGTTGTATATTTTACTAGCACTTTGAAAGTCGTAACTGCACAAAATATTCATGGTTAAACCGTTGTGATATGCCCACGGCGTATTGATGAATCTACTCGTTTGGTCGCAACCATTTTTCCACTTTCAAACATTCTCGGGGCAGCATCCGCGGATCAAGTGTTGTTTTTTGCTTGTGTAGCAATCGTTGGTGCTCTCTCTGCTCTCTCCCATCAACTATGCCTGGTCACACAGCATCTTTTTTTCTTTTTTTTTCTTTTTTTTCTCGTTCATCGAGGTATATATATAATTACTTGCGATTTTAAAATCAAATCATGTTGGGTAATAGAAAAGCAAGAGTTTTTCTTTGTTATGAAACTACATACATGGATACTACATAAAGGATTGTTATTTGAAGCTTTCGCGGACTCTTTTAATGGCGATGATGGCGATGTCCTGATCCTGGCTCCTCCTTCGCAACACGCACATTAGGCTCGAATTTCTCTCCAAGCTTTGAGGCCTTATCCTCTACTTGCTCTTTCGTCTCCTTGAGCGTATCACGTACTTTGTCTGTAGCAAATTGGATATTGCCTCGAACTGAATCATCATTCTGATTCTTGAGTTTAGCACCTGCACCAGCAACAGTCTCGGAGGCTTCCTGGAGCTTCTTCCTAGCTTCCTTCTCGGCTTCCAATGCCAACTGGCGTGTCTTCTCTGCATACTCGCGTGACTTAGTATCAGCCTGGAGCCAAATGTCATTCACCTGCATCAGCAACTCCTGCGACTTGGCACGAGTATCCGAACCTGCGGTCTCAAGCTTACTCTTGGCAAGTTCCTCAAGCTCAGCAAGTTTAGCTGTCACTGTCTTTTCATCCTTTCGGCTGCTCGTGTCCTTAAATACACTCAACTCAGAAGCCGCTGTCTCCTTCGAGGCTGCAAGGCGATCGGTCAAAAAGTTCTTGAGACCAGTCAAGTAGACCTCGACATTGTTAGAAAGCACCTGGACTTTTGACTTGGCCGTTTGTTGATCCTTCTCGGATCTCTGAGTAATCTGCTTGACGTATTCCTGAGACTTCTCGCTCAACTTGGAGAGTCGACCTTCAAGGTCACCATCTTGGTTGCGCCAATCACGAACATAGGACTCGAAGCTCTCGTAAGCCTCGCGGTTGGCTTTTTCGAGGTCTTTTGCAGACTTCTTGGCCCCAGTAAGATGTTCATCGATAGCGCCTTGTAACTTGGCCCAAAGGCTCTTAGATTCAGTATCCTCGTATTCGTGGAAGCGACCAAAGATCGATTCAATGCTAGTTAGCATAGCAGTCAAAGACGTCTTAGTGGCTTCTTGGGCATCGTGAGCCTTGTTCTTGATTGTTTCGCCAGCACCCTTAGCTTGATCTACTACATAGTCTTTGGCCTTGTTAGCATTCTCAATTTGAATGTTGAGCTGCTCTTTGCCGTCCATCACAATTTGGTCTGTTGATCCTTTCAGTCTCTCTGTCTGCTCCTTTGCAAGGTTTTGAGCGTAATGGATGTTCTCTTGCGCAGACTTCTTCATACCCTCGGCCTGTTCGCTAACATGCTCGCTTGCAGCCTTTGCATTTCCAACAACCTTGGCCTTAATATTATCAGCCTGGTGTCCAGCGGTATCGTATGCTTTGTGAGCATGGTATCCAGCGGCATCGTATGCTTTCTGAGCCTGGTGTCCGGCGGTATCATATGCTTTCTGGGCTTGATGCGAGGCGTCGTTCGCAGCCTTCTTTGCATCCTTCTCCTTCTCCCAGACAGCTTGCTTCAACGCATCAGCTTGTTCCTTAGCAGTTCGCTCCAGCTCTTCCTTTTTCTGACCAGCAACCTTGGCGGCATGTTCAGTGTGCTTGTCAACAGTGTCCTTGGCGTCGTGCGACGCCCCAATGACGCTATCAACAATGTTGGCGCCCTTCTCCTGGGCCCACTCAACCTGCTCATGAGCAGTATGGCGGATATTCTCTGCCCGACGTGCGATAGCCTCCTGAGCCTCATGTGCCTTCTCGATCACAACCTTCTTGATGTGGTCCGACATCTTGCCAGCTTCGTGGACCTTTTCATCCTTGACCTTCTTAAGGTGTTCGGATTCTTCGGTGACGGTCTTTTGAGCATCTTGGCCCTTCTTGGCAACATTGGCTTTCACATCATCCACAAACTGCTCTGCCAGCTTCTGAGCATTCTCTTTCTTCTCATTAGCAGCAGCCTTGATCTCTTCTGCGTTTGGGATAGCCTCTTTCTTTTCAGCAGCCTTAGAAGCAACTCCACCAGCCATACCAGCTACTGCTGCCTTAATTGAGTTCGAATAGTCGCTCGCCATCTTTTGAGCTCCCGCGACAGTATCATGGAAAGCTCTGTTGATGTCCTCAGTGCTGGGGATAGCCAACTTTTGTTCTTGGACCTTCTGTTCCGCTGCTTTCTTTGCCTCTTGCGACTTACCGGCCACAGATTCTTTGACTGCCTCTGCATACTCGCTGGCTGCCTTTTGAGCGCCTGCAGCCTTCTCGTAGACTGTATCCTTGACATGCTCAGCCTTAGGAATAGCGGTCGCCGACTGCTTCTCTGTAGCTTCCTTGGCCTCATGTGACTTGCCGATCACTGCAGCCTTAATTGTATCAGCGTATCCCAAAAGCTTATCCTTGAGACCCTCAGCCTGAGCATTCGTCTCAGCTTTGGCATCCTTAGCAGCTTCTTGGGCCTTGAAAGCGGTTTGGCCTGCCTTCTTTTTAGCTTGATCAGCAGCTTCATAGGCCTTGGCCTTGGCCTGACCTGCCTTCTTTTCAGCCTCCTTGGCAGCTTCATGGACCTTGGCCTTGGCTTGGTCTGCCTTCTTGGAGGCGCGATTGGCAGCGCGACCGAGCTTAGATTTGTTCTGCTTGCTGAAATGGGTACCCCAGATCTCATCCGTCTGCCTTGCAAAGCTCTCCTTCATGTTCTCCGCAGTATCCCGGACCACTGCGAACGTCTGTTGAGCATAGGGATTGATATGCCCCATGTAGAGTACAGTAGCGCTGTCATAGACGTGCCTGAAATGGGGCGAGATCTTATTGATCGTGGGCTGAACATGAAGCGAGTGCAGATGCCAGGCGTGGTCACTGGCATCTTTGGAGGCCTTTTTGGCGTAATTAAGATGACCATGAGCTTGATTACGATATCCATGGAAAGTCTTTTGAGCATTCGAGATATGATCCTTGACCTTGTCGGTATAAATTGCATTGATAACTCTATGGACATGGGGGTGAGCATACTGGTTGTAGGAGATCTTGGCCTTCTCGGATGCAGACTTGATAGTGGGATGGGCCATCTCGGTGTAGTACTTCTGGCCTTGTTTATACAATGGGCGACCATACCGATCCACATAGGGTTCCGCATAGGCGCGATAGGTTTGGTCGACAGAGTGGTAGACGGGCTCTGAATAAGGGCGAAGCCAGTCATGAAGCTTTGTTGCACCTTCACAAATGGCATTCGAATCCTTCGATGATTCTTTAGGACAGACGAAGAAGAGCGTGTAGCCCAGATAGAGTATGAAGATGCGGGTAATGAAACGACGGGTGGAGTAGCCCCTGGCGCCCACAGACATTGGAACGGCAGCTCGAATGAGATCATGGCGATCTGAAATCGTTGGAGGCGGATGAGTTGCAGGAGCAGCAAGAGCAGGCTCTTTCTTTAAAGTCACACTCTTGTTGTTAGAGCGAGCGCGTGTCACACCAGGTGGGGGTGCCGCGCTGGGTGTGATCAATTCAGCCTTCTCATGACGTGGAGAAGCTGATCCTCGGTTCTGAGCCAGCATTGGTGCCGGAGGCAGTGAGGGGCTAGATGTAGGCGACTATTTTACACAAATTGATGTCATCGTGAGTTAGATAAAATTCATATTAATCAATGAGTATACAAGATGATGGCTCGTGTGTTTTCTCAATTTTTCACAAATTCTCACGGAGCCACAAAACACAATGAATTATTCTGTTGCACATGTTTTTATTTAGCTTACACTGTTGGTTCTTGAGCCTGCTCGTCTTTGTTTTCCTGACGACATGGCTATGGGGGGGTTTATATACACGTCACAATAGCTAGTGATGCAAAACTTGGAATAACTGGTGTTGAAATGAAATGAGAAAAAGGAATTGTCAAAACAATTTTTTTAAAAAAGAGAAGAGAAACGTCGCTTGTCTAACAGTAATTGGTATGCGTTTGAAAAGAAAGAAAAAAGGGGGCGGGGGGAAGGGAGGGTTGTAGAAAAAAAACGGAATGGTAAAGTATATGAGGATATGGAAATAACAACAGGAAAAAAGTTGCCAATGGAGAAATAGAAAAAATGGAATAAAAAAAAGTTTTTCTTCTTGATAAAGGATGGAAGAAACTGGGTTGTTTAAATATGTCTCGCTTATTGACCCTACTCTTACCTCAATGCTCGATTATGCTCGTGTGTGTGGCATCATTTTTCTTAATCTTTGGTTATTTTAACCAGAGACTGGAAGTGATGTGATGATGATTGGGGAATACAAACAACGTAACGTTCTTTTTCCTCATAGCTTACACGTAGAACGGGCCTTCGGCCAAGCGATTTTTAGCCTGTTAAAGTCCATCACCACAAGGATCATAGCATGATTTCATATTTCCTTGATGACCGCATTGTGACATTTCTTTTTTTTTTTTCTTTTTGGTTGGTTTAGGATGATCCACGTGACACGGGATCTTAAAGCAGCCTAATCCTATTTTGAAACAAGGAAAGCACAGGACAACCCACCGATTACCGAGCCGCGCATTTTCTTTTTGATTCTCTCCCATTTTTTTACTCGGACATGTCTCAGAACAAACTGTCGCTTCAGAATGCTCTCTTGACCCTCGAGCAGTTACAAAGAACGCCTTCTCGTGAAGATGGAATTTCAGAAGAACAGGAGGATCACATGAGGCAATATGGTTGTCATCTCATCCAAACGGCTGGCATACTTTTGAAGTTGTAGGTCACTTTTATTATAGGCTTTTAGAGATCAAGGAGATGATAAAGGGACAAGAGACTATTCATGGATAAATTTTTACCTTTATTTTTACAATTCACGGATAATAAGAAAAAATACAAACCAAAAAAAAGCTCCGCATTATATGAAAAGATATGACGCCTTTATCTTTGATAATTGATTCTAAAGACATTACGCTTTTCTCTCTTTTATTTTTTGTTGCTATTCTTTTCATTATCATGAAAAAAAAAAAAAAAAAAAAAAAAAAATAGACCGCAAGTAGCAATGGCAACGGCACAAATTCTTTTTCAGCGATTCTTCTATCAGGCATCGTTACGTAAATTTGCCATTCGAGTAAGTTACAAGGTTACGGAGCATATATGAAAGGAAGCGAGGAAAAAGTCGTTCGAATATGAGTTTTCTGCCATGGCAAGTAACAATTATACGTTACACTTTTTTGTTTTGTTTTTAATTTTAGGATATTAGTATGGGTTCTGTATTTTTGGCATCAAAAGTCGAAGAATGTCCTGTACGAATGACGGATCTAGTCAATGTTTTTGATCATTTACATAAAGTCTTTCGACGTCGTCCAAGGCCCATTGATCCATTGGTTCTCTTTGGACAGGAATTTTATGATCTCAAGAACGCGGTCGTGATTGCAGAGATGCAGATTTTGAAGAAGTTAGGGTTCAATGTCCATGTTCAGCTTCCATATGCCATCATGGTCAATTATCTCAAGGTCCTTGAGCTTACTGAGCATCCTACAATCCCACAGCGAGCTTGGGGGTTCTTGAACGATGGGTAAGTAAATAGATGAATAATTTATAACAAAAGCAGAAAAAAAAAAAAAAAAAAAAAGAGTAACGACACAAATAACCTAAGATAGCCTGGCGTTTACTTTTTTTAGGTTAAGGACAAGTGTTTACATTTGCTATCAGCCGCCAGTTATCGCTTGTAGTGTGATATGGCTGGCTGCACGAGAGGCAGGTGTACCATTACCGACAAATCCGGCTTGGTGGGAAGTATTAGACTCGGACTTGGAGGATATTGAAAACATCGCTGGACATATTAAGTCGCTCTATTATAGGACATTACCCATCCCTGATCTACCGTTTACAATTACTGAAGTAGAACCGTATCTCCAACAACAACAACAACAACAACAGCAACCAAATTCGAGTACAGAAGTAGATGCCAAAACGACAAGAACGACAGATACAACAACCACAGCTCAAGTTCCACCAAAGACTACAAGAATATCTCGCTTTTCATGAATGGATTTTTTTTTATTTGTTAATTAGATTAGGCTTTTGTATTATTATTAATTCTCATACCCTATTTGGTATAATCTTTTTTAAGAAATGATTTGTGATCCCATGTGATTTAAAAGGAGATCGTGCGAAACAAAGTCAACTTTCCTTTCTTTAATACGATGTGCAAAAGCAAAATTGCATGGACCGTGCTTGGTGTTCTGTGGAGAAACATGCAGAATCCTTGTAATAATGGACTGTGGAGAAGAAAGGATGAGAGCGGTAAAATGAGCTGACTTTTGAATCGATTCAAGACATAATTATCCGTGCTTCTATCTATTATATTCTAATATTACGAATCATCAGGCTTATCACATCATTCAATACCCCCTCCAATTACCATCACGATCATCATCAGAATCATTACCAACATCATCACACTAAAACCATTTTCGAGCCCAGACCAAAAAAAAAAAAAAAAAAAAAAAAAGGCGAGCTGCGCCTTGGCGAACATGCGGACGGACATGAATGTTACGCACAGTCACAAAGCAATTAATATTTTTTTTTTTTTTTTTTTTTTTTTTTTGCTCCACTCCGCTCCACTCCACTCCACTTCAGTTCATTCTCATTTAGATTCTTTTTTATTTTTTATTTTTTATTTTTTTTTCGCAAAAAGAGACTCGGAATTATTTTTCACTCTATTCCTCTATCTTTCTACTGCCCTTTATTTTATTTTATTATATCTTACTTGTGGTCTCCTCCTTTTGAGGCCATATCTTTACAACCGAAAAAAATAATACATAGTATGCCACATATCATCGACTCAAAACCTGCATCTACAGGCCCCGCAACAGCAGGGATAGGAATACATGCAACCGCAACCGCCTCCCGCACAACAATCATTGCCAAACATCAATCCTCATCCCCTCTTGCGAAAGAAACCCCTGTTGCCGCAGCAAGCAAAACAATGGATATCGGGTCCGAGTCCGAATCCGAGTCCGTGTATTCTTTGTACACGGATGATTCCGAACTTGATGAAACTGACCTCTCTTCAGCAGAGTCACAAACAGAACAGCAACAACAACAACAACAGAAACAACGAAGAGGAAGAAGAAGAAAAGGATATGATCTTTTCTCTCAATTACCTGATACGATTCTCCAACAAATTCTAGCCTATTTACCTCCCTTTCAAATGCTCACCATCTCGGAACTCTCTCGCAAGTTCTACAACTTTGTAGTCTTGGGACAGGAGATGAATGAGGTTTGGTTCCGATTAGTGAAACATGAAGAGGCCGAGGAAAAGAAACGGGTAGAGTGGTATAAGCAAAAGAGACTGGAACAGGAACAACGAAATGTTCAGATGATGCGCTCATTTTCCAATTCTTCCACTGGCTCCATTGGCTCTAGCTTTGGAGAGGACTCCGTTGCACCATTATCGAAACAGGCCCAGAGACTCTTGAACAAGAAACAAGAGGCCGCCGGTAAATCAACAGGAAGTTCAGTCAAGGTGATGAAACGCTCAGACCGAAAGAAGAATTGGTGCAAGATTTATGTGGACTCGATTTTACGTGGCAATGGTGAGAGTCCTTTAGAATCCTTGGATAAAGTTGTACCAGGGTAAGTTCACTGCTCCAATTCATAAAAGGAAAAAAAAAAAAAAATTTTTTTGAGGGATACGCCGTCTTTTTCATTCTTGATCGATTTCCCGATTTCACATGGGACTTGGGGATTGGACTCGTGGACCCTTTTTTTTTTTAGTTGTTTATTGATATTTTGTGTGAGGGAGTTTTTTTCTTTTTAAACCAAGGAAAGCACAGGAAGAGGATGGTTCATTCAATAACAAATGGCGTGCATCATAGTACTAACTTCACCCCTACTCCATCCCCTCTTTTTTTTTTTTTTTTTTTTTTTTTTTCTTTCCGTGTTCCATAGGTCCGCCAAGAAATCCCGTACTTTTCAGACGATTATCTTGAATGAACCACTTTCTGAGGACCATTACAGGGAATATCAAGGTGGCTCCTCTGATGATAATACCACTGCCAATAAAGAGATGTCACGTGAAGCCAAGACTCAAGCCAAAATTGAAAAGCGAATGTACTACAAGATGATTCGAGCTAAACCTAAAGGCAAGAAGGCTGGACAGTTAGACTCTGCTGCTGCCAAAGCAGATAGAATGTTGTCCTGGAAACAGCAACCGGAATGGAGCGAGCAGGATCAGCTGGGCGACTATTAAGCGATTTTTTTTTTTTTTATTCTCCAAAAACATATATTCATTCATACATGCATACAATAAGAAACTCGGTCATATCAATATTTTTCATGCCTTTTTCTTCTTTACCCTCTTCACTCTCTTTTTCTCCCATGACTGGCATGTAACTTTCTAGTAGATATACCCTGAGCTATCACCCAAATCATCGTATTACAAAACATTATCGTTTTCACATATCTCTTGACTGAATTAAAAAAAAAAAAAAAAAAAAAAAAAAAAAAAAAAAAAAAAAACTTTGAAGTATATAAACAACATATACAGTACAGAATAAAATAGACGTATTTATTACAACAAGGTAAAAAAAAAAGTATAGAGGATCGAAATGGATGTATAAGGGATTCACTTAAGGCGTTTTTTTCTTTATTTTCCTTGCATGCTTATTATTGGAAAATAAAAAAAAAAAAAAAGAGAAGGCGATATTAACAGCAGCCATCAAGACAGCAGCACAAGCAGGCTCCGAGCGCGCTATAAGAGGATATTGAAAATTATAGGAAGAAAACATCATTAGTATTCCAAAAAGTTTCAGAAGTCTATGTTTTGACACTAATATTAATTAACACCCGATCGATCCGATGATCCAGTGATCTGATAAAGATACTAGTGAGCGTCATGCTAACTTCCGAAATTGTTGCCAAGCTTGTCCTGCATTTGTCTGTATGTTTCAGAATGTATTGTAGGTTGAATGAGATTGCATGAAAGAGGTGCGTACTACTTAACAACCTCGTTTCTTTGTCGAATGAGGAAAGACACTCTAAATATCTGAACTTATCCGCAGAGGTGCAGAGGTAAGAGCCAGCAACGAAAAGTTCCCGGTCATTGTTCCTCTTCTCTCTTGCTCTTTCGCCCAATTTACACAATAAACCTGTCTGGAAGATGTGATCCATCCACTCAAACAAATAAACAAAATACAAAAAAAGTGCGATGAGAGCGATTTTCTGTAGGTTTGTTGTTATTGGATGTTGCTGGATGTTGGAATATTGGGATTGTTGCACAAGAGACAAGAGGCCATTTTATTTTATTTTTCCTTTTTGTCGATTCCAGAAAGAGTCACGTCCAAAAAGGAAAGAATAAAAAGCAATAAAAAACAATATAAAAAAAAAGCAAGAGAGTCTAGCTGATTGAAAGACAAATTTACCATCCAAAGCACAAATCGTCGGTCTTGTTGTTGTTGTTGTGTTGGGGTGCTGCTTGTTGGTGAATAATGACCTGAGGTTGTGGAGAGGCTATTAATAATAAAGTATAAAAAAAAAAAAACATAGTGGATTAGATACATTAGCATAGAATGGGATAGCTGAGGCTCAAAGTCAATATGGGAAAGAGAGAAAATGGATGAATGTATAAAGACGATGAGGAAGAGAAGAAGAGAAGGAATAAAGGAGCTTACGCTGGCCATAGTATCCTTGTTGTGGTGTTTGAGGGTATCCAGGCTGACCATAACCAGGCTGTGGGGAACCATATGGTTGAGGGGGATATCCGGGCTGAGCAGGTGGAGGGTATGGGGAAGGCTGCTGGCCGTAAGCAGGCTGACCATAGGCGGGCTGGCCATATGCAGCCTGTTGAGGGTATTGAGGAGGCTGAGAAGCGTAATATCCCTTATTATCGGTCGACATCTTTAAATTTATATTATTAATATGAAAAGAAAAGAAAAAGAGTGTGTGTTGGTAATGGGAGGAGAGATGAAATGAGAGAAAAAGAGAGGGGAGAGAAAAGAAATAAAGAGAGTAGAGAAAAAGAAAGAAAGTAGAAAAGAATAGGGCAAAGATGCGTTCCCGCTTTATGTTCCTGGGCAGAAAAAAAAAAAAAAAAAAAAAAAGGTGGGCTGATGGGCGGCTATCTCTCTTGAGTTTATTAACTTGTTCCCAAGCCTTTTTCTTGTGTCCCTTGCACAAATTGCGTGTGTGTATGCATCTGTGCCTGGATCAAATGTGCACTGCATCGACAATGAACAAAAAAAAAACAGCGCTACTATTTTTAGGGATGTTATGTACCATGCTTCCCGTTTTTATACATTCATTTTGCATCTAACAAAATAGCTTTAGCCAATAGACTAAAAGCTATATTGTAATTAAACAAGAGATTTTCATCCATGTGGCCAGTCCCATGTTCAGGGAGTGATTTTTGCTCATTAAAGATGCATCCAAGATCATTTGAAGCGATAATGATTACAGGGAAGATGGGAATAAAAGAATGCAGTTGTTATGTGGCTGTCGACTCTTGGCCAACAAGCAATCCTCGCCGCAATGAATGTTTTTTCTTTTTGCTTTTTGGCGCTTTTGGTAGTTTGGTCGAATAAACACAAGTTTGTATTCAGTACACAAAAAAAGCATTGGTACACATGGAAAGGCTAGAAGGCTTCTTTTTTTTAAAAAAAAAAGTGAGACCAACAAGGACACAGCCAGTCGAACATCCACATTCAGGTCACGAACAACAGGTGTATATTAAATATCACTGTGTTGTTTATCCAATAAGTTATAACCATTCGAGTACGATTTAACTATCATCACAGTCGTAGTGGCTATAGCTCACGTTTGCCTTAAGATGTGTATGCTTATCATGAATGGGATAAATGTCGGATTCAAATGTATTCCGCATCTCTTCTTTATTGGGTAACGCGTAAACTATACTCCTTGTCTTCTTTAGGAATGTGAATGTTCAATAAATCAAGGGCACAACACAAAATAATAATAATAATAAAAAACTAGAGTGGAGAGAGCTTAAGCAACACATAAAGCGGACATTTTGTCATACATCCAACTCGATGGCTCGTTTGGGGATCTTGCAGCGCGGTAATCCCCAGTCAGAGCACATGAGTACCTGCTCCGTTCCAAGTAGACAACAACTTTATCAGACTTGAGTGAAATGCTGAATACTGAGGAACGACAAATGGTTTCGTAAAAAAAAAATAAAAAGAGAAAAACATATACTGAACAGACTCACAATTGCACACTCAATATAGCATCATATAACTTTGTATACACACAGTCGATGCACTGCCCATTGGTATGTTCATTATCGACAATCAGACATGGCTAAGCTATCATTGACAGACGCGTAAAAAGACTCCAGTGTTGGGGTTTTCAGTCCACGAATTAAAGGGATCTATTGGGTCAAGAGGCATTTCTTGTAAAATTAGATCAAGAATAAATTTGTTTGCTCACATGCTCTGTGACCGTGACAATGGAGAAGAAACAAAGAGTTTTTTGAACTTCGCCAACATGAAACTTACAATAAACATGTATATCCTCTTATACAAATATTTGTGTACTTCTACGTTTATTGCTTTATCACTGTTCATTGATTGTAATAAACGAGGCCTTGCCTGTGTGCGTGAACAAAGAGGTGGCGTTTCTACGACTGTAGAAAAAAGAACTGTCTGTGTGTACAAAAGCCCATGTTTGCTACAACCCAACAAGCACGTGTATTGTCATCATGTTGTTCACAGCCCCACTTCTTTCTGTTTGGCTGTGCTGAGAGAAATGCGTGGCAACCGGATATCTGTGGCTGGTTGGCTGGTTGGCGGGCTGGTTGGCTTGTGGCCAAAAATTTAATTTAATTTTAGGAGGTTGTGTTTGTGACATGAGGAGTATGCAGCTTGTTAAAGAATGAACATGTTTTTATTAGTCTATCGTTGTCATCGTCTTTGTAGTATTGTGTGTGTTTCGATAAATAGAAGCAGCAGACATAGAATCTTCTTTTTTCTTTCTTCTTCCTGCATCACTTTTAACAACAGTAATAAGGTGTGCTTAAAGCGTCTTCCCAGGACTTCATGATCTCGGGCGGCTTTGTGGATGTGATAGGAGAAAAAAAAAGTGACATTTTGAGTGATAATGTTTTGCTTGTTGTGTTTAGATCGACTTGATAAAGAATAGGCCAATCACTGAACGGTGGTCCAAGCTCAAACCTCCCACTAGATAACCTCTTTTTCTTCCAAGTTGAACAAACACCTTTCGCCATTACCGTCCATTTCTCGTCAAAGAAAAAGCTCATTGCACCACACAGCTTCCCTTCTCTCTCTTTCACTCATTTTTTCTTTTAAACACATGGTATCAAATTACAGTTGGGCTATAATCTATCAAATAAAACAATGGAGTACAATATACCAGCATACTGATAAACGCATGGCAACTTTTTTCTTTTTTTTCTTTTTCCAATTTCACTTGTTTGGCGATGGACTTTCTTTTTTTTTTTTCCTTAGGAGGGTCGACACGGTAAAAGGAAAGAGAAAGCAGGATCGCCTGAGCTACTTAAGGCTAGACAAGAGGAGGAAACTGCTCTCTTGCGCGATTATTCCAAACTGAAGGATTCACTCAAGCAAATTGCAAGTTTTTTTTTTTTTTTTTTTTTTTTTTTTTTTGAAAGCTCTATACTTACAGTTTTAGCGTTCGGCTACTTGGGACATACAGGATCGGGTTTGCTAACCTTTGTTCTTGTTGTTTTTATTACTACTGCAGACCGACTCCAAGAAGAAAGATAGTGACGCGCTTAAAACAACAGCGTTGATAATTCAACTGAATCCTGGGTACTACTCCGTCTGGAACTTGCGACGGACGATCCTCCACGAGGGATTCCTTCAAAATACGTAAGGCCACCATTTGTCAATGGACAGCGTCTGCCATGTGTTTTATAGTAAACCGCCCCCAGCTTTTGACAAACCTAACCCTCTCTTACTTGTAGAAATGAAGAAACCACTCAGGGCATTTTTAACGAGGAGATCAAGTTTGTAGATGAGATCCTCAAACAGAATCCGAAATCGTATTGCGCCTGGAACCATCGTCGATGGTGTGTCGAGCAGATGGGCCGAGGCTCTTCCTGGGAGGATGAGTTGGCTATGACCGATAAAATCTTGAAGGACGATCCTCGCAACTGTAATTTTCTTTTTTTTCCCCACTAATCTTGTTGAGCTTGATGATGTCATGCTGATCATCTTTTGAAACTTCTAAACACATGATTCAAGATTGAACTAATGGATTGATTGCTTTATTATTAAACAAAATAGACCATGGATGGGACTATAGAAGACATATCATTAGACAACTAGATCTTCAAAACCAATCCCCGACTGAGGAAGCCCTTCAGCGCCTTCAATCCGAGCTGGAGTTTACGACATTAAAGATTAAAGAGGATCCCTCCAACTACTCAGCATGGCACAGCAGGAGCAAGTTAATAAATGAATTGGCAGAAAACATGGCAGAAAAAGACAAGAAGGCAATGATTGACAGCGAATTCGATCTGGTCAAAGATGTAGTCTATAAAAACCCAGATAACCAAAGTGCCTGGTTATACAATCTTGGACTCATTGGACGGGGTAAGTTTTATTTTTATTTAGTTGTGTATTGCCAATCCCAATAGAAAAAAAAAAAATGCATACTAATTTTCATTTCCTTTTCTGATTGTCATTAAAATGGTGTGTAGAGGAGCCAAGTATTTCAATTATAGGTGCTAGTGTGATCTCATTCCACCCATTGGAAGTGGTAGTTGCTTTTGACCAGAATGTCAAGCTTCGCAACCCGTTCACGGTTTCAACCATGTTGGATCATAATGTTGTCCCATTAGAAGGGGAGTGGAAAGCGACTGGCTCAGATTCTTCACTTGGCTACATTTGGATTTTCCAGCAAGTGTCTGGCTCAGTCTATGGCCCTACAGTGGAAATTGTGATCTTTGCGAACGATGTCTATGGCGTGAAAGCTGGCTCAAAGCTTGGATCACCGGCCGTTTGCTTTGAAGTTGAGACAGGAGAACAAGATTTTGGTGTCATCTCAGGTCGACTGAATCAGTTGGTCGTTGGCAAGAATTTGATGATAGATGTCACTAAGCGGCTTGGTCCTGTTTCTAATCCAGATGGGACGTTGGAGGCGATCCGAGAGCCTGAGGTTAAGCATGTTGTAACATCCCTTACAACATCCACTTCGCTCCAGGACAGGAGAGTGGTATTGGAGCGTGAGATCGCGGTTGCTCGCGAACTAATGGGAGTAGAGCCTGACTGCAAATGTAAGGTGTTAAAGGAACAGCGGCTTGTAAAATATGTTATCTTCATGTCTTTAACTGGTAAGCTGCTTTTGACATTTTTTTTTTTTTTTTTTTTTTTAGGGCCAATTCAAGTTTTGACAACACTACTATTAGAACTGCGCAAGACCATCAGTCTCCATTCTGCAGAGGCCAGGATAATTGATGATGAATGTATTGGGCTACTGGAAAAACTCATTACGCTTGATCCTTTACGTCAAGAACGCTATGAGGATCGCCGTAAGTCCTTGTTACATTTTCTATTTCTATTTCTTTTTCTTTTTTATTATTGCTCATTAAAACATCAGATCAAAAGTAATTGCTGAAACTATAAAGTTCTTTTACCTTTTTTTTTTGTATAATTCCGCAGGAACACAACTCGTCTTTGATCGCGAAACGCTCCATTTACTCAAGGACGCGAAGCGGTCCCACGGGATGGAGTTTGCAGATGAACAGCCTCGAGATCTGGATTTATCAATGCGAGGCCTTACACACATCCCAATCTCATCTTATTTAATGCACCTCCATACCCTCGATCTGGACTCGAATGCAATTACCTCGACTCGGTTCCTACGCAACTTGCTGAACGTGCGACGTGTAAACTTAGCCAACAACTTGATTGAGCGATTGGAAGGGTTACAGCATGCTCCTAGCCTCGAGTTCCTGTCATTAGAAAATAATTTGATTGCGACATGGGAGGATGTGTTCTCTGGATTTGTATTCTGGCATGAGGGCAAGTTGGGTCGTATGGGTGCACAGGTCAAGGTCCTTTTGGGATTAAACCCTGTGATTGAAAATGAGGGAGGCGAATATGTATTGGAACATCGATGGGAGGATGTGGGTGAAGTCGGCGTGGATATTCAGTGGATCTCGGAAGAGGCGCGATTGGCTGCAGAAACCCACGCTACAGTAGTGAGCGGCACTCGCCGCGTCAGTATCAATGTTATCTTAGATGGAACTCATTGACTATGATAAAAAAAGGGAAAAAAAGTATTTACATTTAAATATATTTACATCTCCACCGTATTACTACCGCATGTTTATTAGTTTATTTTCTCTTCATGGCATCATCGGTTTTTTTTTTTTTTTTTTTTTTTTTTTTGGTGTTCAGACATCCCAGTCAGGCCGTGTAGGAACCGCATACACGTATCAAATGACCACATGCCGCTCAGTCCCCCTTGTTCTATGCAAAGCAAATAGCTTAACACGATCAAAAAATTAATGCTGCCAATGCCACCAAAAAAGTTGGAAGGTCATGCCACCCATGCTTCTAAATGACAAGTCTAGTCCCTCTGTCGTTGGATTGGCGGATGTGCTCACACATTCCGTAAATATTAATCCCATTCCATCATTGCTCTTCTGCCCCTCTGCTCAATGCCGGCAATCCGGGACAAGGCTATGATTTATGGCCAAGACTGTATAAGGCTGAATGTTCAATCATGAGAGCAGTCGACAGATGCTTGCAATCCTTTACTCTACTGTACTTTCAGCCATATCATGAGCCTAATAAAGTCATGAACTGGACAGCTTTCATGACTAAAAACATGTTGGTTCCATCCAGATTATTCTATCCCAGAGTAAAAACAAACAAAACGATCGATGGAGTTGTGGTTTGTGTCTTTTTTTATTTGCCTATTCATAAAACCATGCTCATGTCTTTCATTCTTAAAATTCATTCACCTTGTTCATTCACACTTCCTCAACTCCCTTTCTTCTCTTTTTAAACCTTTTTCAAGGCCTTCCCTCTTTACTGAGAGCACTTGTACCATTTCTTCCTGCTGACAGCCTCATTTTGTTTCCAGCGAACGTTGCATTCTTATTTTTTTTTATTTCGAGCACAAGCACACATTGTGATTTGGCAGTCCTTAATTCAATAATTAAGCATAAAAAAATGCCGTCATTGCCAAAGTCGACCGGCGCAGTCGCAGTCGCAGCCCCAGCTCCATTTCCAATTTCAGTTCCAGTAACGGCTACTGTTATGCCCAACAGGTGTTGCTCCAATCTGCCAGAAGAATGCCTTCTCTTAATCTTTGAGAACCTGCGCACCCATAGGTCAGCTCTTCATGTCCTAATTCGTGTCAATCGTCAGTTTTTCCATCTCGTTGTCCCTATCCTCTACCGTTCCCCGTTCCGTCTACTGGAGTCCAAACAAGAAACTTGGCCTTGGTCTGAAAGGATCCAGCGACAGGTCCTCTTATTACAGCTTCTTCTCCGTTCAGCTCAGATCAAGCAGAAACAAATAAATCGACAGGAAGAGAAAAAATGGCAACGGAAGCGAGGGCAAGAACAGAGTGAGCAAGCAGGTGACAGGTATAACAACAGCTGCGTAGCAGTAACGACTGGCAAATCGGCAGTATCCCCCATAGTTGCAGCCCAAGGGACTGAGAACAATAAAATGTCCTTACGCTTAAACACCAAAAGAAGACAGCACTGGTGGGCTAAGAAAAAGCCCTCCATCAGCTCTTCAACAATAGAAACTGCTCTTTCAAACCCTTCATCACCTTCATCTCTATTATTCCCTTCATTATCGCTTTCAAGGAAAGGAGGCAATATCAAAGGTATCACCATTCCTGGGAAGATTCAGGGTAGAAAGTTTATATCAGAGAAAAAACAGTCCCTTTTTCAAGACGATAACAGCAATAGCACTAACACTAGCACTAGCGACAACAGCAACAGCCTTTCAACGGTACGTCCCACCACGATCGATGGGAATATTCCTAATTATTATGGCCAACAACAATGTCAACAACAGGTACTATCACCATTCTCGTCATCCTCAAATAATAGCCACGACCAAAGTGTAGATCTGGCCAATTATGGGCATACGTCTGGAGGATACTCCTGTGAATCCTTCGGCTACAACGAATGCAATTCTAATGACGTCTTTATCGACAACAATGAAGATGACATGTACCGTCCTTGCGAAGGCAACCCGACTTATGCATTCATTGATAGTGATGATTATAACAGCTACCAATATAGGCCTCATAGTATCTCGAGATATTATACAGATACAGACACAGACGCAGACGATGATGAGACATTATATATGGATGAGCTCCCCCATTCTGGCCTTTTCTCTCAAGCAGGACTATTTGAACCAACACCTCACCTTGGGCCCTTCAGTCCCAAAGACAATAACGGCATATCATCTTCTAGAAGCTGGACACAGGCGTTTCAAACGCGGTTCAGAAGCTTCAGTGGCAGCTCTTTCAATGGGATCAATGATCAGAGTCAGCCGTTAGTTCCACAATCACATCGCTTGTTGCATAATAATGCTCGTCTGATGGCCGATTACTTGTCATATTATGTTGAACATGACCACCCAAGACTTGCACGATTGCTACCTTCGCTATTTCCCAGTGTTCCAGCAGAAAGCTTCGATCAATTATTAACTTTTAGGGATGCCCCTAACTTAACATCTTCTTCAGCAGTAGCGGCAGCAGCAGCAGCAGGAGGGGGTACCGGGTCTCCATTGTCGTCATTATCCGGGCAAAAATCTGTGTATAATATATTTCAATCCTTACAGCAGTCGCACAAGAGTGCTCGAAACCTGGAAAGAGCCTATGCCGCGCGTACTCGGGTTGAAAGAGATTTATTTCATCATTCGCCCCAACTTGTCAGGACATTGTCATTGTCAGCAGCAAGGATCCAAGCAATCATCCCCCCTCCACTTCCACCACAATCGTGCCTGATGGGCTCCATGCCTTCCACTAGATCCGCATTGCGTACATCTGCTTCCTCTTACTCCTTGGGTCAATCTTTACTGTCACCGTTCATATCCCTCATGTCTCTTTTGCCTTCATCCTTCTTTTCTAGGTCACCATTCTCTGTTCCCATATCCTCATCATCATCATCTTCATGGCATTCGTCTGCATCTACCTTAACAGTGTCTTCATTTCGATCATCACATTCAGTGGCCACGTCCTATTGCTCCTCTTTTCCTTATTCTACAGACTCTTTGTCTCTGACCAAGGCGAACGTAGCATCATTACCATCGTCCCTATTAGTACCATCGTCACCACCATTGCCACAGCTCAGCCAACTAAGCAGCCTCTATCGAATTGAGTTGTATGATATTTATCATGGAATTGATGTTGAAGTGGTTGTCCGATTTTTAAGGTTACATGATCAGATATATCATACGATTCGAGAGGTCAAAGTTGGTGGAGTAGATGACGTAGGGAGATCCTCAGACCCAGGCGTGATCACGATTTTGTATTCTCTCAAGACAGTAAGAGTTTTGGATATGGTGGAGTGGCGAGAGGCGATCAGATATATGAACCAAATTCCCACCAAGCATCTCGAGTCCTTGTTACTAGGAAATGTCCGGATGGCCAACCATGAAAGCGTAGAGCCGTCGATGCAAGGCGTGACAGGTCTTTCAAGTATGCCAAGTACAAACGCAGACACAAGTACAGTCAACGGAAACATGGGTTCATCTTCTCCCGAAGATGGGACTGCAGACGGGAGCGAGATAATCGGGGATGGGTCAGAAGAGGATGAAGAAGGAGAATATGAAGAAAAAGAGCGATCTCATCCACAAATTCAAGCCCTCCAGCGGTGTAGACGACTACGAGTCCTTCGGATGCCGGTACTGGTCAACGGCCTGTTTGGATGGGCAGTCAAGGAACGCCGTCAGTGGCAATTGGACCTTGCCTCTAGGAATAAGATAGCATTGATACCAGTTAATACACATGGGGAAGAAAATGGCCACCTAAGCAAGTTACGGTCATTAGAACCTTATTGGGGCAATAAGAACGGGCACCGACGCCCTGTCCAACTCGAGAATGTTCACCTGAGCGGTACAAGTACTGGGCCTCTGATGTCCACTTTGATTCATGTGGTAGACGCATTCCGAGACTCGTTGCAGGTCCTACAGAGCACTTCATGGATGGATTCAACAGAGGCGCCATTGTATGCCTGTTGTTTAAGCCTCTCTTGGGCATGGTGTCTTCCACAATTGGAGGTTTTGGATCTTCAGGGTGAGGTTGCCTATCGGTTTCAGATCCAGACATTGCAATATTGCCCAAAGTTGCGGGTATTGCGGTTATCACTACCACACTCAGTATTACCATCACGACAACCAACGGGAATGTCATCATCAGCCTATAACAATAATAACATCAGCCTTCATCACCATCTTTCCTCTTCTTCTCCAGAAATGTGCCAGCGATGTATGAGTGGAGGCTCAAACTCATTGGCAGATCCATCCAAACCTGAGAAGAGCACGACCCAATTACCGCCTCTGTCATTGGCAGATTATTTACGAGCTCCGTCTAAAGGCTACAGCCAATATCGATACGCCTTTAGCGCCTTAAACGCAGCCATGGCAGACAACTCCATTAATAGCAATAATAATAGTGGTAGCAGTCATGGCAGCAACAGCCATAGCGAGAGCTACTATCCATACCAGGGCCAGAGAACAGGCTCAACCCTCTTTCCAAATTTACAGGAACTCAGATTGGCTGGGGATTGGGGCCTCTGTGATGAGTCGTTGTTACAGATGGCGAAGATGATGCCACGTTTATCCCGGCTGTCGTTATTACGATGTGAGACCGAGTGTTTGACAGCATGCGGATTAATAAGAGCGCTGCTACGCTTTCGTGGGTATAAGCCAAAGGATTTACGCCAGTGGGATGGTGATGATAGTCGAATTGTGTTGTTGCAATGGTTAGAAATTTGCAAGACTTGGCACACACAAATAGAGGCTGTTCTTGTTTCGTCTGCAGAGGGTGACATAATAGATAGTGTTGCAGCAACCACAACGATAGAGCTAAAGCCGTTAGAAATCTCATTTTTGAGGGACTCGGTAAATCATGAGATATGCCCCTTGGAAATTGCATACCAGTAAATACCTAGCACCACATCATAGATACAGCGTATTCCAAAATAAAAAAAGATAATGGCTAATTACTTCCAAAGTCCTCTCTTTTTTAGAAAGGATTATTTGACCCGTCACTTTGAAGAACAGAGAGAGTGTGCATGTATACAAAGAATAAGAGAATGTCGGATGCTCAAACAACATTGTTCACAGTACTCACGAGATTTTTCTTACAAATGTCGCGTGAGAGTGGGGGAAGCATTTGTCTAATCAAACTCATCCAAACAATTTAATTCAATTTAAAAAATGTTCCTGTGCCAAGATTCAATAGGCTCGCCTAATCTCTAAACTTTCATTTGATGAAACCTTAATTCATACACATAATCAATCTTTACGCCACTTTCCCTCCACTCTTAAACAACTTTGACTTTATTCTGGATGTTAAAGCATATAATCTCATGTCATGTCATGCTCATGCATGTTTTTCCTTGAGAGGGACAAGAAAATGTTTGTTGCTTTCAGCCTCTCTCGATTCCTTGCTTTCCCCCCTTTTTTTTTCTTCTATGAGAGAGAATAAAGAATAAAAAATATGAAACCACATTGTTACGTCTGTGGACCATCATCTAAAATGAAGCGTGGCTCTGTTGCATGTTTGGCTTTTTTTTTTGCCCACACCGTGTTGGACGAAGAGTATGGCTCAATTGAAAAGAGAAGATTGTGATTGCTATTATAAATATGAGATGATGTGCTTGCATTTTCTTTTTAGTTGAGAACTTTCTTCACGTTCATCTTTCTGTCTCCGCTTGGTTTCTGGCTGGCTGTTGCCCAGCTTATATCGTTGCAGTATATACGGTACATGTATTTACTTGGCATTTATCTTAACCCTAAATGCACGCAAATACAATACATTATTGGTCTCCTTTTTTCATTTGACTTTGTCTGTCATCAGCCCTGCTGTTTTCTGTCACCGTTTATCGCCCCCTCTTCTCCTGTCTGTACCCGTCCTGTACGCCTCTTCTTCTCCTGCCTTTGCTTGTCTTGAACACCATCCTTTTTTTTTTTTTATTCTTTCCTTTGTCTCTTTATAAAAAAAGAACAAACGCCTTTTTTTTTTCTTACTCTACACATTCACTTGTCTGTTCATTCATTCCCAGGAAAAAGAAAAAGAAAAAGAATCTTTTTTTTGTTCTGAATCTCTGAATCTCATTCATCTCATCTTACATAACTTGCATAACTTGCATATTATCTTATTTTGCTTTGTCAAGCAAAATATATATTATCACATCACATCACACACTTCACTTTCTCTTATTCACCATCGACTCTAAAAAAGAAAAATCTCTTTATCTCTTCCTTTTCCTTTCCCTCTTTCTGCCCTCTCACATTGTTGCCATTATCGTTACCATGGACCACCATATCCAAATCGAACACTTTGGCGACGAGAGTGATCGGTCTCAGTCTCAGTTTCAATTTCCCTACACTTCCTACTACGACACAAATAACTCAATCGAACTTGATCTCGAAGCCGTTGAACGGGATCGATTTGATCGTTTAAGCAATTCCAGTACTCTTGTCGGAGGTACCAGCCCACTCCGTCATCCTTACTCCCCTGAATTCAACTCCAACAACTCTTACTTTATCGACGATTTCAAATCTAATGGCAATACTATTGCAACCATTGCCACTACCACTACCACCGATACCGATATCAACGCCACTACTACCATCACATCTGCATCAGTAGCTGCTCCTGCCATTACAGTTTACAAAGCAAGAAGAAGGAAATATGATGGCACAGATGAGAACGAAAAGAAGAAAACGAATGGATCTTTGTGGTATCGATTCTTTTATTCCGAAGGAGGCCGCCTTACTTGTGCAGTCGTTTACTTTGTAGTGATTTGTATTGGGATGGCGTTTTGTAACCAGCTATCGGATCATCGATGGGTCAATACAGGATATACAGATGTTTTATTACGAGATCGAGGGTTTGATGTGATTGAAGCTCAAGCCGATATTCAACCAGCAAACACATTTGTGATGACATCCGTAGTCTTTACAGTGTTGGGGATTGGATTGATCTGTCCTAACTGGACGATGCGAGGGATCGTCTTGAGACGGATTCTTTGGGTGATCGGGACGTTGAGTGCTTTTAGAGCTCTGACGCTTTCCGTTACTACATTGCCTACACCCAAAGAGGAATGTCGTCCTAGTTTGAAAACAGGCTTTTGGGATATGTTTATAGTTGCATTGCAGATGATCCCAGGTACTGTAGAAGCTTGTACGGATGATATCTTTTCAGGACATACTGTTTTCATGTAAGTTGTTATGAAACGAAATGTAATTTTTATTTCATTTAATTAACTCTGAAAGAGGGGGAGAGAAAGAGTTATACGGAGAGAGAGGAGATTGATATGGAGGCAAAATGAAGCGTTTTGCAAAAAAAAAAAAAAAAACTTTTGCCGCCGCTTCTTACTTGGACAAACATGTCTGATTTCTTCTATTTTGAACATCCACATTAACTGAACAAAATGAGATCTTTGGCAGCGAATTTTTTGTTTATATATCTTTTACCAAATGACCAGAAAAAAAAATGTGTCGACCATTGCAATTGGTTTTTTTTTTTTTTTTTTTTTGTTTATTGTTTTGCGCGTAGGGCGATGCAAAAAGAGATGACAAAGAAACAAAAGAACTTTGCACCACTGGAGGTGCATACCCATATGATTTTTTTTTATTTCTTGTGCATTTGAATGGAACCAAAAGAAAGGTGAATGGAGAGAGAGTTCATGTATATTTTTCCAAGAGGTACATGGCATTTTCGGTCTAATGTTGAGCATACATTTATGTCTCTGATGTTCATATTCATGTACATGCACAGTAGACTTGTTGCTCCGAGGTTATATGTTTGAAATTAAAATGGCTGTGAGCAAAAAAATAATTACTCAAGAACATACATGAAATCGTTGGCATTTCAATTTTGACGTCCTCTCTCTCTCTCTTCTTTTTTTAACCTGGATAGGGTATCTTGTGCCATCCAATGGAGATTGTACTGCAGGAACAAGTGGGTCACCTATTTCTCGTATTTATACATCAGCATCGGACTCTATTATGTTATCGCAACTCGTCTACACTATACAGTCGACGTGGTCTTGGCCATCTTCATCACTTTTGCTGGCTGGTCCGTCTACATCTGTATGATCGATGTAGTGATGGAGGAAGAGTACTTTGGCATCAAAAGTCATCACGAAAAGTACGCTGTCTTCAATACTGCCGCAGCTGAATATGAATTTGTCACTCAGGAGCAGGACAGAGCCATTGATGAGGAAGATGAAGAGGTTAAAGTGACAATATCATCAACCACAACGTCAACAACATCGACATTAACACCAAACCCCACAAAGAGTCAAACAATTAGCTCAAGAAGAAAGCAGCTTGAGTATCATATGAACCGTCTTCGAGGACCACGTATTGGCTATGGACGAGGGGAATATGATCGTGTCGCATTCGTACCCATGCAATTCAATTTGTGGCTGAAGAATGTGGTCCGTTGGTGCGATGGCCTTGATCTTCGCATGAACCCGTATATTGCAGAGAACCCTTCAACTGGTGAGCAAGAAGAGGAGGAGGGATTGTCGTCATTGTCATCATCATCTCGCTGGAACGAATTGGTGGTGCGGTACCGTGCAGAGCTGGCCTCTATCACTGGTGCTCGATGTGATTGCAAGAAGACGGATGGCGAGCTTGAAAATAATTTGAATGGGTATAATGAGTTGGGTCGTCACAGAGAGATGGTGCAAGTCTATCGTAGCGGTTCTGGACTCGAGAGTGTTCATATTCACAACTACATGGAAGAAAGGGGGCAGCAACAGCATGGGCGCTGGCGTTCAATGGCTTTGCGTACTTCTCCTCGATCCCGGAGTCCGGACTTGAAAGCAGCCAAAGCTAAGAAGATGGAGCGTAATAGGTGCGTTCTACTAATCGTGATGTAGCTTCCTGTCTCTATTTTTTTTTTTTTTCCCCTCAGTCTGACTAATCATTCTTGTATTTCCTTCCTCTACTCTCATTCATTTTTAAAACATCAGAAAGCTGTTCGTTTTGAAGATTGCTCTAGTTATTTTTGTCAATGTTATCTTGTTGATCAAGGTCATTGAGACGGTCCAAAACAACAGCAGTGCTGCTGCATCTTCTTCACAATGGCCTACAGAGATGAAGACCTATCCTGGCGGTACCATCTATAATAACAATAACAGCTACCCCAATTCACCAACATCTCATGCTACTGCTCCCTCTGGTCCATCTTCTCTTTTGACACCCTCGACACAAGATGAGGAGCATCAAGTACAAGCATCACCAGAAGAGAGTGAAGTTGGAAATGACAGTAATAAGGCCGGTGCAATTGCTGTGGCTCTAGATGATTACAAGGTTATCAAAGAAGCGGTCCATCATAGAGGCATCCAGCGTCGTAATTCTGTTGGAAAACGCAACCTAAAACAGGCGGAGGCTATCTAGAGTACATTTTTTCTCCTCCTGCTTGAATCTTTTTTACTTTCCCCCCTTGTATTATACTAGTAAACGTTGTACTATCTATCTCTTGTAAATGTATTCAATAATCCATGAGTGGGAAGTCCGATATTGATATTATTCTACGTCTCCTCGATTACAGCCGATGGAGTAACGCCGTGACAATATGTCTCCGTTGTGCAGTGCTGTACGGAGTGCGCAGTTGTGAGTCTGTCTTTTTTTGTCAAACAAATCCTTTCTTTTGATGCCGTCAAGTCCGATAAAATTGTGGTCTACTTGGTATAGCATGGATACCCATGTGCTCCTGACTAGGGCTACCATTCAAGTGGAGGTTTGAGCATCTATCACGTGCTATTCAATTTTTTTTTCACTCTCAATAAAGGAGGTTGCCAAATGAGACTTGTTTCGACCTTCTCTTGCATTCGAATTGTTCTCGCAAACGAGTTAAACCGCACTTTTCGATACAGAAGGTGCGCAAATATCATATCGCCTATGAAATATCAATCTATCCATCTATCTATCCATCCATCCGTTCAACCATATAGTGCATGGACATGGGGATCCGCATTCTCTTTAGGAGCATTTTATTATTATTTTTTCTATTTTGTGGATTATACAACTATACTCATCAAGAGTGCAAAAGAACATTGTGATTCTGATTAAACATTCATCCTACACAAGACGCCGACGATTCAAAAAAAAGAGAAAAAAAAAAAACTTTTACTTTCCTGAACGACAACCCTTAGCAGATTAGAACAGGAATGGGAGATGTTTCAAGCTCAGTTGATCCTAACACATTATTACTATTTATTTCTCTAATATGGTCAACAGAAAAAAATGAAGTACCTCGCCGCCTACCTTTTGCTTACCCTCGGAGGTAAAGCCTCCCCCTCTGCCTCCGATATCACCTCTTTGCTTGGCACTGTCGGCATTGAGGCTGAGTCTGAGCGTATCGAGTCCTTGATTTCCCAGCTCTCTGGCAAGGACATCAACGAGGTATGAAAAAAAAATAATAATGAAACAGGGAAGCAACACGGAAATCAACGGACAAAATGTATTTGTTTTCTATGTAACATTGCACGACAGCAGCAGGAGTATGGATAGTGGATTTGAAGCTTCTTAAAGATGAGATGATGTAAGATTCAAAGGATGAAGCGAGACAGGAGCGTTGTTTTACCTAGATCTAGCGGATTACAGAAGATAAACATGTCTCAGGAACAGTGAAAAAAAAAAAAAGAAGTGATTAATAAACAGGAACTGGGATATTTCTAAAACTAAAATGCTTACCGATGTTTTACGGGCGTTGAGAATGGAGATAAAAAAAAAATGTAATCTCAGTTCAAGTATCTAATCCGTTTTTTTTTTCTTCATTGACAGCTTATTGCTGAGGGTACCTCCAAGCTCGCTTCTGTCCCTGCTGGTGGTGCTGCTGGTGGTGCTGCCCCTGCTGCCGGCGGTGCTGGTGCTGCAAAGGAGGAGAAGGCCGAGGAGAAGAAGGAGGAGGCCAAGGAAGAGTCTGATGATGATATGGGCTTCGGTCTCTTCGATTAAACTCGCTAATGATCTGTCTAATCTTCATTTTCTTTTCCATTGCATCTTGTTTTCTTGGTTTACATATCATGATAATAAAAAGAAGCAAAAAGAAAGAAGTTCCGAGGCATTCTATTTGACAGAAACATCGTAAAATGTGTTCCTTTATTTTGAAATGTTGAATATGTGTGTATGTGTAGACTAGCATGACCATTGTTGATAAAAGGAATCGTATTGGAGGATAGTAAAGAGGAGGTAGTAAGAGAGAAGCCAAATGGGTGACATTGTTCGGGTGATTTACTCCTTCTCTGCACAGGCCTTGGTCATGAAAAAAGCTTTGCCATATCAAGTAGTTCCCCTCCACCCCTACCTTTTTGGCACCAATCAGCCAGACACCTGCCTTTAAAATGAGGTGGTACAATCTCCTTCTTTTCTTTCTTTCTTTTTTTCCTTCTCTCTCTCCAGCTTCATTCCTCCGCTCATTGCTCATCTTCAACGCCTTTTATAATGTCTCGTCGACAGATTCTTACCTTTGCATCTTCTCGATTCAATGGACTGCCACTCAGCGTTGGGCACCGGTAAAAATAAAATAAAAATAGAATTAATTTAGAAATGTGGTGTCACAAACGATATTCAAGACGATGCCATTGACTACAGTATGTTAATTGATCTACATCTTCTTCTCTCTTTTCCCTCCTTATTTTATTCTTACTCATATCGTAGAGGTGCCTCTGAGCAATGGCCTGAGAACTCCATTATTTCAATGGCCCAGGCCATCAAAGATGGTGCTGATGGTTTAGAGGGTGGTAAGTATAATTATTAATTTTGTATTTTAATTTATTATATTGCATTTGAGACGCAAAAATGTTTATCAGCAGATATTGGTTTTTTTTGTGCTGTTGTTGTTGGTCTAGACCTTCATTTGACATCAGACGGCGAAATCATCGTCATGCATGACCCTTCTCTTGACAGGACTACAAATGGCACAGGACTGGTCAAAAATCGACCATGGCATGGATATATTGATGGCCTCAAATCGAAGAAAGAGCCTCATGTGGGTGTTCCTCGATGTGTGGACGTATTGGCCTTTCTCGCTCAGGAAGGCAATGAGAAAGTCTGGTGGAATATTGATATTAAGGTTCGTTTTTTTTTTTTTTTTGACACCTGTCTTGTCTATTCGTACTCCGTATGATACAAGAGAGTACTATGACATCGACATGGGACTAATGCAAGCTGACTATGTTTTAGTATGGCACTATTTCATAAGTTCTGCTCCCTTGTCATATTCTCTATATCCTTGAGCGGTCAATAAAAAAAAGGGAAGAGATGCCTTATTAGTCAAAGGGAGAGAGACAAAAGGGAGAAAGACAAAAGGGAGAGACAAAAGAGAAGACAGTGAGCGAATCTCGTTTTATAAATTAAGCACGCGTTTCTTTATGTTTTGGATCTTATGCTACATGGCTAATCGTGCACTGACCTCGTACCTCCAATTGAGCATGCCACGTTTATTAAATTTATTACGTATTCGATATTACAAATCATTATTTCTACCTCATGTACGCTAATCATTGTTACTCGCGTTTACTTTTTTTTTTTTTATAGATGAATAATTCACCAGCATTACTGTTCTCCAAGTTTGCTAAGCTGATGGAAGATAACTTTCCAGGACGAGATTTCTCGTCCCAGATTGTATTGGGACTTTGGCACCCAAAGTTCTTACTAGCTGCAGACAAATACTTGCCTCGGTTTAGTCGAATCCATATTGGATTCAGTATCCCGATAGCAACAGAACATTTCCCCCCGAGTAAAGTGGATGGTTACAGTATCAGCTTTATGGTCTTGTCGACACCTCAGGGACGCCAGTTTATTAAGGAGATGCAGGCAGCAGGAAAGACAATTCTGGCATGGACCGTGAATGATGTGGTGGAGATTCGAGAATGTGTAAATATGGGGGTAGATTATATCTTGACAGATCGAACCAAGGTTCTGCATAATGTCTTACAAGAATACGAAAAGCTGGGTCGAGAAGGCGTAGAAGCTAAATATGCAGATGAAGAGTTTAATACCTGGAGTCGATGGTCTAGATACACATTTTGGAGGGCTTTATTTTGGGTCTTCTTGACAATACGCTTTAACAATGCAACAAAGCGACTGGATGTGGAGCCAGGGCAAGATATTGACTTTTCAACGGGCGAGGAGATCCTTGTAAAATGAGAGGATGAAGGGGAATTAAAGTAGAGGGGAAAAAAAATTGCATTATGTATTAAAGTACATTGATAGAGAAAAATTATAAACTAGATGCACCAGATGTACCAGACATGTCACCACATCAGAAGTACTGGGTATGTCAGAGTAAAATAAGAGGACTAAGATAATACGTGAAAAGAATACCGAGGTGTGCGTCTGCTCGAAAGAAGACATCATCATCATCATTTACAGTCTTTAGTGAAAGTCCCCATGTATTCGATTTTCACCGAAACTACACGACTTGGACCATATACGTAGAATACTTCAATCCATGTACAGTAGAAAGAGGTCATGGGTTGAACTTGACTGCCTTTGCGCAGTAGTAGATGTAAAAGACTATATCGACTTCAATAATATGGACTTCGTTTCAGTTAGAACTTTTTATTCATGTATGTTATTGTCATCGCAACTCATCTCTTCTTCACTTCCAGTTACTCACTCGTTTATTTCACTGCAATCGTCGCTATATATAAGAGAACATAATGTCAAAAGAATACTTTCCAAGCAAACCAAGCAGTAAACCCAAGGTGCTGATTGTCGGTGCTGGTATTAGTGGACTCACCCTAGCCATTCTTCTTGAGAAAGCCAGCATTCCATATGAGGTCTATGACCGTATGGCACAAGTCAGGCCTTTAGGTAAATATACATAGATATACTTTTGCCTTTAGGCACGACGATTCTTGATAAACACTGTTACAGTATATGTTCAACAGTATCTTCCACATCCTTGAACCGAGAAAGGTTCTGCATTGTCAATAACTGCGAATTTGGCGCCGCTGTTCAAACAAATTGGCATTTATGATGAGTTCGTCAGCCTTGGACTACCGTTCTACTCAATCGATAATTATAATGAGGATCGCACAAAGGATTTCATCATAGACTTCAAGCCAGCTGCCAAAAAGTAAAGTCATGGTTAATTCACGAAATGAAATCCTCTCAAAGCACAAATACTGTATGGATCTATTGAAGCCTCTCTCTTTTTCTTATTCTCTTATTTGTTACAGGGAAGTATACCCAGGATATATCTTCCCTCGAACAGTCTTCTACGACTTATTGCGTCGACAGGTTCCGTCCAACAAAATCTCTCTAGGAAAGCGAGTTGTCTCCATAAAAGAAAGCCTAGAGAGTGTCCAAATCCAGTTCTCGGATGGGACAACTGCAGAAGGCGATATCCTTGTTGGGGCAGATGGTGCCTATAGCACGATCCGTGAGAATCTCTACAGATCATTAAAGAGCGAAGGCCAACTACCGGTTTCAGATGATGAACCTTTACCATTCAGTTGTCTCTGCCTTGTCGGCCAGACCAATCCAATGGACCCTGAAAAATACCCACAACTAACTAGTCCCGTCAGCCTTTTCAGGTCGGTTATTGGAGAAAACAAGCCTTATGCTGTAAGCATTTCGAGACGAACAGAAATATATACAGAGATGAGCCTATGCAGCTCAAATGTTGTAATCAAAAATAATAATTTATTCTTTTATTCATTTATTTCCGTTTTCCCTATGGATACAAGTGGACGTACTTAACGGCGAGAAACAATATCTTCTGTTGGGGTTTGATCCACTACCTGGACAACGAGTATTCCAAGGACCACGAGGAGTTTTGCAACATAGAATGGGGTCCTGGGGCCGCAATAGATATGTGCAAAGAAATCCGAGACTTTCCAGTTCCTGGCGGCAAAAGCAACGATATGACCCTTGGAGACCTCATTGACAACACACCGCTGGTCTCCAAGGTCTTGTTGGAGGAAAAAGTCTTTGATACATGGTATTCAGGAAGAACAGTCCTGATTGGGGATGGTAATGTCACCCTTCGCTGCCTGGGTGTTATTGGTTATTGGTGCTCCATGTTATTATGCTTAATTAGGCTGCTGCCGTGCTTATATCTCATACTCTCTCGCTTCGCTGTTTCTCTTTCCCTCACTTGCTATTTTGCTTTTGTTTGTCTATCTGTATTATATTAACAGCTTGCCACAAGGTACTTAAGAACACAAATAATGAAGTTTTGTTTGCTTGGACAAATGCAAGTACATAGCGGGAACACTCTTTATCAACTTTTTTTTTTTTTTTTTTTTTTCATTACAAAGATTCACATCGCTAGCGGCGTTGGTGCTATCAATGGGATCATGGACGCGGTGGCATTGGCAAACTGGCTCAGTGTGCTAGATTCGCCGTCAATCGACGAACTAACAGAGGCTTTCAAAGAATATAAAGCGGAGCGCTATCCAGCTGTCAAGGCTGATTATTTACATTCACGAGCTTTCTCTAAGGTGACAGCGACGGTAATGCTTTCACTATTACAAATGTGTGATTCGGTATAATTTCTAAACGAAAAAAAAGACGAAAGTATATATATTTATTTCCGACTTTTTTCTTTTCTTTTTTTTGAATGTGACTCTTCTTAAACAATGTAGGGATTGGTGTCCAAGGTTATTCGCTGCATCAGTAGAAACTTTCCGGTCTGGCTCTGGAACTTTTGTATTAAGCGCTGGTTGGAAGTACGTCCTCAAGTGTCGTTCCTGCCGCTGGTAGACAACATTGGTACCGTGCCAGCCAAGTATCAACCAAGTCTTCAAAAGACGTTGGAGCTCAGAAGAGCTAAGGAGCTACAGCTATAGTAGTTATAAGGTGCAATAAAGACATTCTAAATACAGTTTAACTTTTATATTTTTTTACGTGTTGTTTGTTGCACAAAATCAAAACCAAAGAAAATCCTCATCATGTAACATGCTCGTTACACCTCTCTAAGACAAAGATAACATGAGCCTATAGGGGCTTTGCACATAAAACAGGTAATGAGATGGCTCTTGCAAGTCCAGTTCCAGGATAAACCTAAGAAGAATCCAGCTATAAAGTCTTAAAAAAATAATAAATGAATTGTGTAGCGATTGAATGAAACAGATATTCTCCAGTTTAGTTCAGTCTTTTATGACGTTTTTTCAACAGGTCCCGTCCAATGAAATCTTCCTAGGGAAGCGAGCTCTGTCTATAAAGCAGAGTCTAGAGGATGGTCTTCAGGTCTGATCCCCGAATTCATGCTAGAGCTGATGACGCTTATAGTACCGCTCGATAGAGCCTCTCTGAATCATTAAGGTGATCATCAAGCTAACGGTTTCGGATAATAAGTCTTCACCATTTAACTGTGTTCGCCTTTCCAGACAGGTCAACCTCAGAGCTAACTGTCATCTCCCAACAAGTCATACTTTGTATGCAGGTGTTTTGAGAAATCAAAACGAAAATAAAAAGAAAATTAAAAATACCAGTACTCACCATTCATCTCCGTGGGGTCTCTTGACAGTGAGAGGAGTCACCTTAGGCATCTTTTCCCCCTTAATTATTAAAACGGTTCCTCAAGGTGTAGTCTGGACCACACATGCGGATGGTCTGATACCAAAAAGATATTCACAGCTAAAGACAGCTAAACCATTGACATACTACTTGAATGTCAACTACTAAGAAGCATAATAATAGTTTTTTGACTAAAAGTTTATTCATTCCTAGGCTAGGATTATTTTGATACACGTCCATGGTTATTTTAATTGCAGGCACCCTCAGATAGAAATTAAAATCGGTGACCATGACCAACAGAAAAGCCAATGGATTAATTTGTGCTGGTTGCCGATGGCAAACCGATCGCACGGGAACAAATCAGTTCCGTTCATTATATTCCCCTTAATTGAAACACTTCATATGTGAAAATAAAAAAATATATAAAAAAAAGAGATGTAGTTCTTTCGAACAAATCTGTGCAGCAAAAGTGCTTAACCTCAGCCGATCGTAGCAACAAGGCTACTCTACGGCTTACAGTACACCATTGCTTTAAAGTCGTCTGCAATGGATTTATCTTTTTCCAATATTTGAAATTAACAGTAGCAGGAACCTCATGAAGCCTTTCCGCTCCACCAGATGACCCTGCATAGCATGATTCAGGAGCCGAAGCTCTATTCGTATTCAACTAATTATGGAAAAAGGCGGTAATCGTCGCGTTCCGGCACGGATTCTGACTTAGAGGCGTTCAGCCATAATCCAACGGATGATAGCTTCGGGCCATTGCCTGTTCAGGCAAGCCCAAATACTAATTATCCGAATGAACGGTTCCTCTTGTACTAAGTCTAATTACTATTGCAACAGCATTTCATCTGTAGGGTAAAACTAACCTGTCTCACGACGGTTTAAATCCAGCTCATGTTCCCTATTAGTGGGTGAACAAACCAACGCCTACTGAATTCTGCTTCAGTATGATAGGAAGAGCCGACATCGAAGGATCAAAAAGCAACGTCGCTATAAACGCGCCCGAGGAAGTAGCATGGATCGTGAATAATTGGCCAAGACTCACATTCATGAATGGCTGGGTGAGGCGCTGGTCATTTTGACTTTAATGTTTGATTTGCCACCCCGCAAAATTTGAATTATTAAGGCGGTTGGTGAGTCCATTCAAGCTTGGAAAATTGGGGTTGGATTGTCAATTCTAGATCTTGAATAGAAGACACATATGGGCCTTTCAACACAATGTTGTTTTCAGCCAGGAGACATTTATTTGTAATAATAAAGGGAAGAAAGGCCTTTAATACTTGAATGATGCAGGCCTGGTTGCAACAAATGTAAGTTCGCGTTCTGCCCCTGGGAAGCATTGTTCATTCCTTTTTTAATTTCTTCAACAGGGAAGATTGGTATAATGATTTTTTTTTTTTTGCTTTTATTCTTCTCTCAAAGATCTAACGGAGGCAGTACATGATATGTTAACGTAATAAATGAAGCAAAAGCGGTTGTATAAAGTGGTATAAAAATATACATGGTTGGGTAATTATGGTAATTATGGTGATGGTTATGATAATGAATTACAGGTATTAAGATGTAATCCAAGGAATAAATACAGTAAAATATGATGATTAATTATTAGCAGCATCTATCTTTTCAAAATCAATCGGCTGTCAATATTTAAAATCGGCTTACTAACCCCGTTGACAATAAAGAAAACAGACGCTGTAATTTCAATTCACAATGATGGTTCAAGTATTTTACTCTGAGAATGATTTTTTACCCGACGTGAAGGAGGTCGTTGCAAATGGCGACGGTGCTGTTTCGGCTGTGAAGTGGGCTGTTGGGATGTCGGCGCTGAGGTAGGTTGCTGGGCTTCTAGCATTGAGTTGGGTTGCTGAGCTTTCGATAACAAAGTGAAAGGTTGGGGCTGTTGGGCCTGATGGTAACCATGTTGGTGCTTATCATGGGAGTGAAAATGATGTGAGGGCGGACCATGTACATGTCCATGTGCGATATGACCGTGTCCGGCCAAACGTCGTTGGCGCATATTCCCATTTCTGTGGATATAATGAAATGGCCATTGAATTGGTGGAGCTTTTCCAGATTTTGTAATTGCATCCTGGCGGGCCTCAACAGCCCATGGAGCGCTGGGATCCCGTATTTGATTGGATGGCAAGAGGATGCCTGTAGCGACGGTAGTAGCAGCGGTGGTACTGACACTGATGTTTGTATCGATATTATTTTGTTGTAAAGGTGCATCCTGACTAAGGTCCTGAGCCGCGGTTTTTGATGCCGTCATCGTTGTTGTCGTGGTGGTGGCAGTATACGAAGCTGTCTTTGGAGGGACTTTGACAAGACTACGTATGATATCTGGCTGAAACTCAAGGTGAGAAAACTGAAGTGTCTGGGTTTGGTCGAAAGTGATGCTGGGGTCTTGGAGCTGTTGGATAATGAAGCTGGGGCTATGAGGCATGGCAGTTGGCTTTGCATGTTGATTTAACAACCGGCGGACTCTTGTCCAGATGTATGGGGATCGTGTATCATATAAATCGGCTAGTTCCTGCGCGATAGCCGCATCCTGGTTTTTATCGGATGACTGCAGGATCTCAATGAGGTGCTTCACTTTGGCATCAATAGCCTCCATCTCGTCCTGAGAGAGATGTACATCGGGGGATTGGACGGACACAATTTGTGTATGAACCGCGGCAATTGACTGTGGTAAGTATGCTGCACCACCATCTACAGGTAGAAGCTATTATCAATATTACAATGGATAGAAATCAGGGTCAGTACACTGTAGGGCATGAACCTCATCTCTTGTTCCAAGCCCTCTCTACCAACCTCTTATTATTGCGAGCGAGTACTTTTCCCTCTATTTCTTATTTGATTGCTCCTTGTCTCGAAAACTTACAATAAGGCCACAGACAAGAGGATGAAGATACTTCTTGGCAGTCCTTGTCACATTCAAGAGCCGTACTGTTGTACTAGGGACGAGATCCTTGTAGGTATCCTTGGACGGATCCATGATGGAATCAATATATGCAATGACGGCTCTTCTAGGGGGCGCGCAGTGATATTCATATCTAAAAGACACATCAGGGCAAGTTCCTGAGCAGTACATTTCCAAGTTCCAAAGAATTCCTTCCAAAAACTTTTTGACTGACGAACGCGGGCTTTTAAGAGCAATGGGATCATCTGACAAAAATCTTTTGCTGCTATTGCCATTATCCTCTTCCTCTTCCTCTTCCTCTTCACATTCATCCTTTTCTTCCTCCTCTTCTTGCACTCCTTCTTCCTCTTTCTCATTGGCGGCATCATAATTATCAATGTTTGTTGTTGCTCTAAGGGCTTCAATGTCGCCGCTGTCGTCATCACTAACATCATTTTCAGGCCCTTCGGATTTATCTATGGACTCTTTGTCACTATCATGGCCATAGACTTGGTCCTGCACAATGTCTACATGAACATTCGACGTTAACCCTGCATTCTTCTTGGTTATGATAGGTATTGATGGTTGATTGGGTTGAGTCGACTCCGGATCTGGTCTTGGCTTTTGCTTCCGAGGCCATCGTTTCGACTTCAAAGTTGTTTGGTCTTGTTGTGCAGGATCAGGAGAGAGTTGCAATTTTTTCGGATCCTTGTATGAATTGAGGATGAGCTGCTTCAAAAACAAGAGATCAAAGGTTTTGAATTTGGCATCGATCAAGAACTGATGTTCTCCTGTCTCAGCTTCTATTCCTGTTCGCAGTCCCTGAATGGTTGGATCAATTAATTTAGTGAACAGATATGCTTTCCAGAGCTGCTCCAGCCTAACAGCCAATCCTCTGAGGTAGTCGTTGCCACGGAACAGACAGAGTGCACAGAAATCAAGCCGGACTCTATTAGATTGTCCTGGGAATTGCTCTTCCAAGATACGCATGAATTTGTCAATAGATACGACAATCGCAGGATTGAAGATAGCATCTTGGCGAACAACATAAATGTTGGGCAAGCCCAATGCGATGGCCTGAAGAACTGCATCTGAATCCATGCTCAGGATAGCACAAGGCCTTTCGCGGATATTCTGAGCTTGCTGTTTAATGTTCTCAATGATTTTACTCTGGTAAGATTTTTTTTTTAAAAAAAAAAAAAAAAAAAAAAAAAATTAGCACAAGGACATTTGGTTTCGCATAGGGAGTGGATTCATTATTATTACTATTGATTTCATCATTATTATTACCTCTCCTTCCCCTGGGTTATTAGAGTGATCTATTACAAACTTGAGATCTGGTGATATGCCCTTTGACTGACGTTGTTGTAAATATCGAACTGCGTAATAGCTGACATATTGTTCTAGTCGTAACATGAAAGGGCATCCTGGGGTTAGATGGAGTGAACTCATTCCCTTTAAATTTTTTTTAGAGCTCTAAAGAAGATGGATGATAAGAACAAAAAAAAAAAATGCAATTCGTAGGAAGGGGAGATCAAAGATTAGCTCATAGGGTGCCAGCATCAGTATTTAGAATGTTTTTTTTTTTTTTTTTTTTTTTTACCTTGGTAGCGCGACGGGCCTTTTGAGTAAGTATTTTAGCGACAGGTGCAGGACCATCGATAGATAGATAGCAGATCCTGGATGGGATAAATCGAACCAGTAAATGGTCAAGAATAGCAAAGAGGTTCTTCACAAACATGGCCTCATCCCTTGCGTTCCGTATAGCAGGGTGAAGGATACCATTGAGGTCAATAAATACAGAGTCGAAGTGCGACCCTTCACTATTAGGTACATTTCGAACAGCCTCAGGGAATTTGTTCTGAAACCATTCGATGAATTTAATCTGTTTTAATCCCATTGTTAAAAAAAAAGAGAGAGACAGAGAGAGAGAAATGTCAAAGAAATGTGTTTTTTATTTTTTAAGATGAGAAAAGTGTGTCGAACGCCAATGATGCCGCAGTCTTCTGTGATTTTTATGCAACTTGACACATCACTGCCGGCTGTCGCCACCAATTCAATGCACAGGGCGTAGTCAATTGTGGTTGAATTTCAACGCGCCTCGGGATATCCCTTTACACCGTCCTTGTTTATGGTTACCGAATATCAATTTTTTCATACTTTAACATCTGGCGTTGAAGTACACCTTCATATATTCTAGACGGCTGCCTATAAATTCACAGAAGTTCCGGCGTTTCTTTTATGTGACACATTTCATGCTTAACTTACGACCACGATATAATCGATTATGTTGACGGCAGAAGGATTTGCAGGACAGTCGAAGACCCTGAACTTGGAAAGATGGGACGTTGTTATGGACTTAGGTACTGTGAAGAAACGGGATTTTGGCGGGATACATGGCATAGTGGCCGTGGAAAAGCAAGACGTAATCATTGAAAACTTCGGAGGAAGATGGATCAGAAGGCATCCCCAACATCAAATATCTTCGGCCGTAATCCTACTGCCATCAACATGCTTGGTTTCCTATCCACGACGAGGACAGGAGCCGCTTGTCTCTGAGGATTTTTATAATATGTTGCCTTCCTTCCGAATGAAGCCATGCGGCTGAAAGCATATTTCTTTCTAATATCCACTTTTTGCTTATACCAATGTTGTTTTTCTACTAGCTCTTCGTTTATTGCTTACTTTTTTTGCCGTTTATTTGTAGAGCACTTCTTGTGCGCCTCCTTTAAACCCACTTCAGATACTTTTGGCGTGTCCTCTTTGCCCAATATCTCATAATTTCAGCATTGTTCCCTCAGCTGATTATGGGAATTATTTCTTGGGAAGTGTCCGTTGAGGGCTTTTCTGAACAATTTTTCTGCATTAGAAATACGGTAACATCCTAACGCTCATTTCAAGGCAGAAATCGTACTTGAGTCAGTAAAAACAGGAATGTAGCAAGTGCCAACGATATGTAAAAAGTATAGAGCTTAATAGAAGTTGAGTAAAAGGAGGGTGGCCATTTAGGGGTATTTGCTTAGATTCAAAGATTTTGACTTTTTCTTTCACTCCTTTGTGACACCTCTTACATCTCCCACCACTTACATCACTACCACCGCAGCAACAACAAAAATCAGTAGCGATAATGTCTTCTCTACCTCTCGAGCTGAATCAGGTCAAGCCCTTTGGAAACCCTATTTCATTCTTGACAGACAAGGATGTTTCTGCGGCCGCAACAAACTTGATCTCAGCAAATTCGAAGCTTCCTCCTGTTGTCTGTCATGGTCGTGTGCAAAATCCTGAAGCATACGTTCCAAAAGCATGGTGGAAAAGTGTCTTTGGCGACAACCTCTACCTTCAGACAGATGGTGATGTTGTAGAGGATCCAGCTATCACTCTGGAAGAGATCCGACTCTTGGAAAGCTACGACGTCATCCGATCCATTTTTCAGTCAAAACCTGCCCCTTTTTCTGCTTCCTCTTCTCCATTATTATTTTTCCCAGACAGGGCTCGAATCCTCGATCTTTGTTGTGGACAAGGCCGTCATCTTTTACAGCTTGCCCAACTTTACCCATATTTAGAGCTTCATGGTCACGATCAATCTCAGTATCTAATTGAGTTGGCTCAGTCTAGAGCTGCTGCCGCTAATGTCCATAAACAAGTTCGATTTACGATTGGAGACTGTTGTTCAGTCCCTCATCCAGACAATTCATTCGACTTAGTAATCGTAATGGGCAATTCGTTTGGGTATTTTGCAACCGATCGTGCCAATAAAGGTCTCCTGGAAGAGATTTGCCGGGTCTTGAAACCTGGAGGATATGCAGTCTTGGATATTCCAGATGGAGGGTATCTCAGAGAAAATTTTTCCGCTCGTGGATGGGAATGGATCAGTGATACAATGATCGCCTGCCGTGAACGCGAGTTGAGTAAGGATAAAAAGAGATTGATTAGTCGTGAGGTCATCATCTCGACAACCCAAGGTGTTATTCGGGATCAGTTTTATGCAGAATGTCTTTACAGTCTTGAAGAGCTTAAACAACTCATTAATGAAGCTGGATTGGTTCCACTGAGCCAGGGGAGCCGGGAGAGCCAAGAGGGACAAGCTGTCGCTACCAACGATACTAACCTTAACTTAACAGGTAAGGATATGAGCAAGCGTGGTGAGGATCTTGGAATGATGGAGCAGCGTCACTTAGTCCTGGTTATGAAACCCTTGGCTCCTTAAAGGATAAAGTCTAGCGTAACAAGAACATTGAATAAATGCAACCACTATCACGTATTCTTGATATGCATCATTTATCGATACTGTGGAGATGCGCACTATTAGTGAACAAAAGTGCTTTGGATTATTGGAAAAAAGTATTTAGTTTTTATTAACATGCTTAAAAGAAGGCTTAATGGCCTAGTCGTGTGTTCTCTGAACTGCTATGTGTGAGGTTTTCACGACTGCTTGTATCATCATCCTCGTCTTCCGAAAAGACCTGCCCCACCTTGTCTCGTCGATCGTCCCTGGCATTTGAACTAGCGACAGAGACAGCTTTTCCACTGCTATGCTGCCCAGCAGCCGTCATCGAACTTTGATTGATACTGTTGCCACTATTATTGTTATTACTGGTATTGGTATTGGTATTGGTGTTAATGATGCTACTTGTGTTGCTGAGATTATGACTAGGACCATGTCCAAGCTCGACATTGTAACCACTGCCAGTCTTGCTCGATTTAACAGACGCAGAGCGACTACTGGAGGTCATGAACGAACTTGATTGTTGTGAATAGCGGTGGCGCCCTTGATGGTGTTGAAAGAGATGGCTACTCCCACTGTGGCTATTGTGGCTGTTCCCACTATGGTGACGTGGAATACTAATCTCTTCTGCGTCCCGTTCGTCGTCCAGGGGATCCCCAAGGGATTGATATGCACCAAATCCACCGTTTCCTAATCCATGTCCTCTGCTTGACCATCCGCCTAATTAGCCACCCGAATCAAGAAAATAATGAAGAGTGATCAAGCAGATAAACAGGTAAACATACAAATAAAAGAGAAAATAGAGTTAAGATGTTAGAGATAATCGACGATGGACAATATCCTTGTTGTAGCGTTTTGTTGACCTTTATGATATTGTGGGCCATAAAAGAGATGACGATCTTTTTTTTTTTCCTATTTTACCTCCACCAAGGATAGAAAATGGGTCACCACGATACTTCAGTAGCTGCAGTGCTGAGATAATGGTGAATGGCTACAAAAAAGAAGAACGGAAGAATTGAGGAGCTATTCGGTTTGATCTTATGATCCAAAGTGACCAGCTGTGCCAACAATGATCCGAGCAATCTTTTTTTTTTTTTTTTTTTTTTTGTGTATGTGTGCACTGACCTTGAAGAGCAGGACAACGATTGTCAACCTAGTGAGATCGAGAAAAAAAACATCCATACAAGGATTGAACTTGTTGATGATTAGAATTGGGCCAATTGAATACCATTATTCAAGTCCTTTTCATTATAGCGATACTTGCCCTTCTCCAAAGCCAATTCCTGGTGACAGCAAACACCAAACAATATCGAGCAAAATACTGAATGCTGTAAAACCAGCAAACTATACAATCCATTTGCCATGTGCGATCAAATGTATAAGTATAAAAGTATATGAAAGTTTTTTGTTATGCCTTTAAGAAAAAATGAAAAACGAAAAAGAGACAGGTTGTCGCTACCTGTTGTAATGGTTCAGCAGATTCATGGTGTTCATACGCGTAGAGACCAAAGAAAAGTAAAGGAAGATTGTAAACAGGCACGGATCGGATTGCTGCAAGCAGACATACTATCTATAAAGAGGTCCGAAGGAAAAAAAAAAAGTCAGGAACAGTGTGAGAAAAAAAAAAATCCAGTTTATTATAAATAGTAAGTCGGTAGTTATAGTTACTGTTTGAGCAACAATGAGGCGCTGCAAGTCCAATTGAGTAGCAAAGTCGATGAGTTGTGGAAGGATGTCTGCCATTTTTTTTTTTTTTTTTTTTTTTAGAAAGTGAATGATTGAGTGAAGAAAAGTGTGTGCAAGAAAGGAGGAAAAAAAGAATAGACTGACTGCCTTTGGCGTTTGATATGGACGGGACAGGGGCATGCGTCTGCTGCATGCTTACACATTTATTTGTTGAAACGTTTTGTCAAAGTGCTGCGATCACTTGTTGAATTACCTTTTATGGACACCCCACGTCTTCTTGTTACTTCTTTATTGCTTTGTTCCGGCTCTTTTTTATTTTCATTCTCTTTTCTTCTCTTTCGCTCTTTTTAGTGACTCTAACCAATGTTAAAACTGTTGACTCCACGCGTGGCAAGTCAAGTTCGACACTTCCTTCGGATCAATGCTACTACAGCTCATTCTGCAAGAGCATTTCCGCGTCATCCTGTCTTTTTCTCTACAACAGCAAAACATTGGTCTTCTACACCACCTTTAACACCTCCATTACAAAAGGAATCCACGGATAACTCAACACAGAATACCTCACAGCTACAATCTAAATTAGAATACCCATCGCCAACACCCACTAATCTTGATAATCCGCCAGAGTCTGTCTCTTGCACCGTCAGCCCACCTTCAACTTATGCATTTCTCAAACCTACGCCCGTCGTGCTCTTGACTGGGCCCTTTGGTGGCAATTGGTAAAAGATTTGGGCAATGATATTTTTGATCTTCATAAAAAGAGGCGAAAAGGGCCAAATTAACAACATAATTTCAACAATAGGTGTTTCCGTGATACTTGGCAGGCTAGTCTAGCTGATCAAGGTTATCAAAGCACAAGCATCGAAATGTCCATGCCTATAGAGCCACTTGACTCAGGTGACGCATACATCCGTCATTTTGTCAAGGTTCTCAAGAAATCTATCGAAACTGATCACTCTTTCTACCCACCCATCTTAATCGCTCATGGATTACATGCATTGGTCGCATATAAGTATGTCGAATCTAATCCTGTCTCTGCTCTGGTCCTAGTCTCGCCGTTTATTCCCGATCTTATCAAGCATCGATTCAAACAACTGTCATATAAACTGAAGATTGAGAAGACAACTAATACTACTGCTACTGCTGCTATTTTTATAAAGCACTCTGGCAATGGCCAGGAAGCAGGAGAAAGCTCAGAGGGATCTGCCACAATCACAGCGCCTTCAGCATCATCGAGGCCAACAATTTCACCAAAGGTTTCTACATCAATACAGGTACCAATACCAACACCAGTAGCAGCACCGCTTCCAGAACCTTCAGCAGAAGAGCTTACAGAGTTTGATTTCGATACCCACGCGGATGTCGTAGCCCAGGTCGGTTTCCGGGAACGATTCGTGTTGCCAAAGAAAGCGGTCTACAAAATTGATCAAGTTGCCAAGGAATTACAGGAAAAGGAGAAAGAAAAAGAAAAAGAAAAGACTAAAGAGTATCCACAGGAAATAGACGGGGAGGGAACAGGAATTTCGTCAACGGCAACTGGAGCTATAGAAAAAGTCATTTCAAGTAAGAGCGGTAGTGGCATTTCAACAGAAGACTTGTCGTCACCCTCCAAAACATCGTTGGATAGCACAGTTCAAACAGCAGAGATCAACGAAAAAGGCCCTTCATCATCATTCATGGAGGACACAGGATTTAGTAAAACAGGGAACAGAGAAGATAAAGGTATAGAAGGAGAAGGAGATGAGGACATACTCCCTATTCAGACTGTGGAATCAGAAGGCTCGATACCCTCATCCCTGGAGAGTTTACCTCTGACAATCTATGACTCTATCTCTCTCGGCCTTTTTGAACCCAATTTCCCAATTTTATTGGTAACCTCTAATGGCGATGAGATTGTGTCTACTTCTGATGTAAAGACCCATCATGTTCTGTCAGGACAGGTCGATCATATTGAATTAGAGGATCTGGATGATGGAGGACATTTGATCATGGTTTCCGATAACACCGAATGGGAACAAGGAATTCAGGGCATCACTGCTTGGTTGGACTCAAATGGCATGTAGAAATAACAAACGTATTAGAATACAAATAATTTTTTTTTACTTTGATATTAAAATATATGCAATGTTCATTTTTATTATTCTCGTTTTAAAATTATATTTTACAGAGAGGGTTTGTTATTTTAGATGAATAGTTTGGATTACTAGTATTTTTCAAAAGATAATTTGCTCCGCAGTGTGGATGAAGAAAGTCCATGAAGCTGAGCAAGAAAAAAAAGAACATCCATTATATATTGCATATTGAAGCCTTGTAAAGTTTACCACCAAAGTCAAGCCGAATGAGAATAAAAAAGAGGGATAGAAATGAAAAGGATGTGGAGAGGAATGAAAAATGATGATATAAAAAAGAGTCAAGTTTATAGGAATAACGAGAGGCCACGTTCAGGCAAGTCGGAACCCCGTCAAGAAATCCTTTTCGATTCCAAACGCAGCCTCTAATTCTCAATAACTACATAATAACAATAATAATAAATAATAAAGCAATGTCAGTTTTTTTTTTTTTTTTTTTTTTTTTTTTGGGGGGGGGGGGGAGCCAAGCAGATATTCAGAATCAAACAATACAATACACATAAAATTCGACTTACGTTAGTGACTCGTTGGGACATTCATCCGTGTAATGAAGGCCATATTCTTCACAGTTCTCGCAGTACTATACAGTAAGCAAAACCGTAAAAAAAAAAAAAAAAAATCAATAATGCTGTGCTTATGTGGCCCCACAAAAAACAAATCAAAGCAGACCAAAATAAAATAAAAGTATTACCGGTCGATCATCACCCACGTCTGAAAATGTGGTAGTGCCGTTCTGAGCATGCTGTGGTGTCGTCACCGTCTTTTCTCCAGAAGAGCCGCCTGCAGCACCAAAGACAGCACTGCAGCTAATGATATCATGACCTTCGACCTCACATATTTCGCAGAAAGGTACATCATCTTTGCCCTGTCCCGCTTGTTTTGGCTTATTATCATTTTGGGAAGCTACAGAAGACGAAGTTGAAGAATGGGTTTTCTGAGATAGCGATGACCCGCCTTCGGATGCTGTAGATGTACGGTATTCTCCACGAAGATTGCTACTCTGCATAGGTTGCGTCGATCGGCCCCCGTACACACCAGTAGTGGTGGATCCATTGGCTCCCATTAGAGCCATGTTTGCATGTGACAATTGGCTCTTCAAATCCGAGACCTCATATTGTAGGCGATCGATCTGCTTCTGTTTCTGCTGTACTTCTTCTTCCAAATCAGCTTCGTGGAAGATCTTACTCTCAATCAACGATTCCAAATCGGTAAGCTCCTTGTTCAACTGCGCCACCTCATAAGCTTTGGCTTGATCCAAATCCACCAACCGTTGGCGCAACTCACGCATCTCAATCGCATGAGTCTGGGTGAGCCGGTCCAGAAGAGCTTGTTTCTCCTTCAAAAGACTTTCAAGCCGGATCACTGACTGGGATTGAGATGATGGAGGAGTGGAATTCTCAGCACCTTCTTTCAAAGGCGTAATAACCTTAGGTTCGGCATTTTCCATCAAAGCGGAGACATCTGATGCGCTAGCTAACGAGACCGCTGCCAAGCTCTCAGTATGGAGTCTCTCGACCTCATCCATGAGTTTGAGGCACTCAGTCTCGACGTGTCGATGAGCCTCCATTAGATTTCCATGTTCTGTCATCAGTTTCTTGTTAACACTTGCCACTTGGACATTCTCACGAGTCAAATCATGCACCATCTGCTTCAGATGCGCAACTTCCTCCTCTAGCTGAGCTTCCCTTTCGCTGGACTCGGTGACCTTGGCATCCGTTTCTGTAGTTGATGGAGTCTTCACCGGAGTAGATGCTGAAAGGGCCAAAGCAGACTCAAGTTCAGAGATCTTTTGGAGCAGCTGGGTTTTATCACCCTGCAAAGACTTGTTTTCTTCCAGAGTTTTCTCGATATCCGTTAGCTGAGAAGTCTTTTCAGCCAGTTCCTTCTTTGCAGCTTCTGCCTCCTGTTTGAATAGGTCTCGTTGAGTTTGTGTTTCAACAAGTTCAAAGTTGACGTCTTCGGACTTGGCAGTCTTTTGGACAATCTCTAGTTGCATCGCTTCGCACTGTTCCCTCCATGTCTCGACAGTTGATGCAATTGCCTCCAGGTCCTCGATCTTGCCCTTGGTCTCCGCTTCATGCAGCTCGATTGCCTTCTCAGATTCGATTACTTTTGCCTGCAAGTCAGCAATGTCTTTGTTGAACTTCTCTTGAGCTTCAGTCGATTTAGCCTTGAGCTGCGAAACCTCTGATTCTAGATCAGTCTTCTCAGTTCTGAGGATTGCAATCGTGGCCTCTAAACTCACAATCTTGGTCAAAAGCTCTGACTCATTCAATTCCAAGGCTTGAATATCACTGCGAAGATCAGTGATGACGGTGATATCATCCGCCACAGCCTCTTCCAGACGCTTCTTTTCATTCTCCCACATCCTTCGCATTCTGTCAACCTCTTCGCTTTGAACCATATCTGCTAGATCCTCCAGTTCGTGTTTGAGATCTGCTATCTCTTGCTCACGTTTTACGATCGATAACTCATATTCTTTAGTCTTTTCTTCTAGTCCCTTAACAAGCTTTTCACTCTTAGCCAGCAATGATTGGGTCTCTTGGAGTTCAACTTCAACTTCCTTAACCCTAGTTTCAGACTCAGATTCTCTTGTTCGCCGAAGCTCCAACTCATGATCAAGACGTGCCTGAACTTCATGCAGAAGCTCTTCAGAATGATTGGCATCCCGGAGAGCAGCCTCCAGCTTGGACTGAAGGGCTTCTGTAGTAACCTTGAGAACTAATTCCAAGTCATCGAGTCTTGTTTGAAGGTCATCACGCTCGCGTTCTAATAAGGCTATTTGCTCTGCATAGTCAGCCTGTGCGGTCCGCAGAGTTTCGTCAACAGCGTCCAAACGGGCTTCATCCTCCACTGCACGCTGATTCAAAAACGCAATTCTATGCTCAGCTTCTTCTAAATCCTTCTGTAATGAGGCAACCAGAGCCTGCTGCTCTTCTTTCTCAATTGCCGCCTCAGAATCCGTTTTAGAGTTTGTACTAACTCCATTCGTCTCCAACTCCCTCAACTTCTCTTCAAGCTCAGTCTTTTCTTGTAGCAGCGCTGTTCGCTCCTTTTGTGAACGTGCAGCATCCAGCCAAGCTTGTGTCATCTTCTCAGTGATACCCTTGATCTCTTGGTCTTTGGCTGCCTTTTCCTTCTCCCATTCTGCTTTCATAGCATGTAGCTCTTCCAATTCTTGTCCGAGACGCTCGTCGATTCCTCCACGGCCTAAACTCTTACTTAAAAATGTACGTTCCTCATAAGAAAGAGATTCACGCTTGTCAAGAAGACGGGTCATTTCAAGCTGGGTCTTTGTCTGACTCATTTCTGTCTTGAGCATGTTGTTTTCTGCAACAGCTTCACCAAAATCCGATTGAAGCTGCTGAAGTTGGGCAGCTAAATTATTGTCTTGAGGCGATTCAGCCATCTGAACTAATGCGGCTTGATCCAGTAGGTTTGAAGAGAGGGTAGAAGGAGCCGAGCCATTAACACTTGTATCTGAGTGATCTGACGCACGTGAGGAAAGACGACGAGGCGATGCTAAACGTCCTGGCGTTGGGGAGGTCCTTGGTCGACCTGAAATAGAGGTTGGTGGAGATGTTGTGGATCCAGCGCGACCCAAAGTCGTGGATTTATTGGCAAGTGATAACAGCGAGGCTCTTGAACCTGGTTGAGAGAGACGACTTCCTAGATTAGTTTTTGTAACAGAAGCTGTGGGTGTGGGCGAGATTGTTTGAGGACTGGTGGTATTTCGAGTTATTGAAGATGATCCTGATGTAAGGTCGCTTGTGCTCTGTTGTTGTGAAAGACGTGAGTTTGCGGGCTGTGGCATTGTGCTGCGCTGCTTCAGTTGGCTGGCAGTAACTCCAATGTATTTTGAGGCCCTAGACCCTGCAGAGATCCTGGCTGCAGCTTGAGCAGCATGGTTGACTGGTGATGAAGTGATGCGAATATCTTCTTGAATGGATGAAGGCTGACCTGTGACAGCGGGTGTGGAGGGAAAAGGAATCAGGAGCTCTGTTTTCACAATCTTGTTAGCCAGAACAAAAATACCACACTTTGGACGACAGTTGAAATATTGCACCCTTCAAAACAGAAAAGACGGGAAATGTTAATTCCAGGCTCACTTTCACCTTTGGGAATTGCAAATATATCCAGACCGAAAAAAAAAAAAAAAAAAAAAAAAAAAAGAAAGCAAAGACATACCCATTCACACTTCCGTCGTTTTTTCCAGTGGGTGTGTCGAGCTCAATACCGGCCCAGATGCCAGTCTTGAATTCGGTTGGGCCGATAAAACGCAGGTATCCTGACAGACTCATGCTCTCGACCACAACCCTGTCGCCAAGCTCAATACCTTCGAGTGATACAGGAAATTGATTCTGGCTCTGACTTTGTATTGTGGGCGATGTCAGAGCATTGATTTGTTGAAGCTGCTGCTGCTGCTGTTGCTGTTGTAACCCTGTCTGACCCATGCTAGGTGGACGCTGAAGCTGCGGTTGTTTCACCAGTGAACGTGCTGAGGCGGATCCCGTTCCAATACCTGGGCCTATAGATAGTCTAGTAGAACGAAGTCCTGATGGTGAATCTGCAGCTGGCGAAGGTGTAGCAGAAGTAAAAGACTGGAGTGAAGGTGATATGGTAGAATATACAGTAGTGGTTGCCCGGATGTTGCTCTCGTGTCCAATACTGGAACGTGGATTACTTGCTCGTCGCGCTTGAGACAATCGATAGGAGAGTGGCGAAGCTAGAACACCTGGCGGCGTAGCGCCGCTATAGTTTGCGGCAGCAACCTCGGCAGAATATGCTGTCGGGACTGGGGACTGTCGTTGAGGTGAAGGCGAAGAAGTGTATTTCTGCTCTGTTCCTGCGCTTGAGGTTGTGTCGGAACCAACCGATTCAGCTCTTTTTCGGTTAGGATCAATGAGTCCTGGGCTATGGATAGCAATAGCCTCTGCAAGGAGAGATTGCTGCTCTGGAGTCATGTTCTGAAAACTCTTTAGTCCTGTGGCAGAGGAGAGCGTGGGCATAAAAGAACGCCGTTGTAGGACACTCGCAGGAGCAGGAATACCTGTGAGAGGTATGGGGCCACCGGTGCCTGGCGCCTTGGGCGACTTGTTGCCTTGTGGCGTTTTTGGAGCCATTTCTCTCTCTTTTACTTTAATAAACGTGGAAAAGAGACAAGATGAAGTATGTGTGGGAATAGCGTTGTTTGGATTCGCTTCTCAGGAGAAAAGGTCTGACAGCCAGACAAGTAAGTGTGCGTTTGTCCTTGACGTTTCTTCTTTTCTTTCTGTTAATGAGATGGGGACAGCAGGAAAGGTCAATGTGAGATGTCGCAAGTAATAAAAAATAAAAAATGGAGGAGAGGAGGGAAGAAAAGTTGGGAAAGGAAAGAATGAATAGGGTGAGCAGAAGAGCGGAAGAGCGGAAGAGAAAGAGTGAAAGAGCGAAAGAAATGAGAATGGCAATTGCAATGGGGATGAAAGCATAAAAAAAGGGGATGAATGCATTCACGACCATCACACACTCTACTCCTTTCTCTTTCTCTTCTCTTCTCTTCTCTTCTCTCTTTTCAATCTCTTCTTCTCTTCTCCTCTCTGCAGTGCTCTTATAGCCTTTTTTCTATTGTGTCCTTCACTCAATCTCACAGAGTTGAAAGCGCGCGCACTTTTAGGCTAAAAAGGGAAGGGGCATGAGCACAATAACAACGACTCCTTACTCTGTAAACAAACAGCAAATTGGATTTCCACACACACACCCCAATAATTAGTGTTGAACTAAACGGTATACCTTTTATTGTGATTATGGTTTTTGTGGTTGTGACAAAACATTGGACTTGCATCGCATCGCATAGCATCGCATGGCATTGATGGATGTTTCGTTTCTTGTTTACAAATTAACAACTTTAGCCCGTGATGTACACATTCCTCTGACGATCACTGGTCGATATCATTGGCATATGGTAAAGTCAAAGCATATCTCATACCCACTGCGATTGCACGAATGAGCGAATCTCACAGACACGAATAAAAAAGACGAAGATTGGGAGAAAGAGCAAGGACAGGGATGTTCAACCTCGTTCCCTGCAGCTCTCAATTAATCTCCTCGGACTGACAAGCTGACTGATTAATTGACAGACTTACTATTGGTGCTTGTTGACATGATATTTATTTCCTCTTTTCTTTTGTGAAGTACCCGCGTTCACGCGGTTCTTTTTTTTTTTTTTTTTTTATTTTTATTTTTTTTAATGTAATCATCTGTGTGCATGATCTGCGCAATACCTACCCATCTGTGTGCTGCGTATTATGTGCCAATGTACTATTCCTCCTTTTGTTTTTTGCAGCAATTTTTCAAAAAAAAAAAAAAGGAGATTAAGGAAAAAGAGATAGAAAGACTACATGAGATTGAGCATCGACGCCCTTCTTGGACAAAACGAACAGAAGAGAATTCTGTTGTTGCTTGGAAGATTGTCAATTCATTTTAACAGTCACGCGTTTTTTTTTGAGAACATCATCCTTCATTCAATTGTCACTCATTCTCTCTACGCATACATTCTCTCTTCTCCCCTCTTCTACACACTATAATCCTATTTGTTCCTTCCTTTAGGCTTCCTTTTCTTTATTTTTATTTTATTTTATTTTTTTATTTAACGCTCAATATATCATTATATATATATTTTGTTTCTAAATTATCTCTTCTACCATGTCTCAATTCACCCATAGTTATCGCATTGTTTCCCCATCAGACATGGCAATGCCTTCCATCTCATCTACCTCTACACTTCCCTCTTCACTTCCCCTACCTCCAGCCTATGCGAAAGAAAACAACATCACTGCAGATAGTCTCCCTGATACGACCATGCCTCTTGTTGAGGATCCTTTCACCGCCAATATCATCCACGATACAAGCGACTGCACTTTGGTACAGACCATGGCTATGGTAGCAGAAGCTGGTGCAGACGCTGGCGCTGCTGTCTCTGCTAGATCTTCGACACCAGTGCTCCATTCTACTTCGTCCGTTGTGAAACCATCTTTCTCTTCTTCCTCTTCGTCCTCGTCTTCTTCTACTTCTGCTTCTGTATGTTCAGCGACTGCACCTACGATCTATGCGCCAACAACCATTCGACCTGGATCAGGACCTTCAATGTCACTCGGCCAACGCTCTGTCATACGCCCATCGATTGATATACCTCAACCTCAGGCACCCATCGGTCTTCACCATGCACTCGATAGCACCTACCCTGCTACACCCAATGCTAAACCTGCGGCAACAACAGCACGTATCCTACCACGCTCAATCGAGTCGTGCGTCCAGGATACTCTCGCTAAAGATCCTCAGCTCCCTTCTGGCTCCTCCACTCCCTATCTAGGTCCTGGATCGAATGGACATCGCCGTATCATGACTCCAACTAGTCGACTGGCTGAAACTGCAGTTGGTGTGCGTGAAGTCTCGAAAAAGATAGGCAAGTAACACGCTCTTTTTTCCATTTCATCAGAGTTACATATACCTCTTTCATGGGTTAATTGATTACATCAAATGGCGACACTTGGTCACTCTTGCATATCCATATGGCGTTTGTTTATACAAAAGGTTATGCGTCTTGGATGCCAAGCTTGTTCAGTCTTTTTTTTTTGCTTTTGTTTAAATATTACGTGTTATATCTGAATCTCCGATCACTTGCAATGCATTGTGTACAGACGTGTTTCAGGAACAGCATAAAATGAATAGAAGTTCAATTGCCCCATGAGAGCCATCTTATTGATAATATACTCAAGATCAATACGCATACACATCATGTCGCATGCTTCACGTCGTTGCTCCTGTGTGTTGATAAGTGCTTCTAGTTTAATGGGAACCTAAGATGATGAGACCCTGCACTCCAACGTTTCAATCCTTTGTCCCACCAGGAGCAAACTTTTTAACTTTATCAATGCTCACAGATGTATTACAGTATGCTGCTCCTCGCTTATCACTCCTGATAACTAAAATCTTCTGCTAAATCCCATTGCCTATCAGGTCGTGCAAGAGTCAAATGGGAAACGCCAAAAACAGTAATGATTGTAACAAAGCCAGGAGACGAGTCATTAGTAAAGATTACACGCCAAGTCGCCTTCTGGATGATGTCTACCCGTGGAGTCACAGTGTAAGGACGATATTAGATCAAAAAAAAAAAAAAAAAAAAAAAAAAAAAAAACAATCTTTATATTCTTTAATAACCAATCTGCCATTGCATATGTACATCTTTTAATTTTCACAATTAGATTTGTGGAAGACAAGATGAAAGATCAACCAAAGTTTAAATACCCGGCGTTCCTGAAGAGTACGAAGCTCGGTTATGACTATACCCATCAGCTCAAATTCTGGACAGCTGATCTCTGTGCTCAAGAAGCCCATCTCTTTGACGTTGCGATCACTGTAAGTTGATTAATGTTGCTGTGTTTATTTTAAGTAAAGCTTATTTATTGACACTAGCGCAAGCTTGCCCAAGATTTGATACACACAGCAGAGGTCAATTTACCCATTAGTGTACTATACACTAATAGCAAGGGCTGAAAATGGAATGATTATATCTTTTTCTTTTTCTTTTTTACTATTATTGTTTTTCTCCTTATCGATACACTAGCTTGGCGGGGATGGAACTGTTCTCTTTACAAGCTGGCTCTTTCAACGGATTGTACCCCCTATTCTACCCTTCTCTGCAGGCTCATTGGGCTTCCTAACGCCTTTCCCTACAGCGGATTACAAACAGATTCTTAATACTTGTCTAGACCAAGGTGTGCGAGTCAATCTGCGGATGCGCTTTAGCTGCACTATATATCGGTGTCTTGAACACAGGACTGTTGATACGACCAAAAAGAAGAAGCGCAAAGGATCACGCAATAAAAGCGTCAATAAAGATAAGGGATCATCTAATGGACAAACCACATTAATGGATGATAGTGACGACGACAATGATGTCCGTCGGCTAGCGCTTCCAACTGTTCTTACCACTCCTACAGAAACATTTGAGATTTTAAACGATTTGGGTAAGGTGGTTTTGATAACCCTAACAATTAATACTTTTGAATCTCAATGTATTAATAAATATTCTAACTGCCGGTTACCTTACTACACCCATTTATCACAACGGTCTTCTCCTAACGTGCTTAGTTCTGGATCGAGGGCCCAGCGCCAACCTTAGCCTTTTAGAGCTTTTTGGCGATGAAGAACATCTAACAACAGTCCAGGCTGATGGTATTGTGATTTCGACGCCTACGGGATCAACAGCCTACTCGGTAAATGGGATTTGATTGATAAACATGATGATAAGGATTGGATGCAAATGTGTAGTAATGTTGTTCGAAAATCTGATCATTCCTAACACTTTCATTTTTTATATTTTTTTATTAACTTCCGGATTGCTTCGAAAAGCTTGCTGCTGGTGGGCCGTTAACACATCCTGAAATCCCCTCTATTTTGATATCACCCATCTGTCCACATACATTGAGTTTCCGCCCGATGTTATTGCCTGATTCTATGGAACTTCGGATCTGTGTTCCTTTCGATTCGCGCTCGACTGCTTGGGCTAGCTTTGATGGGCGCGGACGGGTAGAACTTAAACAGGGAGATCATATTAAGGTGACTGCGAGTGTTTATCCATTCCCAACCATCTGCTCCAGCACTCAATCATCTGATTGGTTTCATTCTCTCTCTCGTTGTTTACGATGGAACGAGCGAGAACGGCAAAAAGGGTTTCGTGTTGTCGAACATAGTCGACCAAGGAAAACACGACATGCCCCACTATCAACTCCCCCTCTATCTAGCATAAGTACAAATACAGGAGCCAAACCAAGCAGCACACATTTCAATGAAGACGGGCAGCCGCAACCACAGTTCCAGTTATTCGGAGAAACTGCCCCTAATAATGGTGCGCATGATGTTCAATATTCAAATCAAACTCACGGACACGGGCACGGACATGGACATGCACACGGACACGGACACGGACATGCACACGGACACGGACACGGACATGGACATGGACATGGACATGGGCACGGCCAGGATTCGTATTTTATGTGCGGCAATAGCAGCGCTGGCGCCAGTGCCAGTGGCAGCACACGGGCGAAACAGAGCGTACGGCCAGGATTACCAAGAATGGTGACTTCAGCGCAAAATGATTACTTTGATCAGTCGCCTCACGACACAGACACGATGCTAACCTGTTGGGGCACCGATTCGAGTGAAGATGACGACGATGATGATAGTGACCCTTTGGATGAAAAGGAGGATGATGCAGCTGATGGTGATGGCGAGTGGGAGGATTCAAGCAGCGATGAGGCATACTCTAATGATGGACAAGAAATTACTAACCAAAAGAGGGAAGATGATAGCAGTAGTAGAGCTCATGACAATATAAGGAAAGCAAGCAGAAGTGAGGGAAACGATGGTGGCGGTGATGAGGGTAGTAGTAAGGAAGCTGAAGGCAAAAAGCCTAAAGTTTCCGAGTCATCTCAAAGAACGATATTTACCAGTGGCGGTACAAAAAACATTACATTTGCGTCCACAGACACAGACACAGTGGAGACTACTACGAATCGGTTGAAAGATATTTCTATAGAACCAAAGGTTGTTTCAGGCTCAAATAATGGTCATCCTACTTTATAACTCTGTAGATAATTTTATGCGAACAAATAAGCAAAAAAAAAAGGAAAAGAGCTATATACTATTATAATTAAGGGATAACTGTCGTGCCTTTAACGACTTTGATTACAACCACTAACGCTTTTGGAGTTCCCTATTGAAGTATGAAGCATGAACATGACCAATGGTAAAAAAAAAAAAAAAAAAAAAAAAAAAAAGTAATATAATAGATTGTGATAAAAAAATCAATCAATCTCAATTGTTGTCGGTAGAGAAAAAGGACGATTCTTTTCCTGATGGTGAACACCACGGCTAGTTCTGCTACAACTGCTGCTATTATGGCTAATGGTAGCAGTAATTTCGTTATTACTAACTCTTCGTTTTTTAATCTGTTGTTCAAATCCCTGATCATGCCCATACCCATGCTCATGCTCATACCCATGCTCATGCTCATAATCATAGTCATATCCAAAGCCATCCTCACATCTATGCCTATGTCTTTTCGTTCGTTTTCTTCGAATAAGCCTTCTCAAATATGCTTCGATGCGTTCTTGCGATTCCTCAATTCTTTGAAGTCTCTTTAAAAGCTCCGACCCGCTTTCAGCAAGGCTGCAGTTAGGCCTGAGGGCATCAGCGGGAGCAGATATGCAAGTTGTGATAGGATTTGGAATAAATGAAGCAGTGGAAGCAGAACTTGAAGTGGCGATGGGAGCAGGGCTTGGAATGGAGATGGAACTTGAGATGGTAGTAGTGGGAATAGTAGTAGAAATGGAAGTAGGGGTTGGGACGGGGGTAGGGACAGAATTGGGAATAGATATGGAAGTGAGGACGGAGCCGTGGTGCTTAAGTATCCTAGGGGAGGCGCGAGTGGGGATGGAAGTTGAAGTGGTAATAGTATTGTTGGAGGTTAAGGCTTTACTAATGGGTGGGGTTTTATTGGGAGCAGAGTGTTTGCCTGAAGTAGACGACTTATTGGTAGTAGGTATTTTGATGAAAAAAGATGCTTCGTCAGAAGCAGACGTTTTGTTGAATGTAGACGTTTTATTGGGCGATGATTTGTTGGAAGATGTTTCGCCAGAAGCAGATGTTTTATTAGTAGTAGACATTTTGTTGGATGCAGGTGTTTTGTTGGGATCAATGATTTCGTTGGATATAGATGTTTTATTGAGAGCAACAATTTCTTTGGAAGCAGCGACTGCGTTGGAGATGGCAGAACTTAATCGAGCAGCATATTCCTTCTTGAATTGCTTAACGGTGGTGATAGTAGGTGCTGTCGGACAAGGACGTTTGTTAGTCCTTCCGACGATATGCCTCCTTATTCCTCCATATGTCTGAAAACGGCTACCACAGATGCATAAGTAGTCGTGGTTTATGCTAGGTTGACGATTAAACTCCATGATACAGGATTTGTTCGAGTTGAATGTATACATTTTCACTTCATGTCTATCCCTGAGATGGCGATTTATATCGGGGTGTTTTGATCCATTGAGATCATGGATGGGGCCTTCCCCTTTGGGCATGCTAGGGGCTTTGAAAATGCATCGACTGAATGTGCATAATCCCATCTTGCATGTGTCGCGTATCTCGCGTAAAGATCAAATGCACACTCCTTTCCTGATCGAGTTCTCATACATTATTTCCGCAGTCACATGACGCACAGACTAGAAGAGCTCAGCTCTGCCACTGGGCCTCGCATATCATACCTTTCAACATAAACCGTTTTTCTTCCCGCTATTCCAGCGCAACTTTACTACTTTTGCTACACTTGCTTGCGACCTATACTTTGTAAGCCTGTTGCAACTGATACATATTTTGTCAGATGCCTATTAGCAACAGACGAACATTTGCGCAAAAGCGATAATAAATGATACCTATATTGGCACTCTAGGCTCAAGATTACAGCTTATGCGGCAGTTCTAATATAGCACGTATAAAAAGTAAAAAGACCGAACAATGTGTGGTACTGTGGTTCACATTCAAATCCCATTTATCTTTTTCATACTTCGGTTATTACTCTTCATTTGTTATTAGTAACTTGGTATTTACCGTACCATGAGAGCTGCACTGGCGGGGCTAATATTGCATTTGACATTGAATCTGTCGTGAACCTTCTCTACTAGAGACATGTGCTTGCCAAGTATTCCCTACTTCTCATGATCAAGACTCTACCAACTGCGGCCCCCTTTCCTCCAGTCGATAGGCAAGGCTAGAGGTTATTCTTGTGTGAAATGCAGCCGTACAGTCCCCTCAAGTAACTGGAATGGAATTCACTTTGAATTGCATCCTTAATATCGCTACCTGTCTTTTTTTCATCCATAATGCAGTCATCGATCGCTGTTGACTGTGTAATCAATTTGTCTTGAAAATGTGAACTGACTGATAAGTACTGCCATACCATCTAGCTTTCCTTACTGCAATCTTAATCATCCTGACCATTCTGAATCGAAACAGTAAGAGAAGACAACAATGTCATTCTCAGAATCATTTTGTTTAAGGTTACAGCTCCACTACGATAAATGAACTAAATATAATTTATACATGGAATAATAAATACACTTACTCCGCTTTGTCGTCTTGTGGCCTAACCAAAACAAACAAACAAAACAAACTTTGCTGTGGCAAGAGAGCACAGACCAATTCAAGATTTGCAAAAAAAAAAAAAAAAAAAAAAAAAAAGACAGAAAGGAAAGCAGACAAGGCTATAGTGGCATTGATGCTAGCCAGGTATTCGACAATATCAAGAAATACTATCTATACATTCATTCAATAGCACTGGAGGAATAGAGTACTGCATTTTTTGAAAAAGGCAGCCTCAAATTGTACGAAAAAAAAAACCCTCCACACTGATCCTATCATGTCAAAAGTCAATGATAAGAGAGAATAAAACAAGCCAGCAGTCTCTGGTAAATATAAAAGGGCTCTCTTTCTTCATTAGGGATTCCCTTGCTTGTGGATTGCGAATTGTGAATCCTCTTGTGTATTCGTGTTTATGATAAGCTTGATGATGGCCCTTTGTTGCGAAGACCAAGGAACTATCAGAAAAAGAGGCTCGCTTCTTGACAGATAGCCAGTAAGTTAATAGTAGGTGTAGCTGGTGCTCGCCTATTATTGCATCTAAAGAATGGAAGATCTACCAAAGCTCTTTGATAGAGAGCATGTACATCAGGTGACATGGATTTCTGGTGATCTGTTGGAACGCGTCGCGTTTCTGTTTCAAATGTGCGAACTAGATTTATTTTGTAAAAACCAAGCGGCTATATACATCTGTTTCCTTTTGTTTGACTATCAATTAATATCGGATCATTTTGCGTGGACATGAAATTAGCTTTTCTTTCATTTTCTTTCTCTCTTAATAAACGATATCGCTTCATGTAAGATCTTGCATAATCAAGGTCTCTTTAGAATTCAAGCTTAGAAGTCTCGATTCGGCTGCTTTACCTCTGCTCCCAGGCAGTTGTGAAGGAACAAGTGTAGCTGAGGCGGTATAGTTCAATAGTTATTACCAGTGCACCAAAAAAAAAAAAAAAAAAAAAAAAAAAGGTGCACAGTTGTCTTTTCAATTGCAATGTGTTGTCGTCATCTTTGAAGCTGCTAATTTCAACAGCATACTTTGACGGGAAAGCCTTCTTTTTTCCACAAAAACAATCTGGGGTAATTTTGCTTGCACAAGATGGTCGCAAAAAAAAATGCATTTATCTTTATGACATGTGTAGCCACGTTGTCGATGCCTTTTCTATACCTTGTCAACCTACAATTCTCCAGAACAAAGAATTCACCATCAAATTGTCCTATTCCATTGGATTCAACAGATGTCTGTATACATTCCAAAACAAATTGGTCACATTTGAAAACGATTTGCAATACCATCCATTCTGCTACGACGAACAACGCCTGTAAGAATTATAACTATAGCGTGATCGTGGTCCCTCGAGAATTTATGGAGGATGTTAGTGAACACGTTAAACAAATAATGATTGTACAGGGGTACAATCTTGGGCCAGAACTAGACAAATTTGTTCAGAGACGATCTCATTGGATGATAAATCCATTTGGTGGAGATGGATTCGAAATATTGATGACGGTCAGGGAGGACGGGACTCGAATGAAATTACAAGCTCATTTGGATCGATTACAACATCGCTGCGTCAATTTTTTTGAAGGTGTAATCAATCCTTTTGGTTATGGATCCAATTGGCATACAGCAGGACTGGGTCTAGCGTGGAGTCTGTATTACAACATGACCTTGTTCATTCAACCAGATAAGGAAAATAACCATCAAACCAAATTACCATTCCAGGGCTTTATCCCTGTTACCTCTTGCTCCTATTCAGACTTGGAAACAGCCTTCAGCATTCATCCGCCTGAAACCAATTTTACGAAATGGAAGCATTCGACTATCAACTTTTATTCTCAACAATTAGATGTCCAGTCCTTGATGAAGGACCAAGAGATTATTCTCCCAGAATATAAATCTCAAGGCCTGTTCTGGTGGAGATCTATGCTGACTTTTTATGTAATCCGACCGAATTACCAGACCAGGGAGTGGCTCCGTCAGCATGGTAATACAGCAGCCCAAACAGCAATAACAACCATGCTGAGGTCTCGGGAATGTATCTCGATCCATGTACGACACTCAGATAAAGGAAACGAGGTAGATCTGCTACCTTTAAAGGCTTACATGACCAAGGCAAATGAGATTCGAAATATGACCGGAATCTTGAACATCTATCTGATGACGGATGATCAACTTGTTGTCAATGAAGCGAGACAAGAGTATGGACGCAATAGCACCGAAAGGGAAGGTGGCTTTGAGATTCATGTCCAAGAGATGATGCGATCAAATGCTGGATGGAAAGACGATATCAAGAAAGGACGAGTGAGCCCACAAGAATCACTAAAGCAGTTTTTGATCGATTTGTTTTCAGCAGTACAATGTCGCTATAGCATCGTAACATATTCAAGTAATGTAGGCAGATTGGTTGGAGAAATCAAGTACGCGATGAATAATCAGGATCCGAAGACCACAGTGTTCTCTCTCGACTACGAATGGACTATGTATCCATAGCGATGATGATAAGGCCTCATTTATATTGATCTATTTGCCTACTCGAATATCACATATAATTGAAGTTGGTTTTGTGTAGCATATGCATACCAAAGTATTCTATCTTTTCACAAGCACTATATCAGGCTTATAACACATTATTTGTTGCTTGGACTTTTTTTTTGTCTACCTCATCATTTTTCTTTCTTTTTACACAGTTTACATTTGAGCCTTTGTCTTCATATTCGAAGTCCTAATCTGACCAAACTTAGATTCTTCATCATGCTCCCCGTGAAAGTCGCTTTGTTTCATCTGGGGTCAACTTTAACACTTGGGCGAGCACAGGAACCATTTGTTGCTATTTGAAACCAAAAAAAATACATCAGTTCTGTAATACTTCCACACAAATAAATAAAACTTTGATATTGCTCAAAGCCAAAAAAAAAAAAAAAAAAAAAAACTTACGCGATGATCCTTGTATTCTATAAATCTCAGTAGCACGTTCTTCAAGTACTCGACATTGGTATCATCCTCTTGTTGTTGCTGCCGTTCTTGCAAAAGCCGTCCCAGTTGTGGTGTACTGGGAGGAGTCGAATGTGGAGACATGGCTCGGTTAGGCCCCGATGTCTGTGGGACACCAGCAGCAGCACTATTATTACCTCCAGGTCCCTGTGTAGGCAATGGCGTTGTTGATACCCCGGGTGTCTGTTTCTGCAATTTACGGACTTCTTCCTTCAGAATCTATTTCGAGAAAAAGATTTCAAGTTAATAATCGGCGAAGGAGCGGCAAAAAAAAAAAAAAAAAAAAAAAAAAAAGGCATTGCCTTTCCTGCATCTTTTACCTTGTTCTTAGTGTGCAAGTGTCCTTCACGCATCTTGGACTCCTCTACAAACTTTTCATGCGTACTCTTCTCTTGTGCAAGGATTCCCTCCAAGTCCTTGAAGTGTTGCTACATTATACATTAAAAAAAAAGAGAGAACATTTAGTCTATGACAATAATATTAAGATATTTCAATGATTAAGAAAAATATAAATACTTACCAGCTCTAGTTCAAGATTCCGCTTGTGTTCCTTCAATTCTTGGATCTCATTCTCCAACGCAGACACTTTATCGTCTTGCTGTTGCTGCGTTGAGGTCAATTGCTTTAGTTCCTCTCCCCTGTTGCTTACTTGAGCCTTCAAGTCTGCAATCTCAAACTCCTTCTCCTGTAACGACTTCTTCAGCTTCTCAATCTCTGCGCTCAAGGTCTCTTTAGTCTCATCCACTTCTTGTTGCAGATTCTCTAATACAGCGCTCCGTCTGTTCATCGCCGTCTGCAACTGATCCAACTTGGCTGCTAGATCTGTGGTCTTTCTCTTCAAATCCTCGCATTCTGCCACTTTAATCTCCGCTAACCGCTTCGCATGCGATGTCTCCTCCTCTAACATTGTCACCCGATCACGAGCCTCTTCCAATTGATGCCGATACTCCGTCATCTCATGCCCCACGTTTTCAAGCGATGTCTGTGATGACTCAAACTCAGCCTGTTTCATTTGAAGTTGATCAAAGTACTGATCCTTCTCTTGAATCAACTTTTCTTTATCCTGCGCAATCTTGGCATGAACCGCCTGTAGCCGTGCTAGGTCGCTAGCTGCAGTTGACTGTTGTGCCGTGACCTTGGCAAGCTGTGTCTTTGCCTCCTGTGCTGCTTTGGCCATCGCTACCTTTGTTGCTTCTAACTCATCCGCCACTTCCTGTTTCTCCTTCTCTAACCTGAGAATCTGCTTGCGGGTCGTCTTGAGGAGCGCCATAGATTTTTGCAACTTGTCTTCATCTTCAGCTTTTGTTTTCCGAGCCTCCTCTAATTCTTCGTCGCGTTGATGGATGGTTGATTTGGCCAGAGCAAGAGCCTCCTTTGTATCGCGGTCCTTCATCGTTAGCGAACTGACTTTAACCTGTAACTCATTCATTTTTTCTTGTGATTCCGCCTTGGCTGCAGACAACCGAGCTGCGTTTTCCTCCGCTGCTATAAGCAACTTGGCTGTCTCCTCCTTTTGGGCATCAGCATCCTTGAGTCGTGTTTCCAATTCGGCTTTCTGCTGTTCAAGCGATTCCTTTTCGGTCTTCAGACTCTGAATTTGCTCTTGCAATTGCTTGATCTCTGTAGCATTTAGTGTCTCCATTTCCTTCATCCTTGTCTCCACTCTGATCAACTCCTCTTTTCTCTCTTCAAGCTCTTTCATCAATGCACTAATCTTCTCTTCAACATCCTTTGAACTCTTGGATACACCATCATGCGCAATTTTAAGCTGGGTTTCAATAGATGTTAATTTGACAAGCGCTTCATCTCTCTCTACTACCAGGCTGTCGTGTTTGGCCTTCAGCTCTTGGTGGATATCGTCCTTCTCCTTGCTAACTTTATCGTGTTCTGCCCGTGCAGTCTCCAAATCCTGTGATAGTGCTTCCTTCTCCTTCGTAAGCATTGAAATCTGAATGGTCAGCTCTTCATAATCCTTCTTGGATTCGCTGTATTCCTTCAGCTGATTTGCAAGAGTTGCAGTCTTCTCCTGCATTGAATCAAGGTCCTTGATCAGCTTCTCAGCATTGGCAGTCGCAGCCTGTTCAGCCTTGCGAGCAATCTCAAGTTCAAAGGTAACCTTCTCCAGTTCACTCTTCACATGATCTTGTTCATGAGCTGCCAATTTCGTCTGCTCCTCGACCTTTGCCTCCAAGTCTGCCTTCTCTTTGCGCAGTTGCTCAAGTACTTTTTCTGAAGAGAGCTGCTTATGTGCCTGCTCGAGTTCCTTCACCAAACTCTGTTCATGCTCTTTGATGATCTGCAACTCCTTCGTTACCTCTGCTTCCTTTGCTTCAAGTTCTTGAACGGTCTTTTGTAATTCCATAGAAGCTGCTTTATGAGCTTCTGATTCACTAGCGAACTGGGCTTCCAACTTCTCATGCGCCTGTGTAAGGTCCTTGAAAAGCTCTGAAGTTTTCTCAAGCTCCTGAATACGACCCTGTAGAGTCTTTTGACGGTCAATTTCTTCATCCAGCTTCTTCTGTTGGTCTATCAATTCATTTTCTTTGTTTGCAATTGTCTTTTCAAGTTCAGAGATCTTCTCTTTCAGGCCCTTGATGGTAGCTTCTAGCTCTGCATTTGTCGCTTGATTTTCATCGCTATTATTACTGGCCAAGGGTACGTCTTGGGACCGAGACTGAGCCGAAGTCTGTGCCTTCTCAAGATCCTCTTTCAATGAAGCAACTAAGGCCTCCGCCTCCTGTTTTGCAGCCTTGGTGTGATTCAGCTCTTGGCGGAGCTTCTTTTGAGCGTTTTTCGAGGGAGTTTGACTCAATGATAAAATCTCGGCTTCCAGCTGCACGATTTTATTTCGCAAATCCTCCTCAATAGCACTAGAACTTGATTCAGAGGCTGACGTTGCTTCCTTATCCTTAGTTGTATCCTCGGCCTTGTCTCCGATCTTGCTAGGTGTTGATGCAGCAGCGGCAACCTCGGCTGTCTTCTCTCCAAGTTGTTGTTTAACTTTGAAAAGATCTTCTTCTAGAGTTTGGATTTTGGTTGCTCCGTTACGCTCTTTCTCCTGGATGATAGCCATCTTAGCCAGGATTTCATCCTTCTCCTGGTTTAATTCATCGACTGCTTTCTGTAAATCATCAACCTCGGTTGATTTAGCTTTAAATTCTTTCTCTTTCTCTGAATCCTTAGACTTGATTTTTTCCTCCAAAACTGCGACCTTATTGGACGCATTGCACTCCTTTTCCTGGACGACAGTCAACTTTGCCAAGATCTCGTCTTTCTCGTCATTCAATTGATCGACCGCTTTTTGAAGGTCATCCGCCTCAACCACCTTGCCTTGTAACTCTTTTTCCATCTCCTCAAGCCTTGCTTTGAGTTCATCCAATGCCTGGAGAGCTTTGGCTCCGCTCCGCTCCTGTTCCTGTGCTAGAGCAAGCTTGGCCAAAATCTCGTCCTTCTCATCTGTTAATTGGTCCACTTCCTTTTGGAGATCATCAACTTCCTCAATTTTGGCTTGTAACTGCTGCTCCTTCTCATCCTCTTTAAGCTTATAGTCATGTAAAGCCTTGGCCTTTGCTTCTTCCAAGCTCTTAATCAACTGTTGCTTATCTGAGAGAGATTTGACAAGGACCTCTTTCTCAGCCACGAGTGATTCAATCTGGCTTCGATTATCATTCGCTTCCTTCTCTTTCTCTGCAGCCCTGGCAGTGATAGCCGCTAGCTCATCTGAAAGATCTGGACGCTCCTTCATTTGTCTCTCGAGTTCGGCATACTCCTTTTTCAATGTTGAGATTGTCTCTTCTTGCTTTTGAATCTTGTCTTGCAGTAATTTCAATTGTCCTTTCAATTCTTCTGTTGCTTCTCCAGTCTGAGAAGCTTGGCTGATTTCCTGCTCAACTTTCTGCTCCAGATTTTGCTTCTCTTTACGCAACTGCTCCACCTCCTTTTCAAGAGCCTCAAGCAAGCTTCGGTTCTCAGCTTGGACCTGGTCAGCATTATTCTTAGCCTCCTGCTTTAGTTTCGTTTCCAAGTCTTCCTGCTCCCTTTTGGCCTTTTGAAGCTGTTCTTCAAAAGATTTTTGAGCATTCTCTCTCTCTTTTTGCGCCTGATTAAGCTCTTTCTGTGCCTCTGCCAACTGCTGTCTAGTTTCCTTTAATGTTATATCGAGTTTTTGCAGTTCTTTGATCTGGACTTTTGCGATTTTTAGTTCCTTCTCGGCTTCTGCAGCGGAATCTTTGATTGATTTCTGAGCAGTACGGGTCTCTGCGAGTAATGTCTCTACTTTACTCTTCGCATCTAAAGCTTCTGACTCCCTCTTTATTGCCAGATTCTTTGCCGCCAGTGCATCTGCTTCGCGTTTGACTGCAGCTTCAACCTCAGCTTGGGCTTTTGCAAGTGACTCCTTCGCTAACTTGGCTTCCTGAGATGCTGCCTCCAAGTCCTTTCGTAACATTATTATAGGATCGAGTTCGCCATCATCACCAGCCTTGGATCCAACTAATGTTTCCGCCTTTGTAACTGAATTTCCTTGTCGCTGCTGCTGTTCTTGAGCCTGGCTTTGTTCTTTATTCCCTTGTGACGCACCTTCCTTGCTATCGGTCAACCTATGTTCTTTTCCTTCCATCCCCCCAATCTTTTTTTGCAATTCATCCATCTTCTCAACCATCTCTTTCTTAACCTTGACTTCCTTATCTAGATCCAACTGCAATTGAAGCAACTTGGCCTCAGCTTGCTCTTGCTCTTGCTGCGCCTGTTTTTTCTCCTTGAGGACAACATCGAGACGAGACATCAGATCACGCAATGCTTGGTCCTTCTTTTGCTCCTTGGCCATGGTCTTCTTTTCTTTGGGTGAGCTAATACCTGATGCAACAGTTGATACAGCAACAGTTTCGGGCACAGAGACGGAAGCAGAAACTGGATCAGAGAGTAGATCTGGAATTAAAGCGGCTGTTGATGCTGTGGTTGGCAAAGAGGGAGAGGCGGCCAACTGACTTTCAAGCGCCTTGATTTTTGTCTCTAATTCTGTAATGCGTTCCTGCTGCTTTTCAATAGTGGCTTTTGAAACTTCATTTGTATCCGCTGCATTGTTATCAGTCGCTGGTATCTTGCTTTTCAATTGCTCAACCTCCTATGAGATTGTATACGTGGTGTTGCTCGTGTTAGTTAAAAATTGACTTGAATATGCTTGATGCATATAAATCAAAGAGATTTCGATTTCAACTGTTCTGTACCTCTGCCTTTGATGCAAGCTGATCCTGTAAATTCTCGATCATATCTGACTGGGAAGCCGACTCAAGCAAATGGACCTCCTTTAGTCTGGCTGCATCTATAAACACGGTTCGAAAAGCGAACAGTAATAATAAGCGGATCATCAAATTAAAAATAAGATACTCATTTTGATATCCCCCATATTTATTGAAAAAGGGTATCTGACAAATATCGATAAACGTAAATAAATAAATATATGCATATAAATATCATCCGTACCCTGTAGTTCATCGTTCAGGCGTCTGATCTCTTGCATAGAAACTTCACTCTTATATGCCATATTACGAAGATGCGAATCCAACCCCTCGATATCTGAAAGGTCCTCAATAGGTGTAGACGCTTTCAAGACAGCTTCGACAGCCACTTTTTCCTGCACTAGTTTTTTGAATGCTTGTGCCAAATCTATTAATTAAACACAAAAAAATAAATGCATTGAGCATGTGAGGATCCCATTAGCTTTTAATCCAGCCTCAGTGCCATTTATTTCCTTTCCCTCTTCAGCATACAATTGAAAATTGATTACTGTCTTTCTTATGGTCTATATAATCACCAATCATAAAAATTATCTTCGTTTATTCATTACCTGGGAAACGAGCTTCATATCTCTGCAATCGTTCCAATTTCTCAATGATAGTATCAGCCATTTCGGTCCCACCAGGTTCTGCAGCCTTGACGGCTTCAAGTTGTGCAGGGTCTGGTTTCTCCTGAAGTGGATCTAGAGTCAATTGATTAACTGTAGCCATGAGCTTCTTGTTCATAATGGGTTGTGGTGTTGAAGGTAAAGATGGTGACGTGGCAAAATTAATCAGGTCTGTAGATGGACGATTAGACTGAAGTGATCTACGGAACAATGATGTTGCGCTGCTTCCACCTCCAACGCCACTTGTCCTAGGTGACCTTGATCCTGGGGATGATGATGGGTCCTGTAACAGATCGTGACTATGGTTGTTATGGTAATGATTATCACTAGAAGCTCGTTGTGAAGGATTGTTAGCGCCTGAAGCAGCAGCTTGGACGGCTTTACCGGCTTCAAGTCCTTTTTCCTGAATCGTGTTAAACTTTCCCTTGATGGACGAGAACATGGCCTCTGGCCTCTCAATCTATATCTTTTTTTATTTTAAAAGAAAAAGTAATAAAAAAAAAAAAAAAGGAAAAAAGGAAAAAGAAAAAAAAAAAAAAAAAAAAAGGAGGGTGCCACCAAGTTAACAGAGATGAAGGAACCATGTTGTTCTCACTGCTTTTCGCGTAATGTTCATACCAAATGTGGATTTTTTTTTACTTCGTGATAAAAAGTGATGTTGGGATCTGTAAGCTAAGATGGAAATGAATGAGGACAGTGTGTATGCTTGGCTGAAAGAGAGAAAAGGATGAGAGGATATGCACAGCCGATGTAGTTTTTCTTCAATGTTCAATGCACGCACGTCAAGATGATTGTGTGGGGAAAGTGGAACTTTGTTGTTTGTCTCAACTGCTCAATTGGCCAAATGGTGGCGTGCGTTTAACATCTGTCATGTGCAAATAATAATATTGAACTGAACACAGCATGCAACAAACATATTTATGCATATACACTAATGCTCTTAATAGTGTACAAGTGTCTTGTAGAGATAGAGTGGCATGGTAAAGTAAGGTAAGGTTAGGTCCAACTTCCAGATGTTGCAACATGGACCAACGCTCCGCTTTATTTAAATGATACAAATTGAACGCTATAATGTAAATTCAGAAGAACCCAGGAATTACAATAGATCGTCAAGGCGGCGGAAGAACCAAAAGCCAAAGAAATAGATTCATATGTCAAAGTCAGCATCAGTAAAGCTGCTGAGAGGAGCAACGAACACCATAAAAATATGGATGGCCTTGGAGCAATAGGGCATGCAGGCAACAATTGATCTTATAGGCGGCCTCCGCTTATGCTATGGCTGTAGAAGGCGCCCATGCACATGCAGTGGGATTTGGGACTCATATAGACATATTCTTCCTAAAAAATATGTCCCAACTGAAATGACTTATTGATAGGCACACTACTTGAGTTGTTAAGGAGCATATTGCAATTTGACAACCCAAATCATCAGGTTGCGACTCGACAGCTGCTTAGCAAGGCTTTAAAAGTCTGCAAGGTCTTCCGTGGTTCCGTAGGGAAATTTGATCGAATGAATTGAGGTCCTAGTTACATTACTTAATCAGCTGGATTGAAGCCCTCGCAGGCTCTGTCTAGGTCTCCCATTATGCGGGTATGGAGCAAAGTAAGAAGTCCTCCTCGAGTAACCGATGGATCATGAGTAGTAAAAACTGATATGCTAAAAAATTGAAGTTGCAGATTAAGGAGCAGAATATAAAACTATGTTGATACTCTTCCTTGGCTAGCGTGAAGTAAAGCAGGGCATCTTTTCCGGCTGAAGGACTGGATGCCTTTTACTTCATAGTTCGTATCAATATAGTCGAAAACTGCATCGGAGAATGAGCGCAGCGTTTCTGCAGGAAATAAGAAAAAGAAATATTAATCGTTATACGAGCATGCTCAGACATTTTTCTTTATACGCCACACAAGTATGATCGATATTATTGATGCATGCGAAGATGGTGGTACCCTAAACAGCATGAAACAATCGTGCAGATAGATTTAGCTTCCATTTAAACTTGGATCATAGGTTAAGGGATAGATGGAATCCCTCTACGTCCCATAAAAAAAGTGTCAGGGCTTTTACACGGCTTCGACTTTCCCTTCTCTAGTGAGACCTCGTTATAACACCATTGGAGCTTCGGTGCTTTACCTTCCCCTGGATCGAGGAAGGTTGGGTTGGGCTTTCGGACGTTGCAATATAAACCAATGCTACGTTCTACTCAAATGATACAAATCAAACGCTCTTATGTAGCTCCAAAAGGACTGGAGAACAACAATAAAGCCTGAAAACCTTGCGGAATCTAAAAGAATTCTTTGCTGGGCTCTGATCAGAACCTGATAACCTGATGAAATGGTTTTTGTTAGGTTGTGTTGATAGATGTAAGTGTGAGCTGTGGGAAGATGTACAGATGCCAGTGCTTTTTGTCCGTCTGAAATTGTTTTTTAATACATGAACAAATAAAATGACATATACTCAAGTAGGATGCCTATTAATTAGTCATATCTAGATGAGTCCCAAAATCCCACTGCATGTGCATGGGCGCCTTCTACAGTTATAGCAATAGCGCGGGCCGTCAATGAGATCAATTGCTGCCTGCATGCCCTGCTGCTCTAAAGCAAGCCTTATCTTCAAGGCGTTCAGCTCCTCCTCTTCACTAGTAACTCCACCGCGAATAGTCTGAACGTCTTTGTCAATGCGAGTTTGGACATATGACATTAACTCTTTGGCTCTTGGTTCTGCCACCCTAGGGAACTGTGACCGAACGAATGGAGGCCCTAACCGCATCACTTGGTTAGCTGAATTGAAGTTCTTGCAGGCTGTGTCTGGGTCACTCATTATCTCGGAACGAAGGTAAGCAAGAAATCCCGCCCGAGTGACCGATGGGCCGTGGGCGTTAAAAATCGTCTCGATCTGAAAAGCCAAAAATTGTGGGTCGTAGACAACGGAGCCAAATTGAACATTAAGCGCAACTTCCTCCTTGGGCAACGTGAGAGAGAATATGACATTCATCTTTTCTGGCTCAAGCAACTGTGTGCCTTTTGGTTCATAGTATGTATCGAGATAGTTGAAATATGCGTCAGAGAATGAGCGCAATGTTCCTGTAGGGTTATACTGATCATCGAGGAGAGGGTATTGAGGCTGCGGACTGAAGCTGTACGCCATACTGAAGGTAATCGGGTGCGATTTGCGTGTGTGTGTGTGGAAAAGCAAAGAAGAAAAAGAAATGTCGACTGCTCTGGGCATCATGGAATTTTATGCAAAGCCATGCTCCAAGAAGAGATGTTCTCTCGGCTTGTCTGGCCCGACTTTTCCGCGCCAAGGCTGGGCTGTGCTACAAGAATACATATTGAAGGGAAGACTCATTTGATTGTGTTACACCTTCAGGTCAGGTTTTGATGATCGTCACCAATCATTTAATTTGTTTGGCCTCACCCAGTAGATGTGCAAATCCGATTTTGATCCAAACAGGACATGTTACAAGGGCCAATCGCGTCTCTTATTGGAGGCTTGTTTTTGCAAGTTAATAAGGCTCCAGCTTAGGTATCAACATGGCCGCCTTTTGAGTTGACTTGCTTTGTAAATGGAGCTTTGTTCTCAGAAATGAAAGCAAGCATCCAAATCAGGCCCATTCGATATTTTAACAGCGTTGATATTACACCATTTGTGCCTTAGGTGTTTATGCCTAATGGCAAATTAAATACCGCAATACCAAGCATATTGGGAACGAGGCATAAAAAAAGTGCCATGTCATGTAATAGGTGTACTGTACTATGTAGACAGAAAACTATATCATATAGTAACAAGATGTCGTCTGTCGTGATAATAAAGAGCCTACTCTTTGTGCTTTTGAACCTCAGTTGTATATTACACTGTAAGGTTGTTTTAATTGGATTAAAACACTGCACGACTGAAGAGTTACACATCATTTAGCAGCATTTTATTCTCTTTTAGTGCATAAAGAGTACCCAAGTAGGATTCTCAAAAGTCACGCCGACCGGGACATATTTCTATAAAAGTAGTATCTTTAGATGAGTGCTGAAAGTCCGGTGCACGTACATGGGCGCCTCCTACAACTATAACATACACGTGGGCCGTCAATAAGATCGATTGCTGCCAGGTGAAACTTTTGCTCCAAGGCATATGCTAGTTTCATGGCCTCTAAATCAACTTCATTCACTTTTTCGTGCTCGCTTCCATCCTCTTCATCTGTATCTTTGTATCCGTGCTCATCTGTATCTTTGTACCCGTACTCATCTGTATCATTGTACTCGTATTCGTCTGTATCATTGTACTCGTATTCGTCTGTATCTTTGTACCCATACTCGTCTGTATATTTGTACCCGTACTCGTCTGTATCGTTAGACCCGTACTTATCTGTATGATTGTATCCGTATCCGTCCTCTTCTCCGCTCTCTTCTCCACCTCCTTCACTAGCTAGCCCAAAACAAGCAATATTGGTAGCTTTGTCAAAGCTAGCTTGGACATATGATGCCAATTCTTTGGTCTTTAAATCTGCCACCCTAGGGAATTGTGATCGGATAAATGGAGAACCTAGTCGCATCGCTTTGTTATATGCTTTGAAATCCCTTAAGGCTGTGACAGGGTTCCCCATTATTTTGGAACGAAGGTAAGTAAGAAGCCCTGCTCGAGTAACCGATGGACCGTGAGAATTGAAAACTGTCTCAACTTGATATGCTAAAAAAGTCAAGCCTAAGAGTAGAGAACTGAATGTAATATTGTCTTGGAGCTCTTCCTTGCCTAGCGCGAAGGAGACTAGAGTCTGCATCTTTTCCGGCTCAAGCAACTGGGTGCCTTTTGGTTCGCAATGCGTATCAAGATAGTCGAAAACTGCATCGGAGAATGAGCGTAATGTTTCTGTAGGGATATACTGATCATCAAGGAGAGAGAGCTGAGGTTGCGGCTTGAAACTATACGCCATACTGAAGGTAACTAGGTGTGGTTTGCGTATGTGTGCGTGTGAAGAAGCAAAGAAGAAAAAGAAATATCGACTGCTCTAGGCCTCCTTGCTTCGCCATAAAAAGACACAAGAAAGCCACGTTCCTGAAAGTCTGGAAGAGATGATCTTCGGTTGAAAACTTAAAATTTATGGGTCTAGCCCTTCTTTTTATGCGATCACCTTGGTCGACAGGTAGATGCGTCCTAAAATAAATATCGAGGCTTTTACATGGTTCATTCTAACAAGCCCGAACTGACTTTCTCTTCTCCAGCGAGGCTTGTCTTACCACCTTTGAAATACCAATGCTTCGCCTTTCTCTGAGAGAATAACTTTAGCTTGGGTGGCAAAGATTCTTAGATCAACGAGTGTAAGCAGAAGATGTCGTAACTAGAGCCGGAAAGCACTGAAGATCGAGCCTTTCTCAAATCAATAAGGCTACATTTCACAAGTAATTGATATGAATCAGACGCATTATCCTTCAAGATACGTACTCTAGTTACACCCAGTTAGCAAAGGAAGAACCGTCCAAGTAGTTTCTAAAGACCTTGGCGGATTACAAACGGGACTTGAATGTACTCAGTTCTAACATTACAATCCGCAATTAAGCTGTTTACAGACATGTTTAATACTACCTACCTGAGTTGAAAGTAACGAGACAAGACTTAAGATACAGCCATATCGAAGGCTAATGTAAGGATCCCGCGTATGGGAGCAAGCACTTTGGGAACACCGAAGTATTCTAGAGAATTAGCATTGGTCATGCAGGAGGCTTCATACGCGATCTAAATGCGCGTCCTATCTTTGAACTATTCTTATATAGAACTACACTCGTGGATGGGCCTCCAGCACTTGTTGCGCAACCTCAGACGTGAATGTAGTTTGTGTCCCGGATACGGTGTGACATTGCTACAATGCCCACGCATCAGTGCATTATAGTAGTTTGAAGAGCCATCCATTACCACAGAGTCGTGATTCTCAACTACCATTATCACAGACAGAAACAACCATTCAGGTATCGTTGTTGTATTTGCAGGGATGATCAACTCCAACCTGTCTCACCTCATATTTATAAGTGCTGTTGTCAACGCTGATGTAGTCTCGGTCACTACTTGCAGTAAGACGTTTTGATACGAGGTGAATTTTTTTAAAGACTAAACTGATCGCACTTTTTCAAAAAAAAAAAAAAAAAAAAAAAAAAAAAAAAAACTAGTTGCAATCCTAGTTCATAAGCCAAGTGCAAGCCAGCTTTATCAATACGACAGTCAATCGCGTTTGGTTTTAGAGCAATCGATGGTGACGTTATTCTTTATCCTTAGTATATATGCTTTACGCACCACCAGATACATGGTCCGTATTATGGTCAAGTTATTTTCTTTACATTTGTACATGTATATAATATGCCATTGCTTTTTTGGTTTCAAAACCCGATGTGCCTTGAGTAGCACTCTTACTTTATTCCTTGAATACAAATTATCATTATCGCATACAAATGATCCCTTGCATGTTTGTTATTGCTCCATTGTTCCTCATTTCCCTCTAATTACTATTCATCTGTGCTGTGAATGTTGAGCTTGGAGTGCCCGTTCAAACATGAAAAGAATCTGCAATTGTATAACATTGAGGACGTTCACAAAGCATGTGTAATTGGTTCCACAGCTCCTTTGTTTTTTTCTTAGTATCATGGCCTGAATAACGATGGTTAGGTACCCTTTCTCACTTTTGCAAAAACACTACCTCATTTCTACACACTTACTTTCTCCTTAATTTTTATAATGCCTTCCTTATTACCATTGCACCAATCCTTTTCTTTTTTGTCCCTTTTCAACTATTCAATGTTCCTGCGCACAAAAAAAAGATGAATTAACAATGAACACATGCAAGAGCCAAAAATGAAATATAGCTTCCACCTCGTACCTGATTTTTAAATTGTAACTTGTGCACCAGAATACAAATATACAAATTTGTCTGAATGTGTTCCAAGGTAATTTTTATTTATACATCTAGATATATATATACAAGTCTCTGAGAAAAGCGCTTGTTAATCATGGTAAAAATGATTTTATTTTATTTTTTGAGAACTTGCACTAAAGATTTGGGCTGTGATCCATTTGTGTGACATTATATAGGGCTCATGATGTCTCAGGGATCAGGGTCAGGGACAAAGTCAATTTTTTGTATTCGTGGAGGGACAAGAAATCATTGTCAGCTCCCAGGATCATCAAAGAGCAATGGTTCCATCGTGAATAATAAAATAATATTGCGTTTTTTTTTTTTTTTTTTTTTTTTTTGAGTTGCCGCACCCTATTACGCGCGTTTTTTTTTATCACCTTTTTTTTGAGCATTTCTTGTTAAAACGAATTATTACACTGCCTTCAAACCATTTGTCGACTGCTCAACACTAAATACCCAATACATTTAATATATCATCTTATCTATTGATGGTTATAAGGGTATAAATGTGCAAATTATACATATACGTACGAGTCTCTGGAAAACAGCCGTGCTTTTTAACAAACTATAATATCTACATTTGGTAAAGCACCCATCTCTGTCTGTTCCTTTTATCCATCCTGGATATTTTGAAGAAAAAGGATCTCATTAGCGTGAAGTATAATAGACTGTCATCATGATGTGACCTATTCTTCAGTGTATCACGCTATAATATATATTTACACTTGTTTGTTCGTTATCAAAGACTGTATAAAAGCTCACGTAATAGTAAAGAGTGCTTATTTTGCCTTGCCCTGTTCATTTTGGGAGAGACGAGACACAAAGGAGGCAAATTTTCTTAATTAATAACAAAGAAGAATCTTTGACTTTTATTTTTTTTTTTTTAAAAAAAAAAAAAAAAAAAAAAAAAAAAAAAAAAAAAAAAAAAGGTCGGACATGGACGGATAGCTAAGTGAAATAGACTCATAAAGATCTGTTGAATAAAGCCTTGGTAGGGTACCAAAGAGATAGAAGGATAACAGAAGGGCAGGCATGGCAAAGTCATTTAATAAAATGCTCACAACCAAATTCTGCTTTATTAATAAAGCTAATATTGGAGCATAGAAGCATAGCCCTTAGATGCAGGAACATATTAACACATTTAATAGAAAGCATTAACAGCGTCAGCATCAACAAAAAAGAGATGTGCATATTTATACCATGTCTACTTAGAATTAAAGATTTGGTAACACAGGTCTCTTTAATACCCTTGAGGGACATTCGAGAGAGAAATTCAGAAATCGTGCCTGTATTCCGTTGAATGGTGTTTACAGTTGTTTCAAATAGAGCAGAAATGTTCTGGTGGGCGAATTCAAGTGTCAATGGTATTTGAATTGATTATGATGCTGTGACTCCACGTTCCCTTGAGAAACTTAGTGTTGCATTGACCCTGGTGAGAAACTTAGTGTTGCATTGACCCTGGTGAGAAACTTGAAAACGTTTTGTCACTATATCTACTAAATGAAAAGTGGAAGCGTATGGGTATCATATTCGTATGCATTCATAGTGAGGTAGTATTAATGGATGGTCAGTGTATGTTAGACCTGCAATCTCTTGATTGAGAAGAGGCAGTTCTCATTCCTGAGCTTTTGTATTTGAATATGAGGGTCGACAAAAAATATTTGCTCTCAACCATCAACATCTTGCATTGAATAAGGACAAGGCAAATGGAATGCCTGGACCATGGAAGCATACAAAATATCTGCAAGTTCAAAGTTATTTTATACATTCATAAGCAAGCTCTCATGTGTGCTCTCTTTTTCAGATGAATGGGAGAATGGTATGATAGAATGAATGAAAACACGAAACATCCCCTGTTTTTCTTGATTCGACCAAACGTCCCTCCACACCTCATCCCTAAAACTATTTGGTATAAAAGGGAGCTGCTTCTGTCACTTTTATTCATTACTCTCACTTTCTCTTCCACATCTTTCCCTTTGGACTAAGAAAAAATCCATCACAGCTTTTACAGCAACCCCACACAGCCTAAACAAGGAACAGAAAAACACTGTCCACGCACTACTTTTTTTTTTTTTTTTTTTTTTTTTTCTTCTTCATTTTCAATTCATCATGAAATATCTCTCCCTACTCGTTGTTGCCTGTTTGGCTTTCACCACCTCCTCAGTTGAGGCTGCCGCTCCATTCTACGCCAATGGTGCCGGCACAACCGCAGTCCCCGGATCGTACATTGTTGTCTTGAAGGATGGTAGCACTAAGTCATTTGAGCCCAAGTTCAATTCACTCGCCAATCGTCCCCGCACCAATGGCCGCAATGGCCAAAAAGGTCGTCCTCCTCACATCAACCACAAGTTCCAGGCGATCTCTGGATATACCATTACGATGGACTCTGATGATGACTTGAATGATATCCTCAACATGGAGGAGGTTGCATATGTTGAACGGGATTCTATCGTTACCATTCAGGCTACTCAGGTCAACCCTCCTTCCTGGGGTCTTCCTCGTGTCTCTCAGCGCAAGAGCTTGATCAACCTCAAGACCTCTTACCTCTTCCCTAGCAAGGGTGGCGCTGGTGTCACAGCATACATCGTTGATACAGGCATTAACGCTGCCCATAAAGATTTCGGTGGCCGTGCCAAGATGGGCGCCAACTTCATCCGGGGCTCCCCTAACACAGACCAGAACGGTCACGGTACCCACGTTGCTGGTACCATTGGCGGCAATGTCTTTGGTGTAGCCAAGAAGGTTCAGTTAGTCGGTGTCAAGGTCCTGGGCGCCGATGGATCTGGCTCCACATCTGGTATTGTTTCTGCTCTTGATTGGATCATCGATACTAACAAGGGTAAGAAGGCTATTGTCAACATGTCTCTCGGTGGCGTAGCATCTAAGGCCATGAACGATGCAGTCGCTCGTCTCTACAAGGCCGGCATTCCTATCATTGTCGCTGCTGGAAATGATCCAAAAATCAACGCATGTAACACCTCTCCCTCAAGCTCTCCTCGTGCTCTCACTGTTGGTGCCTCCGATAGCCGTGACAGAGTTGCTTCCTTCTCTTCTTTCGGCAAGTGCGTCAAGATCTTTGGACCTGGTGTTCAAATTACCTCTGCTTGGATTGGTAGCAACACTGCCAAGAACACCATTTCAGGAACTTCGATGGCTACCCCTCACGTTGCTGGTGTCGCTGCCTTGTACTTTAGCGATGCCAAGATTAAGACCCCATCTCAACTCTACAAGGCTATCCTGTCCGCTGCCACCAAGAACGCCGTCAAGGGTGACCTCCGCGGTGCTGCTAACCTCCTGGTCTTCAACGGTGGTGGAAAGTAAAAAAACTCATCCACATGCCATAAATCATACGAATCATTTGATTAGAGTGCTAGATCGGACCCTCATTTTTCTTTGTATGATATGAACAAAATGTAATAAAAGCATGAAGGGATAGACTTCCCTTTCTAAAACAAGTCCAATGAATCCATGTTCCTAAATCAACTTAGTAATGTAATAGAATCGAGATTCAAAGTCCAAATGCCTGTTAGTAAACTAATTGGTTTATTAAATTTAAGGACTTGCTTTTTGACTAAAATGTTGAAAGTTGAAACATTTGTCTCAAACACAAACAAAAACCCTAAAACGATTTGATCGAGGAGGATGGACACGGACGAACTACCGTTCTTTTGCTGGTAAACACATGAAAAAGTATACACTCACAGAAACCATGTTGTATTGCATAAATATACTGGCGGATAAACAATCGTGCTTCGACCGTTTGAGTAATTGCAATAGGCATTCACAAGTGCTCGGGATGTGCAGTGAATCTTCAATAGGCTTCTTCTCCTGCTTTTGGGTAGTGAGACTGACAAATAAAGGTGGAGGCAAATGATGTTTTTTCAACGAAAGCAACAAAAAACCTTTTTCAAACCATCGCAAAATAAATAAAAAATAATGAAAGATCTGAGTCTTCATCCCAAAAATATCCTTGATTCTATTGAAGGCCAATGCGCTGGCATTCAATTTATGAGATAAGTCCATGGAGAGAATCCCACACCCCGTCAGACGATCTGCGTTCTAGTCATGCAAATGGATGAGAGGGCCTGATTGATCCAACAGGATGTAAACATGAGGACTCAGATTCAAGTTCAGGCACCTTTGGAACTTTACAGATTTAAAATGAGTAATCAATTCAATTGCCTCTTCAGGATGATAGAGCCTATGCGTTTTAGCTGTGTCTTATAAGACAGACCAAAGTCTGTTCAGTCGAGGGATGCTCTTGGCCAAAGGAATTTTCAAATCCAATATTAGATCCCAGCATTTTAGGTTACGATCGAATGGGTGTATGTGTTTGCTGTCGAGCAACAGTCCATTGTCAGGATTCCTAGGGCGGCTGAATCTACAAATAAAGGCATTCGCAATTTTCTAATAACATGGCATTGGAGAGTTTGGTCAGTAGTAACAATCATTATAGTTAAGTAAATACTTATATTTTAAGGATAGAGTAAAGACATGCTTTTACATCTTTCTAGACTGAATAGTTAGGAATGCGGATAGGCAGTTGATCTCTGATCTATGAAATAGGATAGCCTGTAGGTGACCATGAATACGTGTCGTAGACATGGCAAAACGCGCTTCCGAAACCACACTTGATAACAAATTAATGCATGGATCGTGCGTCGATGCACACTAAAGAAGAAAGGATGATGCAGACATACAGCTGTAGGGCTGAAGGCTGAAGGGCAGCGGGACGGGACGAGGAGCGGGATCACCTTCCATCACTTTGCTTACATATCTCATAAACATGTAGTATGACATAGTCAAAGAAAGAGAAAAGGAAGGGGAAAAAAATATGGGCCACATTCATTTTACACAATGTGTTGACCGTTGTTGGGAGCATGTTCGTTATGCTTCACTTAATTCCATATTCCTTAAAGGACTCAATTTTTATCTTTCCACAACATGTGGCATTTTGGACACTGTTACAACTGAACTGCATTGTGTGGTCTTGTTGCACAAAGCCCCCCTATTTTCGCATTCATTTCCTCACCTATAACTTTTTTTATCTGTAAGCCCAACCTCACCTTTCTCACTCTCTTTACTTTTCTTTTCACCACGTTTCTTTCTTTTTTTTTTTTTGTGTGCCTGTATTTTTGTCTGTATTACACTGTATACAGTAGGTACATGTCAGAGCAATGAATATCAAAGTGTATAAACCCTGCTGACCCACTGAAACCCCTGTTTCTTCCAAATCTGTATGCGTTTCTGTGTACATGCATTGTCACCCACACTCCTGACTTCTTCCCCACTCATCTGCTTGTTGACGTCTCTCCTTATTTGTCATCTGTTTGCTGGATCATTGAGCAGCCATTTTTCACCCCTTTCATTTTCCTTTCCTTTTCTTTACCTTACACCTTTTCCCTCCTACTTCTTTTCTACTTGCTATCTTTCCTCAAGCCGCTATCTTACGCATACCAAGATCTTTTTACTTTTACTTTTCTTTCTTTTATTTTAATTTTGTAATAACAACCAAAAATAAAAAGAGCCATTACCGTTCAGAGACTATGAACACGTCCAAACATTACGAGCAACAGCAAAAACAGCAAGGAAAAGGGTACAGAGCAAGAGCATTGTCAGCAGCAGCTCTATCTGGTTCTCCTACGCCGTCATCACCATCATCCTTTGCTGCTGGAGCTACTGCTACTAATTTGGGTATACCAATGGGAAGACCACTGCCCAGGACACCCGGCCTTCAACAGCACTTGGACCCATCGATGCCAAATGGTACTGGATTGGGCATAGGAGCAAGTGGTCTTGGTGCAGCAGGCAGTAGTAACAACATCAGTCCCAATGGTCCGTATATAAATCCCAATGCCAACAATATAGCTCGATCCTCTAGAGTTAGTGTCAATATCACCCAGTCGTCATCCACATTGTCTACAACTCTCGCCAACAACAACAGTAGTACTACTCATATCAGCAGCCATGGAGAGAGTCATGACAATAATAGTAATAGCAATACTAGAGCGGGCCATACCTCATGGATTCAGGGTTTGTCGAAGAGTTCTCTTTCTCTTCAACAACAAGAACAACAGAGGAGACGTTCACTGGCAGAAGATCCATCTTACCAGGCAGCCTTGACGCGACCGATCTCACCCACTATGATCATGAATTATATTCCTCCACCGGCAACAACTAATCCTTCTAAGAATAATAACGCAAATAATACGAAGGCAAATATCGGCAGTGACAATCATCATAACAATAGCAATACTAACAACAGTGGCAGCAACGGTAATAATAGCTCGGGAGCTTTGGAACCACTTGCTCATCCCATGCCACAGTCATCCACAACAACAGCAACACCAATAGCATCATCCTCATCAAATACCAATATTCATAATCCATCCTTAAGGATTCACAGCGCCACAGCTGCGCTCTCACCTTCATTCAATACTCTTGGACAATCAGCATCAAAACCAGTAACTCATCTAGGAGGTCGGAATTATGTCGGTTCAAACATTTCCAACCCCAACGGAGGCACCATAAACCCACAGCCACCGAGCGTATCAGCCGCTGTTCTGAACTCTGAAGATCCTACCTCCAACTCTTCACGGTTTGCGAGGCGAGGGCCTTTGATGATGAACTATGACAATAGTAGCCATCAAAGTATTTTTTCTTCGTATAGCGCTAATGGGTCATCATCAATAGATACGGGTGGTAGTGGAGGGGGCGGATTTGGTGCACGTTCAAGACATGAAAGCGCAGTACACACTGATCTATTGGAAAGTCCGGCGTCGATCCCCAATCAGTCTCAACCTTACCAACAATCATCCCAGACGCAGATACAGTTTAGTCCAGGAAATCAGAGGGTGATGATCCAGGGAAATGGATCTTCCACGACAGGGTTCTCACCTGCATCATATGGTACAGGGACTCAACTGCAGGTAAAAAAGAGTACAAGCAAAAAAAGGGTGTTTCCATGCAATGCATGATGTGCTCAGGTTTAGGTCATACGGGAGAATTCAAGGGGGGCGTGTCCCTTAAACTGATTTATTTATTCAACACTAACACTATTTCATTTCAAAAAAAAAAAAAAAAAAAAACTAGATTGCAAAGGAAGGATGGCTGTGGAAACGAGGAAACTTGCTGGTGGGTGTTCGCTGTCGCAATGTTTTTCTATCCCTCTTCATCTTGTCTATAAACAGGATCAGCAACGTAGGACGACAAGGATCAGGGGATGACAAGAAATATGAAATGCTGATTTCTCTTTCTCTCTCTCTTTTTTTTTTTTTGTCATTATTACTATTGTTGCTGTTGTTGTTGTTGCTGTTATTATTACTGTTGTTGATATAAACTAGACATGGAAACGAATTTACGCCATCGGCAGGTACCGCGGGGATGCACATCCAGGAGTCATGACATTGTTCAAAGACAACGAGGTACATTATTTTGAAGTGTGTAACTTGCATTGTACAACTCGTTACAGACCATGACGACACCATTGCAAGTTTATGCATTGGAAGTTTATGCGCTGTATAGTTTATTTTTATTTTAATTGACAAACAACTCCGATGTATCCTTTTTGGCCGGTTTTTTTATTCATTTTTTTTAGCATCTGTTCCCGACCAAGACCATTGATATGGCGGAATGCTATGAGGTTCAGGTCAAGGGTCAAGATGCCAAGGCCACAGGCCGATTTGAGTTCAAAGTTGTGAGTCGAAAAGAAGAAACTTGGTTTGCGACTGATACGATGTCTGAACGGACTGCGTGGATTGACGCTCTTAATTCCCTCATGGTCGCTAAAGCCGTGGGTGCATCTTTGATGAAATTGGAAGCCAAGCTTAACAATATCCGACATCGCAATAACTCACTTGAATATGCTCATATAACTCCTAGCAGCACTAATGTTGCTAGCAACGCGGGTGGCTTTGTAAGTTCCGCTGGAGCTGGAGTTGGAACAGTTGCCGGATCAATGATCACAGCAGCAACAAACGTAGGATCATCCTCCAATTCCTCTGCCTCTGCAGCATTTGATAGGCCATCGACGCCGTCTTCTAATATGCAGACCGAACATCTTTCAGTTGCTCAACAGGATCTAGCGACACGGGAGCAACTTTTAGCTCAACGAGAACAGGAGCTGGAGCGGAAACGGACTGAATCTTTATTGGTACAGCTGGAAGCCTGGCGTGCGGCCGCTAAAGTAACTGTCAACCAACATTATGCGGTCCGTGATCAACTATTAGAACGAGTGATGAAGACCGCTAGAACCGTACAAGAACTCTTAGAGCGAGCTAGGATTCATTTAGAGACCGGATCAGACCAGATTACCGAGATTGTACAGAGCCATTTAGAATGTCTCCGAGTTCATACAAGCGAGTCTGCAGTCAATGCTACCTCATGCAAGATGCTCAAGTCAATCCTTGTGGGGCTGACGGTTAATCTAGACACAAGAAGTTCAGAGTTGAAAAGAGTGTTGTTGGTCTTGGATCAGTATATCAATACCGCCAAGAGAACATCTTCGTCAAAATCATCTCATCAGATTTCAACAACAACATCTACATCATCGCCTACTTCACCGACATTAGCTGGTCTGCCCACTGGCGCAAGCAAAGAACGCCGATTGTCAGTCGGAGGTACATCTCTTCATTCGTCTCCTCTCCCTACGTATCCCCCATCTACATCGGGCATCACTATGTATTTAATTCAAGTTCGTGATAAATACAGGGAGACACTCGAGGTCCTGCAAGATTATTCCAAGAGACTAAAACAAGTGCTGGAACGAGCAGATGTAGTTCACTCGTCTCCGGAGAGTGTGCGCAAATTCCGTGATGAGATCCAGGAGGCTCTTAAGGGCCTGACCAAGATGCCATCATATGTTTTTACACCATGTCTACCAGATCAACCACTACCAGGCGCAGCAGATACATTCTACAGGGAAGACTTGGTATTACTCCATCAACAAAAGAATAAAGCGCAGCAGCAGCAACAGCAGAGCAATGAGCGCGAACAAGAGGATTCTGCATCCTTGCCAACAACCGACAGAGATACAACTCAGGATCCAAACAAGGAAACCACTGCCGCTACTACTGCCTCAAGATCATCATCATCTGCATCCACATCATCTTCGAACACACATGGCGGAGCACCTGCATTGTCGCTTGCACTCCCACCATCCCTTTCCTCTTTTCTACTACTTGACACCACTGCCACTACCACTGCTACCACTACCACTGCTACCACTACTACTGCTACCACTACTACTAATGCTGCTAGTAGCACCGTCGATGCAGGAGCTACCATCGCAGAAAAGGCATTGGTTCAGACCGAGGCTCAATTAAGTACAGCATCTGCTGCCGAGCTGACCCAAAAGCTTCGAGATACGATCCTTCCAGAGTTCGAACACCTCTCGATCAAACAGGAAGAGTCTTTACAGTCAATGACCACACTTCTGAATCAAATCTCATCTACTTTAGTTAATCGCTTGACCGAGATCAAAGATGCGACTGCAGGACAACGCCAAGAGTTTGAGGAGCTGAAGGATGAAATCATTGATGTGATGCAGCTCTCCGCCACAGACCCCAGTGGTCACCAACGAGATATTTCAGCGCTATCAGAAATTCGATCCAAGTTGGCAGAGATTACAGATCAGCTGACAAAAGTCCAGGATTACCAAAATCAACAGAATAATATGATTATGCTTAATGGTGGAGGTATTAGTGGCAGAGGTATGGGTTTCGGACAGCAAGGTTACTTCGCGACTAGTCACCCTCATCATGGCCATAGGCGTCTTGTGGGTTCAGGTGTAGCTATGACGGGTAGCAACAACGGCAATAGCGCTACTGCCACAGGACTATCACTCCTACAACGATCTGCTAGTACGATGGTCCATCCTTCCTTCGGGAGCGCACATCCATTCTACAACACCATCGATGGTGGATCGTCATCAACCCGGCCGCATCTTCAACGAGGCGGATCGTCCAATTTACATAACCGTCTTCACCAACCTCCTTCTGTGTCGATAACGCCCAAGATCGCAGGGATGACACGACTCTTTGAAGATGGGGAGGATGATAGTAATGACAGCAGTAATCTTGACACCAGTAGCGACTTTAATCATCAATCGTCGTCATCATTCAATGGTGGCAACGCCAGATATATGCATGGCGGATATGATAGTGATCGCCATCGTCAGAGTCAAGAGTTGATGATCTCGAAGCTGGACCAATTGCTTCTACTGCTTGAGTTCGTCAACACAGCACAATGCCGTATGATGGCTTACCAAGACTTGGAGTTTGACAGGCAGCGAGCAAACTTTAGTGGCACTAATATAAATGTGGATGATAATAGAATGATGGCTGTCCAGGAGTATATGGAGCAGATGGATCGAAAGATGAACTTACAGATGCATCTGCTGAGACGATTGGCGTCCATTCAAGGCACTGCTGGTACCATGGATGGTACAGACGATGTGGCCCATTCTGGTGCTCAAGTCCGGGAGATTACGGACGATAACGGCATCGATGATAAAGGAAGGGGTGAGGACGACATGAAGCTTAATAATAGCCACGGCATTGAGGAGATGATCAAGACTCTGCCTCCTGAGAACGAACTATCGCTTATAGAAGTGTTGAATCGCTTGGATTTACAAATTATTCCTTCTGTCAAGGATCAATCTGGTCGGATCCAGGAGCTCTCAGATCAGCTTACCGAGATGAAAAGACAGTTAGATGAACAACAGCGACGATTGGAGCAACAGCACAATTTTAGTGGGACCATTTTCAAACCTCGAGTTCCCACCCCTAATGTGGCTCCTATCTTGAATAGGAGCAAAAGCACAGATCACTCAACAACGCCGCTGATGCTTTCGAGATCATCCTCTCAAGCATCCATTCAGCAACAACAACAGCACCAGAAGCATCAACAGGCAGCTTCTTTGGCTTCACCCTTAGATACAGAATCCTCGCCAGCGTCGTGGAGGGCTTCCTTGCGTCCTAGCAACAGCACCGGAAGTAGCTTTACGCAGTCCCGAGAACGATTATCCTCTTCTCCAACTACCGGAGCTGTTCCTTCTCCCGCTTCTTCCCTTGACTCGCTTCCATCTTCAACGTCAGCAACTCCTTCAAGCGGTACTAATGAGGACCAGACAAACGTGATCATGACCAAGACTTCGGACAGAATCGTAGAGCTATTGGATAGAATGGATGCCAAGATGAGCCAGATGATTGATGATCAACTTCCCCGATATGAGAAAGGAAACAACGAGCTGTTGACCAAGGTCTGTGAGCTCTTGGATGACTGTGTTGATAAAGACAGTAAAGAGGACGATAATGCTTTGAGTGAGGATGACAACCAAGGGAACAAAGGCACCAGGCGTAGAGGAGGACGCTCAGCAGCAGAGGTATCGACATTGGCACAAACTGCTACAGTCGCTGATATTTCCAAAGCAGACCTAATTCCATTGACACAGAAGTTGCAAGGGCTTGAAACCATGTTGATGGAGCAGAATGACCATGAAGAATTGCGACAGGTTGGCAACAAGGCACTTTGGAAGGAGATGATGATCATGTTGGAGGACATTCATCGCCACCACAGAACCGCCACACCATCGTCAACCTCATCCTCACTCGATCGTGCTGGTAATGGTATGGATGGGGATTTGACTCCTCCGGTGCGCACATCTACTTCAACGCCACAATTGACCACAGGATCCGCTACTGCTCCTCCAGTATTGTTACCTGCTTCTACTGCGGCTACGGAAACGATTATAGATTCCTTAGAGCGGCTCAAATTCTTGATTCAAGGAGAGGCTGACCGCTCCGAATCATCGCTGAACGAACAGCGGGATGAGATCTTGGAGAAGATGAACCAAGTCTTATCTTCGATTCAAGAATCGCAAGGCGAGATGGGATCTCGAGATGCGGCTGTCAAAGAAGAACTGCAAGAGATGCGAGAGTGGATTGTGAAACATTCAAGTATGCAAACTGAAAACTTGCGGGAGATTGTGTTTGCAGCTAGGTCAACAGTCGGTTCTACAATTGCGGATGCGACCGCTTCGGCCGCAGCAGCAACCGTGAAAGACAGAGATAGGGAGGATGTGCTTTTAGAGGCAGATGTTGTCAATAGTGTTAGAGCTACTGGTATTGAAGGTAGTGAAGGGAGAGGGGGAGGAGGATGTAGTAGTAGCGGTAGTGAAGAGGAGTATACTCGAGTCGATATTCTGGATGATCTTGAACAAGAGGAGCGATTGTTGAGTAAACCAACGCATCTTTCTCGAAGCCGTCTTCAATCTCTACAGCCATCTTATGAGCCCCTTCCTGCTCCTCTCGTCGCTGTGACGGCTGAGGCCACTAAAGAGATCCAAGGGCTCAAAGAACAACTGGAGATGTTCACGAAGGTCCAAATGGCCACATTTTCAGAACTAGCAGATAATGTTTCAGGTGTAGAGAAGATGATGCGAGACATGTCCAAGGTGATGGGTATTCGTCGAGGAGGAACTCTGATCAGGAAACGAGAGGCCGAACAAGGACGAGCCATGTTGGCAATGGAAGTCAAAGAAACGATCGAAGAGGTCATGGCTAGAATGGGAAGATCCAACTCTTTGGCTAACATATCCAACGCAACTTCTTCATCTTCGTCACCTCCTGTTGGCTCTGGAGGGCCTCAAAAGACACCAAGGTCATCCATCGACAGTCAGGATGAAGCCAGTAGTAACAGCAACAACAACAACAACAACAACAACAAAGGCTTCCTCCCCCGTGGCGACAGTGGTTTGTTTAAATATCTATATCAACCCCGCCGATCTGCAGCCTCTAATACCAACAACGCAGCTACGGATGCGTCTAAATCAACCACGCTGGCCACGTCTCCTTCTATGGCGTCCTCACTTCTTGCAGAGGTTACGCCCATGTCGATCAACACTTCCTCAGCTATGCTTGAGGAGCCTTCATCCAGTATTCGTTCTCCAGGTTCCCCATTGTCACCTATTGGCGGTACTGAGTCCCTGCCATCGTTATCATCATCGTCTGAGATGATGCAAGAGCAGATGGATCTGTTGCACGATCAGATGGAACAGCTTTACAACCGGAAAGCACGAGTTGAGGTTCAAGTACAAGGTCTGGAGAGCGAAAAACATCAGTTGACAAAAGAAAAAGAAGAATTGATGAAAGAAGTGGAGATGTTGAGAAAGGAGAAACAAGACCTGTTGATGGCAAATAGTGCACAGTCAGCAACAGCCACAGCTACTACAGCTACTAATGCAGTATCTTCGACAGCGACAGAACCCTTGACAATGTCTACAAACGCGTTGCTGGAGAAGGCCTTATCAGATCGTGTGGCGATGTTGTTGCAAGAGACGGCACGTTTAGAAATATTGAAGAAGCAACTTGAGAACCAAGTAAAAAAATAAAATAAATAAATAAATAAAAATAGCACATGTACTGATTTTTTTTATTTTTATTTTTTTATTAATAATTTCAATATCTATCACTCCTTTTTTTTTTTTACATTTTGATTTTTTTACCCTCCCATCTTGCTTTTCATTGTTTAGTAATCATTCGCTTTTTAAACGCTCTTGGCCTGCTGTTGGATCTTCTGGAGATCCATTTCCAGACCCCAAACATGGGACTTGAGCTCGAGATGTTCAATGTTGAGACCATCATATACCTTCTTGACATCAGCCTTGAGGTCATTCAACTGCTCAATAGTCGCTGTCTTGGCGCGCAGTGTCTTCAACTCAGCCTCAACCGACTCGATCTTCTTGGCATAATCGCGGACCTAACAATGAATGAAAAATTTGTATTAAAAAATAGTTAAACAAACAGATAAAGTATATGAATATATTGAAGCGCGGCAAAGTAGCTTTTCTTTTATACCTTGTTGGTGGATGCCTGCAAGTCTTCAACGCTGTTCAACAAAAGATTGGAAGCGGTCTGGTACTCCTCCAAGAGATAATAATATCCAACACCACCGGCAGCTGTAGCACCGAGCAAGAATCCGAGAATACTAACGTGGAAAATTAAAAAAGAAAAAGAAAATAGTGTTGCTATTAGACCATCAAGTTTTGTTGGAGTGATTGATTATGGTAAAAAAAAAAAAAAAAAAAGGAAGAAGAGCGCTGTTGCTAAAGTCATCCAGCGGGTTTAGGTTATGTTCTGATCTTCTCCTCTGCTACTGAGTTATATTCAGCACAACGTTATTATTGCAGTTGCTACTGTGATTATGGCCGTGTCCTTATCCTTATTCTTAATCCTATTCTTATTTTTCGGTCGAGGACATAAAGTGTTGGCAATAATTCCGGTTATATCCCCTGTTCCTGGTTCCTGAAAAAAAATAATTTTTGAATCTTATTTTTTTAAGTGCATAATCTGGCGTCCCATGTTGAAAGACAATGTCGCGTTCCGGTGTATGAGGAAGTGCAGATCCACTTCTGTAGACGTCATCAAACGAAACAGTAAAGAGACGCGTGCGCTCATTGCTATTGCGATAGAGAGAGAATGGGAGATAAAAATGACAGAGTCTATTATATAATCTTTTATTATTATTGATTTTTCTCTTTACCCTCCACGGAATCCACCAATGGGACGCTTATAAGTGACAACAGGTGTAGATGCAACTTGCTCAACACGAGCAACAGTAGAGCTTGAGAAATAACGGCGCGAGGCCATACGGAGAGTTGAAGAAGCAGCAACAGCTTGCATTATGATACAAAAAGATAAAAGAAAATAGAAAAAAAAAAAAAGAAAAAGAAAAAGAAATAGCTACAAGGAAAGAACCGTTCCTAATGAGCTAATGAAATCTGCTGTAGAGGTAATGAAAGGAGAGAGAGGAGAGTAAATAAATGCAAATTGAATAAAATGATAATGCTTTCACTTTTCAAAAACGGATCGATCAACTTGATCCGGGCAAAAAGGAAACCGTTGTCCCCACTACAACTAGGCTCGTCACCAGCCTGTGTGGCTTATGTGCATTGCACTAATGCTCACTGACAGGCTGGGACCAAACTTGAGATTTTAGGGGGGTTTTTTTCGAAATTTTTCTAAGTCGCACGAACCGCAGGGGATTTTTTTTTGTCCAAGTCGTTTTTGCGCGGGGGAATGGCCTTGCCTAGTGGTGATCGGGTGAATAAATGAGATTGTGAAATGAGAGCAAGAAAAACAGTAGCATGCTTCACACGTAGGCTATTTTCCTGTGACCTGTAGGACTTTGCTTGAAAAAAAAAAAAAAAGCTATTCCCTGTGGTGTAAATGACTTAGAAAAAAAAAAAAAAAAGAGCTTTTCCTGCGGTGTGTTCGACTTAGAGACCTCCAGCCAAAATGTCAAGTTTGGTCCAGCCTGAGAGAGAAATGTCTGCAAGAGCAAGCCACATTTGCCTTACAGCACGTGCATGTGCACGTGGATTTCGTCCTCAGGCTGGTGACGAGCCTAGATCTGAAGCTCTGTGCAAAGAACTCTGTCTTCACAAAAGCTATGACTAAAGAAGATTGTATCTTTCAAGGAACCACGAGCGAGAGCTTTGATAGTTTAAAGGGCTTGGGGAAGAGAGGGACTGTAACTGATTCCAGAGATGTCGAATTCGACTTGACACTCTTTCCGATTCGAAAAATCTTTACGCTCATATTTATTCACGACAAGGCGCACCATCAGGTCAGCAAGCAGACAACACATAAACATTCGCACGGATATTTCATTATTATCCATCATTTCATTTCTTCTTTTCCTTTATGTCTAACAAAGTCTACTGATCCTAATAATGTTTTATGTAATATTTATAATAAAAGCTTTTGCTCGGTCGGAAGCTACGTGGCGCGCTTTTAGGACAATGGAACGGGTTTGGCGGCAAAGTTGACCAGAATCTAAAAGAGTCCATTTCAGAATCTGCGCTCCGGGAACTTAAGGAAGAGGCGTTTATGATTGCGCCCCTGTTCCCTATTGGTTTCATTCAATGGGTTGTATCTCCAGCATCACCATCAACTTTTTCTGATTCATTATATGAAGCCCATCACAACCAGCATCGAAGGATGCTGACATATCGCGATGTAATGGTCATTTATAAAGCACACTCATTCGAGTTATTGTCCTCCAATCTTTCTCCATCATCTATGACAACAATTTCTTCTTCAACAACACCACCCAATAATGGTGGTAATAGTAATACATGTAATAACACTGAGAGGATCACAGAATTTGAAGCAAGTGACGAGATGGCTCCAGCTTGGTGGGATATCGATGCATTGCCATGGGAGTCAATGCGTATCAACCATCGTGTTTGGTATCCATTCATGCTAGCAGATCGGCCTTTTCGAGGTGTGTATTGGTATCAGGTAAAACTATCAGCTCTTGAGGGAGGCATACAGGAGGAAAAGAAGGCAACGAGCGCACATCGGGAAACTGCACAAGAGATTTGGATTGAGGATCTGACAAAGCGAAGTGTTCAATTTGGGACCGCACCAGTATCTCGAGGGACAGCTCATGCTTATGGTTTTACGGATGAGGATCAAGGAAAAGAAGCAAAGTCACATAAAGAAAAGGTTTTAGAGGATTATGCAAAGGCTGTGGATGTTTTTGGAGTATGCTATAACTCGACGTCGACGAAATTAATGTCAAAGGAACAAGAGCTTATACCATCCGAGGCATTTAAGGAACCGACAGCAAATCCAATGATTGATGAAAATTGGCTACGAGTCGCGATAACAAAGGCAGAATATGAATGGAACAGCCAGACATAGAGCCGTTGTAAATAAATGAATAAATAAAAAAAACAGATACACTTATTCAATGGAGAGGAGTATCAAGGGAAATACCAATTTTTTTGTTTTCATTTATTATCTTTCTGCTAATCTAGTAAGTAATATTAAGAGTAAATATATCGCGATCATATTTGTTATATTCAGCGTGAGGATGTGAATGATAGTCGCAGCTTTTCCATCTTATCTACCACAAACTCTGCCTGAGTTTCATCATACTCGACCACCTTTTCAACTTTCAATCTCTCGTAGCCTAATCTCGTGACCCCACTTCCATATTTGTTTCTGTAGTTGATTTCTTCTACAGGCTTCAACGCCACATAGACATTGGCATAGGCTCCATGATAATTTGTGACCGTCTGGTGGGACTCACCCATTAATCGAACCATAAGATGCAATGCAATCCTAATCATTGTAATCCAAGCAGCTAATCCTCCAATACCTGAGGCAACAACTCCGGGTTGTGTGGTGATGGAGATGATATTCTTCCTCTCGGATGGACCTACAGCTGTTGTCGTAGGGGAAGGGTTCATGTTGTCTTTAAGCTCTTCGGCATGTGTAGCCTTAGATGCGGATCGAGTCATGCGCTTTGTGACTGTCGTGGAGTCTGTTGTAGACGAGACATCCGATGATGTCCCTGCAGGTTGTTGACCCCACATCTCATTCAGACGGATAGCCAACATATCTGTGACCCATTTGGATGATTCGTAAGGTTGTTCAGCTTTTAGTCCTTGCCAATCATTGATATCGAAGTTTGCTTTCTCTGCAGTCAATGAACTGGTCCAAATGACTCGTCCAGGATCTTCAGGGGTGTTATTCAGCGCTGATTCTAATCCCTTAATCTAAATGTATAAAGAGATTGAAACAATCTCAATATTAATAATTCATCGCATGATACGTCGTTATACGGTACCTATTGGATGTCATTCCTGTCAAGAGTATTAGAACATACCATGACATAATGACCAAAGACATTGCAAGCCAAGACATTGCCGATCCCATCTTGAGTCAAGTGTTGCTTAGGCTGACGCAGAACATCGGACCGAACGACCAGGTTCATGGGGGCTGTGAATGTTTCGATTAAGGCCTTGGACCATATGATGCCATCGGACGGTAAGATCCCTGCGTTGCAGAACAAATAGTCGATCCGAGGATACTGTTGTAGGATGCGTTGATTGAATTCTAGAACGGAATTAACGCTTCCAACGTCCACTAGTGAGATTTCTACTTTTGGATCCATATCAATGGCTGTCTTTTGAAACTCTGTTCCTCTTGATGATCCTTTAGTGGTCCCATTTTCTTTCTCAATGCGCTTATTATTCTTTTCGCTTCCTTTGTTATATTCCTCTTGGATCTGGCGTCGCTTTTGAAGTAGAGTTGCGAAGTGTACTTCAAGGCTGAGTTTGGCCTCCATTGCACGGCCCTTGTTTCGACAGGCAAGGATGACCGTAAGAGGATTGGGTGATTCTTCAACGAGACGTTGCACAATTGCATATCCTACGCCACTTTTTACGCACAGACAAAATATTTGAGTTAATCACATTTTGGGGGCTGGGACACGATACTATTCAATATTAGTGGAGACATGAATGATATTGATCTTGATCACACACATACGTGTTGGCGCCGGTGACAATAGCGACTTTCCGTTCAGGTATCATCCTTGAGGAGTATTTAGATGGGCACTGTTTGATGAAGAAAAGGCGTATACTTGTTCAGCAAAAAAAAAAAAAAAAAAAAAAAAAAACAAGGCAGGAAAAAGAAAAGGTAGGAAAAAGAAAAGGAAGAAATAGGATATTTATAGACAAAATAAAGTAAAGAAAGAAAAAAAAAGCTGTAAAAACTAACTTAAGCTACTTGAGACCCCGAATGACAATAAAAAAGGATGAATGGATGAATGAAAAAGGAAATGGAGGAATCGAATCCAAGAACCTGTTGTGATCCCAGAATTGAGCCCGCATTGACCAATTGATAAAGGAGATATATATATATATATCGTATGATTTTAAGAAAATGATGCACCTTAGACACGTGTCAACAGCCAGAATGTAAACAACTTAAGACAGCCCAATAACAACGTAACCAGATAGTCTTCGATGTTAATGTACACACACACATGTAAATGTTTATGGATGCATCTATGGATATGTTCATAAGAATGTCCCAGACAGCAAGGAAGGCCAAATATATATCATAAAATGTATTTGATGCTGGAGTAGATGCGGTTGTATTAACAGTCTGGTTACTATTTTTTTTTTTTTTTTTTTTTTTTCGTTATTTCGCTAGTCCCAATGCTAATGAAGAACTATTGAAAGTCCTTTATCCCAATGCTAGCCTTATTGTGATGCCTGAGGGTACGGACGAGTAGGCCTTAAAAAAAGCTGTTATTTATCCTCGCTACAGATATTAGTGCTGTGTTCTTTTGATCTTTGAAGTGCTAGCAAGAGCCCCAAAAGAAGGTTATCGGTATTTTTTTTATTTACTTCCAATGTCACCTCGTACTGCATTCGAGTTCATCAAGTTAGCAATATACTGCTGTAACACTGCATTATCATCCCGTTTCTTATCATGCTCTTCATGTACTGCTGCTACACGCTTAAGAAGGTCTAAGAGGTGGGTCATGTGATGAAAGAAATATATATCGTAAGTATTTAGTATCCAACATGTTATACTTTATAATGTATCTTGGTAAATGGTAAATACAGTTACCTTTAAGTCCTTCCTGGAGCTCCAGTACTTTGCTATCAATTCAATTGTCGCAATTGATGTTTCGTGAAGAAGATAGAAAAAAAATGAAATGTCCGCTTTTTAAAAACAATATACATCAAAATTGGGCTAAGTTGATGTTAAATAAAAAGGACGCATCTGCAAAGTATCTTACAGTCTACTAATGAATTAATTCTTACTTTGCTAAATCCTCATTTTCATCCTTGCCATGGATAATTGGAAATGAAGTTGACGCCAGATGGTTCATTGCTCCTTCATCCATGTTGCTTCCTTTTTCTCTGAATGAAAGTATGGCGAATAAAACAGTGACAGAAGAGAAAATAATCTAAAACGGTCCAACACCCTCTTGCTCAGCCACTCCCACTCTCCTGAGCAGAGGCAAATGTTTTCAAAAAAAAAAAAAAAAAAAAAAAAAAACTTGGACGCGCTTATTTTTCAGTCCTGAAGATAACTCCGTGGTCTTTTAGTCTGATAAAAAGTTTTTTCGCCTTCCACTCCTCAGTTTTTTACCCCTCCTCCATTTCACCACAGCTCTTCCCTTTTCCTCATCTACCTCATTCTCTCATACTCAGTTTGTTTCACGTTAATGACATTAGCAGTAACAATTGTAGTAACAATAACAAAATAAGGTAATTTTTTTTTATCAACCTAGTTTGGTGGCGCGCTAGTCCATGAAACCCATACTCTCGTGGCCACTTGATTCATTCTAATCCAATTCTTGACTCTGACTTCATTCTTCATTCTTCATTCTTCATTCTTCATTCTTCATTCTTAGCATTCACACCTCTTCTTCCACTTAACTCCTTCTTCAGTAATCCTCAAGGATGAGTGCTCTAGAGAGACTACAGGAATTTCGTTTCAAGAAGGCTCAGGGGCAGATTCCTGCAAGCAGTCGCAACAGTAATAGCAAAGATAACATAAGCAGTAACAGCACTACTGGCAAACCCCTTCGTCAGTCTAATTCATCCATACCGCCTTCTGCAGCCCTCTCAGGTGGTAGTGGTAACGGCAGCAACAACAACAAGATCAATAACAACTCCAACCAAATCAAAAAAATTGATACAACTATTGTTGTTGAGTCTGACAATGAACTCGAGTCGGAGAGTGATCTCGATCTAAGAAAGGGTGTCAAAAGAATGACGACTAACTCGCCTCTTCGCGGATCGCCCAATCCATCGGCCGCATCCACACCCACTTTCCAGAATGGATCTCGTGGATCATCCTCAGTATCATCATCGCCATTATCATCTGCTCAATCCAAGTACCAGCCAGACTTGTCAGCGAATAAACACGGCAAGCTTGGTTTCAAAAAGCTGGTTACATCTTTTCGTTACACTGGCAATGATGCGCTACCACAGCCACCTTTTGACAGTGATAAGAGCTTGAGTAGTCCTCAACCCAGCGACAATGAGGTCGTCCAAGATGACAGTGACGATGTCATCATGCTTGATTCCTCTGCTTCGAGACCTGTCAACAATAATAATAAGTCGTCTTCATCTTCTAGTAACACAAAAATCAAGAGAACAATACTTAGTAGTGATGATGAGATGGTTCCAGAGACGAAGCCGAGAAGGCGACTTGTGCGCAAAGGCGATGTTCCAGAGACACCTAAACGTCGTCGACTAATCAAGCGGACGATGCTAGGGTCGGATGATGATGATAATGACGATGACGGAACAGGACAAACCACACGATCCGGCTCTACCACAATTCAAATCTCGGATGATGACAGCATCGGTGACAGCTTATCAGATCTGGATTCGAATCTTGCCAAATTGCAGACGACGTTTCCAGATACGCCATTTAACACCATTAAAAAGGCTTTGATGGATACTGGTGGTGACTTTGCAAGAGCTGCCAGCAACCTTGTCACCATGTCTGCAACAGAACTTCTTGATCTCACAAATGATTCACCCAAAAATGCTCCGCTCTCCTCGTATCATCAAGTCAGCCGACTTCATAAACCACCGACCAATTCTTCATTCAAATCATCATCAGGATCCATGTCAATACCAGCAAAGAAGAAGAAAAAGAAGCCTGCCTACAGCTCAGATGACGACAGGTTTTCGTCTGATGGTGGTTTTGATGATGATGGTCCTAATGTATATAAGGCACAAGATCGTAAAGAGGAGCGCGCGTTGCAGTTCTTCAATGAGGCAGGCATGTTGGAATTGCAAGAGTTGACAGGATGTTCCAAGACACAAGCAACGGGTGTAATTGGTTTACGTCCATTTGACAACTATGATCATCTTTGTGTAACCCTCCGTAAGACTAAGGGTGTGGGCGAAAAAATGGTGAACAACTACCTGACGACCACAGATGCCATTCGTGCGGTGGACACAATGCTCAAGACAGTTGATCGAGTGCGTGAGGATTTAGCTAGCACACTGAGCGTTTGGTGTGGAGGCGAAAACGGAAAGCTCTTTGGAAGTCCTCAGAACTTAAAACTGGCTGAACGCAAAAGCGAAGATAGCAAAAAAGAAGGGGATAAGGACGTTGAGGATGGGGAAGACGAAAGTCCTGGCATGGAACTGCTTGAGCTGGATGCAGATAAGCTTGAGCAGACTGAGGAAGGCAGAAAGGCGATGAAAGGATTCATCCGTCAGCAACCTAGTAACATGGCGCCCGGATTTCAACTTAAAGGTTACCAACTTTTGGGAGTTAACTGGTTGGCTCTTCTATGGCGCAAAAAACTGTCTGGCATTTTGGCGGACGAGGTGAGATGATTTTTTTTTTTTTTTTTTTTTGGATAGTACTCAATAACAGTTATGCTCATTGCAACTTACAGTTTGTAATGAAACACACCCTTCATAACCCATAGTACTTGGTATATTGACCTCGTATTTTGCTTTCTTCTTTCATTTTCCTTTGTAGATGGGTCTGGGAAAAACGGCGCAAGTGATTGCATTTTTGGCACATCTCCTTGAGAATGGAGAGGAAGGCCCATTTTTGATCATTGTACCATCCTCAGTGTTGGACAACTGGCTCCGGGAGTTCGCAAACTTTTGTCCCAGCATTAATGTCAGATGTTACTATGGATCTCAAGCAGAGCGTGAGGAGATGCGATATGATTTGGAGGAGGATAACTCTTATAATGTCATTGTCACGACCTATGCCATAGCCACAGGCAACAATGATGAACGCAAATTTTTGAATCGCCGTCGATTCAAGGGTATTGTTTTAGATGAAGGCCATATGCTCAAGAATTGTACAAGTGCACGGTACAAGCAATTGATGTCGATCAAGACGCCCTTTCGGTTACTCTTGACGGGAACGCCCTTGCAAAACAACTTGGAGGAGTTGTTGTCACTCTTGATCTTTATCATGCCTGATTTGTTTTCGGAGCACGAAGAGGTATTGCGAACCATGTTCAAAGTCAAGACCGATGCTAATAGCGAAAAGACTACACTGCTTTCACAGGAGCGTATTGTTCGAGCACGACATTTGCTGGCACCGTTTGTATTAAGGAGGAAGAAAATGCATGTGATTAGTATGCCGCGTAAGGTGCAAAAGATCATTTTTTGCGACTTGCATCCAGATCAGAGGGTTCTTTATGATCGGATCATGGCCAGTTCTGCGATGCAGGAGGCATTAGCTGACGGTGCGGAAGACGGTAGCAGTACGTTAGACCCGATTGAGCTGGACGGCCTCGACCCCAAAGCCCGCGCGAAGGCATTGAAGAAAGTCGAAGCAGCCAAGAAGAAGAAGATAGCAGCAGCATCTACAAAAAAGATGAAGGACCAGGTGGCGAATATGTTGATGCAGATGCGCAAGGCTGCAGATCATCCGATGCTGTTCAGAGAGCTGTACACAGATGATAAAATCAAGAAGATTGCTAAAGCGATCACAAAAGAGGTTGAGTTTTGTGACTCGAATGTAGATTTGATTGAAGAGGATATGACGGTTATGACAGACTTTGAAATCCATCGGATGTGTAAGCAATACAAGGTAAGGAAATCCAAGTGGGAAAGGGAGAGGAAGGCTTCAAATGAGAAGAATTTCCATTTTGGTTTTAGTTACTATCTAACACCTTCCTTTTTTTTTTTTTATTTATTTATTTATTTATCGGCTTCATGTAGAGCATCAATAGGTTTGCTTTACCAGGGGATCAATGGATGCATGCAGGCAAAGTTAAGGTGTTGGAGACACTACTGCCCAAGATTATTAATGAAGAAAAGTCGCGAGTGTTGATCTTCTCACAGTTCACGATGGTACTGGATATCCTCGAATCGATCCTTCAGACCATGAAGCTAAAATATCTGCGGATGGATGGACAAACCAAAGTGGATGAACGTCAGCCATTGATTGACTCGTTTAATGAGGATGACAGCTATAAGATCTTTCTGTTGTCCACAAAGGCTGGTGGATTCGGTATCAACTTGACAGGAGCTAATGTTGTGATCATGTATGATCTTGATTTCAATCCTCACAATGATAAGCAAGCCGAAGACCGTGCTCATCGTAAGTTTTAGCTGTTTTTTTTTTTTTTTTTTTTTTTTTTTTTTTTTCTGAGGGCAAGACTCTGGAGAAGCTAAATGTTTAAATACTTTTTCCCTTTGTTGTGGACTTTGCTTAGGTGTGGGTCAGACAAGAGATGTGGAGGTAATTAAGTTGATAGCCAAAGGTACGATTGAGGAACAAATCTACCAACTCGCAAACCTCAAGCTGAAGCTGGATCAGCATGTCAGTCAGGATGAAAGTGGAGGATCAATGCTGACATCGGAAGCATCATCAGGTTCTTCGACCCCAAGTGCTGGAATCTTGAGTTTGCTCAAGCAGAACTGGAGAGCAACTCTCAATGCAGCAAAGGCCGGGCAACAGCAACAACCGGAATACTCAAGTAGCAGTAGTAATGGTGCCATAGACACAACACTGTCGTCGATATTGGGCCAGAAGGTGCAGGAACAAGTTGAGAATGGGATGGATGATCAGGCCATGAATAGTGAAGGAAGAAGCAACAGTGAGGATAGTAAATCAAGAAGCACCACTTCTACTGTTGCTACTACATCCACAGTTGCGAAAGCTGATGCATCGAACGCAAAGGATAAATCATCAGCATTTTCGTCCAGAAGGTCATCATTGTCATCATCATCATCGTTATCATTACCAGATAGTCCATAGATTTTATCGCTAAAATAACAATTTAGTAATTTTTATATAAATCTCCATGCGTATTCGTTAATTAAAATCATTAATGCTACTTTTTCAAATAAAAAAAAAAAAATTACCATTTTCCAACACCGAGGCAAAGTTCTTTCCTTTCTAATGTCCTTGTTTAGCAATAAGGGTGCATATGCAAGATTTTTAATAAGAATAAAGAAAACGCCTTTTGATTTTCACTGGGATACATGCTCATGTGTATGAAAAGAGCAAGAGACGTGACATGGGATGTGAATGTGAATGTGAATGTGAATACAAAGAGTGGGTTCTTTGATTGTTGTACAAATGCACAAGAGCAAAAGTATAATGAAGAGACAATCACTTTCCTCTTTGAGCAAGTCAGTGCTTGAGGATACTGTGAATTAACACGATTGAAAAAAAAAAAAAAAAAAAAAAAAAAAATCAATACTAGTTTACGGGTTTTCGAACCCGGCTAAGGCGTTTTTTTTTTTTTTTTTTCAAGGATGAACTTGGACTCGTCCTTTTTTTCCTATTTAGAAGCGTGTTTTGTCTTTACATGTTTAATGCTTCTGTTAAAGTTTGAGTTTTTGTGCCTTTTCAAGGCAATTCATTATTTGACCAAGAATCAAACGGATGGGTCATTTTCCATGGTGCTGTGCTGAATTCAAAGGAGATAAAGTGACATGAAGGAACACAAAAAAAGTATCCTGAAGTTTTCTTTTCTTTTCTTTTCCTTCTTTCTTCTGTTCTTCTGTTCTTCTGCCTGCCTTCATTCATCTTTTCTCTGCCAATACTTCACCATACATATTCACGCGCAATGCCAAACTCATCCATTGTATAGCACTCACCTTGTCATACTTCACTTGCGATTTAATATACGCTACAATACTTTAGTATAGAGCTCTGGATATACCTCCTTGGCTCCTTTTCCTCCTCACTAAATCACCGCCATACTAGCAGTTGATCTCCCCTTTCTTTCTCTCATATTTATCAGCATATATTACATTCCATCCACAAAAAAAAAAAAAAAAAAAAAAAAAATGTCCGCAAAGCCCAAAGTATTAATTGTTGGCGGTGGTTTAGGGGGCCTTACTTTGGGGGTATTGTTGGAACGTGCAGGTATCCCATATGAAATTTTCGAACGAGCTTCGGTTATTAGACCATTAGGTAAACGATATTATTATTACTGCTTGCTGGTATTATGGCTGCTGCTGCTTGTTACTCTAATAAATTACTGAAAAAACTAATGTCTTTACAAACAAAATACCCTTTTATATTTTTTCTCTTGGAAAAAAAAAAAAAGGATCAGCGCTTTCGATGGGTGCTAATATCATTCCATTGTTGAAACAACTTGGGATCTATGAGGAGTTCATTGACAAGGCTCTAGTCCGATACACAACTCAGGTCTATAAAGAAAACCTAGAGATCGATTTCGTCCTTGACTCAAAACCTGCTGCAGAAATGTAAAGTCTTTTGAAAATCATTACAAGGACCAATCTTTATCCATGAAATCCTTCACTTTTAGAAAAATGAAAAAAAAAAAAAAAAAAAAAAAAAAAAGTCTTATTCTTTACCAACGTTTTTTTTTTTTTTTTTTTTTTTTTTCATTTTCATTTTCATATCCCTGTACATGCATGCATGTATATTTGTGTAGGGGTGGATACGACGGTTACATGATCAGTCGTCCTGCAATCCATGAGATCCTTCTCAATCAAATCCCACCGCACAAGGTCCACCTCTCCAAGCGTGTTTTACAGATCCGCCAAAATGAAAAGGAGGCGACGATTGTGTGTGCAGACAATTCAGTTTACTACGGACATATCATCGTTGGGTCCGATGGTGCCTACTCGAGTGTTCGACAGTCCATGTATAAGGATATGAAGCGTGAAGGTCGGTTACCGACATCGGATCAAGAGGATCTGCCATATAGTTGTACCTGTCTCGTAGGACATACTCGGCCCCTGGATCCTGAAGAGTTCACAGAGTTGAAAACTCCAGAATGTAGTTTTGATTGTGTCTTGAGTGACAATAAGCCATATACGGTAAATGGGCAGTATACTTGTAATCCATTGATTGTTTCCTTCTACTTTGCATCAAATTATTCAAGTCATCATCGTATCCATTCTTTTTTTTTTTTTTTTTTTTTTTTACCTTCCTTCTCAATACTCAAAGTGGGTGACGTTTACGACAAAGGGTAATATTATATGTTGGATGGTGGTACATCATCTCAATAAGGTTACTTCAAAAGCAAATGATAGTTTCCGAAATTCAGAATGGGGACCTGAAGCAGCCGAGGTTATGTGTAAAGAAGTACGCGATTTTCCAATTTCGGGTGTCAATGTCGGACCAGTTTCTTGCACAAGAGAGGATTCAGATATAGATTCTGACACAAATCTTGACAAAATCAATACCGGTACCAATAACAACGGCAACAGTTTCCATAAAAAGGAACAGACGCAGCAAAAGAAAAAGACAAGGACTTTGGGGGATTTGATCGATCGGACTGACAGAGAGTTGATCTCAAAAGTGATGCTGGAAGAAAAGATCTTTGAAACATGGTATGATCGACGGATTGTTCTGATAGGTGATGCATGCCACAAGATGAATCCCTCAGGAGGTCAAGGAGCCTTGAACGCGATGCAAGATGCTATTACACTGGCGAATTGGATCAATGTGCTGAGATCTAATGATGTCAGTGATATGAACAAGATATTTCAAGAATACAAACGAGAACGGTACCCCCATGCTATGGATGCATTTGAAAGCTCCAAAATGTTTAGCAAGATCATTGAAAAGGTAAAAAAAAAAAAAAAAAAAAAAAGAGAAAAAGATAACAATAATAACAATAATTACAATAGCAATGATAACAAAAAGCCCCTCCTCCTCTTCTAATAATGGTTTTTGGTCCTGCTCTAACAGAGCATTTCAGGGAGAATTGTTCGCTTCATTTCGCGTCATATGCCACGTTGGCTATGGATGATGGCGCTTCGCAAAATGGCTTCAAATCGTCCACAGGTAGCATTTCTTCCCAGGATTGAAGATTACGGCACAGTCAAGCCTGTAGACCAGCCATCCCTGTACAAGACCCGTACTACAGTGCCTCCGCCCAAAAAGAGGCGCCGTCGTCGCATGGATGACCATCTGGAGAGCAATAGCGATAGTAATAGTGGTAGTGTTGAAAATAAGAATCATGGGTTAGGGAAAGAGGCGGATGCAGCAGCGGGAGTTGGAGTAGGAACAAGAGAAGGTGCAGAAGTAAAGGAGATGAATGGTGCCAGTGTACCAATAACTGGAAAAAGCTCGATGACTACAACAACGGCATTAATAGCCAGGACTGATAGCAGGTCTGACAGCTGTAGTAGCGATAGTAACAATAGCAGTGGTAATAGCAGTACCATTGCCTCGAATGGAGATGATAGACATGACTCAGATGAGCATGGCAGCTAGGGTGGAAACACAAACGAAATCAGGAGTGGACAACTAAAGCAACGAGTTGCAGTTACAAACCATGCATCTGAATGATACAATAAAAATATTTATTAAAATAAGGAAATGGGTTTAAAAAAAAATGCGTTCAAATCCTATGCTCATTCATTTAGATCTACAAACCTTTCAAACATCGATTAACTGCATAACATTGAACGCATTTTATTTTATTTTATTTTATTTTATTTTATTTTTTTTTGGATGAATGAATGAATGGAATGCTTACGTTTATTTCAAATAACCCCCTCTTTCAAATACATCCAATAACGAGATATAGATAAATAAGCAACCTCATCATAAAAACCATGTCAAGAAAAAGAGAAAGGAGACAAGGATCCCTTCTCACTCATGACAGAAGCTTACACCCAAGGTAACAAATTATAATTCAGCCCCAAGAGCAAATTTCCACTGGTATTTAATTCAATTGGAGATCTGTTACACAGATATTAGGTTTTTTTTTATTATTATTGCAAACAGGAAACTTGGACGAAAGAGAGAGAATGAAGATGACATTACTCATCTTGGGGTCATTCGTTCATGCCTTCGTGCTTGTGTTATTTCTTTTTCTTTTACATTTCTTCTTTTTATCATCTTTTTTTCTTTCTTTCTTTCTTTCTTTTTTTTTTTTACTGTCAACATTATACACGTGCGAATAAATGTCGGCAGAACATCCTTTGATCAAATCAGTTGGCAAACCCAAGGTTCTGATTGTGGGCGCCGGTATCGCTGGACTCACATTAGCCATTCTCCTTGAGAAAGCTGGTGTTCCATATGAACTCTTTGATCGTGTGACAGAAATCAAACCTTTGGGTAAAACTAGCGCATTCATGTTTTCAAGATGGCAATGTAAAAAAAAAAAAAAAAAAAAAAAAAAAAAACTACATTTTTTAACGATCTCTTTGACTGACTTCAATTATGATTTGATTGTGTGCTTTGTTCAAAAAAAAAAAAAAAAAAAAAAAAAAGGATCGGCATTGTCGCTGGCCGCAAACGTGATCCCTCTGTTCAAGCAGATTGGTATCTATGACGAGCTTATTAGCCTTGGAAAGACCTTCCATTCGATTGATCAATACAATGAGGATCGTAAAAGAGAGTACTCAATGGATTTCAGGGCAGCAGCCAATTTGTAAGTAATTCATAGTTGTTTCAAGAAAGCAAGATGTAATTACGATACATGTATGCTATGTACAACCTCAGCTATTCAACGACCATTCTTTTGTCTTTTTTTTTTTTTTTTTTTTTTTTCATTCAGAGGAGGATTTGCGCCTCGTATCGTTTCTCGCTCTGTCTTTCACAACTTATTATTTCGACAGGTCCCGTCTAGCAAGATTTTTCTAGGGAAGCAAGTCCTGTCCATAAAGCAAAGCTTAGAGAATGGTGTCCAAATCCAATTCTCAGACAAGACAATTGCAGAGGGCGATATTCTTGTCGGAGCTGATGGTGCTTATAGTACGGTCCGACAAAGCCTTTATGAATCATTAAAGAATGAGGGTCAGCTACCAGCCTCTGATGATGGTGCTTTACCATTCAGCTGTATTTGTCTTGTCGGACAGACCAAGCCAATGGATCCTGAAATGTATCCTGAGCTCACCGACCCCATCTGTCATTTCAAATCAGTCATTGGGGACAACAAACCATACTCTGTAAGTAAACTGGAATGAAGTGAAAAAAATATATCTTTGGTGGATCTATGCAAGTCATCTTTATAAACTAGCACCAACCATTCATCCTTCTCTTTTATTTGTGGATACAAGTGGGGATGTATGACAGCCAAAGGTAATATATTCTGTTGGAGTGTGATTCAGTACCTGGACAGTGAAAGCTCCAAGGGCCACGATAGTTTCCAAAACTCAGAATGGGGTCCTGAAGCTGCAATTGCAATGTGCCAAGAGGTCCGAGACTTCCCATTGCCCGGAGGCAAGAACAATGATATGACCATTGGAGATCTTATTGATAACACGCCGTTGGTCACTAAGGTTATGTTGGAAGAAAAGGTTTTTGACACATGGTACTCAGGAAGGACGGTCCTGATTGGTGATGGTAATGCCACCAATTTTATATACAGTATAATGGTTGATATATGTTTATGAATTCTCCGCAATGTTTGATTACTGCTGTGCTTTTTCTCATACTCTTTTCTACGCTCTTTTATTGAAATGCATTTGTTTATATGAGCAGCTTGTCACAAGGTAACCTTGTTAAATGAACAAAAGAAGAGCATGGGCAATGAAAACTGTTGACCGTCCGGTCTTTTTCATTTTAACGCCCTGAATGATTGCGGAGTATACAACGGAACAATATTTACTAACGAAAAAAAAAAAAAAAAAAAAAAAAAAAAATGGCACTCTTTTTTTCTTTCAGGTTCATCCAGCTGGTGGCGCTGGCGCTATGAATGCGATCCAGGATGCCGTGGCATTAGCAAACTGGATCAGTGTACTGGATTCAACAGAAGTTAATGAAATGGTAGACGCGTTCAAGGAATATAAAGCAGAGCGCTACCCAGTTATCAAGGCCGCCTTTGAGCATGGACGAACACTTTCCACGCTAGCAGCAACGGTAATGTGATCATTGTGCAATCATGCAAATATGCAATTCGCAATAGTTTTCGAAGAAACAAAAAAGACGTAGAGGAAGCATGCATTTATAAGGCTTTGCTTTTATTGAAAAATACAGGATCTTAAGGCTAGGATTATTCGCTACCTCACTAAAAATATGCCGACCTGGCTATGGAATATTTTGGTTAAGCGCATGTTGGAGTCACGTCCTCAAGTCTCGTTCTTGCCTTTGGTAGAGGATAAAGGAACTGTACCACCCATATATCAGCCAAGCCTTCAAAAGACATTGGCGATTAGGAAGGCTAGAGAAGCTGCAGAAGAAGAAGAACCGACTACAGTTAAAGCCCTCTAGTAGTGGTAGGAAAGATATTGAAATAGAATAAAATAGACGACAGTTAAAACTGAAGGGAAAGAAACGAGAAATCACGAATATATCTCTTTTGGGCTCGAGAAATGTGAACCGTTGTATTATACAGTTATTCCTAAAGCTTCACAATAAGAAAGTCTCAAGACCTCTTAAACTACCTTGATGTTCATCTTCGTCGATGATTGATGTTCTAGCAAGCCTTCTCTTCTTTAAGAGTCTTGCCATATTTATAACGGTGGATTATCTTTGTGGC